GTATTGTATAGAACCGGCCGTAGATGTGAAATACTAAAAGAATAGATGGCGTTGAGGCATTGGCTCAACATTGAAGAGAGACACGGGGCAAATGCCCGAAAACGATTTCGAGGTCATATTCCAGCTGACCACGCGTGGTTGAATCCAGTGACTTCCATGCTACTGTCTCCATGCTATGCCCGATCATGTTCGCATAGAACGGGACTTGGACACTGGAAAGGGTACAGTAAGATGCTGATATATTTTCCCATGGGAATTTTCCGTGGCCCTGGCTGGTGATGCTGCAGCGTTCCAAAGTTGACAAGTAAAGAACCCTGGGTCGATCCTTTCCCTAGGTTAGCCAATTAGAGAAGCTAAATAACCCATTTACTACCAAGAACGACCAAAGGGTCCTTTCGTACGGCCGAGGCAGGGTAAAAAGTTGGATTGATTGATTTTCTTGAGGATCCCGTACAAACTTTCCAGAGATACGGAGAGGGTACGGATCCGTACAGTTTTATTTAATAACAAGGATTTTTGGCGGGGTTGATTACCTGTGGTAGGTTTTCATCAATGGTGAGAATAACGCATAAGAGAATATTGTTGATTCGCCTGGATTGGTTTATATATTGTTTGCCGGTTAGCAACGTTAGGTATTCAACAATATGGTTTCCCAATAAGTGATTTGGACAACCTTTTAGCCTGCGTAGAGTCAATATGCGCTTCGGGAATAAGAACAAAAAAAGAGCCTCGTCAGCTCAAAACTACCTAACCTATATGTAGTATTAGGTATTTTCGAATCTTTTCTGACTGGCAAGAGATGGTGGCCAGCGCAAAGTTCTCATGGCAATCATATATGGACCGTCCACAACAACAGATTGTCGCCTGTCTCCTCAAGGTTTGACCTGGGTTTTTGTTCGATCGCTTTACTAGGGGTCTGCAACGTTTCTCCCCTGCACCAATTTTGAAGATGACATGTCTTGACTTTTTTTTCCACTTTTTCCTTTTTCCCTTTCTTTCTTTCCATGTAACGTCGGATTTGATCATTCAAACTTTGCAAATAAACCCCCCTCTAGTGAACTAGCAACGCATCATTATAAAGAAGTCTTGGGGTAGGACAGCATACCGTCAAGCTGAGCCATTTATCAGATTACGAGCGGCGCAATGCCGACGAGGTTTTCATACTATGACTGCGTCAGAGGCGGGTCATGGTATCGAAACGGATCGCGCAAATAGGCATAAAAAGTCAGCGTGATGTGACGATGCAGGCTGGGTTACCTGAGCGGTGTCTTAACGGATAGGCGGATTCGCAATTCCCTTGTAGTAGTCGCAGACAAGAACTTGGCTAGGCGATATGAGAACAGGGTAATATAAGTCAGGCTATCATATGAGCCTGTTTTCGGAGTACAAGATCGAAGGAAGAAAGCGCCCCAACGCTTTATGGAGATCATTAGCGAAACTGCTACCAGCCAGTGGTCTATCTGCACGTAGTAATTCATAGTCGCCTTTTCTTCTTTTTTTTTATTACTTTAGGTCGCCGATATGGAGAACATCGTTGACCCTATTTAGTGGCCTACGTAGTAAATGTTCCGTGGGGTAGGTAGCTCTAAGGTGGGCAGTGGACGGTGGACGGCGGACCGATATGTATGTGTCCGCAGAAATGATTTATGCAGACGTGTGTGATCTGCGTGGTTTTGGAGCTCGCACGGAACCGCGTTGAGTACTCCGTAAAAATGGTACATGTCTTTCGGACTGACACGGACCCCTCTTGAAACTGGCGTTGGTGGTGGTGGTGATGATGTTACCACCTTCGAACGCTCTAGGTCCGAAAACCTACTCATTATTTCGGCGCACAAACCGCGCTGCTTGTTCACCAGTCTCATAGCCGTGGGGCGTCCTGTATCGTTGCGTGTGGTGGTCTTATTCTCGTCATATATAGAACTTGCCTGGTCCGTGCTAGGCTGGTCCATAGACCGACACATCTTTGCGACAGAAGGGTATGACTTGTAAGCATAAGATGCTTAGTGCGTTGTTAGTCCGTCTGCTCGTAGACAAGGGTGTAAGAGACGATAAATCAAGTCAAGATGCGCCTGAAGGCTGCTTGAGGGCAGATTGACGGGAGCAGGCTCCTTTTTTACAAGTTACGGTATTGGCGGCCAGGGCTACCTAAACCGGTATCCCTGGAAGAAGCACTAGGATGATTTATCAGGTCCTAGGTAAGATGACCTTTGTGATAATAGGTAGCATCATTGTATCGTTACCGGACCACAAGATCACCTCCACGACCGGCTGATACCGCGACGAGATACTTTTCGGGGCCGTAACTATTTGGTTGGTTATAAGTGAAAATAGCATCCTAGCTGCAGCGAGGCGCTGGCTTGGGGGCTTTCTCTCGCACCCCGCTGCTATAGAGCAGGGCAGGGTATGGGACGGGGGAGGGGAGATATGAGGGGTTCCACGACAATATTTTTTTTTTGATGGATGATCAATGAAAAGCAGCTTGGCTTGCTCAAGGCGGTAATCCCGTCATGTGGCTGGGGAACGAGTCAGTAGGGTACCACCTATGTAAAACGGGATAGACAACTTGGTTATTGATTCGTTATTTAAGGAATTGTGATCATGTTGAAATGTCTGTTGAAATGACTATTGAAATGACTAACGCTGAAAAAGTCATGTCAAAAAGTACCTGATCTAATTCTAGGCACTTACAGGCCGACCTCATGTTGGAAAATGATGTAACCTGAAAATATGCGGAACATTTCTATGTTAGCGACTTGAAGTAATATTGGCCCGTTATACCGTATAATACGGGCTAATAGGTTCCACTCTTCAGTCGAATATTACCTAATTAGGGAAATAAGGGTATCATTGGGTAGATTAAAGTATTAGGTTGGTCCGATTGTAATAACAACCATCTGATATTTATTTAAACTATAAAAAAAAAGAACCTTGAAATCGGACTTAATAGAAACGTATATCCTTATTTGCAATCTAATTTATATGCTATCATAATGACGGATAGCTTGGGTAAAAGAAGCAGCAAGGTATTGTACCTAATTTGTCTTCATCATTGATGTTGATAAGGCTCTAATGGCATATTCTTATCGCTATCCACGTTACCTAGGTATCCACCGGCCCCCCTCCCCCTCCCTTCCCCCCCATGCCCATGGATAACGCACTTTTGTATTGTAAGAATACGCAAAGTCACAATGTGAAACCGATTCTGAAGTCTCCCTGTCAGAATATTAGAACAGCATTATCCCAGCCAACAACCGTAGTTCCGAATGCCCGAATCAATGCAGCAAAGGAACAAAGGAGCACAGTTACACCAGTTGCACAATCCTTACAATATATGGGCACGGCAACACGTCGATTCGTTTCTAGCATTTTATACCAAACACTCTACTTTACTCTAGACTCTCAAGTAACGAGTTGTTAGTTTTCTGATGGACGAAAGGCACCGTCAGCAATTCTGAGTACCTTAGGTAGGTATGCCTTAGCCTGGCAAAAGCCAAGCCAGCCCAAGTCCCAGACTTTGTTCCGGGGTCTGATGTTTAGATCGTTTTTTTCGGAGCTCAAACCTTGGACTTTGAATGTACGCCGCTTCCTAGGCCGCCTCTCCGTCAATAACGTGTCCAAAGTCCGGCGGCATTTCTGACTTTTATTTCTTTGCTACCACTTTGCGATTTGCGACAATAGCTCCTTTAGCTTATGGCGCCAATAATATCATGCCAACCACGTAATAATTAAGTACCTAGCTGGGTAGACCCAAGGGTGGTGTTGCATGGGTATGTACCTACCTTAACCTACCTGGCATGAATTAGATAGTTTTTTTTCCTTTATATCTCTGTGTCATCAAAGAATTAAAAAAAAAAAGAGACCCAAAAAAAAACCGAAAAAAAAACCTGTGTGGACGACCTTGAATAACGCAAACTACCTAAAACTTGCACTCACGCACGTTAGCTTATGCTTCTTAATGTAAGAAGTAGGATGTAGGTACCTAGGCAGCCCTTGCCAGGTAGTAACCTTGAAGGTCATGGATGTAAGGTGGATTTTATGTACTACATCTAACTATAGTGGGAAGAGTGGGAAGAGAGGTAATGTAAGTGCATACATCGTCAAGTACCCGCCCATCCGCCCACCTTCGTCGTCGTCTAATTGGGTCTTGGTCCACTGTCCATTGCTTATTGGATCTATTGGGTCCAAACTGGCTGGGACTTGGGTGCATGTATGAAGAAGAAAGATACCATATATACTTCATTCATACATTCACATATTCATTATACATACATACCTATATAACCTTAGGTACATCTATATATATATATGTAACGTACAGTGCATCGTGGGCTTGTAAGGTATTTGTATTTGTATCTGTAATTTGTGTCCATTTTTTTGTATTTGCACTTGTAAGGTAAGAGCTTGCGTATTTGGGCATTTGCTGGCTGCATCGTACTTTACCTACTTGCCTTACTTACTGAATGAACACAGTCAGTCATCCGGCAGCCTTCTTTTTGTCTCCCTCTTACCTTCCTACTTATCTCCATCCTTCCTTCTTCCTTCATCATTTTTCTCGACTTAGCCTTCCCTCGGCGATCTAGGTAGACATAAAAAGTACATCCCAAGTCTAGGTCTAGGTCTAGGTCTAGGTTAGGTACCTGACCCTGAACACATCGGATCGGATGTTGGTTTTTACATTGCCTACCTCTGCCTAAGAAGGTTACCGTCTTTAACCCATCTTTCGCCGTATCGGCGACCTTATCTTACCACCTCCATTATCATCATCATCATCATCATCATCATCTCTCTCTCTTCCTCTCTCTCCCTACCTACCTACCTACCTACCTATATCATATTACCAAATTACCGTCAGTACCTAAGATCGAGTATTCTCTTTTCTCCGCTCCTAAATATTTTGATATCTAAGCATCATCATCAAAGGCAAGCGTTTTACAAGTCAAATACTTATTTACACGGCACTCTGCCGGTTCTAGCTAGTTAGCGTTTGGGGAGGAGACGTACCTGAGTCTTCATAACACATCACAAAGACTTCAAAGACCTGACACACGTTCGACCTCTGTCACTTAGCAACGGTATTAAATTCTCAACTGAGCTCACCTTAGTTGGAGATTCGAACGGTCCGAGAAAGCAAACTGGTCGCGGGCTTGATATCCCTCACCAGATTTCTCTGCTTTTAACATAGTCAATTTGTCCCTGTCTATGCCGTCATCGCCGACTTCCCACGCACCTTGTGAAAAGTGTCAAGCAGGTCGGGTCTTCTGGTAGGGCACGGTATCAGCGTGTCTGAGACGGTGTGGGAAAGAAAAGGAAAACAATTCAAGATTGCTGGCTGTTACAACTGTACCGACCTTGGACCTTGGTGATCTTACTTATACCCGCCTCTAGAGGGGATCAGCCCTGGTTATCTAGTTCACCGGCCCCTCCGTCTATTGTCTGGTTCTCATCCGTCCCACTCTCTCCACCAAGAGACGTCAAAGCAAGCCATACGTCTATAATCATCGTAGGATATAGGATCGGGAGTGACAGGCTCTCAAACTAAGGCCGCCACTGTCCCAAGGAAACATATAGCATGGATCCTTCGACAATGGATTTCATGATGCATCCCCCGGAGCATATTGGCCCGTCCTCATCATCGGCGAACGTTGATCACGCAGCTCGTTCTGCATGCCCGGCTTTACGGGCTGCAGTGGCGGCGGCAGCTGTTGCTGAGCATAGTCAACATCCACCGGCGATGTTCCCATCTCGGCCTCCCAATTACTACTTTGACCCGGTGCATAATAATGCTCACTTCTGGCAAACTCTACCCCCACCACATGCCCGATGGACCTCGGATCCGCCCTTTCAACATTCTCCACCCATTTTACCACTGACCACTGGCCAAATGAATCAGCCTCCATATCAATCAAACGGGCCCAACTTATACAACTCACATAGTAACCCACCTCAATTTCGCAACCGGGCACCATTGCTCAGTTTACAGCGGATTGGAGGCACGGCTCCTATTCAACACAGTCAGGGAAGTTACTCAGGCTCTAATCAAAGTCAGCCCCAGGCTGGAATTACGGGTGAAACGGGTCCTGGTGCCTCAGTGCATGGCCCGAGGACAAACTTGCCATCCCTCGCCTCTATGCCTGCTACAAGTACAAGCCAAAACTTGCAAACAACATTTCCACAAACCTCACACCCCACTCAACCGCCGAGCCAGCACAACCCTACTCTCGCCCGCCGTAGTACCTCATCGCCTTTTACAACTTCCGACGCGACTACTACTCCTTCTAGTGGACAGACCGATTTCGGATCCTCCAATTCTTCTAATTCATGTAAGTTGCTAACTTTTATTAGTAATAATGTTTCACCCTCAATCAAGAAAATTCTGACCACAATTCTGCTGCAGCTTCGTCTTCGCCGCCCCGACGAGCCCCCGGCGGTCCTCGAACCGGCGATATGTCTAACGAACCAACAAGCTCCGAGCCACAACGGGTCAGCGCGACACGAAGCAGACGAGCTGTCCCGCGGTTGCCTTCTGAATCGGGTTGGTCTAGTGACGACGACTCGGAACCGGATGCAGCTGCATTGTCGTTTTTGGAGGCCGCCGTGAACAACGCACCCGGCTTGGATAATGTACCCGATGGACGGATGAGAGCGCACCAACTTATTAGGGGGGCCATGTCGTCGAACAAGAGGGTCGCCTCTAAGAAGGCTATCACCTCGCTAGAGAGTGTGGCAATCCCCAGCCTACCGGAAAATGAGAGAAGTGAGCTATTACCCTCGAGCGAGTTGTTGAGTAATTCCAACTAACCATACTTCAGCATGCGTGATCTGCTATAACGACTATGGAGTTGAGACTCCCGAAGGCATTAGTGAAAACCCGCTGCGACTGCCCAAATGCAAGCATGTCTTCGGAGATCATTGCATTAAGAAATGGTTTGAAGAATCAGACAGCTGTCCGTACTGCAGAGACAAGGTTCCGTCGGAGCCTCAATACCGAAATGCGATGCATGCTCATAATGTGTATCGATTCCTACGCCAACACCACCAGGTGGCAATGCAGATGCAAATGCGGAACGCTCGAGAGCATGAACGTAGCGACTCGGATCCGCTCAGACAACCTGCTGACGCCATGTTAGGTGGTCTACCAGCTTTAGCTTCGAGGTATTTGTATTTTACCGTCATTTGATACTCTTATACTAACCCGTGATTTTAGCACCTTTCAGGAACTCGACCATACTTCACTAAATGGCGCTTCGGCAAGGAGACAAGATAATCAGTCTACGTACACTTCCCGAACACCAGCTTGGCACGGCAACTTTGGAGATCGTCATTCTCCGCTTCCGTTCAACGAGGCCGGCGACAGACGTAGAGTGCGTCCTCGCCATGGAAGCCTAAGAGGATTTCCTTCTGGACGAACGCATTTTTCGCCAACCAGTGCCGTTCCAACTCCGGTTCGTCCCCCCTCCCTCAGAATACCCCTGTAGTTCTTGGTTTGCATTCTTCAAAGCTTTTAGGGAGGAAGTTAAACATACTAACAAACCACTATAGCAATATCCTTGGCTTAACAGACCGACTACGAACCATTCGCACAACCGTCAGCACTCTGCGTCCTCGGCGAACACAACTACCCGACCGACGTTTGATGCCAATGTTCACGCTTTCCACCTCCAGCCGCCTATGGGAGGAGCACCACCGCCCGAGCCTTACCTGAATCCATTAAATATTCCGGGCTCAGGTAGCAATGGGGAAGGTTACCCTATGCTGCCCCATATGCGCTCACAGCACATCTCGCCCCTATCCCCGACATACGCAGGCCCAGAAGTCTACATGTCTAATGCTGATGAGTCCATCTATGGAGGGGCTATTTCCCATCAGCAGTCATAGGGAAACACGTTCTTGGGAAACCCGTACCTATATCTTCCTTCTGAATTTCAATCTCATTATTACGAACCAGACGGAAACGTATGGCAGCACCCAATGATTTATCGATACAATAGCATAGCGCCAATGCCTTCGCACACGACGCACACGACGCACGCTACGCAGGGTTCACGGCACCGGCCGCAACGTAATAGACGGGGACGCTCATCTCGTCCTAATAACAGACGCTAGAGGGGGCAATAATCTGGAGCTTCCGAGTAGTCGTTTTATTTTCCTTTTCTCATTTCTCCAATTGTGCATGCGATGCGATGTCTTATGGAGCAGGTAATCCGCATAGAGATCTGCGTCGACTTTCTTGATTTTTCGCACACGGCATTTCGATGGTTTGGCACGACTCGCAGGCTGGTTTGAGGATTTCACGAGGGCAGTTATTTTATTGGCACTTTTCCCACTCAACGTTACAGACATATTCTGCCAGGCGTTAGGGGGCACGGGGTTCCACGGACCGGATATGGTGGCTATGAGTTTTACGCAAGATACGCAGATCAGGTTCATCATGACTTTATCTTTTCATTCTCCACGGACGGTCTCGATTTCAGTCGGCCGCCAAATTTGATGACAGGCATGAGATTCACTTCTAGGAGACGGTTATTAGACTGGGAAGTCTCCTCCCCTGAAACAAAAAAACTTGATAGGGATTTCTTTCCGGCCTCAAGGCGATATGGCTTCTTTATGAATGCATATATTTGACAACTCAATCCCGGACCAGATTTGTGGTGAAGGGTTGACCAATACACATTAATTCAGATAGCCAAGTAGGCTCTAATTGAGCGCACCGTGCTTTTTATAGCTTTCGAGATTTTGTGAGGGTTTGTTGTGTCTACCTAAGTAATGTAATGACTTGTTATTGTATTCGGAAGGGAGTGAATCCCTGAAGGGGAAAATCATATTAGCTTTGTGCAGACTCCAAACAGACTCCAAATGTCAACGCCTTACGGTAGATAAGTTTGCTTGAACGCTTGATGGAAATAACCACTTCGTATAATGTATAATTGAAAAACGAGTACATGTTGGCCCAACTCAGATGCCTAACTCAGATTACAGATGAAGGCGATGAAGGTTTTAATTTGTATTTTGTGATCGTACCTAGCTCGCTCTTATAGTCGCTTAACAGGTACCTAAACGAGGTCATTATCCAAAAAGCTCTATTAGGTGTATAATAATACATCGTCGCACCAGCCAGCTACTTCCACTGACATGGACATGGACATGGACATGGATAGTGCTTTTGATTTTTAGACGCTAATATCCAGGAGTGAGAAAGAACGAGTAACAGGATGATGATGATGACGATGATAATGGATATTGTAAAAGGGAATCTCGCCATCGTCATTATTTATCATACCTACCTACCTAGGTACCTAACTTAACTTAACCTAACCTAACCTAAGGTACCAAGGTAATCTAATCATAGCTTCGCACCACCGGACCCAGCCGTGCCCGTGCCCGTGCCCGTTCCCAAACCCCTCTTCTCCCTCTCCTTCCTCACGAGCTCCCACGCGAACTCGCCGAGCGGGCCCACGGCGGCCGCGTGCCGGCGCGCGTCGGCGCTGCTGGCCTGGCGCGTGGCGACCCGCGCCGCGATCCCCTGGCATATGACGGCGAGCCGGAACACGCTGAACGCGCAGGCCCACGCCACCTCCTCGGGCGGCGGGTGCCAGCCCGCGGCCGCGGCGTACCAGGACACGACGGCGGAGGGGGGCGGGAGGCCCGGCGTCGCGTTGGGGAGGAACGCGCGGTTGGTTACGGCTGCGATGGCTTCGGATTGGGTTGGGGCGGCGTCGTTATTTTCCGAAGACGATGACGATGACGAAAAGGAGGGGGTAAAAGCAGGCGATTGCGAAAGCGACGCGAGGATATACGGATTCAGCAGGTTCGCCAGGTCGGAAAGCGGGTGTCCGATGGTACTCATCTCCCAGTCGAGGATACCCGCGACGCGCGCGCTTCCCTTCTCGAACACCACGTTGTCGATCTTGTAGTCGCCGTGCACGAGCGTCGCCCTGTCGCGCGGGCGCGCCGCCTCGTCCGCGAAGAACGCCACGAGCTCCCGCATGTGCGGGATCGGGCCGACGGGCACGCCCGAGCCGACGTCCCGGGCGCGCGCCTGCGCGTCGCAGATGCGCGTCCACGTCGCGAGCTGGCGGGCGTAGAAGCCGCCTCGGCTGCCGAAGCCGGCGAGCCCGACGGCGTCCGGGTCGACGGCGTGCAGGGCGGCGAGGCTCTCGACGGCGGCGCGCCAGAGGGCCTCGCGCTCGCGGGGGGACGTCGCGTGGGGGTGGGGCATGGAGGGGTCGTGGATGATGCGGCCGTCGACGAAGGACATGATGTAGAAGGGGGTGCCGAGGACGGAGGGGTCGGGGCACAGGGCGAAGGCGCGGGGGACGGGGACGGCGGTGGGTTGCAGGGCGGCGATGACGCGGTACTCGCGCTCGACTTTGTGCGCGGCTTGCGAGAGGAGCTTGCCGGCGGGTTTCTTACGCAGGACGTACCGCTTGTTGTCCGGGGAGGTGAGTTGGTAGGTTGGGTTGGATTGGCCGAAGCCGAACTGTGGAGGGTTTTGTTAGTTGGGTTTGCGTAGGATACCTACCTAGGTATATTATATTGTATATGTATGATATGTTTGTTGTACGGCTTCAATGCTGAGATAGGGATAAAAAGGATTGTCTCGGTTAACGAACCTGCTTCACGTCTAGCGGTAGCTTGATCTCGGGCACATTCTGGGCGATATAACGTTCTAGAGCCGGTATATCGATCGGATGCCTTACTTCGCCCGCCATAGTGGTATATCGATCGAGCTCTCGCTTTGTAATTCGAGCTTTAGTGAAAAGCTGACGAAGAAGAAGGGGAAACGATGGGTGTTCTGCTATGAATGCAACTCGGCTAATACGACTACCATGGTCTAAGTCTGATCTAGTATCGAGATGAAACTATAAGCAACAATAACAAAAAATGGTAACTAGAAGTACCTAAATCAAACTCATCACGTCTCGCCCATTGGTAAGCAAAATAAAAAAGATTGGAGGTAAAAATATCGATTGTGAATGGACAAAGACAAAAACCTAAGGAAATCGACGCCTCAGAGAAGATACCGAGGTAGGCTACGAACTCGGCAGGCGGTGACGAATAGTCTCCACTTAAACCCGCCATCCTAATTGCCCAAGATCTTGCGGGGGAGGGGCATCTGGGCAGCTGGGCCGGTTGGGTGGTACAAGGGGAAGCTCTAGTCTCCTGCCAAGACGAGCCTTTGGCCGAGCTAGCGTACTATGGTGTGCGGGAGAACCTCGAAGAGGAATGATATCATTGGTTAATACATGGTACGTGACAGGAACCCAAGTTCTATAAATGTACTTATACTTACTTATAACTATTAGAATATGCACAAAAATGTAGTATAAAAGATACTTGACCTAAATATCAAAGTTTGGTGCTAAGGTATCTATTTTTATAACGTTGGTATACTACGCTAGGTTAGGTACCTAGACACTACCTATATATAGAGATTAGGTCCGCACCGCTGAACTCTATTTACGATACGTGAACGAAAGCCCGCTTCTTAACGTTTTGGGCTCCGGTACCATCATCCCAATTCTCATCCACATACTCCTTTATTCCCTTATCCTGAATCTGCATCCCCGCTATCCTCAGCGCTGCTATGTTGTAGCCCATCTCGTCCTTCTGCCTTTGGAGGGCCTTTCGCAAGTTAGATCTTATCCCGTCTAGCATGACGCGCATGGTTCTGCTGGCGACTATTTGGCGGTGGTGCGTCTTCAACATGAAGAACAATATCCTACATGTCAGGGGGATGTTCATCGACCTCATGGCAAAGAGATTAAGGAAGGTAAAGAGTATAGGGACCGAGGCAAACGGAAGAACAAGAAGGGCGTCGTTCAGCGCAGAGGCAGCCGGCCGTTGCAGCACCTTCATAACGTATTCTTCAGCGCTAATTCCTCCATGAGCCATGAACATCGGATCGCGCTGTGGCGGCGCAATATTCGGGTTTGACGCTTTGGCCTCTTCCCATTCCCGCATGACGTGCAAATCAGCCATGCCGAGTTCTAAGGCCTCTGCGATTCGTTCACCATGGTTCAGCGTTTCCGACGTTTGCTTCGTAGCAGCACCAATCTCCCCGTTATCATCCTCTGCCTCTAGTTCTTGTTCCAAAGACTTCGTTAACGTGCTCTCGTATAGTTCCTCGATCTCCTTCTCCCTCTCTTCCTCGAGGAATATTTGCTCGTCTGTTTCTTCCCAGGTTCGGATGCTCTTATCGTGACTTGCACTAACGATGAAAGGAGGTTCGCTACTTTGGCTAATCGCCAAAGCCCATATTTCTCCGTGGTGTCCGTCAAGCCGCTGTATTTGTTCAAACTTATCTCCATCCCAATATTTTATCGTTCGGTCTTTACTAGCGCTGAAGAAGTGGTGACCATTGCCTTCGCGGTTATTTGGGAGAAACTTGACCTGGAGAATGCTGTCCTGATGTCCTAGCAATGCTTTGTGGCAATCACCAAAATCAAGACCCCATATCCTGATATTCTTATCCGCTGAACACGTAACGATCAGCTTGCTGTCATATGATATATCCATATCCAGGACTGGTAACTTGTGCCCATAGAGATTGAGATACAACTTTAGGGAATCCACGAAAAACACCTTCACCGTGCTATCTAATAGGGCGACGGCTAGAAGCCTCGCGTCCGGTGAGAATTTAAGGCTCAAGATATCATCCGAAACCTTTAATGTTCGCGAATGTGATAGCTTGAGACGTGATGTAGTTCGAGTCGTCCCAAGAACCTCTTCCTGCACTACTTGGACTTTCCAGAACTTGGCCGACTTGTCTGCGCTTCCGGACACGATCGACCTACCATCTGGATGGACTTGCAAGGACCAGATTGCGCCTTCATGAGCACTGACACTATCCAGCAAAGTTCCCGTAGCGACTTCGAATAGCTCGATCTCTCCGGTCTTCGTGCCAATTACGACAAGCTTATCCCCAGGTAAAAATGAACAACATAGTGCATACCCACACTCCAAAGTTTTACCACATTTCTGGGTTAGCATCGACCAGATCTTGAGGCTCCCGTTGGACGCCGAAGCAAGCCATTTGTCGTCAGAGCTCAGTGCTAACGACCGTATGTCCGCCCGATGGCCAGGAATCTCAATGGACAAGGCTCTTTCATAATCGGGAATGTCCTCTTGCTTTGACTTTTTACTTTTCTCTTTCAGGGGCATATTGAACATCTCCAGGTGGTTGTTTGTTGTACCAACTAATAATTGGAGCTTCTTCTTGCCGTGGATATCGGCCCAGTCAACTGATTTCACTTTCCCACCCGTCCGGACGATTAGATGTTGAGCAAAAGCATCATTAATGTCGGCATTGCTAACATCTTCGTCCTGGCCATCCTCCTCGTCTGCTTGGGTATTGCCATTTGTATTCTCTCCCTTTTTCTGTGCAAGCTTTTCCTTTCTCCTCTTCTTCTTCCTTGCCAGGCTTTTCTTGATCTCGGCTTCGGTACGTATCCTCCATATCTCAACGGATTTCTCCGCGCCGTGAACAGCAAAGTAGTCTCGTCGGGGGTGGAACACTACTTCGGTTGCTTTATCCTTTCCGTGTCGAAATAATGTGCCGCGATCTCGTAGGTATTGCGTGTTCGCGGAAATATCGACTTGCTGTCTCGACGCGGCAAGTAAAGCAGAGTCAATGGCCCAGACCTTAAGTTCGCCAGCGTTGCCAGCTGTTATGCATCCACTATAGTCGGGAGACAGTCCCAATGCCCAACACTCGCCGTTAGTTTGTGCTATGTGTGTTTCAATGCAATGCCTCGAACCCAGATCCCAAAGCTTAATTAAGGCATCTTTTCCAGTAGTAAGTAAGAAGCCCTCGGATGAAGAGTCATTTGCACCATCGAGAACCATAGCTTCGGAGTTTTCTCCCTCTGCTACTTCCTCTTGCGGTTCCACGAACTGCAATCCTGTTATTTGGTCCTTATGTCCTCGGAGCTTGAATTGGCCGACCTCTGCCACCAGATCCCAGATAATGACATTGGTGTCTTTTGAGCCGCTCGCAAGTCGGACGCCGGATCGGTCGAATGCTAGGACTGTTATAGCTGAGCGATGTCCGTTAAAGGTGATAAATGGACTTGGATCCTTGCTCCGCCATAGTCGAACGCTACCATCCTCGTAGCCAGCAGCGAATAAATCTTCATTGACCTGACTTTGAGCAATAGCAGTTACCTGGGCGGAGCATTTCTCGTCTCTCCATCGTTCAACGACATCTCCTGTTTTGATATCCCAGCATAGAAGTTCCTCGTTTGCCGCGACGACTGCTTGGCCAGCACTGGTACTGGAGCGGTTCTGCTGAGTCCAAAGGATATTCGATGTACTGGAGGTTACGACGCCGAACGACTTCGAATACTCATACTTCCTATTATAGGATTATTATTAGCGGGGCTTATATACGACTATGTACCAATGGCTTAATACTTACAAGTATGACTTGACCATGGTTGCGACCGAATTGGAGTTTGGAAGAGTTTTTTGACTTCTGCTTTAGAAATTCAATCGCGGTAACTTTTTTTTCTTTGGCGACGCGCGATAAGACATTCTTATCGGGGGATTCCTTTTTTTCGATAAGAGGAACCGTTATCGATACCTAAGGTGGTAATGTAATGTAATGCACGGTCCTCGGTTTAGTAAGGCTTTGCTACGTAAGTGCTAACTTCCTTGCTAACTGCTAACTGCGTAACTGCGTAACTGCATACCACCTTAAGCCCCACCAAGGCAGCATTGAACCCTCATCGAACTTCGACCTTTCCATATATTCAGCTCCACGTCTTGATCTATACCGTATAATCGTTGTCACGAAGCAAGCAGAACAAGTCAATTTTTAATCACCATGCTGCTTCTAGACTATCAAAACGTCTTAATAGAGTCTATTCTCAAAGAAAGACTCTTTGGGTAAGCTAAGGCATCGGGTTTATTTGCGTCTTACCCCTAAATCTAACCATCAAATCATGTACTTAGAGCTCCTCCCGCCTCTATCGACCAGACCGTTTCCGATTTCGATGGCGTAATTTTCCACATCTCGACTCCTGAAGCTAAGACCAAGATATTGATCTCCATCCAAATCCGATGCTTCAAGGACCTCGTCAAATACGGCGCCGAACAGGTACTCCAGCGTGAATATGGCCCCTATGTCGTAGCACCCGAGACAGGCTACGACTTTTCGATTCAGGTCGACTTAGAAAGCCTACCTGAAGAAAAGGGTAATTAAACTATAGTGTATATGCAGTCTTGCGGAATTCCTGTCGTATTAATAGGTTCTACAGAAGCACGAGAAGAGCTGGTCAGCAAGATCTCCTTACTAAAGCGAAACGCAATGGCCGCCCCGTTCGAGCATGCCTATGCCGAGCACTACAAGCTTAAGGAAGAAGCCTCCAAGTATACGTCCGAAGAAGCACCTCAAGGTGTCCAAGAAGGCGGTGAGATTATGGCTATCCACTACCGCGACGAGGAAGCTATCTACGTCAAGGCGAGCCACGACCGCGTAACTGTTATTTTCAGCACCATCTTCAGGGAAGAGACGGATAGGGTATTTGGGAAAGTTTTCATCCAGGAGTTCGTCGACGCCCGAAGGAGAGCCATCCAGAATGCGCCCCAGGTTCTGTTTAGAAATGATCCGCCCCTAGAGTTACAAGGGGTACCCGGCGTGCAGGCCACCGAAGGGAATGAAATTGGATACGTTACATTCGGTATGTTCTATATTATCAGGCGTTTATAGTTCCTTGCTGACAACTCTAGTTTTATTCCCGCGACACTTGACGCCCCAACGAATGCCCGACGTCATCTCTCACATTCAGACCTTCCGAGACTACTTCCATTACCACATCAAAGCTTCTAAGGTACGACGAGACTGGTCCTGGTTCCGCTTGGTATATTCTTCTAACGATATGGCCAGGCGTATATTCACTCCCGGATGAGAAGGCGAACAGCGGACTTCCTACAAGGTACGGTTGTATCCACAATCATGAGGGGTCTCTATACTTACCGTTACCATAGTACTCCGAAGAGCCCGACCCGAGAACGAAGAAAAGGAGAGGAAGACGGCAAGCGGAAGGACGTTCAAGGTTCAGGCTTAAGGAAATTGTCTAGACTAGGATTCCGTAGGGCATCGCGGCGATACGCGAACCCATATCCTGATGTATGCGATGCTAACGAACAATACCACAACCAATCAATTGATAAGTCGATAATATACTTTTTTCTGTGCTTGTATACCTAATGCATGATGTTCGATTTTACGACTTGGAGGTTGGCGGACACAACGATATCAATGACAAGCTCCAAATTTGTTTCTTATTCGAGGAGTTAGATTGTAGGCACAAATTGGTTCTATAGACACAATGAGGAAAGATGCCTTCACGTTTTTCTTTACTTTCAATACACTCATGAGACATGACTATAAGGTACAGTGTGAGATGGCCCGAGGTAAAGAAAGGAGGTAAAGTGGAAATTATTTGCAAATTATACATATTACAAACATATACGAAATAACTCCCTTCTTCAGCTCCGTCCGTGTTTTGGTATCTTAGGTATGTACCTACTCTGTTTAGTTATTTAGAGTATTCATGGATAGGGTACGTAAGGTAGCGGGACTACGTCAGTATGATCAAAACAGCTATTATAAAACATATTGCTAGGAGGAGCATAGAATCGATCTGCGGCATTACAGCAGGGTATCTACTTTGTATAGGCGCCATTTTGTCAGCTGTTGGTGTTGGTGTTGGTGTTGGTGATCTTTGGTATGGCTTGCGAGGGGTGAGAGAGTGTTTTGGAAAAGAAGGGGGGGATAGGGTGTGTTGCTTGATGAGAGCTGATGGAGAATATTGCTGTAGTGAAAAGGGTTAGGTTAGTAGTTTGGTTATATGCTTATATATACTGCATGTTACTGTATGTATTAGTCTTATCAATGGTTCACCTGCTTGAAGACACACGAAAGGCAGTGGTCTTTGTTCTGGCTTCACGAATTTAGGGTACAGGTGACACGTATTCTATACATGTTTCTCTTAAAGGTATAACAATGAAGGAGATACTATCAGAATATGCCCAACGCTAACCTACCTATAATCAGAAATCATCATCAGGTGAGCGTCATTCTCCTCTTTCTTCTTCCTCAGGAACTCCTCAACGGGATCGACTGTCTGCGTCGGTTCTCCAGGCGCAATTCCGGCACTTTCCGGCTCTGCGGCTGCCATCTCTTTCGATTCCGGGGAGGCATTATCATCCTGTCTCTCCTCGGTTTTCAAGCCAGCCTCATCCATATGCGAAACGCACTTCCCGTAAGTTTCGCTTAGCTCCTTCTTGAGATCCGCTATCAGCGACTTGGCCCTGCTAAGTCGGCTGTCTAGATGGGACTTCGTCTCGCGGCAAGATGGACAGAGACGAGGGACTTTGACGTTACTCCATCTCTCGATGACATTGCATGGCTCCGAACTTAGGCCTGTCTCGTGGTTATGCTGCGTCTCGCAGGCCCGCAGGGCCGGCGGGTCGACGTCGGTGTGGTTGCATTTGTAGATAGTCTTGCGATGGTGACACATACTCCAATAAAAGTGCTAGAGATATCGATTACGGGTAGTAGTTCTAGTGGAGATGGTCACTGGCTAAGAATGATCTATGTTTTGGTCCGTTGACAGGCTTGGAGACAACTTGTTTGGTATATATACAAGAAACCCGTATGGCATACTATATATATTGGCTGACAATAGACTTGTAATATCTTTTACCCCTTTCATCTTAGTTGGCCTTTGACAAACTAACGTTATCCCCTTTATTCAGCTGGGTCCTGATAGAACACAAGACTCATTGTCTTGCCTAGAAAGTTTCGAAGAGTCTTGAGGCTACTTGTCAGATAATTCCTTTTATGTCACCCCCAGCCTTTACATCAGTACGAACTTCTAGTCCGTATATTTGTTGTGAATAGCACACCAACAATTGTGTTTATACAAAGGTGCATATCTTCACATTTGTTGCATCACACGTAGTTGTTCTCGTGAGATCTATCGCGGCTCGAAAATAGTATTAGGGCTCGGTAGGTATTGAATGTAAGGAGTAGAACAAACAGGAGTGATCCATAAGGTAAATATATTTCTAAAAAGGAAAATCAAATAACCTACTCTCGAGAATGGCTCTTAGCTGTAAGAAAGAAAAGCAATCGCAAACCTTCGCATAGACGGCTCCGGCTGGAACAAAGGGGCCCGATATCATAATCATACAATGTATAATAAACAACCCTTCGATCGAATTCTGACGTTAATGGCCGGGACTCAACATCTATGCCATCCACCCTGAAACTCTCCATTTGGGACGATTTCGTTATATCCTTACGTACCTGGTAGGTAGGTTAGGTAGGCACCTACATGTAGTCATTCGCTTGGTTTTGCGCTTGCGCAGGCGCAAGCGCAAAGTAGCTGCGGCGCCGCACGTCGCTCCACATCTCATTGACCAGGTCGTCCTGATCGTCGTCGCTGTCGTCGCCGTGGTCGAAGGTATTCTCGAGCTCCTTGATGCCGTCGAGCGCGGGCGTGACGTGCCGGGCCACGTAGCACCGCTGGGTGCGCGAGAAGCGGTAGACGCACGTGGGCGGGACCCAGGAGCGCTTGGCGGCCGCGTGCTCGCCCGCCCGCCCGCGCCGCGAGATCCGGAACACGAACCCGACCATCTTGTGCCACGGGTTCGGCTGCACGCCGAGCTCGTCCCGCAGCGCATCCCGCACCCTCTCGAGGTCGGCGACGGTTCGGCCGCTGGCGGCGGGGAGCGTGATCTGGTAAATGGGCCCGCGCGACATCGTCTGCGGTACCATGTCCGGCTCTCCGGTGTAGTCGTCCACGCGCACGGGGTACAGCTCGAACTTGACCTTGGGCTGCTCTCCCAGGCGTAGTTCCTTCTGGACGATGCGCCCGATGACTCCCGCCAGCGGCCGGTAGATGTCCGACATCCATCTGATGAGGTCTTGCTCCGTCCAGAAGTACATGTCATCGGGTCGCTCGTTTAAGTTCGGCTGGGCCGTTGGAATAGGGGGCTGGGGGCCGGCGCCTTGTTGGGGACCAGGAGTTTGTCGGTAGCCGGCAGGTTGTTGGTGACCGCCCCGGTGTCCAGCCATGTAGTTAGTAAATGCGCTTCTGGGAGAGTGGTGCGCGAGGTAGACAAATGGGTTAGTATGCGCATTCCCGGGACCATGGGGAAGTGGTGGCATGTAGGGGGGACCAAATGCATTACCCGGAGGAGCATTTGGCATCATCGTAGGCGCCATGGAAGGCGCTGCTGGCGGAGGCCAAATTGAGCTATATCTATAGCCGGGATATCCAGGATACGGGCCCGGGTAAGGTTGTCGGCTCGGGCCCATATTAGGGTAGGAGTAATTCCAAGGCGGTGGTGCCCTCTGACGACTGTTTGGCAGGTAGGTGTACGCAGGAGGCGGAGAGTATGCTGGAGGCGGCATGGATGATGCGTTGCCGTCTCTACCAGAGTTTGCGACCGGTCTGTTGAATCTCTCGCGAATCTCTTCTCGTGTGTTCCCATTAGGGAATATCGACCCAGCGGCATCGGAACTCATGATGCTTGTAAGTCAGGTAAGAAATTCATAGAGTAAAACGCTGTTAACAGGATTCTGTGATATGCTTTGCGGAGGCATGGTGAAGAGGATGAACATGTTTATGTATACTGGCTTTCTACCTAGAAAATGCGTTAGGATGCTCTAGATGGCGTACCAAGAGCTCTTGGACGATGGAGAGCTGACAAAGGGCTTGTAGGGTCCTAATCATCGAATGAATTTCTCATGTAAGATACCTGAATCACCCCCTACAATATGGTCGCATATGCGCGGAGTTGTCGTTATGCTACAGTAATGATAATGCCACGACGAACTGAAGGCAAGTAACTTAACAACAACTACTTATCGTACGGCTACAACCCCTCTAGATGAGTGCTAGAAAGGGGCTATGAGAAGCTATCAACAATCGAAGTACGGCTGTGTCCACAGTGAATCAAATCCATGCTGGACGAGCTCTCGCCTGTCACCAACCCACTCACGGGCTAGGTCATATCTCAGATCCAAAAGGTTAAGCTGTCCAGGATCCTTGGCTTCTATTAGTCTTTGTCCTAATCATCCCTTGAGCACATCCCAACTATGGAGATATTCATCGGTACTTGCTTTAGTGTCTTACAAAAAGTGAGTGTTGCCTGATAAGATAATCCACTGCTAGGTCATATACAAACTACAGAGAGATTGCATGAGACGTTCAGCAACACTCTTCAACATTAGATATTCTCATATACATTGAACTACACTGAGCTACACTGAACTACACTAGCATTGATTATGTTGTTTCTATATTGGTCATCCTAAGCAAGAACGAATTTGTGATCTGGTATATCTTCATAATTCGACGTCCATGCAAGACTGCCTGCTGTATCCTGGTCCCGGATATGAGGAACCTCTTTCCCTATCCTCCGAAGCGTCTTCAACAGCGACGAGTCTTCTCTATCCGAAACGACGAACCCCATATCAGCAGCGAGCAGACACTCCAGATCGGTGGTCGAGTCGCCAAAATAGACGGTCGGTTTCCCAACCAGCCCTTCGGCTTCGACCACGGCCTTCATGGCATCTAGCTTATCGTGCGAGTTTGTCAAGTTCCTCGGCTCCCCTCCCCCGTGACTACCACTACTTACGTCGCTCCCCGGGTTTAGTATCGGCGGCCCGGCGATCGACCCGTCCTCCCGCACGTCGTTCGCAATGACCTCGACGCCCGGCAGCTCGCCGCACGCGCCCTCGATAAACGCGGAGCTCCAGTTCACCGAGAGCACCCAGACGCGCCACCCTTCTTCCAACCGGCTCCTCACAAACCGGCCGAACCCCGGGCGTAGCCTGACGGACCCCTTCTCCACCAGCTCCCGCCCCGCCGCGCGGAACGCCGCCGGGCTGATCCCCCGGAACAGGCGGCAGTCGTTGATGCGGCCGAGCGAGCGCGTCTCGACGCGCTTCATGTGCCGCAGGAACTGCACCTCCTGCGCGGGCAGGCTGCGCGCGTGGGGTGCCGGGGTGTACCCGGCGGCGTGGGCGCCGTGGTCCGACACGTACGCAGACACCACGGCGTCCCATTCCTCGCGCAGGTCCTGGCCCTCGTCGGCCCGGACGCGCAGCGCGAAGCCGGCGAGTTCGCCTACGGTGTCTTCCGCCGTGATGGTCCCGTCGAAATCCAGGAAGATGCTCATGGTGGAAGGTTGATATTATAGGTCCCTTTCTCTGGTAGGTACCTAGGTTAGGTTAGGTATGTATCTTATTCTAACATAACCTAGGTAATCTAACCTAACATAACCCTAACGTAAGAAGGATGGGGAGAGGATAGGTGATGATGAGGAAGAAGAGTGGGGAAAAGGAGAAAGAGAGAGAAAGGGGGTCGTTGATAAATTCTTGGCTTCGGTTGGCTGAAATTTACCTAAGGTAATATAATTGTGGAGATAGGGGAGATAGGTTTGATGTCTTTGTGAGGAGTACGGGAGTACGGGAGTACATGGAAGAGTGGAAGGCAATATTTTGTTGATTTAATTGATTTTATTTAATTCGTCGCATCATGGCTTAGCTTCTAGTACACGCCTAAGAAGACATAGCTCACTTGATATCAAATGAATTACTACATTTTTGCTAATTATTTGTGGAAGCCGGCTCGTACCAACGTCAACGTCAACATCAGAAACCAAGCTATCAAAAACACTAGACACAGATCGCCGCCGCCTGTCACATTACTCCGTGCAAAGACATATCGCGCTTCCTCTCTAAGCCTTAGAAAGTCTATTACCTGTAGGCACCTAAGGCACCCAGCACCTAAGGTAGTAACACAGTAATAGTACTAGTACGAGTGAATTTCATCTAGTCTGATCTCGCGCAGAAACTAACCACTAAACCTCAGTCCTGATTGTTCGATGCCGAGGGTATCATTTTATGGTACAAGGCACCTGGATATGTATCATAACCGTAAAAGACGCCGCAACTCCTTTTCCCTACCGTAACGGCTATCAGCCACCCGCATCTTCCGACACGGGTCCTCTTCCGCGCCCCGACTAGGGAAGGACGTCCTCCATCTCCGCGTCAGACTCCGATTCGTCCTCTTCGGGAGCAGTATCGGGTGCAGCACCGTTGACGTCGAGGACGTTGAGCTTTCCCTTGTGATCCGAATTTAACTCCCAGTGGTTGGCAAAACGTCCCGTCTTGTGCAGAATTGCCACTTCCTCCAAGTTCTCTCGCAGCCAAGCTTCCGGCTGGTTTAGAGTCTGTTTGAAAGCCTTCATAGACCAATAGTTGAATTGCTCGAAACAGCTGAAAATACGATCGCGCAGCTCGCTCTTTGGTAAACGAGCAGCCTTTTCCTCCTTCTGCTTCTTGGCTCCCTTCTTGGCATTGGGATCGGTGCGCTACACAGATTAGCGCACTGGCAAGGTTAGGTATTAGGGTCAAGAAAAGACTTACGACGAAGTTGCTAAATTTGTCATTAGAGATATGTGCACCAGCCTGAATAAGGCCGGTAGGTCGTGCAGAGGATGTAAGCGTAGTGGTAGACTTCGGTTTCATCGCATCGTTGTTTCTTACGCTGAGCCAGTGCTTGGTCTCCTCTGTCAAGGTCGGCCGACAGTTCAGCTCATGACGGAATCGACCAGCAAGAACGGTTTTCTCTGCGACCAATTAGCCTTCCGAAGCGGATACTTGATGCAGAGGCAGAGGCAAATGCGTCACTCACTAGGAATGGCCTTTCTGTAATAGGGCTGATATCGGCCTTTGCGGCCGCGCTTTTCAGCTTCTGGTTGAGCGTTCTGCTGCGGACGCTCTGGCTTCGGGCGGAGGTAGGAAGGGATATCACTATTGGCCCCTTGGGACTTCGATTTGTAGCCAGGAAGATCCTGCTCAGTGAATAAGAATGTGTTGGTAAGGTTCATATCCTTGATCTCCAGATTGTATTCTTTGGGGATCTGCTGATGGGGGGCAAGTTTATGGTCCAACAGGATAGCTATACGTGGCTATGGCGGGATTAGCTGGGGGGGTTTACAGGCGTTTCGGAATGATGAAAATTGATTCACCTTTTGCTCTCCATTTGGACCGACTTCAGACCACTGGCGCAGAGTACCGATTCTAATTTCGTCATTGTCATCCATGTTCAACCAGGCGTCGTAAAGATATTTTGGTACGTGGGTCAAATAGACGGCATTGTCATGCAGATCGTTCGGGTCGTAGAATTCGAGATCTCCGGCATCTTCGTAGATGTCATCTTCCGACATAGCACCGGGGGAAGGGCCAACATCGTCGACTTCAGACTTGATACCAGGTTCGGGCTTGATGCCTTGCTCGACTTTGACTCGGGATGCAGCCATTGCTGACGGCCGTGTCCGCTGTTTCTTCTGTTTCTGCCGTATCCAATAAGAGCGCCAAGAAGGAAACTCAACTCTTTTTTTGTCTTTCTGTCTCGCTCTCTCGAATTATATTGTACGTCGTAGTGATTTATGTTTAGATTGCTGCGACGATGTGGCGGCTGTATGCAGTGGAACAGTTCGGGCGTTAATGTTGAAAGGATGAAGCACGCGGCTCGTGTCAAGGACTTAGGTAAAAGCTTAATGATGTAGTGATGTACATACCTAACGAAGTAAATCAGCCACCCACAAACTGCAAGCAGCTATAATTAAGTGGGCCATTAAAGAACGTACCTAAACCTTAGAACCTTAGGTAATCCTACATACAGGCTGCAACAACCGCCTAGCTAACGCTGCTACGCTAGGTATTAGGTACCTAGATACGCTGTTACGTAGGTGCCTTCTAGAGCCTACCCGACAAATTGATTAGATTAGGTAAGGTTCACTTCACTAATGCGTATGTATGGTTTATGCCCCCACCTATCCTATCACTTTTTCACCAAACCTTTGCCTGAAACCTTCCTTTCGCCTCATCAATTCAGATCAATTCACGTCTTAAGACATCACACAACCGCAAAACATACCTAACGATAAAACCTCGTTAGATTATAAGGCGTCAGTTCAAGGTTTGCTTTCTGCTAAAACAAACCTCTATCTACGTCATAGAGATCCTTGATCACCCTCCTAGCCTCCTAGCTTATTGACTTGCGATTCTATCATTGCGCCTGATCAGAATCCCGTCGCTGCAATTGTTACCTATTCACCACTTCGTTTGTTCATTGTGATTTCGGAACTCCACCCTAGCCGATTTGCCTCTCATCCCTTTGGAAAGAATAAGTCCGTTGCATTACACTGCATTATTACTCCGCCTACCCAACAATCCTTTGTTTCCATCAAAAGGATATTTCCCTCCGCCCGACGGGGTATTTTCCCTAACTTCTAGTAACCTAACTTACATCTATCTCATCACTTAGTCGCAAACATGGCAACACCTGAGGATCAAGAACTGATGGCCAGAATTAGCAAATTGGCTAGTATGTTCATCGCGAACATCTACTCGTCCCAAATGCGCCCTTGCTAATTTAGAATTAGGTCAAATTAATCGCCACAAAGCCCAACGCGATGGCGTGAATTCGGGTATGAAGACTTCTTTGGTCGCACCAATTATTCACCATGGTCAGCGATACTAATCTGCAATAAGATCCTAACCCCCCTTCCCGAGCATCCCATTATCGAGCTGCCCCGTATCCTCGTGGAGGATATCGCGGTGGACGTGGCAGACCTCTACCCGCCTATCGCAATAAGACACTAGTTCTCAACGGACAATCTCGACCTGCAGCCGATACTAGCGATACTAGCGATACTGCCAACGAAACTTCCCATCTTGCATCTCCATCCTGGGTCACAAAGACCGACCGTCATTTGCAGCTAATCAATACGTCTGTTTACGAGAAGGAATCGCAGCAGCGCGCTAGTGCTATCGAGCAGACCCATCGCCAGAAACAACTTCAAAAGAACAACCGCGAGAAGGCCATTTTCATGAACAATATGCTTCAGAGTGGCGCTATTGGTAAACCCGTTGGACTTCCTAACACATCTGCATCGGCTTCTCCATACGAGGTTGTAGTAGATGGCATTTGCTTTCGAGTTGTGCAGCAAGGCAGCAAGCTTGTAAAAGCACCCGGTCAGCATTCTTTTCCTGTGCAGATATGCAGCTGCAGCATTTGATTGCTAATAACCACTTATTAGACGACGTAAACCCTCCTTCGGCTACCCCCAAAGTGACAACAATCGGCGGTGTTAAATTCCATCGTACCAAGCACGGCAACCTCGTAAGGCACGGTGTCGTAAAAGCCCAGCGGTATGTATCCCAAAGTAGATTCGAATCTCTTACTGACACAATCCTTGTTGGTAGGTTTGCTGGCGGAGTTAAGAAGGTCAACGAACAATGCAAGACCTTTTCATGGACCGGTATCGTCTTCCTCCATACTACGGAAAAGCCCATCTCGCGACTCGTGGAGACCTGCGGTGTGGTAAGACCCCCGGTAGAGATACTAACACTTGTCTGTAGGATCATGCCCTAAGGGCCCGAGATGTCGATACATCCACGATGCTTCTAAGACGGCCATCTGCCGCGATTATCTTTTAAAGGGTAAATGTCTACAAGGTGACGCTTGTGACCTTTCACATGACGTTACAGAAGAGAGAACCCCCCTCTGCGTGCATTTCGCCAAGGGCAATTGCCACAACACCTCGTGCTCGTATGTTCACGCGGCACACTCCCCAACAGATCCAGTATGCCGAGCGTTTGGAATTTACGGGTACTGCGAGAAAGGAGCGCAATGTCCTGATCGCCACGTATTCGAATGTCCTGACTTCAGCAACACGGGCGTTTGTAAGCTCAAGGGTTGTAAACGACTTCATATCGAAAGGGCGAGTGTCCTTCGAAAAGCAAACAACCGCGCATCTTCTGAAGAGACAGACGTATCTAGCGATGATGACGACGCTGCGGCAGACAGTGACGACATCGACTCCGACGAGGTTGAGGAGTTTATCAAGAACGAAGGCGAAGAAGACCTCGATTTCATCCAGCAAAAGGATTTTATCGGGTTTTAATACCTAAGCTACCTAAGTCCCCTTGGTTTCTTACTAACTATCTAGGCATTGAAGAAGCGGCTCGTTTGGACAAAGCCCATATTGCCAAAGGTCAACGTACTGCCTTGCTTAGAAATGGGTTCTGGCTCTTTAGTCAGTATTTAGACAGCACATATCACGACAATTAGTTGGCGTTTGAAGGTTGCTTTATTCGTACAACAGTTCGTGATACCCATTGCGATGAGTTTCGCCTTAGGCGATTGTTAGGAGTTGATACCCTAAGTGGAAGAAGAAGAAGAAGAAGAAAAAAAAAAGAATTACTTACAGACAAAAGATAAGCAATTGTAACTAATAGAAAATAAACTTGTTGTTTAACCACGATATTACTCTTATTTGATGCAAATCATTTGACTCTATTTGAAGGAGAGATTCTCTGTTGAGTTGTACTAGTTAGTTTGTATGCATATACCTGTCAGTCACATGTGAAATCTGGAGCTTCATAATGGCCTGTAAGGCTTGGCTACGGGGCTCGAATATGTAGGTCATAATTAAAAACCTTATGTTATATAATTACCTACACCATGGTTACCTGAAAGTTAGACCCCGCTGATAACTAAAAACGCCGCGAAGCGAAGAAGCTCTATAAGAGTATGAAACTGGTACGACCAAACTCTTGACGAGTATGGCAAGATGAGTCTCTTGAAAAGGGTAAAGAGGGAAACCCCCCTCCTTCCCCCGTGATGGTGGGGTTGAAACAGAGGCATAGTTTCCCTTTGTTACTCGAAGTGCCAGGACACATAGTACCTAAGGTAATAGGGTAATGAGGTAATGAGGTAATGAGGTAATAAGGTAATAGGGGCAAAGCGGGAAGTAGCACTTTATTATTCGTGTTATTCAACATTGGAAACCACAGCCACCCCTTTTTATGAGGGTCGCTCATGCTCGGCGCGTACATAAGCTGGGGCTGAATTAAATACATACATCAATAGTAGACTAACAAGTTGAATGAATAATGGAGGCCTATTAATAATTGTTTCGTTTCCAACTCCTGCAACTTAAATTTACAACTAGGTTAACCTAGATTATACAATAACAAGATTTTATCGTGTTTGAATTATTTGATATATATACCTATATATATATTTACCCTTGCCACAGCGAGACAATATAAGCAGATTAAAAAAGAAAGCAAGAAAGAAAAAGCAATATTCAAGTTTTTTGGAATTAGGTAAGCCATGGGGATACGCGATCTTATCAGAAAGAAAGATCAACTAGACGGTGGTCATGGCGGCGTAGATCGCGAAACCCTAGATAGACTCGCCGGACCCGAGTTTACGTTCATACGTTCGGACACGACCACTCAAGAGATTATCCATCCTCCAAGCTACCCGAGAAACTCTAGTGGTGAGAACAATTACCTAACTGCTAAGGACGCCGCACCGTCCCCTACGAAGACGCGACGGAGCCTCGACGTCTTTAGGCCGCGATCGCGGGGCAGCAGTACATCCTCGGTCCAGAACGATGGCTCCTCGCGGAATCACTCCAGCGGCCACCACCGCCTATCACAGCGTCTGCATCTATCCAAAGCCCCGCCTACGTCCGATTACGTGCCCGAAAATCTACCGCAAATCAACGTCTCCGCCGAAGATGGATCGGGTGGCGGCCCAGGAGTCGGAGGGGCGGGCGTAGACAAGGACGCATACGAGGGACAATGGGAGAAGAGAGCGACTATACTGGCCGAAGCAAACGAGAGGGGACAACGCCGGACTACCAGATCCCCTGGTGTTGTCGTGTCGCCGTCTCGGTCGCCGTCTCCTTCGCTACGACTGCACGATGACGGAGGAAGAGGAAACGGGCCCGGAAACGGATACAAGACGGACGACGTCGTCTCTTTAAAAGCGATAGACGATAGCATTCAGGAAGCTATCCGATTGCACGAGGAGGGGGAGCTCAACCAGTCTACGCGACTGTTTGGGCGTCTGGCCGATCCCCAGGGCGCAAATAACCCCTTGAGCCAGGTTCTTTACGGTCTTGCGCTGAGGTCAGTAGTTGGATCGCCACCATCCATCGTCGTTTTATTACTATTTATGGAATCATTGTGTACCGCGTCGCATCGCATCGCATCGCACCGCATAACATCGCACTCCTATGCGTGTCTCACTGGCACATGGCTACGTCTAGGCTCGTCTAGAGGATGTCCCTGATCTCTCTTCCTATTTTCCTCGAAAGAGTAAGAGCGAAAGAGATCCACAGCTTCCGGGTAGGCTATAGGTAGCTAAGATAGATTGCACAAGCGAATCGAGCGACGGTGGCAAAGTTGCCCACATAGGAACACGAAGTACCGTTACGGCAGAAGACAATGAGTACGTTCGGAGAAAGCTAACATCCTGCCTTCGTGCTTTGGCGGACCTTTAGGCACGGCTGGGGTTGCGATCCAGACCCCGAACGAGCTATCACCTACCTGTCGGCGGCGGCGTCCAACGCGGCAGCAGTCGAGAGCATGGCGCTACAAGCGGGCCTGAAGAAGGGAGGTGCCGCAAAGGGAGAACTCGTCTTAGCCATATTCGAATTGGCGAATTGCTTTCGCCACGGCTGGGGCATACCACGAGATCCAGTCGCTGCTAAACAGGTGGGTCACCAACATTACCGTTTCATTATTGAAGCATAACGGTGATCGAGCGAGAGACGAGTGGGAGACGAGTGCTGAGGGGAAGGGGAGCGACGACACCTTGTACCCACCAGCTAGACCTCATCTCAAGTCCCGCTGTTTTTTTTTTTTGGTTTTTTTTTTATCATAATCAAATCAACTAATGGTTATCGTCGGGCAGTACTACGAGACAGCGGCCAACCTTGGAGATACTGGTAAGTGGTTCGACTAGTCGAAAGCAGGCGATACCGTTACGTGAATGTACTTGAAGGTGCGATAGGCTGATACGAGCATGTTCCTCGGTGTATGCAGATGCCATGAACGAAGTTGCTTGGTGCTATCTAGAGGGTTTTGGGTGTAAGAAAGACAAGGTACGTTAGGCGCAAAGCCCAAGCTTCGTCGCCGTCTATCTATTGCGCTCTCTCCTTTGCTACGTATCACTTCCCTATCCGGCGCCTCACGTCCCTGCCCAAAGCTCACCACCACCACACCATGCGAGCGACAGCTAGGCATGATGAAGTGTCAGCCTCATGTGGCCTATATTGTGGCTTGTCTAGTCAGCTCGCATCGCGTCGCTTAACTTCCGGGGTTAGATCAGGATGTCTTTGTCTCCGAAGCAATAGCGGGAAGCTAAGCAGCCCTGCTGCTCGGTCCTAAATCACGATCCCGTCCCGTTGGGCAGCAATGAGGCTTGATCCCAGCCGCAAATCAGAATGGCATACTCAGGGGCAACAGCTCCTCGAGTACCTAACTCGTCCTAACATCCTGTCCCATCTGCGTGCCTAAGGAAGGAAAGGAGAAAAATCACATGAGACTAACTGTATGCTTCCTCTTTAGTATGCTGCTGCAAGGTATTACCGGCTGGCGGAGGAGAACGGCAACAAAACCCTGGGAAATACATGGTAAGTGTCACATTTCTTAGCATTTTCTCGTAAGCTGCTCGTATGACTAGTCGTCGTTGTCCTCTTGGCAAGCCTCTTCTCTTTTTGTCATCTCGTCCCGTACGTCGGCGGCACAGCAAAGCTACGAAACCCCCGGCCGTTGTGGATGAGTGGTCTTCGGGGTAGACGATAGGCTATCCGTCTTTCCGGACGTATTTGCAGAAGTTCGCCCTGTCTTTTTATTTATTTTTTTATTTTCCCCCTTTTCCCTTTTGACAGCAAGGCTCCGAGCGGGTCTAGAACGAGGTATCGGTTTTTTTCTCCTTGTGGGCTGGTCTCCATTTAAAAGACGGCCGCGAAAACGGGTCGCGGAGTTGGGGTCTAAACGAATCAGAGCCTCATCTTTCACCGAACCCGGGAAATGTCGCTCTTCGTTTCCTCACTTCCATTCTTACCCTCCTATCGCGCTTGCTACCGTCCCACGTTCCTATCCAATGTAAATGCCTCAGTTGCAGCGGAGCAGCCCGGTTTTGTTTACTCGGATCTACCTAACTCTGCGCTGTCCTACGCTTGCTCCGTCTAGTTTTGCCGAGCTTCTCCGAATCTAGCATATACAGCACATATAGCATATACCCATATACATACCAGTGTAACATTATTTTTACTAACCAATGACGTACGGGATTTAGGATTTGGAAGGACAAGTATAATCCTACGAACTCCAAGAAGAAATAAGCAGTATCCCCGTTTTGGAGCGACGATTAATTACGTACTATAGGCTTGGAGAGATGGAGATGGAACTCACTATTCGTCAGTTGGATATGTACTATGTAGTACCTCCAGCCCGTGTAGCCGCTATCACGGTATCCTAGCTCAATGAATACGGGTTCCTCAGCAGTAGGCACCGAGACAAGTACTCGCAAACATGACGATAGAACGAGCGAATCCGCCTCGGCGACGAGAGAGCGGAAATAGGTGGTTTTAATTCTTATTTGTCCTTATTTACTTTCGCTTCATTCGCGGGTTTTCCTTTAGGGGCCACAGCCGATAGCAACCAGAGATGTTGTGCATCATCATTGCATATGCACTGACGATTGATTGTGGGGAAGTACATATTATTATTCTGTTCTTGTCTTACATAGCGCTGTGTGAGTAGTAGGAGGACGCTGAAAAGGGGCGATGAAGGAGAAAAAGAAAAGGGGGGGTGGGAAGATGGTCAGATACGTCCTTGTTCTTGCATACCTACCTCCTACACACCGTGATTGTGAAATCGGCCTTGGCTTTTACGACTTCTTACCTGGGCATTCGAACATCCAAATGTACACTTTGGGGTATGTCAACAGCCGCCTCGTTCAATTTCTGAGCTGGAATTTGCCAATAGGGACGGGATATGCGGATTGATAATTAATTGAAGCGTCTGCTTGGCTAGGTTGACTTTTGGAGCGGTCCGCCGAGGCAGACTTAACTTGTTGCTTTTTGAACTCGATGAACGGGGAGAAGTTCGTGTTCGTCTCCGTGCCTATCCCTTTATCCCTTCTCATCCACCCCCTTACTTTTTTCCACATGGTCTGCCCTGGGGCGTCTTTCCCGTGTGGAGAAGAAGCGATGCGGCTGAGTGAGCCTGCCGGTAATCGGTTTTGTATATCTTCATATAGGTATGTATGTATTGCACGCACGGGTTCTTGGAACCCGGAGAACTTAACTGCATATATGCATCCGTACATACATACAAGGTACCTAACCTGCCTAGGCACATACATAGCCGTCGTAGTAGTTTACGTAGCAATGATGAGGTGAATGAGCCTCAGACTCGAGTTGGCGACGAGAATAACCTGCTCTAAGTAGATACTCTCTTCTTCTCTCCCTTCGCCGTTTGCTCCCTTGCGCGGGGTACAGTCAGCACAGCCCGGGTGGTGGTGAAGCCCCCCCTTTTCTTTTTTCTTTTGCTCCTGTCGGGGACATCATCATGATCGTAATCGTTGTCATTGTTGTCATCATTATCATCATGGCCTACGAACCAAATCGAAAACCACAAGTCACCGGCTTATCAGACACGCTTCGATAGGTTAGGTAGGTAGGTAGGTAGGTAGGTAGGAAGGAAGGAAGGGAGGAAACCAAACAGATACCTGCCCAGCTAAGTTTACCCGATGGAATCCGCCCCGGGGAGATAGTGCCCGGAATACCTGGGTAGCTTGCCTTGGTTTACTATCGTATGTATGTATGTAGGTATGTAGGTATGTACCTAACGTAGGTACTGTACCTACATGATGTATGCCGTCCGCCCCCTTTTTTCGTATTATCTTCGTCTTTTACCTATATCATCGGTCATCATCGGCGCGTTGCGACGCGGAGGAAATCAAATGGGTCATAGGCAGTGTAACAGGGCGCATAAACGGCTTTCTTCTTCTCCAGACTTTGTAGAGCCATTCATTCCCTTTCCTTTGGATGCCGCTGTCGCTGCTGACATTAGTTTAGGTAGGTAGCAAAACCAGGAGCCAAGCCCCGCCCCCTTTCCCCCGAAGTCCCTAACTTACGGGCCCGGATGGCTGCTGGTTTGTGCCCCGGATGGCACTATGCTGCCGCTGCTGCTGCGAAACGGTCACACAGGGGGGAAAGGGGAGGTTGTCGTTTTTTTCCCCGGGTGACCTTTTCTCCCCCTTTTTGTCCCTTTCTCTTTGGTCGCCATAGGTAGGTACCCTGGGTACCTTAGGTAGGTATATATATGTCGGTATAGGTATACCTTGAGACCTTGGCTCACCGGTATTTCTTACCTAACGTATCCTACCGTATCGTATTCACCGGATAAGCCCCTGCCGTTACGCATGTAGATTTGTAGGTAAGAGGTACCTAAGGTATATAGGGGTACGTATGTGCGGCACGAGTACGTACAAGGTATATAACAGTAACGTATACAGCGCGTAACGATGTCCTTATCACAGGCCTGTTATCGTCCGCCATCTTATCGAATCCACTCCCCTTTTTCTTCTATTTTCTTTTTTTTTTGTTCTGACCATCCTTTATGCAGCAACAGCAGCATGTTGTAGATCACCAGCGGCAGCAGTAGCAGCGGCAGCGACAGCGCCAGTAGTAGCAGAGCTTCCCGCTAGTGACGTTCCGTGCGCCTTGACCGGATGCCGGGATAGAGAGGAAAGTAACTTAAACTTACCTTACCTACCTACCTACCGTGTGGATTCGTAGGATTATGGGATGGGCGTGACGCTGTGCGACGACGGTATGCGATTCGCTGCTTCTGCTGCTGCCTATAAGGTACGTTAGGTAAGTATGTACGTAGGTATGTAATGTAATAGTGACAGGTCAGGTATGCCGATCGTTTAGAAAATAGAAATACGACGTATACACACGAGGTGGCAAAGGCCCGCCGGGCACGCTGGTGATACATACCTACGTACCTACCTAACCTATTAGTTACGTCTGTCATGCGAAACGAGATATATGGTGATAGGTATATTTGCTTTGCTTTTGTGAGCTATTACTCTTATGACTAATTCATTATAGGGGGGGTTATATATGATTGAAGGGCGTGTTTGATATCCCGTGTAAGCAGAGTCAGATAGATATAGGTCCAGGTGAATCCATGAGCTCCTATTCGCGACAACTGCCAGTAAGAATATACACTAGCAACGTTAATCAAGCCTGATTAGTCGACATTTGCCCCGTAACAGTCAGTAATAGCCAATCTATTCTCTTCTACTAATCGTAACGTTCATATACGTGATACTGAGCCTATCAATCTCAGGATTGACAAGTGGACAGTCATCTATCTCGTCTTTACCCCGTGGGGAAAGAATCTAACAAAAAAAAGGAGAGGCGAAAAAAAAGAAGAAACGAAGTACCGACGAGGTAGGACAGCGGTCAAAAGAGTCAGGATTAGGGATGACGAGAAGTCGGACGATGGCAGGCATGATGGTACGATAGGCAAGCGACTAGAAGAATGCAAGACAAGCAGGTAGCCGTCGCGCCTCAAACCCTTTCTCTCCTTTGTGCTCTCCCCTTCCCCTCATTCGGCGCGCCCCTCCGATCCCTCAATTTCCCGGATTCCTGGTCGTTGGCGACGAACGCGTCGGACAAAACGCCTGGCCGTTGAATAGGAGATAGGGGGGCGTGAGCGCCCCCGTCGTACATTGTGCTTGTTGCTGTTGGACAATAAAAAAAAAGCCATCATCACGATTGCTTGAAGTGGGCCTGGATTACAGGGCAAGACATGAGGCTAGGTGTAAGCCATGTGCCTGGATTTATTTCTGTTTTTGTCTTGTCTTGTACGTACATGCGTACCTACATACGTACAATACGGAATATAAACATGGCATATCTAGCCTAAAACATTACAATTATTGGTGGTAGCAGTGATGAAGTGTGCTACTACAAGGAAAGGGAAGGAGACAAAGCAAGGTAAGGTAAGGTAAGGTGAGGGTGAGTGAAGTAAGGCAGGTCGAGGAGAGTAAGCAAAAACAAACTTGCCGACCAAAAATGGCAACATATGGGGGGCCCAGCTGGATGAGCCAGATGCGAACATCCCGTCTTCCGATCTCACTTGTGATCTTACATACATTCCCCCCACCACCAACCTGTATGGATATAGAGCTACCTCTGATGGAGGGGGAGGGCCAGCTGTCAAACCACGAGACCAGGGAAGTCCTCATAGGATACCCACCCTCTCCCTTCTCTCTATTCGTCATAGGAAGGTGGTTTGGTGGTTTGTTCACGCGAGAAAGACTACGGCCCAGACGAGCAGGAATCCCGAGCAAGAGAAAAACTCGCTCTAACCTGCATGCTCCTTCAAAGTCCCGTGTTTGGGAGAGCATGTGGGCGTGTCGACGCCGTTATTTATGTGGGGTTCGTACCTATATCTACCGTACATTTCATATGAGTGGGAAGAATACCCCTTAACTCACCTGGTAGTTGCAAGTGATAGGCGAATCGAGGTCACGCTTGCGGACGAATTCGATTATTCGTTTCATCGCGAGACGCTCTAGTAATGGACAATGATAGTACATGGCACCACCATCCATTCGATATTATCTGATATGTACCGAACGTGTGTGAGTCTTGTGTGTGTACCTAACGATGGTAAGTAGGGAATAAGACACACATACATCATCATATGCAACGTTATGACATACGAGACTTATACAAGACATACCTACATCATACCCAGACATATCTTAATACTCAAGTGTTATAGATCGTAGACGCCAGGTAAAAAAAGAAAAAAAAAAAAAGAAAAAAGAAAAGAACAGCACAGGGAAGACGGCCGCCCACACGGCCGCTTCGTAATATCTTAGCGCTCCGCGACTGCTACACACCCGGCCGCCCACCGTTACCTACCGCTGCGCGTTCCTGTCTTGGAAGTGTTCATATATATGCGCCGTGACGGCCGCTCTCACTGGCCTTCGATTTTTTTTTTCCCAACCCAACCCTTCCTTTTCGACCTACACTACCTAATCTACCCAACTTGACTCGCTCACATGTACGTTTAGGTTAAATTCGTATGACAATTATTCGGAAGTACGGAAAGACGCGACACATGCGGTAGAAGGGGAGAAGAAGCCAAGAAGGAAAATAGACAAGGTTAGGTACCTATCTAGATGGGTATATAGATAGATAAAAAAATGAAAAATGGAATGGAAATCGACAAAAGTAGATGCACATGTGAGCTTCTGCAGCAGACTTGGAATCAAAAGGGAAAGGCTACGCTGAGCTGGACAACGTAGTGGGCACTTGGGCACTTGGACCCTATTAGCTCCACGTCCGACACGGCGGGGGAGGGGTTTAAAGGAAAGGGGGGAGATATCTGATGTTTATCCTGGGTACATGGAATGATGAGTTTATACACATCTGTCACTTACACATCTTATCCATCTTCCGAGTATAATCGGAATGAAAATGTAGCATGAGACAGGATAACTACCAATGAATAAACAATTGAAGGAAAATAATAATGATAATATGGAGTTCACTTTGCTGCCGCTACGCCACGACCCTGCCGCAGGTATACCGCATACCGACCGCATTGCGCATTGCGTTTTGCGTCGTGGGGAAAGCCAAAGCGAGACGCCCATCCATTCACGATTCTCTCTCCCTCTCTCTTGCTCGCTCTCTAATACCCAATACCCCAAAACCAATCCTTCTCAAGCAGATAAACATTAGCCTACCGTATACCAGTCAGTTATGTATCAACCAGACCATACCAGACCAACCAAACCCAAGGAGGAGCCCAAGTACCAAAAAACAACATCAAACCGAACCAAACCCGTCACCGCAAAAAAAATCCTTGGCTATGGCTAACCTTACTTACACGCCCGGTTTAGGCAAGTCGAAGCACACAGCACACACCCCACCGCCCAACCTCCCCCCCTCCTTCGTCCCCGCCCCCAAATCCGATCTTCTTTCTCTTTTTTTCCTAACCTAATGTACCCATATCGTGCATAACGCTCGGCATGTGAGTTAGGTACCCTAGGTAACCTATCTGCTCCGTCTTCTTCAGTTACGGTACCCAGTCGGCTTACGCTAGGTGTACCTACCCACCTCTCCTCCCCTATGGTACATATATTAGGTACATAGAGTGTAAGTAAGTAAGTAAGTCAAGTTTAGGGGTCCGGTACTATAACTGCTGTTTTCTTGGTTACTCGAGTTTATTCGTTACCAGATATGACCTAGGCAAACTATGCATGTACATATGAAGATGTGGATGGACCAGACTGGACGTAAAGGGGGAAAACATGGCATCATCGTCAGTCACATTGTTCGCAAAGTTTTTTTTTCTTAGGTTTTCTTTCTTTCGTAATTTTTCAGTTGCTCACTAGGAAACTAAGAACGAGGGACTTGTGAATTCTTTTTGGTGTTTTGCTTGGTTATTGCTTGGGTTTTTTTTATTGTTCATCTCGGTGTCTCGCTAATAAACCGACTTCATAAGCTAGGTACAAGACGAACAGCCGCAAATTTGTTGAGCTTTTCTTCTTCCAACCCGTTGAACGGGTATTAAGCTCTTTGCTATTTGCTGTTCCCGAAAAATAAATAGTTGTAAGCTAAGAACCATGTCATGTCCCTCTCTCTCAGCTACTGGTAAGCTGCTTTGCTTTATTTCATGCCGCTTTCCTTTCCTGTGTGCTGTTTGTCCGTGACATTTCTTCGTCATTCTCGTAATGATGATGTGGATTTCTCACTGTCATCCAAAAAATAAATAAGACCCGCCCCGTTGGCTTTGGAGATGCCACCCTTTCCATGAGTAATGAAAAGAAACTAAATACTAGGAAAATGAAATATGTAGGAAAGAAAAGGAGAGTTGAATAAAAAAAAACTAAGTAGATGTCTCCCCGTTTCATTGCTCTCGTCAGCTCACTTTCCAGTTACCGCCCCCCAACCCCCCAATTATGTCGTGTCGTGAGACTGAGGCCCAACCATATTTCCCCTCCTTTGAAAAAAAAAGTCCCGAAAAAAGATACCCCGCTCTGGGCGCGAGACCTATTCAGTAAGGTCCCTCGTCTCGTCTATGGAGACTACATCCCTAGAGTCGGAGGATAGCACGAAGAGAAATGATAAGGAAAAAACAAGCCAGCGGACCCGAGTGTTGTGTGAAGGAGAAAAAAAAAGAGAGAACCTCGCCGTTTCGGGTTTCTCTGACCCTATTCCCCAATGTCCCAAATGATCCCCTAAGAAACGTTGTACAAGAAAATACGTAGCCTCGACCAGCTTTGGGCTTACACCTGTTCCAAGGTTTAAATCCCCGCTGCCCCTAATGAAAGACCCATTTTCGCCATGCAACAACACGTTTGTCTTGTTTTCTTTTTTTTTTGACCGATGTGAATATATCGGAGAAAAAAAAAGAGAGAGAGAAGATTTGGTAGATAAAAAATAAACAATAACCAAGTTATGTCAATAATGGGATAGACGAAGGTTAAATTAAATCAGAATGCTGGCTCGCTTGCTAAATTTCGACACAAAATAAACAATAAGATTGAATTTGTTGATGAGTAAGATCGATTCGAGATAGACAAAGTAGATGGTGGCGATGACGATGACGATGATGTCGATGAGATGTAGATGATGATATAGTAGATGATGATGAAGATGCGTCGTAGGTCGTTTCGGTGTGCGTGAGCACCGTCGAATCTGAATTTTGGTGCGCGAGAGCGCGGTGTAAAATTGTATGAACAAGGTAAATGAAAAGAGAAAAAAAAAAAAAAAAAAAAAAGAAATGATCGCTGACTCGGAGCCGTATAGTAGTAGAAATTCGTTCTTTTCGTTATCATGTCGTTAATGTCGTGAATCGTTATGAGCTTACGTCGTTGCCGTTCTGACCTCCGTTCGCGTTGTTGCACTCGGCCACCATCTTGGCGAAGTTCCTCACAACGTCTCCCGGAATCTGATCCCATAGCAATGATCGCGTATATACTTCGGCCGCGGAATGCTTCTCGCCGTGGCGCAAATTGCTTAGCGCCTCGGCGAGGTTCCGGCGGTTCTGACCCGTCGATCGCGTCGGTGCGGTTCGAAGGAAATCTTGCGACGTCACACTGTTATATTGTGCCGGTGTGAGCGAGAAGATTTGCTCGTTCGTCTGCTCTTGCGTCGGCTGGGTAAGAGAATCCGCTAGGTCACCAAGCATAGATGGCGCAACGCCATCCATGGCGCCACTGGCCATCGGTACCGAAGCGCTCGACGTCCAATCCGCACCAGACGGCTGGGGAGCCGCAGGTACGATGGCGCTCTCGGCGTTGGGGACGCCTGCGTCCTTGAAGATGTTGTTGAGAAGCGTTGTTGAAGCTTCGCGAACATCCTCTGATACGCGGGGAATAGTTGATGGGGCCGACCTGTTGGAAATGACAAATGCGCCAACGAGGAAGAGCATGAACAACAGACCACCTTGCGTCGTCGACTTCTCGCCATCCGATGAGAGTTGGACTTCGGCCTTCTTCTGAGGGACCATCTGGAGCTCTTGCTTCACCTCGGCCTCCATCTGGAACTCGTTCATGAAACCCATGTTTTCCCAAGTAGTATCCATAGTAAGGCTGTCCATGTCGGTGTACCCGTTGGAGTAACCGGTGTTGCTGGGGATAGCGGCGTGCTCGAGCCTCTGGACGTGGTCGGTCAGGACGCTGATCTTCTTGCGCAAGTCGCCGGTCTCGATGGTGTGGTTTCGAATCAACTCTTCCTTTTCCAAGGTCAAGTTCTCGACGTGGGCCACCAAGTACTCCCTTTCACGCCTCTCCTGATCTAGCTTGATGTGAAGCTCGCTCATCTCCTCTTCCATCGAGCTGATGAGGCTGGTGAAGTGCTTCTTCTCATCCTCTAACCTCTCCGTGTGCATCTTTTTCCTTTGCCTCGAGTCCAGCGCGGCTTGCCGGTTGCGAAGTAATCGCTTCTGTTGCTTCAGTTCCTTGATTTCCTGCTCGTCAGTAGTCGCTGCAATAAGCTGGTCGATGTTGCCGAGATTGCGCTCCGCGGGAATGTCAAACCTGGCATTCTTCTTTCGGATGCCATCTCCGCGACGCAGCTCGTTGTGCGATCGGATGGTAGGGGTATCCGGTCGCATGCGCTTGACTAACGAGGGGTTCTTCAAGTCTTGACCCATCCAATCCTTCTGCGGCGAGTTCGGCAAAGGAGGGTTGTTAGGGCCAACTGTAGCGAAGAGCGGTACCTGGTGAGCGGGATTGCTGAAGGGTGTTTGCATCTGTAGAGGCCGCTGCTGGAAGATGGACTGGTTGTTGTCGAATGCATTATCAAGACCGTCATACTGTAAGGGCGTGCATGTACCAGAACCTTGACCCATTTGCCATTGCTGATTTTGCGAGCCGTATATAGCTTGCGGGTCAGCCCTCGTAAACGGGTTGTTGTTCTGAGGCTCTAAGAAGGGGTTGTTTGACGGGACCGACTGCATGTCGACGGATTGCCAATCGCCCACTTCCGTCTTCGGGGAGAATATCGAGCCGGGTACAGTGAACGAATCCCTTCTGCCACCGGTCATGGGAGGCGACAATTCCAGACCCGAATCCATTGCGTTACTGTCTAGGATGTTCTCATCGAGGATGTTGCTGTCCTCTTCATCGAAGTACTTTTGCGCATGGGTGGTGTCAACGGATAGGTGATTCGACCGGTAGAAGGCCGGCATCTGGTATGTTGAGACCATTGCTGGTCTGTGTGTGTGTGTGTGTGTGAAGGTGGTGTGTGTATGTCTTGGTGAGAAAAGCGAGAGTTGGGAACTCTGCAAGATGTGTATAGAATAGTCGAAGAGGTTGGTTCTGTTCTGCAGGGATGTATGGTTAGTGCATCCGGCGGTGAATATAATTATGACTAGTAGCGGCGGGCCGTTGATAAGATTGACTATTCTCTGTCTCCTCTCTTTTCTTTTCTTCAAAATCGAGTCTCAAGTTGGAACAACGAGTTGCTTCGAGACGATGATTAAGAGTATAAGAGTATATGTGTGTGTAGGTGTGTATGCGTATGTGTGCATATATGCGGGAGTATGTGAGAGAGAGAGACAATGGGGAGGGGGAGGGGGATGTTGCAATGATTAATGAGAGCGATAAGAGGGTTGGTCGGGTTTGGAGGTGTAAGTGGTATAAGTGGTAGTAATTAGATGGTAGTAATATTTGGTTGCAATGGGTGGCGGCGGGGTGAGAGACTTGCAGGGTAGGAGAACAGAAAGACGTCCGGCAACTTTAAAAAAAGAAATCAAGAAAAAAAAAATAATAACAAAGGGAAAAATAAGAAAGTGGGAGTGTGTGTCACTACAAAAACTTACTTAACAACTTTCTTCGGCTATGGTGGAATTCTTGCGATGTTTCGTGTGTCGTACAGGTATTGTCGGCCTGAATTCGTCTTACAAAAAAATGTGTAAAACAGAACGAATGTAAAGAAGAGGGGGGACGAGGTAATTGTAATAGATGTTGCTAGGAATCGCGTGATTCTCAACTTCAGCAACAATTAAGATGTTTTTCTTATAAGTGATTTCCTTATGGTCGGGGGGCGATATGGATGGGGGGTGGAGGAAGAGCCTGGGTACTTAAACAAGATGGTCAGGTCCTCCGTCCTTTGACTGTCAGGATTTGCTTGTGCTAAGGAGACGGGGGTCTAAGTTGCTCAAAGTATCGTAGTGGGGAAGAGGGAAGCCCATGAGACTTCCTAACTGACGAACGGCATCTCTTCTGCTTGGGTTCGCGGTGCCATAGGGTGTGTGTGGGAGGACGTGGGTATTCCCTTGTAGCTGTGTAGGTAACAGTACGGGGGTGTGGTAGCGAGATGGATGCTGTTCCGGGCCACTGGTTGATCCTCAGCCAAGGAAAGTATCTCTCCACCGTCTTTTTCCTTACTGGCGAGAGACGGCCGTTTTGACTCCAAAATGTATGTGAAACCAGCAGATTTGCATCTTGGAGCCATCAAAGCTTAGCCCAGCTCTACGGCTGGGTGGATTTTTTAGTCCTAGGACGGGAGCTATACTCTCTTGTTAGTCAGGGATCTTGTACTATCCCTCTAGCCACTGGGAATAGGTGCCACTGCTCTTGCAGTAGGGACTTTTTAGTTACGGTAGGGCAACGGATAAGTGTAGAACCCGTACAAGATCCAGTAGGGACACCCCACTGGGGAGCTTTGCTAGCCTACCTCTGACTGGCTGCGTTGTAGATCGGACAAATAAAATCGGAATGGATTGCTATGTTGACGGCTCTGGAGTTCATCGAAACCGATCGTCCTCCAGAAACGGAAGAGCTAGATGCTTGAACCGGTAACCGTTTACGAGTGAGCAAAGGATATCATAGGCCAGCGGTCGTTAGCCCTGCCAGGTTGGGCATCGATGACCTTGGTGCAATTGCTACCTTAAAGGTCTGCACGAGCACGCTTCTCGCACCCACTAACAACCTAGTAACAGGACGCTCAATTTTTTTTAGGCATCCTATTGCTCAGATTTGCTTTGTAGTTCAGTACTCCCAGCAGCTCGTAGTGGGGTGACAAGAGAGATCTTTTTTCGCCTAGGCATTATTGCACTTACGAGTCCACCGGATCTGTCGATACAATAGACTAACGGTTAGTATCCTGCTTTCGAACGGCGAGGTATACTCCCAAGCCGTACATTAGTCAATGTAGTTTTTGGAGTAGTTATGGGTCGTGCCCCAAATATCAAGATACGGTTCAACGCGATGTCTGCTGTGAGATGACGAATGTCTAGATACAATCCAGACGCAGAGGAGAGGATGCGCCATACAAAAGCGCGACGTACTTCCCCGTGCTCCTACTGGAGACCTGAAAGCTCGGATACTGATTCTTCAACTGCTCAGTGCGACTGCCGTCACATGGTCATCTCTCTCGTCTTGCGTCTTGCTTGGTCTTGCTTAGTATCGCTGATGTTTGTTTGTGCTGAAGCTGTGAAGCGCCTGGAAAAGACAGTTCATGAACATAAAGATTGCAGCCCGATACTCGTACATCCGAGGCTCTTACAGCCTACAGTCATGCGATGACTGCCAGTTGCGTCTTGTTGACAAGCAAACACTAGCCGCGGTGCACTTAGAATCGCTAGGATCCTATGCGGCGTTGTTCGCCATACCCAGTTTGTCAGTAGATCACGAGATAGTTTACGACTACATACAGTACAACGACTGATCGTTGCATTGAAGGACCCCTCTATGACACTCTCTATACCTTCCTCTACGGTACCATGCTCAGATCTCGGAACGGGACGGCGGTAGTATCAGGTGTCAAATTGGAGCGAGACCGGGAGCCTGGGGCCGATCTTGCCTCACCCATGCTCCGGAGTAACTGTGCTACGATCTCTCGGCGTCCTCTACGATTACCTAGAAGAATATTGGCGTTTTCCGTTCGGCGACGGCTAGATAACTTCCTCTAGCCCGTCCGTTAGTTTTTCTCCGTTACGAACCAACCCGAAAAGGTGTATCTAGCTTTAACGTAGTTGGTGAGTTCACCCGCGGGATTCTTGCGGTGAGGGCGATATTAGTCAAATAACGTTATAAATAACTAGGGATAAGAAAGGTTCGGATGCGAGAGTTTGAGCACGGACAATGGGTCTATCTTCTAAAATCTTCGAGTTCTCATCCTAACGGATTTGACGTGATGGGGCATGCTTCCCCCTTGTTGGTCGGCGGGTCTCCCGGGGCAAGGGTCTAGATGCGCTATTGAGCATTGGAAAGATGCTAGTAGTAGAAAAAAAATGCACTTTGGAAAGAATTCTCTGGAAATCCAACCTCTTCGGAGTTAGTACTGATTTTCGAGTGCTAACTTGAACGGCTGAGCGGTTGTCGCAAGTGACGCGAATACATCAACAACGACGATGATCGATCAAAACACGCTCAGCCACCACACGCGTATACGGTAGAAGGAATACATGAGAGCAGCCAACAGGAAATTATCCGTTCGAAAATGACGTACAGGTGTAGATCCTGACCAGCTTAGTTAATGAAAGCCTCGTGGAGGCTCCGTTTGAGATATACTAAGGGAAAGATCACGAGAACGGTTAATCGGATGGATTGCCAAATTCTGCTATAGGCAAAGATTAGAAGGAGATAGTTTAGGAAGAGTATAGGCATGGCCGACGTTTTGGCTAGAGAGAGCCTTTCAACACTATGAACCGGTACAAGTAAGTATTTTCTGCGAGCCACCATAACCGGGTTTGGTGGTAATGGGCTCAGGGTGTTTGCGGCCAGGACAACCAACCGGAGAAATGATGAATAAGTTGTTGGCGCCAACAATGTAATGCAATTGACGCCTGAATGATACGAGTGTAAGAAAAAACTTCATGATCAATCAGCTCTAACCTATTCAATTCAACCCGAGGGAAAGAAGCGCGAGGAGGAGTTTCAACGCACGTGTATTCTGCTGCTACTTCATGCTGAAGCGTTCGCCTCGTCTGAGTGATTGGCTATGAATGAAGCAAGCTGTTGCGGGTCGGCTGAGAGCCAGGCCATGCTTGGCGCAGCGCGTTTCTGTTCTATCCGCGATACGCAATACTGAGTACAAACCGGTTGAATATGAACCGGACGATTCTGGATCAAAACAAGGAGCGCCGGCAGCCTTTTAGGCCTTATCTGCTTCAATGACGCATCAGAGACCTCACCACTGCTCTCGGGCGCGACACGGTGTGGACGAAACAGGTCGTCTTGGTTGGGCCGGAGCTCAATCAAGTCGTACTATTTACACCGACTGCAGTTCTTGTTCCGGGATACCGACGAGACCTCAAAGCTTAGAGCACTTGCTCAGAGTGGTATAGCCCTTGGTTAGGCACGAACTTCACACATGCAGCTACTGTGACACCTAGCGGGCCGGCTTTTATGCGGCCAGTCGCACATAAGATGGATCACATCCCCTTCTGGTACGATCTGAAGGTGGTGAGAGGATGAATTTGGGGTTGATGGAGAACACTAAGTATAACTGTGCAAGACATGTGCGCCAGTCGGGGACTCCCAATGCCGAAAAGGGATAGTTCGTAAGCAGCGGTGAGTGGCATTTTCGACCAACCAGCTTCAGAATCTTCGATCCTAGTACGAAGTACTATAGCAGATAGTCAAACACGAAACCACCCATTTCTGCCCAAAGGGAGGGAAGAAAAAAAATTTTAAAAAAAAGCAGGGCGCCATGGAGCCATCGATATGAATATGTCGATTTTCGAGAAGATCCTAAGCATGCTCGGGCGCACCTGTCTAAGGCGATCAATCGTTCGTTGCAATTGTTTATGCTGCTGATGATATGGTTGTATTCGGAGAAAGACAATGGTCATCGGGGTCTATCCAGCGGCCTACATACTTTGCAGCCGTTTCTCAGATCTAATTTTTCATCGGAGACCTGCAGCTTCGTCACGACTCGTCAGTAAGGTACCGTCCACGTCCACTAGCCACATGCGGCATTACGTTCAACTACCAGGACCCCGATAATCGCTTGCAGCATGTCTAAAAAGGGGGGGAGCGTAATGAGTCACGTCTAAAAAAAAATTCTTGTTACGCCAGGGAAACGCGACGTCGATGTTCTGTTGTTGTCTCCGTGCAATTGCTATTTGATTCTGCCAAATTTGACCTGATGTTTGCGTTTGCTCTAAAGGAATGCCATGCTAGTAAACTCAGCCAACATGGCGGTGTAGCCCCGATAGTTCGGGAAAGCCTGCGCAGGCTTGGAATTCAGACCGGGAAGCCTCCCTGAGAATAATATATTCGATATGTAGTTGAATCCTTCCTGCGAATCCGACCACTCATCTCCTTGGTGCATGAGTATTCTGAAACGAATATCTCGCTCACCTCGAACATCTGAAATAGCGTTTTTCTCCACTCCGCGTTACGTAGTGCAAGGTGGAGTCTTGAAGCTGCGCGTCGAAGCAAATTTCAAGATCGAACGGTACGCAGCAGGCTGTCATCCTGTACCCTGGGCTGAGAGATACTTCAGTGGTACGACTGCGGTAGTACGAAGTTGCAAGAAACCGCGAAGCACTAAGGAAAATTATCGATAAGATCTCGCGATCCCGGGCGGAGAATATGGAGCGCGGCAGTGGCAACATATATTTAGTTGGTTGAGGCGGTGAGTGGCTTTGTAGTCAGATCGCATCCGTCTCTTCGGCATCGACCCGCGGTGGGCTCTCCATCGGGTCGATGGCGTGAGTATCCTGGATTGATACCCGTAATAATACTAAACCTAGCAATAACAGAAGGGTAGCTGCCGAAGGTTCCATGTTTACGTGACGCGCACTCCGAGACGATCCTAGACGTCAAAACGTCGATCATTGAAAGTTCCAGAGTTTCGCTAGAAGATTGTCCTCTACCCCCGAGTCTAGATCCTGAGGAAGGAATACCCTTTTGGGTATCATGAACTCCACAACAGGAGCCTTTTTGACTTGCTTGGATAATTCCGCGTCAAGTAACTAGAAATACGTAAGCGGAGTCGAAACTAGGGTGTGGGACGGTGGCACATGTTCACTTACGCTGCTATACGAATGGTCTAAGAAATCCTCAAGGTTGTAGGACTGCTTAGTGAATTGCTCCGATACTATTTTCGCGATAGTCGCAACGTTCGGGTGATAGTGTGACTGCAGCTGAACAACCTCCCACAAGCAGCTATCGATGGCGCGAGTTTCCATTGGGTCTTCTTCGTCAGGAATGAAAGGATCGGCCATCCCTTCATTTTCCAGCGCCTCTTTCTCTTCCGGCGATCTCGGCACACGATGCATCATGAACGTGCAAAGCGGGTGCTTTTTGAATAGGTTATAAATCCAGGGTATGACCACAACGATAGCAGCAGGGGGGGCGTTGAGGCACAGCCTCGTGATTCGCTTGATGAAACTTGCTACTAGGACGGCGGGAAGATGCGTAGAAGAGAGGAACGTGTCCAACAGCCGAAAGAACCTGGACCGATGTTTTGAATGTAGAATATTCGCATCCAACAATGAATACAACTTCCGATAGAAGGATGGATAGTCCAAATTCCGCTCTTGTATGAGATAGAAGACGCCTGACAGAGCTAGAAGAGAAACTGCGCCTCCGGAGTTGTACGAATCTGTTAGGAAGTCCATCAGAAGCTCTGGCTTGACGAACCACGGCGCAATGGACCTGGTCACGATTTGAAGCACCTTTTTCCTTTGGTCCCGATTGAGGCCTAGGTCGAGCAGTGCTACCCAGGCTTCTTGGGCTTGCTTCTTCTGCTGATTCAGCGATGTGACAGGATATGACTTCTTCTTTGGCGCATCAATATAGAACTCGCCCATTTCTTCAACAGAAGACGGTATATCCTCGAAGAAGGATAGCAAGCCAAATGCGTTATCAAATAGAGCCTCCTTGGACGATACTGAGTGTTCTTCAGAAAGAATATCTCTTTATACGGGTTAGTAACAAGCACGTGTCGGATAGGGGTTAATCACCTACTTCAGGGCTTTAAACGTATAGAATCTTATATCCGCATATTCACCCAAGAACTTCTCGCAAAACTCATCTCTAACGTCTTCGGATTCGCTTAGGATAAGCGCTTCTACGACGTTTCTAAGAAACGCTTTCGGAAAGTTGTATTCATCCTTGTCGTTCGTATGTTTGCCTTCGGCTTGTAAGATGCGCATAGCTAGAGTCAACGCAGTTGAGGCGGTATCCTCCTGGCGCAATTCCGAGATTATGATTTGCTTATAATCGCTAAGTCTTTGCTTAAGCCATTGGACCACTACAATATCCTTTTCTGACTGTCCGTTTCGTCTAGCCAAATTTCCTGATGCAAACAGACGTAGAAATACTCTACACAGCGAGACCATTGCTAGCTGGGTTGAATCATTTGAATCATCGTCGCCATCTTCTTGCGCGAGCTCGAGAAGGGTTGTTATGTTATTGTAATTCTTCTTGGACTCTATGATCTCATTCTCGAGTTGCAGGATTTCAGCTTGGGGATCGCGTTCGTCGCTGTCCTTTGCTTTGGTTCGTTTATTTGCCTTTTCGGGAACTTTCGATCGCTTCCTTTTTAAGGACTCCTCGGCAGTGGATCCTGACATTTTTTTTTCTTTTTTCGTGTAGCTACGTGGTTAAAAACTGTATAGCTAGACGGCGTTGTAGGCAAATTGTGAAGTATGGAGATAGAGAGAATTGACAGAGGAAAGACAGAGGGAAAGAATAAAAAAAAAGTTAAATTGCCAAACAGCCTTGGGAAAGAATAATGCAAGGCTGACTTCCCCAAAACTGCTAAACTGCTAAAATCTAGTTTGAAGTGGGGTGGAATGAACTAATCACGTGTTTAATTGGCCAATCACGGAAGTCGGTTGAACCAGGTTGAGGGTTCAACTTGGCAAGTGCGTTAAAACCTCATCGACCTTCAATTCCCGAAGCTCCAGGACAAGCAAATAAAATCACTTCAATCTCCTCTCACCCCCAAACCCGGCTCTTTTTTTTTTCTTCTTTTCATTAACTCTCGCAATGGCCTCCCGCTTGGCTACCCGTGCCTTCGGTAAGTTTTGTTTTGTTTTGCATAGCTACTGGTATTTCAATTAAAGGCGGGCATGTAGAACTTATCGCAAAATTGTAGGAGCCGCCCTTCTACGGCCTTCGGTCTCTTCGCGAACTCTTCCCGCAGTCACCGCCGCATTGACTGCTACCCGACCCGCATCCAACCTTCCCGATCCCAAGGTTAAGGCCCAGTCTATCATTGACTCTTTACCCGGCAACTCCCTCGTTTCCAAGACTGCCATCCTTTCCTCCGCTGCCGGTCTGTCTGTCTACGCCATTAGCAATGAGTACTACGTCGTGAACGAAGAGACCATCGTCGCCTTCTGCTTGCTCAGCGTCTGGGGTGCTCTGATCAAGTATGGTGGTCCCCTGTACACGCAATGGGCCGAGGCACACAACGAGAGGATCAAGAACATCCTGAACGCCGCGCGCGCCGACCACACCCAGGCCGTCAAGAACCGCATCGAGAACGTTAAGCAGATGGCAAGTGTCGTCGATATCACCAAGGCTCTCTTCGAAGTCTCCAAGGAGACCGCTAGAATTGAGGCCCAGGTGTACGAGCTCGAGCAGACCACTGCTTTAGCGGCCGAGGCCAAGTCTGTTTTGGATTCGTGGGTACGATACGAAAGCCAAGTCAGGCAGCGCCAGCAGAGAGAGTTGGCCGAGACGGTTATGTCCAAGGTGAAGAAGGAGCTCGAGAACCCCAAGATTCTCCAGCAAATCCTACAACAAAGTGTTGCCGACGTAGAGAGTAAGAGTCAACTCTGCCCGGTCTCATCGCATAAGCTAACAAGTTTCTAGGAATTGTGTCCTCCAAGGCCCAATAGACAAGCCAGTTTAGACAGATACTCCCATGGCGCAGACAAAGATCTCTTTTGTCCCCTCCTGTGTTTATAAACACCTTGTGCATTAGTCAAAAGAAACTACCTATCTTACCAATACTGACCTTGCAACATCTTGTGATACCTTATATGGTAGTCCTGCATACCAACAGAATGTGGGAACTTAGAAAAATACTTGAACATAGATTACGATAGGTAATGGAAGAATCATCTGCTCTAAGTTATGAATTGATAGACTCGTCAGTTATTTGGTCTCTCTAAATTACTGCTAATTGAATACTAGCCCTAGACTCTGGACTTCTTGTTTCCATTTAGGTCTCGGTAGAGGTCCTTTAACCTTATTTCCTACGAGATAAATATGAGTTTTCGATAGGAGAATGAGCCACGCTAGGTGGACTCATCGGATGGATCATCCTTTGAAGCTTATTAGAATCATACCTGACGGTGGGCTTATATAGCTGCGTACTCGCCTAAGCTGTCCTCATCCGTCTTTGCCTTCCCACTTCTCTAGGAGACTAACTTTCCATTCCTTGAATTGGCGATCACTTTGAGGTAGTAGCTGGTTGTTACTGTTTAGGATGCCCTTTACCTTCTCGATTGCATCAGCGGGTAGAGTGATATCTTGTACATCTGATACCACGGAATCGAGTAGTTTGTCTGCTTCACCTTGACTAACCATACGATAAAACACCTTCACGGCCTTGATGGGCGACCTCGGCTCTCCTGTAGACGAGAAAGAGATGTTATTAAACACCCATATGTTTAGTAGCGATTGGGATGCTTCGTTTGTCTGAGAGACACTTTGCGCTGGGCTGTCTTTCAGCTTCATGGGCAGCAAGATAGACTTTGAACAGCCGGAACGGGCCATTGTCGCAAGAAGCATAGCGCTGACCCAGTGAACCAGATTGGGAGAGCTATCTGGACCTCGCGGAATCCGCTCATCCACGTAGACTTGCCACTTGAAGAGGGTAACCGCAGATCCTTGGCCATTTAGTATTCCCAGCTGGTTCTTACATGATACGCAGCTGACGGGTATATTTTCAGGCTGCAATGAGCGAGAGTTTGTGTCTTCAACTTCTAATTCATTTTGTGACTGCAACAGGGTTGTATCTTTTGTTATCTGGAGAAGCTTGCATTAGCAAAACTTCTAAAAAGAACATCTGCTAAAATAAGTTAAACTGGCGAGAAGCTTGAAATATGTGCCTCTGGTTAATCCCGGAATTTCCACGTCCAAAGAAATTCTTAGTGAAAGACAGAGAAAATCCTCCAGTACATAAATGCCAATCCCTAAAGCAAAGCCTAGGGTTCGGTACTTATATAACATAATAGGAAATTATATCATTCTAGGGTATTTGTATCGGTAACTATGCCATTGAAGAGCCAAATGCTGGCCTAGCCACCTTCTATACACCCAATTCGAGCAGTTAATGGGGATACTTACGGTCGACGTAGAAATATTCGTCTCGGATAGAAGAAAGGAAGAAATATCCACAAACCCAACGCCATCTTGGGCTGATATCCTAGAATTCGCACCATATGCTTTGGAAGTAGAGCCATCATCATCATCATGTTTATGACCGTGATCATGAGGTTTATGGCAATGCCAGAATTCCATCATTTCAGCCCAATTCTCGCTGGGTAGGTCTTTCCACACCTTGATTATGCCAGGCTTGACAATAGTATTGCGACAACTTCGACACAAAATAGGTGACTCTGGTAGAAGATCAGATGCGGACCATGGAACAGGTTGATCCCCAAGCGCGGAAAGGACATGGCGCTCTAGACCTGAAGCAAGAGGCAACCGGCAGGAAAGATGTTTCTTTCCGACGCTCTGTATGGGAAGTTGCTCAACTGGGACGACTTGCCCCGGGAGACGTATAGAGGTCTCTATGCCATCGTGGTGTATTGTAAAGAACCAGCCATCAGACGAGATGGCGGCTTTAGTATTAAGTGAGCTCGGTGTATACAGCTCGCATCCAACAGAAACTCCTTGTATACGCGACAGGAGTTCAGCATATATGAGAACCGGACGTGATTCGCTCATGTTGCATATGAGGAAAATACCTCGAGTTACCTAAGGTAAGTAGTTTAAAGTTGAAAGACAGTTTATTAAACGCGATCCATTTTATAAGTGGTATTCGGCGCGATGCACAGACCAACATTGATGACGTTTAGCCCGATCAATTCGTATCTTCCAATTGCATTATGCATGATAATACATGATATGATAGCACATAGGTACCTTAGGTACCTAACCGGGATTTCAACATTTCGCCTAAATGCATTCGTATATATATAATGATGTCTTGGATCACGCGGGTGGCATTTTCGATTGTTACGTCACTTCAACTTCAACCACTTCAACCTCCAGACAGTTCATTATCATGATGTCCTAATTTGAGATATAAAAAAATGGCTTCAGTACTCTCTTATGTTCCCATCGTGAACCGACTCGTCTCACATACAGGTCGGACTCGGACCATTAACATCCCACCTGTTGAGGTTCACAATGTGGAGACTTCACCTGAGAAACGACCGAGAACGCTCAAGCATCTATTAAAGGCAAATCATGTCAACCATGCCATTCTGTATCACAATTTGGAGTTTCATAACCATATGCCCCATATACTCGGGTCTGCATATCTCCTAGGAGCAGATGTTCAGCAATTGCATAATATCTACGATGTCGAAGCCAAATCGCTTGAGCCGTGGACAGAATCACCGGCTGAAATAGCACAGGATGACTGGAGAGATTTCCTAGGTCAATCAGAATACCAGCGTGCCTATGTCGATTTCTTCGAAGATGCTCTGGCCTTGAGGCACAACTACCAATGGAAAGGTGTAGTGGAGGAGTATATGTACGGGGGCAAGAAACCGCTAATCAACTGTCTCATCGGAGGCCGTATGTCCAACTCTTCAGGCTTTCTGTACAGACCTAACACTAACTATATTAGTTGGCCATCCTCTCATCCATCTGGGATATGCTTATGAGATTGATAGTCGCGAGGTTGCCATCGAGGCCCTCAGCATGGCGGCTACCCAATACAACTTCCTTCATAAGTACATTGATAATGATTCGTATTCGAAGCCGTCTTCGATCAAGTCATCTTCCCCGCTAGAATTGCTGTCCAAGCTAAGAAGCGATTCTCGTCTTGACGGTGCATTTAAAGAACCAGGGCCCCAAAACATCGGACCGTTATTCGTGACGCATGAAGACATCGTTTTGGAATATTGGAATGCATGGACGCTGGATGATCCAGTGAAAGATTTCCAACTATCTCAAGAGACTGCGGTTGCTATACTGATTGCGACAGTCCCACCCGGAACTCATTCATACAATTTCTTCCTTTGCCATGTGCTCACGACCAGCCATGCTGTTAGGATACTGCTTCCATTCATCCCATCGGAATTTCGCATAAACTTGGTAAGACAGTGGTGGTTGTTCGCGCTTGCTGTGTACATTGTAGAACTACGACCGAAAATCGATCTCGATTACATCAAACCAGAAGACGTTGCGGGGAAGCAATGGAATTATGTGGAGGATAGGGCAGTGAACGGACCTTGGGCTACAGACGCCCATTTCGTCAAGAGTAAGACCTCTTTACACATCCCTAGTTTCGATTGCTATTATACTAACCTTAGGTATTGTATAGCTGTGCGCGCGACTAAAGAAGCTGCCCGGACTTGGGGAGACGTACATGAACGTTACCTAGCTGCGGCCGTGAGATTTGCAGATGATTTTCAGGGGTGGACCTTTTCATGATATTGTATCATTTCATGTTTGGCTATGATATGAGTTGTAAAAGTGGTATGAATCATGAGGATGACTGGACAAAATTGATCTCCTGGTTGGTGTATTATTCTCATACTGTAACCTACGGTTGGGCTTCTCACAAAAGTATTAATATGTATATGTATAAGACTGGTTTGCGATGTGATGATTCAAGATAAGATAATAGGTGACTTCTGAAATTGAGAACTAACAAAAAGAGGTACTTACCTAGGTACGTAGTACATATATGACTAACCTCAATGTGATGCAGGTTAATTGATCACATGATGACGCATCCAAGTTACAGTGGGCTAAATCGCCGAGGAACGCGCCATAAGCAAACCCACCCGCGACGAAAGGTTTCCATTAGGTCATGTTGGGGAACGACGGCAGGTACCTTTACCTCTATCAGGTACAATTTGACTCAACCGCGCTATCCATTTATCTGAAGACTTTGAAATTAAAATAAGTCAGTTCCAATCCAACCTTAACTTTGTCAAGCGCGTATCTATGTACCTGAGTATTATGTATTAAACTTTCCTGATCCAAATCGCTAGGCTCAACCCAAAAAAAACCAACCCTTCCAATACAAATCGATATCAATCGCTTGTCTTCCCCATGTGAGCAATTACGCCCACTAGTAGATGCCGTGCATCTCACATCCGCCCAATCGCCATGGCGCCGCCCACAAAACGTCGGAAACGAAACATCGTTCATGCTTCTTCCGACGACGATGAAGAAGATTTAAAGTCGAAATCGAACACACTTACCAATTACCTCCTTTCCTCGCCTACTCGAAAAGATGTCTCTGCCGCAGATACTTCTCGGGCTTCGACACCTTCGCCGGGTCCCGTGAGGAAGTCGTCTCGCTTGCTAGCCTCTCATCCGCCGAGCTCGACGTCTATGTCACTTCACCAGAGAAACAACAGATTTAGGGGTATCAGTACGAGTCCCGGGAAACCCAAGGCCCAGTCATTTACAAAGGGGAAACGTTTGGAGAAAGAGAAGACAGCCGATCTGGTTACTATGTTTTCTAGACAGGCACAGCGGGCACCGACAGCATCTCCAACCAAGAGGGACGACATTATCAGCGATCCAATTTCAGACGATGACGATATAGACGAATATAGGGCCGTAAACACCAGTCGGGTCGGACAGAATGCACGTAAACGTTTTCGGGATACGTCTCAGCCATCTAGTGCTCCGGCAATTACATCAAGTCAAAAATTCCTTAAGCCACCCCGTCCTCAGCAGGATCCAAGTACGAGCGACGAACAACGACCCTGGTCGGAACGGTTCGGCCCTACGAATATAGGAGAACTTGCTGTTCACAAAAAGAAAGTAGCGGATGTCCGTCGATGGCTAGAAGATGTCATGGCTGGTCGGATGCGACAACGGCTGTTGATATTAAAGGGCGCTGCCGGAACGGGAAAGACAACTACGGTTCGGCTTCTTGCTAAGGATATGCATTGTGAGCTACTAGAATGGAGGAATCCGGTCGGATCCCTTGGCGCGAATCAAGGACTTCAGTCAGCATCGGCACAATTTGAAGAATTCATGGGGAGGAGTGGAAAATTCGGGCAATTAGACACTGATCTTGACTCGACTCCTTCGAGTACTGGTAAAAACGAGGATAATGATAATACGAGGAAAATTATTCTCATTGAGGAATTTCCGAACACTTTTACACGCTCATCAACAGCTTTGACGACATTTCAAAACACTATTTTACAATATTTGGCCGCTAATACACCTTCTCTCGCCACTTTTGGTCGTCAAACTTCTGTAGACCCTATCACGCCTATCGTTATGATTATATCAGAAACTCTACTAACGACCACTTCGGCATCTGCGGATAGCTTTACGGCCCATCGCTTGCTAGGGCCTGAAATTACCCGGCACCCAGGGTCTTGCATTATAGAGTTTAACCCTATCGCGCCCACTCTTCTTGCGAGCGCGCTTGAATTAATTGTACAGAAAGAGGCTCGGAAGTCTGGACGGCGTCGGACTCCAGGCCCACTTGCTTTAAAAAGGCTGGGCGAGATAGGGGATATTAGAAGCGCAATCTCTTCCCTCGAATTCCTTTGCCTTAAGGGTGACGCAGATGCAGACTGGGGTTCCAAAGTGGCCTTCACGAAGCCCAAGCGCGGATCCAAGAACGAAGTATCCTTAACTAAAGGTGAAGTAGAAAGTCTGGAGCTTATCTCGCAACGAGAAGCAAGTTTGGGAATATTCCATGCCGTTGGGAAAGTGGTTTACAACAAAAGAGATGAGCGCCCGATGAGCCATCAAACTCCTGAGGGTCAAGCTGAAATATTACCCGACTTTATAGCTCATCATTCCAGACCAAAGCGGTCCGAGGTTTCCGTCGACAGTCTTATCGATGAGACTGGTACTGATACGCACACATTTGTTTCAGCTCTTCATGAGAATTATGTTCCATCCTGCGAATCTAGTGGCCCTTCCGATCCGAATTCCTCACTTGATTATATCAACAATTGTATTGAGTTTCTTTCGGAGAGCGATTTACTTTCCCCATCTTGGGACATCTTTTTCCGGGGGCGAGGGTCTAGCACGTCGAATTTTTCTGGGCGCGATTCAGCTAGTCATGTGCTAAGACAAGACGAGATCACGTTTCAGGTCGCAACTAGAGGATTGCTGTTCTCCCTGCCAAATCCGGTAAAACGAATGGCTAAACCCTACGGACGCGGCGGTGGCGATGCCTACAAGATGTTCTATCCTACGAGTCTCAAGCTATGGCGAGAGAAAGAAGAACTCGAAGGGGTCGTAGACCATTGGGCATCGAGATTGCTAAAGGGGGACGAGACCGGTCATGATCTCACTCAAGGGGCTTCTGCGTTTAGACGGCCTAAGTCCACGGCAGACGGCGGCAGTGACTGGATCAGCAAACATCAGGCTTCTGCACAACGCAATAGCAGCCAGCAAAACAAGAGAGTTGAACAAAGCCAAGACGAGCAAACGGCACCATTACTCTTTCTTGGAAACTCGGCTCGTAGAGAGCTATTGCTAGAACGGTTACCATACATGGCACATATAGCACGAGGGCGCAGGAGCGCAGTGAGCAACGTCCGGTTAAGGGAGATCGAGAAGGTGACGTCGTTTTCCGGAATTGGGCAGGCGGTAGACGAAGACGCTCTCGACGAAGATGATAATATGGAGCAGACAGGAGAAGCGGAAGCATGGGCAACCGACAAGCCCACCGAGGAATCGTCACCGCGGAAGAAGAGAATCTCTGTTGGCATACGGCAGAAGAGCGACCTGCCTTCCTTTTCTGCTGCGGCGGTGCCGTCTATACAGAAATTGGTTTTGAGCGACGATGATATAGAGGACGACTAACAGGTAGTTAGTCTGTCCATCTTTATCTTATCCTAGATATACCTACCTACCTTATGTTATGCTGGATATGGCTTTTTGCTATGCTCTCCAAGTTTAAATACGTGGAGATAATGGCTATTGTGTCCAGGTTAGCCTAGGCTACATGTGCAAACGGCGTTTTTGGTATTTGTACCCGGGGTTGAAGGGAATATATGCGTCTACGTGTATATAGATTTGGGGGTTAGGCTACTACTGTCGAATATTCGGGTAGCTTTAGGTACCTCTTACCTGGGGTATGTATGGAGAGCAGGTTTTTTTTTACTTGCGGGATAAATGACACTGCATTCATCTCAAGTTGCAAGGGACGTGTGCCAATTCGGTACCTAATTTGTATTGCGTTGCAACTTGTCCTGTATACTTGCTCTCTATAATAATTCCCCTAGCTGATGTGTTTTCCCCCGTTAGGCTTTCGAAATGCAAGTCTATACCAGGTACCAGAGGTGCTGTAGCTATGTTGTGCAGGGGCAAAAGGTCCCAGGATGTTAGATAAAGCTAACCGTGGACACGATCGGCCGGCTGGTCACGTTTTCCTCGGATTATTTCTACTCATAGGTACCTATGTACAGACACGCCGTTGAAACCCTGGCACTCCTTTTTCTCCTTATGACTCTTCAGGGGCGTTGAACAGAGCCATGACAGGCCGGTCTGGAGTCGCGGCAGCAGGGTTTGCCTTTGTTATTCGCCTGTATTCTACTTGTCAACGTTATACAGATAGATCTCCAAGCAAGGTTGTCTAAATCAACCCCAAGGGCAGGAGGAGAAAGCACCCTGTAATTGCCGTGACCTTGTTGCTCCTACTCTTACATAGGTACCTAAGGCAAATAACAATATCCCACACACGTAATCAGTTGTCGTTCTTTTAGAGTCATGTATTACCTAGGTACCAGGTAGGTACTTCGCAAAATATAGACTAGCCACTTCATACTCATACTCGGGAAGGAAATCATTGTATACCTATAAAGCAATTGCACACAGACAACCGAGCGGTATTTCGAAGGTTACCTTAGGTTAGGTACAGTACCTACCTCCTAGGTCGATCATATCCGACTTCAAACAAGCTGTCCGGACCCCAAGATCATGAAGACTAAAAGAGCGACAACAACGCCAACGACACTCCCCTCTTCCTCCTCCCCCCTCTGTCTTCGGAATCCGTATATTCGACGCCGTCATCGAGGTACATAGGCTATCAAACACGACCGAGTACGTGACGACACCAAAGAGAGAAAACATAACACAACCGGGGCTGCTCCAACAACCCAAGCCCTCCCTCCCTCTACGTCTATATCTCCATCCTGTAACCAACAACAACCGCACGCTTAGGTAATTAAACCCAGCCATGTAAAAAGACAAGTTTCCTCGCCCTCCCCATGCTCCTCCTCTCCCAGCAGCCTAAATCGTATTCTCGAAACCGCAACGCCAGCAAAGAAGATGGCACATAACCTCGTACCAACACCAACACCAACACCAATACCAATGCCAAGCAGCGAAGCTGGGAAGCGATACTCGTTACAGAAAAGAAGTCTTGTCATGAGCGTAATATAAGGATAAGGGCGTGTAGTACCGGACATGGGAGTTATCACCATCGATTATTTATAAGAATAAGTCGGAGAGGGCTTTCCATTTGGTAGTCAACGACTACGTGATCCATTCCTAGAGAAAATGACGGCTTACTCTTAATTAACTAGAATGTAATAAGCCTTGTCTACCTACCCTACGACAACAGCACTCGGTAAAAAAGTCACTACCTAGGTAGTCACCAAGTAGCAAAACCTTTCATCACGTTCGGATATCAGTAATGAGTAAGGTACGACAAATTGGTATCTTTATATTCATGTCCCTTTCTTTCGGACGTATTGCCGTGTTGAATAAATGCAATGCGGATGTCTTTAAAGGTATTTTATCCGCCTTTACCAGACCGGTGACCCCCCCATAGATGCCACTTTATCTGTGCCTATTGACCAAACCAGGTATGTTGAAACCGTACGCCATGCTGCCATGCCCAAAGATTTTTTTTCATGACATTTTCCGATGAGGGAATCCTATGTCTTCTAGATAACACACCCAACAACGCCAGTCGCAATGCAGAAAGAAGTTGATTCTTCCGCTACTATAAATGTGACAAGATCCCCCCAGCGGAACTCTTACAATTCATTAGCTTAGAACTTGAGCGCCTTAGGCTGCTCCCAGGTGAATTCCTGGTTGGTACCAAAGTGACCGAACTTGGCCGTTTGGTTGTAGATGGGGCGGATTAGGTTAAGTTCCTTGGCGATAGCGCCAGGTCGGAGGTCGAAGTTAGCCTTGACGATGTCAACCAATTCCTCAGCAGTCTTGTCGGACGTGCCGTAGGAGTCGACGTAGATAGAGCAGGGCTCCGCTACACCAATAGCGTAACTGAGTTGGACCAGCGCTCGCTTAGCAAGGCCGGCAGCGACGAGAGACTTGGCAACCCATCGAGCAAGGTAGGCGGCAGATCGGTCGACCTTGGAGAAGTCCTTGCCGGAGAAAGCACCACCACCGTGGGCACCCCATCCACCGTAGGTGTCGACAATGATCTTTCGGCCGGTAACACCGGCATCACCCTGAGGACCACCAATGATGAAGAGACCACTAGGTTGAAGCTATAAATCGTTTGTCAGCATGGTATATCCATTGTCGTGGATTGTAGCGAGGAACACGCCGGACAGGAACTTAGACACTTACGTGGAGAATAGTCTCGTCATCAATGTACTGCTTGGGGATGACAGTGTCGATAATCTTGGACTTCAGCTCCTTTCGGACCTGTTCCGTGGTGACATCGCCACTGTGTTGAGCAGAGATGACAACGGTGTGGACTCTTAGAGGAACGACGGCGCCGCCATCGTGCTTGTACTCCATGGTGATTTGGGTCTTGGTGTCAGGTCGGAGCCAGGGGAGAGTTCCGTCCCGGCGAGCGTCAGACATAGCCTTGTTCAGCTTGTGGGCGAGAAGGTGGGAGAGAGGGTGTAGTTCGGGGGTTTCGTTGGTGGCATAGCCAAACATGAGACCTTGGTCACCAGCACCCAATTCCTCGAGGGCCTTCTCGTAGTGAAGACCCTGAGCGATATCGGGGGATTGTTGCTCAATGGCAACGAGGACGTTGCAGGTCTTGTAGTCGAAACCCTTGTCGGAGGAATCGTATCCGATCTCCTTGATGGCGTTTCGGATGACAGACTGGTAGTCAATGGTGGCCTTGGTGGTAATCTCACCGAACACCATGATCATACCGGTCTTGGTGGCCGACTCGCAGGCAACCTTGGAGAGGGGATCTTGCGCCAGGCAGGCATCGAGAACGGCATCTGAAACCTGATCACAGATCTTGTCGGGGTGACCTTCACCGACAGACTCGGACTACGACCGGTTAGTTTTCTATCAGGGAATTTACTAATATCGAAGGGGTAGTAAGATGATTCTGCCATCTATCTATTCATACGGATTACTTACGGTGAAGAGGAAAGCCCCGGGGTTCCGAGGAGTGCTCAAGGAGCTAGCATGGCCGTTGGTGGCAGGCATTGTGACTGTAGAATGGGAAATAAGAAAGTAAGACTTTATTAATTCTATGCACCTAAAGCAAATGCGTAGCCCAAGAGTGTCTCTTAGGAAGAAGTAAGAAGTTGGGTTGGATGAGGGGAAGGAGAGGGTTTATGAAGGGAAGAGTTGAAGGTGGGAGATTTTCCTTTGGGAATTTTTTATTGGAGGAGAGGGAAAAAATAATCGGAGGGGCAGCTGGGAATGGCGCAATTTCTGTCGCTTGTCGCTTGCACTATATGCCGACCGTACTTAATACATGTACATAACGAACTATGCTGATTTTATGTACTAAAAGGTATAATTATGGTAATTTATGCCATATGGTACATAGTAAGCTACGGAGACTTTAGCGAATTACCTAAAACCAAGCGCTAGCGGCTCGCTCTTTTTTCTTTGGTTGTAGATCGTGGTCACTGGTATCGACTTAACTTGATAGTTGGTAGGAAGGAAAGACACTGCTGCAGAGTGGGGCATCCCGAAGGAATTTTTCTCAGAAGGAGTAAGTACTACCTATAAAGAGGGATGCAGATAGGTACCGGATACCTTACCTGTAGGTACCTACATGATACTATGTTCAGTATACCTATTACCTACACCTTACTCGGGCTGCAAACATTACAAACTCGGAGTAACTTCACTAATAAATCCAATACAAATGACATAAAAGTAACTCCATTTGGTAAAGTTGGCTGTATTATAACAATCGATGAAATCGATGAAAAGCAACTATACTGTCATCTTACTATGTATCTAGAATCAACAAATACATGTAACTTTGTATTTCCCTCTGCGGGCGTACGTGCTTATCTTTCCATTTTCCAACATACACACCTAAATCCTGGAGGTAGGTAGTCGCCCTTTCACGGTCCCGAGCACTTGCAGTATCTACGTCAGGCTTAGGAACGATCTTTACCCGAGCAGATACGTGATTATAGGACTGTAATATTATTATACATAAGTCCCAGAATGCAAGGCTTTTTGTGCCGCTAGCTTACATCCCGTAAGCATACTTAACCTGGTATACTACATGTATTTTAGGTACCTATATACTTGTAGTAACTGAGGAAGATTCCTTTAAATTCTACAGAGCTAAGAAACCCTCCATCCATTAGCTCGCAACAAGTACCTAGTATTTATTTATTTATTTATTTTATTTTATCTTGTATTGTAGCGGGCTAACTACCACAGCTTGTTAGGTGCTTCAGTCAAAATACATAGTATATCTGACAACTGATAAGACACGTGTGCTTACCGCATTCTGATATCTTAATACTACTAGCAAATCCGAGTACGCGGGGCAGTTTCATGGACCGAAGAGCTCACCTTCAATTATCCATTCCTGGCATTCCTGGGCATCGATCCATTCGGGGGACCCCTGGGAAATGCCACGTCTGCCCCTCTCGAAAACGTGCACTACATCCGCAGATTGACAGGGGCTCCAACTTCGGCACCTGTCTCCCACGACAAAAAATCGGTCGAACAGTTTCGGTGTTCGGCCGGCAAGGTTATTAACGACAACTTGGTCCTATGTACAATTCCAACCCCGACCCTTACATCCATTGCGTGCTATGTAAAAAGCATCAATATCGATTTTACTAAGCAAAGGATTCTCAGCCCTCCTTCGCTTTTATCTTGCACATTTTGCCCAGATCGTTTCTTGTGCTACAAACTAGAAGGTCCGGGATCGGTGGCTTATAAGCCTGCTTATAGCTACCTATATTCAGTGCATAACCGTCCTATATTCTTACCTACATAGGTATATCGTTCCTGAGTAGCGAGGCACCGACAAGCAGTAAATTCCTCTTCGGTAGCAGTAGAGCAATCCATATTTCAAAATTTCAGTGTTCAAATTCCGTCAGGGCGGTGAGTTTCAGGTATCAAATGTTAAATGTGATACTTGAGTACTTCGCACGGCTATTCATCCATAAATTTTATGCAGTAAGAGAGGATGCTTACGAGACAACTTGGTCATCTCAACCCCACCCCGTCTAGGTATCTGGACCCTCGAACCGAACCCTTCAAACTGTAGATTTCCCAAAAAAGCAGTCAGCCTTTTGACCTTTTTTTGATCCCCGACCCCGACCCTTGCCCCTCCAACAAGTTTAACCCCACCATTCAGGAAAAATTCATGTACAAGACGAGGCTGAATACTTACTACTACTACTACTACTACTACTACTACTTACTACCAGATCCTGTCTTATTCCGTCATCCCCTTATTCGATCATCGGAATCCGCCTAGGCTGCGACGTAATTGTCTCACCTAAATACACACCTACCTAGATATCAACAAGGCTTTGGTCGATGATAGTTATTACATCATGAGTAAGTTCGGAGTTATGGTAATGGGCCCCGCCGGGGCTGGCAAGGTACGCGATATAGCCTCTTTGTCGTTTTGCAGCAACCGCAACTTTCCGGTGCCGTGTTACGAAGCTTGTCAAATTTACCAAGCTTGCTGCCGCACTTTGTTAACGATTTTCCTACTTGCCTACTCTCTGAGATTTGGACGATGGACTGATGATAACATGTGTCCTGCCTGAATTCAGTCTACCTTTTGCGCCTCCCTCATAACCCACCTGCAGCTCAACCGCCGCTCGTGTTTCTACGTCAACCTCGACCCGGCCGCCGAGTCCTTCGAACACGCGCCGGACCTGGACATCAAAGACCTCATATCGCTCCAAGACGTCATGGAAGAGATGGGCCTCGGCCCCAACGGCGGCCTTATCTACTGCTTCGAATTCCTCATGGAAAACCTCGATTTCCTCACCGAGGCGCTCGACTCCCTCACCGAGGAGTATCTGATCATATTCGACATGCCCGGCCAGATCGAGCTGTACACCCACGTCCCTATCCTGCCCGCCCTCGTCAAGTTCCTCACGCGATCCGGATCGCTGGATATCCGGCTCTGCGCCGCGTACCTGCTGGAAGCGACTTTCATCGTGGACCGAGCCAAGTTCTTCGCGGGCACCCTGAGCGCGATGAGCGCGATGATCATGCTGGAGGTTCCTCATATCAACATCCTTTCCAAGATGGACCTCGTAAAAGACCAAGTTCGCAAGAAAGACCTCAAGCGGTTCTTAACGCCCGATACCGGCCTGCTCGACGATGACCCGGATGAAATCGCTCGGCGGAAGGCAGAAGGCGTGACGGAGGAGGAAGACGAGGCGGCGAACCCCCAGGACAAAGATGCCGTCATGCGAGGCTCCAGCTTTCGGCAGCTCAACAGGGCCGTCGCAAACCTGATCGAGAACTTTAGCATGGTTAGCTACCTGAGGCTAGACGTGCAGGACGAGGACAGCGTCGGGGCCATCCTCAGCTATATCGACGACTGCATCCAGTACCACGAGGCCCAGGAGCCTAAGGAACTGAAGGACGAAGAGTTTGACGATATGGGCGAAATAGACGGGTGATTTCTTCAGGCACAATCAACGGGACTTTTTTTCCTTTCTCTTGCCTTAGGCACAACTTAAAAAAAGGAACATGGCATAGGAATGAATTAACCAATGAAGGGCAATGTTGGACTAAGTACCTAAGGTATAATTGCATAGCGACGGCGTACTGGCTCGAGGCAACTCACAGATACCAAAAAGAAAAAATCGAGTTCATTTGGCAGATGTTTGTTTTTTATTCATTCTGTACCAAAAAAAAAAAAGAAGAAGAAGTAAGCCGTAGTCATAACTTCATTCCCCGAACCCCGTGATAAAGACATCAAACCAAACGACGAGATACTCCGAACCCATATTTGCCTTCTTTCTTTCTTCCCTTCTCTCTTTTTTTTTCTTTTCCCTTTAATCAAGCTCACACACTTACACGCACACACACACCACAGGGCATGGCATGGCATAACGATGAATGAACCGTACCCTAGTCCCGAAATCACCCCTCTCATTATTAGCCCACCTAACCTAACCTAACCTAACCTTAGGTATTTATGTATGTATTTATTTGTTTATTCTTGTATTTATGTATTTCACCAAGCGCCATTCCTCGACCTAGCGTAGCCGCTTCCCGAGGGAGCGCCGCGTGTCGGGGCGGGGGCGCCGCCGCGCTTGGTCTGGGCGTCGAAGCGCTGGTACTCGGACCACCAGATATCCCTGACGAGGGCGGCGTAGCCGGCGAGCTTGCCGACGAAGAGGAGGAGGTCGCGGACGGCGGCGTCGGGGCCGCGGCGGCAGAGGGCGGCGAGGAGGGCGGCGAAGAGGGCCCAGCCGAGGAGGCGGAAGGCCAGGCGGGTGACGTACATCATGGTGCGGTGCAGGAAGGATATCACCTGGATGACGAGCACGAGGGTCGCGAGCACGAAGCCCAGGACCACGAGGTCCGGCGAGTCGTGCAGGGCCTGCAAGCTCCGCTGCATCAGGGGCGCGAGCACGGGCGACAGGGTCTCGGTCGCTTTCTGCGTTAGGCTCGTCGTCTGCTGCCATATGGCGCGGAGGGCGGTCTGCGGGTCCTGCATGTGCGCTTGGATGAGGGTACGGGTCTGTTCTGGGAGGAGGCCTAGAGGGGGAGAAGAAGAAGAGGAGGGGTTAGCGGTTGGTTGGTTCGGTTGGTTTTTTTTTGTTTTTATTTGGATAGAAGCTGCATGTACGTATGTATGTAGGTATGTATGTAGGTGTTTAGGAGGTGACGAAGTGGAGTATTGTATTTTGTTGGTAAAACAGTTGTTACGAATACAATATTCCAAGTAACAATAGAGGGATAGAAGAAACAGTAACTAGAAACAAGAAACAAAAAAACAAAAAACTTGAAACGCGGCGAATAGGTAGGTAGATTGATTGATTCTAAACGTACCTTGTAAGGCGTCCAGTAACGCGGAATCACCACCTCGATCCATAGCTGCTAATTGTCTGTAACGTCTAGACAAAATAAGGACCTGATGGTGCGACACCGAGGCGATGTTGTGATAAAAGTAAAAAATCAAATATGTATGTATGGATGTATGTAAATATCGTAGAAGGAAAGAACCGAGCTCTTTTCTCTTATTTTTTTTTGTCGGTTGTTCTTCGCTGAGTGAATCGGGTTACCGTTAAACCCTAAAAAAGCTAAAGCTATCTTGATTGATTGATTGATTGATTGATTTGATAGAAGAAATGCAGAGAAGTGACACGCTAGGCTAACCAGGCCGACGGTGGCGAAGGACAAGAAACGGAGGTGAAGAAACACAGCTGTGGTTGACAATACCTTTCGTTTTGTAGGTAAGGAAGAAATAGATGGGAAGAGAAAATAATAACAATAATAATGTAACAGACAGGTCCAACCGGTTTGTGGGAAGAAGAACAGGTTTTACCGGGCTGCTGCTACTATGATGATGGTGGTGGTGGTGGTGGTAGACCGTAGTAGTAAAGTGGCGGTGGTGGTGTGGTGTGCAACAAGGTCGTCTCTCTCTTTTTTTTTTCCTATTATTTACCTGAACCCCCAGGTTCGACAAATGGGTTCACGCGATTTGGTAATGGGCCGTGATGACGATAACTGGCGATAACTGGCAAAAAAGAAGTGGAGGGATTTTCGTAGAATAATATATGATTGGTCGGAATCCTTTAGCCCAACAGCCCAGATGAGCAAGGGGGATCTGTCCGTGCGTCAGGGTTCTGTGGGTCTATTTCCCTTTTTAAGGGGTCGCGCGATCTCGATTTTCACGTGCTGCGATTTAAAAGTCTGGGTTTCTCGTCATTTGTTATTCGGAGAATTAAAAAAGTTTAAAGTTAGCTGCTTCTCTCTTATTCGAGGAATATTTTTTATATTGAAGAATTCTTTTTTATTTTATTTTATATATATTCATTTTACGAAGAGCTTAGAAGAAGATGGCAAGCGAAGAAAAAAAAAACCAGTTGCTGGAGAGACTTGGTAAAGAGACAAAGCTACTAACTAGGTACCTAAGGCTAAGCAATTCTTGGATCCCTTAACCGCATCGTTCTGGGTCTCTCTGGGTCTCTCTGGGTCTGTCCGTAGTCTTTATCCACCAAACCGACCTATCAAACTCTCCTAGAGTTGTTGGCCAACGTTGGCTTGCTTGAGGAATCAGACGTTATTGGTAAACATGCCTGGCTTTGCAGCATCGTACGTGTAAAATATCCATTCCCGAACCTTTCTACTACCTACCTAATGGTATTTGATGCCTGAGTGGGGGGACTGTTACTCTTAAGACCGTCTATTCTCCGCGCTTTTTTATACTCCCCAAACATTTTCTTGTCACGCTCGTCATGTACAAACCTAGAAAGTGTACCTAATGATTTGCGGTGTTACTTGGATCCATAATACTATGAAATACTAATACTTTCTAAAGAACAGGTAGTTAACAGTAACAGGTAGCAAAGTCAGAGTTTGTTAGGTACAAGAGGCGGTGTCAACCATTTACGCTCTTTGAAGTTGTTGCGCAGTAGGAACAAGGCTACTGCATGATCGTGCATTAAAACAATATACTATTGTGACTTGTAAGTTGTCTAGACTTTATTTGCTTAAAGGCTTTTGAGGGGTTGTGGTTGATTACACTAACTATAATTGTCCAAGTCTTGAGAGAGTGTGGATACGGGTTAACTAGGGTAACTAACTCACTGGCTCTCCAAATTCCCAACTCGTCTTTAAACGACGTAAAATTTGAAGCTTGACAAGTTGGAGTAATATACGACAAAGTAAGCAGGTGTCGTATGTTGAAAATCATCGTGTTACCCTTATATCATATTAGCGAACAAGGCAAGTTGAACTGAGGCAAGGAACCGATGGAAACCTATGACACGTGCTATCCTTTTTAACTACCTAATGTATAAAGAGGGAGAGAGCGAGAGGTATAATCACTTTGGCGAAGCTCTGGAAAATAACTCATTAAGTTCAGGAATTGAAGTACTCAGAGGTAGTCAGTGAACATTGCAGCCAAGGCTGACAGCTCTAAATTAACGCCGCTGAGTTATTATGGGAACCGAAAGCCTTTAGGACCAAAGTTGGTAGTATAAAATCCTTAACTATACGAGGAATAGGTAGAATTAAACAAATTAGATAAGATCTTGACGATAGCCTCATCTTTCTAGTCTTTATTCTGACTTGCCATTCTACCTATTTCACCTAGTGAGTTACACCAACGCCAGTATTATTACGATCCGGAGGTATTACTATTTTTTTCCTATTTATATCAAAAGCTCAAGCGATGATCTGATGACAAGAAGTATCGATAGTAATGTAGCAATGTTCTTGTAATATATTGTAACGCTCACCCCTTACCAAGACTATCCAAGACCATAGGAAACCTCATAGCTATCGTACATCACAATCTACCTTTCTTCCAGCATACCAACTCAGGGGTATGTAATCGTTAAGTTCTCATGCATCACTACACATGAATCCTTCTCCCGACCTAGCCTTAGGTCAGGTAGCTACCTGGTATTTATGTCTGTAGATCGAGTATCAAGCCTCTTCTCATCAAACAAAGTGACCATCCCAAACACCCCCAATACATAACTCTTCTTCTCTCTCTTGTACTGGCACACTATCCCCAAACCTTACTTACTTACTTTAGATGCCTTACTTGCTCCCTCTAAATCCCCAACTGCTCATTCGACATAAAATGAGACCCCCCAGCACACCTATACCCACCAACCTGCGGAATCCACGCGAAACCCATGGGACACCTGCCCATTCTCATCAGCTTCTCCTGCATCATCTTCTCCTTCCTGACTCTCTCTTCCTTCTTCTTTCGCTCCTGCTCCGCAAGCTCGTGCCTCCGCCGCGCCTCCTTCAGCTTCCGCAGCTCCTCCTGCCTCTTCGCCTCGTCCCGCTCCCGCTGCGCCGCCTCTTCTTGTAGCTTTAGTTGTCGTTCTAGTTCTTCTGCTTCCTGCTTCGCTTTGGCTGCTTCGCGTTGCCGCTCGAGGAACGCCTCTTTGTCTCGCTGCAGTTGCTCCCATACCTCGTCCGAGACGCCCGCGTCCCGAATGCTGGCTTTTCCACCGCCGCCGCCACCGGATCCGTCCTTGTCTTTCTTAGGCGGTTCTTCTTCTTTTTCCTTCTTGTCGACTTTTTCCTCCGCAACTGTGTCCGTCGCGGTCGCGATCTTGGGTGGTGGTGGGGGATCCAGGGTTGCTAGTTGGACCGGTGGGGAGGGGAAGGGCATGGAGAAGGGGTTGTTGGTTTCGGTGGCCTTGGCTCGCTCGGTGCGTTCTTTGAGCATACCTTGGATGACGTCTATCACGATGTCCTCGGGCACCATGCGGTTGGGGTTAGGGGTTTTGGACTTCATGATCTTGGAGAAGATAGACTTGGTAAGGGTCTGTACGTCGCGGGCGTTGCCCCAAGATGGTGTCTGCGTAAGCGTTCCAAATAGACCCAGTAGTTTCGTGTCCAAGGTAGGTGATACCTCTAGGTCCTTCGTGTCTAGTTTCTTCTTCTGTAGGCCTTGTAATAGAAGGTCTCGACAGTGACGTGGTGGAAGGTTGGGGAAGGAGATTGTCTCGGGGAATCTGCTGGTCAAGCCGGGATTCTGGTTCATCAGTCGATTGATATCATTGTCGTAGCCGGCGAGAACTAGTGTTTAAAGTTAGCAGGTGTCAGGTAAGTATATATAAGAGTATTAAACGAAGCCCTGAACCCAAGTCTGTCGCTACTCTAGGCATGTTTTGAGAGGACGCAGTTGGAAAGCAGTGCAGTAAAGAAAGTGACTTGTAGGTATACTTACTGACTACAAGTTTATTGTGGTATTTTTCCTTGGTCAGACAATCAACAATCTCGTCCATTGCTTCCTTGGCAAAGTGACCTTCGGCAAGTCTGTAGGCCTCATCGATAAAGAGCACCCTTCCGAGGGCTTCGTCAAACTTCTTCTGGACCTTGGGGCCGGTGTGGCCAACGAACTGGCCTATTAGATCTGTTGCTGAGCAGTCCACCACAGTGGCATCCGCAAGGAAACCCATGTCGTAATATACCTTACCCATCCTTCTAGCCGTCGTAGTCTTACCGGTTCCTATCATAGGCTAAGTTAGAGATAGTTTAGATAGGTATTTATTTACTGGGGAAGGCAATTACCTGGTGGTCCACGGAAGAGAAATCCAAAAGGAATCTGCGAAGTGGGATCCATATCCATGGCTTTCATGTTCTTGACGACTTGCTGGTAGCCTTCTAGCTGCTCGATGATTTCTTCGCACCCGATAACATCTTTGAAGAGCATGCGAATATTGGTCGCGGCACGCTCGCCTCGGTCGAACTCGGGGTCAATATCTTCAGGAAGCAGTACGTCGGTATTTTTCTTTTGAGGATTCTCAGACAGACGCTTCTGTTGGGCGTCCTTAGCCCGGTCGAGGATGATGTCAACTTCGCCGGCATTACCAAAATTAGGTCTGTTACGGGCACGTCGGAGAACCTCGATAACGACCTTCTTTGCAAGCTCTCCCGCTCTGAATCCCTGTTGGCTCAATTTGAGATCGAGTATATGTCGAAGTTGATTGTCATCATAATCCTGGAAATTGAAGCCAGATGACATGGGGAACCGTCGTGATAATCCCGGATTGACCTTCTGGAACATATCCTCCATTAGTTCCTTGTAACCGAGCAGTAGAACACATCGGTCCTCAAGGGCAGTACTCTGGACTTCGGCGACGATGGTATCCACGACTGCTGTCTTAAACGGATCACCTGTACCCCCAACGCCCGAGCTTCCACCAGCGAGCATATAGGCTTCGTCGATAATAAGAACTTTCCCCTTCGTAGATTCGAGGATAGCTTTGGTGTTCTTTTCGGAGTGGCCGAGGTACGCCCCAACAAAGTCGGATGGGTTCTTGATAATGACTTCTCCGTTGCTTAAGAGGCCCAGTGCTTTCAATATCTTGCCGTAAAGCTTCGCAACAGTCGTCTTTCCCGTTCCTGGATTCCCGAAAAATACCTTATTCAGGGAACATTCAACGGGGGGCTGCTCCTTCATTTCTCGCTCGTAATTCATCTGTAGGCGATCGACGAGGACCATAACTGACTGCTTGACTGAATCCAAGCCTATCATGTTTTGGAGCTTCTGCCAGTCCTTATTGTTGGAGAATTGCTTGCTGGGTTCTGGACCTACAAGGTCAATATTCCGAAGTAGCAAGTCATTCGGTTGTTTTCCCTGTCGCCTCTCGTCGTGCAGGCGGTCCGCTTGCCTTTTGAGGATAATTGCCAGTACGTTCTCTACCTGCCGAGCGTTGCCGAACCCTTCCCTCCCTCGACCGCGGCCAATACGCCGCGCCACAACCCGCATATACAATCCATCAGGTTTGCCCTCGACCTGCATGCGGCTGTCGTACTTCTTTGTCAGCTGGTATTTCATGATCTCGAGAAGCTCGTCATCTTCGTAATCCTGAAAGTTCATCTCGATGGGAATACGACTAGGAATTCCCGGGTTGTGCGCGAAGAAGCCTTCCATCTGTTTCCGGTATCCGGCGAAAACGAACACAACCTTGCCTCTGAGATTCTCTATCTCCGCAAGGAGGAAGTCGAGCACCTGAGGGCCACCGGTGGAGCTCCCAGACACAATTTGGTATGCCTCGTCTAGAAAAAATACCCCGCCCCCCTTTTCGAGGATCTTGTCTATCAAGGCTTGGCAACCTTGTATCCCATCATTAGCCAATCGCGAACCGGTAGTCTCCTCAAAATGGTTGCCAGAGATCGCTCCAACGGAAGACAAGAACTTGGCATATAGCCTGGCAACTGTCGTTTTGCCGGTCCCAGGGTTTCCGAGTAGGGCAGCTCCGAATCTTTCATCCTTAGTGTCTACTCCCTGACGAACAGCCGTATCAATCCGTGCCTTGATTGCTAGGAATTCCTTCTTCACAGTCTCTAGCCCGATCATCTTGAATAGAGAGTCGAGGGCTTCGTTGAAGGCATTTTCATACTTTTTCTGATACTGCCAATCTGTTTCGGCTCCTGAAGGGCCTCTAGACGGAAAAGGCTTGCCTTGAGGGGTACCCGGCGTACTGTCATTAGAACTATCATCAGGAGTATCATCGTGGTTGCTACTGCCATCTTTGCCATCTTTGCCATCTTTGTTATTAACATTGTGGCTATTGCCATGACCGTTGCTGTTACAATCTTCAGTTTTATTGCCATTTTCGGGTTCCGTGCTTGAAGTAGATGGATTCTCAGCAGGCCATTGACCTGGCATATTGTTGGCGGATGGTTTCTCCTGTGAAGAGGTCTGGTTTCCATCTTTACTAGGCTTGGCTGTCCCCTTAGGTGTTTGCTGCTTAGCTTTGGTATCCGGTGGGGGACTGTTATTTGTAACAACAGGTTTCCGAGCCTGTTTTGTCAACTCTGCAAGTTCGATGCGGTGCTGTTGCAAAGTCTGCTCCTTTATCCTTTCCTCCTGGGCATCTTTAATAATCTTCCTCTGCTTCTCTATATCATCTTGGAGGGATTTCAGAAGCTTAGCGTAAGCGAGCTGCTTCGCCTGTCGCTCCTGTTCGAGCTCCTTATCTCTACGGGCTTTGCGGATCTTTTCTTCCTTCTCTCGACGGCAAGTCTGGCAAGCGGGTGGAGTTTTATTGAAACAATTCCATGTAAGTTTATGCTTCTGCGAACAAACATCGGTGATGATCGCGTCGCAAGGCATTTTCGAATGATCGACTCGTATGTGGCATCGCCTTGAGCATGTATGCTTACCACAGGATAACATTTCATTGCATGGCAAAGTACATCCTCCATCAGGGCAATAAAGCTCGAAATCGTCAGGTGAGCGAACAATATGTTTTGTGTCTGGGTGTTTTTCACACTTGAGGGGAAATCCATTATGGATTCTCCCATCCTTTTTCAAATGATCAAACAACCTTATCCACTCGTCTTTTCCCTTCTTAGCGTTCATGAATGTACTCGTATTACCAATCATGATTAATGCATTTCGAGCTCTGGAAACAAGCACGTTAAGTCGTTCTGGGGCACACATGAATCCAATGTCCCCATCATCATTACTGCGAGTTAATGAGGCGACGACAATGTCGCTCTCTTCGCCCTGGTAGTTGTCAATAGTGGAGAGGCGGATTTGCTTCTTGTTCACTTCCGCACTTTCGGCTGGCATTTCCCCGGATTCAACGAGATCATGTGAGTCCAGGTCGTTCAAAATCGGATCATGGTCCTTGCCGAGTTTGTTTCGAAGTAATGATAGTTGACCCTACGGTATGTTAGCGGTTTAAGCGTATATGGACGCTTGACTGAAACTTACTAGATATGGGGTTAAAACTACTATATTTGAAGTCTTATAGTTCTGTTGACCCAGGTAGCGAACACACTTTAAGACCATGTCTGCTTCGAAAATGTTCTGCTTACTTGCCCCAGCAGTCGGATCAAGCTTGTCGACAAGGACATTATGTCTCGCTTCAAGGTAACGGTGATTGACAAAGACGACATTACCTTGGAATCCCAATAGTTCCGGCCGATTTTGCGTATCTTTTGCATCTTGGAGGTCAGGATAATTATGTCTTATCAGTGCTGAAATTTCCGGCCTCATTCTGTGCTGGTTCAGCAGCGTACAGTGAGGCTGCCCCTGAAGTATAAGCCGCTCAAACAGCGACCGATTGAGATCGTACCCATGTCCAGCTTCTACAGTGAGCTTAAAGTTCTTTACTTTTGGTCGAAGCTGCTTGTGATCACCGATTTGGACGAGTTGTTTCGTGCTAGGACCCATAGCCGCAAGGATATCTTCGAGTGTATCGAATTAGCGAGTGATATTGAAAGAATAGGACGATGGACTCTTTTCGAGTGTAGTAGTAGTAGTAGTAGGTACCTGTAGAATGATTTCTGGGTGAATGTAGACAGATGGCCACAAATATACTCAAAGGGGGTGTAGGGCTGGGTGAACAATATTGGAATATACATACGGCTTTCTAGAATTTCTCCCGCTTCCTCAACTATGATAATCCCAGGCGCAGCAGCCTGTATCTCTTGCGCGTACATGGAAGCTGCCGTAGTAGTGCAGCAGATAATACGCTTACTTCGGAGAGTTTGCTCCGTTCTCTCCTTCCGCAGGCTCTGTAGAGTCTTGTAGGTCTTGTTGAAATCAGTAATCCACTTGGAGAGTGTGGAAATCCTTTCTCGGCGAATCTCATCCTCCCACTCCTGTATCTTCGCATGACGATCTTGCTTCTTCATACCCCATACCTCCTTACTCGAGGCATCTGACTTTTCCTTGCCAAAGGGACCCGGTGGTTTTCCTTTTGCCCAGAGATCAAAGAGATAATAAGGCTGCATTGAGGCACCCTTTTTCCCAACACGGGTTTCGCCATCTGCTACTTTTGGGACCTCCAGCGCATCAAAGAAGTGGCTTTCCGTATCTGAGAACTCTATGAATTCTAACAAATCGTTATAAGATATGCGAGGCTGCGCAAAGGTAGCGAAATGCTTTTCTACTCCTTCGGCTAATGATTGCAGCTTTCCTTTCTCAGAGGCAATTAGGTCATACCGAGTTCTCGATACTTTAACGTAGCCAGACGTCTGATTTTTCAGGGTGAGTGCTTCAGTTCGATCAGTGAACTTTGATCCGAGTCGGACAATGTAATTTGAGTTGATCCCAATATCGAGCAAGTCCTCGATGAATTGGTCCAGAGCGTGGTTTGTAAATGATAGTACTAGCAACGTCTCCTGTGTTTCATCCAGTAATATCTTCGTTAGGAGAGCACCAACTAAAGACTTTCCAGTTCCTAGTCTAAAGGTTAGAATGGATAGTTTTATACTAGTTTCTTTGGGCCTTCATACCTGGTGGACCTTGTATCTGGCATGTTTGACACTGCAAACCATATATGAGGGCTTTGACTTGCGATGGATCAAGATTAATGCTTTTGGTTGTCTTGATCAGGTCCTGCAAATCGGTCGGGGAAGATAAAGACCTTTGCAGAGCATCGATGACTTCCTGTGGCTTAACCGGCGACTCTTGTGGTTCCTTGGAACGAACTAGGATATCGTGGTCGAGTTCAATATCAGTCTTTCGCTTTAGTCGCTCCAAAACTGGTTCGTAAGCGAAAATCGGAGTTGAAACAAGTAAGAAATCGACCGTGCCTCTCTGTAGGGCTAACAAAAGGTTTGCTAGCATGTTTTCACCAACAACCTGTAAGCAGAGACGAGGTGGATGAAGAGCCAGCTTTTCTTCGTTCCTGTCTAGAGATGCAAATGCCAGGAGGGTATCATCCTTCATAAAGCATCCAAAGCTTTGGTGCTTTAGGAATCCCGGAGATTTCTTTAACTCCTTTTTCCTCTTTTCGATGCTTTCACTCTTCATGTTCAAGATATCCTCGGAGCATCTGAGTACTAGATTGCATGGCCGTTCATTCGTCATTGACTCTTTGTGTATGTCCTCCAGTAACAGATCTTTGATGATCATGTTTCTCCAATTTTTCTTCCTGGTTTGGCTTCTCATATTCTTGAGATCTTCACGCATATCGGCAAGCATGTCTTCTCTGAGTAGACGGAATTGGTTATCAAGATGATCGAGCGCTCGATTTAGGTTTCCTTCTTCGAACGCTACCGCGGCCTGCGTATAGAAAGGTCTCTCGGTAGATTCCATCTCGTCTCGGGTAGGAAGGATTGATATGTCATGGTAATTAGTGAAGTCGTTATCATGACGACCCCCTGGACTAAATTTGTTGACTAGATGGGAGCTCGCGGTAGACTCTGAAGGTTGGACTAATGCCCTGACCTTCTGAAATGTGCCTCTTGATGCCGGAGGGCACGATTCTTCGAGCTTCTTGAAAGTGTCATCTTGACAGAGTGACAATGCAACCTCTCGAAACTTGGATGATTGTGACTGTGGTAGCAGTATTAGCTGCAACAGTAGCCAAGCAAAGCCTTCTAGGGCTTGAGGCTCAATTTGTTCGGATTTGACATTTTGGATCAAACTGTCCCAAAATAACGGCGGGTCAACCATAACCCATAGGACTTGGTTGAGGAGTTCACCCTCGCAAAGCCTTTGCAGAGCAGGGTCGGCGAGGAACTTCAAAAGGCTCGAGACATGGTTGTTCATAAATTCAACCGAGGTATCTATTGTCAAAGACTTGTGCAGCGCTTGTTGGCCAACCTTTGATGAAGCCAACCTCTCGATGCAATCTGGCTCGTCAGTTCTGTTGACGATTGACTCGAGAAACCTTTGTGCATCCCTAACCCCCTCAAAAGGTTTCCCCTTCCCTTCTAATATTCTATAGAAGAACTTATCAAGAGCTCGAGACCGGGAATTGGTGTCCTGATCTTGAGTTGGCGATGGTCCGCTAGCAGCTGCTTGGTACGACATCGTGGCGTCGTTGGTAAGAAGTAAATATTACTTGATTAGAAGATTGGAGAAGCCGTAGGGGAGAGTAAAGGTAATAAATCTGAGGTAGGTATGAAGTAAAATAGGTAACATAAGACGAACAATTTAGACTTTCTGCTTAAGTTAGGAGGTAGTCATGATGAACAGGCATTTCCCCTCGATTTCGAGTTTCGAGTCTCTTTGTTTCAGGCCGATAAACGTTGGTTTGCTATTCGGCGGCAGGTTGCATTATCTCATATCTCATATTCCCCCTAGCCAACCCGCATACATGTAACACAGTACCGTGCGTGTCTTGACTTTAGGTATCATACTGCTGCGCCCTGTTATTTGACCTAAGTGCGGAGTAAATTATGCCTATCATGCGGGCACACGAACAAGTGTATAAACGCGCAAACGCGCAAACGCTCAATCGCGCAATCGAGACTCTCCTAATGGAATGCTACTTGATGCTCTTTGATGCCAACACACTTATTTCTTAGGCACACTTACCGCAATATCCGCAACTCGGGTCACACCCTGTAAAGTCTAGCGAGAAATCATCATCATCATCATCATCCGATTCGTCAGATTCACCCTTCCGTGAAAGCAGGCTGGGGTAACTATCGTCTTCATCCTCATCACTCAGGCAGGCTGCGCCATCGCTGCCTAGTCCATGATGCGGCCTAGCCCACATATCCCTCCAATCACTTGGGAGTACTTCCCGAGGCTTGCCGCCTTGCTCCCTCAATTCGAGTGGTCCCGACCCTGTTCGACACAGTTCGAGCTTCAAATGGCCTGCCCGCTTGACCTCAACAATCAGTTGGCGCAGAATGGAAGCGAATCGCTGAAGTTCGGATTGATGGCTATTTTCCCAATCGAGCAATTCCTGTTGGATGGCCTTTTCTTGGACATCTTCAAAGTTCCCTGTAAGATGATATGCGGTAATGAAGTAGGGTATCTGTCGGAGCCATAGTCTAGGAAGTTGCTCATTCATATCGACTGGTGCACCTGTTTGAGATCTTGCCTTGGACCTCGTCTTAATTTCAATGATTGATTGCTGAGGTATTATCTTTCCGGCTGTTTCGATAGCAGGTGACTCTGCAAGGTCCAAATCATCTAGTTCAGTAACCGTAGTAGCAAAATCGTCTTTACCATTTGCCAAGTATCCGTCGCACTCAAAACGAACCAAGCAGTTCAATCCGCTGAAGGAATATGAGATGATACGCTGGTGCGATTTAGTTTCCTGCACCTTGGACTCATAAGAGGTAAAAGAGTCCAAGAAGGAATGACCGTATCCGCGAACGTCGGGAATGACTTGATCGCGACAATTGCGGACCATGAATAGGGTATCCCCAATCATTTCAACGTCAAACCTGAAGGTTAAATCAACCGATCGTACGAACCGGAGAATGTCTCCGAGGGAACTCGCGCAGCCCATAATGTCAATTTTTGACGTGTCAAACTCTTTATTCAGAGAAACTAGAGAATAGACAGAGGGCAGCATAGGATGGTCGGGAAACCTTGCTCCATTATGATCTCGAAGATAATCTCCACGATCTCCAGGGAGTTGTGAAGGTAACTGGGGCGGTGTCCAAGTTGCTGGTTCTCCTATTTACCGTGTCAATATCCTGCGCATGGTGAATGGTTTCTCATAACAAACCTGGAACAATAATTTTAGGGGTTTTGGAATCAACTAGAGAATATGAAGCTGCATATCTGCAATTGGTAATCTTCGCATCGCCCGTATTGTAGTTCGAATTACTTTCTAAAGCAATCTTCGTGATAAGGCGACCGAGAGGAGCATCGTCGGCAATGCCTCTAGAGGGTTGATCTTGGCTTCTACTCGGATTAGGGCCATGTTCTCTTCCATCATTGCCTCGCCCTCGCCCTCGCCAGCTGCCGCGACCGCGACTGCGACTACTAGTCCCACCACGATCACCACGCCCACGCCCACGATCACCACGACCACGCCATTGACCACGGGTAGAGTTCGAAGGCACTCTAGGAATTAATGTGCTCATGTTTTGAGTGTGGCAGGGAGCGAATTTGAGTAAAAGGTTAGGTAATTAAGAGAGTGTTTCTCTGGTCTAGTGTCTTTGGGATGTTAGGATATATAAATATATACCTTATAAAATGGTATCTAATCTCCATAACCCAGAGAATGTAGAACAGCAACAATGCATACTACCCTAATGGGGGGCTATGCCACGTCTATTAAGCACGGATTTATGCACAATGAAGAGCGACTTTCCGTTGCACAAACGTAGGTACCTCTTATCACCTACCAAAAACCCGTACTGTGTACCTGAGGTATAGGGGAGTGACTTACAATTCTAGCCTTACCTACCCGCCATAACCCCGCGAAAAGGGTAGCCATAAGACAATCCTTGGCTGGACTAAAACGAAGGCCGACTTCTAAACTTAAACATGTTATGTACTTCGGTTTTCTATTCTCTCCCCCCTTCTTTTAAATATATATATATATTTTAATTTTCTGCAACAGTACCTTCACCGGAACGAAGTGTTATTAATGATGCTTAGCGAAGAGCTCCTAGATTAAGTTTAGTAACATATCGACACCATAAGAAATGTCGACATTGATGATATGCCCGTAGATTTAATGTTACGTCGAAGGACCTCGAGCATTCGGTCCATGTTTCGTATAACTCCATGCTTGGGATGTGTTCAATGCCGTTTAGGGACCATCTCATTGATGCTTTGGATCTCGAACGTAGCGATTATCGGGTCGATCATTGTGTTCCCCAGAAAGATGTAACGAAGGCAACGATAACATTCTGTCGCAATAAAAAGGGGCTCAAACCTCGCTTTCTCTCACTTTTGATCCAGAAAGCCAAATCACTTCTTTGCATAGGTAGCTAATCCGAAACCAGATATAATTTTCGGGTATGACCATCAGCGTATATTCTCCCTACAGCAGCGGATTCACGGGGGCAGCTATAACGGGTTCAAAAGCATGGCTGATGCCAATCTCAACTTCCCATACCTGACCCTAGAAGTGAGAAGCGACGTTTGACTATATCGATGCGATGATTTTGTCGGTGGCCACATATGCTTGGATATAACCTGGGCGGTCCTCAGGGGACCAAGACATATTCTTGCTCGCTTAGACCCGTACGGCTCCTGGATTTAGGTGATACGGAGAGAAGTAGTGACGAAACCACAACGCAGTCCTCGCTACTATACAAAATGCATTTTCAGCTTCTCAACTAAAAGACCGTTCAATCATCAATTTTCCGTATCCAGCAGTGGGCTGGACACAAAAGGCCGCAAGGAATGGGAAGTCGACGGTTATCCTCGACATGAGTATCATAGGATCAACCAGTTGGACATGGTAGAGCTAAGAAAAATGGAACAAAGAGGGGAGGAGAAACAAGCAGCAGAGAAGTTTTGATGCCCAGATAGAGAGTACCAGGAGTAAACGACCACTTCGTATAAGACTCAGTTATTGCAGCATCTCTGTCTCTCCCCACAATTTTCCTAACCCCATACGTTAGGTAACCGATCTATAACCAAAAAGTCAGCCTCCTGGAACAACAAGCAAGGAGCGTTGAAGGGCGGGAGGCTGGGGAGTTGGGCGATCCTCAATGCAAGTCATATGTGCGTATGAGACTCAGCCAACCTAAGACACACACGATTAACCACCGTCGGCCCTGGCTTGGAATTGAAGAAGGCGGGGAGGAGCATGAAAGCGCCAGACTTTTTTCGTTCTTGGTAGGGCGAGTTTCCACATCCGATAAATATCCCTATCTAAGGTTTTAGGTAGTAGGAGGTAAAGTACGGGATCCATCGAGCTGTGGATTTTTCCCAGCCTCCCCGTAACCAAAAGAATGGGACCTCCCTGCCCTACTCCTCCCACTCCTCCCTATCTCCCTGGACTCATACCCCGGCCCCCTCTCCCCCTCCAGGAGATACCAAAACGTAACCCTAGCCGCTGCAGCGGAGCCGCGGAAACTTATCGTGCCCAGATATGGGAGTCGAAGCGAAAAGAGGGAAAATGTACTTTGGAGAAAATAGAAAATAACACGAAAAAAAAAGGTTAAAGGGAAATAATTGGAATAAAAACAGAAGAAGACCTTGGTGATCAACCGTAAGCGAAAGCGCCCGGGTACCGATATGGTAGGAGGTAGGTAGCGCTTGGGAGAGTCCGTTTTCGGCCTCGAGAGTGTGCGGCTTTTGAGGGTTTTATCTTATTTTGAAAACAACAAAATATGGGGTTGGTAGTCCATAATAGCCACCCTAATAACCCTCCTAGGCTGGGTTAACCGCCCCCTAACCAGCCCTATGTAGGAGGCTAGCAAAGCACGGTAGCGTACCTCCATGGATGTCTGGATTTACTGTGTAAGGGGAAACTTGCATGCATGAAGGTTCAACCATATGGTTTCCAAGTCACAAGTAAGGAGGGCAGAGTGAGATTTCGTATTTGGAGACACGGCCATGGTAGATGATTAAGAGACTGGTGAAAAATGAGGTAAGATGATGATTCTATTTCCTTTTCAACAATAGTTGATATCCAAAATAAGATAATAATAAAAAAAAGAGTATAAACAATAACCGCCGACCTATCAAGCGCATTCATTTGTGCGCGATATGGGGGATATCGTACCCAGGTATCCCAGTTTCCTCTAAAGCGCCTAGCCTTTCCCTTTTGTGTTCTCCTCCCGAAGCCATAATAAATCTCTTAAAAAAATACAAACCAGATCTCGTATATCTTGAGATCTCAGAGAAGAGTAGAATAATAAGTAGTAATAGTTAGACAAAGTAAAGCATGTGAAAAGAATGGAATCGAGGCACGTGGACTTCACCTCCAGGTGCTGTGTAATTTGCTTCGCCGACTCCTCGACGGCTTGAGCCCGACATCCCCATTTATCATCAGGCTCCTCCACCTGCGCCCGATGCTGCTCCGGTCTTTGCCCAGGCTCCGCGCGCAGTCCTGCCAATCCGTCTTGGACAGCTTGAGCTTCTCCAGGACTAGCTCGACTAGTATCCGATCGTCCTCTTTGCTCCACTGCTCGCCATCCGCTTCCACTTCCACGTCGGTACCTTCCGCTATGCTCATGCTCATGCTCATGCTCATGCTCATGCTCTTCTCCTCTTCCTCCCTTGCAGTAGTAGAATGCAGGTTGTGGAAGTCTCCCCGCCCCAGACCTAGCGGTATTACTTCCGGCGCGAGGCGAGCGCGCTTTGGTGTGCTAGGTCGTGCAGATGCTTCCTCGCTGTCTAGGCTCCGATCGCCGTTCTCTGAACCGCTTATCTCTAGATCGCTGTCGATATCGTTGTCGCGACCCATGTCATCCTCGACCGCACGGCGTCGCTTATTGGCGCCGCGGGGTGGCGCTCGTTTTTTCACGACTCTCTTCCTGGGCAGAGCGTCCCCATTGGTGTCTGCTGCTGCTGCTGCTGCTCTGCGCGATCGCAGGCGCAGTTTCAGAGGGGGAAGAGCGGTGTGAGCCATCGGCGGTGTAGGCAGCGGATCCCGGTGGCGCGCGTCGACGTTGGTGTTGGTGTCATTTGATGTGATTGTCGCGGGGGCGGTAAGCATGGATTGCAGCGCGCGACACGACTGGAAGATGTTTCCGAGCGTGCTGTTGTGCGCGTTCGACGGGGGACTAGCAGGTGGCGACGCGAAAAGAGCGGATTGAAGCCTAGTGACAGGCGGGTGCGAGTCGCACGAAAGTGCGGACGGCATTAACATCTTGAAAGACTTATTCGAGTAATGATTGATTGACTGATTGATTGATTTATACTTGTTTGCGTCGCGTTAAGTGCGTGTCGAGAGAAAAGGTTGCTCCAAGCGGGATTAAGTTACGAGGATTTAAGTGAAATGCGACTATGGCGGGAATGCGATGCGCGCGGTATAGTTACCTAGATAAATACCAGTTGCGCAAATAGTTATATAGATTTAATATGAATAATAATATATAAATCGTATTATAGTCTTTATATGAAACAGTAGCTTGTTGGCGATAGTAATGCTAAAGTTGGCTGGTGATGGTTAAGATTGTTATGCGACGGGAAACGCGGGCGATCAACGGTTGCTAGGAGATGAGATGTGTAAGTGGGAAAGTGGAAGCTCGGAGTGGGAGGAGAGACGGGAGGGCTGGAATAATGCGCCTAATAAGACCAGAAAAAGAAGAGGATCCCCCAGGAACGGGCCAAAAACTGCACTGCCTGTCCAGGTTGCACGGATGGTGGATGGTCCACATGATACGTACCGCATTTGGCTTAGAAGTGTACACCTTGGGACCACTGTAATATAGTGGATCTGTGCTCAGGTACTGATCCAGCTTAACCTCTACGGAGAGTGACCTCATTGATCTAATTGACCCATTTGCCCATCGAGAGAGTTACAAGGGAGGATACAGGTCTAGTACCTGAGAAATAGATCCACCTTAACATAAGGTACTAGTGTACACACCTAGTCCGTACTTGTAAACCGTATTTCCAGACGAACCAGGGGGTGAGCAGAAGGTGTGAAGGTTCCAAACTTTACTACGGTTTACCTACCTCCTATTATCTACCTACGTACCTACGTACCTAAATGGAAGCAAGCACTTCCACCCCGATCGAGACTTTGACACAACCCTTACACAACCTTACACCATGATTCTAAACCCCCTTTAGTAAATCATCACTTCTCAACTCTTTAGCTCCTCTGAAGATGGTGTGCCACGAGGACAACCCGCTAGACCTGATCGATCCGTCCAGGTCCATTGCCCTTAAAAATTAGACGTTGTAACTTCGTCTGCCTTGGGGATAGTCTTACAATATAGTCTCAATTAGAATCCCCTTTTTTTGCGATGGTGTGCTACTTATTACTTAGATAGACTATCGTCAGACTGACTATAACTTCCTATCTAGACCTTGGAGGGTTCGACTCTGCAACCGCCCTTCGTGCCCTCAAGATTTACAAGGGGGAGTTATTGTCGACCCCTAGAATGTGCAATACGTAATGGATCTACGGATTAACAATACGTAGTCTGGAGCTGTGAATGTGTGAATGGTATCAGATGGGCGTGACGCTTTTCTGAATCCCCCTCATGCGGTGAAATCCGCCGTAGAAGCGTGGACAGTCCAAGAGCACTGGTGGAATTCCAGTCAGCTTAGCCGGCTTAGGTGACGAAAGCCCTAAACGTGATTTCTTACCTGTACTTCTGTTACTGGTCATACCTCATACTACGTACTTCGATATCATAGAACAGGCAGATATCGAAATTCCCGTCGATCCCTACGCAGCACATGACGATTTCTTAGATTAAGATGGACTTCTATGTCGTAACATTGAAGGTATACCCTATATTCGTCTTACTATCAAGATCACCCCTCCTTCTCTACAGCCCTTGCATACTGATAATGCATGCAGGGCGATAGAGAGATTGAGGAGATAAATGGTCGTAACATAAACCGTAATCCATCTGTCAAGCAGTCATCTTTTTCAATAACTTGTTTATATTTCACCTCCTAGTTTAACTGTAACTAGGTAGTTATTATGATAATATAAGACATTTTACTATCTATAGACTTTTTTTTTTTTTTTTTTTGAGATTAACAAAGTTTTCGGCAGAGCCGTGAAGGACACACCGTTGGGGGTTAAATCGGTTGGTTCATTGAAGTAACTTTGCATCGGCAGGCTCTCTCTCTCTGGGCTCTGCATGCACTTTACGCAAAATTCCCCGGTTGGTTTCGGCCGGTATTTAGTGCGATCATTGGGCATAGCATGTTGATCATTATCGGGGGGAAGAGGGGGGGGCACAATAGAAAGCCAGCGAAAGCCTAGTGCACACTAGATGGAAATCGAAGAAGGAGGGGGGACGGGGGGAAGAGAGGAACTAGATAAGACAAGACTTGGGAGACGCGTAAAGACGCGAAGTCGACGCGTCGAGAACGAATCGCGTTTAATTGGATTCCAGATACTGACCAATTAGAACGTCCTGCTCCATATTTATGCTCGTCATCTAACTTCTGATTGGTCTCATAGACCCTGGCCGCTTTTTAGGCGCAACGTCGTGCTAGGGCCGTATGTAACGAGAATAGGGTTTTTCTGCAGTTACATCTTCTCTGCCCGTGGTCAGTCTCTTTCCTCGTACGGTGCAAATAGGTAATCGAACGGACGGATAGTTCAGGTTGTAAAATCAAAGTAAATGATAAATGGTAACACCCTTCCACCGTAAACGGTAAGCCACAAGAATAACAAAGTAGGTAGTGACCGGGTAAGACACAAGAACATTTTAACTTTCTATACTACTATGAGGTAGTTATTGCGTCACTTCAAGTCCCATGTTAACTTCCCTCGACTTTAATTCGGCTCTGGGTTTCATCGGCCAAGCTAATGTTTGATCTACCCGTCATCTACCGTAGCCAATCAGCTAGAGCGACCCGTTGGGTTTTAAGAAAGGGTTACCTTAGGTAATTAAAGACAATTTCTATATATTTAACTCTAGTCCATAGATACCTAGATAGGCCTGTCATAAGAAGTCTCCCTGTTGTTAAAGATCAGAGATTCAGCAACAGATTTTAATACCCACGTGAAAAACTTAGCTACGCCTTGATATCAATATCAATTATTCTGATCCAATTTGGTATCGTTAACGCATACTATTCTCCCTTACAGTGTGTAACCAACTATATCTCTTACTGCGGAGCTTCTTCTACACAAGCTTATAAGCCTATAAGTTCATACAATTAGATTTCGTATTCCTTTAAGAAAGGGCTAGGAGATTACCCTAGGTAAGCATTAAAAATTCTGTTCTTTTGTCCTTGGTCATTTCCATGACTAGGATATCCTGAATATTGACTCCATGTTATCATACCGCTTGGGCTACGGCCCGTATTCATGAATTATTACGCTCGTGTCAGGTAAAGTAAATCATGGCAACTCGTCCTGTATGTGGACTACAAGCGAGCGCCTTGTAGCACATAATTTGCTAACCAGCTCCGTAAATACATTGGCGTTCGTAAGAATCATGTCCACGACAAGACGATAAAAGAGACAGTTCGCCCGTATCCATTTTTAGGTTGGAATTGACTATACAGGCCGAGTTCGTGAAAAGGGAAAAGCACTATAAGCTTGCCTGAGGACATCAAGTGGACGAAGATTTGGGTGTGCATACAGATCTACTCTCATCTTTCCAACAGGTGCACGTGGCATTCACGTGATGCCTCGATCCTTTCGATTCGAGCCTGTAGGTAAGAACATGCCTACTAGGTACATATGTAGCCACTCCATCTATTTGCGCCACTTGGTCAGCTTATTCCCCTTGTATGTATTATGAGAGCCTCACGCGTAGAAGGGCGTTAATGCTTTCGAAACACGCGATATAATCTGCGTTAACGCACGTGTTTGTATGTTTACCTGTATTCTAGGCAAGCATCCGCCTACCGTTCATGATCTATAAAGTTTTATGCATACTTCGTCCAGCTAGGTCAACCAGCTGAAAGGCAAATAGGCCCCCCAAAATGGCGCTCTTACAGTTACCTAACGAACTCCTTACTATGGTTACCAATTACTTGGACATCGAAGACATCTCGAGAATCTGCCGTAGTTGCAACATTCTATATCAGGCATTGGATCACATTCTTTACCGTCGAGTTGCCGACAAAACCAAAGTTCTTTTCCAAGTAATCGATCGGGGACAAACTCGAGTAGTTCGGAAACTGTTAGCAGCGGGCACCAACCCGGACCAGGCTTTGTTCACCTATCCTTTTCATGGCATAGTGGAAAACCGCCGGAACCTACAAGACTACCAGATGCAGCTAATTTTATTCGAGCGGGAGGGTAGAAGAATGCAGAGAAGCGGTGACCTGTCTGTTCAGCCGCCTTCGCATTTTTGGACATCTCTCCATCTTGCTGCTAGTCGGGGCCACAATGATATCGTCAACTTGCTATTGAACCACGGCGCGAATGTCAACGCTCTCTCCTACGGATTCTGCCGCTGCGATTACATGCCCAAGTCCCCATGTGCACTTAGCCCTGAGTTACCAGACATGGACAAAGCAGAGCTTTTATGGTGGATGCCCCTTCACACAGCTATAGTATGTCCATGCATACCATACCCCGTTTAATCCGGTAAAAAAAAATACCACTATATTTCCCAATAGCTTATGCTTCATTCTAGTGCCATAAACAATATACTACAGCCTATATTCTAGTAACTCGAGGCGCCTCTTTCCAAGTGGCGCCCAGAGCATTAGGTTCCTCGAGCAGCTATGTAACCGCTCTACACATGTCAAGCTGTACAGATGCTTTCCATTTTTCCAACTTCCTCCTAGACTACTACAAGCCTCCCATTGATATCAAAGATCATCACGGTATGAGCTCGATTCACTGGGCCTATAAGTCGGATCGTTGGGGCATGGTCAAGTGGCTGGTACGACACGGCGCAGACATCAATACTTGCGATAACGAGGGTTGCACGGTACTTCTGGATGCGTGCTCAGCGGGTCGCTTCTCGATGGCGTTGAAGATGATGGACATGGGTGCATGGCACGACACCGGCTTCAAAACTACGCCTTTACATTGCTGCTGCGGCATTATTATTCCGCCCAAGCAAGTCGCCCATTCAGACAATGAGGAGTGGTGTTCCCCTGAAAGTGATCAATTTAAACTCATAAAGCGTCTCGTCGAGGCTGGGGCGGATGTCAATGAACGGAATAATGAAGAAACCCCTTTAGCACTCGCGGCTGAGCGGGGTTTAGGTCCTATTATAGAGTACTTATTGGATGCCGGAGCGGTGCTTGACGCTCGGGATGACAGGGGAATGACTCCGCTCATGAGAGCGTGTAAGTGCGGCGGTCCAGAAAAGTATCAACTCTCGGCTATCAGGATACTACTTCAACGAGGTGCATCGGTAGCCGCCGTGGACATCGACGGACGCAACGCGATAGAGATCGTATGTAGCAAGCGGAATGACCATCGAGATAAATTTTCCATCGTAAAACTACTGCTGGAGTACGGGTCATCTCACAACGCAGCTAGCAGCTCTACCGAGTCGCTAATTTACGAACTGTACATGAGCCGCGGTATGGAGATTTGCGAACATCTGATGAAGCTCAACACGAGAACCCCATCGAAGCAGGAACTGGGCTCGATGATATTAAAAGCAATCGAACAAAACGACGCTGTTTATCTCCAATTTGCTTTGCAGTTCAAAGACGCGACTAAATTGTTGAACACAAGGACACGCTTATTCGACGCCGTAAAGTCAAGAAACTTCGAGGTTGCGCGCGTCATCCTCGAGGCCGGCGCGCCTTGGGAATACGCCCCCAAGTCAGGCTGGACCACTTTCATCGACGCTTGCAAGGGCGGAAACATATCGCTCCTGCAGATGCTATTGGAAAGGGGCGCTGATCCCAACTAGTCCACCAAAGTCGGAGAGACCCCGCTCGACATAGCCGTCACGGAACGGGACCTCGCCTTGTTCGAGTTCCTGCTCGACAACGGCGCGAATCCTTCCCCCCCGCGAATTTGCGGACTGACAGGCAAACCCCACGCCGGGGCCCTTTTCCGAGCTGTTCGGTACCATCACTCCGGCATCGTGGAAGCCATTATGAGGCGGGACCTATTCCGCTTGGCGCCGGCCACCGAGCAAATCTATTCTATGTGTTACTTGTGCAACCAAGACGCGCGTACAGACCAGGCCTCGAATGAATGCCTGGAAGCTCTCCTGCGCGGAGGTGTCGATCCGAATATGCCCCTCCTGCGATCTTCGACGCTTGATTATTTCCTCCCATTGCAGGTTGCGATGGCGAAGAAAAATCAGGAAGTGGTCGATCTGCTGCTGAAGTACGGTGCAACTCCCCTTGAGTGAGCGAGATGGACTACCTAGATGGTCTTCGTCAGGAGAAGATCCTCGGAAGGTATGGAATAAATGCTTGGTTTGAATCATATCTTGATTGGAGTTTTTCGGTTATCTTTTTGGACGATATTTGGAGCAGGAGTATATAAATACTTGGATTTTTCTAGTATGAAGTGCGGGCGGTTCATCATTTTTCTCCTTTTTTTGCTTCTTGTCCGGATGGAAGGGAAAGGGGGGTCGTTGACACAGCTGGATGGTTTGATAGTGAGTACCCAATATACACGTGGATTCAAGGACGGTCTTTACGATTCATATTTACCCTCTAGGTGCCTAGGAGGTAGCTATTTATTCTGCGGCAAATATAGTATCAACCGGACTGGCTGCGAATAGAAATATGTCTCTTAAAGCCAGTGTCTACCTTACTTTAAGTGTGATCATACAAGACATCAAACAAGACAATACTACCTCTGCCCGACAGTCGCTACATTTGTAAATCATTCGATAGATGACAGCTTTCAAAATGACTACCTAGGTACCTAATCTAACCTAACCCAATCCAAGATTTACACCAACGCCTATGTACATCCAAAAAATCAATATACTGTTACATTAATAATTATCAGTGGACGATCAACAGAGATTCTTGCTTTGCTGTCGTCTCTTCGATCCGAACAACCTGAGGAGCTACCAGACGACAATGTTGACGCCGCCCGACATACTTATCGCTCCGCGGAAACGCGGCAACGATCTTGCTATCAAGCCTAGAGGGAACATCCGATTCCAATTTGCGAACCACAACCTGGGCCGGGAATTCCTGCTTGCTCACATGGAAGCTTCCCCCCTGGTAAAAGCTGATGCTCTCCAGCGCGACGATGCTGTCCCCGACGCGAACCTTCTCGTCCACAATAGCCGCCACCGAGTTGTTGAGCAAGGCTATCCGGGACGGGATTCGCGGGTCGTGCACCCTGTCGTCGTACATCTTCATCACCAGCTGGCAGGCATTGTCGTTGCTGATGCCGTTCAGCCAATCCATAGGGCGTCTGCCCCCGTCTTCGAGCGTGCGTCGCAACCAGCCGTACTCCGCCCATACTTTCGACACGGCGCCTTTGACGGGGCTGTGCGACGCTTTGGAGAAATAGCCGCTGCCCCCCGTCGAGTCCACGTTCCCTAGCCCGCCTTCCTTGGGCGACCGAGGGCGCGGGAGAAGGACGCTGCTGATGTGCGTGACGACCAGCGGAGAACGGTGGGATTTGATCAAGAGCACGTCCTGCTCGGATGTTGGGGGGCCAAGCTGTACTCCGTGAAGATATGCCCCAGCCCCATGAGGAGATTCCAACTTGACGTTGAAGCCCCAGTCGGGCACCCACGACGGGAGACTGGATCTGAGGGGAGAGTTGGAGATGTTGGACACCGCTCTACCGAGACCGTGATACTTCATCATGTACAGGCCGACGTCGATGAAGACCTCCCGAGCCGTCTTGTTGTAGTCGACTTGCACGAACTCCCCGACCTCGGGACGGTCCTTGTGAAGCCCCATGTTCGCATATATCAGATCTCTGGGGTCGGTGGCCTGGCTATCCCCTCGGAGCTTGAGTATACGCCAAAGGTTAAGTATCTCGGGGTCTACGTTGTGATGGGTGTATAAAGCATCATGGACCTTGTTCATCCATGTCAAGGTGTTTCCCCCCTTCGACGGCGTCTCTCGTAGTAGTGGTGTAAGGAAATTGCAGAGATCCATCCATCGCACCTTTGTTACGCCGCATTGGATCCAGGGGTCCCTTGACAGAGCTAGTTCTTGGAATGTCCAAGCACGAGAAAACCAAGGTCTGGCTAGGAATTGGCTGGATGCCGTGGTTATATCCATGGCCCCTTTCAAGGGGATTCGACCTTTCGAGCCTCCATTATATGCAGGAATAGACTTGTTACTGCTGGCGTCATCGAAACCCCTGAACGCTCCTCCCCCTATTTGCTGGAAGATAAACTCCGCATCGGGACTCGGTGGACCGAGGTAGATTATAGTGCTGCTTGCCGTGGAGTAGATATCCTTCATGAGAGAAACTTGCTTGTTCCGTTCGGGGATGTTCTTTTGGTCAATGCACAGCGCGTCGATCCATATGTTGAGAGCCCTTGTCGTATGTCGAAGGTCTCGTAATGCGGCGGTGAGGTTAGCACCGATTCCGATCTTGTGGCCGTCGACATCAATCGCACCGACAGTTGTGTTATCGCCCCAAACATAGGATAGAGCAACGTAATGGTCAGTGAAATACTCAGTAAGAACCACGACATGTTTGAACGAGCCCTTAAGAGGCGCTTCTCTGTTTGGGGCAGGGTCAAGAGTGAAGACCCTAATCTCCCCGGACCGCGTTAAGGGATGATATTCGAATGGTGTAGATATTGTTTTCCCTCCCAAAGGCGACGGTCCGTGATTTTTCGACTTCGGCATTGGCTCTGAAGGGTGCTGAACTTGAATAGATATTTTTGTCTCCCTCACAGGAACCGGTCCCTGATTTTTGGGCCTAGACATTTTCATCCCCCCCAAAGAAAAATGTCCTTGAGCTTTTGGCTTAGACATCGGCTCTGAAGGGTGTTGAGCTGGAGTAGAAACTTTTGTCCCCCCGAAAGAAAACAGGCCGTGATTTTTCGACTTGAGCCGTGGCTTTGAGGGGGTTTGAATTTGAGTAGAAATTATACCTCCCATTGGGGTCGGTGTGACGAACCTACACTCAGGTCCGTTAGAGTGTAATGGCGATAGGGTCTTGATTTTTAGGTAAATAGTAACGATATGGGTTAAGTGTTAATAAAATGTTAAAGTGTTTGTTAGGAAGGCTTAAAGTTTTTTTTTTATATAAGTTAAATATAAGATTTAAATTAATAATTAAGAAAATATAAATAAATAATTAAATATATAATAATTTAAATATATTTATAATTTTTTTTTACTTATATATTATCTTATTAAATTCTTATTAATCTTATGGATTTTTAAGATTTTATAGATTTTAATAAAATCCTTAAGATCCATAAAATCCTTAAGATCCATAAAATCCTTAAGATCCATAAAATCTATAAGATTTATAAGATTTAATTAATTAATATTTAACCAAATTATTATTAATTATCACCTTACTTTCATACTTAGTATGGCTTCACCGGGCTGTTGGTTCGTAACAGTCGGTCCGTAATTTTTCGGTCTAGACATTGGATACGAAGGGCTTTGAACTTGAGTAGAAATTGATCTGAAGATGTTCGAACTTGAGTTGGGTTCATAGAGTTATTTATCCAGCGTGATAACGGTGCTTCCAACATCTAAACGCCACCTCCATCTCTTGCGCAGCCAATAGTCGACTCCTTTTGAAACCTCCTGCGGCCTGTGCACCAACATCTCAAGGCCCTTTCCTACAATACAGAGTACCAAGATGCTTATTCGCTATCTTGACTTGGTAAGGCATAACCAACAACTACTGTTTGGTTACCATTCGGCGGTTATACCCCAAATTTAGGCTCTAGACGCGAGCGCTTATGCATGTTAGCTATTATTCTGCTAGGTATATGTAAATACAGCCTTCTTTTGGCGGGCCTGTTGGTACACCGAGCTTATAAGTGATGGTACTCGTTTAGATCACTTGACTCTAACTTCATGTAAGAGGTCCCTTGAATTTTTCCATTTTGTGAACCTCAATTGACAATGAGCATGGTACCTATGTCGTTCAGGGTGGTATTAGGCGTTAAGCTATCCATAGTACCTGTTTTACAAGGGCCCCCTGTAGCGCGACAAGGCGTCATGATATCATGGGCGCTTAGCCGGGTTACCTCCTATGAGCTTCCGTCGATGTTGATAGACAGAAATGATCAACTGCTTGGAGCCACCCTGCCACCGTAGTCAGTCAAACATATACCAAAAACAAGGCTTATTATAGTTCGTTAATTTTTATGAGTGTCTTATCTTCGGTCGTTGTTATACACTGCTGTAAGAGCTTTCAATGGTACACAGGGGACTGAACGGTACGATATTCACTATGAGAATCAACAACCATGGGTGTCCCAATTCATGTTCATAAAATAGGTCGTGATCTACTCACGCCACTTCAGAGTACATAGTAATCTGATCTAATGGTCCAACCTTAGCGCACGACCCCTCAATCGCTATTCTCCACAATCCCGCTTCAAAACGTATGTCATGGACGATAGATGCCCCTATCGCCGCCGAACTCCACAACGCCAGGTAGCCAGCATATGTATTGAGTGATCATGATGCATCTAGATATGTCACAACCCCTAGCCCCTGAAGAGTATCCGAGAACGCCGTAAATGCAAAATGTCCAGTGGTAGGTAGTCATAATTCGTAACTCGTAATGTAGTAGGTAGAAGAAAGAATGAGAGAAGAAACGACGGAAACATCCCAGTTCTTTTTTTTTCTATGCCTTTACGTTGGGAGGGGGTGTAATTGGTTCGCCGTCATCGGATTTAAAGTGACTGATCACCGGGTCGGGGCTCATCCTCGACGATCTAGGTGAGGATATGGACGAGGACGTTGGTGAAAAGTCGGTCTCGACGGATTTTCCCAGCTGCGGCCATTCTGTCTTTTCGCTTGGCGGTTCCGCAAAGCGGTTGGGTGCAACTCGGCGAACCAGCTTGGACCAGTTGAGGGCGAGATAGTAAATGAGACAAATGGATACTACGACCACGACGGCGGAGACGACGATTCCGATAATCAAGTTTTTGGGGAAGTCGTCCATGATTTTCTTTTCTTTTTTTCTTTCCTGTTTTTCTCGCGACTCGGGAAGTTCGGATATGATAAGCTTCTTTATTAAGGGGACGTGGAAATATATTTTTGTGTGTATTGCGACCAAGACCAGCAAGCGAAAGAATCAACCAACGAGCAAACCCAATGCTAACATATGCTCGAGACGAAAGAGAAACGAGAGTTGCGCAACGATATGATATTGAAACAGAATACTTTACCATAGTTCGGAAGACCTCACCGTAACTTATATTGAGCCATTTTTTTTTAACCGATACGTCACGAGTCTGAAAGAAAGACCACAATTGTATGCGTAAGCTGGTTTCTTTCTTCCGACTATCCGGTGATGCGGCAATCCAAACTGACACACGTAAAATGTACCCAAGACCGTCTACGTGTAGGCGCTAAGAAGAACCGGACTCTACGGGCTACCCGGAACCAATCCCAAGATGCATTTTGCATTTATTCGATCTTTGTCATATTCAGGGCCCAGAAGAGCCGCAGAGTTCGGGTTCCGCAGTGATGAATTTTCATTTTGTAGATCCACGCGGTTCTTTCGTCATCTCTCTTTTTTTTCTTACTGGATCAACAGGTAACTATGACTTTTTATCAATAGTTCAGCCGCACTTGAGAAAAGGGTAGTAGGGACGCAAGGGTCGGAGCCGGATGGACAGAAACGTCAGCTTGGACCCTGAAATCGGATACACGAAAAGCCCGTCGTGGACGTGGGCTTTAATAACGCTTAACCTTAATCAGTTTAGATCGTTCACGGGATGCTGTCATCATCTGTTACCATCCCGCATTGTTATCAGCGCCTACGACCCAAGAGACACTTGGATTGTTCCGATATCAAGAAACAGGTAAGTTAGAAACTTGGACTCACACGCACGTGCGTCTTAATTGATGTGTTATCTTGTTTGAGGTATTCTTAGAACGATGATCGTTAATCACATACACTGTAAATCAGGTAGTGAAGCAGCAATGACTTCGACAACATCAAGTCATGATAAAATCCAACACAGCCCAAGATAAGTGAAGAAATAAAACTCCATATCTGATTCCATATCTGATGTTGTCCGAAATAGTCATACACGACACGTCTCTCGCTAATATTTTGTCACATACAATCATCTGGATGCGAAGGATATTTTATCTGTTAGTTATACCAATTGTCGTTATTTCACGTCTCTAAAGCATTGATGTCAGCTATATAGGGCCCGAGAAGATAGCTGTTAAATTGTTACATTACCAAAAGGTAGAACGATGTCAACCCGAGGGGTTGGCGTTGCTATCTCCGCCTATAAGGACCGTATTGCGACATACCTACCTAGGTACTATATGATCTACGTTTCTGCTTATGTTATTTATATAGCTCTACAACAATGTAGAGCTATACCACCCCAATGCGATGCGTCACGCCTGACAAAACGGATAATTAAGCACCTGTAAACATATCAACGTATTCCATAACATTTTATTCGTAACACGAAAGCCAGAATTTAAAAGTGAGTCTTTCAAGAACCCATAGCTTCGCAATATCAAGTTCGGTTTTGTCGTCAAATTTTCTTAAGACCTTTTCCTAGGTTTGAGGTTATAGAATTCTAGACCTAACAAAGTGGATAACTTATAAAAATATGTCCTCAAGTACGTACTTGCTACAATGCATTATCACATCCAAATTTAATTGGCCAGACATTCCCAAGGTGGTGATGTATTGCGGCTTTCCAAGGTTTCGATTTATCGATATAAGTGAGAAAAGTACACTGGGGAAAGTTCGCGCTTGAGGACATACCTATTCAAGACCTATAGCCATCTCATCATCCCATCATAATGAAAGTCACATAGAACTTCGGACAACTTTGCTAATTTCCCTCGCTCTAAAAATACCTACCTAGAGGTTAGAAAAATTAGGTATGATCCACCGCTTGTTTGCGCGTCATATAACCTGCCCAAAAGAGTTACGCTCGTTCGCGGATTAAAGTTCTTAAAGTTCTTCTCGGCCTATTCTAGAAACAGGTACCAACCTATAAAAGGATATTCTAACGTTACATAATAATTCATGAGCAGCGCCGAATACCGAAAATACTATGTAGATCATTACTCGAAATGCTGTAGTAGTAGCAGTAGTAGTAGCAATAGACTCTATAGCGTATTGGGCGATTGACATCGAAGCCCACACACTACCTGTTTACATCGCAAAAATAATACGTTAATATGGTAGGCATGTGAATGGTATAATAGGAGTTGGTCCGCATGGTGAAGGGATGAGTTGAAGGTCAACACTTATAAGCCTCACCTTGTAAGAGTAAAAGGCTTCACAAGCTGTAGGCTGAACTCACTACCGTAAAAGTGTTGGCCCCTTGTATCTCATAGGTGTCTCATAACTCTTTACGAAGGACAAGCGCTTTGACTCCAATAGCACATACCTAGCAGATGGGTGACAAAATAATTTGCAGACTTCGTACCTCGTTTACATACATGTGTCTGCAAACTATTTTGTTATCCATCCACCTGCCTAGTAAACATACCCAGCGACGATCACATACACTAACCCTATTCAGATCAAGATATGATAACTACCCATCCTAGTTACAGCTGAACGATAAACTAGACGGAATAGTCTCAGCACCGAGGACTCTTTCATTCAGTGAGGCGTTTGAAAATTTGTCATTAGTGTCATTTCTTTTAACATTAGTTCGCATTTGAATTGTAGAATCTTTTTATACACAAAGCCAGCGAACCCTGTCAGAATCATCCTCTCAGGCTCGGCCGTAGCGGGGTATCATCAAAAAATTAAGGCGATTTCCTTCCCATAGACTCCATCTCGTATCCTTGATCGCTGTCGTTATCGCTCCGCTCGTGATAGCTCAACCTAACCTCTTGCGTCTGCATGATTCCTCCTCCTCTACTCGTTGACGAATTGCCCGGCGCGTGCGCCCCCTCGAGGATGCTGATGTCGCTCCCCGCGTCGCCGTGAGGATCTTGTTGGTTGTGCTGTGTCCTCCGCGAACTAACAACCGTAGTTACTACGTTGCTTGCGTGAAGACCCCTGGGCGTGTTTCTCGTATGGCTCTTGACGCCTGATTTGTTGCCGGTGCTGCGGTTGTAGCGGTCGAGTGATGATGAAATATCTCGGATCAGAGCACGTAGAACAGGTATCGATGCCGCGATGATGGTGACTGCTGCTTCAGCCACGTACCAGATAACGAGGGTGGTTCCTTGAGCTGATAGGATGTCAGTTATCACTTTATGAGCATATATATATACTACGGTATTGTGAACTCACTCGAGAATGTCCCAACAGTGAGAAGTGGTAAATAAACACATCTCATAATAGCGGTTATTCCAGCACTAGAAGACAATTAGTAACCCATTTGAATACTCGGAGTTCCCTTTCGTTCATACGTTACACCACAGCTCATAGCAATCGCAACGCCAAACTTCTCCCTCTTTCTCATTTGAAGATTTATGATTAAGAACCAGGGAACAGTCGCAAACGAGAAGTCCACAAAGGCGGAGTATGCTATACAACAAGTTAGCCGAATCGGTTATCCAATGCCCCTGAAAAAAGGGCATCGCAGACTTGACCTACCGCCAGCGAATATAGCGTAGCGAATGTATTTCTCGGTGCTCCAGCAACCCGGCCCCTTAATCCAAGAATACACTTCCGGCTGGCATTTTAAGAAGGTAAATATGATGTAGAGAAACACGGCCAAATTCATAGTAATTGTGAGAAACAGGACGATCATTTTCATCCGGCCTTCGGTAACTCTTAATAGCGTAACTCCGAATGAGGTCTTGCTCAGCACCGTAGCTAATCCGAAAAGAACATTCTGCACGCCTCCGTGAATTTGCAGTTGAAGAGCATCCTCGGGGGTTTGGGGTCCAGCCGGGCTGGTAAATCCTAATTTGATTGAACTGGTAATGAAACCTACGGCCGCGACGAGACAAGCCTATAATGGCACCGTAGTTTGTTAGAAGGGTTTCTATCACACCTGAAGCCGAGATTGTATTACTCACAAATGCGAATATCAAGATTTGATCATCCCACCATAACCCCCTATGTCGACTGAACTTGCAATATACCCGTAGACCAAGAAACGTACCCGCCAATGCTGTTAAAACCCAGTTGACAGTGTTCATCATCGGCCCCAACGTATCCTTCTGTGCTGCCGACATTTTGACCTTGTTTACCTCCAGTGCCCGAGGTAGTGTTTGAACGTGAAGGTTTGGCGAGTAGGGTGGCAGCAAAGAGCCCAAGGGAACGGGACTACCGATCAACTGAGTGGAATCGGGGAATATGTATATCATCAGAGCACAAAACCCACCACCCACATCTTCAGTTCCCCATGCGCATGTGCCTTTGGGGATCTACCAACTATGGGCGGCGGAGATCAATGCGGATACCTCTACACGTTTGTGCCGCATTTCCCAAACGAATTGCGGAATGATCGCCGGTTCACACAGGCCTGAGAGGAAAAAAAAATCGCAGAGAGGTCTTGGGTTAGTAACACTGTATCTCCGAGTAGAGCCGTAGCGCTAGACCGCGAAAGGACTCGCCCTATAGCCTAGGATGATCTAGGCGATGACAATCCAGGGGGTTTACACTTTTAGCGTTCGCTTGGACGAGGGAACCGTTGTCTTGGCCGAGTCTGTATTTTTTACAGACATACTATGTACCTACTATGTAGAGTATTGTTTACGATGTGCATGTATAGAAGTGGCACTATACCCTAAGTACCTACCTAGATACCGTTCATGGTTTCTAACTGATCTTCTGATAGACATCCGATCTTATAGACTTTTTAACGAGGATGTTCCCAGGTAGATATATACTAACTAGCAGCAACTGATTTGGCCTTTCTGTTTCCGTAGATACCTGGCATAGTGTATCGGGCTGATGGAGTTAAAACACTCTCAAGAGTCTTTTTGATACCTCTATTATAGAATCCAGGGCACAACAGCATCTTCTTCTCCCAGTTTATATGCATTTGGAGTGCTTTACACTGCAGCAACAGCCCTAGTTCGCATTATGAGCTGGAGTCCCTTATGGTCCCCTAGCTTGACCTTCCCGGCCCATAAAAGATGAACTACTATGAGTTGAATGTAACCGTGCTACATCGAACTAATACCATTGTAGGTAGTATGCAGGGATGCCACGAGTTTCCGTACACGTGGTTATCCTTCTCTATCTGCTACAGCTCTACCGATGTTCATATGAAGTGGCATGAGATGCCCTCTGTATTATAAAAATCTGTTTATACACATATATCTCGCAGCCTCAATGAGGATGAGACGTGAACAGGCTTAAGCAAAGACATAGACTGACTCCTACGTTCACAATTCCAATTTTGCAACTTTATTTGAATGAGAGCTAGGTAGCAAGTCACTGATATAAGTATCCCTTGTACGTACGGTTTATTGGATTTCATATTTTTGTTTCTCTTCATCTCTTCGCTTCCACAAGCACTTCCACTATTTTCAACCAGGCACCTTGATGATAGAGGTATCCATCCATCTTCATCGACAAGGCCCACCCACGATTTGCGCTTATTGCAGTTCCACCCCACCTTTGACCTCATGATCGACAGGCTGAATCGTTCTCAACCAGGATGCGTGCGAAACTATTGGCTGGGATGCGGCATTATATAGCTACTAGTTTCTACCTAGGTATATGCGCCTACGGTAGTTCGTATGTCAGGTTCATTTGCGTGCCACTGCACCAGTCTATCCGTTCGGCTGGGCCTTCGAAGTTCAAGCCCTTATTATTATCTTCTTTTTTCTTCTTCTCTGTCAAGCTAAAGGGGTATTGTGCTTTATTTAAAGAAATGGGTAAGATTGAGGATAGCGTACTTGACTTGAAAAATACCAATAAGAGGTTATTCCGACCCTTGCCATCTGCTCGAAGAGGAAAAGAAATGATGATATTTTTATGATATTTTTATGAATGTTTGAACATACATTAAAACGCGTAAAAACTACACCCAGTCGAAGCTATTTTCCTGATTAAAGTACAGCAACTTGTGAAAACAGCATTGGTTAGGTACTTATACTCGTTCCCGACGGCCGTAGCTGACACGCTCTGTCTTGTGATGCTTGCTCGGATCGTGACGAAACCGATTCGAATCTGCACCGTATCGTTACACTTTTGGGAGACGTCCCCACCGATTTAAAGACCCTGTCCAGCTGTCGTTCTTCGATCAATTCTCCGGATTTGCTGCTGTTTCAGATATGCGAAGGCATGGCACCAAGTTCCCTAACAGGTAGACTTTATTACGGCCTCGGCTTGCCGGCTACCGAATAAGCGACTTGCTTTTTATGTATACTAATCGTGATGAACTCTGGCCATCCTTGGTCCAAGCTGTAGGAGTTGTTTCGCCAGTCAGCGCACTCTACTACTCAATCCTGACGCTGCTAAAGGACGATTTGCGTAGTTGAGAAGCAGCTGGGAAGTAGATGCGAATAGCTTCGCTTAGCGGCGTGGTTGACTTTAGGAGCCAATTTGTTTCATAAAATAAAATAATATTAAAAGTATCCCAAATCACGACGAGAACAACTGTGCCTATTATGTGCCCTAGCCTAACTTGACAACTGCCTAACCGACAGCAATATATTCCCTGACCACGGACGTGTTCGAGACCTTTCGGCCGAAAAAAAAAGCCTCAAAGAAAAAGGGAAATTACCTCTCGCAGGTACGGCTGAAGTCAGAAAGACTAGCAAAATCCTTCCGCGCTTGGTATGCGGCCCAGGACCTGCGAACCCCCTCGTGGCCGGCATTATTAAGTGGGCGATGCTATGCGATGCTATATGCATTAGGTTAGGTACGCTTAGACGTTCGTCGGTTGTTGTTGTTACCTGCTTGCTGTAGCAGAAACAGAAGCGCGCGACCTGCCTAACCTGAGATACCTACCTCTCTATATGAGGTAGGTAAATCCAGGAACAGGGGAGGGCTTCCTTCACGAGCCGCCTCTCGGCGCAAGTTTCGCGGCTACCGGATATCTCTCCGGGAGGAGCGAAGACTTTTTTCTTTTCTCTTTTCGAATCTCGAAACTTCAGAAACGGGAACTAGGTAAGCGAGAGCCAAGTCGACCAACCTACCAACATGCATATATACCTCATAGGTACCTCATACCCTACCTTAGGTACCTAGGTTAGCCAGCTGGGTTAAGTATTATATGCACAGGATGCCTTTTTCCATGGATAGTGACACTTGCTGGACATTTATTGATGGTTGAAGACCAATAGAGCACTTTACTTAGGTATGGATGTTAATCCACGCATCTATCTACTCTGAATAATAACGGTGGGTAAATCCCTGATATCCACGTGCTCATTATTCGTGAGGTCAATGACTCTTATAGCTTCGACGCTTACGACGCCTTCCTTTAACGCCAAAAACCTAAGCTCAGCGACGTGACAAGCTCCGGGCGCGAGCGGTCCCACCCTAACATCTGGGCTTAGGCAAACCAATTCCGTGCCTTCGATAATACTGCTATGCTGCATAGCGTGAACGACGTTCTCGTCAAGAACAGCATCCGCCACGCTCCGGTCTCTTGGTGTTTTTACCTGCTGAGAAAAGCTATGAGAGACTTCCGGTAACCGAGAAACGGACGGTGGCCGGTTTACTCGGGACTCGTTACGTCTTCGCTTCGGAATTACAACTATAGCTAGTTTCCTCGGTGTCGCTGATGGCGTAGGTGATCGGTTAACTACAAACACGTTCCAGACGAACTCATCGCCGGGGAAGATCTGCTGGCTCGGAGGTGGTCCGATAAAAGTCATAGCAATACCTATATCAGGCATAGTAGACTCTGTTCGGGCCGTCGCAGCTTCGAGTGAAGGTAATGCGTCTGGTCGAGCAACAGATGGAGCTATGAGAGAGATAGTACTCTCGCCTCCAATAGAAAGTTGACTTGGCCGATGCATACGTTGGATCGGTTGCATGGTAGAACCGTATCCTGGATTTACGGGGATTGTAAAATCAACCGTAGCGGTCCACGCCATTTTCAATTGCGGCTCGCATATCTCTGGGCGCACCAGAGCCTTCGCAGAGATGGTGATACCAATATCTCGTAGCGGATTTTTCGATACTATATAAGCTTCAGACGGCGAAATACGGTATAGAAACGTTATATGGTCGTGAGCAACGCAAGATATGGGGAGTGGCATCCCGGACTGGCTGGCAAGGTCTTCTACTAAGCCGTCGGCGACTGTGATTGATATGCTGTCAAGTATTATCTCACACTCAAAGTAGGGTGTAAAATCGAGCTCAAGCATCGCAAGGACAGTTGCTGTGGAAGGGATGGTATTGAGATGAGTAAAACGCATGCGCGAGTGCGCCACTGGGTAGATGCGCATTGAGAGCTCCGACGAGGATTTGATGGCTTGTAGCTGACCCCTAGCATGCTGTGTGACTGGCGTAACACGAGATACTCGGAGTGCTGATAGATGAGGCTTAACTCCATTCAGAGCAGGGTCATTTCCAAAAGACTCGAGGAGATTAAGACCCCATGGTACGCCGCTTGGTAAATATCCATCGCGAAGCCCTTCAGACAAGGATGAATTTCCGATCTTGAAGCCCGCTGTAGCATTGAAAACAATGGAAGGGTTCTGAAGTCGCATCCTGGGACGACCAAGGTATACCGAGTGCTTCCATACAGCCAGAGATCGATTCTGGACGTCATCTTCGGAGCTTGTGTCGGGTTCTTCTGTAATCTTGAACAATATAGTTGGTTCTTGTCGCCCGTCTACTGCCCCTGTGTAAATGACTTCAGAGGCGGATTGGCCGTCACGATCTAGCGAAGTGTTATTGACGATCTCCGCCTCTAGAGAGATTATTATATTCCGTAGAGAGGACCGCAAGGTGTCTTCCCGAGCATGGTAGCTTGTAAGGACGAAGTAGATATCGACGGATTCATCTGGGGTCTAACAATGAGCATGGTGAGAAAATGGACCTCTTGGAAGAGATATAGAATGACATACCAAAGAAAAGAGAATCCCGCCGTTCTACTGAGCTGAACGGCTCTTCGGAGTTATTCGCGTCATTTTTATAAGCTTCCTCGATAGAAAATTTGGTCGCAAGGGGTATGAAGTACGTGAGAGTTGAATCGTTAACTGGGTCGAATGTCGATGCGGGAGTTACGTCAAACGAAGGAGTGGCCATTTTTTCAGATGGATCTTCTTTCCTATCATTGTTGGATATATCGGAAATTGTTTGTGGGGAGTTCACGCATTTCGAAATGAAATATCCCTCTTTTAAATGTTGGTGTTTGGTGTTCTTGAAGCTTCAAAGAGGTACCTTAGGTAAACGCTGTAGGTTGGATAGGGAAGTGGCTTGTGCACGTCTACCACCCAGGTACGTACTTCCAGATATGCACCTTTCCGTCTTTAACTTAGTACCTGCCCAGGTACCGTAGTAGGCTAAGCCGTACCTAAAGGTTTTACAGGCACCTTGTAGCTAATCTAAGGTACGTACCCTTCCAACTCCGATGTTGAAAATTCGCAGCTCTCTCAAATCCTTCAACATATTTCATCTTGTTGGTCCAGCGACAATTCTTCTCCGTCATCTGCACGAGCCCCTTCGGCAACCACATTTACTGGTTTCTTGGTTTTTATTCATTGCGTTTTTCCTTTGAAAGGAAGAAAAGTATCTAACTGGGCGTATTAATGATAATTACGTGCAAAGCGATTGCGGAATATAGCTATGATGAACGGAGCCAACGGCCATTATGGCCAGCCAAACCCTTGGCAGGAATATAAAAGTCCTGATGGACGCGTTTATTACTATAATTCAATCACCAAAGTGACCCAATGGACCAAACCAGAAGAATTAATGTCGCCTGCGGAGGTTTGTCTTACGCGTCTATATACCTATCTACATCGCATCAACGTTACTGACTTTTTTTTTATAGCGCGCTTTGGCGAACCAACCATGGAAGGAATACACAGCCGAAGGTGGGCGCAAGTACTGGTATAATACCGAGACGAAGCAGAGTTCTTGGGAGATGCCCGAGGTTTACAGAAAGGCTCTAGGCCACGATGCTACGCCTTCGACACCTGTGTAAGCTTTCTCCTCGAATACCCTCTATCATGCTTAATTCTAACTCGCAACAGGTCGGCTACCCCATATGCTCCTCCTAATTCATTTTCGAATTCCAACTACGATCACCACCGCGATCATCATCGCGATCACCGAGAGAGTTTTCCCGAGTCCCGTCAGTTGACTCACGGTAGTAGTGACTTGCGTGTTCAGGCATTTGTTCCCGCCAGCAACGAACCCGAATATGCGACCCCCGAGGAGGCCGAGGCCGCTTTCATGAAGTTGCTACGTCGCAGCGGTGTACAGCCCGATTGGACCTGGGAACAGACCATGCGGGCTACCATTAAAGACCCCCAGTACCGCGCTATCAAGGATCCTAAAGATAGGAAAGCCGCTTTTGAGAAGTACTGTCAAGATATGATTGTTCAAGATAAGGAGCGCGCAAAGGATAGGTTGTCAAAACTTCGTGCTGACTTCGCTACTATGCTCAAGAGTCACCCCGAGATTAAGCATTATACGCGCTGGAAGACTGCTCGTCCCATCATCGAGCGCGAAACAATTTTCCGCTCCACTAATGACGAGGAAGAACGACGTCAATTGTTCGAGGACTATATAGCAGAGCTGAAGAAGACCCATGTGGAGAGCCAGGCCAGTCTCAGGAAGAGTGCAATGGATGGCCTCATCGATCTTCTCCCCAAGCTCAACCTGGAGCCCTACACACGCTGGTCCGAAGCTCAGAATATCCTCAAAGCTACTGCTCCTTTCCAGAATGACGAGAAGTACAAAGCTCTCAACAACTTTGATATCCTGACTGCCTTTCAAAATCATATCAAATCTTTGGAACGAAGTTTTAACGAGACTCGCCAGAACCAGAGGAACAAAAAGCTCCGTGTCGAACGAAAGAGACGAGATGCGTTCATAGATTTGCTTCAGGAGCTCCGTAGAGCCGGCAAGATCAAGGCGGGAACTAAATGGAGCCAAATATATCCTTTGATCGAAAACGATGAGCGGTTCAAGTCAATTTGCGGTCAGGCTGGGTCAAGCCCTCTTGACTTGTTCTGGGATATCGTTGAGGAAGAGGAACGTGCTCTTCGTACGACCCGGAACGATGTGCTCGATGTCATGGATGTAAGTTGTGTTTTGTTGCTCAAGATTATATTGATTAGCTGACCTGGAAACCTAGGACAACCGCTTTGAGTTTACCCCCAAGACCACCTTCGAAGAGTTCTCTTCTGTACTCAAGAATGATCGACGCACTGCTAACATTGATGGTGATATATTAATGCTGATATTCGAACGGGTACGTTACTCTCTGTCATGACTTACTATTTAGGTACTTTGTCGTTAATGTATTTTATAGCTCCAAGAGAAGAAGTCCAAACGGTCTGACGAGGACAAACACTCCGAAAGGCAGCAGAGAAGGGCTGTCGATGATCTCCGGTCCTATATTAAACATATAGACCCGCCAATCACTGCGGACGATACCTGGGAAAAGGTCCGGCCGCGTCTTGCCCGCGCACCAGAATTCCAAGCAGTGAAATCCGAAGATTCCCGCCGGGGCGCATTTGAGAAGGTCCTTCGTCGAATCCGTGATCGAGAGGATGAAGATAGAGATCGCCATAAGCGCCGTGACAGATCCATTGATCGTAGTATCTACCGTGATAGGGATAGAGGTGATCGTTCTCATCATAGCGATCGCGCACGGCCGTCGCGCCATAGCCGCAGCCCGGAGCCGGATGCATATGAGGCAGACCGCCGCAAAGCTATCGCCGAGCGCGAGAAGAATTATCGTAAGTCTAGCATGGCTGAGAGTTTGTTATCTGACCGTCGGCCTTCGGATTCTTACCGAGACCGTGACGTCCGGGACCGTGATCGAGACCGTGAGCGCGAACGCGAACGCGAACGGGATCGTGAACGGGATCGTGATCGCGAGCGAGACCGAGATCGGGATAGGGACTATGCGCCTCGGTCTCGACGCGACGACCCACCGAGCCATTATGATAGAGAAAGACGGGATCGCGAGGAAGAACGCGAGCGGCAGTACCGGCGTCGCGTCGAGAGAGGCCCTGTTGAAGAACTTCCTTACGGTGATGAACGACCAACCTCGTCTCGACGTCGCCGAGCTGATGATGGCGACGATCTTGATCGTCGCGAATCTAGAGATTCTAAGGTATGATTCAGTTACCCCTATCCTTGGGCTCATTTGTACTAACTTAACTACAGAGGTTGAGAAGAGAGAGAACACCCCGTGAGCGTTCCCCCCATCGTGATGCTCGTCCTAAAACTAGGACTCCGCCTGTAGTTCAACCCCCTTCCAAAGACGATACTGGTGTACACTCCGGTAGCGAAGAGGGTGAAATTGAAGAAGACTAGGCTTTTTGATCGATCTGCACAAATATACCTATCTTTCATATTACCCCGTCACCTCCTAATTGATTTATTCGCCAAGCCCCAGCAATAACGTCAGGCCAACATTTAGATGGCTGAGACCCGGTTCTCCACATGTCCGCAGTACTTACCTTGCCCGAGCGTCCACAACAAGGATACGGGCTACGCAAGCCATAGTTTTAACCGCCAAGGCTTACTATGAAATCTATAAAGTACGTGTCAATCTCCGACTACGTTCTTTCTGGGGCTTTGATGATTTGGGACACATGGAAACAGCTCGGAACCAATCAAACCACGCACCAGTCGCACATTCACTCGCCTTTCCTCACAAATATCGTCGTGGATAAAATTAGAAGGAAAAGCAAAAGAAGGAAGAAAACCCACACATCTCCTTGTACGTTCATTTATAACGTCGAATTTCGTCGTTATACATTTCTATACGCGTCCAGAGGTTTCTCACACTTCCGCAGGACTTCATACGGGAGACAGTGAAAACATAGGAAAAGAGAATATGGCGGCCCGGCTCTCGGAACCGGATTACCAAAACAAAAACAAAACAAAAACAAAAACGCTCTTCTTTGAAATACGTTATCTCGGTGTGTATCTTTCCCCCCTCTACCCTAATAGAGAAAAATCGGACTTTTAGTAAATAGCGTAATAATCCCGATTTTATCTATAATATTGTTTTTGTTGTTGTTGCTCATCTACTCTTTTGCCTTCGAAGTGAAGTAAATACTTGCTTGATAAAATGACCCGTGGAAATGAATCACCGTGAGTATAATCAACAGCTGTCTCTCCTACATGTTCTATATAACTCTCGAGGGCCTAAATAGGGCATAAGCCATATCTAGCAGAGAAGTTATTCAACGACACTGCCCTTTGATACGTCGGACTATCATCTTGGGAGTTTGGTTTATGAAGCGCTACTTAGCTACCTTACTGACCCCTATTTGGGCCCTCGAGAGGTACGTTACAAAGTGATTACGCGAAGTATTAGTACGTATTGAGTTCCCAACCAATTGCAAAATAAGTAGTCTTCAGTTCACCAAAAATACGCCGAGGGAATAAATAGGTACACTTGTTCTGACGAGCGCATCGTATATTTATGTCCCCCACTTCTTTCCCCTAGACTACCGCATCTCTATCTCTATCTCTCTCAACTACGACGACCGTGAAACCCAAATGACATATATAGGTAGGTTAGGTATGTAAATGTATATGCCATTAGTAGACATGACGACAGCCATCCACCCGTCTATCTATCCCCTTCGCCTCTCTTTCTTTAACTAATGGATCTAGAACCCAATAGTCGTGGAACTAGACGAATAGGGGGAGGGGGGTTAGACCATCGTCGCGGTCGTTGTTCGTCGGGATCATCGCATTCCTCCCCACCATCCGCATCCAAGCCGGATATCTCATGCGCGCTTCCATTCTCTCGGCGCGTCGAACCCCCTTTTTGTACGCCTAAAACGCCGGTATCCGATGCTGATGGGGTATTATGATGATGATGCTTGCGGCCCTCATGCTGGCCGTTATCGTGTAGGCTGCCCGTTTCAAGAGCTGTCTTCCTCCAGGAAGAACTGTCGACCACGTTAGCGATAAGCGTCACGAGATAAAGGATAGTTATAACTTACGTAGTTTCCACTTAACTTCTGCTCCTGGTCCAACTGACTGTTGAGTTTGTTGATACGAGGCCTGTAGTTCGTCGGGTCGCGACGGAAGGTGACATCGAGGTTCTTCAAGAAAGTGTTGCATCCAGTAAGCAGCGACTCGGGCCTGTTAGCATGGGCATCGATACCCGGCTTTCCATCAAACACAATGACGCGATCTGCCAAGTACGTAGCCATGATGAAATCGTGCTCCACAATGAATGCTGTCTTCTTAGCGTGCATGATGAAGCGCTTGATCACACGTGCTGCGATGATACGCTGCTCGGAGTCCAAGTAGGCAGAGGGCTCGTCAATCAAGTAGATATCAGCTGGTAATCCGAGTGCCATGACGATGGCAACACGTTGCAATTCACCACCTGACAGGTTCTTGACTTCCTGGTCGATGAAATCGTCTAACTTGAGAGGCTTTACGACGTCAGTCTGGAACTGCGGGGAGAGGAAGGCCTGCTTGATTCGCTTGAAGAATAGCTGCCGGACGGTACCCTCGAATTTGGGAGTAATGGTCTGAGGCTTCATGCTGATTCTCATCTCAGGAACCTTCTCAGCGTTATCTGGCTTAAGAGCACCGGCTAGAAGTCTGCAGAAGGTAGTTTTTCCTGTACCGTTTTCACCCATCATAACGATGATTTCCGAGTCGGTAAATTCACCACCGTCAATGCTAAGCTTGAAGTTTCCGAGGGTCTTCTGCATCTTCGGGTAGCTGAAGGCACGAGCCTTGTCGGCTTGGAAGTCATCGGTGCCTTCTGAAATACGGAATGTCAAAGATTCTTCTCGGAATCGCAAGTTCTCAGTAGGGATATGACCGTCAAGGAAAATGTTGATGCCTTCGCGGACCGAGTGGGGAAGAGTAACAACACCGTATACGGCGGGTTTACCGTAGAGAACACAGATGTAGTCGGAAAGGTAGTCAAGGACTGACAAGTCGTGCTCGACGACAATGACGTAGTTATCAGGACCGAGCAGAGAACGGATCATTCGCGCAGCAGAAAGACGCTGCTTGACATCGAGATAAGAAGACGGCTCGTCGAACATGTATACATCAGCCTTCTGGACACAGACTGTTCCAATGGCGAATCGCTGCAATTCTCCACCAGATAGGTGGTTGACATCACGATCCAGAATATGACGAAGCTCCAAGACGTCGAGGACCTCGTCCATATTACCCATAGCGGATCTGTGTTCGAGGAGGAACTTGACACTCTTGTCGGGCGTCTTAACAGCTCGCGGGAGCTGATCAACGTATTGGGGCTTAACAACAGCCTTTAGGTCATCTTCGAGAACCTTGGTAAAGTAGTCTGTGTTACTTGTTAGTCGAAATTCGAAGACGAGGTATTCCCGGAGATGAAATGTTATGTGCCGACTCACTTTGCAACTCGGATCCTCTGAAGTACTTGATGACATCTTCCCAATCCGGCGGGTTTTCATATCTTCCCAAGTTAGGCTTGAGTTTGCCGCTAAGAATTTTTAAGGCAGTACTCTTTCCGATACCGTTCGTTCCGACGAGACCTAAGACCTGACCAGGTCGCGGCGTCGGCAGCCGGTGGAGTTTGAAGCTGTTCGCAGAATATCGGTGGGTGACTTGGGTTTCGAGGTTGGTGGGCAGGTTGATAATGGTGATAGCATCGAAGGGGCATTTCTTAGGGCAGATACCACATCCGATGCAAAGACTTTCAGAGATGAAGGCGATCTTGGAGTCCGGGTTGACTTCGATGCAAAGCTTTCCACTGCGAACGACCTGCGAGGTACACGATCAGCTACCAATTTGCTAAAAAAAAAAAAAAAAAAAAAAAAAAAAAAAAAACCGAACCCCGGTTTTTAACAATAACAACAAGATACAACAAGATAAAACGAGAAGATAATACATACCGGGCAGGACCTTTTACATTCTTGTCGACATTTCTATAGAAAGTAAGCATCATGGCAAGATGTTTGGTGGCCGGCCGTTAAGTTATATTAATATACCTTGGGTTTACACTGCGGGATATTACATATTAGCTGAAATTCCCATACAAATAGGAGAAGAAAAGGGTAACGAGTATGGATGAACTCACCTTGTCATCGTTCACGATGGCAATACTAATGACGGAATAGTTAATATAAGGTAGTAGTAGTATAGAATAGGAATGAATGTGCGTCCAGCCTCATTGTTTTTTTCTTTTTTTCTTTTTTACGTACCGGGTAAGCTTGGTAGCCATGGTGAGAGATATGAGGTAGATTGGTAGAATTCAAGTTAAGGACCACCTGAAATCTATGACGAGGCCGACAGCGCAAGGAACAAGAAGCAGTGCTGAATTTTAGTATGCTGCTACGAAGCGTTGCGACAAAAATGCGCCTCGTGGAAAGTTCCAAGTTTGGATTTCAAAAGTTCCCAAGTTCAAAGACGGTGGGGTTATCAAAAATTACATAGGGTCGGGTAATGAGGGGTGATTTGTGGCTTGGCTTGGTTTGACTTGAACCACTGACGAGCCACGAGAATTATGAACTGGAGAGTTTTGATTGGTTCGTTTCAATGTTCTCTAGTTGCTTTAGGTTAGGTACATAGTACACTGCTTAACGCCTGCAGTGAAGCTGGGCAGCTGGGCAAGTTACCTAACGGTACTGTACTTTGTTTGGTACGCTGAAGTACCTCCGTACCCCCTACCTCGTACCACATTTCTTGCTCACCTTCAGTAAATTATTTCCACCTGAAATCAACCTCTTTCTTGAGCTTCTAAAAAAAAACAATGAAACACAAAAGAATTTGAAAAGTCGAGCCAAGCACGCTGGAACGGATCAGATGTACACCCTAACCAAAGAAGAAAAAAATATTATGAAAAAGAGAAGCCCACCTTGCGAAGTTGCAACTCCGCAATGTAGGAAACCAGGCTGACGATGCGGTGAGTGTGGATCGAACACACGGCCTTCAGATATAAGAATGAAGTTGGACTTCAGTCTGACGCTCTCCCAGCTGAGCTATCCCCGCTATTCCCGTCGACATGTAGCTTTCGAGCTGCGGCTCTTGAGCTACCCATCTCGAGCTATGCCTGTTGTGGTGTCTTGACCAGCTTTTGACGCTTATATAGTTGGTCTATGGGATCGTCTTCTTTAGCAATCAATTCAATACGTAACGCGAGAAGTATGGTGGGGCTTTTTTTTTTTTTTCATATTTGCCACTACCATGTGTCCGTCCTTCTCGGCCAACCTCCTAGCTCGATTGTGTCAACACAACTACATACTACAAAGCGAAGCAGAAAAAAAAAAAAAACATCGCATGTTCTTGGACCTTACAATCGACCATATATGGCTGTTCGTAGTTGTAATTAACCTGACTATTCTGTTCATATTCTAGTCTTTTCGTATTTCAAAGTAATTCGCTGCGGAAGCCAAGCGAAAAAAAAAGGGGGGGAAAGGGGGAATCAAATGCCTGCAATGTACCACGCCTTGTCAGTCCCCTCATCCTCAAGGTCTGCCGTGGTGAACCCATTTCCCCAGTAGCTGAATCTATTTCCCAATAGATACTCCCACTCGTAGTCCTATTCAACGATCAGTTATTAATCCATTTCCCATTTCCCAATACAGGTAAGTAAATAACTGATCTCTCACTCACCTCCCAGCGCGGGTTCAACAAGATATCGAAGCTGTGAAGGCGGCTGCCCGGCCACATCATGATATGCTCACCCCGCGGGCCCAGCTTGAACCACGACCTGCACGGCGCGTTCCAGATCGTCCTCTTCATGTACAGCTCCTGGTGCTGCCTGAACTCGGCCACTGCGTCTTTCTTGGGCACTAGCGACTTGATGTTCTGCGTCTGGAACTTCTCGAGCACCAGGGCGACGTGTCTCGTGAGCGCCTCCATAGCAGGGATGATGGAGCCGTGACCGTAGGGACCGAATGGCCCGACCACCACTGTTGTCACATTGTCATTACCTTAGGTACCTTAGATAGGTGGGTATGAGCTTTGTTCGTATGGGGCGAGAACTTACTGAAGTAATTGGGAAAGTCGGGAGCCATGGTGCTCAGATACGTTTGCGGGGAGTCTTTGAAGCTCTCCCTCATATCTATGCCGTCTTTCCCGATGATCGGGAACCTAGGCCTAAACGACACGTCGAAGCCGGTGCTACATACTAGCACATCCAGCTTGTGGTTCACTCCATCCTCTGTAGTGACTCCTTGCTCCGTAACTTCGACTATTCTGGAGAAAGTTACATTGCATTTTTCGCTTGTGAGTGCCTTGAGGTATCCGTTGTCTGGTATGGGTCTCTGGGTTGTATTGTCAGAAAAGGGGCAAGACTATTATGATATGAGAGACGAGGCAGCTCCTAACTTACCCTACAGCCTACGGCGAAATCTGGAGGAATTAACTTCTCAGCCAGTTCAGGCTTTGCTACCAGCTTGCGTTGCATCTCCTTCTTTGCAAACTATAGTCAGAGTCAGAAATGAATTTGTTAGCTCTCATTCTTGCATATGGTATAGCATATAGTTCCCACCTCAGCAAGTTCTAGCTGCTTCTTGGTCCCTTTAATCGCCTATTTCATAGTCAGTTGAATTGCGTATTTCGTAATCAGTGGCAGTTAAGGTCCTCATACGATAGAGAAGTCCGGGTTCATCTCCATTTCAACAGCCTTTCGGTACGCGAGATACTCTTCTGGTTTCTCGGCAAAGATCCTCTTTTGCTCTTCGCTAACTGCTTACTTATTAGCATCCCAGGAGTACTTATCAATCAGAAAGGCTTCTAAATACATTTGAAATTCGGAGTGTCGTTGCTGGCGTACTTGACGGCCATTCCTGTCGTGACCCAGGTAGGTGAGCGTAGGAAGTTATCGATGTGTTTCACTTCTTTAATAGGTTATGTTATTAGTCAAGACTTTCGACTGCAGGGGACACTGTTGCAAGTGCATACTGTCAAATATAGAAGTTAGAATCTGAACGGCGCTGCTCCCGTTTCCGATGATTCCAACATCCTTATCGGTAAGCTCAATCGAATGATCCCAAGCGGCCGAATGCACCTTATTCTTAAACTTCTCAAGGTCAGGGATATCCGGCCATTTCCACTTGCTACCAGCGCACTTTGATTAGTACCAATCAGATAAGGTAGCAAAATGTCGCGGTTTCTTCTTACTTCAGCACCCCAGTAGCGTTGATCAAGATTTCGGAATAGTCATAAAACGCAGAGCCGGGGTCATCGTTGGGCTGAATCTTAACTTTCCACCGACCTTTATCTTGCTCCCACCAAGCACCAGTGACACGGTGGTTCAATTTCACATTGGAGTCGAGATCGTGATGTGAAACTACATCACGTAAATAAGCTAAAATCTCCTTTTGTGGCACATAACTGTTGAAATAATGTTTGAGAGGTTAACACGGCTCTTAGTTAAGGTATCTGTTATCTGTTGAATGATTTGCACCTACTAGCTTGTCCACGCTGGGTTTGGATGCCACGAAAACTGGAAGTTTACTATCGGCTATTGTCATAATATAAAGTAAGTAAAAAGGTTTCAAAATGGCGTCCAGTATCAACGTTAGTCATACCACATCGCATCGACATCCAGGATATCTGTTTGTATCCTATGAGTCAATATCGTCGCCCAAGGTTCGGAAAAGAAAGGATATAGGGGCTCTAACGTATTTTCAAACCATGTACCACCGAGTTCCGGGTTCTTATCATAAAACTGCAATGTGATATTGCTATTTTTGGTTTGACGGCCGAGAACGTAGGAAATATTGATACCGGTAAAACCAAAGCCAATGACGATGACCTTGATCGGTCGCCGGGAACCTAATAAGGTGTCGGGGATGACATAGGTGCTGTTATCTACATGGCCGTTCATATTTATACGTTCCGCAGATGGACAAGACAAGGCTCAGATATTGAAAGATGACGATACAAGTATAATAGCAGCTGGATGATGTGGGGTGCCATGGCGGCATTTGATACTTGTATAATATCAGTAGAATTTCCATTATGAGGCATACCGCATAATTCGTTAGAAGGGAAGGTATGTGAAGCGGCTGCATATTTGGGCATCAGATCATTCTCGGTCATCAATAGCGCTGGTACACTTTGGTACCACCAACGCAGGAGGGGACAAAGTGTTATATGCAATGTAAGCCAGCTTATCACCAGCTTACCACAAGTATTCAAGGCAGGCTAATATAAGCAAGGAAGCAAACTAGACTGGAACATAGGTAACAAGAGGTTAGGTAGGTACCTAGGTAAATAAGCGGTACCTAGTAGTGGTATCGTGGAACTGATACTGCGTTCTTTTGGTAAGCCTGTAGGCAACCCAATGCCTTGTTGTGTTAGGTACTTATCCTCAAGTTACTACCCCTTTCAAGTTCAGCAACTTTTAGGTCCTGCTTATATGGTATAATGGAACATGTAAGAGAATCAGACTAACATTGACCTATGAATCTACCTAGGTATGAAAGGCACCTAGACCCCAACATTCAGTTAAGCAACAACTATACAGAATCTTATTTAATCCCGCAGATTCACTAATACGGCACTTCTGTTAATTTCCTAGTGGAGACGGAAATAATGATCTAGAATTGTATATGCTTCAAAGTAGACTGGTTCTTAGATGTAAATAGATTGGCGGCTCATTCGGTCTGAAACTGTGCTAGCATTTCATTCAGCTGCTTATGGCGTTTCGAGGCGTGCTCGAACGTGGCGTACTTCGTCTCATCGCCGGTAGCAAATGCCTCATACTGGGCGCCAACCATTCTTGCGGATACATTGAGCTCTTCCCTTCCGTTCCAGGACCACTTCACCTTCTCTACTTCATCCGTATCGAAGTCGTGAACCTCGATAGTTACGGGATGTGCGTGCGCACCTGCTGAGATCCCCGGTCCATCGGAGGCGCTGAGACGAATCTCGCCTCTTTCACCATTCACCGACCACACAAGTGGATCTTCCCCCTTAAACGCTTGCCCGCGGCGAAACCTCAAATGGACGGTCGCCCCTGAAGTAGTATGTTCTGAACCTGGCAGCGATCCGGTCACATGAATCAGGTCTGGGACATCTGATCGAACTGTTTTAACTATCTTCCCAGTTGATCGGTCCCGCATCTTCACGTCCGGTCGCTGGATTTGTAACTGGGAGTGTAGAACTTGGATGTCTCCAAGTACAACCTGAACAAAATCAAATACTAGATAACTCATGAGCACCTGCGCGTAGAGGACTTATTACCTAGGCAGGTAGCAAGCTTGTATGGACTCACAGTGACCAAACCCAATCGTAAAAGAGTTCCCGCCAATTTTTCTATCCGTAAAGTACTCTATGCTAGTTGGTAGAACAAGTCTATCAACTGAGCCTCCGGAGGCACGAACCTCACTGCTTAATACTTTCCCAATGCGACCGCTCCTTATTAGCTCTCGCATCGTGATGATTGCCGGCGCATGCCAGCCCTGAAGTCCCACGACGGTTTTGCTCCCTTTCTCCCGCGCCAGCGCGGCGAGCTCACTTGCGAGCTCGGCATTCTGGGCTAACGGCCACTCCACATATGCGTCTTTCCCCTGGTGCACGCTCGGAAGAATGGTTTCGTAGTGCTTATCCACGCGCGTCGCACACACGACGAGCTGAACATCCGGGTCTGCGGCAAGGGTTTCTGGGTCGCCGTAAGCACGGGTCTCAGGCGGTAGCTTGAACGTATCTATAGCGCGCTTCGCGGCGTCCACGCTCGAGTTGCATAGTGCGACTATTTGGAACTTCGCCCGGCCCTCGGAACTAAGTAGGTAAGGGAGATGAGCGTGGCGGGCCCAGTTTACGGCGGACGAAGCTGAGAGCCCGATGATTGCGGTTCGGATTGGAGACATTATGACGGGATTTCTGGGTTATTGAAATGGGAGAATTCATGAAAGCTCATATTGGCGAGGAGATTTCAGCCTTTTTGACGGCATTGTTTCTACTTGAGTCTTAGATATTTTGATTGATAAGCATTCCTTGTTTAGAAGCTTCCCACCCTCGCCAAAGACATACCAACCAATCAAGGTTCGTTGCTTACATTAAATTCTTACCTTGGAGGTACCCAATATATAACGCCATTCATGGGTATGGTATTGATTATAAATGTGAGGAAGGTGGTTCACTCCCTTGCTAGAGTTTCCAAAAACCGACTAATCATTCCGCTATCGTGAAATACGTGAGTTAGGTTAGATACACTTAGTAGTTCCCACGACCAGCATATTCCTTGTGCAGATCGCCAAGGTCCCCATTCAGCTTGCTGCCACCTACAGTGACCTCCTTAGTATCAAGAAGAATCCATACTATGCGTCCCGGCAAAGTCCCATTGCCAGTGATGTTCTTCCACTTATGGGCAGTAGCCCGCTGGATGCACACATCGCTCTGGCGTAAGATGCGCTTCTCGCCCGAATCGAGAGTGAGTTCGAAGACGCCCTCTAAAACAATACCGTAATCAATGGTCAAAGCTCGGTGAAAAGGGGACTCTACGCCCGGTCCGAAGTCGATCATGCGGACTATTGAGCCGTTGGGGTAGTGAAACGGAGGCTGGACTGATTGTTAGTTCGATTCAAGCGAATAGGTTGGTTCTATGCTAGGTAGGCGAGACGAACCTCTTGCTCGTGGGCCTTGATGACGTCCGCGTTGCCGTTCAGATCAACGGGGTTCTCGCGGGTGGAATAGATGATGTTGGCTACTGCTTGATGCTCCACCATGAAACGATAATGCTCGCCATGGTCCGAACTAAGGAATCGGGATTCACCGTTGGCGTTGTTTTCGGTGATATGCCTAACGATCTGCCGGAGCCCCGGTGCGGGAAAGCTCTGGACGTAGTACTCCGGAAGAGGTGCTGAATCTGTTGCTGTGGTCTTGGTCATATTGGCTCATACAAGGGTGCTTTTAGGTAGGTAGGTAGGTCTTAGTGGAAGTACGAGTGATATACAGAACGGAAGATTGTGCTAGTAGTTTCGAGGACACAAGCAGGCTATCATATGAGATGAAGAGGCTGGATTGAACTGTTCCTAGTATAAACTTGGTTCTTCATCATTCATTCACATTAAATAACATGGACGATGACCGGAAACCTTCAGTTCAAGGTCGATTACACAACTTGACCCTTTTCCGTGATTCCGTCTAGTCCCATGATTCCCTAATTATGGTCTCGATTCACGCCTCCTTGAGCAACTGATAACTTGTACGTTTGAGGTGTGAGTCTATAGATGATGTGCAGTAAGATTAATCCCGCGCTGGAGGCTATAACGCGTCAACGCAATAGAGTATCTCGACTTGCATCTGGGGGAGAGCATGACTGCATATAACATTTGCTCCGCCAGTTCTAACGAGGCTTTACGTATCGTGATGCTACTATAGGAAAGATTGTCTGTCAAGTAGCAGACATTTGACTTACGTCTCGAAGGCAAGGTGCTGTGCACATGTTATTTTCTGGCGGTATAGTTCATTGCCCCATGTCGTGCATGTCAGACACTATCATGTTGCGGAACCCCCCATAAAGGTAACAGCGCAGGGAGGCCCCTTATCCTAGATTACTCCACCGTACATCTGTTACCAACGGAATACAGATCTTACGATGTACTACAATCTCGATCTTACTGCATACGGGGAGTGTAGGTTTCCCCCCATATTTTACTAAATCTTCCCCCATAGCTGGTATCATACCGTAAGCCCCGAGATCTAGCTCTTCTGATCCCACCACTACCAGTAGGCATATCACGATGTTACATTTGTGCTTGGGATGCGCATATTCATATCGCCACCTTGATAATCTACCTCTTCGTATGTATCACTGTGTGAGATGTTAAGGCCCGTGGAAATATGATGATATGCAAAGTCGTGACAAATGATTATCTAACCTAGGTAGATATTCTTCTTGAAGAGTGCGGAGTTTGGTTTCTATAACTTGAGTATTAAAAGTACCTAAGGTATCCCGCGAAGAGGTCTTGTCGTAAAATACTTTAAGTTTCTATTGCTCTTCATCCATTGAAATCTGTCTCAAAGTATCTGTTCTTTATCTCACAAGACCATAACATTATTCAATATGACGACCTCCGGTCCGTGCACACAGTTCCCAGCTCCGGGTCTTCGAGACCCATTCCGCTTCATCACGGGGCATAACGAGAAGGGTGACCCGGTATTCCTGCAGGTGAGGGAGCTGGTCCACTTGAATGAACACTGAAGAACTCTGTGACTTACTTCCCCTTTTCTAGACGGACCATGGAGACCACCGTGATATCATGCTAGGTGGCGCTGCAGCTCAAAACATTATGTATAGCAGCAGAGGCAACCCAACCGAACTCACCGGAGATGCTGATCTAGAGTACGCAAAGAACAACAGGGTACGTGCTCGTCTATGCCATTATAACTCCAGATCTCTTCCCGCTAACCTAAGTGAACCCGTTCGTTGGGTAGCCTTCCCTCCACATTCCCAATGGCTGCGTCGTGCGGATGATTGACTTCGCGCCTGGCACCGAGTCCAACTTACATCGTGCCCTAACTCTTGGGATTGGTACTGTGTGCGAGGGCGAAGTTGAGCTAACTCTGAGCGATGACCGGAGCGTGAATCGTGTTCTTCGACCCGGTGATGTCTGCATCAACCGCGGGGCCATGCACTGTTGGCGCAACACATCCAACGAGAAACCAGCTCGTATGCTATTTGTCATGCTGGATGTTAAGCCCATCATAGTGAATGGGAAAGCGCTCGAGTTTGATATGGGATATCTCATGAAGGAATATGCAAAGTATGCTGAAGGCGAGGGCCCTGAGAAGGCTTAATGATGAGGGCCTCCTCAAAATTCCCACCAAAGACGGCCATGTTGCTACTGTGTCACTCTGCGATATCGTTACAAATAAAACCCAAGGAATTAAAATGCTATTTTCATCTTAGAGATAATGGATTTAACTTAATCCCTTATATAGGAGGTCATTTTTTACAGTTAATGTTGAAAAAGTTATCGTAGTTGAAACGTGATGTTACTTGGTTTTTAAGAGGCTCCCAAAGTCTTGCTGTGCACGGTATTAGCTAGCCCACAGTGGCTAATATCGCTATAACTATAGCGGTTGGCGTCCTAAGCTTAGTGGATAGACCACTAGGTACTTTAGCCTGGAATTAATGTGTGCCTAAAATAATACAGTGTTAATAAAGTAGAGAATATTTAGATACTGGCCGTGCTTAGACCAGATGTGCAAGACTTTTGACTCTCCTTTCAACTGTTATAGCTTCTTCACCACTAATCATAGAAAAAAGACTTCTTGTTAATAAGTTTAACTTAGTCAATAGTTAATTCTGTATTAGAAAAGGCTGAATGAATAGTTCCAAGACTTCATTTGGTGAGAATATTATAGAGTGATAAGGCCATATGATTTGATGTTAAATTAGGGGCATCTTTGATTAATTCGACCCTTGACAATACTAATGCAGTGTTATATAGTATTATATCATGGTGGTATTGAGTAATATTACATCATTAATACTATATCCGTTTACTTATTCTAACCGTAGTTTTAATAGCCGCAAAGCTCCCTACTTTATCCTCGCTATAGCTATAACATTCTACGTAGTGGTACGTATAGTACAGTAGCACAAGTACATAGATCAGGAGGGTTATATACCTGTTTTGTATAACTTCAAATGCATTGTTATAACTCTAATACATCTTGCGACGCTACGAATTCTATTAGCAACTTCACTCATCTCTGATACACATCTCACACTTACACTTAAAAACACAGATCCAATCAGGCCAAGGCCTGAGGTGCCAACCAGCACTATGAACACATCGCGAATCGCCCGTGTTAGCTGCTCTATCACCTGAGACTGGTGGTCCGCGCTAAGGGCTTCGAAAGCAGAACTACTGGTTCCTGTAGTTAATTGGATAGCGTCTTCCGCCGAAACGTTTGGGAGAGTTTGCGTGATTAGCTTGACGGCGACGTTTTGAAATACGGAACCGCCCAAGCTGAGGACTATTATTTGGCCAAAGGTTTGTCCTGTGAAGATAGGTCAGTTAGATTGAAAAAATACCTAATATAAAAAAAGGTAGCTCAACGCACCAGTAGCCATGAAACTTATGGCATTGCTGAGTTCGGCAACTGGGACGATGGATTGGACCACGGAGAATCCCGCCGTAAAATACGCACCACACCCGCCCCCGAGAAGTACGGTATACCCGTAGATGTTGGCTTCCGAGGTTGTCGTATTTATGGTGACTAATTGACTAAGTTAACAAAAAACGTTTTATAGAACAAGAATTGGCATTGACTTACCCATCAGTGAAGAGCCGATCAGCATCAAGGCGGTACCTAGGACATACCAAGGCATATGATACCCAAGCCTAGGCATCAAAACCCCATTCAAGACCGAGAAGAAAATCATGCCCCCAAGAAATGGCAGAAGTCGTACGCCAGCCATCAAAGCGCCATCATTTCTGGTGAATTGGAACAGCAAAGGGGTATAGTAGAGAGTTGTTACCATGGTACCAGCGGCTGCGAACAGCGCATAGTGCAAAATGTTGAGCTCTAAACTCTTCATTAGATGCAGAGGGTACAGTCTGTCTTTCCTTGGTACTGTGGGGTGGTAAATCGTAATCAGGATGAAGGCGATGAGCAACACCCCGGATACTGTCCAAAGAGCAATTTCCTGGCCGCTGTTGAAAGCGTACACGGTTCCCCCAAAGGTAAGAGCCATGGCAATACAAGTCGAGCCGCCCAGGAATATGACCATAGCAATCCAGTCCTGGGTGCGGAGCTTCTCCTTCAACTTCAACTCCTTCGCGGGGTCGATGTTGGGCAGACACAAAATCAAGGCCGGCGCGGTGACTGCCGCAACGACAAGGTTGATGTAAAACGCCCACCGCCATGTCGCCTTGCTTTGAGCGAACGCGCCGCCGATCACAGGCCCGACGACACTGCCGAGGGACCAAGTAGCGACGATACCGGAGAGGTAAAGGGGCCGTTCGCGCGTGGTGGTCGTCATGGAGATATACGTGATAGCGCCGGAGTAGCATCCGCTTGCGCCGACTCCTTGAATAACCCGCCCGACGATAAACGCGTTCATCGTGGGTGCAGCCCCGCAGACGACGCTGCCCAACTCGAAGAGGACCACTAGTGAGAGGAACATCCATTTTACGTTGAAGATGCCGTACGCTCTACCACTATTCACGAAATATGTGTCAACAAGGAGTTCAGATGAGGAAAGAGCGTATAATACAGTGTTGATTATCTGTGGATTTACTCACATAGGTAGAACTGTTAGAGCTCCGAGAAAGATTCCCACTCCGATCCATGGCAGTTTTTCAGTCTCGCCGAGGGTCTCGATGATAGAAGGTTGTATGTCTGCAACCTGGGCTTGTGAGTAGGTAAAGTTCGAATCGTCATTTTCAGGGGGAGGTTACTCACGATAGTGCTATCAAGGGCGTAGAAGAGCACCGTAGAAAGAAGGGATGAATAAGCCAAGAACCACTATTTTTAAAATTTAGTTAACTTAGTCTAGGTACGCTTTATCCTGGAGTTCCAGGGCGATTCTGGGATGGGTATATGAACCTTAAATCCGCGGAGAGTCCTCGTCGTGATCACGTCTTTTGGCTGTTGTGTATTTTGATCCGAATCGCTTGCGGCACTCAACCTAGGTGCTTCCGAGGCTTCGGTCCTCAGTTTCCCGTCATCGCTATTGTCGGCTACTGTAGGTTTTTCTTTATCCTCCTCCGATAACTCGTGGTTCGAATGTGTAGAAGCGTTTATAGTTTCCGTATCAGCTTCCATCATGAAGAATGTTCGCTATAATGCGGCCGAGAGGTATGAGCAGCATGGGATATCGAATAGAGGAAAATGGAGATGCGATCCCGTATTTAGATTAGTATCTAATGGGCGCGATTCACGAGTTTTAGCTGATCTTGGCGTAGTAGTTTCCAGTGGATGATTGATAATATTGTTCATTCCTTTGTATTTCTATCTAAAGAACTATTCTTCAAACTTCGACCAGCCAACTACCTCTAGGGAGGTATCGGGAAACAACCAATAAGTCAGCAAGGCGACTACCTCCTTTCCTGTTCCTAAATATGAACGCATCCTTCCGCACTTGCCGGCTTCTAATTTTACTTGTCCAACATCATTCCTTAGTACCTGGATAGGTAGTAGGCAGTAGGTATTAGGTAGTTGAGGCGAAGCTAAGACAAGGCTGAAAGCTGAAGGTTTCAATATTGCCCCTTCTAATTGGTAATCCAGTCATTTTAATATCTTAATTTGGTGTCCAGTAGGAGGCCTTGTGAGCTGACCTGAATAACTTGGACAATCACCTGCTGATTGATCATAAAGCTCTCCATTTGTACTGTGCCCGTTGCGAGTCGCACAATGGTTAGGTACTAGAGGTAACTAACTGGTAAGTAAAAAAAGTAAGGGGGAAAAACCTAGGCCATAGAAACAGGAACAAACAGGAGCTTATTGCCGAAAGTTCTAGCAGGGGAGGACAATAGGTAGCAATAACATAACTGAGGGTACAATCATAATATAGAATTACCTAATTCACCAGGTACCTCTTAAGTCTATCATTGATTCGGAATTAGTAATACGGTATCTGAGTTTGCGTCACGATCAAACAAGAATACAGCTATCGGCTTCTCCGCCTTGCACAACCACCTCCTATGTAAAGTTCAACTTTAGATCACGTAAGATTATCTCATTAATAATCATTCGGCAGATTATCAATTGAATTGTTTATATTGTTTATATGTCTTATTATTGGTTAGAGATTCATTAAGCGGCTACTTTGGCCTTGTTTGAAGCTTTTGGCAAGGAGTGAAACTCACCACAGGTGAGGTACCTAGGTACCTACCTAAGCAGATAGTGAGACACTATCAAGAGCTAGAGTGAAGAGGTTGGCTGCATGCAGGTGAACTCCCGGATCAGATTCTAGGCAATTTTCACGTAAGAATTTAGTATAGAGTAGGTATGGAATACCTAAGGTGCCTCTTGGGTGAAGGAGGGTAGGGTAAGCACCCGGTAGATAGGTACCGAGGTACCTACGTAGTATTAACCCTAAGTTGACTGCATGCAGAAAGACGGATTCCCCTGCATGCGCTAATGCAAGCGTAACCCCAGATTAGATTTTGGGCAACTTTTAGAAATATGCAAGATTGATCTAGATGACAGGGATACTCCCAGCTCCACCGGCTGCGGGAAGTGGGGCTATCCTTGTTTAACATCGATGCAAGTGTAACTGCAGGTCAAATTTCTGGCAAGTATTAGGTAAGTACCTAGGTACCTTCTAGTAGGTACCTAGAACCTATTCACGACTTGCTTACAGATCAATAAACGGAGCTCAGTATTTAGCTGAAGAAACGCTAGAGGTAGATATAAGGCAATACTTCTTGCTATCATTCTGCAGGAGAACTAATCTTAAACTCCAGTTTATTAGAATACATACATCTTCCTATCTACCTATCCAATCGTATCGCTAACTTCATTACCTTGTCCTACTACAACTCAGTTTTCACAACTACAACAAAATGCCTTCCTACGTCATTACCGGAGTTGCCAGGGGAATCGGCGTAAGTTCAAGCCTCTACTATAGCCTCACATAGGAGTTCTAACAGTAAAATTAATCAATCCTCATAGTACGAATTTGTTCGTCAGCTATCGCAAGACCCAAGAAACACTGTTATCGGAGTAGTCCGAGACAAGCAACAGACGATTAAGAAAGTGTCTGAGGATGCAACCCTGAAGGGGCGTTCCAATATACACATCTTAGAGGCCGATCTGACTAGCTATGAGGCTGTAAAGGTAAGAACTGGACATGAACATACCCATCAACTACAGAAAAGAAAAAGAAGAATCAAATTAATAAAATTTGATAGAGAGTTGCTGGCGAAGCTGCTAAAATTACCGGCGGAAGTGTTGACTACTTGATCGGAAACGCGGGTTACATCTCGCAGTTCGATGCCTATGAACCCATTGGAGTCTTGTATGTTTTCTCTTTCATACGAATTTAGGCCCATTACTAATATAGAAAACCTAAAAGGGGTAACGAACCCCAGAAGCTCGAGGAAGAGCTGGCCAAGCTTATCAACATTCACGTTGTGGCAAACATTCACCTCATCAACGCATTCATTCCGCAGATCCTCAAGGGCCACGCCAAGAAGGTCATAGTTCTCTCGTCCGGCTTCGCGGACCTGGACTTGACTAACAAATTTGATTTGAACCTCAGCTCCCTCTATTCCATCAGCAAGGCCGCATCGAACATGGCCGTAGCTAAGTTCAGCGCTCAGTATAAGACGGACGGAGTCCTGTTCCTGAGCATCACTCCTGGAATGGTGGAAGTAGGCCACTACGTCAACTGTAAGATCCCCGTTCCTAATCTACCTCCTAACTTGAATCGTAAGAATAAGCATCTAACATGGTTTTTCTTCCCTTCGTTCCACAGCAACCCCCGAGCAGTTGCAGAAACTGGGCAGTGGCCTTGGCAAGTTTGCCGAATACGCGCCTAACTTCACCGGTCCAATCAGCCCAGAAGAAGCCGTTAAGTTGGTGAGGTCGGTTTGGGAAAAGGCCAGCATCGAAAATGGAAGTGGTGGTGACTTCCTCTCTCAGTTCGGAAACAAGCAATGGTTGTGATTGTTTTTCACCCAAATTCTCAATCTCCTATCGCTATAGAGTTACTGGTAGTTGTATAGATTAGTAGGTAGTCATACTCAAACGCAATGAGTAGGCACCTAAGTTTCTTTATGACCTATTACTAAGTTTTTTTTTCTTTTAATGATCTCTTTGAAATGTATTTTTAAATAATTTAGGATGACCTATATGCCTTATACTATGGTAACAGCTAGTTTGCATTTTGTGTAAAGCCACTAAAAGCTGTACGGTATTACATTAGCCACTAGTGGCCCAAACCCCTGTAGTTATAGTGATAAAGCAGCTAAAGTTTAGCGTGAAGTCACTACCTACAGGTACCCGCTCCCCCAGATTAGTTTAAAGTCCAGAGGTACAGTGCGAGCTTTCTTAAGGATGTTCAATCAATTAGGGTGACAAGGATCTGAGCATGCGCAAGGCTTCAGAGCCCAACCTTTATACAGAGAGATTGGATAGGAAACAATAGTTTATTTGCCTTATGTAGGGAATTCATGATATAAAATCATAGTGTTAGGTTGTAAGTAACACTTATCAAAGACTACCTAACCTAAGTAGGAGGTAGGCAGGTACTGACAAGTGTGTGTGTATTGTCTATGTAAAAGAAAAGATCATCATTTTTTTTTACAAACAATCACTCATCACTGAAGAACAGCAGAAGGAGCCACGTGACGTGGCTCATGAGTGGCACACTCACAGGTACTTACTTAACTAACATACCTGTTACTCTATGAGCAGGATAGCATACCAAAGACTTTGTTTGAAGCTTTGGAAATATTGACTTGGATCTAGAGAGTTTGAATAATTGGTAAAGAAAATTGTCTTTGTTAGAAATCTAAATGCAGAACCTTCTATTGTGACATGTTATGCTTACAATGGAGACCTCTAGCTACCTAAAGGCACCTGTATAATACATGTTTAGAACTACAAATTCAGAAAAGGAGCAACTAAAATACATAAGGATGAGAGTGCGGAAATGAAATAGTGTCCTTAACAACCTACTCTCTGGGTTCTCATTTCGAGACAATGGGAACGTAGAAGCGAAAGCGGTTGTGAGGGTCATACTTCTTCTTCAACCCGCGCAATCTATCCAAGCGCCATGATTCGTATCCATATATAGACTCAAGCGATTCGTACTTGTTGCCTGTCGCATAGTTTACGTATATTGCCGGCTTGCGCGTGGGTTGGCCCGCGGTCCACAGGTCCCAACTATCTTTAGCCCATGTCTCAGCGGTCGCACGCAGGTTTGATCCCTCGGGAACTGCGGCTGAGTAGAACCTAAGAATAATAAGTCGTTAGCACACTTGAAAGCGCATAGAGTTTGGGCCGGAAATGGGGGCTGAGAACATACACTAGATGGTTTTCGTCCCGGTGCGGGTACGCGGTAGAGGCGGGATCAACGGCCTGCATCCCCTTTACCGCGTAGCCTTCGTAGAAAAGACGAGAAGCCTCCCCAAGTTCGGGATATAATGCCGCGTTTTTGTTGAAAAGGTCGTAGACCTTGCGCTCTGTCGTTATGTTGTAGGTTTGGAGTAAGATAGTGGAAATGGCATAGGGTGCGGAACCGCAAGACGCCATCCCGGTGTTTTGAGGGTTAACTATTTCGGGATAGGAGACATCGCCCATCTCCTCGTGAACGGCGCTAATCTTGTTGAACGGGCGAAGAACTTTCTCGGCTTCGGAAGCGGGACCAGCATAGGCGAAGGTCCACCAGAGCATAGCCTAGAAGTACGGGGTTAAGACTGAGGCGAAAAGGAAAATAGGGGTAAGGGGGGGGGGGGGGGGGGGTTACGTACCTGGGTCTTACTAATTGATTGATTTATATAGATTTGCCCATAACTTGCACCCAACAACACAGGCGATTTGCCATTATCTTGGAGTTTGTTCAACTCTCCGAGCACCGTCTCGAGCTTATCCTGTGTCCAGAAATAGTTGTGATAGTGCCAAGTATCTATCTTCTTCGGATAAATTTTAAGCTTGAGACTAGTAACGATACCGAAGTTGTGACCAGCCCCTTTCATAGCCCAGAGTAGATCACTATGACTTGTCTCATTCACGGATATCATTGAGCCATCAGCCAGGACAAGGTTCAAGTGGATGATATTATCGCTAACAAGGCCATATAGGCCCTCATAGCGCCCATGTCCGCCGCCCAGAGCAGGCCCAGCAATGCCGACACATTCAGCTGATCCGGTAGCTGAGAGATAATTCTTGGGTTAGAAACTTTTCTTGACTGATATCTTAGTTCTTAAAGTCAATTGGGTACTCACCTGTAACATAGCCATGATCCCAAAGTGTTGCCATGACCTCTTTGGCCCGTACTCCACCCTGAAATAAAGCATATTTCCCACTTTTATCGATAGTGATGTCCGTAAGCTGTTTTAGATCAATTTGAACCCCTTTGAATGCGCCTAGAGATGTGGTGAAGCCATGACCGCGATTAACGGCCAGAAACTCGAGGCTATGATCATTGCAAAACCGGACCTCAGTTTATCGTTAGCTAGGTACCTAACTGAGATGTCGTATTTCGAGGTTACAGATTTATTGAAAGATAACTTACAATTTTTGGGACATCCGACTCCTTTGCTGGCTGTACAACGACCTCAATGTCAGGGGGTTCCAATGTGTTCCACCTCTCGTTCACATCTGACCACTCAGGGTCTGAAGGCAAGAATATGGCCGACCCTGGAGAAAGTAACGGGCCTAGCTCTTGTTCGATTCCAGAGACTGATATCTCTCTCCGTGTAAAGGGGGTATTCCGAAAATAACGGGGCACAGCATCGTGGGATAAGGGAGAGCCCTCCACGAAAGTCCGGAGGAGTGCAATGCCGCAGAGTATACCGCGAGCGAACGTGCTTAGGTTCGTCATGGTAGTTATTTGTTAGCTTTTATAAAGAAGCCTGTTTCTCTACAATAAGACGCTGACCAAGATTAAACTCTTGAGGAGAAAAGCAACAAGCTCTTATAACATGCCCGAGCCGCTCATGAAAGTTCGTAAGCATAATATAAGGACCGATCTAGCCGATAACTTGATGAATCCCACGTGCCGGGAATCTCACTTAAGACTCCTTCGTAACAAAGAACATGCTGAATATAGATTTGGCTTCACAACTCTGTTTAGGTAGGTAGTTAGAGTTTCTCGCGGAACAACGAAGTTGTTTCCCTCACGTAATGCTCTGCGACGTGACACCACGGAGCTGAGACGAATGAGGTGCTCAGAGCGAACATACGATCCTTCTTTACCCCTGGTGACCACATTGCGCGCCTCTAGTCCGCCTGCGGCTTAAGTTGAGGTCTTCTGCTGTTAAGCTTATAGCAACTCCCAGTGGCTGAGATTGCGGACTATTATTCTTTCAGCTATAATTAATACCAACGAAAAGACCATCTAGACCACATTTGAGCCCCCCACGAGCTCATGAGGTGTAGGTAGTATTCGGCCCTTTGGCCAGGGATAAGGCGCAGCATCTCCTCGCTAGCATCTAGGTAGTATTGCCTTACTAAACTAATCAAGCCATGGCCTTCAAAACGAGCTCAATGATACTGGAAATAGGTTACTTGCGTCGTTTATAGATCGTTCCTAGGTAGAACCTAGGTAGAAAGCTAGGTCTCGATCCCCAGCCTCTCAGTCGCGTACGACCCCAGCTGTTCGAGGCTCGGATGCGGCTTAATCAGTATTATTAATTCACAAGACAAGAATAGGACATGAATGGAACATTATATGTTCAAATTAAGAATGGTTATGATGGGGGAACTGAGCAGAGGGAACAAGTTTCATATCAGCTCGTAGGATCGGGACTTAACGAGCACCAAGCTTACAAGACGTGTAACCAACTTCGTAGCCTTATATCCCCGGAGGATCATGTAGAGGCTGAACAAATGCGGCTGATTTTAGTTATATACTACACCCAGAGTTTATATTTACCCGTCCATGTCATACCCCATCTGCTTACAAACTAATAAAGTTATCTATTCATGTCAGGTCAATAGTTGACGGTAACATTCTAGGAGTGTGAAGCGAATGAAACTTATCTTAATAGAAATAGCAAAATACCAATATCCTATCTAGTATCTAGGTACCTAGTAGGTACCTACCTAGGTAGTCATATCCAAAGCGACAGGGTTAGTCCTCAAATATCTGTCCCGATAGTTCGGAAAGCTGCTCATCCTTCCAGATCAACCCTTCAGGCATGGTCTTCCACCGACCCTGTTCATCAAGTAACTTTGATACCTGTTCCCATTCTTCTCTCACTGTGCGGGTTTTCTGGTCGTCTCTAGGTACTATTCTTGCTGGAAACGGCCTTGGGAAAGACATTAACCCCTCGGTCAAGTCGTTCATATCTGGGATAATCTCTCGGTTGGTATCGGGATCTATGTCTCTTTGGAAGTCAAATGCCCAAAGGAAGCGAGAAATCGCTAGAAACAGAGAACGATCGGCGATATGCATTCCCTGGCACCTGCGTCTACCTGCTCCGAAAGTAAAATGGTCTCGTTGCGCGGCATCCGGGTTATTTGCCGAGTCCATAGATGTCTGATGATCGTCTATGTAACGCAGCGGTTCGAACTCCCGAGGCAATGCATGCCGCTGAGGGTCATTGTGCACAGCCCTATTCGCATGGCGACAAACAATAATATCAGCTTAACGATTGACAATTCACCGTCACATGCCATGGCCAGCACTTACCAAGTATTGAGGATAACTGTTGCACCTTTAGGGATGCGAAAACCAAGATACATATCATCTTGAGTAACGGCGTGGGGTATGCCTAAGAAGAACCCAGGCATCCAACGTAGCGTTTCCTTTGCACAAGCCCGGATATATGGCAAGTTTGGGACGTCATTGAGGTCAGGTAGACGATCACCACATACGCGGTCAAGCTCGACTTGAGCTGCTCTAGCTACGTCGGGGAAAATGATCATGGCTTGAATGAACCCCATCAGAATACCTGCAGTTGTTTCAGAACCGGCTTGCAGTACTGAACCGCCGATATACGCAGCAAGGTCATCGGAAAACCTTTCTTTCTTCTGCATATTGACGAGGTCGACGCAAACACTTGGCTATATATTTCTTGAAGGTTAGCACGAAAACCCCGGTCGAGTCTACTCCTAGAATGCAAGTCAATACCTTGGCGGTACCATCATGTAGTGATTTCTTGGTATTGAGATAATATCCTCGAAACAACTCCAACTCTCTTTCGTGGATCTTCCGCCCCTCACTTTTGATGTTCAGCATACTATCTGGTAAGCGTCTTAAGATAGGTACGAGATCTAATAGTGCAGCAGTCTAATGGGCGAAACACAATTAGCCTTAGAATTTCTAGGATGAATAATTTTAACCAACCCGGGATGCGATCAACTCAGAGCTGCGATCAAATATCTAAGGAGGGCGTCAGCACCCATAATTCCGACAGTCTTAGAAATGTATGCATACATCAAAAATTTCCTTGAATCTTCGATCGTCAATAGTTGTGGTACGAAAGCCGAATGTCATCTGCGTTGTCAACGAAGTCGTATAGCGGCGAAGATGGTCATTGAAATCTGATGGACTTTCCAGAAAGCCCATTAACATGGCCTTATTTTCAAGGTCTTGATAAGGCACATAAGTCCGCGCTGCGGCGACGCTCAGTATACGATGAACGAACTTCCGGACCATTTTCCAGACCCCATGGTTCGGCTGTGACTGAGTGATTAGATTTATCTCATACCCCTTTTTACCCCCCCCCCCCCCCCCCCCAACGAGTTGGAGAATGAAAACACATGATAGGTTAGGTACCTACACCTAGAGACTAGACACATACCATAAACAAGACTCTGAGGCCACCGCTTAGGATATCTTGCCCTATATAAGACTCCGGTCTCGAGGAATAGATAGCACCCCGCTTATCTGCCAGGTCCTTGATCACCTGATCAGAATTGAGTACGATCATAACTTTATTCCCCAGCATAAGTGAATATATTGGACCATACTCTCGAGCCCATTTTTCGAATTGTTCGTGGCGCTTCTCTGTTGGTATCTGATGTAGATTGCCGATAAGGGGGAGAGTAGGAGGGCCAGGGGGGTAATCCTTGGGTCGACGACCGAATCTGCTGAGTCGCCATATTATAATAACTAGGAATACGGTAATGCAGATAGTATATGGATTTGTGAATTTCTCAAGAGCCATGTTGATAGTTGTCAATAATTAATTACTGGTGATTTCTAACGAATAGTTCCGTGGACCGAGTGTCGATATAAGGATCTACTGAACCGTACGTCCTCAAGTTGTCAGCTAGACACGGTGGAGTAGCTGATCAATATCCGTTCAATCAGAATTCATTGGAGCCTACCTAGATATGAAGATAGAATTGATTTACTTACTTCACATCATGTCTTTTCCTTGGCCTTAGGGTACTTGACGCTATACAACTACCCTCGACTAACATCACGGATTGTAGGTACCTGGTTACTTACATGTAGGTATCCCTTAAGGATACATTGATACATGTAGATGTACAAGCCTCGGGTTACACCCGACATCATTAACGAATTTCCAAGAACTTTTGATGATCTGGTATTGTCCAGTACATGGTACTCAAGGTACATGAAGATACTTATATAGGTACCTAAATTGGTACTAATCCATGTACTGTGCAAACCGTAAGACTTCGAACGTCGCACCCGCTCTTTCCACCCTGAATTCTTGGCAGCTTATGTGCATATGCAGTGTAACCTGAATTCCATATAATGGGCAAGTGTCCGAGCTCCAAAAATTCTTAGAAGATTCAATCTTAGAAATCTCCCACATTCTCAGAGACTCGTCCCAGACACATTCCCAGAACAGCATCTAAGCGAAACGCCATACCTCAAGCTTTATCCCGCTACCCGTTCCGACAAACACCCAATCACTACCGGAATAAACAAACTCTATTCGTACCTAACGTACCACTTACCACTTATGATGGATGCCAAGATAATAGAGAAGGAGATGGCATTGGCCATTGCCAATTCGGCCGTCGGCGAATGCCCCGAGATAAGAAAAAGGGCCAATTTAAAGGTGACAAATATAGATCACGACACTTGTCTCGATGATACTACTGCAGCATGTGTAAAGTCATTTCCGCATAAGCGGAACCTCAAAGGTACTGGCCTTCGACTGTCCTGGCCTAATGTCGGTGACAGCAGACGCGCGGTTGTTGGAAAATTGCCGTCGCACGCCTCACAATATGGGGCGTCACATAATAACAACGGTCCTTATTCTTCGGATGCCCGTATTACTCATGTGTCTTACGCGGATATTGAAATGCACTATAGCATTACAAATCAGGTAGCTAAAGGTATGTCTCTCTACTAACTGTATTGGGTCGTCGTCGCTCTAACACGTGTTAGAATCCACCCAACCGGTATTACATATACCGTTAGTATGGAATCCTATTAAATTGGAAGTTGGTGACACGAGCCTATTCGATTACTGTGAGTTCATCCGGCCTGTCTGGGGACTTTAACATGGTAGATTCCGTAAATTCAGTAACTGATAATGTCCACCTAGTTCGATATAGTGCATCACAATCTCTTGCCGTATTTGGTCATGATCCAATAGATTTAGGTAATGCACTGATCCGAATTTCCCTGGCAAGCGAGACGACGTCTGCTGTAGCAGCACTCCAGTCACTACTAGCTTTATCTTCACTACACCGTCACGATGTTCATTCACAGGCTGTGGAGCTAAAGATCTCCGCTCTCAAATCCCTATCGGCCGCAGCAGGGAGCCACTTTGGCACCACGGAAGCAGCACAACATGTTGCCGCAGGAATGCTGCTATGCTCTTTCGAGGTCAGCTCAACTCCCCATATTGATATTCGCCGTAGTGCTAACGTAACCCATTACCTAGGTCCACCAGTCATCTTGTACCTCGGGACAATGGCTGTGGTATTTATCCGGAGTTAAGAATCTTATTAAAGCTACCGGCCTCGACAAACACACTCACGACAGCGATATAGCTATGTTGTTGGATTGGGTGTATTACTATGATGTATTAGCACGTTTCACTCTGCGGCACTGGGATAGAGAAACTGTGGAAAATACATCAGCTGAATCAAGTATCCGTGCAGAGGTTCGTATACCAGATAACGAAAAAAGGACACGCTCTAATGAATACCTACATCAGGCTTCCCAAGCGGCACCTTCAGCTCTCACTATGGTCGAGATGTTGTCGGAGGTTTGTGATGCGGTATCTACCCGACCGCCGGCTAGATCATCTCTCGAGGATATAGACGACTACAAAAATTTCCTAAAAATCCTCGACTGGAGAATCAGGGCTATTCAAGTGAAACGCATGGCTAATGACACTACCGATGCGCCATTAGTGATGGAATTATATCAGCTAGCTACATTGGTGTATCTCAACCGTGCGTCAGACAACGTACTTAACCAGACGAGCAGGATCCAGCAGCATATCGATAGGGCTTTCACTCTGTTCTCCCAGCTGGAATATTGCGTTAGGCAGTTTCCCATCTTTGTGTTAGGATGCGAGGCTCGAAGGGACGACCAACGGGCGGCAGTTCTTGATCTCATATCAAGATCTGAAAAGCATGAATCTTCGCGGTCATTTAACCACGTTAAGCTACTAATTCAGGCGATTTGGGCGCAAGACGACTTGGCTAACGGGGAGATTAATTACTGGGATAAGGTAAGCTATATAATTAGCCGCTGCTCAATTCTCCCTACCTTTGTTTAGATTAGAATACCTCATAGGAGGAAAGAAACAAGGTCGGAAGCAGTTAAATTCCTACTGTACTACATTATTATAAATCTATGTTGCCACTATGTACCTATAGTCTAGATAGAGGTATCTAAGGTAAATTAGGCAAACTCCGAAGTCATTATTAATACCAAAGGTTAGGTACTTACATATGCCCGACTTTAGGAGGGATGTTGTGTCGGAGTGTAGTAAGAAGGATTACTCAAATAGGAAATTCTCACTTAACGAATTGGGAAGACTAAAAGTGGAGTAAAACTTAACCAATTAGAAAAATGAATGAAAATGGAAAGATACATTGGTACTTGCCTAATGTACTGACTATGACATCCTCCTAAAGTCGGGCTCTTGTGGTCCCCTACCCGGGGGGGCCCTCGGCTTCCTAGGTATTGGTAAAGGACCTAATGCCCGAACTTGTTCGGGATATTGTATTAACCCAGTTCGTCCCGATTAGGTACACTCCGAAGTCATTATTAATACCAAAGGTGCCTATACCTACTTACATATATCCTGGGTATTGGTAAAGGACCTAATGCCCGTACCGAACTTCCATGTTCAACTTGTTCGGGTTCGGGATATTGTATTAACCCAGCTCGTCCGGATTAGACAACTCGGCACTTTAAGCGTTTTTATTGGATGATAGGTATTGAGCTGGGACAATACAATATCCCGATCAAGTTCGGGCAATAGCAGGTAGGTACCTACTACCTATTACCTATAATAATCAATAGGTAGGTACCTAACTTGTGATTTCTTTATTCCTCTTTTTCTTCAATCTCAAGTACCTCCATCATCTAAATCTCCTGGTATTAGTCAATTCAAAATTCAACATGGCTACCACATTTGATATCTCACCGGAGAAAAGGGCAAGCTTCCGCCATTATCTCTATCGTCAGCTCTTCGTTACCCCTCCTCCTGTGTTACAGCGCGATGTAAACTTAAGTGGGAAGACGGCCATTATCACAGGGGCAAACGGCGGGATAGGATTAGAAGTGGCACGTCAACTTCTAGATCTCGGCTGCAAAGTTATTTTAACCGTTCGCGACGAAAAAAGGGGAGAAACTGCCCGACAGGAGCTTATCAATGGCCGGTCTCTTGCACCGGAATTTGTCCAGGTCTGGAAACTGGACTTATCATCTTACGAATCCATCATAGCCTTCGCAGAACGTGCTAAGACTTTGAAGAGCCTCGATATCGCCATTCTCAGTGCGGGCATATTCAAGGTCACCGAGTCATTCAGCAGCTCGACTGGCTACGAAGAGGGCGTGCAGATAAACTTCTTGGCAAACATGCTTCTCACGGTGTTACTGCTCCCCATCATCAAGGAGAAGAGAACTCCAGGACAGCCGGGTCACATTTGCGTGGTGTCGTCCGACACGGCGGCATGGACCAAATTCGAGGAGGGAAGTTCGACGCCTGTCCTCCCCGCGTTCAAACGGAAGTCACCCAATTGGGATATGTCAGATCGCTACGGAGCCACGAAGCTGCTCGGACAGCTATTTCTCACAGAGCTCGCGAAACATGTCTCCTCATCCGTGGTTACTCTGTCCTTCGCCAACCCTGGTTTCTGCAGCGGCTCGGAGCTCGCGCGCGAAACGAGCGGAATTATCCGCGTGGCTTACAAGATCCAGAGCTACATTCTGAGCCGAAAGAGCTTCGTCGGTGCGCGCACGTTGGTTCATGCCGTTACAACGCTCGGCGAGAAGGCGCATGGACAGTACGTCGAGGACGCAAAAGTGCAACCGTGAGTATTATTACCTACACCGCATATCCCCCCCAAAACGCCGGAATGTCCTAAACCATAAAAGAGGTAACTACCTAACCAACTACTTTACCTGAGCTGACATGCATTGTTCTGGGCAGAACGGCCGTTCTCATGTACAAACCCGAAGGATTGCGTCTTTCGAAGCAGGTTTATGAGGAAACATTAGATGAGCTCTCATTCGCGGGCGTCAGAGACATTATCGATCAGGTGTCGAAGGTTAGGTAGTGCGACAGCCGCATTCCAGGGAATATTTAGGATCTACCGGTAAGACGGAAGAGGAACTGGCTCTTAGTCCATGAGCTAATTTGACTGTTACTAGACTTACTTCTATGCAGAAATACGGTTAGTAGGTAGTAACAAGGCCAATCAATAGTATACTTCGGCTGATTGGGAGGCTGTTGGTAAGATAGGGCATTTATCTAATATATGTTGTAAGAAGTGTAGACTAGTCTTTTAATACTACTTGCCTACCTCCTACCTAATTGCCTCTTGCTCCAAAACCGCATGTCAGTCTTACGTGCATATCTGTCTACCTACGCATGTTTGTGTCACAACAAGGGTGTATTGTTTGGGGGCTAGATCCCATGTACTATGTAAGATCGTGAGATATAAATCTACCGTGAAACAACAACACCTACTTACACGCATGTAAGATAACACAGCACCACCTCTACGCTGAATTCCCAGGAAAAGATAAGCATATTCCCGGGATACCCCGCAACGTAAGATAACAAGGTGGTATCTCCGATGTAGCACAATGAGGCATATTGGTAGCCTCGTCTCGCAATAGGATGCGTAAGCCTCTGAGCATAGCATAAGGCGCAGACCTTCCCCGAGACCTAGGAATTCCACCACGCCTTACCACCCACACTGGGTAAGCAAGCAATATGGTGTATGGCTGGCAACTCTGGCTCTCACCCCGCCCTTCGAGGCGTACGGATACCCCGCGCGAGTCCCGTATGCTCTCCCCGAACGACGCGGCGCTCTACGAGTTCCTATACGACGAGGACGGGCGTTACGCCGTGAGGGAGACTCACTACGCGGATAATAAGGCTGTTCGGGATGGCATTTCTGGCCCGCCACTGTGAGAATGACTTTGCGATTTTCTAACTTTCGGCCTTGGTGGCCTCCCCCCCTGACTTACGACTGAGCAGGCACATTCACATTCGGCAAACCGAGTACTTCCAAGTCCAACAGGGCGCACTAGCAGTTGTCAAGAACGGGAAAGAGTCTGTTATCACCAAGAACGACGGGATCCTCGTGATCGCTCCCGGCGCGCGGTAGGTTCTCGCCGCACTCTTTTAAAATCGGTGCAGTTCTCTTGCACATTCATTGCCTTGGGTTAGGAACCTAACTAAACAAATCTAAAGCCATCGGTTCTGGGCCCATAGCCCCGTCCGCGAAGACCTTGTCTTCAAGGTTTGGGCCGAGCCGCAGGATCTCGGCCACGCTTTTGACGAGAGCTTCCTGCGCAACAGCCTGGGATATCTTCGAGATTGCCAGCAGCAGGGCATCGAGCCGTCCGTGTTCCAGATGGCCTTGCTCGGATGGAGCAGTGACACTATCTTCGTCACTCCGTCCTTCTGGGTGCCGATATGGATTTTAAAATTGGCTCAATACGTGATAGGCCATTTCATAGGGGGACTGTTGCTGGGGTAAGTAGCAGCGGGCTTTTTCTATGGGTCTATTATCATAGCTTTAGGTAGGTACGAAGCTGACATTGTCTGCGTATAGGTATAAAGCGACATATCCCGAATATAGCATAACGACACAAGATGACTCTAACAAGAAGAAAAAGAAATAATACTCATGCTGATATGGTGAAGAGTTGTGTGGGAGACATAGTACACGAGCTTGTTCTCTGGGCTTGTGATACTTGGCGGGCACTCTTTAAAATGACCCTGGATAGTTCAGCTTATTCAGATTACTTCTAACAATACAACAGAATTTGATTCACTGTAACCTGTTTCCTACTGTAACTCGTATGAAGGGCGACGTACTTCCTAGGCAATATTCCCGCTCGTACAACGTTATACCAAACCCCCTTTTCCCGGCCGGAGGCTGCGGCCCGGAGTATGTTTGAGCTTACATAGCACTTCCTTCGCGCCTCTTTAATCCTCCTTTCAGCCCGGATTTCCTTTTATAGCACATTAACTGAGCGCCTAGGCGTTCAGCTTCTACTCGGATCGTACCTACTATCTAACTATGAGAAGTCGCTTAGTTGGTATCGTGTAGGGCTGTTTTCGATGATATCCTTTGATAAAAATCAACTATCTAGGTCTGGCTTCTACTGGATAACGAGTAAGGTTGTGGGAGGGAAGTGAAGGATTTCTCATAGGTAGAAGCATGGCTCTAGCCTTGTCTACCCTGAAGAAGGCACCCTAGACGACTCATAGTGCCATCGACACACTACTAGGTGTAAAAGTGTAAAAGTGTATTTATCAGCATGGCCCGAAATAGAACAATCCCATCAGGCGTAAATGGGCCTCTTATTATTATCATTACAGCTGAGCCTCTAACTGTGCCTCGTCGTAGAATGTCTCTAGTCATACTCACTTCTCTTAGAGCTGAGATTATTTGAGGTTGCACGACAGATACTCCGAGTTGGGACCTCGCCGCGTCTACCATAGTAGTGAAGGCTTCTAATAAAGATATATATATCGTAATTAGTTACTTACCATTCCAGTTGTTCGCTTCCTTTGTTTAGAGTTCTCCATATTCATACAAAGTCATTCTAGTCGTATCTAAGATGTTCGTCGTAAACAGAGCCTCAACCGCGACAAGCTGGACCTCGCTAGTCCTCTGGCTTTCATTCTGCTTCAGTGGCACATACGCAGCCGCTACTGCAGGACTTGTCCCGCGCGTCGACCTCAGGTCGGTTCTGACGAATCAGAAGTGGTCTGCCGACACGACCATCTCCTTCGCCGGCTCCCCGGAGTTCTACAACGTCACCGAGCGATGGACTACGTTCAGCGCCCCAACTTACAGCGCTGCTATCAGCCCGGCTACGGAAGACGATGTTGCGAAAATTGTACGCGAGCAGCTAATCCTCGAGTACCGAGTTCAAAGACGGTGTTGTTTTTTGGGGGGCTAACTGGATGCTAGGTAAAACTTGCGAAATCTCACAAGATCCCATTTCTTGCTACGGGGGGGCGTCATGGATACACAACCACCCTTGGGGATCTCCACGATGGCCTGGCTATAGATCTTAGCGGCTTCAAGTCGCTTCACGTAGATGCAACTGCTCAGACTGTAACGGTTGGTCCTGGTATACGGGTGGGGGATATTTTTGAACCGTTATATAAAGCCGGATTCGACCTTCGTAAGTTTAAAGCCCAGTAACTGACCCAATTACACAATAATACACTTCGACATGCTCTATGGCTTCTAACATGCACTAGAAACTGGAAGTTCTTCCTGTCCCAGTCTCATCGGCGTAACACTCGGCGGCGGTGTTGGACGTTACCAGGGTGTTTATGGCTTGATCACAGACGCGCTAGTTTCCGTGAGGCTAGTTACAGCCAAGGGCGACATTATTGAAGTGTCCAAGAAGTCTCACTCTGATCTATTTTGGGGCATTCGCGGAGCGGGTGCGAACTTCGGCATCATCCTATCCGCTACTTACAAGGTCCATCCGCTGACTGACGGCGGCGATGTTTTCACCGTCGAGTATATCATTCCAGCAGAGAAGAGCTCTACATACTTCAAGACGATAGAGTCTATGAGTCCTCTACCTGCGGAACTGGCCTCAATCATGCTTATAAATTCTAACAGTACTACGAACAAGGTATGTCTTCTGCAATTGCCATGCTCAGAATGCATTCAGCTGATACCAGACCATAGACACAAGTCCAGGCCCAATGGACGTATAAGGGGCGCGAAGACAAAGCCCGTAAAGCCCTAGCCCCCATCCTCGACCTCGGCCTCGATACCACCCGAATGGCCAACGTCCCTTGGAACGAGCTCGTCGTCAGCGCGTTTGGGAACATTATGGATTCCATCTGCCGAGCGAACATCACGCGCGACCTGTACAGCTGGAACATGAAGAACTACTCCGCGTCTACGTACTCCGCGTCGTTCGCGAAGATGGATAATTACTTCGCCAAATACCCCGGCGCGCGCAGCAGCATTCTCCAGTTCGAGTTCTTCCCCAACCAAGCCATGGCAGCGGTGCCACGCGACGAGACGGCGTTTCCTTGGAGGGACACAACGGGGTATATGTGAGAAAACCTCCCTCCCTCTCTTGTAGACTTGGATTTTACATGCACGCAGTGCGTAGATAATATGAAAAGCATACCTGACTAACCAATCTGACCTCGGCAGAAACTTCAACATGCTATTCGACGACAGAGACGACGCGACACAGAACGCCTCCATCGCGCTCGGGCTGGAGCTGCGGGGCGATCTCGTAGCCACGTCCGGGTATCCGGAGCTCACGGTGTTCGTCAACTACGCCCACGGCGACGAGACGCTGGAGCAGATCTACGGCAAGGACAAGCTAGGCCGCCTGGCGAAATTGAAGAAGGCCTGGGATCCGGATCACATGTTCAGTTTCAATAACGGGCTGCCGACTCGGTATCCCTAAAACGGGGGAGAGTGACATGAGAAGTGTCTGGTTTCTTACTCGATTCCCGCCATTGTGCAGGACCTTCTGTTGCTGTTAGGAGGTACATACCTACATGTCAGCATGTACGTGGGGTACCTTGTTTGTTGTAGACTACATGTATTCCTAGCATCTATCTTAGATGATAGCCCGTAATAGTTACCAACACCTGGTAGCTGCTTATTCAAACAGCTCTAGAATCCCCAACATACAACTAGTAAGGGGTGGTTTACCTGTAATGCGTGCGCGATAGCCGACTACCGATCTGTGAGATATTCTTCGTAATGCTTTAGAAGGGCCTAGATCTGTGGTATGGTTGAGGATCATACTGGCTATGTCAGATTAGGTATAGCGATGGTTGGTTGTTATTGTTAACATTACATTCACGGCTTTGAAGTAGAATTGCAAGAAGTATAGGTACCTAGGTACCTAAGTACCTCTGAACTAATGCATGCACGGGATTGTGCATTAGCGCGCAATCTCAGAAGATACATAGTACAAAGTACAGTTATAATCACGGATAGTGTTACACAATCTTACATCAGCCACCACAGCCGCTATGATCACAACTAGTCTTGTGTAACAACTTGAAATTCATTTTGAACTCCTTTAAGAAAATTTAAGGACGAGAAAAAAAAAAAAAAAAAAAAAAAAGGCAATGCCAGGGAAACACATTATCTTCGCGGTCCACGCCTCCAGGACACAAAGACACGGCCTTCGGAGCTGCAGCCGTTTCTGGTATGGTCTTCGGGGTAATGGTTATGAGGCTGATTTTAAGTCCGAATTCTTTCATTATCTATCTCCTAGCCTCCTTGGTGGGAAGACTGCGCGTTGCAGTGATTGCGGGATGTGCGTATTCGAAAACAAGATCAGCAAGCGAACTTGCTGCAGTACCTCACATCACATAGTAGGTTAGGTAGGTACCTAACTCGCTAGCCAGGCTGCCAGGCTGCATGTGAGTTTAGGAGGTAGATACCAGGTATGTTACGCAAGTAGGCTCCGACCTACATTCTGCATCTTCCACCTTTCCCTTGCGCAATTGAATCTTCTCTTCTCTTCCCCGCCCAGTTCGATGATTATCAAACTCCTCTACTGGATGCCGAGCTACAATGCCGGGTAAGCTTTGCCGAAAACGAGGTTTCACATGATTATCATGGTTGTAGTACCTCGATCTGCCCGGATCATGATTGATATAAGTGAATTTGTGATATTCTTGCATGAACAAGCAGCATTGGTCGCAAAGATAACGTGTGGCTCTTCCCTCATTTCCACTCGCTTGGTTAAACCATCGTTTAGGATTCACCTACGGTACCTAGTACCAACCTGAAGAAGAGACATCATGTCATCCGAACTCGAAAGCCAAGCCGCATTCGAGGCCACACTTATCGGATTTCTCTACCGACAGTATACTCAACCAAGGCCTGTCCCAGCAGACACTAGGGTTACTGACCAAGTGGCCATCGTCACGGGAAGCAATATAGGGATCGGTTTTGAAGCATGTCGGCAATATCTGAGACTTGGAATATCCCACTTAATCATGGCGGTACGCTCACAGGCGAAAGGGGATGAAGCAGCCCACAAGCTGCGGAAAGAGTTCCCCGGTTCTAACGTATCCGTTTGGACCGTCGAAATGGAGTCGTACGACTCCATCCGCGCCTTCGTAGACAGGTGCGCAGCTCTACCGCGCATAGATATGGTCATCCTGAACGCCGCCTTGATGAGGATGGCCTATACGACGGTACCTGCTACTGGCCACGAGCTTACGATGCAAGTGAACTACCTCTCCACAGCGCTTCTAGCTATCCTACTTCTCCCCATACTCAAATCCAAGAAGATCGACGGCGCGAAAAGACCTCCCGTTCTTAGCATCGTGGGGTCTGACTTGGCGTATCGAACAGAGATGGAGACAAAGGGCCCTATACTACAGCAGTTCGACAAATCCGAGGGATTTGGCGAACTCCTCTGGTACGGCAGGTCGAAGCTTCTGCTCACGTTCTTCGTCGCCAAGCTCGCGGAGTTCGTCGACGCCGATGATGTCCTCATAAACATGCCGAACCCCGGCACCATCAAGGGCACGGGATTTTTCCGCGACTTCCCCACGCTGGCGGGGAAACTGGTCGCGTTTCTCCATTTTCTCTTCGGGAGGAGGGTGGATGTTGGTGCTACTACGTATCTTGACGCGACTGTTGTTAGAGGCAAAGAGGGCCATGGGAGTTTTATCAGCGACTGGGCTATTAAACCGTGAGTATTTCCACGAACTTCATTTTTGCATACCTACCTAGATACGCTAGGTTAGACAGGTACTTATTTAAGAAAGTTGGCTAATTCGCAAAGATATCCCTTGATATGGTACGGGGCTGAAGGCAAGGTGTTGAACGAAAGACTATGGGAAGAGACGATGCAAGAACTGAACTTCGTAGGGGCCTCAAAAATCCTGGAAGACTTGAAGACGCGACACTGAGCAAGGAAAATTAGAGCTTCAATTTCCATTATATTATTTATATTGAACGTTTAACTATCACTAAGTCCGCAACAAGGATTCGAACCCGTTATTTCTTTTATGTGAACTGGTCGAAAATAATGATGACATACCTGCTTTAGATTCCGGCGTTGACCCGAAAGGGAGGGTAGTATCTTACATCAGTTAAAAGGATAGGAGGTATCTTATGCCGTACCTAAAAGCTTTCTCTCTCACATATCATACCTGCTCAGTTTAATCTGGAGCAAATGTATCATGGCCCGCGCTAAGGAACTCAAAAGTAAACTCCACCAGCAGCACAAGCGAACAAGCTGGACGCGATTCCATCTGCCCCGACGGCAGGATTGGCCGATATGGTCGACGGGGCACTTAGATGCGCATTCCAGTCCTCTTGCGACCGTGCCGGGGTGCCAAAAGGTCTGGCTAGGGAGAAACACCGACGATCCGGAACAGGCTGCCTTGATTATCCGTGAGTATCTCAGGGAGAGCCTTGTCGCTTAGGAGGGATCTAGAGGCTCAGGCGAGTTTGGCATATTTGCTGACACACATTAACCTCAGTCTGGGAGTCGGCGGAAGCTCTGAAAAACTTCCAAAGCTCCCCCGCGTGTGCCGAATTTCTCCAAGGCTTACCCGAGGAGGACGTGCAGCCCTCGCCCGCACCAGGCGCATTGCTGTGGAGCGCATCCATGGACGACGCCGCATCATCATCATCAGCGACATCAGCGCGGTTTGTCAGCTTCCAGTGGAATAGCGGCTACCGGTTTGAAGAGGATCTCCAAGGCCGCGTGACGCTGACTATCCTCGCGATACCATACACAGGCGACCCCGTCCCCGAGCCATGGGCCAGCGCCGTGCACAGCACGTTCGACCAGTTTCTTCCTGAAGGGTGCGAGGATCTCAGTGCTCAGTGGCCGGGTGCGCGCATGCATTTCTGGACGGCGTGGGCGTGGGTTGACGGCGGCATCCCGCAACAGCAGGAAGGGGGGGAGGAGGAAAATGTAGCAGCGGGAAAGAAGAAGAAGAAGAAGAAGAAGAAGAGCGACCAGGCGTTTTTATGCGAGTTCCGCCGGTGGAACGGGTACCACGGCGCCACTCCGGAGTTGGAAGAGTTCTTGGCGAAAAGTCCGCGGGCAAGGCAGTCGTGGGCCGAGACGGTAGCGAAAGTGATGCCTCCAGTTACGGCCTGGGATCAAGAGCGTTGGGACGTCCGGTTGATGCCGGATTATATTAGTCTGGGCGAGGATGAGGAGGAAGAGGAAGAGGAAGACCTGGACGAAGAGGATGAGGAGTACGAACGAAATATGAACGAGTTCCTCAAACAACTAGATTGATAATTACAGGTGCCTAGAGGTAGGTAGGTATAGGATTCATAACCCTATTCATAGACTTCAGACTCCGTATAAACTATATTGACCAAGCCAACTTCGGTGTTAAGACGTTTCGTATGTGAAATTTGTTCGCTATATCCGCCTCGGAGTTATTATTACCCCATTGCATCACAGTGTAATCTAATGTAGGATAAACCTGACCAAAGTATATACCGCATAGAGATGATAATTGCTAAAAGAACATTCTACGGTAGCTTCAGGCGTACGAAGTACCCAGATATTACTTGACAGGACAAGGAACCACGTTTCCTACAATAGTTCGGCTTCTCTATGGTTTGACTGCCCCGTAAACATAGTTAGAGCCCTGCTTTACAATCTTGAAGTTCCAGTTCTTATCTATGTCGGAAGGTTGGTTGGTGCCGCTCGATTTTCCAGATAGGTAGTACATCTGCGTGACGAAGAAGACGTAATTCTCGGGATTCATGCGTGCTTTTGGGCGGCTCGTCCTAGCAAGCCTAATACAAGCTGCAAGATCGTCTGTCAACAGCGAATTAGTAGGTATACTCTGTGTATAGTAAGTCACGTATAGGTTAGGTACTTACATATCTCGTCGGCGCCCTCGAGGAATCCAATATTGGTATTCCTGCCGTCATATACCCCGAATATGAGATGAAATGCCTCGTGGAGGAGGGTCATACTCTTAGGCACGACGTCTGCAAGGCTGGTGCCAGCCTTAATCTTCGCGTTTCCCAGCTTATAAGAATCTGGTGATAAGGTATTTGCGAAACTCTCACCACACAAGACGATCATGTCGATTGTCCTCCGCAGTGTGGTCCGGCCGGAGGGGGTTCCTGTAAACACTTTAATCGCCGCAGTGAGCGCGAGATTCTTCGTGTTCTTCTTGCAGTAATCTTTGCCTGTGGTCGAGAAGTAGTATCCCTTCGGTTCCTTGATGCCGCCAGACCACCAGGGTTTAATTGCACGGTCATCCTTGAGGGCTTTTCTGTACCCTGGCACCTTTTCTATCGTGACGGGGTTACCTTTGCTATCCTTAATTTCCTTGTCTTGCCAGTCTCGGGCTACCGAATCCCCCTTTTTTTCTTCCAGGAAGTCGCTACCGCAGAATAGGTAGCGGTTCTTGTTTAAACCGTAAACAGGTTGACCTCTCGCACGGCCTTTGGTTATCTTTCTAACGTTGAATAAATCGTGAACACTTCTTAGGTTATCTGGTTATAGAGTTAGCTTAGCCGACACTTTCAAGATACCAAGATGATGTATAAAATCAACGGAGACATAGAATATCCGCAAAAATAGTCTATAAGAGAAATAGTCTTGAAGCATACCGTTAATTTTTTTGACATTCTTCTGAGCGTCTTTATCCTTGGGATTGATACCAAAGAACGTTTGAATTGCCTTTTGAATTCTTGCATCTGTCGAATAATGTTTATCTACTTGATCAATGGTATCTGTAAGGCTGTAGATGATCTCTTCGTGCCAGTCATCTAGAGTCCCTGTTCCTTTTGACTGGTCGAAATACGCATCGCAGCCACCCTTGTCTGGCCCATCTTGGACGACGAATATGTCAGTGAGGCTTACGGCTGAGGCAACCTGGACATTTTGTAACAAGAGACAAAAGAGGATCGAAACCAGGCCCAGAGGAAAGACGAGCTTCGCCATCGTCCCTTGCAATGCCAAAAGAGATACAGAGGAATGAGCCGCTGGTGGTGTTGGTTACGTTGCACACCACTTCAAGGTTATGAAGCAAATGCGTACAATAACAATGAGCAGTGCTTAGGATAGGTGATATAAGTAAATCTGGCACACACGGAGACTGGACTCCTTGCTCAAGGCCGCCTGCTCATATATGAGAATGATATTTTCCCGTTCAACTGGTCAAAAATGGCGTTTCTCTCTCTATGTCTGAAAAGTAAACTTCGTCGGAGAAGGCATGCTGACATGCATGATACGAGAATGATAATAGCCTTCTTGTTTCTTTACCGGATTAGCCAAGCCTCGCAAGTTTCTTCCATGAGATGTACAAATTATTAAAATCTGTACGTGATGGGCCAATAATATGAAGGCATCGGTTTATTCAGAAATGCTCTGGTAAACACCGATAGCCTCAACAAATAATCACCTGGCCCCGGGGACCGGTTGTGATGATCAAACACTGGAGACACAAGTTTATATTTCGGGGTAGGCGTCACTTTTCAGCCGTAATCATGATAGACGGCGAAGTAATCACGGTGTCATTAAATCCCGAAGTAATGCAGATATACAGAGTAAACAACTAAACTATTAGACAAATAGACATAAGACGAAATGCTGACATGAATAAATAAATATTGGTTATAAAAATTTCTACATATGTCCTTTTCTTGTTTGAAGATTTTATGCTCTTATAGACGAAAAGTTGGGGTAGCAACTCCTATTTAAATTGATGTAAGTCCAAAGGCCGACCTCACTAATATGATGTTATACTACTACCCTATGTTACCACCCAGCTCGAAGAACTCAATGAGTTGTATGAGTTGTTGAGTGCTCAAGTCCGAACCACCTCTATCATAAGGACGCTACGCTTATAGCCAGACCGCAAACAAATGCCCAAGGAAGAAGTTTTATACGATAGTAAGAATACCACCTTGTTTTCGACCTCGCTCTGGGCCGAGTTGTAAGGGGATCTTACCGTCAGCATTCCGACAGGTCACATGTAGCTCTCCAACTCTAATGCAATGACACGGATTTTTCTCGGTTAGTACTCCCCTTTACCGCATCATGAAGGACGCCGTGTTCTATATCTGTTCTCCTTTTACTTCCCGTGTTTCTCTTCATTTCACGGACAGTTTTCAAACCTCTACGACGGCATGATGAATCCCCTTACTCAATCTCTAACTTTGCTGGCTGCACAATGGAGTCTTGTGCAATCAGCCTTAACGCGTTACCCCCCAAACGCAGCACAGTACGTGATCGCGTCACCGGAAAGCAACCCAGTAGATACCTGTGATGGAGACAGAGACAGCCTAGGCGATAACGACGCCTACCACACCCCTACCATCGTTCCCGTCAAAGCATGGGGCAGCGAAGAACCCTCCGCTACGCCGCTGCCCGTCTGGCCTACTTGGCCAATGTATGGCCAGATCATCCCTATTGAGACAACAGTAGCAAAGCCCGCGCCGACCGATAATGGCGTACTCGTCCCTTGCACAGCGTGGTTCTTCTCCGTCTGCATCTCTTGGGGCGATATCCACATCGGTTCTTGGTACTGGGACCTACCGCCGGGCATCTACGAGCCGGGGCCCGTGCCCACCGACGTAGTCAAGTGGCCGTCCGGCGTCGACATACAAGGGACCCTGCCGAACTGGCCGCGGATCACGATCGGGGAAGACAAGCAGATCACGACGGACAGCGCGCACGAGTGCAAGGCGCAGACGGCCGCGGCATGCACCATTACGACGCAGGTCTCAGCCGGCAAGACGCTTTCCGTCACCAACTGCGCGGCCATCTCGGGCTGCGCCATCAGCGTCCCAACCACGCCCGCCGAGGTCGTTGGCGACCAGACGGCAGCCCCCGTCGGCACCTGGTACGACGAGGCCTGGCCGACCACGACGCTAGGCACGGCTTACACCAACTCGGTGCTTGAAGCGCTGAGCCGCGATCTCGAGTCCGACAAGGGCTCGGCTATGAGATTCATGCCGGAGCCTACGGCCGGACCGACGTACGGTGACGAGCTGTGACCGGGACCAGGCAGCAGATACTGAACTACCATAAGGCACCTATACGTCGACGTACATACGCAGCCGCACGTTATACAACTGCAAGAAGAACATCGTCGAACACAATGCTTTGTCTTAACCCGTACTCGGACTTTTTATTACCCCGCATGTGGGATTACCTTCTGACTCCTCTATGCTTCTTGTGAGGAGAGATTCTCACCATCCGGGGTGCAGATAGTGACGGGGCTTTGAGAACGAAGTAAGCAATGGTAGCAACGGAGTAAAAGCACTGTACCTTCATTCAGTTTGGATATAGGTCAGAGGTAGGCTAGGTACCTAGTTAGGTTATTTGTGGAAGTAGTTGGTTACTTCTTTTTGTTGTTAGGTAACCCAAGAATATATGCTTGTAAGCTTGCCTAGGCGTCTTTACGGGCGGTGTTATTGGGATTTCTAGATTGTAACTGGTTAGTATACGTTAACTTGTTGCGCGTCGAGATGCACAGCTCTCAAAATGAAGAGTCGTATGATATTCTGACGCGGTTGATGAGTGTCAAAGACACACCGCTGAGCCAAAAGTCACAGTAAGAGTCCCGGTCGCGTTGCCATCAGAAAAGCTGACGCGTAGCGGGTACATATAGATACCTACCAGGTAGGTACCTCCTAGATGTACAAGAAGATGTATCGAGGTCTTACTCGCAGTTAAGGCGATAGCTGCAGGTAATTTAGGACATTGTCATACATCGCCTCTTTCTTGGCTATTCGTGAGATGCGGAGGTGTGCAACGTAGAGGTAGGTACTGAGAAGATACGTAGCTCTTCACCCCGCCCCCTTTTCCCCTTCCCCCTTTTTGCACCACTTTTTACCAACAGCCTGGTAGGTACCAGGCTGTTGGTAAGCTTAAGACGGCCCAATCAAGAGTTAATCTTGCTTACATGTAGGTAGAGCTTGTCTTGGCGATTAAGTACCTACGTACCTACATCTAGCTACCTCGCTCCTATACCTACAGTTGCCTTCAAGAAATCCTACAGGAGGCCAAATTGGGGTATCCGATCTCCATAAGCTTATATGGTGTATATCACAGCAAATATAGTTCTTACTTTACTATGCAAGCAACTGCATAATTCTCTAAACTAGTTCCTATGGAACAACTTAATTCTCACTTACATCTGAGGTTGCCCAACATACAAAGAAAAATAAACAGGTATTCAATACGTGATGAATATAACCAAACCCCTCTTTTCTGTGTAACTCACTCCCTATATGGAATTGGAACATGAGAGAGTAAGATCCTGTGGGTGGTAATACCACTCATAGGTCAGATAGACAATTGTGCTATCAAGAAATATATTTTTGGCTCAGCGGTGTATCTGTCAGATCCCTTTCCTATCCGAGGTATCTTTGCCAAGACATCGTGAGCAAATCACGTATCCGACGATATCTCTAAAAACAACCTTAGATCCGAAGCTCACAAGCTGAAGACTTTAGCAGCTGATGCGGACAAAATTCTTACATTGCCTATGTCAAAATGCCTCGAACTAAATTTGCTCTCGTCACTGGGTGAGTCTATAGGACTTTCCACCTTGCGCATTTCTCTCAAGTTCACTAACACTAGCATAGTTGTGGCCGGGGAGGTATTGGCGAGGCACTCGTTAAGGAATATACTCGTCGTGGTATCCATGCCATTGCTACCTTGCTTCCCCAGGAAGAGAGTGGCCACTTGTTAGAAGCCGGTATCACCTTCTTCCGTCTTGATGTCACTATCGAGAAGTCGGTCCTAGACCTAAAGGACAGCGTGCACAAACTTACTAACGGGCATCTTGATGTACTTGTGAATTGCGCGTATGCATTCTCCCTACCTAACGTATAATAGTCAGAAAGAATATCGTATACGATGGCTAACAAATTTTGCAATAGGGGCATAGCTTATACTATGACAGCTATTGACACGGATGTAGTTGCTGTACAGCGCATGTTCGACATCAACGTATTTGGGCCCATGCGCATGGTGCATCACTTTCATGACATGATTATCAGGAGCGCCGGAGCAGTAGTGAATATCGGTTCTATAGGTGGTATTATACCTTATTTGTATGGAGGTTAGTTTACCAGATTCCTTTAACTACGTATTATCTGGAAGTACTTTACTTACTGGTTAACTAGCATCGTATAATGCCACGAAGGCGGCACTTCAACACTGGTCTAACACGCTTCGTGTGGAAATGGCTCCCCTGGGGTATGTTCTTCCTTAGAACTTACAGCATCAAAATCATCTTGCTAATAATTACCCCTATTCAAGTGTCAAGGTCATTACGGTATGTCTCATCTTACCGAAACCCCGGGTCCTTGGAGAATATTAATTAGTTACCCCACAGATCATTTCTGGGGAAGTCAGCACCAATATCCTAAAGAATGACGCCCATAGGCGACTGCCAGAAGGTCTAATTTACTCGTATCTCGCTTTACTCACATGCACTCTCTAACATCTACACTTCCAGGATCCTACTATTCTCCACTCGCGGAGGAATTCCACCGTCACGTCACGCGAACCCCACGTAAGTATACCCACGGCCTACTTACTACTATACGAGTATATGACCAAGTTAGTCCCTAGATTTTCCTAATACAAGACACAGGGGGTGCTACAAACCGGTTTAAATACGCTGAAAACGTCGTGGCCCAGAGCCTGAAGTCATCCCCACCAGCGTGGTTCTGGTACGGTAGCTTCACGGGCATGATTCGCTTCCTCGATACATTTGGATGGCGTACTGTCTGGGTAACCACCACCATTATTACTTTGTCCTTCATTTTGAGTCTTACTAACATTTTGTTGTCTCAGGACTCTATGCTATGGCGAATGTTCAACTTAGGAAAGCTGAAACAAGCGCATACACTTCGTATGAGTAAAGAGGCTGCATTTGGAAATGAGTAAGAACGGCATATTATAGACGTGTTGGTGACTTTAGTAGCATCAATTAGGGAACATTTAACAGTTTGTCATAGTAATGAGTCTATAATTAGGTACATATATCTATAGCCTAGGACTATCAACAATTTGAGTATCGAAGACTGAACGTTCCTATTGCTGAACTACATTCAAATTGTCAGGGATATGAGGATATGTGGGTATAGCAGGAGTGTACACTAGGCTCTACTGTCTACCTCCTATATGAAGAGTAGCCAGTCCCGTCGAGGGAGATTAAAAGGCTAGACCTTACTACAATAGACTGCATACTATGCCCTGGCACTCTGTATATGACATCCATCACCGGACATACCTAACGTAAACACTTATGGAGTGAGACTGAGGATCCCCTTATTTCGAAATCTATCGTCATCAAAAATAAAGAAAATGTTCCAGATGCGTACCCATTTAAGCCCGGGAAGTAGGGGGGACAAGATCTCTAGCACTCGAATTACGGCAGAACTATAGGGTCTATCTAACAGAGATACTTGGGTACATATCAACATGTGCTTCGTGTCACTGCATGTAATATAGAATAATATAAGCATGTGGATGTAGAGGGATCCAGAATGCATAGATCCTGAACGATCACCTGTCTTGGCATAGGTATTAGCATTCGATGCATGTGCATGTATCCCTGATATGATACGCCTATCTCAATGCTGTTAGAGTCGTCCCGCCATCTACGAGAAATCCGCAACCAGTAACATAGCTGGATCTTGGACTACACAAAAATATCACTGCATCAGCGACTTCCTCGGGCATTGCAATCCGACCAATTGGCACCGCAGTCTCAATGAACTTAGAGAGGCCCTCCACGCCACTCATAGCTTCCCGCACCATCGGGGTATCTGTCCACGAAGGACAGACACAGTTGACCCTGATACCGTGAGACGCGTTATCGAGAGCTAGGCAACGATGCATGTTAGCACGGCATGTAGGAGGTATATAGTCCAGGGGTAATAAGTATCACACTTAACTCACCGCTGTTTTTACTCAACCCGAGCGCCGCATGCTTAGATGCAGTATAGGGAAGAACGCCTGGGGTGGCAATCATAGAAGATCCTGAACCTAGATTGACGATAGCCCCACGTGTAGTTCCACGGCCGGGAGAAGACTGTGACACAGCTTGAGGCTCTTGGGCCCGCATCGTTATGGATGCTTCGCGTGTTACCAGAAACATCCCCACCGTGTTAACGTCGAGGAACCTCTGGAACTCGGCTAGAGACATTCCTGCGATATCTACCGCCTTTTGGACGCCGATCTAAGCCGTAAAAGAGTTAGCAAAGTGATACTATTCCAATGTATTGATGAGTACCTATAGGTAGCTCGAACTATAGGTACGCCAAGTAGAAATGGTATCAGAGTCCTTGACGAGGCATCTAGGGCCCTGATACTATCAGTCTGTGTAGCGTTAGGCTTCCTGAACCAGGCTAGAGTTTCTCACGAGACAGCTTCGCTATCTCCATAGACACCTCGTAGTTCACTTCGTGACACCTAGATAGGAGGTACTGATGCATGGTAAGAAACTTACACCGGCACAATTCACGCAATAGTCCATGCGTTTGAAGACATCGATCATTCGACCCATAAGCCTCCTAACTGAATCCTCTTGAGTAATATCGACTTGGATCGCCTCCGCCTGGAACTGGCTGTTTGTAGCCACAGCTTTGCATTCGGCTACCACATCATTCGCCGCGTCGACGGCAAGATCGGCTACCATGACTCCGGCAGCGCCTTCTTTAGCAAATAGGAGAGCACAAGCCCTACCAATGCCGCTCCCTGTTAGAATATGCATTAGCAACTACTATAGTCCGTATGAGTAGAAAGAAACAAATAAATGCATGTAAGAATATGGGCAGCAAGTGGGCATTCTACTTGCCTCCGCCAACTACCAACGCGCGTCCAGAGATGTCCATTGTTTCAAGGCTCAGGTTCTATTCACGAAATAGTATGTGGAAGAAGATTATCTTTGCTCGTAGCGCAGAAGAACGCGGTGATTTATGTTCAGAGCTATCCAATCATGTTTAAGATGCAAAATCATATGGCTTACGGCATTTTACAAGAGCGCCACCCCTATTACTTTTGACGCATATGTCGGTGTCATGTTATCATGTAACTCGCGTCGAGTTGTAGCAGTAGGGACGTAAAGGTGTGTTGAGGGATTATCCAAATCCATATGCCAGTCCTATCATTTCTGTCTGTTCTGAGTATGAGATAGGTCACAACAGGACAATATAGGTTCACAGAAAACAAAGGGTCCGAAGCGATTTGGGTATATTAAGAGGTACCCTATTAATCTATGAAGAGATTTCAGATATATAGTCCTAGTAGCTCCCATCTTCAAGGATAGTATCCAGTTCACGGCACCAGTCGACATAAATGAATCGTTTATCTATACAACGTGGAAGCGATAATCCCTTACCACTTGCCCCTTGAACCTGACATTCACTATTCGTCGCCGCAGTTTCGGTTATAGACAAACTTAGAACATCCAACAATTTCCCTTGCTCATATTTTGTAATTTTTGAGATATACCTATCAGCAACCATGCGTACCTCTGATGTTGTCATCGTGGAGTCGTCCGCTGCATCTACCGACGACAGTTCCAGCGTGGTTGTTATGAACCTGGAAGATGGGAGTGCAAGTAGTCTTTCTAATTCAGCCTCCTCTAACAATGACCCGCCATGCATCGTTGGAACAGGTAGGTTCCTACTTTCATCTATCCAAAGACAACCTCTATACTTCTCGGATGTCATCTAATTAAGATACAGCATGTCGCCTGCCAGGAGATATTCGCTCCCCTTCTAGTCTCTGGGACTTTCTAGTTAAGCAAAAGTCTGCACAGGGGCCTGTGCCACCTGAGCGGTATAACATCGATGGCTTTTACCACCCTCAGGGGAACCGCAGCGGTGCTACCAACGTGCCCGGCGGTTATTTTATCAATGAGGACATACGTCAGTTCGACAACGCCTTCTTTGGTATTAACAACATGGAAGCCACATATATGGATCCCCAGCAACGAAAGTTGCTTGAAGTCGTTTACGAATGTCTGATGAGCGCGGGGATATCGATGGAGAGCGTGGCGGGCTCTGACACTGGCGTCTACGTCGCCAACTTCTCCGTCGACTACCAGCCCATTCAGACTCGCGATCCAGACTATTTGCATAGATACATCGCAACTGGATCGGGAGCTACTATAATGTCAAATCGAATTAGCCATGTTTTCAACCTCCATGGTCCAAGGTATGCCCTCCTTATCATACACTTTAGCTTTCCAAACTCCTATCCTTTAATATGCAACCGCCTACCGTTCTGGAATATAACTCGTAGACCGCACCATCAGAACTTAGCATCGAATTGGTTGCGTACTAATAACGGAAATCTATTCTAGTTTCACCATTGACACCGCATGTTCATCATCTCTCTACGCCCTCCACCAAGCCCTCAACGCTATGAGCACAAATGATTGCGAAAGCGTCATCGTGGCTAGCTCCAACTTGATCATGTCTCCTGAGCTGCACATTGCTGCAGCGAAAAGCGGCGTGCTCTCGCCTACGGGGACCTGCCACACCTTTGACGCCTCTGCTGATGGGTACGGTCGTGCCGAAGGTGTCAACGCTATCTACGTCAAGCGTTTATCAGCTGCGCTTAGAGACGGGAATCCAATCAGGGCAATTATTCGAGGAAGTGCCGTGAACGCGTGAGTAACTTTTACGTCTACACCTCACAAGAATTGATCTTTTTTATTTCGACCCCTAAACTCGCCAAGAATGAGTGGGGACGAAGAAAAGGGGTACGAAGGAGAAAATCAGATGACAAAGGGCCTCATCTAACATCAATACAGAAGCGGCAAAACGCCCGGAATATCGCTACCGAGTGGTAGGCTACAAGAAGTAGTCATACGCAAGGCGTATCAAAATGCCGGCATAGACTTCACCGGCACTGACTACGTGGAATGTCATGGTACCGGGACGCCAGTTGGAGATCCTATAGAGGTAGATGCAATCGGAAGATGCTTCTCCCCACGCGAAGGGCCTCCACTTCTCATAGGTTCGGTAAGTACTCCAGGACTCTTACGATTCTTATTCCCAGTCTATTGGAATAACCAGAAACTGATGTAAACGATGTGAGCAATAGGTTAAAACAAACGTCGGCCATAGTGAAGGTGCCAGTGGCCTCACCTCCATCCTTAAAATTGTCCAGTCTTTTGAAAACGGCCAAATACCCCCGTCAAGAGGGGTCGTCAAGTTAAATCCCAAATGTAAAGTTCAGCCCCTTACTTCTTATTTCAATATCCGCATCATGGTCCATAGATATCACACTAACATCAAGACTTCAATACGCAGTGATTCTAGCAGAACGTAACTTGAAAGTAGCTAGGGAGGTAGCAGAGTGGCCCCGGGCACTCCGCCGTGCTAGCATAAACTCTTTCGGTTACGGTGGTGCTAATGCCCATGTTATTCTTGAGGCTGCCGAGAGCTATCTAGGTCAAGATTACCTAGAGAAATACAGTTATTCGAGGAGTGACATGGATGTGCGAGATAGCCAAAGGCTTACGGTACTCCCCGTATCAGGCGCCTCATCCAGCTCGCTAGATGCAGTTATCCAGCAAATCTCCCAAACTATAACGCAATTGCGCGACGAGGGGGCAATACTCGATTTGGCACATACCCTCACTAAGGGTCGGGATCACTTACGACACAGAAGTTTCCTACTGGTCAAACAGGAAAAGTCTGGTGGAAAGTTTGTTAATTTAACGGCAGACGAAGCTTCTCTGAAAGGAGAATTTAATCCTCTGCCTCTCGGCTTCGTATTCACAGGTCAAGGAGCACAATACGCCGGCATGGCTAAAGAGTTGCTATTCGAGAATCAACATTTCCGCGACACGATCCGTCGCCTCGACGGTGTACTTCAGGCCCTCCCGTCTCCATATGCACCTGACTGGACACTCGAACAGACGTTGTTAGACGCTGCAAATAGCCGCATTAACGAAGTCACCCGCAGCCAGCCTATTTGTACTGCGGTTCAAATTGGGCTAGTCGACCTGCTACGTACTTGGGGAATCCAGTCAAAGTCTGTGGTTGGCCACTCCTCGGGCGAGATTGCGGCAGCTTACGCTGCTGGCCTTCTCACTTTCTCACAAGCTATCCTAGTAGCGTACTTCCGTGGATATGCTGTAGGCACGTTGCGATCTAGAGGAGCTATGATGGCTGTCGGCTTAAGTCCCGATGAGGCCAAACTCCTTATCAAGAACAAAAGCCTTGAGGCAAAGGTTCGCGTGGCTTGTGTTAACTCACCAGGAAGCGTAACACTAAGCGGCTCTCCAGGAGGCATCGATGCCCTCAGTCATGACCTCCAAACCGAGAATAAGTTCGCCCGGAAGCTTGAAACCGGTGGACGCGCTTATCACTCCCATATGATGGAGGAGATAGGTGGACTATACGAAAAGCTTCTTACGCCATACTTCGGGAGCAGAGTAAGCGACAGCAATACTAGCACAGAACCCTCAGAATACGAGGTCAAAATGTACTCGTCCGTTGGCCATGACCCAAACAGTCTCGATGGCATAGATAGCCAAACCAACATGCCAGCTTACTGGAGACAAAACTTAGAGCAACCAGTCCAGTTCAGCGCTGCACTGTCGAACTTAGTCGCGGGAGCAGGCAATACTATTCATCTAGTCGAAATAGGCCCACACGCGGCACTTAAGGGGCCCATCAAGCAGATACGGACATCACTTAAGTTAAACGAAAAGTCACTCCCCTACTCGCCAACACTAGTGAGACAACAAGATGCAGATTCTTGCATAAAGACGCTTGCTGGTACTCTTTTTACCCACGGCCACCACACGCTAAATTGGGATATAATCAATGGACTTCCTGAATCTGGCTTGAAGATACTTCACGATCTCGCACCATATCCATGGGACTACTCAGGGGGTTTACTTTGGAGTGAGCCCCGGGCCAGTTTCGAGATGAGGAACCGGAAGCACTTGCGCCACGAACTTCTCGGCACTTTGGCACTCACGGGCAACGGGATCGACTTCACGTGGCGGAACTTGCTACGCTTGAGCGAAACACCCTGGCTTCGGGACCACAAGGTAGAAGACCAGATCGTCTTCCCTGCCACGGGGTATATGGCCATAGCCGTCGAAGCCGTGTCGCAGATTACAGGAGCCAAGGGGAAGCAGGCTAATCAGCTTGCCTTTGAGTTCCGCAACCTCAACATCAGCGCTGCCCTTCACGTGCCTGACGAGGAGAGAGATGTATATTCCACAGCCAAAGACTTGGAAATACACACAACTATGACCCCACGCAAGATATCCAACGTCAATAGCTCTGTTGACTGGCACGACTTTTCCGTTTCGTCCTGGTTGGCTGGTCGCACCACAGTTCACTGTACGGGAAGTATCCGCCTGACCCAACCACGCCGAGAAGTGGAGGCGGGCGTACGGGACGATGCTGTTACGTTGCAAAACACTGACAGCTTTGATACTTGGTCCACCACTAGATGGTACACCAAATGGCATCAAGAAGGGCTATGCTTCGGTCCTCACTTCCAGTCTTTAACTAGCCTACGAACTGATGGTGGGCGAAGCCGGCGCGAGGCCATCGGAACCACGCTATTGGAACCCCCAATTGCTAAAACAGGCGGTACATACTATCCAGTGCACCCTATAACCATAGACGCAGCCCTCCAAGCGGCTATCCTCAGCACAACGGCCGGATACATGCCAGCATTGAAAACCTGGCTTCCCGTCTTCATCGCAGAGTGCAGAATCCAACCCTCAGAAGAGGCTCTCACACCAGATGCCGATGGCGAGGTCCATGCTCGCTCCGAAGAGACGGGTCTCTCTAGTAGGAGGATCGACGGCACGTTGCGAGACTCGCGCGGCATTCCCGTAGTCGACTTCCGAGGCGGGCGTATTTCACTTTACAACGGCAATATGTCTGGGCAGTCCGAGAGCAACAGCAACAATAGCCCTGTTACCGACTTGTACGCCCAACGGCAGCCCACTCTGAGGATCCATTGGAAGCCCGATGTGCTGCGCCTGCGACCGGAAGCCGAAGCGCGGTTGAGAAACTACGTGGCGTCCTTCGTGGACCAGCAGCAGGACGACATGCGAGACGACGAGAGCATGGCTGCTATCGCCGCGCTCTTAGATCTGGCCGGACACAAGAACCCGCGTATTCGCGTATTGGAGCTCGGCGGTGACACGCTCGGATATAAAGCTAAGCAATGGCAGTCCATATTAGACAAAGAGACGGCTTTCTCGCGTTGTCGGTCCTGGCAATCTGGTAGTCTGACCGAAAGTGGTGACATTTTCGTTGAAGGTGAAAGTGACGAAGACGTATACGATGTCATCCTGACCCCCAGGGTAAGTGACAGCCCAGCCATATATAAGGCAATTATTGTTTCCAGAAATACTCGTAACTGACACAAGTTTCATATAGCATGCTACCTCGAAACGAATCTGGGACCAAGCAGCTGAACTGATCACTTACTTGGTCTCCGATCATGGCATCATCATTACGCGAAGATCAGATGTCGCGATAACAGAGTTGAGATCCGCCGGCTTCGACGTATTTGATGTCGGAAAGCAAGTCCTCTTAGCGATGCGGCAGCCGCAGACGACAATACTTAGGGGCCGAAACGCTTTCATAGTGGTAAGTGCATACCTGATCTTACCTTCTCCGTGGCGTAACTTGCGTGTCATATCCGTACAGCAACTAACTATTGAGCAGCGCGCCGAGAACTCAACCTCTGCCGTGACAGAATTTGCGAAGACCTTAGGGACATACCTACAACAGAAGGCAGGCGTATCGCAGATCAACATCATCGGGCTCCATCAGATTGACAGCGTACAGATCGCTGAGACGGACATATGCATATCTCTACTAGAAATCGAGGGGGAGTTCCTCGCGACGATGAGCTCAGACAACATGAACCGCCTGCGCGTCATGACAAATACCGCGACCGACCTGCTCTGGTTCACAGGCGCAGGCATGCTAGGCAGCGCACTGGACCCCAACCTAACTCTTTCCAGCGGGCTCTCGCGCGCGCTGATGCTAGAACAGCCGACGTTGCGGTACTCGGTCCTCGACGTCGGACCCCTGCAGCAGCTGGACTTCACCACGGCCTGCGAGAACGCGCTGAAAGCCCTGGTGGCGAAGCACGACAAGGACGACTGCGAGTTCGTCGAAAAAGACGGCCTTCTGCACATCAGCAGATACGGGCCTGACTTCCGGGTCAATTCCTTTTTCCGGCGTCGACTGGGACACCAGAAAGAGAAGCAGCTGCAGACGCTTGCGGAGGCGAAGCCCGCGCGACTGTCCATAGACCGGATCGGGATGATGGATACGCTGTACTTCCAGCAGATGTCGGAACCGGGACAGGGTGAAATGCCACCACCGGGCTACGTCGATATCGAGGTCAAGGCAGTGAGCCTGAACGCTAAAGACGTGTATGCTATGAGCGGACGCGTAGACACGCGTGACAAGACGACGGCGTTCGACTTCTCCGGCATGGTAACCGCTATCGGCGACAACGTTCATCACGTAAAAGCGGGTGACCGCGTCGTCGCCTACGCGCCGCATCATCTCGGCACATCGGTGCGAGTACCAGCCGGGTCGGTACACAAAATGCTAGATAGCGAAGAGTTCACCGTGGTGCCGACATTGCTGCTCGTCTACGGCACCGCGCTCTACGCCATCAACGAACGCGCGCATCTACGCCCCGGAGAATCCGTGCTGATTCACGCCGGCTCAGGCGGCTTAGGTATCGCCGCTATCACCCTAGCCCAGCGAATAGGCGCCGTAGTCTACACCACCGCCGGCTCGCAGACCAAGCGCGACTACCTGATAAACGAGATGGGCATCCCGCCCGCTCATATCTTCAGCTCGCGCGACCCCTCCTTCGTCCAGGCCGTGATGCAAGCTACAGGCGGGCGGGGCGTGGACGTCGTGATCAATTCGCTAGTGGGGGACCTGATGCACGAGAGCTGGCGGTGTCTCGGGGAGTTCGGGCGGTTCGTGGAGATCGGCAAGCGGGAGCTCGTCGACGCCGGGAAGCTCGACATGCGCGTGTTCCTGCGGAACGCGACGTTCACAGCCTTCGACCTGTCCGAGCTGTTCTACGCCCGGGACCCGTTCCACCGCGCCGCCTGGGACAGGCTCATGGTCGAGACGCTCCAGCTCTATCGCGCGGGGGAGATCCGGCCGTTGCCCACGAGGGTTTTTAATGTTAGTCAGGTCACGCAGGCGTATCAGTACTTCTCGAGCAAGGATCGCGTCGGCAAGGTTGTTATTTCTTTCGAGGACCCGAGGGCCCGTGTTCCAGTAAGCCAAAATCAACTCCGCCCCCCCTTCCCTGCAAACAGCGAGTCCCACGAGGCAATATTGCAAAGACTAACAACGTTGTATTTACTATAGGTCGCGCCGGCTACATACTTCAGCGTGTTTGACGCCGAGAAAGTCTACCTTCTCGTGGGATGTCTTGGCGGTTTAGGTCGTAGCCTAAGTAGGTGGATGATGGCACGAGGGGCCCGCCACTTTATCTTCCTAGGCCGTTCCGGCGCCGATAAGCCCAGCGCAAGACAGCTCGTGTCCCGGCTTGAAGAGGCCGGGGCAACCGTCGGAATAGTCCGCGGCGACGTTTCCAAAGCCGCCGATGTAAATGTTGCGGTTTCGGCGTGCATGGCTACGGGCCGACGCGTCGGCGGCGTTATCCAGGCCGCCATGGGTCTCCACGAAGCCCTCTTCACGCGCATGCCGAACGAAGCCTGGCACACGGGTATCGATCCCAAGTGGCAGGGGACCTGGAATTTGCACAACGCGCTGCAAGCGCACGTCGACAACGACCCGCGGAACGAGCCCGACTTCTTCCTGCTCACGTCGTCGGTCTCGGGGACCGTGGGCACGGCCACTGAGAGCAACTACTGCTCGGCGAACGGGTTCCTCGACGCGTTCGCGCGCTGGCGCCGGTCGCGCGGCCAGGCCTGCGTCTCGGTCGGCCTGGGCATGATCTCCGAGGTAGGCTATCTGCACGAGAACCCCGAGATCGAGGCCCTGCTGCTGCGGAAGGGGATCCAGCCGCTCAACGAGGAGGAGTTCCTGCAAGTGGTGGATTTGGCACTGGCCAGCGAGGCAGCCTGCAGCCCCGAGGAGTCGCATCTCCTGACGGGGCTGGAACCGGCGGCGATCCGCGAGCTGAGCGCTCGGGGCTTCGACGTGACGAGCCACGGGGTGTTGGTCGAAGCACGCGCTTCCGTGCTGCTGGCGTCTCTGCTGGCTGAGAAGGAAGCCGCGGCGACGCCTCAGCAGGGCGGTGGACATGCGGCGGCGGCTGCTACTGCGGTGACGGCGGCTTGGTTCAAAGACGTGCCTGCTGGCATATCGGCTGCTTTTGCACCGGAAGCCGACGCGGACACGATGCGCGAGGCGATCTTACGTTTGGTCAAGAAGCGCTTCTCTAACCTTATCCTGATGCCGGCCGATCAGATCGGCGAGGGCAGAGCATTGCCGGACTTTGGTGTCGACAGCATGATCGCGTCTGAGTTTCGCTCTTGGTTCTGGTCCGTGTTTAAGGTTGATGTTCCGTTCCTTGATATCATGAGCGCTCAGACGTCGCTGGTGGTATTGGCTGAGTTTGTGGAAGCGAAGTTACAGGTGACTGCTAGTTAGACTTAGGTACCTTGTACACGTTAGAAAGAAGAAGATACTTTCGATTCACCCATGCCATGACTCTAGTCGTTGCAACCTATATAAACACAATATTGTTATATTATCATGGTTTTAAGGCCCGTAAAGACTCCGTGACAACTATGAAGAACGATCATCATATTTCTGATCCAGGCTGTGGGTTATGCGACTGTTGTAATTAATAACGTACCTAACGTTTATACTACTAAACATGATGAGTTGAGATGTTGAAGTTTGAATACTTATCCCCTTGAATCTGCCTCTCTCTACCTGTGGCGTCTGAAAGGTACTACCAACTCCCAGCACAGGTACCTAAGTACATATTACCTACCTGACCTGGTGGCGGAACTAAAGTAATTTTGAGAAGTCATTAGGTTTGATTTTGATCTGTTCTTTTAGGTTAAGTAATTATGATACCCCTAAACATGCTATTTATTCACTCCATATTTTTAATGCGTGACCTCATGTCACAACATCTAATAAAATGTAGCATAGCGTGTCAGCGTTGCTCTGACTAATGAATTTCTTATCGGCCAATCAAAACCAACTACGACTGGCAAAGTTATTGGGATGCTCTTTCCGCCCTCACCTCAAACGCTAATAGTAGCCACGTTGAGTATTTTAAAAGACGACAGTCTCAAGTATACCTTAGGTAAGAGGTAGGTACCTAAGGTAGGTGAATTAGTGTTAGGTATGAGCTGTCTCACGTGATACCTAATACCGTTTGTTACTCGACACAGTATCGGAAGTTAATGGCGCAGATAAATAAATGCTGTTTAAAGTAGGTATTTAATGTATCGTCGTTAGGAAGTACAGTTTCTATAGTCATCGGCACGGTCTTAGCTATACCATACCGGTGGTGATCCTGAGGGCTGCTTCACTGTAATAAATGAATAAAAAAAAAAAGTTATTATTCTGGTTGGCAACTTACACGTAAGGAGGTACATACGTACGGCTCAAGTATCCATTCTTTTTTAGTCATGTCAGTGTGTGGCTTGTGGCTGTGCAAAAGAAAAAAAACTAATCCGTTCTCCTACTAGCGTCTTCAAAAAGCTGGACAAGGTAGGTACCTCCCACCGTCCGTCCCCGTCCACTTTCAATGTTCCCCGACCACCAATTCTTCCAGGTCGATTTTCCGCCAGTTTCTCACCACTATTGCCCACAACACGCACCATACGGGGCCGCGCCCGTACATCATCAACCTTCATAGACCCCATATCCTATAACTTCTTTTCCTGTCTGGGATACTCAAGTTGATGATTCGTAAGTATTTTAATTATACCCCCTTACTTGTACTGTTGCTTGGGACAAGGCTGGAGCTTGTTGCTCTACCGCGTTACTTGACATCGAATCCATCTCGAAGACATGTCCACGCGACCTCACTATCCCTTTCTTCACTTGTATCCGAGCTTGTTGCACGCTAATATCGGGATGGAATCCGTCGTTCTCGGCTTGTCCGACGCGTTGAGCCTTCCTCACACGTTGTGTCAACACCGGTAGACCGCAATTCCTTTTCCATCACCCATCAGCCTTGTCTTCATCCGGGCATCGCTTGATATGCGCCAGATCCATTGTCAGGCTCATTTCTCATGTCTAGTTGCTATTTGTTTCATTATAATGATCGCTGATCTCAGCGCTATCCGCCAACCCTGTATGCGTAGCATTTCCTCTGTAGATACTTGCTAACCTTGCTGTCATGTAGCAGACAGGCGTTCCTCAATCCCAATATGTCGAGCTCACCAGAGCCCAGTCCCGTCAACGGCTATACGTCGCCACAGACGGGAGGGAATGAAAGAATCGCCCTAGATGACCGTGCTAGCGAGAGCGACCTGTCGGAAGTAAACGATAATACCGCCCTGCGAGAATCCTCTTCCTCTTCATCCCCCACCAATCATCAATCACCTCAAAATGTCGAACAAGATCTAGACTCCCAAGGTGGTGCCGAGTCGAGCGATAATAATGAAGACAATAATGCCTCAGATGATGCAGACTTTGACATGGAGGATAGCCCCGCTCCTTCCCAAAGTGACGCTCCCCAAGATGAAACATCGACTTCGAATAGCTCTCGCCGTGCTCCTAAGAGAAAAGCCGGAGGCGACGAAGATGAGTATATACGGGAGAATCCTGAATTGTATGGCTTAAGGCGAAGTGTATGCAAATCTGGCTAATATCATTCATTATTCTTGACACCTGCTAATCCATCTCTATTAGTCCCGCCCTACGAAGCAACCTAAGATTGTAAGTTACACGCTTGCTGCTAACGCCTATTTAAACTAAATTTGATACTAATATATTTCTCTGTAGATTGAATCCGATGAAGAGGATGACTCTGAATCTGATGTTGTTCCTACGAACCGTCGAACGAAGAAGCTCCGTGTAGAGCAGGTCTCGCGACAATGTGAGTTCCTTGTTCAGCGTATATGGCTCTCTTCATAAGCTGACCAACAGTTGCTTCAGCCTCGAAACGTGGCACACCTGCCAGACAAACACCTGCCGATGATTCGGATTCCGATACTTACGGTGGAGCTCGTGCTCGCACATTCATCAAGAAAGCTCGCCGTCAACAAGCCCAACCGCAGTCCTTATTGTATGCTGAGAAGCGATGGTCTAACAGACGAGCTGTGCAACAAGTCCAGACATACCATGAAAGTGATATTGACGATGAGGATGAGTCCGAGCTGACTCCCAATTACTGGGCTGGCGAGGAGCTTGCTGAAGATACCATGTATATTGAGAAAGTCGTAGGCCATCGCATGATCGATGGTGGTGAATTGACCCCAGACGCGACTAGAGACGATTTCGAGTACAACATCAAATGGCAAGGTAAATCTTACCTCCATAATACTTGGGACACTCTAGAGACTCTTCGTGGGTACCGCGGCTTCCGCAAACTTGAAAACTATTACAAGAGGACTATCGAATACGAGATAGAGCTCAAGTTTGCCGGCGAAGATCTTCCACCTGAAACCCGAGAGCAATACATGCTCGACAAAGAACGCGAACAAGACGCCTTGGAAGACTATACAAAAGTAGAACGCGTTGTTACCCAGCGAAGTGGCGACGAAGGACGAGAATATTTCGTCAAGTGGAAGGGTCTTACGTATGAGCATTGCACATGGGAGCAAGCATCAACAATTGCTGAAATGGCTCAAGACAAAATTGATCAATTCCTCGACCGACAGTCACGGTCGTGGACATCTGATCGATACGAGTCGAATCCGGCCACGAGAAGCAAGTTTCAAAAACTTGAGAAACAACCCAGCTACATACAAGGTGGCGAATTACGAGGATTTCAGCTTACTGGACTGAACTTCTTGTGTCTCAATTGGTGTCGAGCGAATAATGTCATTCTTGCTGATGAGATGGGCCTCGGCAAGACTGTCCAAACCGTGTCATTTCTAAGCTGGCTCCGAAACGAACGCAAACAAGAAGGCCCCTTTCTAGTTGTCGCGCCTCTGAGTGTTATACCCGCTTGGTGTGATACCTTCAACCTGTGGTCCCCTGACCTCAACTATGTTGTTTACCTGGGTAATGCAGAGGCGCGAAATACGATACGAGAGCATGAACTCATGTTCAACGGCAACCCGAAGAAGCACAAGTTCAATGTTCTTGTGACCTCGTACGAATATATCCTGATGGATGCCGACTTCCTGAGAAGTATAAAATGGCAAGCTCTGGCTGTTGACGAGGCTCATCGTCTGAAGAACAAGGAATCCAAGCTATATTCAGAACTGATGAGTTTCGGTGCCCCTGCTAAGGTCCTGATTACCGGTACTCCTATCCAGAATAACTTAGCCGAGTTGTCATCGCTTCTTGACTTCTTAAACCCTGGAAAAGTTCACATAGACGAGGACCTGGATACTCTTGCTGCAGCGGATGCCCAAACGAAACTTCGGGACCTACACGCCGCCATTGCACCCTTCATCTTACGAAGAACCAAAGAGACGGTTGAGTCAGACCTTCCGCCCAAGACTGAGAAGATCATCCGTGTAGAACTTTCAGACGTTCAACTCGAGTACTATAAGAACATCCTTACCAGGAATTACGCTGCTCTTAACGAGGGCAATAATGGTCAGAAGTCATCTTTGTTGAACATAGTCATGGAGTTGAAGAAAGTCAGCAACCATCCATACATGTTTCCCGGTGCCGAAGAAAAAGTTCTCAATGGTAGTGAACGTCGCGAAGACCAAATCAAGGGTCTGATTGCCAGCAGCGGGAAGATGATGTTACTGGATCAGCTTCTCAATAAACTGAAAAAAGATAATCACCGTGTCCTAATTTTTAGTCAGATGGTCAAAGTCCTCGATATCCTCGGAGACTACCTTCGATTACGTGGATACCAGTTCCAGCGATTAGATGGCACTATCGGCGCTGGTCCAAGACGTTTGGCAATTAACCATTTTAATGCCGAAGATAGTTCAGACTTTTGCTTCCTGCTCTCAACGCGAGCAGGTGGTCTGGGTATTAACCTCATGACTGCTGATACCGTTATTATCTTCGATTCAGACTGGAATCCCCAGGCCGACCTTCAAGCGATGGCAAGAGCTCATCGTATCGGGCAGAAGAAACCTGTAACTGTTTACCGTCTTGTCTCCAAGGAAACCATCGAGGAGGAGGTCCTTGAGCGTGCTCGGAACAAGCTTTTGCTTGAATATCTTGCAATCCAAGCTGGCGTTACTGACGACGGCAAAGCGTTCAGAGAAGAGTTCAAGCAAAAGGGTCTCAAGATCGACGAAGCGAAGTCAGCAGATGATATTCAATGGGTATTAAAGATGCGGTCCCAGAAGATGTTCGAGCAATCTGGCAACCAACAGAGACTGGAACAGCTTGATATTGATTCCATTCTGGAGAATGCTGAAGTTACTAAGACTAAGGTGGATGACAAGATGAATCTCAGCACTGGTGGAATCGATTGGGACAATTTCATGCAATACACAGATGTCAAAGTCGATGACCTCACTCTCGACTGGGATCAAATCATCCCAGCAGATCAGCTTGCAGCAATTAAAGCTGAAGAGGAAAAGAAGAAGGAAGAGGAGTATCTCGCAAAGGAATTGGAAGCCAGTGCTCCTCGACGTGCTGCACTCAAAAGTTCGCGGCCCAATGGTGACTCCGAACGAGCCGAACGGATCGCGAAAAAGCGAGAAAGGGAGCAACTGAAGCAGGAACGTTTGGAGGAACAACGTGCCATGCTCTCTGATCCCCGACGTCCTCTTAACGAGAAAGAGACGCGTAATTTGATCCGCGCGTTTATGCGGTATGGTTTCATCGAAGACCGTCCCGACGAGTTATTGCGTGACGCTCGCTTAAGCGACCGAGACCGTGACTTCATAGGAGGGTTGCTTCAAGACCTCGTCGACATGTCTCGCAATGCCGTGGAGAAAAATAACGAGGAAATTCGTGCTCAAGAGCAGCAGACGAAGAAGAAGTTGACTAAGAAGGATATAAAAGCTGTCATGTTTGATTTTGGTGAGGTCAAGAAAATCAACGCCGAAACCATACTAGACCGCCCTCCACAGCTACGACTTTTACGACGTGTTCTCAATGATCTTCCCGACTTCCGACAGTTCCGCCTCCCAGATGCCACAAAGGCAGCACACTATAGCTGCGAATGGGGTCCTAGGGAGGATGGTATGCTCCTTGTTGGTATTGACCGGTACGGCTTCGGCGCCTGGACTCAGATTCGCGACGACAAAGAACTGGGGATGCAAGACAAATTTTTCCTAGAAGAACATCGCATTGAGAAGAAACAGGAGCGGGAAAATGCTGACAGTAAGGGTGCTAAGGCGCCTGGAGCCGTCCATCTAGTTCGCCGTGCAGAATACCTACTATCGGTCCTCACTTCGATTCATTCAGACGACGTTAATGCTCAGAAGATCGTTGAGAATCACCATCGTAATAACAAGAAATCTGGGCACTCTATATCCAATGGGCATCGTCGTCCGGAGAAGGGTGGCTCTGTATCGGCGTCTCCTGCTCCTCAGAGTTCAAAGAAGTCTTCGCATCGGGATAGAGACCATGACCGTTCTCATTCCCGGGGAGATCATCATCGTTCCCGTAGCAGTATTGGAGAAGGTGGTACGCCAAGACCAGAGTCAAAGCGCAAGCATAGCGGTGAAGCAGATGATCGCCGGCATAAACACCGACGATTGGAAGAGCTGCGGCGATCTGATATTAATCAGCAGCACGTCGAGGATGAAGACGACGAGAGAAACGCTCCCGTAATTGAAGCTCTCATGCAGCCCATTTGGACGCACGTCGAGAAAGTCGAGTCATGCACCAAAGCGAATATTCCTGTGGCCAAGGCTAGAGCCAAGGTTTTGAAATCTGAGATCACTGCTATTGGCAATTTCATCGAGGGCCTTCATAAGACCTCAGGATTATCTTTAGACCAGCTAGAGGAACTGAAACCAAAGCTATGGTATGTAATCACAGACACTTGAATTATTGACGGACGCTAATTTGACTGACTACTTATATAGGCGGTTTATTTCTAAGAGAATTCCGGCTTCCGAGAAACAGTCGTCTGGGAAGCCAGATAAAGAGAAGGACAAATCTGGGTCCAGCGGAATGACCGGACCGCGACTAGCAGCGTTATACCAGCAGCTTAAAGAGGCGGAGAAGAACGGCGATGCTCAGAAGCCAAAGACTTCTGGTACAGCCATCGCTAACGGGAGTTCTCGTGGCGAACCGTCCAAGGTAGCTAGCTAGAGAGACAATTCTGGAGCATGGCCCCTTAACCCGGTTGATCAGGCATGGTAATAGCATACACAAAAGCCGGTTGGCCACTCGTATTCTTTTCTATTTTTTTCTGCATTGTATGGCGTTTCGGTTCGACATATTAGATAGGCGAGGCTGGAGTTAAATGAATCATACCCACGAGAAAACTATCGACGTTACAGGAGACCAGATATTTTATGGTCGATACGGTTAATCATACTCCATCTTGTCTATATTTATAGACCTCCGATTTTGGCCGTGGTCGGAGTGTTCTAGAGAAGACCTGAGAGGCGAGAAAGGTCATTATAAAATTTGCTTTCCAAGCATGATTTTCGCATTGCATTTACTCTTTTTACTCTACGAGGCTGCTACGATATTAGGTGGCCAATCCGCATGACAAACAACGAGCTATCTCGGCAAGAACGGGTATGGGAAAGACGGAGCAAACGAGAGGAGGAGTGGGGGGAGAGCAGGGGGGGCAGGGGGCCTATAAATGAGAAGCCTTGTAGCATATTAGCATTAAAACATCGCCGGGCGTTGCGGGTGGATTTGCTTGCCTTTTCGGAGATGGTTCTGTGCGAGTAAGGCTTGTTATTGTGGGAAGGGGGAGAGGAGAGAAGAGAGAGGGGGGTTTATCCCAGCCAACTACTACGACTTCTATTAGTTAGCTTTGATGCCTAAGATATTCGCGTCTTGATGCTTTGTCAATGGAAAATTTTGATCCAATACCTGCTACCTATGCGCTGTCTTAGCATAACGTGAACTGTTTTTTTTTTTTCTCTATATCACTGTTGTTTTTGTTGTACACGTGACTCGCATAGAATTCTTACCGCATCTCGTCCCTTCTCATGAAATTATTCTTTTCCCGTGACATCCATTCCCCTTACCTTAGGTACAAGGCGGTCTGTTGGAGGGGGGTTTACCTAAGCCTAAATAAACTCCGGGTATGCCCCTTTACAGAAAAGGGAAACTCGACGTGGCATGTAGCCTAGCCACGTGGCATGCAAACGCCGTTGAAACTCCCCTAGTTACGTAGGTAGGGACCTAAAGTAGGTAGGTAAATCAACTATGTACCTCATTTTGCACACATTTCATAAGTACCTAAGGCAACGCAAGGCAACGCAGGTATATATCACATCACAAGTACCTACTTAAGGTAAGCACTAGGAATACATAGGCAGCAAAAGACTGCAACGGCAACGATATTTTTGACCTTCGTAGTCATTAATAAACTGCGCGACTCTTCCCTCTGTAAAAAAAAAAAGGCCCGTAAAAGGCAACAGAGAGGACGAAACTACCTAACCTAAGGTGCGCCGTCTGCGCGCGTCATTATACAAGTACCCAACAATAGGCAAGGTACGTTTTTTTGGTAAAAAAAAAAATCTGCCCCCTAAACCTCATTTAACGCCTGTCTATGCCCTTGTTTTTGTCCGGGTGTATAGAACCAGGTCGGCTGCAACTAGCCGTTTCCAAAGCACACGTTGCCATATGGACTGTACATGCCCGCGTAGAAGTCCCATAGGCGCACCGCGTGAAAAAGAAAAATGCAAATAAAACGCGCTTGTGCTCCAGTACGGCCGTCATGCTGAGTATACCCTTCCCGCTTGGCAATTCTTCGTATGTAAGTAACCCTGTAAAACATCCAGTATGGCTCGTTTCGAAGAACGGCGTCCCAAAAACCCGCGATTGTTGGCGGGCGATGGCGAGAGTTAATATGTACACACAGTTATTAGAAGGCCGTTTATAAGTATTAAAAAAAACACTCCTGGGGAGTGATTAATCGATGAGTAACGCGAAACCCCGAGGTTTAGATGTAGGGGAGATTGTGCCGGGGGGCAGTTTGCGTGCAGGCTGTTGCGGGGGAGTGCTGGGAACTCTTTCAATGGGCTGAAGTGGCTCGGTCGGCTGTTCAATAGGCTTATTACGAGGTCGTAGAGAGAATTCGTCACGCATAGCAGATCGGGGAGAGGGGACAGTCGGTTCTGGTTCTGGTCCTGATTCTAAGTCTCGCTTCGCAGGAATTTTGGAAGAAACCGCCCTTGAGGCCTTAGTAGCCTTGAAAGTAGTACTGATAGTAGCCTTGGGAGGCTTTGGTTCTGTTTTCTTGGTCTGTCTGGGCTTTCGCTTGGTTGTCTTCTTGGTATCCTTGGGCGGCGGGCAAGTAGTTGTGGATGAGACCGTGCCGGGGAATGAGAGCTTGCTCTGCTTGGGTGCGGATTTTGCCACAGGCAAAGCCGCTCGCACTTTGGGGCTGGCGGAAGGTGTTGGCATACCCTGGATATTCTCGATAGACTGCGATTTCGCTTCGATAGGCGATATGTCACGTGATTCTCCTTTAACTGACGTGCCGGCTGTGGGCGCATTTTTCCTAATCTCTACTTCAAGCTTAACGCCGCGGACGTCTTCTTTGAATTTCTTCTCATCGATTACCACGGCCTCGTCAATGGTCTCATCGTAGCGGGGTAGGTGAACCAACGAGGCAACATCGTCGCATTTGCCTTGCACAACGAGGTCCCAGCAATTCTTTAGGTCGGCACCAGTAGGTTCCGGATCCAAGTTGATCCAGGCGGTCATCCCACCCTTTCGTTCTCGCGCCACCCGGCACATATCTTTGACCATGTTCCGCACACCAGGGATTTTCATGCTAGTGCCGACGACAATGACAGCGTCAGGTCGAGAGCGAATGTCGGCTCGGACGACATTGGCAATCGATTCCTCGTCCGGATTGTATTCGTTATAGAGCACCATTCGCGGCCGTAACCTTCCAATCCCATGACTGCGCTTTCCGGCATGAGAGGTGCGTACATTGTCTGTCTCTTCGCATCCCTTGCAGAGCGGCGCTTCTGGACCTTCAAACAGCGAGCCGTCGAAGTCGCTTATCTCGCAGCATTTAGAGCATACCATCTTAGCCAGTCCACCATGAAGCTGAATCGTCTTCGGCCACGGACCCTTGGTATTCAATGGCACAGTGGTGGCGAGCGGCGGCATGGACGTATCGAGACCGTCGACATTTTGTGTGTAGAGACGTAACAGACGACCTTCTTTAGCAAGCGACGCAATTAAATGGTGAAACGGGGTGGGCTCCGCGTTCTTCGTAAGATGCGATAGATCCCGAACCATTGTGTGAAATGACGATGTTGTAGAGTCGTGCTTGTAGACAGACGCGTCGAAAAGGTGCTTTCCAGACCCCCTGAGGCCATGTTCTTTAGGTAGCGTAGCGAATAGACCCGTTGACGATCGAAAGTCGGGAACTACAGAGTTCGACATGTTAGCAAGGAAATTCAAGCTCAAGTTTAAGCAGAGTGGATACTAGACACCCAAGAAGGAAATAAAAAACAAAATACGCACTTCCTGCTGATACAGAGATTCCAGCACCGGCAATTACCACGATCTTTTTCTTCTTGCGCAATGCGCTAGTTAACTGCTCTAGCAGTTTCTCGTCTTTCTCATTCTGTTCAGAGGCGGCTCTAAGGTCGAGATATTCGGTAGTACGAGGTTTTCGCTCGACGCGCCGTCGCTTTGCGGGCGGGGGACCATCGGGGTTCACGTGGATCTGGTTCTCAACGGAGATCCGGTCGGAGGGCTTCATTGGCGATGCGCTCCCCGAATTGATTGTTGAAGGCGGGGAGGGTAGGCGACTGGGATCGTACAAGAGAGAAGTTCGTGGTGATATAGTTGGTGATCTGGAAAGAACGGATAGAGGAGAAGACGGTGGATTAGAAGAAGGAGGATCGGAGAGATCTGATATAGTCGATATTGAAGAAGTGTCCATGTCTATAATTTTATAGTTTGTGGGGTTCATTCATTCAATGATTCAATGAGATTGTTTGAAGAAGGAGGTAGGACAGAAAAGCGGAAGAGTAAAGAAGGAAGGCGGCTTGTCTAAATCGTGTTTCGCCTGGCAGGTACACGCAGTTCGGCTGTTCAAATGTAAGGAAAGAACGATTTTGTCGCGCGACGTTGTTAGTACCTACCTACCTACCTAGCATATAGCATAAGGTAGGTATAGAAAGGCGAAAGGTGGAAGGCGTAAGGACCGGAGACCAAAGGCGGTATGTTATAGCGCTATACCAAATCCAATAAACAACGTGATACAACCCTATATTCCTAGCTCCGACTCGAGGAAAACCTTACGCCGCGATGCCGGCGAAAGTAAGTCTATGACGGTCATGCACGTATTTTTTGTTGCGGCTGCGGGCAATTCGCATGGGCAATTCGTATACGCAGTTCCTTTCGTTCCGTTCTTCTTTTTGAGAGGGGGTTGAAGGTGAGGTAAGATTAAAGATGAGGTAAAGGTGGAAAAGAAAAAAAAAATCTGGAAGTCGGAGGAAGGGGGTCACACGAGAGGAGCCAGGACAAGAAGAACAGGGTCACAAACTAACAAGCCAGGCGCGGTTTTTCCTTCCTCCCCTTTCGCTTAAAATTGACCAAGTTGTTCAAGCTGTACCTACTCATTTACGAATATGACATTTTAAGGTTTAACCTGCATAGCACTAACTTAAGAGTTTTACAATCTCCGCATATACTATGTATATTTTCGATTTCTGCATGCATATCCCATTGTTTATGTGTGCTAGGTTAGGTACCTCATAACCAATTAATCCTACCTACATTAGGTATGGAAAGGACCTCAATCAACTCTTTTATTCAAGGGCGGAATTAATCAATCTTCCTTGATATGCAACGTTTTACTGGGCACTCTTCAAGCCCGCTCTTCTTTTCCTGACCCCTCTTCACTTTTCTGGAGGCGCACTCTTAACTTGGGCCGTAGAACCTTAGGTAAGGTAGATAGATTACTTACCAATGTTCATCGTGTCGCAACCGCTCAACTCGTCCATGTATTTTTAATATATTACTCTCAAAATCTACGGCAATGCCATTGAAATTTCCAATGCCTTGCTACACCAGGTTGACTAATAATATGATCGAAGGTGCACAATACTATGTACAGCCTTGGAAGAATAGTGACGTGACGCTAAAAGCCGACTAGTTGGGATCCTCGTTGCTCCGCGGTTGCCAGGGATAAAATTGGCTCCAGATCTGAGGCTGACAAGCCACATAGTCAGGGTTCAACTCGGGACACCACCTGGACCATTAACACCAAGGCTACATGTAGTACATAAATACCTTTCAAGCCTCATCTGAACGGGCTGAACAAGGGAGGATGGAACGTTAAGATTCGGTAGAAACGCAATGCCTGCATGAAACCATACATCTTCTAGTCCATCTAATCCATCTTTGGTTAGTGGCCTACTATTAGCGCGGAATACATCATTGTACGTGTATCTAGGTACCGTACCTGCAGAGGTTACATTGGAACTTACAGGTACCTAACCGTAGGTACTACAATCACTGAGCAGTGAGCACAGACATATGTACACAAACTCACTTATCATAATCAGACTTTCAAAGCCTTGTGTCAGGGCATGTACTTCAAAGGTTCAATTCAACATTACTTACCTACGCATAACAACTTTTACAATTCAACATGCTGCAACTTGTAAATTTATAAATAGACTGCAACTTTCTCACCACATATCTTCTTTTTCTTTCACATTATTCATACCCGAAGGACAAACTGTTAATTATTGAGCTTAAGAAGAAGCTTCATTCTTAAAATCTGCTGTCAACTTCCTCTTATGGTCTTCCAAACTTTGGATATGCCTACCTAAGGTAGCTTGTAGCCATCGGACTATGAACAATTTTCGACATTGATACCTATCGCTGATCCATTAAAGCTGTCTCCGAAGCTTCGTCTAGGACTCTATCAAGTCTCCATATTTCTCCCTTCAAATGACGTCGGGCAAGATGCCTCTCATCCTGGACAATCCCATGGGTGGAGAGTCCATGCAGGTTGACTTAGACGACGTTGATGACCTTTTTGGCGATGGCGCTCCTCTAACTCTCCCACCCAGACCCATAAGCAAGCGTTTGCGACAGAGAATAGACGAACTTCGTGAACGAGGTTCTTGCCAGTAATATTCCCACCCCTAATATATTATTCGGAATAGCTACTGATTACTTGAAAGGAGTATTGCCTGGTCCAAAGCGGGTACTATAGCATCTATTACGCCCGATGGTCAACGGCTACAGTTGATGTATATCCATGCCAAAGGGAAGGATGCCACATTTACTTTGAGCGAACCTACCACGATTACGCCGTGGGAATCACTCCCTGGCGGGCCTCTTGTTCATCTTAGCTGGGGTCCCGGCACCCCCGAACTCGCTATTATTGATGCTGTTGGCAGAGTTTGTATTCTTAATTTTTCGTCGAATATAAATCGCCCAGCTCCTTCAAGGAGGTGGGACGGTGATCCCATCGATGATTTGCAAGCCGTTGTGGGAACATATTGGCTGCCTTATCACTCAGCCGGCCCTAGAGTATGCCTCGAAAGTCTTCTAGCTGGTCATCCCCACCGCTGACAGGATATTAGTCACCTCCTCCATACACCCCATCTTATGGTCCAGCTGTGAGGAACGGAAACGGAAACAATTACAGCTATCAGATAACTCCCATCTTTAACAACGGTCCTGTTCACCCCCAGAATAACAGGTCTGCTTTTATCTGTGTCACTACGACGGCCGTCCTTAAAATGTTCTGGGGGCAGACTAATGGTAAAATTGAAGAGACGTCTTTAGAACTCGAAAATGTCACATTGGCAGACGATCTAGTCACGCACGCCGCACTATGTTCAGATAGGAGTAAGTTGGACAAACATGCCTGAACTATTTGGTCTAGCAGACATTCCCTAACAGCACAACAGGAAGCCTCATAGTAGGCTTGGCAACGGCGTCCAAACACCTGTGCATTGTTCAACTTGCAATTAATTGGAATAGTCCCAAAACTGACGGCGCGCAAAATAACCCCCCTGTCAATCCACTGCTCAGTCCAACTCTTACGAAGAGGCATGTAGCAGTGACTAGCTGGTTCCAACCGGACTCTAGCGACTCGCATCCTGATGCATCCATGCAGAAAATCACTCATATTGAAATGTTACCCCCTATTCTTCTCTCCGGGTTCAACGTACCGAACAAGGAGTGGTCACCTATTACAGTTTTGACAGTGAGGTCTCTTATCCCGGACCCTAACCTGCCTTACGTCCAAGAAGTCCAGAGCGTGATTGACAGGTGGGAACTCATAACGGACCATAACCAAGCACTTCATCCCTCATTCGAGCAACTAGGGCTTAAGAAGAACAGTACCGGTTCTGCAACCCCAGTACGTATAGATTAGCTCCATCTCTCTTCCACTTGTTAACACAACTTCTAGAACGGCAGCAGGCTCAAGAAACTGGATTCTATCGTCGTCAATAAGGTAATAATAGGAGTAAATGTAGTTAACTTTGGGAAAGTTATCTGTTTCTCCTACAGCGACGGCAGTGTGGAATATCGAGACCGATTTACTATGGCCGAGTTGTACCGAGAACCTAGTCTGGATCGTATTAGTTCGGTTTTTGACGCTGGCTTCTCCCAGAGTGGCGATTCATCATGTATGTGTCAATTCCCACAAGCATGTCCTACATCCCTATATGCTAACTAACTCATTCAAGGTCTCCAGACGGCTTTTTCGCCAACAAACTTCTCGTTCGTTCAACTATGTGAAGACAGCAAAGTAAAGTGGCACAGCATCAACTATACACAGGCGGATATTGAGTCAATAAATAGCAGTACGTTATTTGTCTGCCACTTGCTCTGCTAGTTCGTGTCTCACCCTTCTCTAGCTCAAATGTCCGCACTCGTTGCAGCCTTTTACATATCCACTGCCCAAGCTATCACACAGAGTGCGAACTTCGACGACATACTGGCAGTTGCTCGGAATTTCGTTAATAAAGACTGTAAGAATTTAGAGTATACCCTTTAAATACCCAGCTCTATTAACCTCACATTAGCATTCACAATCGAGTGGATAAAAACCCAAGTACAGCAGATGAAGATACATATCGACTACACGGAGGATTCGCAACACGATAATCTCATTAAGAACGGTATCTTGCAAGTGTGCTTCAGTATTATGAATTATCTTGGATGGAGAGGCGACTACAAACCCCGACGAGGCTGGGGAAAGCTTGCTCTGCTGGCACTGAACCTGCGGAACGTGATAATCATGAGCCATCTTTCAAACAGTCAAATCCCCATAGGTGGTAAAACCATGATAACGCCGCTTGATGAGCCTGGTATGTCTAATCTTTCGTCATTCATAATATTTCCTCTGGTACTAAACACCTCGATACAGAAGCTGTCAATGCTTTGGCCGGATGTGTCAAGTGGTCAAACGACCTACTTGCGTGGATATGCGACTCGCTATTTTGTCTTTTTGATGACGCCGAATTCATGAAACATCTTAAAGGGCCTCAACTCGATAAAATGACGATGTACTTGCATTCTAAGAACGAAATCGCGATACATTTAGTACTGTGTTCAACAACACGCGGCCTGCTTTCCGCCATATGCCGTCGCATAACGGCACTCGACGCATTATCTACCAAAGCTATCAGCTGGTACGAAAACCGCGAGAAGTCCCTTGCGAATAACCCGAATGCCGCAGCCGACCCCCGCGCGGCAGCCCACGCTGCTCTCCATGCTGCGTATCACAACTTGCGCCAGTGCATAGCGTCTTCGCTAATCAAAGCCGATGAGTTCGACAAGCTTCTGAGTAGCTTGGGGGCCGAAATACGGACGGCATACAGCACCTCGTTGGCCATAGTAGGAGAGCAGGCCGCCAAGGCAGCGAATAAGAACCAGCCGCCGCAGAACTCGAACCCCAACGCTTCGAGGCCGGATCCAGCCCAGGAGGCTATCGCGCGCGCGCGACAGCATTGCGAGCTCGACATGCTCCTACTGCAGGCGCCGCCGTCATCCTTTGTCCCCGTCGTCAGCAAGTTCTTCAACCAAGACGTGCGGGAGTTTCGCGCGCGCTCCGAGGTCGCGAAGCTGTACTTCGCCGACTACTCGCTCCTCGAGATCGACGACGACGCGCGCTCGCTGGCGGAGCGGAATAGAAGAGGCGCGAGGGTGGACCTTTTCAAGAGGACCGAACTTTGGAAGAAGCCAACTAGTGGTGGTGGGAGCGGTAAGACTCCTACTACCACGCATCCGTGGAGGAAATGCGTCCGCTGCGGTAATGTCATGGAGGACCTCGCGCTGGTTACTACTAAACCCGGCATGAGCTTCTTGCTCCGCCAGCAGAGCAATTGCTCCTGCGGCGGCCGGATGGCTGTCCTACCACAGGATGCGGATCTTTAGGTAGCCGCAGATCTCTGGTGGCGATACTGGTGGTCTAGCTTCTACTTTTAACAACCTACCTCCTACTAAGGTAGGCCAGGAGGTACACAGTTGTTTTCTCAGTCGACATAGCGTATGGTCTCGTTTAGAATTAATGATTTATTACATCCAGTAACTAGCGTAGATGAGAGAATGATAAACTTGAAATCGTGTTTGTTCGTTGTGTTCTTTATCATTCGATTATGATAGTCCTACATAAAGCGCGCCAAGCAGTTTCTACTTAGATGTTAGATTTGAGGGATATGCATACTACTACTGAGTAATGCCCACGACGGCGGCATAAGAAAGAGAGTGATTTCAATTAGATCTTAGCTTTAGGTACCTCATATCTACCTAGGTACCTGGTATGTTGTAATAATAGAAAATCTTGACTCCATTGATTGTATCGGGAAAGCGAAATAGTTAAAAGTCCAAGATCCGAGCCGTCAACTTCTCCCTGGTATTCGACTTGTGGGAGATAGGTGTATTGCTCGTTATATCTATACACGTCGTGCGCCAGCTTTACGTGTTTTTCCGCTTGAAGTAGTATAGACTTGCCGGGAAGAACCTGAATTAAACACTGTTGGCTTGTCTGTTGATTTACAACCGTAGGGACTGACTGGTATATCGAAGTACTATGACACTCGCTTGTCTTTTCCGAGTAGGTTGGCAAAGATTCGTATGCAGTCTTCGTCCCTATGAAGGATATGATATGTGTGTGGCTGCAGCGGGGTGTTCTTGCGCGTATGAGGGAGCTGAACAGGGCTGTTTTGGTCCGGAATGGTGGCGTCCGACTATACCCAACCGCCCGACCAACGAAACTCCGGCCGTGATAGGTACATGCAGTCTCAAGTCCCCATCAATCGTCAGTATCTCTAAGTCGGTTTTTACCCTGTCCGGTCGCCGCTTCGGCGGGCAGCGACCGGTGTGTGACATCTCCGCGAGTGCAAAGAGTAAGGTAAGGCCAGGCCCAACCAATGTCTTATTTTTGTCCTGAAACAAATTAGCGCGCAATTACCACCGGCTTAGACTTAGAAGTATGAGGCTTAATCCGAAAGGAGCAGGGCGTCCCTGCAGGATGCAAGAGCGCCATGGTCACTTATGTGGTTCTCAAAGGGCCCCTCCCTCGACTGCTAGTTGGAGATATGTCGGTCCCTCCGACAACGGGATTCCCCATTTGAGTCTGTGACACGATAGTATACATATACAATTTCGCCAGTCTCACAAGGTTAAGAGGGGTACGCGTGGCGCTCGGGTGGTTAGCGGTAGTTGGTGCGCCAGAGGCGTACCTATACCATTACCATTTCAAAACGGGCCGAGGTCGAAGCCTGGGAAAGAAGTAATGGCGATAAGAAAGTTGTCCCTACGGGCGTCGTCGACACGCGGGGACTATTAGGTAGAATTTCCCCTTTCGGCTCGAAAGCCATGTACGTCAACTAGTAGTGAAAGTGGGCTGAAGACGCCACCAGACCCTTACATGGGTTGATAGGGGAAATGGTGGAGGAGTTTAGAAAACCAGGTAAGTATATGCATGGTAACCATAATCAAGCCAAAGCCCGAGATCGTTAATTCGGGATTAGCAAGAGCCTAAAGTAGCGTCGTGATATGCAGTGTGATCAGTCTGGTGGTGATAGAATAACTCAATGTTCTTTCTTCCACGTTCTTCAACCTTGGAATGGGCCGATTTGCAATCGTTATATGTATCGGTAAACTCCTCGGGACAAGTTTGAGATTAGGGGTTATCCGAGACATTCTTCAGCTTCCAGTTGTCTTCTAAACTAGATCTTGCTTACTGTCTTGGAACTCATGGCTTACCAGCTACAGACATGTGAAGAGGTAGGCATGGAAGAAGTTAGTAGTGGATTAGTATACATTAAGTACTTAACGTAAATTCGCTGTCGAAGATATTTATTTATAATCGAAATTTATGCGAGGTAACTAGCTTGGCGTTTGACCGAAATCAACCGCCAGTAAGCGTCGTCGTATCTATACGAATAGGTAATAGTATAACTACCACTCAAGCATTCCAGCCAGCCATCTTAAGTAGGACGAAAGATGTCATCTTGTAATCGGTGCTTATTTTCCAGCTCACTTGGGCCCAAAGGACTTCTCCTTTCAATTAGCCTGCAGTGGAATATGGCTTTGAGGTAACATTAGGTATCTGTTCGATAGTCGATAGAAGCCAGCCCAATAGAGAATCTGATTTCCTATCTGGTTGTCATCTCAGAGACTTACGAATGGTACACTTTACCAACCAGAAGAGGCGTTCAGCTTTGACGGGGCGGTAGACGATGGCCCCGTGGATAAATAGGTATTACATCTCCTCTTCTAAACCAACTCTGACCATCATCAACTTTAACGCCCTCAGTACCAAACTATTCCCTTTGACGAATAACAGGCACCTGTCGATTCTCTTCATAGCAATGTCGCACTTCAACGAAAAAGAGTCTGTGGCCCAAAAGCTCAAGGGCCAGTGGCTTATTATCCCAGACATTCGTCCCATCTTCGCGCAATGGCCAAGCGGAGAGAATAAGCACTACCAGACGGTGAAAGAGATTGTGGATAGGCAGCTTGCCCAGTACGTGAACCTGCCTAGAATATATCTAGTTGATACCCTGGATATAAGAAACTACTATTAACACTAGGGAAGACAACCTATGAAGAATGAAGCTCGTACAGCATTTGTCAAAATGAATCCATCTCTACTTGCAGCAAGGTATGCTGATGTTACCATATTTGATTCATCAATGGAAGGCGCTGACATGTTACTAGATGGTGGCCAAGGGCTTCAGAAGATGACTACCAGGTCCTGGTTGACTTGATCATCTTTTTCGGCTACTGGGATGATCTTTCCGAGAGCCTTGCTGCCGACCCCGCCGCCGCCGAAAACCTTCGTAGCGCCACCAAGGTTCTTGGACGTCAAGCTTTCGGCTTTGCACCACCAGAAGAAGAAGTGGCTATTTCCGACCCCCTCATACTCGACTTCAGGAGGATCGGCAAAAAGATTTGCGCCGTCTACGATGAAGGTAAGGACCGTAACACGAACAACAAACACCTAGCTTAATACAGAGTGCCTAGCTAAGATTATAATTGTGATATAATAGAGCAGCGAAAGACCGTTCTAGGTCATTTTGAACGATACATCGATTCGACGGCCCTCGAAGCTGAGGCCGACCTGAGTACAACGCTACCTAGTCTCAAGAGATACTGGAAGGTAAGGATTCTGACAAGTGGTATGGGAACATTGCTGGGTGTCACCGAGTAAGTCGTCGATCATACTAATAATATCAGAGACTGAGGTTCTAATGCCAGCACAGATTTGCCGCCAGGGTCAAATTACCGACCAGCGTCGTAACCTCAGCTGCATATGGCACTCTGTGGACGACAACTGTTGTGATTAATTCGATGTATGTATACCTAATCTACAGCACATACTGTACTCGAGTGACTTTACTAATGTTGGATTAGCGTGAATGATTTGATCTCGTTCAAGAAAGAGATGGTGAGTATAAATAACATCGTCGAAGCGGACATGTTCTTACAAACAGGCGGGACTAACATGCATTAATCCATAGAAAGCGGGAAGCGTGTTGAGCTCCGTCGCTATACTATACAACGAGGTGGACAACTTGGATGCGGCAGTGCAGATGTCGCTTGCTCACCTCAAAATCCTCGTCGATGAATTTGACCGCACAGCTAATATGCTGTTGACCAACTTCCCACTGAGCGACGAGGAGGTTGGGCCCGTGTCCAAGGTCATAGACACTCTCAGGATGATCAACACTGGAAATCTAGGGTGGAGGTTTGTGAACACCTTGGAAAAGGCAGCTATTCCTTAGGTACTTAGAGCCGTGTTCACTGACATCGTATTTAGTCTGCAAGCAAAGCGTTATGGAGTCTGCGACTCAATCACGAAGACCGGACAGATCGAAGTAATTCTATGATTACTAAAACGGGCGGAATCGACATGATGAAATATCAATCCCAACATGAGTATAAAACGTCTGATTAGGGCGCATGGGTCGATAGATACAGGGTTCGCATTTTACTTTTCTTCAGGATCACCGCACAGAATTTGATATAAGGGCATGACTTTGACGATACAAATGAGGTAGACATTTATATTTATCCTACCTTAAATACCTGTTTTATGAATAGATAAGTACCTACCTCCTACCTAATGGGTTAGCAATGCATTGTTGTTACCCCTTTTACCCCTTTCAATACTTAGAGCTAGCATGACCCGATACAAAATACCTAAATCTTTAGAACTATTGCCGACACATCAGCCCCCAATCCCTTCTCTGCCCTGTACTCTGAACAAGGATAGATTCACGAAACTAAAACATAGTATCTACATACTGCCTACCTAGGTACCTCATACTTGATAGAGTTGTTAACTACCAAGCAGCCAAGTCATCAAACAAGTTGGAAACATGTAGCCAAGAGAAGATAACTATACAAAATACCCAAGCTAGACGAGAAAACCTACCTAGGCTATCATAACGTCATGACAACACCTACACCATCAGAGCTATGCATTCGGTCCCGTGGCCGCTAGGCGCTCGTATTGCATGCGTCTCCTTGCCTTGCTTTACCTTGCCAACCTAACTCATAATTATCAAAAGCTTAAAGCCTTTTTTTTTAAAAAAAAAAAAAAAAAGTTGGGAGAGCTAGACTTTTCGAGGCTAGTATATATATATCAGCTATCGCCTTCTCTCGTCTCGTCTCATATCTAGATAAACCTACCATCTCCTAGCCGTGTATTTGAGTAAGTAAGCAGAGACAATATTATCATTATTATCTATCACCATATCTACCATATCTACCTACGTAACCTAGGAAATTCCACGATGAGATCCCTCGCCGCGCTCCTCTTAACCCCCCTCGCCGCCCTCGCGACCCCTATCCTACAAACCGACGGCGAAGCCATCCCGGGCAAATGGATCGCCGTCCTGAAGCCGGATAACACGTCCACCCAGCTCTTCGGCACGGTGACGGGCGCCTTGGGCGGGGTAACTCCCGTGCACAGCTACGCCATGGGGGGGTTTCAGGGGTATTCGTTCTCGGCGTCCGACGACGTGATGAAGTCGGTTGCAGACATAAACGAGGTTGGTACACGCATACCTAACACTTAACTCACCGGCAACTTTCCCGCCTTCCCCCCTCCTCCTTTTTTTCCCCTCTTAAACAGGAATTTACGATACATGACCCCCTAGGTCGCGTACGTAACGCCCGACGTAAAAGTCTCCGTCGCGTCCCTAACCACGCAGACCCCGGCGCCGTGGAACCTCGCGAGGATTTCCCACCGCGCGCCCGGGGCCACCGAGTACACGTACGACGACTCCGCGGGCGAGGGCACGTTCGCGTACATCCTGGACACGGGGATCCACGTGGACCACCCGGAGTTTGGCGGGCGCGCCTCGTTCGGCGCCAACTTCGCGAATGACAGCGCCGCAGACACAGCCACAGCCACCACAAGCACCGCCAGCAACGACGACGACGACGACGACGACGACGACGAGAACGGCCACGGCACCCACGTCGCGGGGATCGTCGGCTCCGCGACCTACGGCGTCGCCAAGAAGACGAACCTGATCGCCGTGAAGGTCCTCGGCCCGAACGGTTCCGGCGCCATCAGCCAGGTGATCGCGGGACTGCAATGGGCGCTGGAAGACGCTAGATCGAAAGGAAGTGAGTTATTATTATCAGTTTGCTCTGTTCCCCCCTGCACTTCACCAGACAAACACCTACCTACACCACCCACCGGTCTCAGAGCATCGCCCGTGTACCTTAGGTACCTATCTAACTTGAGTAAAATCCTAGGGATCGGAAAGGCAGTCACCAATATCTCGCTAGGCGTGTATACGACCAAAGCCGACACGCCGCTCAGCGCAGCCGCGGCGTCGGCCGTCACGGCGGGGATGTTCCTGGCCGTGGCGGCGGGGAACAGCAACGCGAACGCGACGAACTTCTCGCCGGCGAACGCGCCCGGGGCGTGCGCGGTGGGCGCGACGGATGCGAACGACCGCCGGGCGGCGTTCTCCAACTGGGGGGACTCGATCGACGTGTTCGCGCCGGGCGTGCGTATCGTCAGCACGTACAACAACGGCAGCACCGCCGTGCTGTCGGGCACGTCGCAGGCCTCGCCGCACGTCGCGGGGCTGGCCGCCTACCTCCTTGCGCTCGAGGGCCCCCGCGACCCGCTCGCACTGTGCCAGCGCATCCAGGACCTCGCTACCAAGGGCGTGGTGACGTCCTCCAAGTCCAAAAACAACAACATCGCATACAACGGGGTGGAGGAGCGGGGCGCGTAGGGTTCTGGGATCCGGCATCGTCATATCACGAACACGAAGGTTCTGGCACGTAATTAAGTTCACGATATGCATTGCTATATTTTATCTTGCATTAGCGTTTCGGGAAAAATTGGAATATTTATACTTTTTCTTTTATGATTTAGTAATAGGAACACCATGTTCTCCCTCGGGCACGACCAAGCCATGCATTCCCTTGTACGCTGCAGGCTCAGCAGGTTTCCATCCGCCCCTCTGCAGGAGATCTACATCCTCGAGCGTGAAGACTTGGACTTTTAGCGGCCTGCAGCATTTAATCATCTCCTTCTCGCTGTCAGCACCGAAGCCCCATAAGGATAAGTCACCACCCGGGCATGTACCTGTTTAACTTCATTAGAAAAAAAAATACCGATGATTTAAGGGGGGGAGGGGGGACGTACTTAGAGCCATCAGTATATCTTGCTCGGCCAAGAACTCGATGTAATCTCCCTTCTGCGCAGGGCAAGGATTCATAAAATAGCGGCCCTGTTCGTCTAGGCCCGTGACTTGGAATATGTTGATGACATCGTGCACGTCGCCCTCGTTTAGGCCAAAGGGAATTACAGCCCGCGTGAGATTGGAGTGACAATGGAAGTCGTACCCCTTACCCGAGAGCACGCTCGAAATGTACCCATCGCACCTGGTACCAAGCAAATCGTGAACGCGACCACCATGCTCATCAACGCCGTACCATGAGAGACTATCGCCGATGATTGTTACAAGGGGTCGCATGTAAGGCAGACACGACCACAGCCTGTCGTACGTCGAGACGTGAGAAGCGTAGAGCTGCTTGGTGCGAGATGCCCAGAATCTCTCTCTTGGGTTATGAGCATTCCAGATATTCAGGTCTCCTTCACGCCGTTCCATTTATCAGCCCATTGTTTTCTCTATACATAGTAGGGGGTAAGGAGTCCACTTCCTACGTCAGATATACATACCAACCTGCGGACCCTCGGGGGTGCTGATGCGTACAATCGACCCGGCAGGTGCCTTCCAAGCCCTTCCGGACCTGATGGGTAGTACGAACTCCTCGATCAAGACGCGCGGGGCGGCAGCGATTGTGCTGTACAGTTCCTTGTCAACTGTCAGCGGCGACCCGGTTACGGGAAGATAGGCCGGTTTCGGCTTCGGAATGGGCTTCCGGGCTTTAAGGCGGGCCTCGGCTTCTTCCTTGCTGATGGACATATTGGGTTGCCGTTTAATAACGAGGGTTTAATAAAGATTAAATGAACTTCTACGAACAGTGTTATAACTACTAAGTACCTAAAGTATGATGCCTTTGAAGAGCTCCGGTAGCGTTATCCACGAGGTAAATGGTGTCTTATACTAGCCGTGCGGAGTAGTGAATTTTGGTCTGGGCGCGAAACTAGTTGACGAGCGAGGATAGCGGCTTTTATACCTAGAATAAGGTAGTTGTTATACATTAGTAGCATCAGGAGTCTCCCACTCTTATCAGATACATGCGAGCTTATGTGATTATTTGATGACATTATCATGAGTTATCTTATTACTTGTATCGTATATCCGGTATGGCGTTTGCTTTCTTCATGAGATATCGTGAAGTTCGTAAACACGTTTGCCAATCAAGATTGCGGGCCACTCGGTCTCCCCGCATGTTCTTATTAAGCGCATCGCGGTTCTATCACGGAGCTTGCCATCTAGAATGGGATGATACTAATACGGTACGGTATTTATAAAAGATTGGCATTGTTGTTAATGCCTCAATCTTCCTAATTGAAGACCAGCTCGAAGCTCTAGAGCTGAATTGTCGTAGTAGTAGTTTACCTCGGTGTGTAATACTATGTCATTGAACGAAATAATTGAACGATGATCTTTTGAAGTGGATAAAAGGGGGAAGGGGATTGGGTAAGAAGTACGTACCCTACCCGGCCTACTAGGTACTAAGATGAGCTGGAGGAGATAAGATAAGCTCGTCGCAGCTGCATTTCCCAGCTCTAGTGTAACTCGAGACCCTGGATTAAGTACTGGCTCCTACCTGCCGAACCTCGCACCTTGGAAGTTACCTAATTCAAGCACCAAATTACAACCAAGACTAGAAGTTTCAGCTACAAATTCAAACTGCAAACTTGCCAACTACAACTAATTTTTAATCCATGACCGAAAAAAACGAAATATAAACGAACGCCGCTCGCTACGAGTTCTAAAATACGTTAGCAAACAATGGACAAGCTCCCGCCGGAGATCCTTCTCCACATCCTCGAATTTACCGTCGTAGCGCTATACGGCTGCAAGAATCAGCTTCTCAAGCTGCGCACCACCTGCAAGGTGTTCGATGAAGTCCTGAAGCCATATGCTCTCCGGACACTTCAATTGGAATTTACACGCCTCGATCGTATCGAGAGGAGGCTTAAACCACCCGACTACAATGCGTTGCGCCGAATAGGCCCTCTTTGCCAGGCGCTGTACCTTGACATGATGGTGGTGAGAGACGACAGTAAGAGCCTCTTTAAAGATCCCCGCTGCCTGATCGCACTGGCTAATTCCATGGGGTTGATATAGGTGAAGTAGGATTCTTGGGTAGTATGTTTGCTCAGATCCCCGCCATGGACTCTTTCGTTTCTCGTCTACGAAATACCTACTGCTTGAACGAGTGCTCCTTCACCGAGATCGACTATCGCCGCCAACTAGGCCTTCTTCTCGAACACGCTCCCAATGTCACTGCCGTGAAGCTGAACCTACCCTTCCAATTGGTGTCTACGGGCCCGTATAGCGCAACCACGATGTTACTAGGAAATACCTTCGAGGCTCTGGCCCAGCGTCCCGAAGAATCCGAATCACTCAAGACTTTGGTGTTGGAGAACCTAACTGATAGGTCCATAGCAAGCCTATGGAGAAACCCCCAGGACGTGAAAAATATCATCAGCGCGTTCAAGGACCTCCAGCATCTATTCTTGTCCGTGCGGCGAAACGACGAGGAACGGGACCGCACTATCAACTTCCGTAATCGCCTGTGGGAGATGGTCGGGAAGGCGGAGAAGCTTGAAAGTCTGTGTCTAGCCGACTTGGACGTGAATGAGAGGCACTATTGGGATATCAAGACCTCGTCGCAGCGAGACTCGCCGCTTGAGGACTGGCAGTTCAAGTCCATACCCACAATCCACAAGCCGCCTAAATCGATTCTACCGAATCTCACTTACTTAGAACTGTGGCAGGTCGAAGTGATGGGATGCGGGCTTCTGTCGGTACTGAAGTGCTTCGGTGACTCCCTCAAAGAACTCTACTTAGACGGCGTTTACCTCAAGACCATCTACAACCCCGAGGCGCCCCAGGATACAAACAACACACTCTGGATCGGCTTGCCCAACGTACGACCACCGCCCAATCACAAATGGATAGCGACGTATCTGCGCCAGATTAAAGTCCAGCTCCGCGTCTGCCGCGTTGCCAACTTGGGATACGACCAGTACGTGATGAGCGAGAACCCGCTCAACAGCGCGGAATACGACACCGTGGACCCGAGCGGCCTAAGACGTCCTATCGAGCAGCGGTTCGTCGAAGTAGCCACGGGGATCAAGCAGCCGGCAGCGCCGGACGGGTCTCCAATAGCCTACTTCCCGGAGGAAGAGTCGCAGGAAGCCTGGGCGCTGGCCGATCGGGAGCAGCCGGCGGGCGGGCTCCGGTTCGAGGACTGGAACATCAAGCACTACATGGCGACGCGGTACAGCCCGACATCGGCCTGGCAGCGGTCCATCGACGGCCTGTTCCCCAACTGCAACCAGTTCACGCTTAACGCGCTAAACAGCTTTGCGGATAGCGCCTGCACCGGCATGACGCTGCTCAAGCAGTTGCGCGACCACGAGACCGAGTCGTCCATCTCCGTATAAGAACTGGAAACGTAAGCCGACAGAACCGTATAGTTAATTGTTTACTTTCTCTTTCCAGAGCCTCGTTTTATTCTCTATGGGTTTAAGAAGTTGCAAGTATTGCTTTGGTTGAGGACTTACCAGATGTCGTTATAGCCTTCTTATCCGATGCTTTTTTCCCTTTTCCTTTTGCTTTTCTTTTTCTTTTCACTCTATGATTTTTTTATGTTTCGGTGTTGATTACCTCAGGTATCTACCTAGACCTAGGAGGTTTATAACGGCGGTGGAGACCCGTTATCATATTAATTCATATTAATAATAACCCGGGGGGGAAAGAGTCAATTATTAGTGACGCTGACCGTGCATGCGTCGAGGTTTAATGCGCGGAACTTGGAACAGGAACAGGATGGACTGACTACTAGGTCTCCTTTGTACTTAATATGATACCACAAATGCGGAGGATGTTTACTTAATAATACCTAGGTTAGGGGGTAACGGGATTATTAATGGCTTGATAAGAAGTCCCCGGAATATAAAAGATTTCATTTTTTCCTGTTTTACATTTCGACTACTCGCGATTCACAGCAGCGTAATACGTGTCACCATCACAGGTGGGAATCATGGAATCTCATTCATCAACCTACTCGACGTAGAGCAATTTGTGCAGCGGTAAATTTGTACGTGAAGGTTTTGGGCTTAGGCAACTGGTAGTGGGAGAGGGAGTGAAATATAAGAAGAAAAAAACGGGGTTACTCTTTGAGTCCGTCCACTACCTACTGGATATCCTTGACCTTTGCAGAGAGGCCCTCTCCCTCTCCCTCTCTCCTCTTCCAAGAAACAGGGGTTACCAGGAATATCCACACATGCATAACATCGATTTCCCCCGGATCTATTCGCGCCTCCAACGAAAAGATAAACAGAAGCCCATTTGCACAATCCACTCGAAAAGTCGAAGCAGGATTAAGGACACGAGTGTTCGACAGCAGGAAAGCTGATGGAAAAGCGAACCTAAGGGGGGGTATAATACGCTCAATGCAGAGAGAAAATCTTAGTACTCGGCTTCGGGCTCATCCGCCTCGAAGCTGTCAGCCGCAACCTCCTCGTAGTCCTTCTCCAGAGCCGCAAGATCCTCACGAGCCTCGGAGAACTCGCCTTCCTCCATACCCTCACCCACGTACCAGTGTACGAAGGCCCGCTTGCTGTACATGAGATCGAACTTATAGTCGAGGCGGGACCAAGCCTCGGCAATGGCGGTCGTGTTGGACAACATGGAAACGGAACGGTCGACAGACGCGAGACCACCGTCGGAGGGCGAGGCGGTAGGGACGGCCACGGGCTTCTGGTAGTTGATACCCAACTTGAAACCAGTCGGGCACCATTCAACAAGGTTGAAAGAAGCCTTCGCCTTCAGGGCTGCGATGGCAGCGTTGCAGTCACGAGGAACAACATCACCACGGTAGAGGAGGGCAACAGCCATGTACTTGCCGTTTCGGGGGTCGCAAACAACCATCTGGTTGTTGGGCTCGAAACCTGACAAATGGGTTAGTTGACTTAAGGCAATGATAATAACTATTGAAACTTACATTGGAAGGTAAGATCGTGGACCTTGAAGCTCTCGTGGGCACTCTTGGCAGCCGAGATAACAGGCGCGTAGCTGATCAGAGGGTAGTGGATACGCGGGTATGGGACCAGGTTGGTCTGGAACTCGTTCAGATCCACGTTGAGAGCACCATCGAATCGCAGGGACGAAGTGATGGAGCTGACAACTTGAGCAATTAGGCGGTTCAAGTGCTCCGAGTTAGGACGAGGAATGTCGAGGTTACGTCTGCAAATATCGTAGACAGCTTCGTTGTCAACGAGGAATGTGCAGTCAGAGTTCTCGATGGTGCTGTGGGTAGATAGGACAGCGTTGTAAGGCTCGACAACGGCGGTAGACACGCGAGGGGCCGGGTAGACGGCAAACTCGAGCTTGCACTTCTTGCCGTACTCGGTAGAAAGGCGCTCGAGGAGGAGAGCACCAAAACCGGAACCGGTACCACCACCGAAAGAGTGGAAGATTAAGAAACCTTGAAGCGAGTTGCAGTTGTCTGCCAAAGGTGGTGGTTAGCTGGTGCAAATAGCATATATGACCTTACCTAGGCCACCAGAAGCAGATTCTCACCTGTGACACGGCGAATTCGGTCAAGGCAGTTATCTATCATCTCCTTGCCGATAGTGTAGTGGCCTCGAGCGTAGTTGTTGGCAGCATCTTCCTTTCCGCTGATCAGAAGCTCGGGGTGGAAGAGCTGGCGGTAGCTGCCGGTACGGATCTCGTCAATGGGCGAGGGGTCCAAGTCGACGAAGATGGAACGGGGGACGTATTTCCCACTGTTTGTCTCGGTAAAGAATGTCTCGTAGGAACCGCCTTCCATAACATCCTTGGAGGCGTTAGGGTCGGGTCGACCATCAGGTCCGAGACCATGCTCCAAGAGATACCTACAAGTATTGTGGTGAGCTATAAATACTTTGCGAGCAGAAGCTTAACAGTGAAGAGGTGCTACTTACAGCTCCCAGGCGCTGTTACCGAGCTGGGTACCAGCCTGGCCCAAGTGAAGGTGTAGGATCTGAGTAGAGCAAGATGTTGGTCAGTCATGGTCAGTCCTGGTCGAGTATGTACTATGTAGGAGTAGGTAGACGCGTGTGTATAATTTTTTTTTTGTCTGTAGTAATAATAGTAAAGCCATTGGGATATAGAAGTAAACTTCAGTAGCTTATAGCAGGGGGATAATAGGTATAGGCTGGCTTAAGGCGGTGACAAGAAAACACAAGTTGGTAGCTCTCTTTATGATTTTTAACTTCCACAACTTTTTATAACAACAACTTACTTCGCCCTTCATGATGAGATCGTAGTATTATAATCGGATGATTCGAATACCGCGACTGAGACTGTAGTCTGAAACTGAAGGAAGAAAGTAGGTAGGCCAAATGCGCACAGCGCTGGTAGGTAGTAAATGGAAAGAGGATGAAAAAGGAGGTGTGGGCTAGAGACGGTTGTAGGTTTTTGTGTGGAGAAACGAATAAGCAAAGTCAATTGGAGACTACCTACCTCCTACCTACTTCCATTAGGTACATGTACTATAGTATGAGGGGCAAGGTTTCAGGGGTAATCCAATAAGCTACCGCCGTGGGGGGGTTGCAGCTTGCAACTTTTACCGTTACTGGACAAAGTTGGTTACGCGACCATCTAAAAGCTGCTAAGCTAAGCTGTATCAGAGGTATCTTAAGTACCTACTTTAGGTACTTTACTACCTAAAACACCTATAGCCTAGGTTAGGTACATACACGTGGACCTGTATTGTACAATACAACTGTGTAACCATATCCCTTGCTGGCGGCACCAGTGATTTTGATAGGATGGTAGATGTCAAGTTAGGTATTTGCATACCTTAGGTAATTTATATAAGTGGAAGATAGGCAAGTATCGCATCAATCCATCCACGTATCGTCTGTGCGCAATTTATACTATAAAATACATCTACTCCCTCACTACCATACTTAAGAAGCGAATAACCGGTGGCTACAAAAAGGTCGATAGTTACACGTATCGTAGGGGATTGCAGCAGATGCATGTAGGGTAACTAGCTTAAGTAGGTATGGATGTGCATGCAAAGTGCAGCACGTAATCCTATCAAGCTTCACCGCTTCCATAGGCACAAAGCAGTTCAGATATTTTACATATTTTACAACAAGGACATACCTGCTCAGAAGCTCAGCTAAACCGTACCCTACATAAAATAGCAGACCCAAACGTGCGTTAGCGCAGACTAGCTTAATTTCATAAACAGTTTGGGTACCTAGTTTTTTTTTTTTTTTTTTTGGATTAGGTGAAGATTAACAAATGCTTTACAGGATGAGCACTGAAACTACACGTACTAGGAATCTAGTATATCGGAAATGATAAATTCGATTTACCTTGAGTCGTCGATTTCGGGTATCAGAGATAGTACAATAATGATAAAGCGTCAGTATGTTAATAAACTAATCAACAACGCTCTACTTTGCCCCTTTCTTTCTCCATTCCGCAGCCCTTCTAGCTCCTCGACTCTTCGTTTTCGCCTTAACTATACCCTTCTTTCCTTTAGTCTTGCCGAATTTCAGATCTGCAGGTCTGCCATCCTTTTCGCTAGCTCTGCGACCTTCAAAGATGATCTGCTCAGGAGACTTGAAGCCTTCCATGGCTGTTACTTCCTTCTTATCTTTTCGTGGCTTTCTTTCCCCTCTGGTTCCATGACGTTGCTTTGCCGCTGCAGCTTTACCTAAGAGCTTCCCCAGCCTGCCCGCTTGTGACTGTTGCTCAGGAGTCACCTTTGGTTTGTGCTTGGTACTCTTCAACTCCTTATCTTGGCCATGTACAGCCTCGACCTTTGCCTTCATAGCCCGCTCCATGGCAATGGCAGTCTTCCGCGGATCCTTGGCGCGAGATACGCGTAAAACTCGTGGTAGCATTGGAGGGAATTTCTTCCCGTTTAATAGTAGAGCCGATTCCACGTCGTTAGCATCGTAGAATTGCACATATGCAAACCCTTTGCCTACCCGAGTTTTTGGATCCCTGGGAAGGCGAACGCTCTCCACCTTGCCGGCGTGCTGACCGAAGATTCGCCATAAACCTTCCTCGAAATCCGCTGGGATCTTTGTGCGTTTCTTAGTCGTAGTCTCTCCATCGGCAGTGGTATTAACAACAGTTTCATCATCCACGAAACCAAGGTTTCCCACAAAAACACATCTCCGATTGTCCACCGGGTTGGGATGTGCTACGCTATCCACTCGAAGATGGCGTTCGAGAATGACTGAACCGTTCAGCTCCTTGAGCGCAGTGCGCGCAGCAAGTGGTGTCGTGTACACGACGTAGGCGTTGGTAGATTTCGTCGTTGCGGCCATAACAGACTTGGTAATGAACGCAGCACGTTTCGGCATCGCACCAGTCGAGTATGCAGTTGAACGGAAACGTAGAGACTCGACTTTGTGTGGGCCACTGGCCGAATCCAGTTTTGACAGTGGCGATGAAAGGTGAGATATCAGAAGCTTTTTTGCTTTAGACGAAGAAATGGCTTCAACTGAAACATTTCCGAGGAAGAGAGTGCGGTTTGCCTTCTCCAATTGGACGTCTGGATGGTCATCCTTCGCAAGGGACTCGTGAACTAATTGGGTCTCATCCTCATCCTCATCTGAATTTTCCGCTGTTTCGGTCGACGTGCCATTTATAGCCTGGCCAGTTTCTCCTTTGCGACGTTTGTCGGAGCGTGCTTCCTTTTCCTCGTCTTCAACCACCTTTCGCATATATTTCCCCTCTAGGTCATCGTGCTCGTCTTTACGCTTCCTCTTGCGATCCTTCTTTTGCGGCGCTAGTAACTCCTCAGCGGATTCGGAATCGTCTTGCGCTACTTCATCATCTGAAGCGATATCTCCTTCATCGTCGTCTAGTTCGCTCAGGACCTCATCATCAACTTCTCCATTGACGTCTTCGTCAGTCAATTCATCTGAATCTGACCCCAAGTCGTCTGCCGTTTGCGAAGGTTCCTTCTCTTTGCGATGAAGTAACTCGGAGTACCTAGTTTTCGGAGGAGCTTGGACAGGCCCGGCCTAGAAATAATTAGCCTACAAGGCTCTATAAATCAGAGAATAAGTGATTTGTGAGTCTTACACTACTTGCGAATAGAGCATCGAGTGTGGGGTCGATTGCTTTCGTTGATGCTGCTAAACTGGGTTTTCTGAAAACCATTAATATATGTTATCTATAAATAATAGTAGTGTAATAGTTGGTATAATCCACTTACGATTTGGCCATCTTCGCGTTGTAAATTGGGCTATTGTGTTTAAGGGTATGAATAGTGAAGCTTTTAGCATCGCGGTTACAAGTTGCGACCACTAATAAGAAAAAAAAGTCTACAGTACCTAGATAGGCGTTCTTATCTTATCAAGCCTTAGCTAGTTCGGGATTGGAGTGGGATTGATCATCAATGTGGATTGTAAATTCGATATCGGATAAAAATACGTAAGGTACCTCTCATGGAAGTACCTAGGTATGTACTTGATTAGAACACGGACCGCTACCTAAACACGCGTGTGGATGTTATCGATAAGCGGTTTTGTTCGGGGTTGCCAGATGCCGTACGTAGAGATTGGGGTCATTTTTGGGGGTAACGATGGTAACGGTAAAAGGTGCCAGACCTGCCAGCGGCTGGTAGCACATACCGTAGTAGGTACCTAGCAGTGTAAGTTCTTGCTTGCGCGCAAAGCGAACCCTCCCCCATTTGATCACCACCTTTACCACCTTTTACATTATTTTTCTTCTTTCTCGATTATCCTAGCACTCAAGATCTGCAGACACTCGTTTGGTAATACTTGGTTCCTCCTCGATTATCTTACTGCGGTGTCGTATTAAAAAAGATCTAACTTTTCCTCAGCATTTGATCCCACGGTCCGATTATTTACTTTCTCTCCATTTTGCCCTACGTCGATTCTTTCAAGCTCTGAAAACTCCCCTCCGACTATTCTACCACCACAACTGCGCCCTCTTCTTCTCGACAAGTTCACCTTTGATTTTTCCCATATCAGCGGAACTTATACTTAGCTTAGCGGAAAAGAACATCAATTATTGCAGTAAGATGGCAACTGGAGACACGGCGCCCGCGCCGCTTACCATCCCACCCCCGCCGATCGAACCGCTCTCCGACGACGATGGTTCCAGTCCTCTAAGTGATGTCGAAGATAAGGACGGCGACCCAGGAGACTTGAACAGCCTGAATGATGCCACTCCCGACAATCGCAACGAAGAAGTAACCTCTGCAGACGACCTTTCCGACGCGAACGATACTGAAGCCGAGACCGAACGCCTCTACGACACGCCCCGAAATCCCACTCGTCACAAGGACGTGGTCCTGAATAAATCAGCAGAAGGGCAAGTTTATGAGCGCACCCCAAGCAAACTGCGACGGCACAATACAAGGACAGGGCAGAGCAAAGATGCAGACAACGGGCCATTCTACGAGGAAGTGTCAATAGCTTCCAGCCCTCCAGCGCAAGAGACAAAGAATCTAAGAAGGCGCCAATCACCAACCCTAGATATCCTCGTCGAGGCTGCTAGCCAAGAAGTCGAGAGCAGAAAGCGAAAACGAGCCTCGATGCCTATTGAAAATTCTGAAACTACACGGCTACCACAAAGGCGTACTGGTTCAGTGCCTACACCTAGCCGACAGGATATAGACGGTGATACTCCTATGGCTGACGAAGACGACCCATCGTTACATACCAATAGTGGCGAACACTCAGCCGACGAAACTACCAATGCCCCAGCTGATATAGACCGCACTGACAACAACGCTCAGAGCGCTCAATCGGACCAAGAAGCCATACCCAAAAAGCAGACGCGCAGTGGCTCAAAGAAGCTTAAAACCACAGAACAGACTATCGAGGCTGATGAACCACCGGAAGAGACTGTGGGTGATTCAGTAGCTGAAGATGACCGTGCTCAAGCTGGCGAGGATGAGCCACTCGAGGCCGACGTGGACGAAGAAGCTGAAGCGGCTCACAGGAACGAAGAAGAACGTATGGTGCTACCATTCCAGTGATAGAAAACGACCAGTGCTAACTAAGATTTACTAGTGGAAAGAAAGAAGACGGCCTTTGAGCAGTTGACCGCAATCGAGAAACGATTTGCAACTTTCAGGGATAGGTCAGCTTCATTTTCTTTTCTTCCAAGCGACTATGATCCCAACCAACTAATACCGCTTTAGGCTGTACGAAGAACGACTCGAGCAACTGAACCAAGAAGAAATAATGCTGCGATCCGAAACCATAACACACCCCGACTATCTTGCCATGATGCAATGCATTGATGCACGAAGAGACGAAAAAATCCGTGTGGCAAATCGAGAGTTAGAACTCAAAATAGAATCTCTAGAGAGGTGGGCAGTCTCTAGGCGATCGCAAATTCACTCTCAATTCTTCCAATCAGTTAGAGAGTCAAGAGAAAAGATTCTAGCAGAGCTGGGCCAGCAATGGTACGACATCCAACACGAGCGTCGCAAACAAGCCAATAATGTACCCGAATTCGGTCTCCGGTTTCCTCGCGATCCCGCGCAGCGCACAAGAAATGCGCTAGCATACAATAAAGAGGTATCCATTTTGTCCGGCATAGCCAAGTACGAAGGAATGCCTGCGGCGCCAGACATGAAGGGGGCATCTATGCAAGAGCTGGAGGACGACTTCGAAGCGATCAATGTAAGATACCGCCAACCGCCGCCTGCTTGTTCATAACGGTTTACTAACCATGGACATGCAGAGAAATCGCCAACCATCGCTTCGACACCAATTACATAGGCCTGCTTATGTGGATTACGGAGGGCTTCCGTTTAGTCAAAGTCTTGGTCCTGCAGGGGAGCAGTTTATCGAGCAGACACCATGGGCAAACCCCAATCACCCATCGAACGCCCATCTTCTTCAACGACAGCACTCAGCACAGCACGAAGCTCATGCGCATGGTAATATGCCAGGCGTTTCATTAGGTCCCAATAAACATCCCCATCCGACTCAGCCTTTTACCAACGGTTCGACAAGCCATCCCTCCAATGGTCCCCTTCATGGTCCTCCCAAAGCTCAGAAGAGTGTACCAAGACAGCCTACCACCTCACCAGAGGTTGCACGAGCCGCCAACTTATTAGAACAGACTAAAGCGCGCAGCATGAAGGCGGCAGAAGCAGCCGCGAGACGTGAAAATAGTCATCCGGTAGGTAGTTTATGATACATTGGGTATCTTATATTAAGGATTCATTTTCACGGGTTGGCAAAGCATGGCGCACAATAGGGACCCAGTGGTCGGATGGCCGGCAATACTGCGTATCGTTGGGTTGAATAATTCTGCGTGATAGGAAATAGGGATGTTATACCCTGTACATATGTTTTTTTTGTATTTGATGTCACGGCTTACTGCTAGCTGGTGTATGGAAATGTCCGCATTATACTTGCGGCATGTTGCGTTGCAAGCGGGTGGCGTCTTCAAAAGGGCTGTAAAGAATGGCGAGGCCTCTATGATAAATGTTGTTCGGGTTATCTCTATAGACACATGCTCAGGCGTTTAGGGAGTTTCGCTGTTCGTTTATGAGGTTCGAAATAGGCCGCGATACCACCAAGTGTATACTCTTTTCACTGCTTTGAAAATGAACACTGTAGTTCTCGACTCTATGAATATTGTCTCCGATACTTCCGATACTTCCGCAAACCCGAGTGGTCGAATGTTTTGTGTGAATTTTTGTTTCTTTTTTTCCTATAGATTCTTATTTACTTGATAACATTATATCCAATGGTAGTGCCTTTGTATTTATTGATTTATTTCTTCTCCGGTTGACTTGGCGCGCTGGGGACCTTTACGTCTTCAAACTCGTCCTGTCCGATGACGCTGATTGTGTACGCATCTGTAGATAACCCGATGAGCAAATCGCTACTATTTTTTTTCTCTTCCCAAAATACACAATTCGACGATCGGTAATCACTTACAAACACCAACCGCAACGGCGGCTACGACAGACCCGACAACGGCGTTCTTGAAGAGGTAAGGACGACGTGCTCGGATGAGGGCGGGGGATTGTCTGAACTGTCGATCGTAGTAGGAAGAGCTTCCGAATCTGTAGGGCTGTTAGATATAAATGAATACAATAGCCTCATTTGTACAAATATTTGAAATATATATACCCAGCAGCCATTTTTGTGTGATTTTCCTGCCCGGGTGGGCGTGTCTCCTCTTATGTGCGACAAAAATAGAAATTGAGGAATAGGTCAAGGTTGAGAAGTTAAGCGCATCGCATTACGTTGCGAAGTAGGTAGAATGTTTTTGAATGTTGTATTAGCAAATATTGATCTTATGATGCGGCGGCTTAAGTTGTTGCAGATTACCATGAACTATAGGTACTATGTACCATGTATCGCATATGCATGAGGTACTTCGCCATTCCGCAGAACGAGCTGGTAACCTAAGGTACCTAACTATCTAAGTACTTACATCAATGATCATACCTCCTACGCAGAAAGCGGGAACGAACTTGAAGTACCTGCATGTACATAGGTACCTATCTCATGGGGGTTATTGACGGATAATGGAGGAAGGCACCCTGCCCAGCGTGCGTACCTTGGGTAGATACCTAAGGCAACTTCCAACAATAACGTATCTAAACCTGTAGGTTAGAAGCTTCCGTTCTTTGTCTCCAATCCGAATTGCATACATGCGGCAAGCGCCCTGGAGTAGCTTTCTCTTCAGTCGCGACCAGCTATCAAATGTTCAATTTCTTTTTTTCAAGTCCTTTTCTAAATTCACTTTTCACACTTAACAATATTCCACGTTTCTTCAGTTCTACTTTCACACAATTGATTAAAAACGCTGCCCCATCAAGAACGTCTCCGATTACCACCGGCATGCTCCTCAATTGTTAATGCTGGCATGTCATGATTGATGATGCAGGCTACTCATTACCTATTTACCCTGCGATCTTCTAATTGACATCACTGGGTAGACACGAACAAACACGACGCGCCACAATACAACTACTTCTGACATCGACAACTTCACCTTCACCCACCCCCCAACCCCCCCAACATTCTCGATACTAAATCTAGGCCTTCGAGATATTATTTACTAGCTTGGGGTCTCATCAAATACTTTGCGATACGGATTTACTATCCATGCTTTACCAAGCCACCATATCCCAATTTTTTTTCGACCTGTATAACAGCTTTGGGCCTATTTAGGCCTCTCTAAATAGATCACAATGGCAGCAGCTCAACTTTCCGTTCAAGATCAGATTCGCCAACTCGAAGGTGCGCGAAAACTTGTTCTAGGTAACGCGAACTATTACACCCAAGTTATTCAAGCTACACTTCCTATTATAGGACCTTCAGCGCAAGTAGAATTCCGACGCTGGGGTGCCGAATTCCTTGCTGAAGCATTTGCGACACCCGCTATCGCACCTGGCCAGAAAGAGACCCTATCTCTAGTAGTATTGGAAACTCTTAAGTTACTTGTGGAAGACGCCAACCAGGATGTCATAGTCCTAAGAGGCGTCATTCAGGCAGCGGCCAGTATATACCCGTTGGCCTTACGATGGATGTAGGTTTCTCCCGACTGGTCATTGTAAAACTTGTAGACTTTGGTGGGCTGTGCCGTGCCTATCGAGATCGTGCCTGTGCGCCATCTTTCTAGATTCGCATCCTTGAAATGACATGCTCCAAAGTCCACAGCGCTGACTTTTATGATTGTACTAGTATTAATAACTCCTACGACACACACACGTGGGAACGAATGACTGCTATCAAGAGCAGGATCCTACGAATATGGGATACCGCCCCCTTGAGCGTCCGAATCTGCTGTATCAAGTTTGCTCAGCGAGTCGTGCTCGCACAAACTCAGAGCATAAACGCAGAACCAAGAGTAGGCATATCGCTTGTTTGTGTGCTTTATCAACCCAAATACTAATATTTTATATAGCGTGGCGATCTCCTTGATATATCGCTCGTCATGATTCCTTCCAACCATCCGATCCTCGATGCCCCTAAACTCGAAGCCGAAGCATCAGGGCTCCTGGATAGAATGCTTGGAGTCTTGCAAGACAACAGCAGGTAAGACGATATCTTTGGGTGTCACGTCGGACTTCAGCAACTAACACACAGCTAGTGATGCGTTGATTGTAGACGCAACTCTCAACACGTTGTCTATCCTCGTCCGAAACAGGCCGGCTACGTCTAATAGGATTGTGAACACGATTCTTAACTTTAACCCGCTGAAGCTCGCGAGCTCGCCTTTAACTCCGAGGACAAAGGTTCTTATAAAATCTATGGAAAAGACGACGCGCATGTTGCTCATACATTTATCTAGACGGTAGGCCTCGGCTCAATCCAATTTCTATCCATGTCATTAATATTGTTTCAGGAACCCGCAGCATCCGCTAGTCGGTCGTATGCAACAACAAATCGAGCGCCTTATTCGCTCTCGAGCTGAGATACTTGACGAGGGCGGTCGTAAAAGAGCAATGGCAGAGCAAACCAACGGGGCAGAGGCAAAGCGCCAACGAATGGAAACTGTGCCTCCTCATCCGCAACTCGAAATCACCCCGTTGAAGCCTGGCCCTCACACCCTTGCGGAGGTCTTTACATTTACTAGCAACGATGGCTTGAAGAACTTCGACGTTAGTAATAATGTTCCAGCACCTTTTGCCGCCAGAATTAGCGTTACCACCTTCGCCCGCATAGACCCCCAATTATTACATCGTGCTATTCAGGTATGTGTCAGATGAATATATGTTTCTATCACTACGACTCACAAAAGTACAGGGTGTACGAGACCGTTTGACAACGTTGTACGAAGCCCAGCAACAACCAGTCAACCCTGAGACAATGCCGCTTGATGTTGAAGATGAGGATGACTATGAGCCTGATTTTAATACGGCAGAGGACGCTGAACAAATTCTAAATAAGCTCGATTCCTCACCTGCGGGTGAACGCCACGAGCTAGAAAAGCCGGTACTGGGTGGTCTTGCACTACCTAGTTTCCGATTACCACCAGCCCCAACATTAAATCCGGAGCAAGCTGCCAAGGTAGGGCAAGGTTCAATTACGAGGGTGTTCGGTACGATGAGAACTCTCGAGGACCCTGCAATCAAGAAGGCCAAGGCTGGTATCAACAGACTTGCAGCCAGTTCGTACGACCGAGACTCGTGGATTACGGTAATAACTCGCCTGGCAACCCGGGCTAATGCAGGACTTGATACCGCAGAGGAAGAGGAGGGCAGCAAGGGAGCAGTCTCAACTTTTCGTCTAAGCGATGCTATTCGAGAGCAACTCTTTAATTATGTACTAGAGGATTTCCGAAAGCGTATCGAGGTGGCGGTGTCCTGGTTAAGCGAGGAGTGGTACAACGATAAGGTCCAAGAGCAGTCCTCATCCAGCGCCAGCGATACCCCCGTCCATTACGAAAAATGGACATTGCGTCTTCTGGACGGCTTCATTCCTTATCTTCACTCACAAGATAAGGTGTTGACAAGGTTCCTTAGCGAACTACCCGAACTCAACCCGGCCATCTTTTCGCGAGTTAAGACCTTGTGTCGAGATCCGAGCTTGGTAAACCTCGCTCTCACGACACTATACTACCTAGTAATGATGCGCCCACCTATAAGAGATCTTGCACTGGATATCATTCAGGATATCTGGACAGACTACGAAGATGCAAGACCTATAGCCGCCAAATACTTGCAGAGATGGCGACCCAACTTCATAGAAACAGCACAACATACCTTAGCTGGGGGTGAGGGGGCTGTTGGCGCCAGCGTCACGGCAGTTGTTATGTGATACCCTTTCAAATTACGATTGCGTTGAGTCTTTGGGAGTTACTTATAAAGGACGTTATTCCCTTGGCTCGTACCCAGTAGCTAGGGTGGTTCTTGGAGGCAGAAAGGCCTCAATGTTATACCACGGCATCGGGGGATGGAGAAATGGGCAAGGGGTATTTGGAAAATGTAGAGAAATACCAGGGAATAAACAAGAGAGCCAGCAGCGACAGGCCTGCAAAGCGACATGTACAGAGATAAGAGGATGGCTATGGAAGTCTAATTCCTAGAGGTGAATGAATGATAAACTATGGGAATTCTTCAGACACAACTATATATATTAAAGCCTTTTTTTGGTAACCATGCAGATCTATTTCCGCGTCGTAGCTCAAAATAGGAACCCAGAAAGCTCCGCATATAAAGCACATATCTTAGTACCCTATGGTGTATGAATGGTAAGGTGATTTTGCCAAGCCTCAATATTGCAGTCGCTTCATAAATCGTGCATAAGTACATGAAAACATTAAGAAGTACTTAGGTACCTAGGTACATAGTAGGTAGGGTCATGGCTACGTACCTCCCTGTCTCCTAAACTTCAGCCCAAAATTAGAGTTAAAACAGCCAGGTCCACTTAATGAGCCCAGTTGGGACGGGAACATTGAATACGTTAAGGTACCCAGGTAGTTCCAAGTTACCTCATACAAACATCAAATAACTACCATAACCATAGCTTTTATAAGTTGTAACCAACAAATCATATCAACCCCTTTCCTTCTACTCGAACTTGCTCATCAATGGAATAGCCCGGAAAGTCTAGGTTTATACGAAATATCCAGTAACAAGCAAGCAAATAAACGCCCCTTACTCCGTAAGTGTGTGCCTCACAATGGCACCTCGCATCGAGGCTCAGGAGATCGAAACATATTGGAACATATTCACAACGCGGACCAATGGCGGCAAATATCTGACGGGCGAGCAAGCGGCGCCGCTGCTGAAGAACAGCGGACTGCGGGACGACCAGCTCGAGCGCGTGTGGGACGTGGCGGATGTGGACAACGACGGCAATCTCGACTTCGAGGAGTTCTGCGTGGCCATGCGCATCATCTTCGATATAGTGAATGGTGTAAGTCCCTTCTTCTCCTTATCCCCGCTGGTATAATCTACTTTACCGAAGTAAGCCGCTAACATAAGTTGGCACAAATCCATAGGAATACGCCGAAGTACCCACGACGCTACCGGACTGGCTCGTCCCCGAATCGAAAGCCCACCTCGTCCAGGCTACCCGCGCTCTCACGGGCAAGCAGGTGCAGTTCGAGCGCGTCGACGACGACTCCGATACGCCGGGGCTTAAGGATGGGTTCGACTGGTACATGAACCCGCAGGACAAGGCCAAGTACGAGTCGATATATCAGGAGGCTAGGGACATGCGAGGAGAGATATCCTGTAAGGCAACCATTTCGTCTCGACTCCTTTTTTTTCTCCTTTCTTTCTATTATTCTACCATGTACTAAAAGCAAAGGCTAATGCTAATGAGGAAAAACCAAACAGTCAACGCCCTCGAAGATCTCTACGAATCCCTCGACGTGCCGGACACCGACATCCGGTCGGCGTGGAACCTGATCAACCCGTCGGCCTCGTCGACCGTCAACAAGGACGCGTGCCTCGCGTTCCTGCACATCCTCAACAACCGGCACGAGGGGTACCGGATCCCGCGAACGGTGCCCGCGTCCCTCCGCGCGTCCTTCGAGCGCAACCAGATCGACTACCAGGTCGACAGCGCGCGCAACAACCCCCCCAACCCGGCCGCCTCCCGCTGGGCCGCCCGCGCCGACGACTCCACGTCCACGGGCCGCAAGGCCAAGTTCGGCGACCAGTACCTCACGCGCCTCGGCCGCAGCGGCTTCAAGACGGCCGGCACGGACTTCAGCTCGGCGCAGAGCGACGAACAGTGGGAGGAGGTGCGGCTCAAGAAGCAGCTGCAGGAGATCGAGGAGCGGATCGCCAAGGTCGAAGCCGACGCCGAAGCCCGCCGGGCGGGGAACGCCGGCGGCAAGAGGGACTCCAAGCCGGCCCTCGTGAAGCGGGAGCTCGAGCAGCTGCTCGACTACAAGCGGCGCGAGCTGAGGGAGATCGAGGAAGGGAAAGGCAAGGCGAAGACGGGGAGCAGCTTGCGCGTCGTGGAGGACGACTTGCAGACTGTCAGGGCGCAGATCGAGGGCCTCGAGGCGCATCTCGCGAGTCGCGTGCAGGTTCTGGAGCAGTTGAGGAGGGAGATTGAGGATGAGAAGGCGGGGAGGTAGGGTGACATGCGGTAACGTGACGTGAGTGAGCAAAAATCGTCGCTATCTACTAGTACCTGATACCTTAGGTAGGTAGGTAGGTACCTAACCTAGAGCCTGGTCTACCCTGACCTACCCTAATCTACCTGTGGACGGATAGGTGGAGGAAAGATATGTGTTCGGTGAGAAAGAGTAGGAAGAACGGGAAGAGGGAGGGAGGAGAAGGAGGATGATAAGAAGGACGAGAAGAAAGAATTTTACTACTCTCTCTCTCTCTCTGGTCCGAGACGAGAACTCGCTGAGAAACAGCGGATGAAACCCCCCTCCCCTTATATGCGAGGCGAGGCGGTTATAGCGAATTATACTACCTAGTCTGTAATTCAACAAATGTACTGTACGAAAAGAAGTCCCGTATTTCCGGTTCTATTGCGAGTGGGTAAACTCGAGTTAGGTTAGCTTATAATAAATAAATAAACAAAACAAAACAATTACAATCACCATAACAGGACGAGTTTCATCCCGGCACCAGAATCGAAGTTGACCTTGGTACCCCATATATGCGTATTAAATTTCTCTTTTAGGAACATCGTCTATTATCTCTAATATAAGACTATTGTCGAATCATTAAGAAAAGAAAGGGGGGGGGAAGGGGAGAGGGGTATCTTAGGGTACACATTACGACTTGCTTTCTCTCTCCTCGGCCCCTTTCGTCGCAAGCTAAAAACCATCCGACACATCGCATATCCTTAAAGCAGTATCGACGACCCCAGGTACTCTTCACTCTTCTCGCTTCTAGGCCAATTCATCTCAAGGCAGGAAACGCGCTCCTCTTAAAACACAATAATCGCGGGCCATCCGTAGTCTAGAAAGCGCTGCCATCGATGTAACCCGGTAGAGACTGGATACCTAGTGTCTTGCCCTTCATCATGTACACCATGACCGAGAAAACCTTGACCGAACCCATACGGCCGGCTCCACGGCTACGGCCAGTGGCTACCATGAGCACGTCCATCGGTAGCGTTTTAACGGGGGTGGGTGCCTTCCCCTTGAGAGCGAGATCGATGTTCTTGGCAACGCCAGCAGCCTTTACATAATTAATAGTCAGCGTAAACCGTCCCCACGCCGAATCAAGGGGTAGGGTAGGTATTGGAGTAAGGTATAATAAACTCACCTGTTTCTCCGAAAGTACAAAGCTGCCACGAGGCTTCCACACGATATCGCCCGCGGCCCAGACTTCCTTGGTACCCTTGACGCGGTAAAACTCGTCGATGTCGACGAATTTCTTATCCGTCAGGACCTCCGCGGGGAGGTACTCGGTGTTAGGCCGCATGCCCATGGTAGGCAGGTACAAGTCCGTCAGGATCTTCTCGCCGTTCTGCAGCACGACTTCGGTCTTGCCCTCGGGGGTAGCATGAGCGGCGTCGACGCGGGCCGACTTGCGCACGCGAACGCCCAGCTTCTTCAGCTCGCTGGTGACATTGGACGCCAGGCTGTCGCCGCCCAGAATATCGCCGTCCCCGGACAGCAGGATGACCTCTTTCTCCTTGCCGTACTCGAAGGCGATCTCCGCGGCCACCTCGACGCCCGTGCTGCCCGCGCCCGCAACGACGATGTGCTTCGCCGTCTTGACCTTGTCCTGGATCTGGGCCACGAGCCCCGTGACCTGCTCGTGCGTGCCGTTGCTCTTCCAGGGCACGGTGCCGTCGACGGCGCGCGTGCCCGTCGCTAGGACTAGGTGGTCGTAGTTGAGCACGCGCTCGGCGCCGTCCCTCGTCGAGATCTTGACGGTCCTGCCGGCGATATCGACACCCTCCGCGGTGCCGACGACGAACTCGAAGGAGTCTGCCGGGTATTTGGCAAAGCCCTTCTCGATGGGCTGGCTATATTGCTCTTCCTTCAAGACTCCCGGAATAATGGCACGTACAGATGCTATGTTCCAGTAGAAATGGCTGCTCTGCAACGAGGGGGGGTTAGTGGCATGTTTCGTATATTCGAAGGCTCCTCTTATAGGAAGACCAGCGTTGCATTGGGGGTATTCCGGGGAGCTGATTCATATAGACTGTTGAAGTCAACATTCACAACGTCAATAAGTTGACTTACCTTAGAAACAAGGATAACTTTCAAATCCTTAACGTGAGGTTTCGTATATTTGAGAAGCCTATGAGCTACTCCCACGCCGGCGTAGGCGCCACCTAACACTACAATTGTTTTGGTCATTTTTTGTTATTTTGGCGAAGTCCGGTCTGAAAGAAAGGGGTTTTTGTTTTTGTTTTGGCAGTTGGTTGAAAGGAGTGAAAGTAAAAAAGATGAAGGACCTTGGGGATCGATGGAAATAAAAAAATGAATTGTAAACTTTCCTTTACTTGATCGAAATCGAGGAAAGAACTCCCTTAGGTAGTCTTCGGACCTGTCGATATCCGGCAGTCAGCTGTGACTTTATATACCTTGAGCTGTCCGTTTCACAGCAGGGAGGAACGGACCCTTATTATTTGATAGACTTTCACGCCTCAAACGGAGACCCCACTCAAGCCGACATACCGTCGACAACAAGCTATGTACAATGCATAACACATAACACAATACCTAATGCATAATACACTAGTCTAAGGGAATTGGTTTGGGAGACTCGAGATGAATAATATTCGTCCCATTGCTGACACAATGCAGTTGACTAGTACTAGGTCTAATTTGTCAGTACATTAAACACTAGGTACCTCAATTGGGTATGCATTAGGTACCGTCCGGACGGTCATTCCCAAAAACCACTTAACTTATTGAGTTTTTGAAAAGTTAAGCAGAAATTTTACTAGGCAAGGCTAAGGTAGGTACCTGGTATTATTAGGTAAAAAACTTACCATATATAGTACCGTACCCCTTGATTAATAAGATGATGAATAATCTGGCCAATAAAATGACAAATGCTATACCTAATTGCTTCTTTAAGGTACCGGAAAAGAAATCGAATAATTGGGAGTCCAAACCACATTGTCTTTGTACGTCTCTTTTATCGCCTGTCTTGATTTGATTTTCCATGTTGTCTATTCAACGCGCCCGACATACATAACATAATATCACCGTCCCTGTGATTGATTGATTCCGATGCCCGAACTAGGTAGTTCTATTGAAGCTATCATCTCACATAGATCCTTAATACTACTTCGAGTTAGGGGACTTTTTCGGTCCCGAAGACTCAAGAGAGTCGAGACTATTACCTAGGACGAGGCTCCCAAAAGCTTAAGGGGGAAATAGACATCGGGCGTGATCTATTGGAGTCGAGACGGACAAGGGTTCTTGGGATCTCGTTGGCTTATTGGACAGCCTTATGATGCGCATATTACATGGCGTTAACGGTTTGTCTCCTAAAGGAATGCAAACAATATATTGGCTGTAATTCAAACGAGCTGAACTCTACCCCTGAGAGAGCCAGCTGTAAGAATGCATCTGCACGATAATACGATATTAACTGACTTGGAGTGCTAGTGACATACCTATACTGATCTATCATTTACTATGTAGCTATTATTTATGTCCGTTAACACTTGACCAAGTTGAGTAAAGTAACCCAATGTGCCTAGATATCGAAGATCTTAATGATATCTGTCACTGTTATTTACTACTATTAATTGCTCTTCAAGTCAACAACAAACCTTGCACGATATAATTATCTCCTTCTACATATAAGCTTACTAAACACAGCGCTGCATACCTTAGGTAGGTAGGTAGCTAAGTACACACGTGAATGAAATATCAACATAGATCTTCATGTGATGCCGACGACGACAACAGGAACCGGGTGGGAATCCAAATGGATCTAAGTGGTTCGGAGGCGGTACATGTTTACACCGATGCAAGAAGTCTTGATCTCGAGCATCACTTGTACAACTTGTGACAGAATAGCGGGTCCCTGGAGGTAATGCCACCAATAAGAAGCTTGAAACGCTAAGGTAGGTAGCACCACCCCCGCGCAAGTGACTGCACGTAATGACGAAAGTTCGATCATGGGCTGGAAACTGGAAACAATCAACCCCGCCAAAACCTATTTGACCCAACAAGACTTCGACCAATCTCTACACCCTAAGCTTCCACTTACACCAACAGCAATCTTTTAAAGGAAAAAAGAAAAAAGGCAATTAGGTACAGTAACCTCCTTAGCCACAAAATCAGTTAGAAAGTATAGCTAACCACGGAGAACCAAATGATCTATGATCTAGTCCTCACAAGATTTTACTTATACTCACTCCTAAAACCCTAAACTTGTCAAAATGGTCGACATCAGCCCTGCTTTCACCAAGGCCCAGGAGGACTCCAGGAAGCTCACCTCCAAGCCCACCAACGATGAACTTCTCGAACTCTACGGTACTTATTAACCCCGCCCTTCTGTCTAAGGTTCCTTATAAATAAACCTCTTTAGAGAGCTATCGCATTTTTTCTAGTCTACAAATAGAAGTAAATGCATAGTATAGCTTTATATAAGGTATATATATCGCAGACAAGCTAACTTAAACTTCTCTCTTTTCGTTTATAGCTCTCTTCAAGGTCGGCAACGACGAAGACTTCAGCAAGGCCGAGAAGCCTGGCATGTTTGACCTAAAGGTACGCGACAAACCCTGCCCCCCCTCTCCCTCTTTCTCCTTTTCTCCCTTTTTCTATACTATACCCCCCATCCCCACCGAGCCCGACGTGCGGAGTTCGCGTAGGACCAAAAAAAAATTGAAAAGGAGAAAAGACCCAACTAACCAACCCGACCGCTCTGCGTAGAACAAGTACAAGTACCAGGCGTGGCAGAAGGTCGTCGACGAGGGCGTCAGCGCCACGGACGCCCAGGAGCGGTACGTCAAGCTGGTCGAGACGCTGAAGGAGAAGTACGGCTACGACGAGAACAAGGAGCCCGAGGCCGTCAAGAGCTCTTAAATCTTTTCGAGTCCTATCGTCGTCCCCATATCCGTCTGCCACGTTCTCTTTGCATTACAATACCTAGCCGATTACCTAGCGCTCTTATGGTTCGTAGCGATGTTTATGCGACAGTGCGCTCTTTCCTCCCCGGTCTCGAAAGGGAGGGGAGGGGAAGGGAAGCAACCTGGGAAATTCTTTGCGGTTCGATTATACGGGGGTAGAGCGAGATACACTGCGCATCACTATAGCTCTATAGCTCTATAGATTAATCTATAATGTTATGCGAACACGAAAAAATCGCTATTTCGCGGCAATCGACGACGCATTCATAATTTACGAGTAAAGTTCGTACCGTATTAGAGTTATCTAGGTACCAAATTAATAGGCATGGGACTTCTAGCCATTCCAAGTCTGACCCATACAATCAGGTTCCGTATACTTTGCCGTAGCTACCCATGGACCCTCGTCGTTTGCATATTTCTGCAGAGGCAGGCTATACGGTATCCTTAAACCTACCAGAGGCTCGTCGCCCTCGAGGTCGTCCTTCGAAGGCATGTCTGTTTTGAGAGTGGGAACCATCTTGGCTCCCTGCGCAAATAATTCGGGCCATACCAGCACGCCCATCTCCCACGAGGAAATCCGCATCTCCCCAGCGTTGGCGGCTTCGCCCCAGGCTTGCTTGGAGAGGTTGGCGGACGTGAGCAAGGCCCAGTCGATAGACTTCTTCTCGTTGTACCGGATATACGTCTTTATATGCGGCGCGGCACGATTCCGTCCTGCATCTCGGATTTCGCCCTCTTCGACTAGGGATTTGGTTAGTATAATAGAACTGTCGTGTTACGCCCCCCAGAAAGAGGGCAAGTGAATTATTAGTGGCTTACGTATCCCTTTCTCGCAATCGTTAGCCCAATGGTAAAGCATGGGTTTCAGGTATTGAAGCTGCTTCGCCTGAGAAGCTGATTGTATCTTCATGTGTATCGACGCGCCGGAAGCGTAACCGTCCAGGCTACGTCTTATCTCGTCAGGAGTAGGAAATAGGATCTTGAATTCAGGCTTGGACAGGCCCGCTCTCGAAGACGACAATGCGTTGAATAGGATTTGCTTTAGCCAGGTGTCCGTAGGGCCCAAAGTCGCAATGGACGATATTTGCACCACGATCTCCGATCTCCCCGGCTCACAAGGGACGGAGCTGAGGGTGTGTTTTAAACCCGCCCACCCCCAGGGCGTTTCCGTAGGGTCGTCGTCGTCAATAACAATATCATGTTTTCCGGGTACGCTGGCAACCAATGCCCCCCGCACGGCGCTAAAGTCGTATTTCTCTAGTTCATTGATCATGGACTCGCATAGCGGTCTTCTGGTGTTGTAGGCTCGCAAATAATTTAACAAGTCGGCTTTGAATCTCGCGCCGTAGCCAACGCGCAAATCTATTTCCGAGGGCTTAGGCAACCTGGTGAGACGAGGGAGTAGAGGGCTCAGCCAAACGCCGTTGGTCAAATTCGTCCAGTCCTTTGGAATCATATTGGCCGTATGTATAATGACCTGTGCTGTAAAGTCATGTCTGAAGAGTATGATCATCTTGGAGTGGTGAGTGCCGAACATTTCTGGCATGTATGCTGTATGAAGGGTGACATTTTGATACTTAGAAGATTGGTGCTATATTAAGTATTAGCACCGATGTTTCGCTTGAGGGAAATACAAAACAATTCAAACAAGTGTTATAGGTTATTAACAGACGACCTCCGTAGGTACAAGGTCACAAATATTATATAAGGTTATTAAATAGGGTAAGGAAGAGCTGTACTAGGCTAGACCCCATTATCAACCCCCTTTTCGCATGTCACGATTCAGGATAAAACAAAAATATCAGAAGCCAACCCGTTCATTCCACACGGTCTCACAGGGTGCTGGGTAACGCGGGCTTTAAACGCGTTATACGATGTATCGGAGAAATATGAAAAGAGATGTCTTACCTCCAATAACAACTTACTAACATCGTTCCTCTTCCAGTACCCATGGACGATATGGACTTTAACGTGAGACCTTATGTCTTCATCAAAGTGGCTCATGAGGAAATCGACATCATGCATGAAATTAAATTCCCAACACTCTGCTATCAGGGGATCGCCTAGGATATCATGAAGCGAGATGGCCCCGGTATTTGACTCTTCGGGAAGGTCTTTGATAGTGGTAAGCCGGATCGGGGATGGAATGAGATTGCGCTCACAGCCTCTCTTTTTCCTTGGAGGACTAATTGGGTGTGAAAGTGATGCTGGTATTTTAGCGGACTTTGCCGTGGCGTCATCCCTTTCCGTACTACTCGCCCGGCGGCGTTTTGTTGAAGGCCCTGCCATATCAACGAACGCGGGTTGAGATGGGCCTGGATCGGATCGGTGAAGTACCGCGCGATTGTCAAGTGCCCCTGTGGAGGACAGGCTAAAAAGGCGTATGCACGTCAACCGTGGTGGAGGAGATGATGGAAATATGGATTTGCCAAGGCCAAAGACATCAGGTCGATACGCACGAAATACGCTTGGATACGATAGGCGTGGTAGAACCAGTGATTGAAACATACCTATGCAGAAAGCCGATGTTGGCAATAATTGAGCTTCAAAGCGTACTGGCGTGGCGTGTAAGGGGGGATTCCACAGGGCTGACGCGGACAGTCGATTTGTGTTTGTGTTGGACAACTTGGTGGTCAAATGTTGTAATGAAGTAGCTTGGCACCCGACTGATCGCCTTGAGTATCCTCTACTTTGGATTATTTGCACATCACAACATTTGGTAAATACGAGGGCATACCCTACTTTTTAAACGGTATGCATTGAATACGATGAGATCTGGTCAATGAAGCACTAGGCGAAGTTACAATATGAGTGACTAACATGTAGAGAGAAAAGGACTTTATCTAAGGTTTATAGTTAGGTTAGGTAGGCACCTGTTATGTATTTTGATTTGCTTCTAGTTATATAAAGAAAGTGTATTTGCTAATCATGACCACCTTTTTTTCTCTTTTGTGGATATGAATGAGTAAGGTCCTCAGAAATATTAACTAGTAGGTTAGATACGCTCATGACTTGAGATCATGTATGTGTGTATCAACATGTAATGCAGAATAGATATGCCACTTTGTATTAGCCACATGCACACATGCACTTTCATCCCATCGTGGCTAAAGCGTATTTTTGTTAGTGTTGTCCTTTTTAAGTATTGTACTGCTATACCTCCTAAGGGGTCATGTGGAGACTTCTGATAAGGTTACCTAATAATACAAGGTGGGTAATGTACTGTGCAACGGATTGATCAAGTATTTTTCAAGTATCTCTTATTTGGTTTGTGTCATACATTGAACTCAGCCCAGCTGAGTAGATACAACAAAATACTCACCCCAGTTTTCTCCACACAGTTAGCAGGAGTCAAGAGATACTAGAGATATATATTAGCAGAAGGCAGTGCACTTACTCACTTGTATTCTGGCCTTAGGAGAAAAAAAAAGGTAGAGCAACAGTCTTGTTTCAACAATCCATTTTTTTTTTCGCATCCCTTCCCAACTTACGTGCTTTATCATCTTGACCATAGAAGTGATACCGACGACCATTAGCGAACTCGAGCCTCTTGAATCTCTTTTTTCTTATTTTTTCTCTGGGTTGGCCTTTAATTCTGCAGACGTAATAATCATCTGCCTTTTCTTTTCCTATTTTTTTCTTCTTTTTTTTCTTATTACTTCCTTGTTCATTTTCTTTCCCACTTGGACATAATTCCGATGTACTAGAGCCGGTGACGCGCGATCTATCTTCGTTGCCCCTTTCTCCAAAGACTAGGCCGGAAAAAAAAGTCCCTTGCCAACTACTTTCCAGACCCTTTCAAAAACCCCCCCTGTGCTGAGTCGCGCGCTCAGCTCGGCCGTCTCTTAATCAAATCCTCGATTGACGCGACGGCTTCTCTCCCACGTCGACTTTATTTTTGCTATCTACCTACCTAACCTATCTATCATTGGTGGTTTTAATCATCAGCACGCTCGTTACTCGCGACAACAAATCGCAACCTATTAGCCATGAGGCTCGCCTCTCTCGCGCTGTTTTTCAGCGCCGCCGTTCTCGGCACCGCGCAAGCAATTGGTTCAGAGACGAGCAGTAGTCCTGACCGGGAAAATACATATTTTAATGGCAAAAGAGTACCCCCATTACTCGAGTTAACCCCCGATACATTCGACAAGGAGGTGAAGCTCTCAAAATTCATGGTTGTTAAATATTACAGGTAAGACCTTCATTTTTATATCTAGTTAGTGTACTAGGCTTTAAGCTTCAGTATTCGATGCTATTTTCCGATGAATAAGGATATATTTGTCTCCAATATTATTGCCCCTTGTAGTATGTCTCAGCAGCCTGCTGACAGTTCAATAGTCCGTTTTGTATTCACTGTATAGATTATGCGCCCACCTATCAGACCTTGTACGAATACTACTACACTTCGAAAGCACCGAGCGACTCCGAATCGGGAACGGCTGCATCTTCCTTCGAGAAGTTCTACGATATCAGATTTGCCGCGGTAAATTGCGTGGCTTATGGTGATTTGTGTAATAAGCATGAAATCACTACATGGCCCGAGACTCGAATTCTAAAACGTGGCGAGGTCGCTGGTCGTGTCAATGGTGGTAAAGATATATCTATTGTCGCGAAGATGGTCGAAGACGAGCTCGAGAAAGAAAAGCCTGGTACTCGCCCGAAAGAACTTTCACTTCCCAAACCTGGCGCAAAATCATTTCCAGAAGGATCATCCGAAACTGGAGAAGCGACCGAGAAGAAGGCTGAAAAGCCTGCGAAGGCCGAATCTGACGATGCTACTCCTGTGACGAAGTCTACGCCAGTGAAAGTGGACAGTGTGAAGCCAGCCAAGCCGACCAAGACCCCCAACGAGCAAGGAATTTCTGTTTCCTTGACGGCCGAGAGTTTTCAGACTCTCGTAACAATGACCCAGGAGCCGTGGTTTATCAAGTTCTATGCTCCCTGGTGTCATCATTGCCAAGCTATGGCTGCCAATTGGCAACAACTAGCTAAGGAGATGAAGGGAAAACTTAATGTGGGCGAGGTAAACTGTGATGTAGAATCTAGGCTATGTAAGGATGCCCACCTTAAAGGTTATCCCAGCATTCTGTTCTTCAGAGGAGGCGAGCGCGTTGAGTACAATGGCCTGCGCGGGCTTGGCGATTTCCTACAATACGCTGAAAAGGCCTTGGATATTTCCAATGGCGTCCAGGATGTGGATGCCTCGTCTTTTAAGGCCCTGGAAGAAAAAGAGGATGTTATCTTCGTCTATTTCTACGACCACGCCACTACTAGCGAAGACTTTATGGCCCTCGAGAGATTACCCCTCAGTCTAATCGGACACGCCAAGTTAGTCAAGACGAAAGACCCTGTGCTCTACGATAGGTTCAAAATCACGACATGGCCAAGATTACTCGTCTCGCGAGAAGGAAGACCTACGTACTACACACCCTTAACCCCTAGGGAAATGCGCGATACCCATCTAGTTCTTACTTGGATGAAGTCTGTCTGGCTACCTATCGTCCCCGAGCTTACTGCCTCCAATGCCCGTGAAATCATGGATGGAAAGATTGTTGTCCTAGGAATCCTAAATAGGGAAGACCAGGAGACTTTCTTGAGCGCTAAGCGCGAGATGAAGCGCGCTGCGAACGAGTGGATGGATAAGCAAATACAGTTGTTCCAGCTGGAGCGACAGAACCTTCGCGACGCTAAGCAGCTCCGACTCGAAGAGGCAGAAGACCGCAATGACCAACGGGCTCTACGGGCCGCCAAAAGTATCCGCATCAGTATGGACATGTCTGACCGTAAGGAGGTCACATTTGCCTGGGTTGACGGTGTCTTTTGGCAACGGTGGATTCGGACCACTTATGGTATCGATATTAAGGATGGTGAGCGTGTGATCATCAACGACGAGGACGTAAGTTTAAACTTAAGTGACTATTTCGTGCTACATTATATTAATTCGATTGCAGAACCGACGATACTGGGACATGACTATAACTGGTAGCCCGATTGTTCCCTCACGTGTATCGATCCTGGAGACCATTTCGAAGGTCACCGCTTCTCCCCCGCTAATAAAACCTAAGCTCACGATTTCGAGCTTCGAGAAGATCTTCTTTGACATAAGAGTCACCTTCTCCGAGCATCCATACCTCTCCTTAGGCTGCATAGCAGGAATTGGTCTTGGCTGTGCCTCATGGTTCAGGGGACGCATCCGGAGGAACCGCGGCCACTTCCGCCTAGAAGATAACCTCCCTATCAAAGAGATAAAGGAGGGTCTCCTCGGCAACACGGCTAACGGGAAGAAGGACTGAATAAGCATTTTTTTTTTCAGGCGAGGAAATAAATAATTGAAGCATCGGCATTTGGGAAGACATGAGTTAACTGGAGTTGATGATATTCATCCAGCGGGAGTTTCTGTATACTACTTACTCTCTTGTGTTCCTTACGCTTTGCACATGCGAACCAATCCACCCCCCCATACAATTACCCGTCGTCATTTTTCTTCTTACATATGGTGGTGTCTTTTGGTTAACGGACACCCGTTCTTTACAATTAGTATAGAAGGCCCACGGCGCGTCACGAAGCTTTGGGAACACTTATGGAAATGAAATGAGGAGAGGGAGAGGGAGAGAGAAAGAGAGGGGAAACAGGAACGAGCCGAGGGAGAAACAGAGAGAAATGAGAAAAGATATAAGAGAGAGAGTGAATGAGTCAGTGAGTGTGGTCAATGTCAGACTAAATGAAGAAAAAAAAACAACTCTCTCCGTGTTTCTATCATGACAGCAGAGTCAAATGCATCATCATAATAATATCCCCTTAACTATTTTGATATTTTCACCTGCTGCAGTCTATCTTCACCGTCAAATTTCACATGAGAGTAATGGAGTTATCATTATAGCGAATTGAAAGCCCAAGAAGACGATAGACGATGATGGTATCGTCATTCAACGCGGTTATATATATATTTTTTTCTTGATAAAGCACCTATACCTACCTACCTGGCGTACCTACATACCTAGATGAAGAGGCACATAGACAAGATAAGCTCGCCTTTCTATAGCCAAACCCCCGTATATCTAGGGCGGTGTACGGGGCTCTATACAATAAATAGGCCATGTCCAACGGGGTGGGTACATCTTAAGTTAAGTATAGATCTGGTCCGTGAAGGCATTGAAGCTAAGACCATTCTTCGCCAAGTTCTCGACGTCAATCAAGAACTGGAGCGGCATCTCAACGAGGGTGCCGCGGATACGGCTCAGCCACTCCTTGACCTCGGCCACGCCGCCGGGGAACTCCTCGCGCACGACGTGGCCGTACTCCACCTTGCCCTCCTGCTTGTCTTTGTCCTTGCCGTCGTCGTCGCCACCCGGAACCGTAAAGTGGCGGCTGAAGAAGTCCTCGTAGTCCTCCCAGGTGCGCACGCAGTCGTTGGGGACCGGGTGGAACACCTTGGTGAAGACGTCGGTGTTGGTGCGCGCCGTCCCCGTCCACAGCTGCCAGAAGTCCTCGCTCATCGGGTCCTCGACTAGCCGGTCCGACGGCGAGCCCCAGTCGTACTGCTGCGGGTCGCGGTCGACGGGCGTCCAGTTGGCGTCGGGTTGGTCCCAGCGCTGGTCCGGCAGCAGGCCGAGGTGCTTGCGGTAGAGCTGGCGGCGCAGCGAGGTGGCGAAGCGGGACGCCGTGAAGGGCCGGCCGTTCATGCTGCTCTCGACGGGCTCCGGGTCCTCGATGACGACGGCGATTTCCGAGTCGTGCGTCCCGAGCTGGCTTCGGTCGTTGAGGTTGGCCGAGCCGCAGATGACGAGCCGGTCGTCGGCGATGAGCACCTTGCTGTGGATGTACAGCTCCTCCGACACGAAGGCGTTGATCTCGTCCTCTTCGCTGCCGTTCCACGGGACGTCGCGGATGTCCTTGCCGCCCTCCATGTAGCAGCTGGAAACGGTGTCCCAGGTGCTGTCATCGACGCGGGAGGCAGCAGATTGGTAGCGGTTGTATTTGTCGTAGTCACGCCTCTCATGATCATTGTTATCGTAGCGTTCATCGCCGTACCTGCGTTCACTGTCGTAGCGGCCGTTATCATAGCTATTGTCACCATAGCTGCTATCGCCATAACGGTTCTCTTCATAGCCGTCGTTGCCATAGCTGTTGTCACCGTAACGCTCGTCACCGTAGCGGTTTTCGTAGCGATCATTGCCATAACGATCGCTGCCATAGCTGTCGTCACCATCACGGTTCTCTTCATAGCGATCATTTCCGTAGCGGTCACTACGCTCATCATCATAACGGTTCTCGCCATAACTGTAGCCTTGCTGTCTGTCGTCGTATTCGCGACGAGCATCTTCATAGGACACACCACTCTCTCGTTCAACCTGCCTTAGGGTAGAAGATATGTTGATGCGGTCGTAGTTACGCAAGTTGTAGAAGCCTATGTAGCGGCGCCAGTCATCAATGCCCTGCTGTTGCAAGCACTCGATTATACTGTGACCACCACGGTTGATACTGTTGTATTGCTGTAGCACCAAGTTAACAGCTGCTTCTCAAATATGTTCCAGCCACTTAGCCTAAACAACTAAGACTTGACTGACTCGACAGGACGAAGAAGAAAAACTTAGTGTGACATACGAATTCCATAATAGCACGGGTTCCAAGGGCACCATCGGACTTCAGGTCGCCGGCGAACGCGGGCACAGCTGGCATCAACACAATAACACGGAAGTCCTCTCCGTTGTTATAGGCGCGGACGATTCGTGATACAATTGTGGCACCTATCTTGTTCTCGACGGGATGCTGCTCATCAGATGTAGCTGTGATGAAAAACTATGCTGTGTTAGACAATTCTAATGAAGGCAGCTATTTGGTTTAAATTCTTACCTGGTTCTCGATATAGACAAAGTGCTTAGCGTTCTCAATAGCATTGATGTACGCATTGGCAATTGAGTGTTCTGTAGGATGGCCGGCAGACCAATCGCAGCAACTAGGGGATGGTTAGTATTCCAGAATCTAGCTATAACGATTCGTAGGAGCAGGCATAGAATTACCTTCTGCAGAGCTGGATCTTGGCACCGCTAGGTTGGTCATAGTCATAATCGTCACCACCCCGGCTACGGTGGTGTTCTTCACCTCCTTCGCCAACGAGACGTCTTAAACCTCGACCGAAATGGCCCTGGAAGTCGTCGAACATACCACGGTGCTCTTCTCCACGGGACCTATCGACATACCCGCCGAGCGCAACCCTCTCATACTTTCCAGGATCTTTCTTGGTATATTTCTCGTTGAAAATGAAATTCCTGACCTCATGTTAATCGTAAAAATATTCTCGCTTCTCAAGAAGCACTTACCATCGGTCTGTAAAGTGGTTGATGAGACTATCCACGATAGGACCTTTGAGGGAAATAGCAATATCAGACCAGCCCATCCTCGAGTTTTTGGTTCGGTCGACTATGTTTCGGTTAGGCATCTTTTGGATCAAGTAGTAGACAGCAACTCACGTTTATTGTGATCCCAGTTGTCTACACCTTCAAAGTCATAGACACGAGCATTATTGAAATCTTGACCGGGGAACACAATGTTGTCTAAGTTACCGGGGTGCGCATCGGCAATAGGATGGCCTATTCATTTTCAGCAAGTTGGGTACCAATATAATAGGTAATCGGTTTATGGAATAACTCACTGTTTGTATCGTATCTTCCAAAGCCTAGAAATTTGTTAGGTATGATTTAGTAATTTTGGGGGTTTGAGTACTTCACATACACATATCAAGACCACCCATGAAAGCGAGACGTCGATCAACGACGCATAACTTCTCATGATGCGCCCAGTACAGGACAGTGTCGCCGAATGAACCATAAAGTTCTTTAAGTGCATCACCAGATACCTTAGATAAGCTAAAGTCGTTCAGTCTGAGGTTGTCCAGAGATAAGCCGGAAAAAGCAGCCTCAAGCTTGGATCGGTCTGTCGGTAGATGATCGGGATGCCTGAATACTTTAATGTTCGGATGTAAAGCCTCGAGGGCGTGCTTGGTGTGCTAGTAAGAAGAGTTAGTTGGATGTAATTTTCATACCCAGAGTATATAGTTTCTCACCGCAGAGTCCACTAGCAGTCGCTCAATATGTTAGTCAAGCCTATGGCAACAAATGTTGGTTAAGGAAGAACATACGGGTCAAGGCCTGGGTGACCTCCTTGTAAACGATCACGCGGATCTCAACACCCCTCTCAGCAGCTGCCCGCAGCATGTTATCGAGACGATACTGCTCATTGCGCGACGGAGGTCGACGAAGGTAGAGCTCCGGGCTCAGCCACCAATCTAGAATATACACACTCTCCCTGGCCTCTGTATTTTTTTAATATTAGTAGAGTTCTTGCGATAATAGTATATTAGGTTTCCACATTTCATACCCTCAAGAGCCAAAGATACGGCATAGAAGTAGGATGCGCCATCGACATACCACTTCACGGAGCCGGTAGTCTCAGGCGCAAAGGACTGGAAACGATGGTTGGTGTTGACCTGCTGAGTACTGGCATCAACTTCCTCGTTACCCTGCTGGACATGCTCTTCGCTTTCCCCTTTCAAGGCCTCCTTCACATCTTTAAAAGCATCTTCCGCCTTCTGGAGGAATTTGTCCATATTGGATGCCAACGAATCCGTTAGCAATATGTGTGTATGGGTAGTGTTAGGTTCGAATAGCAAAACGAGGGGAGGAATTTGGCTATGTAAGTAAGGTATAGTAGGTAGCTGATATCTAGATCTCAAAAAAGAGAATAGAAAATAAGATAAAATCGAAAATAGCTTGGAAGATAAATAGGCTACGCTAATGCAAAATCTAGCTAACGTTTCGTACAAATCTATAACCAAGACGACCGCTAGAGTCAGGTTTGAATCACAAGCTCTTTTCAATGTCGTGGAATTCGAGGAGTTCGTGGAGGGGTGACGAAGTAGTAGTCCTTTGGTGGGACCCGGAACGGCTTGTTAGCTGATTTCTTGGCTTGCATCAGCCCCCCTAAGAATGAAAACGAACAAATCAAGAACTCAAGTAGCTTTTCTGAATACGATTTGTGAATGGTCATAGTGTATATGTATACCTGGCAACAAAAGCCTTTCTACAACTAACTAGTATGTAAGCTGAGGTCTTGATAGGATATTAACAGGCCTATAAGATGCGACGGTGCCCCTCCCCCCACTAGGTTACAGCATAGTTGTAATTAGGTAGCTTATGCACTGTATAAAATACGGTATGGAGTTATCCCAGTTTGTGGGATGAAGATGTTTCAAGGGAGCACTAACTTTACCCGCAATTATATGGGCGTATCCCATATCGCGTGACACTGTGCAACAATTTGTGCAACTACAAATGCCATTGTGCCTGGATTATGTATCACTAGCCGGGCGGTAAGAGTAAGATGCATAGGTATTCACCGCCTTCCATATTAAGCGAAAAAGACCGGACGAATTCTAGACCCACTAAAATTTTCAAATGTCCCACTGTTCTATCTACAACATTGTAACTTTGCATGCGCAAACCTTCAACCTTCAACCTTCAATTTATCAATTGAGAGAATATAGGGGCCTAATCAATTCAATATGCCCAAAAAACAGTCCCAGGAGCAAGATGGCCGATCTGCGAAGGGTGATTCGCGGTTTGCTAATTTTGAATCCGATCCCCGTTTCCGCCTACCCTCCAAGAGTCGCACCAAGACTGCCATAGACAAACGTTTCTCGCGCATGTTGAAGGATGACGATTTCGTCGCGAGCGCTAAAGTCGATAAATACGGTCGCAAATTAAAATCGGATAATAAGAAGAAAGCCCTTCGAAGCATATACCAGACAGAGGACGACGAAGATGTTGAAGTAGATGAGGATCATGTGGTTGAGCGCGAACTTCAAAAAGCCAATACTAAATATGACCCAGCTCGTGGTGGTGGATTTTCTTCTTCCGAGTCCGAATCGGGCGACTCAGATGAAGAAGAGGAGCAGGACGAAGAGGACGAAGAGACCGAAGTGAATACGTCCGCGAGCATGCAAAGGCTGCGTGATGCTCAAGCAGACGTCGAAACGGGAGAGGTTACGAGAAGGATAGCAATCGTGAATCTAGATTGGGATCATATAAAATCGGCCGATTTACTAGCTCTTTTCTCTAGTTTCGTACCCAAGGGTGGACGTATCGAGCGAGTTTCTATCTACCCGAGTGAGTTTGGCAAGGAGCGAATGCGACGGGAAGAACTAGAAGGACCTCCTAGGGAGATTTTCAAAAAGACTTCAGAATCCGAGAACGAAGAATCCGAGCCAGATTCTGAGGAATCTGAGGAAGGTGACGAGGATGAGGAAGATGACGAGAAGATCAAAGACGAAATTCTTCAAGAAGGAGACGACAAAGATTTTGACAGCGATGCGCTTCGGGCTTATCAACTGGACCGGCTACGCTACTATTATGCCGTTATGGTATGCTCCGACACCGCGACGGCAGAGAAAATCTATGAGGCAACAGATGGCACGGAATACCTGTCGTCTTCGAATTTTATGGACCTGCGGTTTATACCCGATGATGTCACGTTCGATGATGAACCGAGGGATGAGTGCGATTCTATATCGCCTGATTACAAACCAACCGAGTTCACAACCGATGCTTTACAGCATTCTAAAGTTAAACTCACCTGGGACATGAACCCCGAGGAAACGACCAGGAGGGAGAATATTAAGCGAGCATTCAGCGGTAGCCGCGCAGATATCCAAGAAAATGATCTACGCGCTTACCTCGCAAGCGATAATAGCGATGATGAGGATGATGAGAGTGAGGAAGAGGATGCTCAAGCCGAAGTAGCTGATGATCAACCAAAATTGACAAAGAAGGAGTTGAAGGCGAGAAAACTTCGTGAAGCTCTTGGGTTGAGTACCGAACCATTATCGCGACCTTCCAAGTCTGGACCAGTTGGGGATATGCAAGTCACGTTCACTCCCGCGCTGATGGACGATGGCAAAAAGAAGAAAGAGCCAGAAGCCGAAGAAACTACGATTGAAAAGTACATGCGTAAAGAGCGGGAAAGGAAGGCTCGGAAGAAGGAGAAGGTTCTGGCGAAGCGTGATGAAGCTTCTGGTCAAAAGGACGATGATGAAACTGAGCAACCCCAAGAGGATCTTGGTTTCGATGACCCCTTCTTTACAACTGAGGAACCTGTTAAGAAGTCGAGGCATACCGAAAAGAAGGAAGAGCGCCGCAAGAGACGAGAAGCAAAAGAAGCCGAAGCAGCTGAGAATGCCGCACAGAAGGCCCAACTGGAGCGACTTATGGCTGAAGATTCCAAGGATGCTGTTGACCATCTCGACCATTTCAATATGAATGAGATTGCTCGCGCGGAAAAGCTGAAATCCAAGAAGCACAAGAAGAAGAAGGGAGTGGAAGACCACGGTGGTCTCCAAGAAGGGTTCGAGATGGATGTTAAGGACGACCGATTTAAGGCAGTGTTTGAAAGCCATGAATTCGCTATCGATCCTTCGAACCCGCGATACAAGGCTACGCCAGGAATGAAGCAGCTTCTCGAGGAGAGACGGAAAAAGCGGAAGACAGACCCGGATACGGTTGATGCGCCGCAGGGGCAAAACAGCAAATCTAAGAAGCAAAAGATATAATTGAGGCTAGCTAATAGAGCATTGTTACTAATACGAATATTCGTGTGCGAACCATCGCTATGATCGTGCGGCCATCCCAGTGAGATTCCAGTGAGAAAACCATTGAACTTTCGATCTACTTCCTACGTTACTATGCTGTAGTGACTCTACTTAAAAACAAGTCGCATGTACTTGGTTTACATATCACCTTGTTATGGATATACTGGTTTGACTTCCTGCGGCATAACTTAGCCCAACGACGGCTCGTATCTAATCCTCAACTCTCCTACGGGTACCTAACATAGAGGTAGGTACTTATGGAGCAAGTCATAGGTACCCCGGTATTCAAGCAGTCATCTTCGTCGAATGCTTTGAGATTCCCCAATAGAGTTCAACGCTACCTACGACAGCGAAAACCCTCCAGCCAGCCCGTCGTCTTAGAGCAAAGGCCCTTATAAGTCAAAGCAGCAAAGGAGGTAATTACGAGAAGAACAAAAGCCGAGTTGGTACGGCCTAGCGAGATATTCCTAAAACCTTCTCCCTACTACTAGCGCATCATCCTTAACATATCATTATCAAATATCGCTAGGCTCGGGGGTTCGATTCCCTGGATGGCCAATTCACTATGTTTTTTTCTCTCTTTATCACATCTGCCCTGGGCATCGGCTAAGCTTATGTCACCGATATAATATTACAGCAACCAAAAAAATACTTTTTTTTAGGTTAAGTACCAGGTACCTAGGCATCTTGCGTTCCTCGGAAATCCCGCTTCGAAAGACCTGTGGGCTGACAGGATGGCTGACAGGATGTAAGCCTGCACAGAACTTCCGTGTAGATTATGCGCATAATTTTCATTCCGTGACGGAACACAGTAGGGACACAGTAACGCAGTTTGTGTTCCACCAGAATCAGCCGCTTCCCACCTTGTTTACACCATAGATATTATGGAGGGGTTTCATGCCAAAGAGAGCATTCGAAGAAAAGGGATACAGAATGAAAAAGAAAAGGAAAAAAAAAAACGTACAACACCGGGGATTTGCTGGTCGTCACCGACCCAACTACTGATCCGGCGGTATCTGGTTTATCGAAGGGGAGAGCGGACGGGATCCCGAGTTCTCCAGATCCTATGGTCGTACGTGATAATTTTGTCCGTTTTGTAAGTTTATAAACTTTTCTACTGTGGTTGTGCGATGCCCTTTTTCTTAGTGGGGATTTGTTGTGGCATTCATATTTGCGCACACGCGTGAGACAATGCATCAACTGCATCCGACCAATGGATTTTATTATCGCGGCTTCCGATGAGGGGCTTTCATGGTACTTGAGATGTTCCGCAGTCGAGCTTTTATTCCTAACGGTGGGATGGTGTAGGTAAGTAGAGCAGAGCCTCATTTGGATGGCGCCTTTATATGGGCTGGGGGCATTGCGATGGGAAGGCAGATTTCGGGGGCGAAACATTACCAAACATCTAAACGCTTCGCCTCTTCAGATCGCCTACAAATCATCCTAGTTATAAGCAAATCATGGACGTGAAAGACACCGTATCGACGTACCGACTCCGACCGGAGGACCTTGGCGCTTATCTCAAGATATTGTTCCGTAAAGACATCCCAGTCCATGTAAGATGTTACTTGTACCTACATGTGAGAAACTGCCTATAACGGAGAGATGTACCTAGGTCTCGGTTGAAGGCGAATCAGTTTACTGGTTTAAAGTGCCGCGGCCACTCAGCCCAGTACGTTAATAAATCATGATACCCGGCGTCAGCTGCTTTTGATAAGTTACTGACGAAGGTGCGTAGGCAGAAAAAGAACATATATACGCCCACGTTCGTTACGCGAAGGATGACGATAACATTTGGTAATTGACCGCCTCGTCTGCGAGCGACAGAGGGAGATTGCTGGATTGGATCCTGAGTTAAGAACTTAGCTATCTTCTTATGTAGCAGCGAAGAAATGCATGAAAAAGAAAAATCGCCTCGTAGATCTAGATGAATGTGGATGAATTATACAATTGCGTATTTCGTAACATATCAACCTTAGCTGAGATATTGTGTCTATGATTCGAAGTCCATCTGTATTCAATTCGTTCTTCCGTGAGCAGAGAAGCCCTCTTGATCCTACCACGCAAGTGGGTGACAAAATAATTGGCAGACTATGTGCCTCCTTCACATATACGTATCTGCATTTTATTTCGTCACCCACGTTGCCACATTTGAGTGGTACGGTGAGGTCTCCAATCCGGCACTCCGCATATAATATCCTCCCCATCCAGACCTCTACCCATCTTCTAACCCAGGACAAAGCTTCTCCCAAACATTAAAACCACAGTGTGTCTTCTATAAACAAAATCTTCAGTTAGTTATGGCAGAGGAGCACGCAACTAATGATCAGGTAAAGTTCGAGGAATCTAAGAACAGAGCCTCGGAGTATCCTACCAATCTTGTCCGGACAGAAGCGTATCGCCACACGCTCGAGTCTTACCGCAGAAAGCTCAACGCTGGAGGGTTATTTCATCCTGATTATCGCGGATTAGGTTTCATTGAGCTATATGAAGGCGACAATGGTATGTCATCGCTTACATTGAAGATAGGTACATTTGAACATACCAGGTAGAATACTAACCAAAGGAGAAGCATTTCGCAAATCAAATCCTCTCAATACGGTCGACCAACTTGGTAGACAGATCGACGAAGAAGATGTCGCACCCTTTTGGCGAATGATGTAAGAAGTCTCGAAGTAAAAGTTGGTGCTTGAAGCTGATATACAGATAGATTTCTCCGGTCCAAATCGAATCGAGAAGCTTTAGGATGCAGCAAGGATCAGCTCACGCTTTTACTCACATATCATCAAGTAATGCCTTCTTTTTTGGACTTCGTATTAACTTTCTGTACTCGCGAACGCCCCGTAACACATGCGATATTCAGACATGAAGATTACCTTGAAGAGAACAGTAAAATGTTTTTAGTACCACCACTTAAACGGTCCGGTGTACAGATTCAACATGCTTTCAACATCCTATCCGTGGAGCGAGCGGACGAGAGGATGGAAAAGAATCAATGGCCGTTACGCCAAGTTGCGGCCTACTACTCTTTTGATGTTATTAATGGCCGGAGTCTATGGATTGTTATCAAGGGGAATCCACTCATAGCGAGACGCATTGTGTCCGCAATGGAACACCAAAGACGCCTAAGGGCTACAGCTATTACTGACGCCGAGACGTCGTTTATCGCTGCTCTTGAGGTTCATATGATCATGATTGATTGGTGTTCTGAAAATTGGGCAGAGTATATCGAATATGTCGAAGAACTAGTCAACATCATTTCCATCGGAGGAAAGACAACGCCAGTTGATGAAGTAACTGCGGCAACAGAGATCGAGACGGCGCATTCACCAAGAGCCACCAATACCTTTGGTTTGCAAAGCCAATCGGCCAGTATATTCAGCAGTCCTCGGCGATGGAAAATTCGGGAATCTTCATCCAATTTGTTCAAGACCATCCGGCGGGTTTCTGGACTTGAAAGCAGGACACCCCCTAATGACGAGGAAAATACAGAGGTAGAAAAGGGGGTCGAAGACGCGGCGGAATTACAGGACGAACGCGATAAACTTTCCGATCTCGAGAAGGAATTCTCTTTCCGGAAATATCAGAGCATGAGCCAATTATCCGTAGAGCTGGAGAGAGCATTGGTGGTCATCGAGCAGAATAAAGGGGTACTCGAAGCCATTGAGGAGCATTACCACTCTATCGTCAAGTCATATGGGTTCACGACTTACATGAAGAAAGGCCTTTGCGATGACGATCTAGCCGCTTTCTTCACTAAGATACGAAGTACCAAGAGAGAGCTGGAGACGCACCATCGTCGCTTACAGACAGTATCTCAGGCGCTGGACAATGACAAGGCGATGGTACGTTAAATACGCATCCCCCCCCCAAAGAAAAACAGCGTTCCCAGGTAAAAAGGGTAAGGCTAACGTAAAGCAAGTTCTCGACGCTCTTGCAATATAAGAGCGAGAAGGTATCAGAGTACTTCGCCAGCAGCGCAAAAGTATCATCGGATCGAATGGAAGACATCGCAGTGCGGACGGAGCAGGAGACGCTGTCGATGCACGTGATCACGATATTTACGCTGATATTCCTGCCGGGGACCTTCATAGCTGTACGGGCCTGGATCCCACGGTTTGACCAACGTTTTCTGACCTTCAGACAGACCCTCTTTAGCAGCGGCGTGTTCCGCTGGGACGACGACGGGTCTCTGGGATCGGACTGGGTTATCCGGCAGAACGCCCTGAAGCTCTTCTTCTCGGTGTGCGTCCCCATGATGGTCGTCATTCTCGTCTCGTGGTCGGTGCTGTTTATTTATATGAGGCGGAAGAGGCAGCAGGGAAAGCGAAAGGCGTTGCTACCTTTAGCGGAAGAACCAGCTACGAATAATTAGAAAAGGGGTCCACAGAGCAAGTTTCGTACTAAGTACTGGTTAAATGATAATATTTATTATTATTCTTTTGGAAAGAAGAGCGGGATTTGGTGTTAAAGATGTATAATTGTACATACCTACCTAAGGTACCTACCTACTGTTCATTATAAGCCGTTCCTTTAATGTAGCATCCCATAGCGTACCTTGCATAATGTATACTAATATACCTATAATGCGACTATTGGAAAAAGGAAAGACTGCTAGAATGCAGGCTTAACGGGATACCAAGAGAGCTATTTAATATCCTTCTCACTAGTAAGCTTCGGCGGCTTCAACAATGGGTATGAACAATAGCTCTTAAATAGGGGTTATTAGTATTCCGTACCATACCTATCATTAGGTTTACTTATAATGAAGCCACTTACTTGGTATTTCTACTATATGGTTAACTTATATGCTAGCTAGGTACCTAAGGTAGAACTATATGCTATTTATTCCTGTCTACCTCCTATGTTGATTAAGAACTTGAATCATCTTATACAGTGAGAAACTTGTTGGGGTCCGCTTTCGAATCGCGACATGGCCCCCAAACGAAGTATTATCTGATTCTCTATGCGGGGTTATTTTTTTAATTCTTTTTTTCAGTTTCAGCTTACTTTTCACGTTACGTCGCAGGTAGTTCGCGACCCTGCTGACAATTAGGAAAACATAGCCCCGATAGGCGACGGGCTAGTTCATGTTAAGGTCAATGCCTACCTTTAGTAAATGGATGATCCCTGAGCTAGGCTCTCCGAGAAGTTGGATACCTAATAAGTTACGGTATGGCCGGCTGCCTCGCTGTGTGCCTTTTGCCACTCTCTTTGTCGGCTTATGTCGGTGACGCTCCGGTGATAATAGTTATTACATTTCATACTCCCACAAGAATTCGTTTCCGTCTTCTATTCTTATAAATTTCTTAGGCCTCTACGAGTAACCAGTTTACTTTTCTTTCTATAACCTCTATCGAAATCTCTATGTGGTAAATATACTTACCTAACCTACCTGGCCTATCACATCAGAAGACCGATAGGTTTCCACTTCGATACTCCAAAGACCGCCACAACATTGTTACCTCTTACGGCAACCAGCTTATTTCCATGGCACGAAGAAAGAAAGGCCGCGACGCCCGAAGGAACTTAACAAGAGGTGTTACAACCACTAATCCTAACCAAGACCCAAGGCCATTTACCGACTTCTCTAGATACATAGATAAGAAGCAAAAGCGCTTTATTGGATTGGACGCCTCGGACAATGATACTAGCTTCATCCCCTTCTACGTTCTACGTGACTACTGGACTAAAAATCGAATAAGCTCGGTCCTAAAGGCTTCCAGTGGCACACGACTTACTCCTAATATCGACAACATACATAACCATTATATCCGTATTTTCTCGATCCTTGTGTACTGCAGCGCCGTGGACTGCATAGAGGATTTCACTAGATATGACCTGAACGATGCCAAGTTACCACTGAAACAACATCCAGCGGAATGGTCGCAGAGCCCCATTCATAAAAGCTTATTTGACCTGGTCTTCAAACACCAATGGATCTTCTTCCCACTCATTTTCAACGACGATCATCTAGATGATCATTGCCTTGACGATAACGTCGTGCTCCCCATCGAGAAGTTGACACAGATCTCCCAAGGAGATGCAGCGATCGTTCAGATGATAAAAATTGACGACTCGTGCAATTCTCTCACTCCAAAGGTAAGGTACCTATCAATAACCGCTCCCAAACTTTGACAGACTTTCCATAACTTACAATTCATTCTGTTTTAAACTGGTCAGAACCTGCGCGGTCGACCGGACCAAGACATATTCGTACTGAAGACGTATCATAGTCCTAAGTTCGAGAGGCTTTATGTCAATGAAATCAAGGCTTTGCGGTTGCTTAAAAGCTCGCCCTCCCCGAATATTGTTACTTATTATGGCTCCTTTCAGCAAAACGGCACATACAATATCATACTCGAGCATGCCGATAAAGGAGACCTAGCCGATCTATTCAAGGAACGGCGTCGCCCAGAAGGTGCCGACATTGAACAATTCTGGAAAAGCCTAGTGCCACAGTGTCTGGATGGCCTGGGCCGCATCCATCACTTGATGATGAATGTTGACGAAGACGACGTTAATGGGTATAATCCCCTTTTGCTGTACTCTATGCTGGATGATAATTGACGCGACTTCTCTAGGATCCACGAAGACATCAAACCTGCAAATATCCTCCTTTTCAAGGGTCGCTCAGGTTCGCGCTATGACTTCGTCCCCAAAATCGCAGACTTTGGGCTATTCACTCATGTCAGAAAGTCGAAGGCGAATAGTAGCGAAGCCATGGGTCTAGACAATCTTGGGAACCAGCTATACAGTATGTCTTGACTACACTGCATCCCCCCACTATGTGCTAATCAGGAGTAGGTTCGCCGGAATGTAGTCATACGTCCTCTTACCGGGAGAATGCTCCAAATATGATCAGCACCAAAGCCGATATTTTCTCATTTGGAGCTGTTTTGAGCGACGCCTGTGCATGGGTAAAGGGGGGACCGGATGAGAAAGCTAGATACTACGAACAGCGGAGACAGTACCACCAAAGCATTAAGGCATTCCGCGGAAGCGATTATGAAGGCTGTTTTCACGATGGCGTAGACCGCTTGCCCGTCGTCGACCAGATGCATAATAGCATTCGGGACCATTGCCGATCCGTCGGGGATAGTATAACTCCCCGTGTTATCGACATGATTGAGCAGCATATGTTGCTACCAAATGCCAACAGCCGCTACAACGCTAAGCAACTGAGACACAAGTTCAATGAGATTTTCGACATCCCAGTCGATGGAAACCAGCGTCCACCGATCGATACACTAGCTTCAGACTTGGCTCCGAACGGGCACGAACGAGGCCTTTGTCTCACCGCTCTAGGTGAGAATATCGACAGATTAGAAGCAATCTCTCATCTTAGCGCTAGAAAGCCGCGAGATTCTATAGACTTGGAGATCCAAGAGCTCGTCGATGACCTGTCGTTTAACGTATCCGATCGGCATCATATTTTCTTCTTCGACGACTCCACGACGATGGAGAGGTATGCGCAGTCTGTAGAGAAAACGTCTCTCGCACTTATCCAGTTGGCTAGGCTGTTGGAAGGAAACAACGTAGAGCTTTCCTTCGCTTCCAACCCGAAGCGCCTCCATCGCAGGCATCGGATGAAAAAACTAGCCGAGATAGTGGCACATCACGGCTACCGCCGCGAACCAGGGCTAATGGAGCTCGGTTTTGGACGCCTCGTTGACGATGTGATCATCCCCCACCTGCCTATTAGAAAATTCGGCCTAAATATCAACCCTCGAGCGAGAAAACCAACGAGCATATACGTCTTTACAGATGGCGACTGGGGCAACGAACGGGAGGTTGCCTACCGCATCGAACGGCCGATTCAGCGGCTGAATAAGCTACTGCAGAATCGGAAGTTGGATAAGAATCACATCTCGTTCCATTTCGTGCGGCTTGGTGACAGCGAGAACGGGAGAGAATACCTCGATTACCTAGACAGTTTCGGCAGAGACGATAATTGGTAAGTTACACCGCTGAAGACATGCTCTACCTCCTAATCCAGATGGGCCTGAACGATAATACGAGCTCTAATTGACGGAATGTTATATAGGGATAATGTCGATGTCAAGAACGTGCTCAGTCCTGTCAAAGATATTGTCATTGGCCCGCTCGTCCAATGAGAAGTCCAGCAGAACCCGAGATAAAAAAGGGGGGAGTGGGTACACGGCATAACACCACCGGTTACGACGTCGACATCGCATAATCGAGCGTCCTGTCAAATACGTCTGGCCTTCATATAATTGGCGGTTTATAATTACCTGCATATGTTAGAGAAGACCCTTAAATTACTTGCTTCCTTTCCAATCAACTCAACGGATGCTAACCGCTGAGTTGGGGCTGTATGAATACTGGTGTAAAGACTAATAATAATAATGGGATACTGTACTATATCTATATGAATACCCTATAGCCGATGTTTTCATATCCATAATATATTATTATCAAAACCCGGAAGACTTTATGCGGAGAGTGAAGATGTTGAAAATAAAAGGGGCAACTCACAGAAAGCAGTACAGTGCACGGGGCCTAAAAATCCATGTAGGTAACAGTAACTATGTCAGACAAGATGCCATATGACCAACACAAAACTCATACTGCAACAAGAACTAGTAGATAATCTATATTAAACATGGAGCTTACCACGAATCCCAAAGCTTCTCCAGGTCCACCGCGTAATCTTGTCTTACATAGCTGCACGGTAAGTTCGCATCCAATTTACTGTAGATAGAAGATGTTGAATATATCTGCAAGGATGTTCTGCCGAGTAAACTCCAAAAAATCAGTCAGTGATCGACGACGAAGCGGTCCCCGGCAGGCCGACCTCGCAAAAGAGCGCGGCGTTCATTTCCCCGCACAGCAGGGCGCGAAAACAAAGCCAGAGCCGTTACTTGTCTACCTACCTACCTATCCTCCTATAAGCTGCTTGCTTGTCTACCGTTCTTCAAAGCTAGGTGCGATCAGCAATCATCTCCAACGAACAGGATCTCTCCTAGAGCTGGTAGTAAAGTGCCTACCTAGTAGGAGTAACATCAACCTACCTAGCTTTAAAGCTGAGATCCCCCCCTTCCCCGGGTTCTGATACCCAATTGGACATCGCAATCGAAAGCCGAAAACGAATAAAAGGAGCCCAAGACTTATTATAACTACGAGAAAACGGACAATGCCTTCGAATCACCGGGCGCAGGATTCGTCTTCGCATGCGTTTCCTACCAGGCAGCTCACAATCCTCGGTGCGTAACCTGGCTGACAAGTCAACTCTTGAATTTTTTTTAAATTTCTTTTTCAATTCTTTTCATTTTCTTTTTTTTCATATCGTCTATCGTTGGTCGTTTACTTTGCTCCTGAAACAGTTGAAGAAAGACACATGAAAAAAAAATAAAAAATAAAAAATAAAAAATAAAAAAATAAAGAATGAAATGAAATACCAAGTTTCAAGCCCCAAGTTCTAACCCTGTAACCGCAGCGATATGCCGCTTCTCGGAGCCGATCGCCTTCAACTCGATCCTGGCATACACGTACGTGATGGTGCAGGACCTGCACGGGGGCGACGGGACGGACGCGTCCTTCTACGCGGGGCTGCTGGTGTCGGCGTACGCCGTGGCCGAGGCCCTGACGGCGCTCGGCTGGGGCGCGCTGTCGGACCGCTACGGCCGCAAGCCCGTCGTGCTGTGCGGGCTCGGCGGCGTCGCCGTCTCCAGCCTCATCTTCGGGTTGGCCAAGCGGTACTGGGTCGCCCTGCTGGCTAGGTTCATCGGCGGCGCGCTAAATGGGAACGTTGCTGTGAGTGAGACTAGCGGTCTTGTTTCTTTGGTCTACTCTTCCTTTTCTCCCTCTTCCCGCCCCCTTCTTTTTTTTTTTTTAAAAAAAAAAAAGAAAAATCCAATCTTAGAACATTCGCTTTCTATGAGATTAGTTAGATTGAACAATTGGATGGATGGACTTTTTCCTACTTTTTTACTCAAACCATCATCCCATACCCCCTCCCCCTTAACGAATCAAACCCACCCATCCACCCGCTCGCTCACAACCAACGCCCCCCACCCCGCAGGTAATGCAGACTATGGTCGCGGAGATGGTCAAGCACCCCGAGCACGAGCCCCGGGCGTACGCGACGCAGCCCTTCGTCTGGACGCTCGGCGGCATCCTCGGGTCCGCCATGGGCGGCTTCCTCGCCCAGCCCGCCACCTTCTACCCGGCCCTGTTCCCCGCCGACGGCCTCTTCGCCCGCTACCCCTACCTCCTGCCCAACCTCGTGTCCGTCGTCGTCATCGTCTTGGCCATCATCCAGGGCGTCCTGTTCCTCGAGGAGACGAACCCGCGCATGGTGAACGCGGGCGCCGCCGCCGCCGCCGGGAAGACCGCTTATCAGGAGTCTGTCTTTGAGGAGAGTGTTGTTGATGAGAATGGTAATGGTTATGGTAATGATAATGGTGGTGCTGTTGTTGTTGTTGCGGACGAGCGTACTCCGCTATACCACCGCCCCAAGGACAGCAGATCGTCTATCCGGAGCCCCTCGTGCGCCGCGAGCGACCGCCCGGTGTTCGTCGAGGAGAGCCTCCCGGTGGCAGTCGAGCAGACCACCTTCGACCTCCGGCGCTCGTCGTTCGGGACCGTGCGGTCGATCAAGGTCCTCCCGAGCGCCCCGAAGCAGAAAGAGGGGTACAGCGGCCGAGCGTTCAACTTCACCATCGTCATGGTGTCCGTCGCCCTCGTCCTGATCTCGTACCACCAGATGGCGTTCAACACCCTCCTGCCCACGCACCTCCTCGACAAGCCGGCGGCGCCAGCAGCCCCCGGCCGGCTCGACCTGGTCGGCGGGCTGGGGTACACCGTGCACGACGTGGGGATATACCTGTCCGTGAACGGGATCCTGGGGCTGTTCATCCAGGGGTTCATATTCCCGATCTTCGTGGACAAGGTGGGGGTGTGGAAGTCGTTCGTGGTCAGCATCGTCTTGTACCCGTCGGCGTACGTAGTCATGCCTTTCCTGTCCGCCTTCCCGGCGCCTCTGGTCTCCCCGGGGATCTACCTGTCGATGGTGCTGCAGAGCTTCTTCGGCATCATCGTGATCCCCTGCGCGCTCATCCTGCTCAAGGACGCCACGCCGTCCCCGCTCGTCCTCGGCAAGGTCAACGGCCTCGCCATGTCCGCCTGCTGCCTGGCCCGGACCGTCGCCCCGCCCCTCGTCGGCATCATCTACAGCGCCGGCGGGTCCGCGGCCGCCTGGTTCAGCTGCTCCGGCGTCGCGGTCGTCGGGATCGTGCAGCTCCTCTGGGTGCCGAGGAAACACGTCCCTAATATCGTGCTTGAGGACAGCACGATGGTAAGTAAAAACCGGCCGGACGTGCGACACGAGGAACACGGGATGTGCCCTCCCATGTCGGAGTAAGGCATGTTGTTTGAGGAACGGTATATTTAGGTACGAACGAGTTGAACGCGCTTACAATTTTTCAATTTTAATTGCATGGAGTCTTGGTCATTCGGGTTATTAGATTAGGAGGTATGTACATAGATTGGCATATTTTCTTGGGCTATGAATAATGGTTAAGGACAAGTGTGGGATAGAAAGGGAGAAAAGGGGGGGTTAGGACTATAATGAGCGGACTATTTAGGTATGATATTACGAACTCATGCATCGATAGATTGGATAATTCACGAGAGCATCTCATTGAATTTCGAGCAATAGTGTATACGATATAAAATCAACTTTATGGATGAGGTACTTGTTTAACATCTGATACCAATCGGTAAGAGTTTACGGTTGTGAGTTGATGATGGTCTCGCAGGAATAATTAATATACTCGTCAAAGAGGGGCGGGGAGGGGGGCGGGGGCAACAACACAAAAAAGAAAATAATTTTATTTAAAAAAAAAGATGGTACAAGAGGAATTTAACCTCTAACGTTGGACTCGCGGGGAATCGAACCCCGGACCACTCCCATGCTAAGGGAGTATTATACCACTAAACCACAAGCCCGTGTATTGGAACCAGTGTGTGAGAGAAATGAATCTCAGATGTTGGTTGGTTGGTTGAAATTTCCGTGTCGTTGTATTGAACTATAACCCTCAAATAATTTTCAAGATGGGGCGACGATGGGGCTACGAATGGTGGCAGCCCTAATCAAACGCGATTGCAAACAGAACCCACTCGCACGCTGGTCTCTCACATCCTAGGCCTCTTAGTGCTAATAACAGGTAGGTACCTCCTAAGGTCATATATATTATGCGATTTACAAGCAGATGTACAATACGATGGTATTAAAATGTACATTTGCGAATTTGAATTTCTTTAGCATATTATACATACCAATGGAACATCAAGGATCTGTATGTCTCGTATAAATATAATATATGTATGATCTTAGAAAAAGCCGTGCTTTCTCATCCGCATCAAGCCTTGAAGTTCTCCTTCAACATGGCACAACCCGTACTGTATATAGTATATATACGTGACAGACAGGCAGAACCTAGCGTCCGCTCCGAATCCCGCCCATCAGCAGCGCATCGACCTTGGATCCCTTCTTCAACGGCTCCTCGCCGCTCGGCACGCACAGCAAGCAATTGGCGCCCCTGAGGCTGCCGACCCTGGAGCTCCGCTGGCCGCCCGTGCTCGCGGCCAGCAGCTCCCCGTCGCCGCCGGCCGACACGATCGCGCGGTGGTACTCGGGCCGCGTCCTGTCCGGCGCGAAGTCGTGCGTGAGCGTGACGGGGACCCGGGTCAGGCCGGCTGGCGAGACGCCCGATAGCTGGTGCAGAGAAGGCAGGACGAAGAGGTGGAAGGTGACGATCGCGGACGCCGGGTTGCCGGGTAGAGAGAACATCACCTTCGTGACTCGCCGGCCGCCGTTGTCCTTTACGGGAACAGTAGCAAATGTCGTCGGCTTGCCTGGTTTCATCGCGACCCGGCCGAAATGGATTGTACCGCCCAGCGACCTTTCGATCGTTGGCTTCAGCAGGTCTAGCTCGCCCATTGAAACACCTCCTGTAGTGATGATAAAATCGACACGCCGTAATGCGTCTCTCAGCGTTTCTTCCAAGGTACCGGGTTTATCTGCTGCGATCCCTAGATCGACGACTTCGTACCCGCACTCCTTTGCAGCTGTCATCAAAGTGATCCGGTTGGTATCGCGCACTTCTCCTAGTCGTAAATCGCCAGGCCGGTCGTGCTGGACAATTTCATCTCCAGTAGATAATACCCCTATGACTGGCTTACGGTAAGCCTTGACCTCAGCAACGCCAACGGCGGCGAGTAGACCTATTTCGCCACCGACCGCTGATATTTGTTCGCCCTTGTTGAGGATAACCGTTCCTGTCTTGATATCGCTGCCAACTTCTCGAATGTTCTCTCCTTCCTTTACGTTATCAGCAAGGATCTCCACCTCCTTCTCTTCTTTGCCATCGTCAGTCATGGTTTTTAGAATTGTGTCCTCCACCATAATAACGGACGTGGCGCCTGGAGGGAGCGGTGCGCCAGTAGTGATCCTAGCAATTTCGCCTTCCTTTAAGGGTTTGACTTCTCCTGGAGAGGCATGTGATACTGAGACGACAGGGAAGACCCCCTTTAAATTTCCGTCGCTAGGCACAACAACTGCATAGCCGTCGACAATGCTCGCTCTGAAAGCAGGCACGTTTTCCCTCGCTCGTACATCCTCGGCCAGTACGTGACCAGGCAGTGAGGTATCGACCTTTAACGTGACAACTTCCGGCTGTGGCGTGTGTTCTTTGATCTTACCCAGGGCGTCGTCGACTGAAAGCATCGGGTACGGAGATTCTCTGTTCCTTCGGCTAGGACCTAAGCTTGGGTCATTGGACATTGGGTTTGAATTGGGTGCCGTATGTCGAACCAGATGACCATGGCCGTGGCTATGTCCGTGTCCATGACTATGGGTATGGCCAGGCGGATGACTACTTCCGTGATCATGGTGATGATGATCATGGGAGTGTGAATGGCCACCACTAGACTTTATGCCGGCCTCCGCCTCAAGCTTCTTTATACCACCTGCGTGTAACGACCTGGAATCCATACCAGCAGCCTGGAGGCACGCGTGCGGTAGTGTCTTTAGAACTGCCTGTAAGTTTTCTCGAGCTCCTTTTGGGGATCCCGGAAGAGTTATGATGATTGATTTGTTCCTAATACCTGCAACCGGACGAGACATCATAGCAACTTCTCAGTGTGTCAGCAAATACTTATGCCATAATAATCTGGGGTCTGCATACTCACAAGGAGTGACGTTTAGAGAAGCCGCCAACATGCCATGGACAAGACCAGGCGCGGGTTTAACAATCAAAGCCGAAACAGCCTAAGTTGGATCAGCGTTAAAGAATTGCAATTTCCTATCGTATTGTACGATGGGGTATTATACGATGGGGATTGGATCACATACCTCTGGCGTATTATCTGCCACGGCAAAACCGGTACCCCCAGTGGTAAGTACGAGGTTAATATAATCTGATTCGGCATCCGTCCATAACTTAAGTTGTTGTTGAATCTGAGTAACAACGTCGGGAACAATTTTAGTATCGACAAGTTCCCATCTCCCATCTCCTTCTTCTTCAAGTACACTACTTAGAGCCGCTTCAGAAGCATCAGTTGAAGGATCCTTAGCTGCTGTTGTCGAGACAATGAGTAATGCAACCTTTAGTCTAGCATTAGCCATGATTGCCGTGGGTCGAACCCTCGATCGAGAGGTTCGATTAGTATATAAGTTTAACTCGAATTAGAGGTGATATTTAATTTTGTTTTAATATACGTTTAATTGAGTCAACTTGGGCGAGTACCTAATTCATGGTGCAAGCGGATCTTGAACTCGTATAGTACTTATATATAAGAGAACCTTAAGGGAAAGTATTATTAGTATAATGCGGATGCGGGGCTAGAATATGCCAGCTTTCCTCTTATAACTTTAGAACATTAGATAGAAGTAAAACTTGGGAATCTCTTGAAAGTTTATCTGGCAAAAGGCGCTACTAGTTATATCCAATTTGTATAAATAAATTGTACTTGAAATATTCATCATATATATTAGTATAACTTCCATATAGCGATATATAAAGGTATTGATTCAGAAATTATGTCATAGCCTTTGGTATACTGTAATGCCCGTTGCACTGTGTTGTATCATCTATCACGCGGTACCTAACCTAATGTACCTGGGCAATCCCCTATCCCCCGATAAGATAAAGCTTCTTCCCCAATAGCGGGAAATTTTACCTATCCTTCCTCTAAATAATCTTCAACCAATCTTTTCCACCTACGCGGCTGTCACGTGTTAGAGCCGCATCGCATCCCATCTACTGCACATGTGCTTATTTATAACCACCTCGAACAACTTCGAAAGTCTTAAAAAGCAGATAATTTCTTAACAGACGATGGTCCGAATCAAGGAGCGTTACCTCCTAGTGAAGATTCTCTACCCGACCGAGCTCGGCGGCAGCCTGTCTGATCTTCCCGATGTCGTAGTCATCAACCAACCTACGACCGACCAGCTCAACCCCGCGAGTCTCCTTAGAGCCATACGCGCAGAGGTTGCAAATTTTTTTGGGGACTACGGCTCGGGACTTATCGAAGGTGGAAACTTAGGAGGTGAGTTAGCAGCGTGAACTCGTCGCCGCTTATACACAGCTCACGTTGGCGTTACTAGTTAAATACTTCTCCCCCGCCACCTCTACCTTCATTTTGCGTATCTCGCGGTCATCTTATCGCCTAGTATGGGCCGCTCTCACCTTCATGAATAGCGTTCCCGTCAAAAATGGGAAACCATGCGTCTTCCGCGTTGTCCACGTAAGCGGTACTATGCGTAAGGCAGAAGAGGAAGCTATTCGCCGCGCTCGAAATCTCATTTTCGCAGCGGAAAACGATCAAAAAGAAAAGACTAGAGACACCTTCAGCAATATGTTCGGCGAGTTCGAACTACCACAACGTGAAGACTTACGAGACGCTGAAGACGATGTCGACGTAGAAATGGGGGAAATAAGCGACGGTTGAGAAGGTATCACTGCTTTTTGCGAACCACCTTAATTCCGCTATCACCTGTTGGGGGCGGCATCCCGTCGAATTCATCATCGTCATCGTCTGGGATCAGGTCTGGTGTGGTAGTTCCCGTATTGCCCTCCATTCCTCTACGCTGCTCCTCCCACTCCTTTTCCTCTGCCGCGTCATATGCATCTTTCGCGTCAACCCATCTTTCTTGGATGTCTTGGACCTCCATCATCGAACTTTCATTGCGCATCGCAACCTGCCAGATGGAGTCATTTGCGCCCTCCGCGCCGCCGAAAACATAACCGCTTGCTCTATCGATAACCCGCAGAAGATGTGTCATACTCTTCTTATTCTCAACGGCAAGGACTTCAAAGCGAACCAGGGCAAAACTCTCCACCAAGTTGGCGATGGCTTCGTTCAGTCTACGGAACTTGTCACTACGCATTGCGGGTGATTCTTCTTCGAGGGCTGTCATAAGGTACGAGAGGTCTTGTACTTCGGTATAGTAATCGAGATTGAAGGGTAAGGGGTCATAGGAAGCGATTTTATCGATCTTGGTGAGAACGTTAATATGAGGGAGATCCATCTGAAGCATGGCGCGAAGGGTCAATAGTAAGTTGGAGATGTATAGAGAAGGCTGGGTAAGGCAGAAGCTGTCGGAAAGGTGAACGGCGACAAGCTACAGTCTTGTTAGTTGTTAGGCTCAGAAAAACACGGTTACTACAAGCGCGTACTCGGTAGCCAAGCTTTTGGAGCTTGAAGAAGACGTTCCGGAGCGAGTTGTGATGCGTATATAGCTCAACTTGACCAGGACAGTCGAATAGAATATACGATTCTCCCAACTCCTTCAGTCCATTCTCAAGCCATTCCATATTATTCTCAAGCTCTTCAAACGCGTATAATATACCGCCATTTGGGCCAAGCTGATCGTCGCTCATAATCTCTTCAAGGGTAATTAAATCGCGAATGTCTAAGGCACAGGGATAACTCGTGTGGTCGTTCGCAGGGTCTAGGTTTACAACGGAGCATTCACGCCCTATCGCGCTCATGAACTGATGCACTATAAAACGGGAGCTATTAGAAAATCCGGATACTTTATTTAAGAAGATCACTGAAGAGCTAATTGGGGGAGGGAGGGTTAGCTTACTGCCATCGCAATATGTGCTTTTTCCCGAGCCTGGACTTCCCAAGACAAGTTGCGCAAAGGGCATTTTGTGATTTTGTATTGTACGATGGCCTAGGATAAATAGAGCTGAGGGTGGAGATACGGGAATGGGAACGAGAATGAGAGCACAGGATACCTAAAGATGATGAAAAAGGGAAAAAAGCTACTTGTACCTCCCAGTGTCGCACAATGCCGCGTTTAACATTAACTGGAATTGCCCCTCCATCCCACCTTCGATGAGCTTCGGGGAAAATTAAAGTGGGCATGGAACGGTAAGTGTGTAGTTGTGGAGCTAAGCTTGTCTTATCACTGGGGTAATTCTCAACCCCCCTGTAACATCCTACAAGAGCAGAAGAGGTACAATTGTATTGATATTTACTTTGCCGATTCATCAGAAGCTAGAGAGAGCTTTCAGCCTTTTCCATATTTTAATAGAGTACCTGGTATAATAAAGCATCATGGCACCACCAGGTAAATATCAATTCCCTCCCCTAATTTTCAAAATTACTTTCCTATCCGTTGCTTCGATCATATGATGGGAAACTTCCGCTAACAAACGCGACCCTTTAAAAAAAAACAGCAACGCAGTTCGAGCTCGCGCAACCTCCCAACGACGCCATCTCGGCGCTCGCATTCTCGCCCGACTCGCCGTCGCGCCTGCTAGCCTCGTCCTGGGACAAGAACGTCTATCTGTACGACACGCTACGGAACAGCGAGGAAGGGGCCCACGGGACCTTGTTGCGAACATTCGAGCACCGCGCGCCGGTGCTAGACGTGTGCTTCGGGCGCGATGGCAACGAGGCCTTCAGCGCCGGCATGGACTGGCAGGTCCGGCGCATCGACCTCGAAAGCGGCGAGCAGACCACCCTGAGCAAGCACGCCGCTCCCGTGCGGAGGGTCGTGTATAGCAAAGAACACTGTGAGACTCCCTCCTCCCATTCTGCGAAAAGAAGAAAATCTCTTTCTCTCTCTCTCTCTCTCTTTCTCTCTCTATATATATAAATGCTAACCCCCGATCGCAAAGCTCTCCTCATATCCGCCTCCTGGGACAGCACGCTGCACGTGCACGACCCAACGAACCCGTCCCTCGGCCCCCTCGCCATCCCCCTCCCCGGCAAGCCGCACGCCATAGCCGCCAGCCCGTCCAAGCTCGTCGTGGCCATGACCTCGCGCCTCGTGCACATCTACGACCTGTCCGCGCTCTCCGCCTCCCTATCCTCCCACCCAGACCAGCAGCAGCAGCAGCCTCCTCAACCCTGGCAGCAGCGCGAGTCCTCCCTCAAGTTCCTCACCCGCGCCGTCGCCGCCATGCCCTCCGACGCCGGCTACGCCACCTCCTCCATCGAGGGCCGCGTCGCCGTCGAGTGGTTCGACGCGAGCGCCGAGTCGCAGGCGCGCAAGTACGCATTCAAATGCCACCGGACGGCCCAACCACAAACCGACGGCGGCGGTAGCACCGCCACCACGGACGTCGTATACCCCGTCAACGCCCTAGCCTTCCACCCCGTCCACGGCAGCACCTTCGCCAGCGGCGGCGGCGACGCCACCGTCGCCCTCTGGGACGCCGAGGCCAAGCGCCGCATGAAGGTGTACCAGAAGTTCGCCGACAGCGTCGCCGCCCTGGCCTTCAGCCCCGACGGCCGCTACCTCGCCGTCGGCGTGTGCCCCGGCTTCGAGACCGGCATGGAGGACTACAGCGGCGAGGGCCGCACCAAGATCTTCGTCCGCGAGCTCGGCGAGAACGAGGCCTTGCCCAAGGGCAAAGGGAAGTAGAAGATAATAAGTAATTGTTAGACCAAGCTAGTAAAGAAAGAAGAAGGAAGAAGAAAGAAGAAAAGGGGAAAAAGCCGAAACTAAAGGGTTGAAACGAACGTGTAAAGCTGTATCATCTAGTTATTCACCAAGAACTTTCCAGGGACCCGGAGCTGGCTGGCGTTAAGAGCGGAAGGGAACTTCAAGTTTTATAATATACAATTTTCGATTTTGTTAAACTTGTATATATTGCTAAGTGATCACCCTTATCTTGCGGAGTGAATTGGCATTGACTTTAATACAGCATTGCTAAAGCTACCTCCTAGACCTATATAGTGCTTGATCACGCCCTTGCGTTCAATGGTTTTAAGAACATGCTTTAATGTAACAAGAAATCCCTCCATTTGATAACAGTGACTTACGTGTCGGGTATATATGAATATAAGAGCAAAAATGCACAATCCACCTATTACCATTCCCATAGACCTGAGCGGTTGTTTCGATGTTTTTGTTAAGTCGAATCGAGCGAAATTAAAAAGCTTATAGAGTAAGTGTCCGTGCATTGACCCGGTCTACTGTCTCAAGTCACACGGATACCAGTCAAGTTTCCGACAGCTCGTTTTCGGTGTCCTCGGTTACAAAAATGGCGGAATCTCTAGCACTGGACTCTCGACTGCGAGCGGCACCTAATGTATCTTCGTAGCTAGTTCCAAGCGCTTCATGATCCTCGTCGATCTCGTTCTCGAAACACGTTGAAGGTGCAATCACATCGTCTAGATCTCCTTCACATTCTTCTTCCTGTTCACATCCACCGTCCGCCGGCTTTGGTTGGTTGGTATATTGCATCTTCGAGCCCTGATGTCCTATGCTATCAGAAAATTGTAAGTTGCTACTCTCCTTCAAGTGTCGTCCGAAATTCTCGAAATCCGAATTCTTTCTTTTTCGTACGGGGAGGGACTTATGCGAAGACATATCTTTGTATGGATGCTTTGGGGCAGATGGCTCCAATATGGTAGACGGAATAATAACCTCTTGACCTTCGGAAGTGATGGATCTCTGATGTCGTGGTCCCAATTTCTCTGCGAAGTTTTCTTTGGTAGGCCAAACGTCTTTTGATGTACCACTTAGGATTCGTGTTCCACTCTGAGCCAGCATTAAATTCCGAGCATTCGTGCAGCCAATTTTCGATTCACCCCCGTTGTCTCTACTTGCAGTCTCAGTCTCTAATTGTAGTTTTCCCAAACCTGGACCTGCTTCAATTCTTTTCTGCTTGGAAATGCCGGTCATGAATAATAAGAAGCTTGGCTTAGCTTCATCTTCTGAGAACCCGTCGCCTGCTCGCCAGACTGGTTCTGGCTGACTGAGAGGCTTGGGGAAGCGGAACGCATTTCTCTCTTTGTCCTTCTTAAGCCGAAATATGCCTTTTCGCTCGTATGCCACTTCCCCGCCGCTTTCAATACATTCATCTTGTTCTAATAGCGGTAGCTCAGGTAGAGTAACTCCTTGTGATTTCTGAGCACTTCGATCCCTCTTGACTCTTGTATTGGCGGGTACCGTATCCCCGCCGTCTACCCTTTGCCTCTTCCGTGAACCAGTATCTTGAGGATGAGAAGCAGCCCGTTTTTTGCAACGAGGATTCGTATTGCTTGCCTGTCTGTGGATTTGAACTCTCTCATGAGCCGCACCTGATGCTTTTTCGCTGCTAAGACGGTATGGATCATCTTCATTACTTAGTACGGTTTCTCTGTCCCTCCTATCTCAGTATATATTAGCCTAACTCGGAAGACGCTGATTTCAACGTTGAAATTTAAAGAAATAGGCTCCAGTAATGGATACTAGGACTTAGTACTATACCTCGATGACTGGCGAGCCAAGATATCTCCAGGAGCAGATACCACGGATCGTCTCCGCTTCACATTCGCGCGGACAGGAGAGGTTGACATAGCCCCAATCGTGTTAATATCTAAACCTGGAATCTCGTCTGGTTCGGAAGGGGGATTTTCGTCAGTACTCGGAGATCGAGTATGTTCTCTGAGCTCTGTGGCCTCAGTAGTACTATTCGGGGGCTGGTAACCCGTGGAACTAGATAGTATAGGGTCCATAGACGACGGGATCGTGGGCCATTCGTCCATCTGTAGTGTTCCTGGCTCGTAAGGTCCTGGCTCGTAAATTCCAGGGTCATATTCCATGATGATAATAATAGACTTAACTGAAATGTAAAAGCAGTACAGGGCCTTATATAGGAAAATATAGCCGTGAAGACTTTGTGCATGCGGTTTCTTAATTATCCACTAAAGTAGAAGTGAGATGGTTAATGTCTAACGTGTACGCTTAGTTTAAAATGGATGGGTTTAAGGGTGGATTGAAAAGTTTCTACGTGTTTTGGGATATTACTAGGTACGGTGTAGGAAAGAGAAATAGAGAAGGCGTGATGACCTGAGCACCTCCTATATAGACTTTAACTTATAGAAGTAGGGACCGTATAGATGCTACTTCCACGTGAGATCCTAGACTAGATCTAGGTACTTACATAGGTCTTATGAGATTAGGTAATTTCCAATCAGGAAAGTCCAAGTTGGTTCGAAGAAATGAAATCAAACTCTCATCTCTTATTTTTATTCACGATTAAATTAGTCTCGTTGGTATTATCGACGGCATGTTAGAACTGCACATTGTGATGTAATGCAGTTCTAAAATACTTGAAGTAATAACTCGTTATCCTATATCACGCACGATTACTTTCGTCAAAACGGTTGCAAGACCCCAGGCTTGGGGAGTTTCTAGCTCAGGGGTGCTGGGTGCTGTTTGTGTGTATAAGCGTAGTATAATGCTTGGAATATATATCGTAAATGCCCCCTTTTAATGATATCACTTAAAATTCCCCCTCGCTCTACATAAAAAGCTCATTTAAGGTACGCGCTTCCTTGCATTCAACATATAGGTAAGGTAGTTAAAATTCCAAACTATCTCCCTAAAATGTTGACTGAAATGTACTCCTTCTCCCAGAAGAGAGTAAAATCATACTATCCACATCTTGACCTTCACGATAACCCATCGTGGAGCATCTTCCCACCAGACCATCAATCCGGCTTAGCAATTAGCATTCTTGACAGGCTCCTGGCAGGTGGCCATGTTTCAATAATACCGATATGTGAGCCATCTCCAAACATCCGAGAATGCACGAGTGCTCTATTCTCCTGTCTTCTTCGGAGCGATCGGTTTCGGCTCGCTGATGTAGTCGGTTACACCTCCCATATTAAGTACCCAGACCTTGCCCGGATGGTCGGGCATCTGAGGACCATACAAGAACGAACCGGGGAAACCGAGCTCGAAGGGAACAGCGCTTTCGATTTCCTTAATGTCATCTTCGTCAAGGTTCAACGTGAGAGCTTCGATGTTGGCCTTCAAGTGCTCTTTGGTCCTCGTGCCGATGATCGGGAAGACGTACGGGGCTTTATGCATGACGTACGCTTGAGCCACACTCGTAATGATGGTGTTTTTGCGCATAGCTACCGACTCGAGGGCCCGGCTAACGTTAATTTCCGCCTCAGTAGCTTCGCCAGCGCGTCCGACAGTCTTCCTCAGGCGTTGTTCTTCTGTCTTGAATTTGCCTCCGCCAAGTGCACCCCACGGAGCAAGGCTCATCCCCTCGGCCTTGGTCATGGCGATGATTTCTCGCTCGAAGTCGCGCGAGGCGGCGGACCACCGACCCTGGTAAACGCTGAACTGGCGTAACCCGTGGTTGCGAGCATACTCATTGGCCTTGCTCACAACCCAGGCTGGCGTGTCGCTGATTCCAAGGTAAAGAACCTTCCCTGCTAGTACAAGATGGTTGAGTGATTGCATAAGCTCGGGGATCGATGTGCTACCGTCCCACCAATGCACATAGAGCTACATCCCAATGTTAGCAGTCCCATGCGACGTTGTTGCTAAGTAGTTGAAGATATAATACCAGGTCAATATAGTCCGTCTGTAGCTTTCTCAAACTTTCGTTGACAGATACATGTAAACTCTTGGTGCCATTGCCCTGGTTATTAATAATAATTTCTTCGTAGTTGGGTCTATAGCTGGTGCTGTATTTAGTGGCGATTACTACAGCCGATATCTCTCTTAGCAGAGTAAATTTCGTCATACGTGTTTCTACAATCAATCTAGAGGAAACACTAGAATAAGGGAGGTAGCATACCCATTTGGTCACGAACACCTCGCTTCTTCATCCACTCTCCGATCCACTTCTCAGACTGCTCGGCCTGGTAATTGTTGGCCGTGTCAATGAAATTGCCGCCCTGCCCGTAGAAGAAGTCGAGGATCTCTTCGGTAGTCTTCTGGTCGCAAGCGCCCATGTGGTCGGCCCAAGCTACGCCGAAATTCATAGCCCCCAGACACAGGGGGCTGACACGGACGTTGGCCGTGGGGGATAGAATGCGGTAACGAGCCAGAGGGCTCTTTGGTGGCGGCGCCATCAGCATTGCCGACATATTGATATAGGTGGAAGGGTTATAAAAAAAATGACACATCTAAGCTTATATTATTAGGGAATTAGACAGAAAAGACGACGGTGACGATTTCCCGTCAACGGACTTGACTATCCCTGATAGATGAACTTTAAAGATCGTAGACCTAACAGCCTGGACTTAGAATCGAAGCAATTACGATATACGTGAGTCGCAGCTCCTCAATATCTAATTATATAATGTCTTCTGCGTAAATTGAAGAGACCAGCTGCTCTTTTTATATAAGCACAAAGGAATCGACGAGGTACCTCCAAAGTATACACAATTTACTATAGAGCCTTGCCAGTTTTGCATGTATTACATGTATTATTATAGGACTTACATAATTTGATCCAATTGTTCAACATTGCATACCTAAACGAATGAATGCACTTTCCAGTTTGTGGCTGTCATTACCTCCTCCGGTATCTGCGCTTTCCAATTGTCACTTTCAAGTTGATTTACCCTTCATGCTTAAGTACCTTAGGTTAGGTAATCTTTAATGTCCACGGCAATACCTATGAAGGAAAGATTAGGTACCTCCTAGGTAAGTACCTATACGCGCCATTTGCCATTGCCCATTGCCTACCTCATGTAAAGCACCTACATAATCATAACCATTATCTCAAAGCAGCCGGATTTCCAGGTCCGGCGGGCAGCGTACATTATCATTGGTCGATTTGCAACTCCCGTTCTAGCGCGCCTAGACTTGCAATGCCGTACCCATTTGGGACAATAGTGAATCTTTCAAGGTACGATACAGATGCACTACTCTTAGTGGAGTCTTATTGCTCCGGCGAAGGGTCCAACGGGCTTCTGGCGGACACCGAAGGATAAAAAGCATGTTTGGCAACATTATAGAAATATACCATACCGGCGGAACTTACCTAGGTAAGTACCTGAACTTGTTCGGAATATTGTATTATAGGAAGCTTATCGGTGCGCAACACTTGATACATTTTTATGGTGGATTGTTTAGTATTGTGGGTTCAGGAGATCTTCCCCATTTCTACAGTTTTTTAGAAAATACGTGTTGCGTATGTCGGTTCTAAGGCTATTTCTACGCACTATAGTAATTACGAAAAGCTATAATCCATGACAGTTTGGTATTATGGATAATGGATATAAGAGGTATAAGCTGATATCAAAGTAAGAGACACGGTCTAGAAAGCGGGCCGAGACTGGATAACAGTTTCCAGATCTTCAACAGGTACGCTAATATACTATTAAAAAAAAGCGGGTGAGACAATTCAAGCACAAACATATTTCACCTAATCCACTCTAAAAGTTATTGCTTGGCATAGCGACATTGGCTTAGGTATTCCCATTGCAAAATTTTGACATATGTACATATACGTAAGGCACGCACTTATTAGTGCAAGTCTCGAGGAGCTTAACACGCCCAAGCGCCTACATGTCCGTCGCGGCGTCCCTCGACCAGGTAGCCATCCTTGATGCGAACGCGCTCCACAATAGCCGGTGCCGGTCCGCTATCCGCTTCGGTTATACCCGCGCCGCAGTCCCACTGCCGCGACTCCATCTTGTCGTAAATCTTAACCACGTCCTCACCCGCCGCACTTACGATGCGCCGGTTGTCGAACATCATGCTCGTGACTGGGTTGTCGTACGCGTAAGCATCAAATATGGAACCCGTACGCAGGTCCCAAATCTGCAAAACGGTTATGTTAGTATACAATCTTGTCAATAGAAGATATGAAAATAAATGACTTACTCTTATGCTTCGGTCCAGACTACCCGTCACAAGATGTACGTCGTCGAATTGCAAGCATGTCACCGGTCCAGTGTGTCCAACGAGGCTGCGGTGAACTTGTCCGCTTCTCAAATCCCATAGTCTAACCATGCCATCGGCGGTACCACAGGCTAGAGCGGACTCGAAGACTTGCAGCGCACCCACGAAATCAGCTGACGCTGTGGGTGGTCGGCCGGTTTGTCTCCAAGTGCCTTCGCCTGTACCGATAGAAACGGAAGCCTGAGCTGCTGCCCACATGACATCGAGTGTTTGTACGCATCGCCCTTTAACCAGATCCCATTGACGGAGTGTCTTATCCGCTGATCCAGAGACGAGGGTATTGCCCCGGAAGTGCAGAGTAGTAATCTCATCCATATGGGCTTCCAGAGTAAAAAGGGGACAATCCGCCATGCTGCCCTCGGGGGGGTCTACTGGTTGATCATCGGGATTCTCAAAAGCCATACCGTCGTCCTCTTCGTCGTCTTTGCCAAATTGGCTACCTTGCGGGTCATAATGCGCCTTGCTCAAGTCCCATAATCGGATAGTAGCATCCATAGAACCTGTAGCAAGAATGTTGTCTTCTACTTGCAGTGCCCGCACCGAGGCGGTATGGCCTTCAAGCAATCCAATACAACGTCCAGCATTTAGATCCCACACTTTAACCAAGTCATCCATAGAAGCAGTAACCAGAGTGCCGAAAGGAACATCAAAGTCTAACGTCGTGATATTATCAGCGTGGGCCTTGATTTCCCGTATCATAAAACCTGGTTCGAAGTGTTCGTGCAATATAGGCATTGATTTTCGTTTCGTCGTCTTGTGCTTCTTCTTGGAGGGAGTATTCGAAGGAAGCTTTTCGTATATAGATTTTGACATAAATTCATCTGCATCTTGATCCGTTACTAAGTCGTCATCGTCTGATTTGTTTGGTGTGTCAACAGCAGCAGCTATCGACTCCGCTTCGTCAAAAAGGATTTGAGCGTCTTCTATCCGACTCTCCATATCCACAACTAAGATGCACGTCAGCAAGGGCTTCAAGGCACGTCAGCGGGGCCACCTACTATCATGTTCCAAAAGCGCTTCTTCCTGTTCTAGACCTGCTAGCCTCTCGAGGATGATGCGCCTCATGCCAGCTAGATTGGCTATCTTATTATCAATCTCGCGGATCTCGCAGCTTGCCATGTTCTTTCGAATGCTAAGCATCTCAAGCTCATGCATAAGCGAAGACCTTTCTTTCTTAAGCTTGTTAAGGTGGTTGGGGTTATCTGGGGTTGTTGGGCTGTCTTCTAGCATTTTTCGCCCTCTCGAGACTTTTCTCCTGTGCTTTTTGCCCTCTTGTGATAACTCGGGAAAAGTCGCTTGAAAGCCTTGAAATAATGAATAGGAGTTTTCATTTTCAGGTATGTTTTTGAGCATGTCGTCAGGCAGGTATGCTAAAGCGCGGGATTGGATTTCGGTAGTAGAGAACTTGGAGCGAACCAAGTCGGTCGGCGTTGTTCGAGCCATGGTGAACATGCCTCTTTGGATGCCGGGCTTCCTCAGCTGCTTATGGACTTGAGCCATAGCGTTGTGGTAGTGATTCCCAGCCTGATCAGACCCGGGCCCTACCAAATGGCTCGCGGTTGTCGTCACCTTTCTTGTGAAGGCCTCGAGTCCTCGAGACTGTGTGCGAGGTTAGTTTTCACGTGCGCATGACAAGGAATAAGCGGTCAGTAGTGTACCGAGAGAATCGAATCTTCACCCGGCGGGGCGTCATCACGAATGGCATTGTTCAGATCTGAATCGGCCATGCGCGGTGTCTATGGAATTTGTACTGAAGCCGGAGAGGTCGTGTGCGGTCGCACGGTGCAAATGCCACACATTTAAGGTAGCATACAGGAAGGGAATGTTCCCGACGAAGTACTACTAAATGGATCTTTCACAAAGCTTAGGTACTTATTAGTATGTAGTAGGGTAGACGGACCATGAGGAGTAGTTGTTAGGTTGTTAGAAAGGTACGGAAAATATTCGATGGCCCGGAATAAAAAAAAAAAAGTAAGGCATTTACAAGGCTAACGAAGACGGACGAAGGTACCTTTTCCCGCAGTGGATGTTCTAAAATTTTTAGTCTGAGCCCTCGGCTTAAGCTGTGGTTCAGTGGTTGCGCTAGGTTGCGTGACCCACATTCCCGGATAAGACTTGTTGCAAACGCCGCATCTACGGATACCTTGGTATCTACAGATTCATCTGCAAATGGACTTGATTTCTTACGTACATATCTCTGGCATTCCTTCCTTATGTTGTGTTATCAAAGCCCCGCACCGTACCGGGCTAAACCATATAAGGCGTATGAGGGGTTACACTAAGAGGGGAAATAAGGTTTGCGCATCGCAACCCATCCCTCTTTCTCAGCTCTTAATACCCAGTACTACATACCCTATATAACCTGTATACCCTGTAAATTATATAGCCGTACCTACCTCATAGGTAAGCTGACTTGCATCTTGAAGCTCCTGAAAAGGGCAGCTACAAGTTTGATGTTGGCCGACTATTGGCTATAGTTCCTTACCTAGCCCAGGTCAAGTAGTATGCGGATACGTACCTTAGTTTTTAAAAAGAGACCTTTCAAAAAAAGAAACCGCAGTCTTGTAAATTTCTATCAATGATTTCTCTCATATCTGAACTTGGCAGCGAAAGTTGTGAAACGTTGCCCACCATTTGCGCTTCACCCCGCTTGGAAGGGAGGAAGACCTTTGTGCTCCCAATACAAAAACCAAAAACGGGCCTCGAGTCAGTCTTCTTTCTCCCTAGCTACAACATATAGGTATATATATCGTCTTCTATCCTCGTTTGACTCCAGTGCCTTAAAATTAACTTGAAATCAACACGGCCGTCGAATTGGAATAGGCAGTAGCTATGGATACCATCATCGACATCAAGGATGCCTCTAAGGCGCTGGACTTGTCTAACATTCGCTTTCAGCTGATGTATGTGCAACGCAACCCCTCTTCACCCTTCTCTCTCGAGCAGGTTGGGCATGTTGCTAACGAGATATCGTACGGATTAGCCGACTAGAGGATACGATCACCTTCCACCTGATCGAGCGAGTTCAGTTCCCGCTCAACAAGAACATCTACATCCCCGGCGCCATCGAGATCGGCGAGGACAACAAGCTCAGCTTCATGGATTGGTATCTGAGGGAGCAGGAGAAGCTGCAGTCCCTGATTCGGCGCTACGAGGCCCCCGACGAGTATCCGTTCTTCCCCGACGCGCTGCAGAAACCCATACTCAAGCCCCTCAACTACCCCAAGATCCTGCATCCGAGCACCGTCAACGTCAACGAGAAGATCAAGAAGTTCTACGTCGAGGACTTCCTGCCGGCCGTGTGCCCGAACTTCGGCCGCCCGGACAGCGGCGAGAGGGAGGAAAACTACGGCTCCTCTGCCACGTGCGACATCGCCTGCCTCCAGGCCCTGTCGCGCAGGATACACTTTGGCATGTTCGTGGCCGAGTCCAAATTCCAGTCCGACCCCGAGCTGTACACCCGGTTGATCAAAGCGGGCGACCGCGACGGCATCGGCGAGTCTATTACGAACGCGGCGGTTGAGAAGCAGGTTCTGGCGCGACTAGGATTGAAGGCGCGCACCTACGGCACGGATCCATCTACAAACGACTCCGAGGATAACCGCAAGATTAATGTCGACGCAGTGGTCTCCATGTACAGGGACTTTGTCATCCCGTTGACGAAAGAGGTGGAGGTGGAATATCTGATGCAACGGCTAGACTAGACAAATCACGGAATATAGATACGGAAAGCTAGATAAAAAGGTCGTGTGTGTGTTATGTCATTATTGCTGGTTTTTCTTTTTTTTCTTTTTTCTTTTTTTCAAGATGGCGGACTTAGATACTCGCTTATAGCTTTCGCGGCACCTGCGAATTTACTAGCCTCGATTAATATCATGAAACCACGCGGCATGATACCCATCTCTTGAAACGCCCGCTTGCTATCTGCGATGGCCTCGTCCATCTTGGTGTAGTCGTAGCTGCCGCTGGCCACGGCGTGTTTTTGCAACACCTCGTCCTCCGGGTGGAAGTAGAACATGGTCGCGTCTTGCTTTCCCTTCTTGCGCTTCCTCTCCTCGACGTCGAGCGTCGACTCGACCTCGTGGTACGTCTTGGAGACGATGAGGTAGTGCGAGAACTCGTAGGGCTCCTTGTCCTCCACCGCGGCCTCGATCTCATCGACGAGCATGCTGTACATCGGCGGCGCGATCTCGGAGGGCATGTTGATCAGGCGCTCCGAGAGCACGAGCCCGACGTGTTTCCCCGAGGCTAGCAGGTCCGGGATCGCGGCGAGGGCCTCGTTCGTCTGGGCCTTTTCGCTGAGGTACCGCGTGAGGTCGGCGACGGGCTTCTTCTCGCGGTGCTCGTGCAGGTTGAGCGCGGTGAGGAAGGCGTAGGCGTCCGTCTCCTTGCCGTCGACCTTGACCGTCGACCCGATCGTCGGCTGCGACAGGACCAGGTCGGCGAGCCCCGAGATGTCGAACAGGGCCGCGTCCACGTCGAAGAGCTGGCGCAGCAGGGATTTCGTGCCGTGGAAGTCGATCTCCGGGTCGAAGTTGAACCATTCGAAGTCGACGTTAACCATATCGAAATCCTAATAAAGGGGGGAAGTAAGTAAGTAAACTAACTACCTAACCGCACATAGCTGGCCGTAGCTTAGGGAGGTACTTGATAATAAAAAAGTACCCGGGGGATATGTTAGGATAGGATGTATGTATTCTCTCTACTCACGTCGTCATCGGAGCTATCGCCGTCTTCGACCATCTTATCGGGCGCCTCGGCAGCGCCGTCGGCTTCTCTCGCTCGCTTCTTTGCCATTTCTTCTTCTGCCGCGAAATTGCGGCAATGTCTACGATAGGTATCAGATACGCCTCAAGTTTTGTACATGGACCTCGATAGCGATTACCTAGCGACCTGTCGCAGCTTTATTAGGCGGTGTATAAAATTATTCTGCCATCCGGGCTGCCCCTCGCTAGCCTTATTTTGGTATGATTGATACGGCCGGAACGGTTGATAAGGCCTTTTATCTTATCTTAAAGTAAGGATCCCTGCTCCCTGCTCCCATAGTATGCCCCGCCTGCCGTCCGTAGTAACGAAGCACCGGGGCCTATTCCACCCTCCTTTGACGCTGTACGGTCTGGACGATATAATATATACCTTCATTTAGAACAAGCATAAGCATGCGTTTCCGCTCACGTCGTCCGATGCTTGTTGAAACACAAAATTTATTGTGGAAGGCTATTATCTGCTTGGCCATGTTAGACAGTTGTTTAGTTCATATTTGTTTTGCAACGCTACCGTTAGTATGGCACTTTAAAGATTCACTATTGCTGGTCTAGTTTCAGGTGGCTTTTACGGCAAGTAGCTAAACCATAACAAGCTGCAGGTGTTCCATTAGGTACCTGTTATATTCATTGGCATTTTCTAGAATCTTGGCTTAGGTGTTAGTCGTCACCAGGTACCGACCTGATACTATGAGAAAAGATAAAATTGAAGTATTAGGTAGTTGCACTTGAATAAGAAGTGAGCAGGTCAAGGCAAAAATAAAATAAGAGAATATAGAATACGTAGGAGAAAGCTTGTCCTTGATTCAATATTTCAACTGCCGCCTTAGCGTGAAGGATCAGATTTTAAACATCTACATCCACCCTCCAAGAGAGATAGATATATTTTATATATAACGCATTTTATTGTCGACGACGCAAACCGTTTTTCTTCTTCATCCCCGCTCTAGATCCGTCCAAAACTTTCTTGATCCAGCCAATTCTATTAGTAAAGTCATACTTTAGGTAGGTATACATCCTTTCCCTTCGCTCCACCTCGAGCCTCGAAGGGTCGATTAGCTTCGATCGAAATGCACGCATGGCGTACTCGATCTCGCAGTTTTACGTGATCACCACCACCTTGGAAACAAAAACTGGCATACATATAAACTACTGCAGGGAACCGGCCAACCAGATCTGGCCCTTCTTTTTTTTTTTTTAATCGTCCAGTTGCCCCTCCATTGGGTTGGGTAAAGATCGATATATCCAACGGAGCTATTCCCCTACATACCAGCATGCAACCCATCTCTTCCACCTCTCTCTCCTGCCTATTGTAGACTCCTCATGGTCGTTCCATTGGCCAGAAAATTTCCCGAACCATAGTCATCTATGTGGTATGCATGTTTATATAGAAACCCGGGGTAAAGAAGAGCGTGGTAGATGGAAGATTTCATTCCCAGCTCTGACGATGAACATCGGTCCGTCCAGCCAGGCAACCTAGCTAGATATAAATAAAGCCTATTACGAAAATTGTGTAGTACATGAGCAATTACCTACATGTAGGTAAGTTAGGTACCTAGCTTTCCTCCTATTGCACAATTACAATCAGGCCAAACGTTAAAGAATCATCAACATGGAGGTAGTGAACGGGTGAAAGACTAATAATATATTACTAGTGGGTATAATTTCTGTAGGACGCGTGTCCCCCAATATGTTGACCTTTTTTCAAGCCAATGCAAGACCTTGTACTCCGACCCAGAACCCGGGCCCCCCCCTAAAACTCCGTTACGCACGCAACTCCCTTGGCCCGGATGGGTCGACCCGATCGATAGATGTGGGAAAATAAATATATGTATACCAAGTAGGTATATATATATAAAGCAAACCAATATTATCGAGAAGCGCAATTTGGTAAGGCGAATGAAGCCCAGACGCAACCAACATGCTATGCAGATTAACGAAGAGAGTATATTTTCGAGCATGCAACATGCAAAATAAAATCGCAATCGCGCCGTAACATCCGATTTTCATTGAATTCATGTCGTGGAAGGTAGATGTAAATAATCTCGCGATGAAGCCGTAGGGTTACTAAAAGCTTCCCGAGTTTCTAACCCGAGATCGTGGTCGTGGTCGTGGGTGTGGGTGTGGTCGAATGGTGTGGCCAATTCAGACTTGGGTGTCCCGGCAGGGGTCGGTTGTATACCCAAACCAAATACAGCATGTCCCGAGCTCATCGACTTGCCATGCTTAGCCAATTTGCTTTCCTCTCCCGCGCAAATATCCTCGTCAATTAACTCTCGCCGGGCCATTTCGATATCGTGCCTGGCTTGCTTGATAGACTTCGGTTCCCACAGCGGCAGGATGCGGTAGCCCAAGTTCTCCATGATACATCTCTCCGTGAAATTGATCTGCTCACATGTCCAGATATCTTCGCCCCAGGTAGAAGAATAGTATTGTGTAGATTCCAATAAATCTTCGACGAACTTATCGGCAATTATCAATGCGGCCAGAATAATAATCTCTGGAGAGACGCTATCGATGTGGACAGCCTGAACGGCACCGGACGGTAAGGTATGGCGTTTGGGGACGGGCTCGCTTGGTTTGTTTAGGGGGAAGGATATCCGCCAGCTTCGAGAGAATCGAGAATTTAACGAATCCAAAATGCAGACCGCCAATGCGATTATATCCATCGGTAAATTAGCACGAGTCAGTATTCCTTGTACTATTGAGATAGACGGCGTCATAAAAGAAGCTCCGGGCGGTAGCATTCTTGCTAGATGGGCTGCGGGGCCTACCAGTAGAAGTTAGCTGAATTATACTTTTTTTTTTCCTCATCTTTTCAGGAGGTGGTACTAACCTAAGAATTCTGGACTGACGCTCTCGACATCCTCCGAGCTAATGCGAGGACTCTGCGCAGCAGATGAATTTCTGGAAGAAGGGGGTGGCGTAGGGAGATTCGACAAAGGTTTGTAGAACTTTCTGAAATACGCATCGTCGAATTCGAAGTCGTCATCGTAGGTAGAAAAGCACCTGGAGTGGCCCATCTCGGATATAATTTTTTAAGGTGAAGATAAGTTAAGGTCTTAGAAAACTAATAATATAAGGTGCCAAGGAATAAAGGTTGCTCATATTCGAACGAAACCTTGAAACCATAAAAAGTATCTACTCCCTAGTACTAGAAGAAATCACGCGCTCAAGCTATTTAGATGACGTGCTAAGTTCTAATATCGTCAGACCGCGAGATCAAGTCAGATAGGCTCGGGGCAGCTGAATGAAGGTGTCTTATATACGCAAGCAACACCGCTAACGAGTACAAGCACCTCGGACGATCGGCCGGAATTTGGAGAGAGGGATTAGCAAACTCAATTCCCGGATACGCAGATAGATATAACGACTTATATAGAATAAATAAACGTTCGAAGAAACAGGCGGATGAGGCGAGGGGATGGAGCTTATTATTATGCAAAGGCCGCACGGGTCAGGATGGTAGCCGAGCACTTGCAGGTATGGAACCCGGTGCCTGTCCATCCATGTTCAGTAGGTATGGTTAGTACGATTAGTACGAGGCTAAGTACTCTACCCTAATGCATGCATAGCCATTATTGGTATTGGATCTATGAGGGAGGTAGAGCCCGGTATGGGTACCTTTGACACCCGTTCGTATGAGGGCTGTCCGGTACCCGAACTTAAAGAGAAGACCCCGAAGTCAGGGTTTAAAAGCTGGGGGGTAAATAATAATAACATGAAGCTGGATCGCAAATGCGGTAACTAAAGCAAGCCGGATCTTCCATCTCAGCGGAAAGTTAATGACACAAAGTGCATAGTTACAACATCATATGATACTATAGTCTAGTTTGTACCTAGACAGGTCTAATAGTTTGCCAGGCAGCCAGGTAGCTTGTACGATATAGATTGACCAGTCAGCCAGTTTGCCAAAGAAATACTAACCTTGTGTGCGCGGATTCAATACTTACACGTACCAGGTAAGTAAAAGTACGAGGTTCGACAAAGTTGACTGGAACAATACGGAGGGAGAGATCACGCAAGCGTCCTTGCAAAGTTGAAGATCTCCAATGTCGCTTTCCACATTTGCAAGGGGGGTATTGGGGGTTTGAATATCGAAATAGCTCTTCTACCAGGGAGATCGCTGTTGGGTGAATGGTGTGTACTGTACGTTCCATGTTTTAAAGCCTAGCCCCGGATTAATGAAGGATCAAACTGGTCTTCTATCTCCTTATAGTAGCAGGAGTAATTACTGAATTACCATATTGAAATAGTAGTAGAATTTGCGTACCGAGGGCAGATTGAGTTAACCAACCTGACCAACACAGTAAAAAGTCACGTAACAGTTCGTCTCTCTCATACGTCGTCACCAAGCTTCGTCCTGCTTCGGATCAGGCCACCCAAGCTCCCTACTGGCGGGTCTTGCTTGACCCTTGGGTCAGTCAATTGAACGGTGCAATTGGTGGTGTATTTGTCCGTCGAATGTGCTAGGCAAATACAATACGATTGAATACGACTAGGAGATAAACAGCTCTCCACAGCCGGTATTAGCACCTGTATAAACACCACAGCGAACGGAACAATGCTCCAGAACTGTCGAAAGTCGAGAACGGGGTGAGCAAGGATCAAGACAATGACGGCGGCAGAGTAGTATTGGCCAACAATGATGGGGGGACATTCTTGGAGGGTTTGTTGGCGCATTACGACCGAACTACCAGCGGTGAGACTTGTGCTGACATTGAGAATGTTTGTAAATTTGTAACATATCGAGTTCACAATGTATTACATAGTACCTATTCTGGCTGTTTGGCTGTTTGGGTATAAGTTGAGCGGGGGATTTTGGGGGTGGTTCAGCCCCATAATAGTTAGGTATTTTATGTATTACATACAGGTCCCGATACACTAACATAAGGAAGTACCCGTGAACGTACATACATGTAATACCTATAATGCAGTAACAGGTAATGCAATACCTACCACTTTATGTAGGTAGCATACTTACACTACACCGGCAGCTCCTACTCGTCCTGAATATCTTTGATTGCCCGGATTGTTTGAATCCTACCCATTTCATATAAACTTCAGCTTCCCCATACGTGAGCCAAGTTTCTGTGGCGCAGGAATTAAGAATCCTTTACTGCTGAACATTGTACTTTTGTATTGTACACGTCAAATTTGGCTGCAATCTTTGTTAGGCCCCTCCGCCTCGAAAACTTGCAAGATCTCTGGCACAGGTTATTCGGTAAGCCCCTGCCTATCAAAACTTCAAAAACTAGGATTTGAACTTTACGGCACGGTAATAACCTGGAGTTATTCTATTAATACTACACCCGAATAGCCTATAAAATATTTTTGCTTCAACTAGATACTATATTAACTCGTTTTATTTTTTTATTTTTTTTGTTTGAATAGTTGGCTACTAACGCCAACGCCAACGCTAATATCAACGCAACAACATCAAAAAAGGCCTCCTTGAAAATGCATAAGCATGCTCACTAAGTGCCCCTACACCGCCTTCCACAATATATACCTAGGTGTAGTGACGTGTAGGTCAAGTACCTAAGTACAGACCACACAAATCATATGAGTGCACTACTTATTAAGCAGGTTAGGTATCTCTTTAGGACCCAAACATGGGTCCAGGACTAGTATGCAGTAGCGTATTGCTAGGTAGCTAGCCCTGACGTATCAAAATTCAACGTTTAGACACATCTCCACTAAATCAATATGAGGCCTTGTCTGGTCAATGTATTGAATTACATGCTTGTAAACAATTAAACAAATACGCTGTTGAGGCTATTTTATACTGACTTTTCAATGAGTATGATTCGAATACTGGTGTTTTCATTAAAGCTAGCCACTGTATTAAATATCGTAAGGCTAGTACATCATTTAATTGTTTATCTTATGCCACGCGTTCTATTATTCCCTAGTATTACAAAGCATTACATTACTTATATTGTAAGTCACTTGAACGTAATACTACAATATCGTCAAAACCTACCTACTTACGATTAAAACCCGAATACTTAAAAATGTCTAGAATTAAGTACAGACGCGTTTAAACACACGTAAAAACACGCTATGTTTAAAAAAGATACATACAGGAGGACAATAGCTTGGTAGCGAGATTGCTTTCCTGGTCAAAAAGTTACGCTAGTAGCCGGACCCATGTTTGGGTCCTAAAGGGATAATCGTCGGCGTCTCCTCGGATTTTAGCATTCTCGGTTCATCCTATCGCGTCTTCTGTCACACAAAGCACAAAGCTGAACTGTTTCCATTCGGGCTTGTTTTTTCACTATTCACGAACTAGCCAATTTATTCATTTCTACCATACATAAAATATAAATACAATACTAAAAATATTCAAGATATAGAAAGAGAAGAAAATATTTTTAAGGGTCTCGCTACGAGGTACCAGAGATGGTAAGTGGATGACAAATGACGCCTATCGCTCCGATCCGACTTTCTAGTTTTGCACGGCATTGGAGAAGCCGTCCCTGTTTTTTTACGAGGCCAGCTAAACGGTGCCAATGTACCCTGCATCGAGTCTCGTATGTTAAGATTATTATGCACATTCAACTTCCAAGGAAAAAAAGATGCACCAATACATAAGTGTATCCGCCATTCCCAAGCCTGGAAATGCATCCGCAAGAACGTGAGATTTAAAAACTACGTCGGCTGCAGCTTTGAAGCACTCTTTCGCAAACGTCCGAAGAAGAATCGAATGTTCCCTGCAGACCCTCGTATACGAGATCTATATAAATTATTCGAATAGAATAATAAACAACCAGATAACATACAGCGTAACATACAGCTTCTGTCACAACACAATTTCGTGCTCCCCCCTAAAGATTTCGAGAAGAAAATAAAACGAATCTTTTTGGTCAGACGATGTCTATTTATCCCTTCCGTGCGACATGCTGATAAACAAGCGAAAAAGATCAGCGATCAATGATCGTCAGGGACGGCGAGATTTGGTTCTGGCCTTCCAAACCCCACATTCCGATGTTGTGGTACTTAAGGTTATTTTGCATACGGTTTAAAGGCTGATCCGAATCTTGCCCCCGTGACAAACGAGCTAGACGAGTCAATATTTTCCTACGAAGTTCTAACGTTGAACAATCAACAACGACTATGGATCATATCTAACCTAACCACGGCCTTTCTACATCGTCTAATTAGGTACCTTTCTCTGCACTAATGTAGTATTTGAGACTTATACATGCACAGTCAATGTTGCCCATTCCGAACCAATAAAAGAGGGGCTTGGCAAGTATAATATTATCAGCCTCTTCAGCCTCTTTTTTATGCACTATCTGCACAAAAGCAAGGAGAAAGATTCGAGGGGCGGGAAGCAGACTGAGTGTGTTTCGACGCCGAATTTGGTTGAAACAACCTTACTGGTATAAAGGTGATAACTCGTCTTCTACGATCATGCGCTAAATATATCGGTACGAGGCAATGGGAATAAGAACGCAGCTAGGTACTCGCAACATTCGACTGGATATTTCCGGTTATATCACAAGTAGTTACAACTTGGATGACGTAGCGACGATTGAGACCTGCATAAGTTATCATCCATAGTCAGGTTCTGCTATTCCTATTTACGACGCTTATTCAGGTAAGTGACCATACTCGACATGACAATGAAGCTTGTTCCTGCACAGCCAAGTCAAATCAAATAACGTTAAATACAAGACTTAGCCGTGTCATCGTTTTAACTTATTAAAAGTTTATGTTTATTGAATCGTAGGTATATAGGACAGAAATAGGTCAAGTACCTTGACTTAGTTACCTATAGATGAGACGTCTATAATAGTAGGTACCTAACCTAACGTATAAAAATTAGCTCTCATGATTAGATCGTAGTTCCCCATGGTGGCTTAGATAACTAATACGTCTAATGCGTTTAGTTGATGGTTTTACTAATTTGAAGATCAACCCCTGAAAAGGTCGGAAAAATAAGATAATATGTGTTAATTCTTCACCACTATATTAGTTACAATGCTAGATGCGCCCTTATACAAGTTCCAGTTACCTACAGATACTTACCTTAAGTACCTTAGGTACCTAAAGTATTCTTCACAAACAGACCTTTTAAACAAGTGATGATAAACAAGTTACTGCAGTTGAAAGTCAACCTTAACTGGCTTCTAAGAATCTCCCATACGAAAGATTATTGATTTATGGGGCGAACTCGTCAAGAATCATCTAGTCAGCTCCCGAATGCGATAGCCTTCTCAATATTGGTTGTCGAAAGAAACTTGTTATTCAAAGGATTGGCTTGAACCAATTCCCTCCAAGATAAACCTAAGTTCTCAATCCTTAGAGGTTTCTTTGTAAAGATATCGTAGAGTGACAAGGCTAGCTACCTCCTATGTTTTGGCGTAAAAGGGGGGTGGGGTCCAAATATTTCTGGACCCTAACTGTAGGCACCTAATGTACGAAAGGCAACGACCCAACCACCCTCATGAATAGGAGGTACCTAACTCAGTCCCAGTCGAAGTCCCGTAGCGCAGAAATTCTTACCCATCCTGTACGTGACATGGTAGAGTTGGTGATCGATAACGCTGTCGAGGTCTAACCCTAGGACCGATGTAAAGGGCGTCACATCAGCAGCCTGTGGGTTCTCGTAGACCGACATGGCGAAAACCTCGTCGATGATCAGATGCAGATTGTTGCAACTACAGAAACGGGCGATCTCTCTAAGCGACTCTGCGGACTTTGTAGCAGGGGCTTCTCCAACGCCTTCTTGTTCATTTCAGGGGCAAAGACGTCATCGAAACCCCGGTAACCCGCGATATCCTGGGATGACACGGGCACGAGCACTCCCCACGCTCTGAGCGAGACGGCTGGTTTGAAGCCTGTATAGATAGGCACTGGAACGATGACGCCTTCCCCGTCGTTACAGATGGACCATATTAGGGAATCGATCACGGCCACAGCTCCAGGTAGGATAAGGATCTGCTTTTCCAGCACAGGCTTATGTGCCTGGAACTTTGATCGGAAGAATGATGCTAGGCCTTCTTTAAACGCGGTGACCCCCGTGGACCAACACCGTAGCCCAGGTGATCATTCGGAACGATAGTTGACTAAAGTCCATTGTCAGAAACCGAGTACCTTTGATATTTTCTCCGAATCTGCTCGCATATCCTTACATCGTCCTCGATACGCGTGGCCACTTCCTGGTGCAAGAGAATGTTCTCGGCCACATTGAGAAACACTCTTCGGATCGTTAACATAGAGGCCGGAGCGCATAGTTGAGGAGCTCTAAACTATCATCAGGACACTTACAGGCCATTGGGATTAGTAGGCGCCCAGACATTTGCCACCATCTTCTCAATCGCATCCCATGGTTGGTCTTGGGCCGAATTAAAAGCAGCTCTCTCGGACAGGCCATATTTTGAGCCAGCGCTACTAATCTGGCCATGTGGAATTGGGGCGGTCATATTCGGAGTTGATATCACTGTCAGAGTTGGATGAAGGAGAAGATACGTGAGCAGAGGCGAAGAAGATCATGGCAGGTATCGGACAGTTATATAGTTGGAATATAACCGCGTATTTGCAATATAGATTTACGCACACATACAAGGTACGCTTACAAGGATACCAAATATAAATCTCGTATGGCTAATTCTTTGGGACATCTCGGTGTTTGTTTTATCGCTTTTTTACAGAAGAAACTTACCAGCTTATTTTCCTATACTCCCCTGGCCTTCATGGCCTCCACTAAAATCTTCGAAAATCTTGCAACGTGATCAGGTCCGATCATGGTATAATGCTCGCCTCCCACGGCGTGGAACCTTGGTGGTTCACGCGCGAAATCACTCCAACGGCTCAGATGCTCACGTAGCCAAATCTCTCGGGTCTTGGCCACCGCTTTCAATGGTATGGCGTAGAAAACGTCAATAGTATTCACCTGGCCAGATGGATCGTAGTCGCTCGACATTTGCTGGATCCCAAACGACACATCCACCCAGCGTGCTAGGGCATCTGAGGTATCCAATGCCAGCTCCTTCCAGCGCAACTGGTGGCCTATATCCAAAACCCACCTTATAGCCTCATCGCGCGCCACTGCGCGGAAGGCCGGATCTGTCTCAAGGCTGCCCGAAACGTCCTCAGTCACGAGCCCTAGAAAGTGACTCAGGTGCAGCAGACATATGTTTCAGTTCAAGACGCGTATACGGTGTTTAATGTGCGGCGGGAGGTTGAATGAGCCGAGGAAGCGCACCTCCTCGCCGTCGGCGCCCAGCCGCTTTGCCGCTTCGAACGCTAACATCGTGCCATAGCTGTAGCCTGCTAGCGCGTAGGGCCCATGCGGCTGGCGTCGCCGGATCGCCGCTATATAAACATCGACGGCCTGCTTGATGCTACGGAAGCGCTGGTGGTCGGACTCGAAGCCGGCTGCGCGCAACGCGAACACGGGCCGGTCGTCCACAGCGAGGCATTGGGCAAGTCCGACGAAGACCAAAACCTCGCCAACGCCGGGATGGATTAGCCAGAGTGGGGTCTTGGAACCCTTGGCGCGGAAGACTACGACGGGGTCGTAGCTATCAATGGAGGGTGCTTGCTGGCGGGAGCCCGCCTTGGAATGCTGCAGTTGAGCGTCGAGATAAGCGGCCAGCGCCCGGATGGTATGGTTCTTCATGATGTTAATGACAGAAACATCGATTCCTAGACCTCTCTCGATGTAGTACTTGAGCTTGATAATATGCATGGAAGTGTATCCGATATCGAATAGAGATGTTTCAATATCGATTTCAAGGATTTCTGTGGCTAGGCCAAGGGTCTCGGCGACATGTTCAAGTAGACGGGCTTCCGACTCGCTCATCAGTTTCGGTCCATTCTTGCGCCCTTGTTCTGCTGCTTTGGATGCGCGTAGAATTGCATGTTCATGAAGCTTGAGATCGACGGCAAATTCACCCTTCTCGAATAAGCGCGCCATTTTCAGCCGCGATATTTTTCCCAGAGTGGACATTAGAAGAAGCGGGAGCGACTGTTCTCGGAGGGCGAACACCAATGGATGGGTTGATGTGCGCATAAGACATGCCTGCGTCACCAGACGGGTAATGCCAGCCATTTCCTCGTCCCGCGGCGGGAAGACGTGAGGGATATATGCAACCGTCACCTGCTCTGTGTGCGAGGCCGTAGACGCAAAAACGACTAGCCGTGCCGCGCGATCGCCTAGAGCGTTCTCAATAGCTGTTTGGACATCTGCGGCAACGATCTTTACCGCCGTTGATATTGATGACGTCTTTAGCGCGGCCCACGAGACGAAGATAGCCATTCGAATCGATGACTCCCCGGTCCCCAGTTCGGAACCAATTATCAGAGATGAAAGCCTCGCTTGTAGCAGTTGGATTGCGATAATACTTTTTGAAAACGACCGGGCCACGAACTTCAAGGTCACCGGGCTCGTTGAGCGCAGCCAGGCCCCCTTGAGGCGTAGTAATACGCATTTCTATGCCGCTTATACAATTACCCAACGACGCTACCAAATGGCCTCGCGTATCGTCGTACTCAGGGCAGTTGATATTGAAATAGCCCCAGCACACGTCTCCGTCATTCCGAAGCCAGGAGTTAACAGATTACGTGGCGCTCCATACATCGAGAACAAGGCAGATGCTGCCAGGCAGGTTTTTATGTCGTTTGCCTCACCACCAGATGCTACGCAAACTAGGCACGAAAGATCCCATCCGGGATCACTTTCAGGTGAACCAACGGCGGAGACTAGCTTCGCAAGGAAGAAGTTCGGAGCAAACGTGCGAGACACACGGTGTTGGCTGAGCAAATCCAAGAAGATACCAGGAGATGGCACAACATCGGCAGCATTCACATGGATCTGGTCGACACCAAGCCATAGTGGCTGAAGGTGCATTTCAAGTAGGCCAGCTACGTGGTCTAGGCCTATCCAACTCAGAAAGGGCCGGTCTCGGGGGAGGACGCGCACCGCAGCCTTGCCGGAAATCGCAGCCAGGGCCTGCTTGTGCGTGAACGAGACGGCTTTCGTGTTTCCCGTGCTACCAGATGTCAACATAAGCATCAGAAGACCCCCACCGTCTTCCCTATCTTCTGTATTATTCGTTTTGTTACACTTCGTGTCGCATGCTGTATGATTACCATTCTGGGCGTTGTGCACTTGGCCGCTTTTGCTCTCGCCCAAGTTGCGCTTAGTACTTCTTATTCTTGATTCCTCGAGTAGACTTTCGATGGGGTGCAGATGTAAATCCTAGGCGCCACAGAATAAAGGCAAGAATTTGGATCTGGTGAAACAAAGGGGTGATTCCAACAGAGTTGACAAGGCGAACATGCTTATGGCGATCGTCCTCGATGTTGCTGAAGGGGTATGAGAGTACTGGTAAGCCGCCTGCAAGCAAAACGGACCAGAACCATAAAATCACATCCCAATGGTCGTCAAAATGCAACAGTATTGGATGCCCAGCCTTGAACTGTTCGAGAGATTTGATAATGCAGCTGATTTTCTTTGCCTCCTCATACAGGGCAGTGTAAGTAACTTTCATAGGGCTGCGGGTATTTTCCAGAGAGTAAATCAATAGTTGTCCTGTGCGATCAGACTCCGCCCTCTCCTTGAGAACATCTGAAGAGTTGGATGTGTAACCATGGTGTTGTTCTGGCGAATCTAAACCATGGATCTTGAGCGGCATGGTTCTCTTCTATGTCCATTGTTAATATTTCCATCGGAAACATCGGACTCAACTGGTCAGACTCGCCAGCATGAAAGAGATCGTGTTACATTTCCAGCCAATCGTTTTTTATTCCTGTCTGTTCCTGTCCGCTCCATGCACATACTAGATTGCAGATATCTTTCGAAACAGGGTGTTGGATCCATTAAGGCTATCGAGAGGGTGTACGTAGGTGGTTGTAGGTTGACGACACTGTATACTTTTTTTGTTCTTCGTCGTCAAACTGTCGCTACGCACGGTGTTATACACAAATCTATAGTTACGTTCTGGTGTTGGTTCATGTGGTTCGTTCTGAATTTCTGGTTCGTATACTCGTGTGATATTATTTTATCCAAGCTACACTGCATATACTATTTCATATTAATTGGCCATTGACTTACACCACCCCCTCCGACTATATGCAGAAGGTTTCGGAAAAGCATACCTTAGGTACCTACATAATGTATAGACATGAAGAAATCAGGGTTTATCTGTTTCTCTAGGTGGGTAGATATAAATTGGTGCGTGGGACTTATATCAATCTTATAGCTCAAGGTTCTAGCAATATATGCTAGGTAAAACATAGTTATTTGCACGTTCCCTTGCTTACCTCTACCTACTTGAGACCATGGCCTCGAAGGAATCCCTATCGCGAATTGTGCAACTTGCGAACACGATCGTCGTGTCAGTAAGAAAGATAGAAGAAGTACTGTCTGCCGAGGGAATTCCGTTGCCTAGCTTTGATGAAGATGCCGCTTTCAACCTACCTCCTGAGATAGCCACCGACCATGACGCCGTACTTGACGCTACTGCAGAACTCCACGATCTGTTCCTCGAGCCTTTGAACCTGATTCGTAGGGATGGAGGCGTAAGTGAACTTGTCTGAACGCCAAAACCCGAAAAGCTAGTATTTTGACGAATTGAAAGTATAATAATTCGCTTTGCTTGCAAGCTATTGCCGAGTTCAAAATTGCGGAAAAAGTCCCGCCGAATGGCCAGGTGTCATTCGCCGACATTGCCAGCCAAACGCCAATGACAACTGATATGACGGCTCGGATTCTCCGACATGCGATGACTATGCGTGTCTTCCGCGAGCCTGAACCAGGAATGGTAGCCCATACTGCCGCTTCCAAACTACTAAGACATCCGGCAGCCAATGATTGGCTACATGCTGGAGCAGAAGAGATTTGGCCGGCAGCCACCAAGGTTAGTGGGTTCTCATATGTCTCTCGATTCGCTACATGGGGCTTATTGTTTCACGCGGCTAGACGGTCGAGGCTTTGAAGAAATGGCCAGCATCCTCGGAACCCAATGAGACGGTAAGCCACCCTTATATCTTCAAGCCATATTCAAGCCACTTAGACTTCTTCGTATGCAGGGTTACGCATTATCGAACAACTCCGAAGCGATGTACGATACCTTGGCCAAAAATCCCGAGAGGGCTTCACGCTGGGTAAGAGGGATGCAAGTCTTCAGCCAGAGGCCCCAATTCAATCTGTCGTATATCACTGACCACTATGACTGGGCATCTTTGGGCCAGGCTCAAATTGTCGATATTGGAGGCTCGGGAGGGCACGTATCCAAGGCCCTGGTGAGGAAATACAGTAACCTCAATGCGATCGTTCAGGACATAGAGAAAGTGATCGAGGGCGCTACAGTTCCAGAGGAGTTGCGAGAGAGAGTAAAATTTATGGCTCACGATTTCTTCGATCCCCAACCTGTTCAGGGGGCCGACGTTTACTTTTTCCGCTGGATCCTGCACAACTGGGGGGACAAGTATTGCATTTTGATCTTGCGTGCCCTGGTCCCTGCGCTTAAGCGAGGGGCGAGGATCATAGTCCAGGAGACTCTAATGCCACCGCCCGGTACAATAGCTTCGTGGAAAGAGAAGAACTTAAGGTCAGTAAAAGATAATCCGGGGTTTAATGAGCGCCCGCTAACCAATAGTGTCTTCATAGGTCGGCTGATATGAACATGGTTTCCGCTTTCAATGGAAAGGAGAGGACGGTGGACGAGTTCCGATCCTTGTTTGAACAGAGTGACCCGGCGTTCGTTCTTCACCAAACCATCCAGCCATTAGGTTCATCTCTGGGGATAGTAGAATTTGTTTGGAATAAGGATTAGCCTTGGGTCTGATTAACCTACCTAGGTCAGAGGTTGTATACTGCCGCACACGATTTGGAGGGTCACTTACCAAAACTGCTCATGTGTAATCTCGTTAAGCTAGACTTGATAATACTTATACTGCAATTCTCTATAAACGCCTTCAATAAAAATATGGTTGGCTCATGTTGAGGCTGAAACAGGTACCCAACATCTATCCAGATTTAATTTTGGTTCTATTTTCCTCGCTCTTTATTGGTTCTCTCCTCTACTAGGCTTACCTCCCTACCTCCCACATGTCGTTGTAAGTTCTGCGAGAAGGAGGCAGATACACATGCCACTTACCAACAAATTATGAAGGATTAGACCGGTACTACCCTTTAAGATAAGTAATTCGCCTACATATAGCCCGTTAATCCGTACCTAGTGACCCCGCTAAACTCAATCCATTGATGTTGATAAGACCAATTTTGACAGGTAGGTAATTAACGCTTTAACGGTCAAGTTCCAAGGCTGCTTCGAACAAGTTACTCAATTTAAAAGATGCGCGTTTTCCTATTGGTTACCTCCTATCACTCATACACTAACGATCGCTCATCTGATTGGCCAGCCAGCCAAGTCTCCACCTTCACTCTCCCCTTTACACACCTTGTTTTTGGCCCCGAACTGGACCTGAAAGACTACCTTGGAGGGCTTCGCTTCAGGGTAACATCATTAGTAAGAGATTAAGTGAGTATCACGATATTCTAGCCGTGAGAGGCCAGGACTCTTCTCGCTTGCCATCAATTCAGAATGAAGCCTGTTATTTTAGATTCGGCAGCTGTTGGAAATAATTAACTGGATTAGATACACAAGTATATAATTATACCATCCTTCTCTTTTTGTTACCTACCTATCTAGGTACCTAAAAGGTAGAGAGATAGCCTTTTCATCTCCTCCAATACCCAGCCGCGCGACGACGACTCAGCGACTGTAGCTAGGTAGGTTCCCTACGGTGCATTCGTTGCTGATGGCTCCATTATATGGTTTGTCTTACCCAGGCTATAATATACCTACCTAATCTATCGATCCGTCTGGTCTCTTAGTCTGATCTCCCCTATTTATTCCTTCTCTACATACCTACCTAACAGCACAGTTCTAGTGCTAAGAGACCAGTAGTACCTCATCCCATGATCTCCATAGAGATCGCCGTGTGTCACTATATCATTTTTCAGTAAGGCGAGGGTGGCTTGTCGATAGGACATCATGGTTCGCAATATTGAAAAGCTTTGTGCGAGGATTTTATAGAGCCTTGGGGGCACCATCAACTTGGGAACAGCTTTAGGGGCTCTTTCGCAAGATATCTCGTATGAATATATTCTCGGTAAAATGTGCGCGAGTCTAGAAGAAGACGACTTCAACGTTGCCACGACAGAGATGCTCCAGAACTTGGGTGGCGCTTGGCACTTGGCGCCTTTTTAAACTTATTCCCTGGTTAACAGCATTAAAGTCGGTTCCTCGCGGTCTAATGTCGAAAATAGCCAACAAGAATACCTTGAGCTTCCTCCAACTTTCCCAGGTGAGCTAGTTTTTTTTTTAGTTTTTTTTCAGCTTTTTAGAGACGTTCGAGTAGTTAACACTAGATAACAGAAAATTGACAACGATACCGAAAATCTTTTTGGCAGTTTGGGCACATCTTTCACCAACGAGGAAAAACCTCAGACAGTTGCCCATGCAATCGCCAACTCGAAGCTTCCTCCAGCCGAAAAAGCTCTACCGTGTATTCTCACTGAGGTCCACGTCATAGTTGGCGCAGGTTTGGAGACTGCCTCCAGCGTAATGAGATTGATGGTGTACCACGTTTTTAGCAACACCGAGATAAAACAAGAGGTGAGGGAACAACGAAGTTGTTCCGCAAGGAACTCTGACTAAGGTGGCTTTGGGAATCAGAGTTATACATACAAACATCCCTTTCATATTCCACGTCTCATACTCAACACCTGTCACATAAAACAGTCTCAAATATCGGTACTCAGGCAGCATTCAGGATGTTGTTATATCATCTACCTAAATATGAGATAGACACAGCCGTCACAGTACTATAATTGTACGTGGGTATAGCAACGTTAAACTCTCAAGTTCACATCGTTCTATCTTTTGGTAGTGTGGCAGCTTCATACTTTACTGTGAGGACTGATTAACCTACATAGTAGGTAAGGTACCTAACGTATTCAAGTAAGGAGAGGGAAATCAGGATATGTACACCGGCCGTAAAACATTGATAATTGGCATCATACTTTACCTTTGGGAGAGTTAAGACTGCTATATTAGCTTACTCTAGCACGATCTGCTTGAAAAAAAGATAGGAAACTGAGCCACCAACCTTAACGGTTTTTGATCTGCGAACAAACGTTTTAAAGTGTAGACGTAGCCTGCCCTAGGAAGTAATAGGTTAAATACCTGGTAAGTACCTAAGTATGCCAAATGGTCTAACCTGGTACCCTATAATGTTGATTCAAGTCCAAATTAACAGGGATGAAAAGAGTTAGTAGGTGTATACTTCCTAAGTCGTAAGGTCAGATACCTTTCTGATAGACAACTTTTGCCCCTCGACGTCTGAGCCACAAGGACTTCTTCTGAGTTAGGTAATGAAGTTCGCAGGATTTTCCACAAATCTTTCACGATGAGAGAGTGTGGCATTGTAAGCCTAGAGACTGGGGGTTCTCGGGACATAGTAGGAAATGGACTGATCTCCTAGTAGAGGAGTAGACTCTACGAGGTGATAATTCGTGATTCAGTCAACTCAAGCCATTTTACGTAACTTAGTGTCGTTTCTTTTTAACTGATCAATATGCGATCAACCATACACAAAACATGTTTGCCTAAAGGCTCTTAGTGACAAAGCGCTGGCGCTATCGATGGTAGAGCTTCACCGATGCGTAAAATCACGCCAGTGTCACGTCGCAGAGCATAAGGTAGGGAAAACAACTTCGTTGTTCCGCAAGGGACTCTAAATACAGTAGCTTTGAAGACAAAGCTATATACAGAATAACTCCTTTGTTCCAAGGAGTCTTAAGTAAGACTCCTGACAGCCAGTGAATAACACCAACTATCCTTTAAGTACTTAGGTGCCTGTCTAAAGAGCTCCAAATAGATACACCTGCCAAAAGAATCCGACGCCTACACTGCTCCGATCCGAAATCTGTCGCATGATATGGCCCACATTGACTACCCGGGACCTTTTACAGAACCCGTATACTCTTCAGCCGTAGCGAACTCCTTGCCTACGTTTCGCATACACAAAGTTGAGGACCTCCCTATAGGTAGCTATCAAAGTATGGCAGCACTAATAATGAGTCTTAATTGAAGCTTAGTTCCTTAATTCACACCAAATAAATCGATAGAAGTTCATGAAGTACCTACCTAAGTTGATATAGCTCCGATTTCTAAAGCTACCTTAGTTTGAGTTCCTCGCGAAACAACAAAGTCATCTCCTTACCATTTGCTCTAGCTCGCGACAGATGTTCTAAGGGGACACAGAGCATTAAGGGCCTTGCACCAAACAGCAATGGTGGTCTATATAATACAGAAAATGAACCTAACTCAGGAGCTGAGTGAATCCTGACTGTCGAGAATGGATGATATATACTAAGAATCTGGGGGCATTTTGGAAGGTAGCATTGAAAATGCTTGGCTCATGGAAGTTAGGCTGATTGGGACTTATTTTTATAACCTTTAATATTGAACTCACCTACGAAATAGTATAGAAAATATTAAGGATTGTAGCCGCTCAAGATCCGGACAAAGCGCTTTAATGACGACTTCTAGCAAATACATAACGTCTTCTATCTTAGCACCATAGAGTGGCGCAAAGCAAGGGGGCACAGGAACCCATTCGTCGCTCCATAAACAGGTCTAGCTTATCTGTAACCTTGCACCATAGACTGCTTTTTGAGGGTGTTGCTTGCATTAGATGCTTTATTTGGAATTACAACACGTGGGGGATAATGTACTGTAACTAAGGATCTCACCCGAAAACCGACTTTTAAATCCGATCACGAACACCAACAAGGCACATCTCAGAGATCCTTCGCTACATCTTTAGTTCCCAACTTATTGACGTCTCACGGCATGCAATACGAACATAGGAGGTACCTAATCCTGTATGACTGTAATACAATACTAGTCTCATTCAACGGCTGTAATACATTGATGGATCGTAAAAGAGTTAAGTTGGTGGTTGCATTATCTAGCGTTAGGAGCTTACCCGAACAGTTCGATCTTTTGAGTTTGTCGATGACATATAAGGTATGTTAATGACCCTATTTCTACCCAGCAACACTAGTGAATAACACCGTATTATAACCGACAAGTCTACCTACCCATCCCGTTAGCCTTCCGGCCTTCTCAAGAAAGACGGGCCATATTGTTATCACCAGGACTAGCCGTATGTTACTAGACATGGAGAGGTTATCATCAAGACTTGCTTGCCAAGTGAAGGGGCAAGTTTTAAGCGTTCTAGGCATCGCACAAGATAGCCTGTCTGTACAACCTATTCATTTCCTTCCGCAGGTGGCGTTGGAATGAAAGGCGCGGTCTCTTGGCGGTCCGGGCAAATGAAAATGTTTGATCATGAGATGAGCTGGCCGGAACATTTAAGACATACGAGCCCGTTATCCTATGAGGTAGGCTTATTTCGACTTCGTGCCACGAGGACGAAAAGGGAGGGAAACGAGGAAATCAATGCGCGCTTCTCGGTCCCAAGCCCGTGGATCCCTTCGCTACAAAAGCTGGGGAAGGCCTGTTTCTAGAACTATCCCATGCTATCGTTATCTCTCGCGTTGCTACGATACTTGCAATACCACGTCGCTTAAATAAATTGACGCGCAAGTGATTCGTTGATTTCCGCCGCAGATTGGCGTTATCGTCAACTACCTGCCTAAACCGGTTGACTTGTACTCCTAGCCAAGGCCATCCTACTGGTATCCTACATAGTACTGGGTGATTGATACCCCAAGATTCCCTTGTCTGGCCCAGCACGCATTAGTACGTATAGATCTCGCGAGTGCGAGGATTCTCGATATCAATGATCTTTGATCTGGAGGTGGCCATATACCTGAATTTCCGGCTTCGTGAGTGGCCAGTCCCCAAGCTTGGACGACTGGGGTCCAACGGAGGAGCCATCCTGTTTTTGTATTTACCCAGTTAACCAAGGCGCTTGGCGGATTGCTGTTGGTGTCGAATGGTCCAAATATTGTATGATTGCAGGTCAAGTCGTATCTCCAACTGATGAGGTCTTTTGCGGACAACCTCGTCTAGGAAGTTGGGATGACAGAGAAGACTGTATTGTCGCTGATAAGCTAACCAACCTACCTTAGGCACCTGTTATCATGATCTGGGCAAATCTTGGTACGGTGCGTAGGTAGCTGACTTGTCGCCATGGTCGGCTACCTGCATGAGTACCCCTAGATAGGTACGTGCTACTATATATCTTAGAGGTAGATATATACCTTATGTAGTGTCGCATCCGTATTCTCTTGTCGGTCGTTTTCTGTTCTGTGTCTGCCAGTCCCCTCTCGTCTCCCTTATCTCGGGTGCGAACCAGCCTCAGGCAATAGATTTACTCACTTGCTTTGAAGTGTCTGCTCATCTGCAGACGCAAATTCTATAATGGGTAGGTTGTTTATTCTCATCATAGGCTTATCATGTAGAAGTGGACTTTTTGATGGCCTTTTTGGATGTGAAATTCAACGTACTAACTTTCTTATTTCAAGATACCGGCACCACAATCCCCACCGTCGTCGCTCCCGTCAGCGCGGTGCGGGCATCCGTAGACGAAAATATTCTTGATGAGAAGTCCCAGGCCGCCGCCAACACCTCAGATGTTGCCGATGAAAGCCATGGGGCTTTGGAAGGTCTCATCATCCCGACTGAGGAGGAGAAGTCTACGTTAAGACGTGTTGCTGGAACGATGCCGGCAACTTGTTATTACCTTTGCGCCGTTGAGTTCGCCGAACGAGCCTCTTACTATGGATGCAACCAAGTCTACAAGAATTTCATTCGCGCTCCTCTCCCTCCCGACGGCAACGGCACTGGCGCTACGGCTCCTGGCTCTGAATATACTGCCGGAGCTCTAGGCAAGGGTTCTGTGGTGGCTACTGCTATGACTGAAGCCTTCAAATTCTTAGCCTATGCGCTGCCAATTTACTTCGGTTGGCTTGCCGATACTAAGTACGGCCGCTTCAAGATGATTTGCTGGGGTGTTGCGGTCTGTGGCGTTGCTCATATCATCATGATTATCTCATCGCTTCCGCCTGTGCTTCTCTCTGGCAACGCCATCGGTCCTTTTGCTCTATCTTTATGGTATGTATATCGATGCTCCTGTGTATATGCCCGAAAGCTAACGGTTACATAGTACGTTCTGGCTCTCGTCATCGCTGCCATGTTTCTCACTTCCCAAGATCCATGAAAGAAAAAAATATATACAAAAAAAGAGATCATGGAGGGCATATTTCTGTTATCAAAATGGTACACTGACTCTTGCTAGATATGCTCTCAATTGGTGCTGCTCAGTTCAAGCCCAATATCTCGCCTACTATAATTGACCAGGTTCCTCACAAAATCGAGCACGTCATCACCGACAAGAACGGCGAGAAAGTTATCGTTGATCCTCAGGAATCTGTCAACAATGTGATGCTGTGGTTCTATCTACTCATTAACCTTGGCTCGACTTTTGGCATCGCGACGACTTACCTGGCTAAGCTCGTTGGATACTGGTCGGCATACTTGATTCCCACGATTTTGTACCTGATGCTTCCACCGCTATTGTGGTACTTAAACCCTCGTCTCGTCAAGCAACCTCCTGGAGGTTCGGACTTGGGAAATGTGTTCAAGGTCCTCGGTGATATCTTTGCTAACGGCGGCTTGAAGCATATTGGCCGCAAGGGATTTTGGGAACAGGGCAAGCCGAGCGTACGCAAAGCCGCGGGCAGCACCAAGGTATACGAATATGACGATCAGTTCGTTAACGATGTTCGACGAACCTTCCAAGCTTGCGGTATCTTCCTCTTTTCCCCTATTTGGCAAATTAACGACGGTGGTCTTGGTGCTGCTGCCAACGCTCTCACCGCCGCAATGGATACCAACGGTCTTCCTAACGATCTTTTGGACAACTTGAACGCCGTTTCCATTGTCATAAGTAAGCATATACTCCCTGTCCTCAGGGAAATGTATTTGGAGAATATCACAGCTAACAGTTAGTGCAGTGGTGCCTTTCATGAACCATATCATCTATCCGCTCCTCCGCAAACGCGGTATCAAGTGGGGACCTATCTCTCGGATGACCTTCGGTTTCGCTCTTGGCACGGTTGGCTCTATTGCCTATTCTATTCTCCAGTACTACGTGTACAAGACCTCGCCATGTGGCTGGAACGCTACAACGTGCGCTGAGATTGTCCCTGTCGGCGAGGTTTCGGTTTCCACCGTCTCCTACGCCTGGTACGCGATCCCCGTCATAATCACCGCCATTTCCGAGATCTTCGTAAACGTCACCGCCTACGGTATCGCCTACTCGCGAGCTCCCAAGAACATGAAGGGTCTTGTCGCTTCACTCAATCTCGCCATGACGGCTATCTCCGCCGCCATCGGCCTCGCTACCGCGCCGGCCATTAGCGACCCCTACCTCATCTGGGCGTTTGCCGGGCCCACTATTGCCGGCGCCGTGCTCACCGTGTTGTTCTGGTTTACCTTCAAGCACATCGACAAGGAGGAGTTTATCCTGGGCACCGACTTTGCCGATTTAAAGAAGGATTCGGAACGCGAAAGCGACGAGGAGAGAGCTCCCCAGACCAAATCGGTTGACGAGAAGTCTTAGAGCTAAGATCTATACGCTTAGAGATGCTGTAGAATCTAGATCTTCTACGTGGTGTAGGGGTGCTTTATTCGGATACCCGACTCGAGATGTTTAGACAGAGAGATAATGTAGTGAAATAAAAACATACCTGTAGGTACCTAACCTACCTATGCCTACCTAAATTTAATGTAAGAGAGACTTGAATAGGACTGCGGTGTTGTTTTAGTATAAATACCCTTGTCGTAGGACCTCAATATGGTACCTCTTATGAACAAGTTCGTCACCGACGGACGATTGCATCCAAGACTAAGAACTCAGCTAAGTTGTTAGGCCGACAAATAAGCATCTACATCCAGACGATTCTATTGGTGTTAATTTTCATACCCTGGCGATCCAAAGCTTTTTCAGCTGAAAAGGGGGAAGTGTGAGGCTGGGCTTAAACTGGAGGCAGACAGAGCCTTATCTGCCTAAGGTAAAAGTACCAGATATTTTATGAACTTCGCATTATCGGCCAACTTACCTTAAAGAATTTATTGATGCCATCGCCCTATTAACCACCTGTTGCTTTTTCCCTTTTAGCAAGCTCAATGAAACCCAATGCACGCCGAGCCTCAGCCCGCTTATCTTGTAATTTCCTATTCCTTATAAGGAAGTGAGATCCGTGCTCACCCATGAAAATATCGTTGAGTAACCCGCTTCTTGTTCCGCTTCTCTCTACCGGCGTCAGTCCATGCCTTACCGTTCGAGTACCTACGTTGTAAGCCACGGCTGAGATGCGGCTATATTTTATTCATAACGGCGTTGCTAAGATTTGGGGTGTTGTTATATAGGAGGTATATATACGTGAGTGAGAGCCTTGTGATAGCAAACGGTCTGTGGGAATGAAATCTGAAAGTTTCTATCATTTCATCAAGTCTAGCCGTCTATGAAGTTGTTCCCCTCATGAGAGGTATTCTGGTCCTTATAAAACCTATCCCTATCGTTTATCAAGCACAACATCTTTGAGCCGAAAAATCGGTGTTCCATAGTTGCTGTTTCTCTGAAATGAAATTTTCGATCAACACGCTGAGCTGGGGCTCTAGGGCTTGGCAGCCACCGTCTGAAAAAACATTAGCCGAACGCAATATTTGGTGGGCTGCTACACATGATGTAGATGGTGGTGTTGAAGCAGCTCTAAGGGAGTGGGCCAAGAACATTGATGAAGACGAAAGGGCATCGCTAGTGAACACTTATAAGAATCTTGAAGAGGAAGACATCAAAAGGATTCAACCCGACATGAAGGACGATATCAACATAGGGGTCGGATATTCTCTATTGTCAATTGCCATCTACCGAAACTTGATCAACGACATCAAATTCTTACTTCAACAGCCCTCCATCCTCCTGAATAGGCCGAGCGGCAGTGAGCTCCTGACACCACTTCATATATCCATCATCAGAGAAAATTACGATATCGTCTTCGAAATTCTCCGCAATCGCTCCACAGCACCATCACAGCTCGTCAATGCCTATGACTACCACGGAAGAACAGCACTACACCATGCGGTTATGAAGTGGACTAAGAACGGAAAAGAAGCTGAAGACACATCGGAGATGAGCAGAAGCCATAGAATAGTCCTACAGCTGCTAACATATGGAGCGAACATTGACGCACAGAACCGTAGTTTCCATACGCCTCTCCATTTGCTAGTCATCCATGGTTCTGACCAAGAGGCAACGCGCTTTGCTGAGATCCTACTGGAGAATGGAGCCGAAGTGAATACAAAAGATGAGTTTGGTGAGATCGTCTACACTTCATACTTGTGCGTCAGGTAGGTATAGGAACTGAACAATGACTTTAGGTGATTCCCCTTTACACAGCGCTTGTAGACGAGGGCATCATGCCCTTATTCGACTCCTGATCGATTGGGGCGCAGATATGGATTGTCGCAACTTAGATTGGACGACTCCTCAGGATCTGTTCTTAAGTAGAGACGAGATGACCGAAGATGATAGGGCTTTTGCTCAGGATATATTTTCCAGACTAAAGAAGCCAAATATGACTCGTGCGAGAGCCGGAAACATCCCTCGGGGCCCTACGGAGTGCATCGATGAGATGAGGAATATTTGTGCGGAATTCCCAGTCTACTTCCGTTATCAATGGGCTGGGCTGAACCCAAAGCCAGACGGAAACACGTCTATGGCATGGATCAGGAGCGACATGAAAGTCTCTCATGTCCTATATCCGAAACCTGAAGAGCATGAAGAGACTCTTGAGCCTGTAAATGGCGGAGATGGTTTTCTTGCCAGCTGTGAGGATAAATTCAAATCGAAGGCTTGGCTATCCTGGAAGGAAGAGAATAAGAATAATTCAAGCACACAACAGCGAGCCACTCGGCAAGAAAACGGAAAAGACGAAAGTGAGAGTGAAGAAACACGAAGCCAGAAACCCGAAGACCACAGGAAACGAGTCGAAGAAGATGTGAGGAGGAATTCTTGGAGGTGGATTAACTTCCCATCTAACAACGTAAGCAAAAATTACCTATCTTTATAGAGGCCGGAGGATATCGGACTAATACATTCATTAGATGACATGGATCAAGGTAAAAACCATCTTCCTGCAAACCTATGTCAACCGCATACTTGGTTAGCTAATGCTGGAAGGATTTCATAATACTCAATGCCAAAAACAAGGAAAGCGGACAGCTAGACGAACGAGCATGGCGCTTTTTCGAAGAGAATATACGCATTCACGAGACAGACAGCCTGTACTCGCGTGTTAGGATTCCTCATGCAAAGGTAAGTCTATTTAAATAACCGACGTGCTGCGTAGCATCGCGTACCTAGATACGCCGGCATTACCATCCATGACGAACCTTAACAACAGCGCACATACTAACTTCTCATTTAGGTCAGCCATAAGAGCGATAGGATCAATACTAGTCTTCAGAATAAGAAAGAAAACCCAAAGACAAGTATTAGAAGTGAAATCCCCCTCTCGAAATACAAGCGGTACTAACACCGATGTAGAGATAAACTATTCGGTAGTGAAGCAAGACATTCAATCAGCACCTGGCTCGAACGGCACTAATGTTAACGTTGCTCTGTCTACAGTGGCGGATATTTCACTGACTACTACCATGAATACTGAGAAAGTGCAAGATCAAAAGGAGGTAGAACCCAGTACATTTCAATCATGGAAAAACACAGATGGTTTTATGCCTGGGAAGATGCTATCTTTAGTAGTAAGTCGCATGCGACTAATACAAAAGCCCCTCAATACTATATACAGTAACTTATGCTAAATATCACAGGTACCTTTCTTGGATATTGAGACTGAAGACCAAGTCCAATCAGGCTTCGAAAACCTCGAAACACAATGTCAGAGAGTGAAGAAACTAAACGAGGTCTATTCCCCTTTCACGGGAATGCACGGCGTCCAGCACTCTCAGACACTAGACCAGATCTACTACAACACCGAGAGTGATGTCACTCAGTTGCATTCAGTGAAGGAACAAGTGATATACAGGTGGTCTGCGAGAAGAAACAAGGAGAGGGAGCAATCCCAAGACCACCAAGATCAATCGTCACATCAGCTTACCCAAGCGGCAGCTAAAGAGCATGACAGTGTCTCTACTTCACCGGAAGTCTCAAACCAAAACATCCAGCTGATGCCTCAACAGAAGTGGTTAGGATTTATTCAAAAGCTGAAGCAGAAGTTGTGGCATCCAAGGCAACCACAACAACCACAGAAGCTGACCCCGTCGCGGATACTACACCCGAGGCAACAAGATGCGGATCCGATAAAACAAAGGAGACCTGGCGGTAAGGACGCTAAGAATGCCAACGCCAAACGTATCCGCGAGGATCCTTCGCCAAAGTGGTTGATGTCCCGGCAATTGTGGCTGTGGAAACTAGACGATAGTAAGCAGAGAAAGACATGCATACCTACCTACCTACCCGTTATGCATGTCCCCCATACGGGCTTTCATATAGGCTAATTACCTGTTATGCTTAATCCAAAAGATACTATCATTACCGCGATACCGTCTCGAGCAAACGGAATGACGGCCGATACCCTTCTCGAGACGATTCGTCAGGGGAACCTGGACGTCCTTACCACGCCGAACGATCTCATCAAGCGCATCCTACACGAGACGGTGTCCTTTCTCGACGAGTTCAAGTGGGCGGGGCTCGGCATCCATATTCTCGATATTTTCGAAGGCGAGATTGCGACCGAGGTAAATGAATACCTACCTCCTAGCCTACCTCCTAAGTTACCTAACCTACCTTCTATTTTTTTTTTTTTTTTTTTTTTTTTTTACCTGATCCTTCAAGACACATTATACCAAAATGAACTAATCAAAGACCTAACCATACCTATATATAAATCCAGACGAACCGAGAAGCCGAGTTCTTCAAAACCTTCAGCAGCGGCAACTGGAGCCCGGACAACGTCAACCGGTTCATCCAGGAGGCCGCGGACTGCACCTACCGCGTGCGGGACATCCGGGACGAGCTGCACCTGCTGCGGCAGGTCTTCGAGACGCAGGCCAAGGTCGTCAGCGACTTCGCGGCGGTCTTCTGGCCGACCGGCGCCCCCGGCAGCCAGAAGCAGGGCAACGTCGCGTCCCGGGATATGCGGGAGGGCTTCATTCGCGATTGCGGTCTCCAGTCGCTTGTTCAGCGCGTCCGGCGCATGGAAGGCGATGCGTCGACTACGCTTGAGGGGGTAAGTGTGTGTGTGCGAAGGAGGGGGGAAACTCGACATCTCCTTATGTTGCTTTCTTTTCTTTTTTCTTCTTTCCAATCGATATTCTGTATTAGGTACTTACCTACCTACCTGGTGCCTAGACTAACCATGACATCTAGCTGAGCACCATCATCCAAGCAATGCAGGCCCAGGCATCGCTCAAGGAGGCCGAACAATCGCGGTTCTTAAACCTGATGATTCTCCCGTTTACCATCATAACAGTGATCTTTGTGAGTCCGGGTGTGATGTGATGTTACGACCTGCATACCTCTCATAGGAACCAACCGCTAATGGCAAGGACCTAATTAGACTCCGCTATCTTTCCTCACAAGCCTCTTCGCAGTCAACACATTGGCATTCCCGCACAACGACGACGGCGAGCTGCGACTGCCCGCGTCGTGGTTTTCTTGGAGAATGGGTATGTTTCCTGCTGAGCACCAGGTTACCTAGCACTCACCACGTTCTAACTGGTTTTCTACATAGTTGTCGGAGAAATATCTTCTCTGCTTCCCCTTGGGCTGTTGGTCCTATTGATATACTTCTGGTATGGAAGCGAGAGCGGTAAGTCTTTCGGTCCTACGGACCTGGGAATATCTCTAGGTACATTTTCTATTCCAGCACTGAACGTCAATAGATAATGTTTCTTCACAAAGGATCGCGCCGGAACGGTTGAGCAGACGCAAAGTAGTCGGACGGGAACGGCGGCCACGAGCCGAAGCCTAATGCGAAGATCGGATGGCACGATTATACGCTGTTATTGAATCTACCTGTGGAGTTGTTGAATATGTAAAAACTGTAAATCTGTATAGGCGTCGTAAGGGCATTCTGTATAAACTGAAACATGCCATGCCATTGTCCTAAAATAGTGGTCATGTTTCGCTCCACTCAACTCCCAACGAAAGGGGTAGTGCTATATGTTAAAAAGAGGCACGTAGAAGATATGCTTTTTACTAGGCTCGGCAGTGTTCTGATCGTATAAAAAGTTATCAAGTACCTACATACCTGATACTGAGAGATAACCATTATTTGAAGTAGATGAGTGGTGAATCGGGAAGGTTTCAGAAACATGTGTGAGCCATATAGTATTATGAAGCAGTTGGGATATATTCTGCGGCGTAGAACATCACAGAGTACCTATCGTTTTAACACTCCTGTTTGTTAATATGATACGGCCTCGTTAGGTATGGTGGGATTGGCGAACGCTAATCCCCCTGGCTGGTTTTGGGCGATCTCATTGGTACGAAAAGCGACCGGATGACGACCATATTGACCTTGTTTCTAGCCATGATAGGAGACAAGATTTCCAAAATTGGTTTCAAGCGCAATAAATGGTAGCGACTAAACCAATCAATTGTATGCTGCATGGTGACGATACGGGGTAATAAAGACTGTTATAGGTCTGATACTAGAATTACTGCCTTGGGGGGCGAAGCGCCGTCCAGTGTCGCGAGTCGGATGCTTCGGTAATTGTGCATTTCAAACCACTTGATTCTTTACTTAAAACAATATGACGGAGTATATTAGTATACTCGTCGCTTGATAGCTGCAAAGTTGGATATCGTTATAGCGTATTAAGAACGGCCTCCAACTTCTCAGCGTTTACCTGCTTGTGTTTGCCTCGTTGACATCACTTTGGTCGCATTCTCTTAGCGCGGAGATACGATGCAACCTTACGTTAGGTATGTATGCAGGGTTGTTTTTTTGAAGGTGGAATATACCTGAAATTGTTCAGGATCGGCGTTGGTCGAGATCTCATTCGAACTTGGAACTCAGATCGAGTGTCAGCACAAGGCCGTTGTATTTTTTAATCCTCTTCAGCCACCTCGGAAACAAAGACTAATAATAATACGTCTCTATTGAAGATAGTATCGTAAATATTGTGAGTACGTACTTGCATTGATTTATTGACTTATTTTCACATGTGTCTTGTATGAACTGTGTTTGACTTGTGTTTATATTTACTTACATCCCTTAGCCAGGCTGTCAGACGTAGAAATTCGAAGTGCCACTTTAAAATGTAAGTAAGTAAAATACACTAATAACTTTGGGGAAATGGTCGGGGTCCGGTGCCACACGAATGGTAAACCTGACAAGGTCTCGGCCGCAACCAGTTTCCGACTTGCCGAGGTGCTTAATTGAGCTAAGTACCATGTGCCTTGGCATCCTTGGTACATAGTAAATTCACCTAAATCCCACTGCTGGCACTGCTTTTATATGTATTGTCTATTAAACAAGCACTGACTATACAACGTGTACCAAGGTACTTTTAACTTCACTTTCTTAGGTACTTAAGGTACATAGTACTTACTATACCTATAAATTACAATTAATGGACACGGCTTGTCGTCCAGGCGATCAGCAAGCTTGGGATGAACTGAGATCGGATAGCGGAAAGTCCTTTCCCAACGTACGTAATCGTATTATTCGACTACCTTTAGGTAAAGGTTAGGTAGGGTAGGTACGAACTTCAAATCGTCTATGTTGTTTTTACTTTTGCTTTGCATTTCCAACCTCTCTTTTTTTTCACGTAAAGGCTAGATTAGTGCACTTTAGCATAGAAACGCTGCAAAGCCGCTTTTCGATCCTACTTACCTCTTAGCGATTACTATCCGAGAGAGAGAGAGAGACCCCCAATATTTCCTTGTTCCTTGTTAGCCGTCGTTTCATGAACAAGGCCGGTCCAGCACAGCCTACGACCACTTACGTGTATTAGTCGATTCTACTCCCACCACAATCGTCTCATATTAAAGAAGTCCTTACGAATTTTGCAACGCGTTCGGTTTGCTACCTTAGGTACCATTACGACTTATTAACTCGTGTTCTACTACAGCAATCGACTCATATATATCCAGTTTTCTATGAATTGGTTTTTTTTAAAAAAAGAAAAAAAAAAAAAACCTTTCCTCCGCTTCTACATTCCCATACGATTCCGACACCTGTCAAGTCGCAGTTTAAGGTTCATCCCGATTAGAGTTGCACCATTCCGTCAAACCACAAATGTGTTTATAACTTTAACTGCTACATTGGGAATGATACAACAATAGAGCCGGTCTAACGTTGAATAATTGCTTTCATGAGAGAAACTAGAGATCATTCCGCTGTCTACATAAATCCCCATGTTTAGAGGATTCGAACTGCGCGACCAGCACAAGTCAACTTTATTCGATTGTCCCACTCTTTGCGACAACAACAATTTCCCCTATAATAAACAAACAATCTAGCGATACGCAAATATCCACACATTTTCCTGAGCGGCGACTTTTCGCCGTTCCCGCGGCTCTGATATGGACCAGACGGGGCATCTTCTTGTCGCGGCCAGCCAGATATATGCCAGAGCGAACGAGACGAGTACCACCGACCCCACGAAAGAAACACGACCACCCGCCTACAAGGCCATCGGTATATCGCTAGCTATTGCTTCTGGTTGCTTCATTGGAGTGTCATTTGTCTTGAAAAAGGTTGGGCTGCTCAAAGCAAACGAAAAATACAACGAGGTCGCAGGCGAGGGGTATGGCTATCTCAAGAACTTCTATTGGTGGGGTGGAATGACTTTAATGATCGTCGGCGAGCTTTGCAACTTCGCCGCCTATGCCTTCACCGATGCTATTCTGGTAACGTCGTTGGGAGCTTTATCAGTCGTTATTACCGCTATTCTCTCAGCCATATTCCTAAAAGAGAGGTTGAGCATGGTCGGCAAGGTTGCATGCTTTCTTTGCATAGTTGGATCCGTAATTATTGTCTTGAACGCCCCCGAGGAATCTTCCGTCGCAACCATCCAGGAGTTACAAAAATACGTTGTTACGCCGGGCTTCTTAAGTTATATCGGTGTCATTATTGTCGGCTCTGCTTTCGTTGCGCTATGGGTTGGACCGCGATATGGCAAGAAAAACATGTTCCCATATATATCGGTCTGTAGTTGGATTGGGGGGTTAAGTGTTGTTGCTACTCAAGGTCTTGGTGCTGCTATTGTCGCGCAGGCCGGCGGCACCCCTCAGTTTAACCAGTGGTTTCTATACGTGGTTCTTGTCTTCGTAATAGCAACACTACTGACGGAGATCATTTATTTAAATGTAAGTTCGCCGCCATTATCTGGTAAAGATATGCTGACTTTTCTGTATAGAAAGCACTCAACCTGTATAACGCAGCTATGGTTACCCCAACTTATTATGTCTATTTCACAAGTACGACCATGATTACTTCGGCTGTCCTATTCCAAGGATTCAAGGGTACCGCGATGCAAATTGTTACAGTGGTCATGGGATTTCTTACCATATGCGCTGGGGTTGTTCTGTTGCAACTATCCAAGTCCGCCAAAGACGTACCAGATTCTGCCGTTTTTGCAGGGGATTTGGACCAGATCCATACAATCGCCGAGCAGGAGCAGCCCGAAACTGAACCCAAAGCCGACGCCATCCGCGGAACTGCTGCCATTCTACGGCGCATTTCTGTTGCCCGGCAAAAGATGGAAGAGGAAGAATTTCGACGGCTTCGGGAGGAAAAGGAAATGGAGCGTCTTGCACCAGTCAGCGAAGACGGCAGTCAGGTTTACGAATGGGACGGATTAAGGCGGAGAAGAACGACGCTTGGAAGTTACAGGAGTCGTGCGACGACGTCACCAAGTATCGTCCACTCACCGGCTCATCCGCCTCTGGGCAGATCAAGGTTTTTAACCGAGGAAGAATTGGCCGAAGAACGTAGTCGTCAGATGTCGCCGGGTGTGCTATCAAGTATAACAGGCACTATTCGAAGTCGGGCAAGGAGTGTCTTGTTACCGGGGCACCCTGAATTTCCCCAGGACGCTCACGATCCTAGAATACAAAGCCCGATGCACCCGGTACAGTTGACAGATATTGCTGTTCCAGGACAGAAATATCAAAACGAAGCCAGCCCATACAGCACCAGTCATGGCCATGTCTACGGTCTCCCAGATAACCTACGGAAGACTGAATACGGAGGCACTGCTAATATAGAGCCCGGTAGTACCGGGCGTCATATACAATTTTCGGAAACGCCGAAGCCAAGCGCTAGCGTAAATTCTCTAGTACCGCCGACACCTCCGCCTCATGGGGGGGTTTTTGCAGCACGTCGGCAGTTCTCGTTCCAAAACATGTTCCGTCGGCATCAAGCTGACAGTGTACAGGAACAAGCGCTGCCGTCGCCGAGCAACCTGTCGCCACGCCACAGGATAGGATCGCGAGGTTACTCGGACCGACAAGTACAAACTAAAAACGCGAGTGAAGAAGAAAGATTAGGTCTCGTTAAAGGTGGTTCGCAGTCGATGCCCGCGCAACCTCAATATGACGGGGGCGACTACGAGGAGGAGGAAGAAAGTGATGAATATTTAGACGATAAAAGACCGGAGAGATATGGCAGGGGTATAACACATAGTCCGCCAAGGAGAAGAAGCGACAATGAGGAACCCCAGTATGACGATTACGATTACGGGACGAGCCATAGAGGGTGGAATAGGGGTCGTGGTGATAGCGATGATATGACATATCGCGGTTCATCGTCAAAGCCATCGGGGCATAATCCAGCTCAAGGCAGGGATGACGCTTTCCTCTGAAAGCATAACAAAAAGTTATGAGATATGAGTGATGTTACATGTATTCATTTTGTTTACTACTTGCATACCTCGTCGGCGGACTGGTTGGATAAAGGATGCTCGAATCGTCATGTTTATGGCTTGTACTTCTTGGGGTTAAGGCAGAGCCATTGGGAACTACTGGGACACGGCACAACGTGTTGCATACGGTCACGGTTGGAGATAGACATGTGTTTGCATCAATAGCAGGAGTTGGATACATTTTTAAGACAACGAATTGTACTATAGTTAGGTATAGATAGTCTCAGCCGGCGGGGATGACTATGGGGGACGTGTAAATGTACACATATCCAGGCGGGTTTTATAAACAAGTCTACAACGACTGAATAGCAAATAAAATTACATGATACCATATGTCTTGTAGCAAATGCCCAGGCCACCGGTTAAAAGCCGAGGTCTGTATCCCCTCGTATCCTAGTACTCCTAGGACGATGTTGCAGAGTTGTGATAGGCCATTGAGAAACTGACGCAGGAGAAGAAAAGTGGACAGAATACCTTTTCCTAGCTTAGGGAGTTTAGTTGGCTCTATACTAGTGCTGAGAGTAGTATAAGGAGAGCCAATCGCGATAGGAGTATAATACGCTTATAGCCGTATTCTAAAATTAAACGAAAAGATCGGGGATGGTGCCATCATTTCTGTTAGTAAGTTCCTAAAGTACCTGACCTATGGAAGAAGTATCAAAGCACTTTAACTTCCCAGGATATTGCCTTCGGATACCATTAACGAAACCCTTCGAGGTGAGCACTAGGTACAACATTATCGTACAACATTACAGCATGCAGAATATGTAAAAGATGAACCCAGGTCCCAAGAGAGATACCTAGGAGGTAGGTACCTAGGTATATAATAGCCCCACACAAACTCAGGGACCTTACCTTACATAAATGGACCTAGTGCAAAGCGAGGCAAGGTTACAATTAACTTTAATCCTTTTAAGCGTAATCAATGTGCGAAATGATAGGTTAGGTACCTATTTCTATCCCGGTTTCTGAAAGCTTAAACTCGCATTCTTGAATTGTTTTTCTCCAACACAAACAAACTCACGATCAAACAACATCAGCAGTAGTAGATGTTAGTGTCACACCACGCAAGACATTTTCTCAGATACTCGAACATATCATGTCTTACCTTAAGTACCTTACCTTACCTATTAATGCATTTTTCTTCTTCTTTACAGTGACAGTACATACATAAGAAATGGACCCCTCCACTTTAATATATTCGGTCCTTGTAGGATTTTGTTACGGGTCCCCCGTCGTTTGCTTGGCAATTCAGGGGCTTGTCCAACCCTTGGGCCAATCCGGGCTCATCGCAAGTCTTCATCTCTTCAGATGAGCAGATTGAACCACTCCGTTAAGAAGAAAAAAAAGATGTTGCCTAAACTGTCCCCGCCCTGTCAGTTTTAGCGTCGAAGTGGTAATGGCGGATCTCTGTCTTTCGGCACGCTGCGCCGTGCCATCCAACTGGTACGTCTAGACCCAGGCCGCCTTTTTTGGGCGGTTTTTTTTTTCTCTTTTTAATTTACATATATCATCCGCTTGGTGTCATCTTTCTCCTCGTAAAATTTAAGGCGTCCTCCTTTGCAATCTCCGCTGTTTTCCCTTTGCTTGGCAATGCTATCGCCGCATACTCGGCGCCCTCACTTGGGCTTTTGATATATATATTTACCCATGAGAGAGAGGATCGCCGGTCACAAAGGTCATTAACGCGTCCTCGATTCGGCATGGGACGGAGAAAGAATGGATTTTCGTCGCGTTCGATCTAAGGCTGCCGCCGTCATGGCGGTGGACCGCGACTTGGTGTTGCACTATCTACAACACCGCCTAATAAGGCGATTCATAGTTATAGGCATAATTGTTTTCGGCCTTATCATGGTCATCTTTGAGGTGACCCATCACGAACTATACCGGACAGCACCCTTCGAGCGCTTAGGCGACCTCTTAAGTTCCGAAGAACCCGAAACTCCAGTAGCTGGGAAATGTACCACCTGGCCCGTAGATGCGAAAGGCCGATACACGCCGGCTCAGCGAAATACCACAACACCATCACTAAAGAGCTACGCCCCCGAAGGTGGCTGGAAGAAGCCCGAAGGCATCAGGATCGTCGCGCTGGTCTTCTACGGCCGCAAGAGAACGGTCGACTTCTTAGACTGCTACTTACAGCAGAACCTGGCCGTAAATGGTGGATACGTTGACGAAGTTCGGTTCATGGTCCATACGAACAATGAAGATGATCTTAAATACTTGAAGAACCTCGTTTCGCAAAGGAAATCGCAATATTTCATCGTGGAGTCAGGATCTTGCGAAGGGTCGAGCTACGGGTGCATATGGGACTCGGTTATCGAGGACGATACTATCTACGTGAAGATCGACGATGATATCGTAGGTCCTTATGATTAATAGTTATTACGAAAGGAGGATGTTCTAACTTGGTCCCTAGATTTTCATACATCCAGATGCTATCCCCCAGCTGGTTCATACTCGGATCGCAGCGCCTCATCCTTTCGCCGTTTCCGCAAATCTGGTAAACAGTCCTCTCACGGGCTATGAGCACTTCCATGTTGGCGCCATCCACGCCTTCCGACCCGATCCGAGCGATAAGCCGTCATATGCTGCCGCCGAATCGTGGCGACCATCCGACAAGAGCCCCTTTCCCGCATCAAAGCTGCCGGAACTCAAAATCAGTAAGCTCAAGAGCATAGCGCTAGAGGATGAAATTTACCCCCAGACCCCCTATACCGGCCACCCCTTCCTTCTGATATCAGATAGCCACTTTGATCTCATGAAGACGCCGATGGGGCTCAATTATCTACGTGGGGGCGAAAAGGGCGTCGAAGCCATGTATGAGGCCGCGTGGAAATCCTGGGCCATCGCGAGTCAGCAACAGTACTCGCTATTGAAGAACCTGGAAGACAACGCCATGACGCGTTATTTCTTCGGATCGCCCATAGACTTCCCTACGAACATCACGAACTCATCCGCACCCGTCCTCAAGTACCAGGCGCGAAACAAAGGAGGTCCCGGAGCAGAACAGCTTTACAACACCCAATACAAGCGCTACAACCTGAACTTCGTCGCCCTGTGGGGCCACGACATAAGGCGGTCGCTCCCGATCGCCGAGGACGACGAGCAGGACATCACGGTCACGATCCCGAAGCGCATGCGCCGGCCCTTCGTTATCGACACCCGCGCCGTGGTCGGCCACCTGAGCTTCTACCCCCAGCACGAGGGCGTCAAGACGACCGATCTGCTGGATCGGTGGCGCAGCTTCGCCAACGAGATGATATGCGCGCCGCATAATCAGAAGAAACCGTTCGACAGGCGGTGTCCCGGGTTCGAGGACCTTAAATAGAAGGAAGACAGAAGGGAAAGAGATGTACAATAAATAGGAAACGCGCAATGACGAAATTTGTTTAATTCCCCCGTGGACGTGTGATTTGTTCGGTTGGCCAGGCTGGCTTCGCTTTGATTTGGTGCGAGTTGATGAATTGTGATATGCGTTTTGCCTCGCCTATGTGGGATGTGTGACCACGCACATTGTGAGATATTGCTTCTAATGGGCATACCACGCACGGTATTGCTGATTCAAAGTGTTGTAAATCGCCTGTTAAGGATAGGAAAGTAGGTACACCTTACTTAATGTTAATTTGATATGGTATCAGAACCTTTGACAGTACCTAAATTAACTTACTTCGTCGATAGTAACATTATACTAAAAAAAAAGTGGTTAATATACCTAATATTTCCCTTACTGTGTGCGGATATACTGTCTTCGATCGATCATAGGTTGGAAATTAAGGCCGGGTTTATATTCATCTTCTAATTCTCGATTGCTTTCAAGGAGGCGCGGCATGTATAGATTTCCCGCTTTTCCGCAATCCAGGTATTCAACTACTACGTTTTAGAGTGAGTGTAGAGGCTCCATCTCAAAGGCGTTGATACTCACCCGGCAATCGTTGGCTTTTTATGATAACCCTGACGTAGAAGTTAGGAGGTTGACTTGGATTAGAGTCCCCATGGGTTCTTTTGAATTGGATCGGAATTTCACTTTGAACGATATAGTATACTGTCCATAAGTTACTCGTTACCTTCTCATTAAGGATTATTGGGTAGACCTTTCGGTGATGTGGAAATTCTTGATAATAAACGAGATGGTATAATGCGAGGTGATTTTCGAGTGTTTTGGTTCAGTCTTCCAGCATCCTTCTTTCTCATTATAGTTAAAAAGTTAATCTTGATATTCTAAAAGAGCCAATTGTCCTATGCCTAAAGTTAGGAAGAAACCCCTGAGGTAAGTTTTCATAGCGTGAGAAATATACACTTCGAAGTCGATTCAGATGACATACCGTAGTCCAAAGTATAACCGAATTAAAATTACTTGAATCTCCCAATGAGAAGGTAAATATGAACTAAAAAAATATACATACGCCTGCCTAAACTATTCCTCATAAATGCTACAACACGATGATATTATTCACCATCGTAGCACCTTACCTCAACTTCTACGCTTATTCTTGCTTAGAAAAAAAAGGCCTACGGATTCTTTTTGCTCGTCTTGTAATCTCGATCTCTACGACTTACCCTTTGAAGCGTGAGGAGAATAAATAGGTAACATAGGTACCTAAGGAGGGCCACCCCGTCCCATACACCAGCCCGTCGGGGGATGGAGAAGTTCCGATACGATGTATTACAATTCTTATTCTTCTTCTTCAGGAGGATCCAGATCCAGCTGCGTCTCAGGCATCTTTCCTCCGTAAAACCCTCCGAAGAACTGCAGCGGGTCCCCGATATACCCGGTCTGATCGGCGTCGGCGAACACGACGTCGTTGCATATCTTGCACACCCAGACGCGCTGCTTCCCCTCGTCGCCCTGCGGGCCCTCGAAGCCGAACGCGTCGACGCCCGGCCGCTCCCGGCAGAACGGGCACACGGACGTGCGCCCGTACGTCTTCCGGCAGTAGGCGTTGAGCCCGTCGATGCAGTTGTCGAAGTCCTCCAGGTACGCGAACCGGTGCGGCGTGCAGCACACCCGCCCGACGATCCGCGTCCCGCACGAGCACCCCGTCATCAGCCCGTGCCGCCCCGTGTACCCCCCCACGTTCGCCAGCCCGACCTGCTCCGACGGGCACTCCGGCACCGGGCCCAGCACGTCCGGGCACGTCGCGAACACCCGGTGGCCCGTCCGGTTGTACGTCGCGCTCTGCGCCGCCGCCCCGTCCGCGCACGCCGCGCACGCGTACGCCCGCATCAGCGGCAGCGCGCGCTCCATCATCTCGTGGTACCGCGCCCGCGACCGCATCTCGCACTCGAGGCAGATGGCGACCGGCGTCGCGTGCCGCGTGTCCTCGCACGCGAGGTCCGTCGGCTTCAGGCACGCGTGCCCGTCCACCGTCGCCGTGCACCGCATTGACAGGTCGTCTCGCAGCCTGCCGCCCGCGAACTGCCGCTCGTAGTGCATGTAGGCGAAGGCCGGGCGCGCGGTCGGGTTCGGGTGCGGCGGGAGCGGGCGCACGAGCTCGGCGCGGTGGATGAAGGCTGGGTGGTCGGCGGCGAGCGGCTCGGGGTTGTCGACGAGGACGGGCTCGGCGCTCGTCGGGTAGAAGACGGGGCGGTTGGGGCCGGGGTCGGCGGGGCGGAAGGCGGGGTCGGGAGTGATGCAGATCAGCGGCCAGTTGCCCGGGTTCAGCTTCTCGACGTGTTCCGGTTTGAACATGGTTACCACGGGGGTCTCGAAGGCGTACTTTTGCTGGGAGGCGGTGAACCGGCTCTCGAGGAATTCCCGGAGGATGCGGAGCACGGGCGACTGGTGCGAAGGGATCTTAGCCAGCATGTCCGTCCGAAGCCGTCTTCTGATCGTCCGCAAGTCGATGACCTGGTTCACGTGGTTCACTACGTGCTGTGCCGCGCCCCAGACGGTAGCGTACTCGTCGACGAGAACTTCACCTCCGAGCGCATTGTACTCGTCATTCGAATTGACTATTTCGAAATCGACGTTCATGAAGGCCTCGTAAGGGGTAGCGTCATGCGATGACACCTCCCCTTCGTCGTAGTCCGATTCTATGAGCCGTGCCCATAGCTCCGTCTGCTGCTGCATAGTGAACCCCGGTAGCGGCGCCAGCGACAGCGCAAGCTCCTCCTGCGATGCTACATAGCGTACAGCTTGCTTTCCTCCCTCGGATGATCCAGCGGGGGATCCAGTAGGGGATGGAGCGGGAGCTGGAGCGGGGGGGAAGGTCATTCCGTGCCAGTCAACAGGAGGCATTCCCGGCCCTTGTGATTCGGCAGCCTGAGCGGCCAGCGAGCCCCATTGACTACTACCCTCCGGGGAAGGAGCAGGCGGAGCAGGTGAAGGAGTAGGGTTTGGTGCTAAGCCCCATACAGTAACATCATTAGGATCAGGGGCGGCTGGTAGTAGCAACCTCTGTGACGGAATATGCTCCGGATGAGATGGCAAACGCGGGTCAATAGGAGACTCTGGAAGTGGATGCGGTCCGGGAGACGGCCCGTGAGATGATCCAGGAGACGGTCCGGGAGACGGCGCTGGCAGGGGTGCTGGCATAGGGGCTGGCACAGGTGCTGGAATAGGTGCTGGTAGAGGGGCTGGAATAGGGGCTGATAGAGGTGCCGGCGCAGGTGCTGGCAGAGGTGCTGGCACTGGAACCTGATTTCCCAGCCTGTCCACGTATCCAAGACCAACCCCTGACTGTCCGTATGACGGTCGGTACTGGAGATGGTAGTCCAAAGGCATTAGGTAACGAGGCCCCGCAGGTCGAGGGGTATAGACGCCGCCGTCTCCATATCCAGCTCTCCTATAATACGCGGGCTGGTCGTCGCCCGGAACTCCTCGATAAAACGTGCCCCGGATAGCTCCGCCCCGGCATGTTTCGCCGTGGATTACGCAGGAATCGCACGGCCGTTTCCGATCACAAGGTCTTCTGTTTCTCACGCATGGCTCGCACTTGCTGAAGTGGACCTGGTCAGCAGCCGTGCCAGCATTAGGCGCCATAACGGGTGGAACTGAAGAAATAACAGTTAGTATATACGATTGGCTTTATACGATGCGCTGGAGGGGGGGCAAAAAAAAAAAAAGGGAAGGGGGGAAGGGGAAGACTTACGAACTAATCCATTCACGACACAATGGACTCCAACATTGGCGCATTCTGAGCATCCTCTGTTTTGGCTGGGATCTGCAGGATCCTGAATGGCATTGCACCTATCCCTATTGGAGTGCGCGTGGCGTTGTGAGAGCTTACTAGCACAGAGAAGACACTGCATACCCAGACCAAGCGTTCTCTTTCCTGATAGGTAAAGCCGCCTAGGTATCAGGGGGTTGTAGGTGGTGTCATGCACCTTCCCCCATACCGGTGGGCTGTTCGGTCGGGGCATCTCGGCAATGAATGTTGGCGTCGTATTTAACTGTCTCTCCTTGTTCTGCTTTGTCCGTTTGGCATATTGCGACGGCAGATGCCTTGTGATCGTGAAGTGCGTGTGGCCCGGGAGAGGGAGATTTTCAGCGCCCACGCCTCCGTGTGTGCACTGATGTCCCCCGTCCACGCAGTTTTGACACGGCCCATAGGGAGCACCGGTCGCTCGGCTTCTCCAGGAACAGCGCAAAATGTTCGATGCCGCACACTGATCGCAACTTATCGGTTCCGTCATACCATCAGGTCGCGGAGCCAGGATCGTTGTGTTCCAACGACAAGTCCTGTCGTTTTTCTTACAGTAAGTGCAGCCCAACCCGGGAGACGCCTCTATCCAAGCATCGCAAGGGTAACCGGGGTGCTCGGCGCGACAGTAGTCACATTCATGAATCAGAGCTCCTGCAGCGTCTGTTGCAGGTGGGCGTTGGGTAGGCGGCCAGCCATTGTGCCACCAGCCTGGCAGTCGTCCCATCTGTTCGGGGGTTAGACCCGGCGCCGGGGCCGGCACGAGACCTGATGGGGCAGGAGCTGGGGCAGGAGCTGGAACATAAGCTGGAACATAAGCCGGAGCTGTAGCTGGTGCTGGTGCGGGAGCCGGTGCCGTAATGGGGGCAGGACTAGGAAAATAAGCTGGAGCTGGGGCTGGGGCTGGGGCCGGGGGTAATGGGGGAGGATAGGGCGATATAGGATCTCCGGGAACTGGTGGTGGAGGGTAGTGATACCCAGTAGGACCATCGACGGGGAATCTGAACGCATAAGGGGGAACCGGAGCCGGCGCTGGCGGTGGAGGAGGAGGGATGTGAGAGCCATCCGGACCCGGCCCGGCTGGTCCCGTCGCCGGATCGTGCCCGCGACCTCCTCTACACACGGGGACCCCGTACATCATGCATTCGGTACACGGCTCGGTAAGATCGCAGAACTTGTTAAACACCATACAGTAATCGCACCGTCTGTCAGCGGGAAGATACTTCCTGCGCCACTCTTCGAACACATAATCGTCGTAGGAATGGCCGCTGTACTGGTGCCAGAAGCTGTAAGCATCGAAATATTGGGACCTAGGATTGTATCGATCATAAAATAGAGGGTTCATTTTAAATCAATTCCGAGTTTGAAGATATAATATGCTTGCTTTGAAAGCTTTGATAGTTAGACGAGAAACAATAAACGTGTTGAGGCTCGAGGTTTTCTGGAATTTGTATGTCTATTCGTCTTGTCGAATGATCGTGTCGAGCTTCGTCTTGTTTCCCTCATGAATACGCCCGGGGAGAGGGCATGATATTTTATATAGGCCATCTGGCGTGTAAACAACAGTATTGATTGTTCATATATCGAGATATCCTATAATCTCGCTATTGCTGAACAACGTAGTTGGAAGCGAAGTAGATGTCCGCATTCTCTTTGTTTGGGAAAAGTGAGAACAAATAGTTTCGATGATATTCCTACCAACATGAACAATGCCATTCAACTCCATCCCTATTAATCCAGTCAGAATGAGTGAAAATGAGTAAAAAGGAACGGCTGACTATAAGCTGAGGGGCCGATAGTCGATTATTTAACTGCCTACAGTACCTAAGGTAGGTACTTTCCAACTATTATCAGGTATCCAACCCCTATGTTTAAATCCTACGTAATGACGAGATCCCTAAAGGTTAGTTAAGGGCAATAGACATTTGTTGCAGCGAATCGCAGCTATACTTCATTAAGACTACCAGACTTCCAAAGGGTTAATATGACAAATACGAGTACTCGGGTTTTAGGCTTTGCCTATTAGTAGACCATGCACAGAAAAGAAGTGTCTAAGACCAAGATATGTGAACTGACGGACGCCTTAACTTGAAATGGGGGAATCTATGATGAAACCACTAAAAAAACGAAGACGAAAAAATAAGTGAAGAACATTACAAGTAGTGAAATGACCAGCAGGAGAGATCATCTTCCACATCATCTGCGATGATATAGACCCCGGGATGGTCCACGCGAAGTATTTTGTACTTCCTAAACGCGTCGTCCACAAATCCGCATAGACAGTGTTGTCTTCTCGGGTGACTGCAGATTAGCCACTCGATATGTCCCTTTATTCCCTTTTTCAGATGCTGATGATTTTGCTCGGTCCCGTAATAAGCTGCAAGACCCCGACTCCCATTACCATGCAACAATTTTGCATCGATCGGACCGACGTAGACGTCTCGAACCCGCTAAGATCGTTCATAGTACTCATGTCGGATGCACACACACAAACACAAACGCATATGCACCCTACACACGTGCAAAGTAGGTAAGCACCCACATCTTTCTCATATGCGTTGCTCCATCAATGAACCAATTATTTTCACGCCATCTCCAATCTCCAACCAACTCATAGAACTACGCACTTTGAGCAGCAGCCGGCTTCGGCTTCGCCCTCACTCACTTCCATTTTAGTACCCGGACCGCTCGCACCAGCGTTGCCACCACTGTTCGTCGATAAGCCTTGCATGTTGCGGTTGTAGTTGCGGATTTCTCTGACGAGATCGAAGAACGCCTTATCGACGTTTGTCCGGGACTTGGCAGAGGTCTCGACGAAAGGGCATCCAAATTGCTTCGCTAAAGCCTCACCATCTATAGTATATATGTTAGTGAACTAATTATTGAAAACATTTCAAAATATAGCAAAATTTAGTTTACCTTGTCGGGGAACTTCTCGTTCGCTCTCCAAATCACACTTGTTGCCCACCACGACCATGGGGAAATAGTCTGTGGGATCCTTGTCTTTGACTCGTAGAATCTGTTGTTGGAAAGTGCGGATTTCCTCAAAACTTTGATCGGAGGTGATGGAGTAAACTAGAAGGAATCCTTCACCGGTGCGCATGTACTGTTCTCTCATGGCGGAGTATTCCTCCTGGCCTGCCGTATCAAGCACATCGAGTAGAGCGACTTCGTCATCGATAACACACTGCTTACGGTAGGAATCTAGCGATGGAAATGTTAACCGGGAATAATTCTAAAAAACTGCAAAATGATAAGCAGATATCATCAACAAACCTTCAATAGTGGGATCGTATTCGTCAACGAAATGACTCTGTATCAATTGGATGGTCAGGCAGGATTTGCCTACACCTCCTCCGCCTACTACAACCAGCTTGTACTCTCTTAGAAACTACGGCGAAAACAAATCAAGTTAGCAATCGGGATGGCGGAATTGGAGAAAAGCGCGCGAAACGGAGACAAACCTTAGATGCCATTGTGAATTCGCCAATCGGCAATGATGCGTGGTCCTACTGATGGATGTTTGAACTCAATCAAAGGCCGTTGAGGGAACCGACAGGAATTTGAGTCAAGGGGGTGCGGTTTTGATGCAAGACTGTAGGGGGTAAGGCTAAGATTGTCTCAAATGGCCGGACAAAGGATTTTGTCGTCACGGATTCGGCGGAAGTCTAAGAGACGAGAATTAAGATGAACGAACAGCGTTGAAATTTGCGAATCGCTGTTGCGAGAATGCAGGTCGACGATCGGCCGCAAGGAGATGGTTCCTGTTTAGGAAGAAAAGTAGGGGAAAATAGAGCTTAGAAGGGGAGGCGGTGCCGGTTTAACTGCTTAACGGCAATATACCGCGGGAAAGGAGGGGAGGAAAAAAAAAGAAAGAAAGAAAGAAAGGGATTACAAAAGTGAAAAAAGGATCGGGACGGATCTTGGTGGTACAGGTAGAAAAAAGAGAAGATATCTTGTCGTGTGCATGTGTATGTGTCCGTGGATCACTTTAGGGATCACTTCTGGATGCAGTGACGGCGAAGAAGGAGGGAGTGATTTCACTACGCGGTCACCTTTTGGAGGTAAAGAGAAGGAGCCATGGGGGTGCTTGATTGCTTGGGTTGGCTCTGGTTGCTTGGCCATAGCGCTTGCAAAGGGGGTGGGTACCTATTTAGCTACCTAATACCTACCTAAGTACATGCAGACATGGAACATGGAAGGCCTTACTTTCTGTACCTCTTTAGCGTAGTACCTATGATGTATGTATCGTATGTATTGTACATAGGAGAGATGTCAAAGACAAGGAAAGAGGTACGACTAGATACGGCTAAATATCTACGAAAATGCATGTACCTTTATCATCTACGCATGTACCTAAATACCTAGGTCGTATGCGTACCTAGGTACTCCGACGCACCATTACAATATGGGTGGGGCAGGGGAGGATCACGGACCAAATGAAATTGATTGACATTGGCGGATTGGCTGTTAAAGTTTCTCATATGATTTCTAGCGCTTTGATTAACAGGCACGGATCACCAGATCGTTCAATTGGCAGGTGGATAACCTCTTTTAATTCTAACGGTGGACTAAGCTAAGTTAAAATAGGTAATTCCCGCTGTACAATCTCCATAAGAGAATGAGAAATATACATAGTATATCTTTTTATACATGAGCATACCAAATACATAACGTGGAAACATTGGATTGTAGGTGTGTAAAAGCTGTTGGCCTTGAAATTCCTCTTAGGTACCTGGTAGAGACGGGATAGGTGGGAAGGATCTCTTGGGGTCGATATGGTTGGATGTAAAATGCCTAACCGATACCCCAGGCACTGAACTAGCGTACTTACTTAACGCAACCCCTTCTAGGTTACTGTAGGTACTGCTAGGTAATATGTGATTAGATTAGGTAGGTACCTGAAGCTTAGCTATGGTTAAGCGCTATGCATACTTTACGTACGGGCTAATAAGATGTAGGTACGCACGTAATGTATATATATAATTACGCTTATATCGACCATATAAAGTTGTAAAGGGCCATAAAAGCACATGATATAAGAGAATGGTTAGTAGGTGTACATGGATGTATGTCTTGCGTCAGCCTGGATACATTGCTTAGTAAAAGATATACTAGGTTAGGTATTATTACATGTCATTCGATCGTCTGAACGTTATTTATTAAAACACAGCCGAACTTTTACTTTCGTTGAATTGCCAGCATATAACATAAGCTGTTCCAATTCCAATCACTTATCTTAGGTACGTAGGTATCTATTGCAGAATCCAAGGGAGCGGGGCGCTAACCCACCCTTCACAACTTCTTCAGCGCCTCGACGACCACTTACAACTTCTTTACAAGCATCTCAAATGCCATGTTCCACCAACCTTAAAAATTCGAGGTCACATATTTTTTTATTTTATCTTTTTATCAAGGGGTCATAGGTATCATAGTAACACCAACTTGGCGAACCTAAAATTCAAAGCCTGCTCACTCAATTCTAACTTGCTATAAACTCTCTTCTATCCTCCTCCTTTTCTCTCACCTTTGCGCCTGCGTGAACCTATCATGATCCGTATCAATCAATAAAACAAAAACCCGCTCGGCTAGTTCATGCTTGTCTCTATTTAGACTCGTTTGACGAAAGCGCCAACTGGATGGCTTTCCTACCTTACCTTACATATATATAAGTATATATATGTAGGTGATGTGTAGCTTACAGCTCTTCCCACATTGTGCGTTTGCCAAGGGGCAGGAATCTTCACTTCTTTGGACCGATGTCATCGAACACATCACCATTCATCCGCATACACACGCATAGGCGCACCACTACTATCCCATTCTCATCTCCTCATCCTATTGTAAAGCAGCGGCCCTAATTGCTTCTTCTGAGGTGATCGCATGTCGTTCGTCTCGCTCAATGGGCAGTCAGCTTTCGCGTGCAATAGCAAGGCATCGGTAGCTCCAAAGGCCCCATCCAGCCACATTTCCGTTCGAACCCCACTGGTAATGCTGGTTTCAATGTAACCCTGAGCGGTGAACTGGCTTGGAACGTCGACCGCTAGCCCATCATATTCTTCGACGACGCGAGCAAGGCGAGCGCCAACCAGCTTCCCAATCGATCAGCATCCTTTTTACATCCTATCTCTACATCCTTATGTATTTTATAGGTCATCCCGATCCCGGGTTCTTACGTGGGCCATCGTCCCGAATTGCCCAACATTATTAGGATATTCCAACCGCGCTGATTACTATTGAATCTTTTTTTTTCTCCTTTCAGCTCAGGGGAAGTTTCTCCGAGTTTGAATATTTCCAACAAATATGCATAAGCGATGATGATGATGAATAATTCTTATCATTAAAAAAAGTGACGAAAAAAAACTAAGGAGAATAAGAGGCCCTCTAAAATTTTAATCCACAAAGAATAATGTGACCGCGGGTCTCGATTTGGAAATGAGCTTCATTTCCTTTTCTCCTAATAACTAATTGCTCTTATTAGGCTTGACCTAAACGCCCTAATCGATCCATCCCTCAACGCGATCGTGACAAGGTCATCTAGTCGTTGCCCCATCAGGTAAATTTATCTAATATTATCCGTCGTACGCATCCAAAGTAACCTAGCTTCGAATGCTTCGAATGCTTCGAAATTCACGATCGCTTTTTCTACACCAGAAAACCAGAGCCAACCTGCATTTTTTAAGTTTTCTAGAAGCCCGCTATACTACCTACCTAGGTAACTATCCTAGCAGACTAGCTATGTGTATCTCACATGCATCCATGTGGTGTCATAGACCATGGGTAGGAATAAGGAATCGCTCTAACTAGAATCGGTTGCCCATTCTAAGCAAAGCAAGGATTTTACCATTTGCTAAATCCAATCAACCCCGCGAAGAACGGGCAATTGTCCGCGGCCTCGCCGAGAAGGGGGGTCCGAAGTATCTACCTACCTTACCTAGAACAACGCGTTCGCATAGGTCAAATTTCAGTCGATATTCTCCAAGATATTCAAGAGGTTGTCCATTGGCTGGCTGTGCAGTTCAAAATAGCCAATTTCTTACCAAAGGGGACGTGAAAATCAACTATGAATTGTCCTCGCTCGCAATGGGGTGCCTACTAATCTTAGTACTATTCCGCTAATAAGCGATCGCAATATTTCGGATATTGTCGTCTACAGCTAAGACCTATTTAACGATAATGAAGAATGATTGCATTTTCTGTACGGAGCGGCCGAATTGGCCGCGCGATTATCGCAGATCTCTTTAGCACCTTCTCTATTTATGAAGCACGGTCAAATAGCGCCGGGCCGTCGGTATGTCCAGGACGGAGTTGAAATAATATCTTGTACACCTAGGTAGGCACCGATGAGGCTATAGTTTCCGGCTCGTCATCCTCTCCCTCCCTATAGACTCGCTTTCCTTGAACGTTCTGCACAACCTCCGGTATCAGGCTCTCGATATACTCCTTATCCCTCCCGACGAGAGTGACCGTGTTATTCTTCTTCCCCCATCGAGGATAGCTTCCGACTTTCACCCCCTTTGGCGCGACCCTAGCGGCCAGCTCGGTCAGGTAGTCGGCGATAGAACTCTCCCCCAGCGGCGTAGAGATGATAGCTCTGAAAATGCCCTTGCCTTCGGGATCTACCAGCCTGTCGACTATGAACGGTTTGAGGCCTTCCAAAAGGCTTTCAACTAAATCTTTGTTAGCATCATAGGGGCTTATATATATATATATGAAAACGGGTCTAGCTAGCAGCTTACACAGCCTCGGTACACCTGGGAGAATATGGACGTTCCCGTTTACCACGGAAACGGGAACCCAGAGATCGTCGCGCGTAAATAAGGCCTGCTTTGCCAGATCGCGCGACTCGTCGATGGGTAGACGGACCATCCTAAGCCGCGCGGTCTTGGTTGGGGATTCTACATCCCAGCTGAAATTCGGATGGGACTTGCTCGGCTTCGTGAGCTTTTTCATACGCTCATACGCCTCTTCGTGCAGTACGAGTTTTAGGCCGAACGCCTTGGCGATGGATTGGTAAGTGATGTCATCATGTCTACCTTGGGGGTGAGTTTTTATATATAGAAGAAGATTATATATTGTGATTGGGCTCTTTGAACTCACGTCGGTCCTATACCACCACTAAGGAAAGAGTTAGTTCAGACTTGCTTAGATAATGAGCCCCTTTTTGTGTCCAGATGAATACCTTGTCACAACGAAATCATATCGGTCACTCATTCGCCGTACCGCTTCTACGATCTCGTCTTCATCGTCCTCAATAACCTCGACTCTCTTCAAGTTCTATAATGACATATGAGCTTTAGCGTTCGTCCACGGCGTAAATTAACCAGCGGAGCTCTTACTATTCCCAGAGAAAAGCACCACTTCGCCATGTAAGCCGAGTTCGTCTGACAATTGTATATATTAGTCATTGAAAAGATATATTGAAGACGGTCCCGTATGAGGAAGTCTCACGTCAGTTGTCTAAGAGCGGTTAGCTTAAGAGAACAACAGCATAGGTAGGTACCTAGGTAGTTATATCAAGATATGATGATACACTAGTCAGGTTAGACAGAAATAAGACCTCATACCTTTCCCCCCAGGACTTCGTCGCCGATGATCAGGCAGGCCGCCGTGTGTATCGTCCTCGAGTTCCGCTCGTCTGCCGAAGCCATGGTGATGATCCTCGATGCCAGGCCGCTGGACCCGAGCGGCGGGGATGGACGACCGAATTGGATGGGGTGAGGTTTCGAGAGATGACAGGCCAGCTGCGACAAGCGCGAGATCATAAAGAGAGAGTGAGAGAAATGGCAGATAGGTTGTTATTCGGCGTTTATGTAATGCAATCCGTTATATGCAGCATCTTAGGTACGCCTTTACCTACTATATCGTTGCGGATGTACCTTAAGTGATTAAATGCGACCCAGCTACTGCGGCCATAGATGGTACCTAACGAATATAAGTTGTGTTTGTCTTGTGCAACAAACGCAGACGATTTGGTGAAGTTGAAATGGTCGCCTCGGGGAATAAACGGGGCAACCGGAGACCCGTTTGTCTCCCCTCCTTACCTAGGTAGCTAAAAGACTCAGGCAATCGTCTTTAATACACTACAGTAAGGCAAGAACAACCATTCGGCTCTTTCCCGATATTAACGGATCTGCCGAACTAAGCAGCTAGAGCCTACAGCACCTTATATTAGGTAAGCAAAAGCAATAGGTATAATAGTACCTACATGTACCTAGGTAGTATACCTCTGTTGCCGCTAATCACGGAGTATCCTCGGCCGAGGACAGCTCGGTGCCGTCCGTTATTACCTAACCTAGGTACCGCCTATGGAAATTTTAACAAACTCCCAACATGAACATGAACATGAACATGACGTGACACAACAAAGACCATGATACATGTACTAAGTAACTTTTTTCTGTTACGCGTGGTATTCATTAACTTTTCTCAGATACCTACTTCTATCTATCTATCTGTCTATCTTTTAGTCGTCTATTCGGAAAGTCCATGGGTATTATAAGATTTTCTTTTCAAGACGCTCCTCATCTTTCTTCGTTAAGGAGCTAGGCAGTGAATATACCACCTAAGAGGTAGGTTTCGTCCAAACTCATTCCGTCCACCGGAGCTAGTCACTTTTTTTATCTTTTTCTTTTTTTTTTAAAAAAAAAGAAGAAAAACTCCCCAATCCCCAGTGCCACCGATCGTTTTGATCACTATCACTTAGTCTTGGAGGACTCGGACTTGGCCTTGGACTTGGCCGGCGCCCCGAACTTCTCCTCGATCTCCTCCTCCGTGAAGCGGCGCGTGCAGCGCCTGAGCAAGGCGGCGCGCTGCTCTAGTGTCATGGCGATCTGCCTCTCGCCGATCGGCACGAGGCACCGCGCCAGGTGGTCGTAGTGGTGGAGCAGCAGCCGGACCGTGATCTCCAGGTAGTCGATGTTGTGGAAGACGAGCGCGTGCTCCGCGCTGTAGGTCTGCTTGTTGGCCAGGAAGTGCACGGGGTGCTCGCGCCAGTGCCGCAGAGGGTTCAGGTGGTGCGAGGTGTGGTACCCGTCGTTGTAGCAATATCGATTGCTCTACAAAGTTTGATATCGTTAGCGCCCCATGCTAAGTGCTTAAGTAGGTACCTAAGGTAGGTAATGCAAAACGTATGTAGCGACGGAGTCACAGTCTATATAACGCGGGAGAATCCCGGATGAACGGCTAAGCTAAAAGTGTGCGAAGATCGGAACTTACAGGGACGTCTATCAAGGTAATGCTGGATCGGTAGTCGGAGTCGGGCTCGTCGGCATCCACGAGCGCATGCTGACCCCAGTTACCCACCATGAGTCCGAAGCGAAGCAGCATAAAGGGGAGCAGGAATACGAAGGTCGTAGGGCGACTGTTCAGCTTGAATAGGGTTAAGAACATAGCATAGTTGAGCATTTCCCAGAATGCTGCCTTCAGCGCGAACGTGGGACGATCTTTCCGGAGGAAATACAGAGGCAAGTCCAACCAAGCCAGGAAATAGAAACGTCCGACGTAGTGCAGAAAATGCCAGACGTTATCGCGCTGGTATCGAATAGTCGAGGATAGATCATCCGGACCATTGCCTTCGACGTGATCTAACAGCCAAGGCAGATAAAGTTAGCATTTAAACTCTACCTTATAAAGAGTTCTACGTAGATCCGTCGGGCAGATGCCGGGGATATGAGACGACAATAAGAGGGTCATTCTGCTTACTACGCAGTGTTAGCTATGTTATATAAAGAAGCCCCAAAGATGATTTAAATAAACTGACCGATGTTTAACGTGATGGTAATAATAACTATTAAATGTGTGACCCATCAACGGATCAAGTATGTACGGGAATGTTATGTCGAAGAGGTGGATCCAGGACTGTTTACGCAGCACACCTCCCGCGTGGATATGTTGGTGCATCATCAACGTGTATGCGCCTACGTAGTAGAACTGCATGGCAGCGTGGATAATCCCATGCCAATAAGTAAAGTGGTAAAAGAGCCATATTGCACTAGGGACGGAAGTGGTGAAGTAGAGTATAAGGTGAGTTATCATAATCACATCGCTATAATCTCATCAGTAAACTTCTTATGAGAAGGCCGTGGAGTTAGGACATAATCATAATCCCTTATATGCCCAAGGAAGGCTAACGACGGCTTATGAGCGTAATAGCAAGTACGTACTGTGGATATGTTAGTATTCATTAGGATAAATGACGAGAGAGAGATGATATCGCAACACATACCGTAGGATGTCTAGCGATGCCTTGAGCCCATTTTATATACGGCTGCAGGACATATTGGTATATCACAGGATGTAGTCGCGCGGATAAATCTCGATAGTCCACGGAAGAGAAGATAGTTGGCTCGAAGTCTTGGTGCGCCGGATCGTTCAGTGCTTTCATGCGAGCTAGGTCGTGCTCATCTCTAGACGACGGGGTGCCATGCTTATCGGCTAAAGGTGAAAATCCTGGTCAACACGGAACCCGGATCCGGAGAAGCTCCTTGCGTTCTGTCCGAACTCCCCCCTCCCCCATTTAAATAAAATACAACGGACTTACCTCCATTCGCGGTCTCTGGACTGGGTGTCGTAACGCCGTTCTCGGTAGACGGGCCGGACCGACGTTCTTGGTATTCTTTAATGTCTTCGGCAAGGTTCCGTAAAAGTGTAACATCATTCGGAGGTAGCTCCGGGTTTATTATAATCGTATCCATGATAAATCTGTCCAGCAGAAAAGACCATCAGGAGAGATGCTTTTCTTTTATTTTTTATCCTTTTTTTATTCTTTATGATAGGAAAAATAAAGAGGAAATGTAGTGCTGAAGAGGAAAAGAGAATAAAACCACGTAAAGTAGGGGATGGCGTAGGACAGGGGCTGCATTTATAAAGGTACTTGGTACCTCTCGTATGTTTGCGGTCAAGGGGTTAGGAGGTATGTACATATTTAGGGGAAGAGAAAAAAAAAAAAAAAAAAGGAAGTGCAGAAATCCACACTTACGTGTAAATAATACTGATAGGTTAGAAACACCAACTTTTACGCTGTGTTTGGTAGGTACCTTCCTTTCATAATTCGAAACTTTAGGTAATTTCATTAGCGATTTATACAGACCAACATGGTATAAACATGCATTGGTACCTTAGGCAGGCAGGTACCGACCGACCTTGGATTTTATTCAGGAGAAATTGGTACATTCTAAAAGAAAAATAATTCCGTTGAGAGTTTACTAAAGAGCAAGTAACTGGGTAGTTTGTTGCATTTCAAACTAGTGCGAAATTTGCAGCTGGAATTGGCTATCCCACATATTCTGCTAAGACGCTTTGAGCGACAACCAGGCACACGTTGTTCAACCATAATCGGCATTTGGTTCGCTTATTCGGATTGCTGGAATAAGGGTCTAGACTGACATAGGAGTAGTGCAGGGATAAGAATTAAGGGATCTAGATTCGGTAAGTATTACCTATCTGATACCTGATACGACGTTGACTTGTTGAGCCGCACACCTTGTTTTTCCATAACCGGGTTCTATTATACCTATGGAATAGGTATGGAACAAATCGGAGATATCGGCACTATCTAGGGAGCTAATCATTACAGATGAACATCTTCATATAAGTAAAACGACGGGGTAATTTAGTATAAAGTCCCTAAATATCTATTTTCGCGCTTTACGTGCTGTTTCGGATTTATTCAATTTATTCATCTGATCTTGTCATCTCTAGTAGAAATGTCACCTCATCTTGCCTATTGACGACGTGTGTCCTCTTTTTGGAGAGTAAACACTTGCTTGTTATTTTAATCCATTAGATGCTGTACAAAGTTCGTTCACCAGCTGCTCTGAAACGGAAAATAAATAAATAATCGTGCTCGAAACCATCACCTTCATTGCTGGGGTATCGTTGAGATATGATGCAGCACAACCCGTGGCCTGCCCTGTCCCTTTTTTTACAGGTTGCCGTTAAGCCCTAAACCTGTGCTCCGATTTTTTGTTGAAAAATCTGGACCCCGTTTCCAAACGCCTTGATATGCTTGTTGAAATGGTAACTCCCTTTGCCCGCCTGCCGAATGCTTGTTGAAAAGTGTAATGACGCCGTTCCCTGTATCAATGCTATGCTTGTACCATAGCAATTGCCCTGTCTTTCCTAGCAACTTAATTGCCGTTTGCCTCCTTTTGAATCCCGTTTTGCTCTCCGCCAATAGGTGTCACGGGCACATCGATGTCCTTAACAGTCAGTCCATCGAAAAGCTCAAAAATAGTCCGCGATTGATGAAAGTCATTATTGACTATAGCCTGCATTAGTATTACTCTCTCCCAAGGGCTGCTGGTGACTTACCGATATTAATTAGGTACCACTCATTCATGATCTTTTCGATTAAGATGCGACTGGGTGAGTTCGCATCGTGGCAATGCGCCCAATCTGTACCAAGTCTAAAGGCCTCGTCTTTCCAAGCTAAGAAACTAGTACTCTCGACAATTGTGGGTTGGACAATCTCTTTGCCCGGGAAAACTCCCCACGTCACTGCATTGGGTCCTTCGGAGGGCGTGTTCGTCGTGAGCTTGCCAGATCGCGTCACGGCGTAGTAGGATAACTCCGGGTTGGCGTTAATTCTTCGAATGATCTCGGGGAATAGATCAGGAGAAACTAGCAATTCTAGATATGCCTTTTGGTAGACATATCCGTTGGAAGGTCCCCATCCATATACGGGATGAGTAGATTTGACACCATCTACTGCTGGTTGAGAATTGATGGTTAATAAGCCGCGTTCATTGAGCTTGATGAGATCATCTTTAATAGAGTCCGACTCGCTAGTAAGAGGTGCTTCACTCCAAGGCAAGGAGGGAAGCTCTCTTTCGATGTACCGCACAAAGAGGGAAGCGATATCTCGGATGGACTTGGGCTCTCCCCATCTCTTGCGGTTGGATTCGTTTGTACCAGTCAGACCAATGCCATATGCATCTAACTCGCCAAAGGCAGGAGAACGCGAGTCACCCCACCTACCGTTCGGAAATTCATCCCAGTCCTGAGTTCTTGAGACGTACGACTTGTTTCGGTTACGCCAGAAAATAGGACGAACGTCTTCGTCGCGTCGCCCAAGTGCAAGGGATTGTTTCCAGGGAAGAGCTTGTTTCCGAGGGCGGTTCGTGGTTGGCATCCAATCCAGTTCTTCTAAAACCATACGGGTAGCCTGGGCCAGGTTCATGGTATAGAAGTGAAGATGAACGATACCGGCAGACATGATCTTTCGGCATAGCTCAGCGACTAGCGTCTTTCCAACCTCCCTTACAGCGGCGTCGTCGTTTTTGACTGGTTCGAGAGCAGCCATCCATCCCTCAGGTATCTTGCAATTCATATGGTTTGCACGTCGAAGGAAACTAGCATAAGTTGCAATTGGCATAATTCCGGGAATGATCGGAACGTTGATCCCTCTTTCTCGCACTTTCTTAACCCATCGTATGAAATTTTCGGCATCGTAGAACATCTGCGTGACAATGAATGTAGCACCCATATCAACCTTCTCTTTCAAGTGGTCTAAAAGCAAGTCCTCATCTTTATTATCGTCACAGCCCTCGGGATACCCGGCAACACCAATGTCGAAGTGATTACCGTACAACTTTCGTATATGGGCGACGAGATCTCTTGCATATTTGAAGCGGCCATCTGTAGCTACCCACTGCTCCTTTTCACGAGGAGGGTCACCACGGAGGGCCAGTATGTTGGTGCAGCCGGCCTTGTACGCTCTCCTCAACGCGTCGTTTATCTTTTCCTCGCCCATATCTGTGCAAGTAAGATGCATGCAGGTTTCGAGACCGAAGTAGGCCTGAGCCTGAACGACCATGTCGCAGGTCAGCTCAGCAATCCGCCCTCCTGCTCCCCATGTGATATCAATGAACTTGGGTCCGAAGTCGTACATGCGTTCCATACGGTCGTACAGGTTCTGAACACCTTGAGCTGTCTTGGGTGGGAAATATTCGAAAGAGAAGGACGGCTGGCCAGTCCTCTCGGCGTCTGCGATCATCTCGTGGATATGCATCTTGGGCGGTACGATATAGAGCGAGCACTAGTAATAGAAGATCTTGTAAAATTACATGTAGTAATGGCACAAATGAAAATCTAATCTATACGGGACGAAGTTAGAGAGTGACTCAACGGGTGGGCAGAGCAAGGGAGAAGCAGAAGAGCTTTAAAGAGTGAGAGTGAGAATGAGAGTAAGAGTAAGAGTGAGAGAAAATCTAGCTGGCTCACCTAGCAATCTTGAGATACAGCAGAACACATAAGGAATGGTTCTCGAATTGAACTCGAATTGAGTAATTCAGAGGCCTATTCACTTCTTCCTAGAAAAAAAAAAGAAATAACTCCCTCCGACCCAAACTTGAACGTACAAAGTCCAATTTGTGTGTGGTAGTACTTTGTAACTTTATATAAGAGAGAAGGAAAAGAAGAGCCCAGAAATTCTACATTTCTACGAGAAATAACAGAAATAACAGAAATTAATGGATCGGGATCCCTTAAGCTTCGATGTAAGTCCAATTGGAAAGTCCCACCTTACTTAATGTACACTTCAACCCGCTAATCCCGAGTCAGAAGCATGTATAATTGGTCCGATTGCTGGGGTTGTCGGGGTGTCTAGTATATTTCAGCCACATTTCCAATGCTTGTAGCAAGCCGAGCAGTAGCGGTAAGCTTATAACTTCATCCGATGTACTGCTCTGCACCTAAATGCTCGTCACGCATATGCGGCTTACAACATTATAGGAACAGCCAAACAGCTCCTACCAGTGACACGACGCACTAACCCTCTAGGTACCTGCCTAAAGGTATTTATTGTACATGTACAATACCCCATGTAAAATACTTTAGGTACCTGGACAGCTATCGACTGATAATGTAATAGGGCAGGAAAAATCCGTGGTTATGGTAACAGCGTTAACGTATCTTACCTTCATGTCGTCGCATACTTACTTCATAATGTACAAGGTAAATATAAAAAAAGCAAAAAAGATAAAAGTTAATATAAGCATGCTCCCGCTGTAGGAGACCGCTTTGGGCTACCCGGGTGGTAACCAAGCACCTTCGACGGGATGATCATGAAAATTGTGTAGGAGCATTGAGGTACATGTACCTACTAAATTACCCCTCATGGCTTACCCCTCCATGTCTTGTTGGAGGACCTAACCTAAAAAAGCCCAATTGGCGAACTCACCTCCGATCGGCGAGCCTTGACCCCACCTCACCGCCAGGCGATACGCTAGTAATCCGTACCTCTTATGTCAGTGGCTCAGGTAGTAGGCTGCTAGGTACCTCACATGTTAATGTTTCATCTCCACGACCGAAATCTTTCGGTCGAGTTTTCCACCGTTCTCTATCCTTAGGCCGATGATCATAACCGAACAAAAGAGGATATACTATTAGGTACCCAGGCTGCCAGGTAATTTTCAGTGTTCTCAACTAATCTATTTCTTCCGTAACCTCTAGGTAAATACCTTCACAAACTCTGGCTTATATCGGGAAGTTGAACTCCAATATAGTTGCTGAACCATTGATGTTAAATAGTCTAAGATGAAAAGACAACAAGGATTGCATATATCGGAGTCGCATTCTTTGCACCAAGTAGAACTATTCAACTAGCATTTTTTACCCTAAAGTTTACAGCAATAACAGTTCATGAGCAGAGCTATATTACAATTAAAATGCCTCTATTTCAGTAGAATAAAATAACTATCAAGGTAAATCTTAGGTGTTTCAAGAGTCCTTTAAATAACTTCTTTCTACGAATTGCTGAATATGAACTATATGCAGTAATCCTTGGGAGTCTACTTATTGAATATTACAGTAAGTCAAGTTAAAAGACGCTGGCACCCGAGTGTGCTTTTTTTGTAACACGATACCTAGATGGCGGGAAGCGTTGTCTTGTATGTATAATATCCCAAAGACCGCTGCTTGACATGAAGAGATCCTCCACTTACTGCCTTTGCATTCCGTCCCCACTTGCCTATAACATTGAGTTTATTCCTAACGAATGCGCGGATTGGAAACTAAATTTATATGTGTGTTTGTAAATGATCCAGCATGATAGTTAAATTCCGATCAAAGAAAAGTTGCCGTGTTAATACGAAGTTATGAACAACTTTGAATCTGACCTAGTTTGGACCGCGATGCCATCCATTGTGGACATGCCTCCACGAGGTAAGGTAAGTCTATGCGTAGAGAAGGTAGCATCGAACGGATTACCTGTATAATTATGTTAAGTGAGGTAGTTAAGGGCGCAATGTTGTACCTATTGTAATATGGTGAAAAAAAAAAAAAAAAGCTCGCACTTTATTGCATTCGAAAACTATACACAGAAAGACGTGTTACATCAGGTAATTTAGACTACCTACGACGTAAACAATTAGACCTCGGGCTTATATTATACTTAAACCAATATATGTATTGCAAGAGTAACAGGTAGGTAATCTTGGACTTGAGTTGTTAAGTCCTTAGTCTAGCATCGTAAAACGGGGCAAGTGGTCTTAGTGTTCAGCCTTATGGATGGAGTTCGTTACGGGGTTTGTTACCCGTTCTCTCTCCATGGCTGGCGTCATTCACAGTAGACCATCCCATTAATGCAATATGACTTCGCCCCTGTGCTAACGGTAAGTTGACCTATCAGTGCATTTGCCCTCATATTTGCATGGATACGGACCTAGGTGATGGCTTGGCTATTTGGAAACATCTCCGTTGATACGTCTTGGGTAAACCTGAATCTTTTAACTGGTAGTTACATCATACAATTTTTATAAGCGGCGGATACGTTATAAATAGTACCTCGTGAGGTAGCCTACTTTCGCTCTTAGACGACCCTTCCAATTTGGTACTTTTTCAGCTAGCTTGCCATTCTTTGATTACCTGGTGTAATATTAAGTCCTAGTTATATTATCTATGAGAGCGGGATGGAATTGCAGTTACTACTTGATCAATAGTTGAGCAAGAACTAATAGAAAAACATGTAACATTGTTCAAGTTAATTAATGACCCCATCTGACCGACATGTTGTAGTAACAAGGACTAACTCATTCTTATAGTAGAGAAGCAACCAACGATCCCATAGAGTTAAAGATGTTGTAGAATTCCTCTTCCTCAAGTCACGGAGGCCCCGGTCTATTTTCATGCAACCCTGTCGAGTTTCTGCCGTTTCTGTCGGAGCCGGGTCCTGATGTACAGCCCAAGCTTTTTTAGAGGGAGCTAAGTCTAATCATGCTTCGTGATTGGTTGCGTTATATGAACCAGAGATTCTTCTTCCCCGGACACGGGCAGGGATTAGGTAGTCCTACCCCCCTGTTCCTATTTTGCGAGTCTGCAACTCATTCATATCTGACCTGTGTCCCGTTGCGCCTGATAATGTCCTACTGTCAGCATCGATCGACCACTGTCTTCTTTTCTGATCGTGATGTTCAGAAACCTGTGTTACTCGGAGAGTTTTGGATAATTCCACGTTTATTTATACACGTCATTATTTGAACTTCCCTCGATAAATATGCCCCCAAGAGTGAGTACCTGACCTATCTCACCATCGCAATATTATTATTTTTTCTTCACTATTTTTGAGTCGTTCAGCTAAAATTCTAACCGTACCGCAGTACGACGAAGCGCCTGAGTTGATTCCTCAGAATTTTCCCGAGGTTCATCACCCACCTGCAGTCCCGGAAGTTGCTACTACATATGGGCAGCCTACGCCGGCAACTCTCAATATAAAGCCCGAAGAGTCAACCAATTCGTCATTAGGATATACAGGTTTTGCGCCGGTTGAAAATCCGCCACCTTCGACGTATACGTATGATTACCAAACTGGATATGGCCCTACGATACCATCAGAGCACGGGAAAGCACCGCAACGAATACTAGGATGTTCAGCACTAGTCTTCATCCTATCCATTATTATCGCTCTTCTATCGACAGCCGTTATAGGCTTGGCGGCGGGAACAGGCGTTGAAGCAAGCCGGGCAAACGACGCTGAGGCGCGTTTGGCCGCGCTTGGTGCTTCGCCGGCGACAGTTACTGTGACAGCACCAGCGCCAACATCAACCAACCCTAGCACGATTGATAGAGGATGTTCTACCAACTCAGGCGGGGTAACAGGGACGACATACGAATCTCAATGTGAGTGTGTGGGATCGACCCGTGGACTCCAATTCAGAGAAACTGCTAACTGCCTGAACTCAAGACTTTAACAATCCTACCTTCAAGATATATTGTAACAGTGACGCTCCAAATGATCCGCTCATCTCTCTTTTCGTAGGCAATTTTGACGACTGCATTGACGCCTGCGCTTCTTACTCTTTCTATGTGCCGTCAGATTTCGTCAGTAATTCCACGTTAAGAAACGCCACCTGTTCCGCGGTCAGCTTTATTCCTGCCTGGACCAACCGCACATTCGCTCTCGACGGAGATGCGCCGGGCAATTGTTATCTCAAGCCCGGGCCTCAGAATCAGACAGCATTGAATAATCCCAACATAGGGGGCTCTGCAGTGCATGCAGCGATTTTAGATACAAAATCTTGATGGCGATACATCTATCATCGATCTACTGTTTACTATTATTGCATTGGGTTTTTGGCATGAGGCGACGAGGCTCGCAGTTTACATGATACCATAGCGCAGGAGTTGGGTGTTCACATAGAGGCTTTCTAATCCATAGGTATATATTTAGCGCATCGTCCTACGTGGCTGTTGGGGTGGAATTCTAGTTTCTAAGCTCTACGTTGAGTTCTAGGGGTCATTGGCGTTTTTAAATTACGATAGGCATTCGAGTCGCGATAGTGAAAAGATCAAGGCATATCAAGGCGTATTGTACGTGTAGGTAGAATTTTCACCTCAGCTATGACGAAAACTCTTGCAGAAGCTCCCAACATCCTTCGACTTCTTCTGCAAGCAATACTCCGTCACTGCAACCGCCTGATCACTTCCTCTGGGGCGATGCTGACTGATGTTGAGGTGTAAGCTGATTCAGCCAGCAAGGCCAGCTCGGGAAACTACGTAAAAAGTAGATCACCTCCTGTCTCAGGATACCGTGTCAGGTAGGTAGACACGCAGATTTGTTACATACGGTCCCGAAAGATTTAACCGAAGACTGTCAATTGCGTTCCATATACAATGCGTGTCTAAATTTGAGCTGAAATGTAGGATGTACCTAGTGACATACACGTCTAGCAATACTTTTCGGATAGAATACCGGGGCCAGGAACAGCGCCACCATCCATCTAGCAAAAATAGGGTGGAATCGTCCTGGCGCTGCCACGCGGGTAACAAGGGTGAGCCCCTCGGCAGGCCGCCAGAAATCCACCCACTCGATTCTATCCCAATCGTTGGGTCCTTTACACGTAGAATATCTTTCGATTCCAAAGAAATGACCTGCGTTTGTAGGAATATTTCATGAAAGTAAGTTCGTATTGCTATGCATTCATGTCTACCTCTTATCCACATGCTTGGATCCCAGCTAACCAGTCATGAATAGTAGCATCCCTGACATGTATCTGTTGAGTTTGTTCGATCCTCCTGTACGACCCCTCAATTAAGTAAGTACAGGTAACTTTGGTTCAATCAGAGGCGCAAGATGCTTGACTTCATGATATACCATGGGCATATGACAGGCACCCGATGAGCTTCTTGTCTAAAGATATCATACCTTACCCAATGCAGTCCTTGCTAAGGGGGTTGATTGGATGGAAGCATTAGTCTCCCTGGGTAGGAGCTGATTTAATAATCTAGTTATACGGAAGTAAAATCGAACTAAAAACGTAAACTAATATCGATCAAGAGGTAGATATTAAGTTATACTACTTAGAACTAATACAGTCATGTATACTTGGTGGTGGAGTGAGTGGATCAAATCTTTAATGGTTCTTCCATCTCAGGTCCTGCTCAATGACAGGTTGTGCTAAGACAATGTTCCTAACAGGTTTCTTTCAATCGAACTTATCTGGAAAGGAAGTCTTACATTCCAAGATATCAAGATTTAGGACAATTTCACGCAAGATTTTGGCAGCATTTGGTATAAGCCCGTTCTATTGCCAGTTGTGTAACTGCTAAATTTACAGAACCTCCATTCATATATCATATATCACTTCACAATTACACTCTTCTCTAATCACTTTGAATTTGCTCGCGTCTCATAGCGTAACGACTATCTTCTTAGCCGAGACACTACCCGACTTCCCTAAATCGATCGCGCCCTGAATATTTTCGAGACCGTGGCCGAATACCAACGGCTTCGGCAGACACTGGAACTTCTTCTGAGCTAAGGCGGCGGGGAGATACTGGTCGAAGATGAGGGATCCGACTTCGTTATCCTTGATCGTGCCGGCGAACACCATCTTGGCCTGGACTCCCTCGGGGACGTCGGCCGGCTCCATAGCGCAAGCTACGAACTTGTTGCCCTCGACTTTGCTGATCACCTCGAACACGGGCTTCCGCGAGCCGATCTGGATCGCGTAAGCGCCTGCGCTCGTCTTCCCCTTGAAAGCTTCGATGATATCTTGCGTGACGGTGGGGCTGTTATAGTCAAACACGCGCGAGGCACCAAGACCCTTGCAGTACTCGAAGTTCTTCGGCGACGACGTTGTGTATACCTCGTATCCGGAGGCCACGGCAAGCTGGATGGCGTTTGTGCCGACGCTTGATGCGCCGGCCCAAATAAGCAGTGTCTTGCCGTTAGGTTTCGGGTCAACACTTGGGTAGTCCAGTGCTAAGAAGTCCTTCTGGTATAGGCCGCAGGCTGCTGTAGATATTCCCAGGGGAAACACGGAGGCTTCGGTAAATTCCAAGTCGTCCGGGATGGAGACGACGATCTTTTCTTTGAGGACGACGTAGTTCTGGAACCCGCCAGACCGAGCGTCAAATCCGGCTGTAAGACCAGACACGCGGTCGCCGACCTTGAATTTGCTGACATTGGGGCCAACTTCGACTACTGTTCCGGCGACGTCGCTCCCTCCAATGTAGGGGTATTGAAGCCAAGAGAACAACTGCTCTCCCAAAATCTGGATGTACCAGTCCATGGGGTTAATAGCGGTGGAAGCTACCTTAACAATAATTTCGCCATCCGCAGCAGTTGGGTAGGGTGTAGATTCGACCTTTAGGGGATGGGCCTTGGGCTCAGTAAGTAAAGCTGCGCTGTTGGTAGGAGTCATCTTGGAGAAGGATGTTGTAGTTGTGAGATCTTATAACTATGCCTTTATTTTCGAGTTTAAGTCTAGAAGTTGGTGATCTTCAAGTTTCTAGATTAAGTTGAAATTTGTTTGATATCACTACTAATATATATATGATAGCTGTATATCATGAAAACCGGCGGGAACACAAAGATCCCTTTAATAGACGCGGAGCCACGGATCCGTATACCGGTCATAAATGTTTAAAGCCGGCCCGAATGCCTCTGCTTCCGGAGGACCCGATTGCTCGGCCCCGGTATTTCCTAATTCAGCACACACAAACTCCGGCATTATTAAGCAATATATTTACAATAAGTACCAGACGAAATCTGAAGTTAAGAGAGGTATTTAATTCAATCTAGAGCTATTATATAAATCGAAATTTTGAGTTATATCTACGCCGTTCACAGCCGACTCGGGGTATCAATTTGGATATCGGTCCCATTTTCAATATTTCTGGATACCTGAAGAGGTGCTCTCGTCTCGTTGAACGGCGTGCGTGTAGACAGTTCCGGTCTCCTTCCGCCGTTTTTTGAACAACGTGCATAGGCTATTCGCGGGATGACAATGCACCAAGAGCTAGTTAACAGGAGAATGCTGTAAGTTTTCATGCAAAATACCTAGAAATATTCGTAGTACATAGTAATTGAAGCCTTGTGGCCCCAATATGATGGTAGTATTAATCTAATAATCATAGTCTTCAGATACGAAGGACTAAACTTTAGGTCATGAAGGCTTTCCTTGTGCTCGCGTACAATGCGCAACTAGTCGAAACGAAACCTAATAGTTGGTATCTTTACGGTCAGGATTGCATGAGAACACGACTGGCCTGTCTACTAGGTAAGTTGGACTTTGGTAATAGTTTACAAGACCCATCTGCCAGGGATGTTTTAAGGCTGAAGTATTCTACTATTACTTGCCTGTTTCGTTGCGTAAACTAATAATTGAAGACGATAAGAGTTGGTTTAGTTTAGTTAGTCTAGATATTACGCGATGTATTCTTTAACATGTTTTAGCTTGCTTCTTATTGGTCAATTGTAACTCAATGGCCTGTCGGAGTTGTAGCTGACCAACAGTACTGGAACTTATTGATACCGAGAAGCAACTAAACCGTACAATACAACAATAGGTAACAACTTCATATTTCTGCAATACGTACCTATCCAAGCTTCAGCCAACTTCCTGTTTCGTGATTCAACTGTTTATTTATTTTCCTTCACGGCTTCTAGAAAAAATCTGTCAAGTAGGTATCCTAAATACAGTATCTACACTATGTGGTGGTACCATACAATTATTACACTCCCATCCTTTTAAGGCCCTTTATCAGCTTAGGCATATCTTGGCGGTGTGGACTGCGCTATTCGGGTCACGACCGCACAGTAGAAGGGGCTGGAAAATATACAGTCGCAGCAATATGCGAATGGGCTAGCGAGAGCAGCCAATAACAACCCCTTTCCCCCCGCCTTTTTTCGACCTGGATTTCGACGGACGCCCTGCTCGTCAACCCAAGGGCGTACTCCACATCTCAATTACATGACTGCATGGATTAGTTTAGTTTTCGGCGCTGTCAGCAGAGCCCGGAACTGGCTTTTGCTGTGGTTGCGATACGGCGAACGAGCAAAGATGGCACGATGACTCTTGTTTAAACTTGGGATCTTCATCTCTCCCGCGTCCGGCTCTAGCGACAAACGGAGCACCGCAACGCAAATCCTACTTGTGTGAGTTATATGCATTAACTAATACCTAAGGTACTGTAGTTAATTCCCCAAGGATCTAACTTACAAGGAGGAAATATCTGTCTTGTGCCTTAAACTTCCTCTCCCCATCCCTTTTCAAAAAACTAGTCGAAAATTGTTCGTACTTTTCCCCAGATTTCTATTTACTCTTAACGGGAACGTGTCCTACTTTTGAGTCATCTGTCCAACTTGTCTTGTCCAACTTATACATTTGCTACGTCCGAGATTGTTAAGGCGAAGACGAAGGAACTACTGTGTCATTATTACAACTGGCGCCCTTCTTTACCAATTCTTACCCCTTGGGTGTAAATCTCTTGAGCGGTTGCTGCGCCCTAAATGACGACAATCGACGAGTTAGAAGAGATGGAATTTGTTAATTGGGATGGTGCCGTTGTCGGCACCGGCTCCGAGCCTGTAGTCACTTCGGAGGGCGTAACAGGTTCTATTGATGCTGATGCAGCAGCCGCAGCCGCAGCCGCAGCATTGGTGAACCAACCCAATATGGATCTCGTCTTTGGGGACGTCGAGGGAGATGACTGGTCTTACTGGGCTCTTGAACACTTCGAGTCCACTCAGATACCTCAGGAGGCCGATTCGGTAGTGCCGCCGGAGACAATATCTTATGCCGACACGCAGCTTTACTGGGAAGTACCCGCCGTTCCCTGCACGCATTGTGCAATGGGAGGTTATCAATGCAAGCAAATTAGAGAAGGTAAATATAAGGGCTATTGCACGAGCTGTGTGGCCCTGCGTTGTGAGTGCAGCTTCGGTCCCCAAGAACATAACTTGACTGCCGAGGCCGGGGCGACTTTTCCTGCGAACCCCTGGCCGGTCATGGGCGATAGACCAGAGACATCTATCCTACTTGAGGATGAATTAGCTGCAATGATTACTTCGCCGCCGTCTGCCCCTGGCTTAGTTGCAGTTGCAGACCACAGTCAATCACAGTCAAAGCCGCCGACTACGACTAAAAGTGGTACAAGGTTTTCCCGCGAGTCAGTGAAAATTCTGAAAAACTGGGTATCGACGCATAGCAGACACCCATATCCTACAGAAGAAGAGAAAGAAGGTCTGCAGAAGATAACTGGCCTTAGCAAGACACAGATTACGAACTGGTTAGCAAATGCCCGCCGTCGTGGAAAGATCCAGCCGAACCGAGCGACATCCCCCCATATTGGCCGAGGATATGTCCAAGCCATCGATATTCCACAGCGGAGAGGCACGCCAGCGTTATTCGAAAACATGAACCCATTGCAGCGATGGGCGAATTCTCCACCGGAAAACGAACCCGCGTCCGTGGCCGCCATTGCCAAAGCCGTGTCAGACTCCAATTCATATTCGCAAACCTCCGGATCGGGTCGCAACAGTCCCTACGTCTCTAACTATTCAGATGATGGATCAAGTAGGTCGCTGTGCAATCAATCGTCTGCTAGCAGTTTAGGTACCTCTCACTCGAGTGGAGGTTCTTTCGCCTCTGCATATTCCAGCAAGTCGCGTGGTTCCTTCGGTTCGTTATCGTCCTTCGTCCGAACTCGAGGCCGTCGTCGTCGCCGCCGAGCCCCACCGGTACGAGCCGACGAAAGCCTCAACCAGCCGCTCAAGACTTTCCAGTGCACGTTCTGTACTGAAACTTTCAGAACTAAACACGACTGGCAACGACACGAGAAATCGTTGCATTTATCCCTCGAGCGATGGATCTGCTCTCCGGACGGACCGAGGACTCTAAACCCGGAAAACGGTATGATGAGTTGCGTCTTTTGCGGCGAAGCGAATCCAGATGACTGCCACATGGAATCTCATAACTTCTCGGGGTGTACCGAGCGGGCGATGGAAGAGAGGACATTCTACAGGAAGGATCATCTTCGACAGCATCTTAAACTCGTGCACAACGTCAAGTTTCTTCCCTGGGCGATGGACAAGTGGCGGGTGGCTTCTCCCGAAATCAGGTCGCGATGTGGTTTCTGCGGTGTCGTACTGGATAGCTGGACAATCCGAGTAGACCACCTGGCCGAACACTTCAAAACCGGTAACACTATGGCTGACTGGAAGGGTGACTGGGGTTTCGAAGCCCCCGTGCTTGAGATGGTTGAAAACTCTATTCCACCTTGTGAGAGACTTATCATGGTTTTTTCCTTATGCAAATTTTCTAATTAACGAGAACAGATTTGATTCACGACGAGAGGAACACCCCTCTACCTTATAAGGCGAGCAGTAGCCCTCAGGCGACCCCGATTAATGCTTACGAGCTACTGAAATGGGAGCTTCAGCATTGGGTTAAAACGTTCACTACAGATACAGGAAGAGCGCCGACGGATGCCGAGATGCAACTTGAAGCTTGTACTATTCTTTTCGGAGCCGAGGCTCAGACGATGAACTTCCAGCAACCTCGTTGGGAAGCCTCGTCTTGGCTACGTGACCTTATAGTATCTTCGGAGGAGTTGTCTCGAAACGCTGCGTTCCGGCCGATCCATAACCAAGCGGACAACCGACTAACTTCGCTACGTATCAACGGCAAGGACAGTATCTTCGAAAACTGCGAGTTCGAGAGGCAGATGCAGGATTTTGTCAAGGCGAAGCAGCTACTGGGCCTAACGGCCATGGATCACGAACTTCAGGTCGAAGCTTGTCGTATCATCGGTAGGATGGAAGAGAAGTCTAGCCACCCAACGGAAGACATAGCCAACTGGCTGTTGCGACTGATATACGGTTCTACAACCTGGCTTGAGAACTTTAGGCAACGGGCGCATCTTCCGCGTAGCGAGGACGTCGGGGACCTTAACTTGAGGTCGAAAGACCCTAAAACGATCGACTCTACTATTCACAACTACAGTAGATTGGAACGGGAGCTGGCTGAATACCTCGAGGGACAAAGGACAATGGGTGTCGAGCCTCAAGATGCCGACCTCCAGCGGGAGGCCCGCGTCATTATCTACGACACGGACGACGAATGGAACCAGACAGCTGCAGATGATAAGGAGTGGCTTGACCGCTTCCGAAAGCGACATCCACCCGATGGTACCGCTACGACATCTACATCAAGTGTTTCTCCTCCCGAGCAAAGGCCATCGCCGTCCCAAAACCAACCGGCTATTAGGGACTCGCAATATGTCGGACCGCTCCTCAACTTCAACGACCTACCATCCTGTCATAACCGACCCGCGCCAGCAGGAGGAGGAGGAGGAGGTAATGGTCCCAGCAACTCTATCAAGACCGGACCCTTCTTCCTCAACGACGCAAACTGCTACCACCGCCTGGCTCGGGGCCTTAGCCGCTTCGTAGCATCGACCATGTCGCCCAATAACCCAAACTGCCATGTGCCAACCGACGAGGAGATTCGGTACCAAGCCCGGTGGCTAATCTACGACGAGTAAGTTCTCGGTGCCCACATCGTCTTCCCTGAAGAATTTGTAAATAGACTAATCCATTCCCCCCCTCGTCGCCAGTGATGACCCCTGGAACCAGACCGCAGCCGACAACTTCGAGTGGCTGCAGCGCTTCAAGCGGGACGTGGGGATCCTGCCGGCGGACACCGGGCCGGGGCTCGGCAGCCTCAAGGACGTGGCGTGGGCGCCCAGCTCGGGCGGGACGGGCTTCGCGCCGCCGTACGTGGCGCCGAACCCGGCGGCGACGATGGAGCCCCTGAACGCGAACCCGACGATCGTGCTGCGTGACGCGCGGCCGTTCGAGCCCGCAGCCAGCACGGCGAACCGCTTCCTGCGCTCCTTCACCCGGCGCTACCCGGCGCCCGCCAAGGTCTTCTGCAGCCGCGAGCTCGAGACCGGGCTGACCGAGTACGTGCGGCGCGAGGTATCGCTCACGGGCGCCTTCCCCTCCGACGACCGCCTGCGCGAGCGCGCCCGCCAGATCATGGCCATGCAGAAGACCAGCTGCGACGACCCCGTGCTGCTCGAGCGCTTCAAGGCCTCCGTGCAGAGCGCCGGCCTGCAAAACCCAGACCAAGACCAAGGCCAAAACCATACTTCTTTCCCATCTTCTTCTTCTTTTTCATCTTCTTCTGCTTCGAACAGAGCGCGCGTGCCGGATCCCGGGCCCCTAACCCCCGGCGTGGCGGCCGATCTCGCGACGGTTACCGCGGGCGCGAATCCCAGCGCCTCCGATGCCGCGCTGTCGATGCTGCCGGAGGACATGGAGATGGACTTCCAGTTCACGGAGCAGGAGATGAACGACATGCTGCAGGAGGTGAGTTCCGACCTGGACGGCGGCGCGCCGCTCAACCAGAGCCCCCTGGACGGCATTCACACCGGCACCGGCACCCCCGGCTCGGGCTTCCACATTTAATCTCGAAACGACGTTACGAACGGCCGGCATTTTTCTTCGAATCCTTTCCTTAGTCGCATGTTAGATACCATTTGGGAAGAGTAGACCATTTTTTCGTTTTCGTTTTCGTTGGTGTTGGTGGTGTTGGTGGTGTTTCTGTTGTTATTTTGTGCCCAATGTAGGTACCTGACCTAACCTACTTACACTGTCTAACGCATACGGCCGGGGCTGGCATTTTGGATTCAACCTCTCCTCATAGCATCTGTAGCAATTAATAAAAACAAGTAGTAAACCCATCGTGCTATAAATATCCCATCGTCCCGGAACATTTGGAAGGATTATTTTTTTTGTCTTTAGTAGCAGCTCTTGCATTAAGTTGAGAAGGCACTGAAGCATTGGAACATAAATACTTGAATTTACTGAAGGAATATCAACCTACGGAAACATTACTATCGTGGATATTAACTAAACTAAACTAAACTAAACTACACAAGGACTTTGATCAGACACTTGGAATTACATATATACTATTCCTACCAACAGCATTTGCGGAACGCATTACAAGCATAATATTTATAACAGCCAAACCGGCTGGACTTTTAAGAAAGGGTATCGTAAAATAATGGTAAAGCAACGAATGTCCCTGGAGTCAATATCTCAACAGTGGAACTGAAAAAACCAAGTCCCTAAAACGCCATCTCCTCAAGTACCCCTATACTACACGTACCTAGGTATGTCCCGTTAAACCGACGGGTCCATACAATGACTCTACTAGCCCGATGGTTTATATAGTTCTGCTGAACTGCATATCCCACCATACGAATTAAAAGTGTTGTGGTGTCTCGGGTATCTCCCAGACATTTCTCTCGTCGTTGTTTCGAGGTCGTGCTTGAGCTGGAACACTACTTCTCGGCTTTATCCGAGACTTTTGGGCGGACTGAGGAGCAAAGGGTATATTTGACGTGGAGGTAAACCCGTGTCCACTGTTTCGAGCTGGGCTCGATGGGACTGACGATGCGCTCAACGTAGGAAGCCGAGATCCATTCTGTTGAGCCGGTGGACTTGTAATAGGTTCCGGGACACGAACCGGACTGGAAAACGTAGCCGCATCTGCAAGCTGTCCATTACGTTGATTTTGCATGGCAGTTGTCTTTTCACTTTCTGGAGTGACTTGTGCTGGAGGACTTGAGGGGAGCTTTATTTGGTCAGGCTCTGCTGGTGTCAAGATAGTCGTCGGTACGTTCGTTGAATCGGATCGTTCAATCTCTGGTTTGAGAGGTAAGACTTTAGACAACCCTGTGCCCAACTTTGAAACTCTTTGGTCGCCATTTACAGCTTTAGGCTGTAAATGGCGCTGCAGGGGCGGTGTAATTTTGCGTTCGCTTCCATTCGCAACTGGAAGCGAAGGATATATTCCATTAGCAGAATCGGAAATTTTAGTTCCTTCCATTCTGTTCGTCTCCTCCTTGGCTTGATTATCTTTTCTTGCCTTTTCTTCAGCTTCGGCTTTCTGCCTAGCTTCTTTCTTCTCCTTAGTGATTACATTAATTTTGATTCTTTTCATGCCACCAGTTATATTTTCTATGTCGGCTGTGGAATCCTTCGCAGTCGCTGCTGATTCCTCTGGTACGCTGACTGGAGGTTCTTTTCTAGGAGGCTGGGAAGCACTCTCCGTTTTGATGTCTGGGATTGTAGCCTTTCTTGGTACTCGAGCACTCTCCTTTTTAATTGGCGGTGCTGGTCTGGTCCTTCTCACATTTAACGCAGTAGGTGCCTGAGTTCGAACACTTATGGATGACTCCGGGCGAATGCTATGCGAGGTAGTAGGCCTCATCATTGCACCAGACGCGTCACCCATTGTACCTGCCGCACTTAGGTTTCGAGGTAGCCCTGAGCCATTTTGTGTAGGGATTCCGCGAGCGAGAGCCTATAGATTATTGTCAGATACCTATCAAGACGTTTTTTTGGAGATGCTTACCTTCTCTGTGGCGAGAATTGACGAGCTCCCAACCGTTTTCCTACGTGTTATCTTGGGCTCGTCGATTTCTGTATATTTAACCGGTTTTCTCTCCCGTTGAGATTTCCTTACAGGGGCGGTGGCCGAAGATATGGTCGAAGCTGCATCATCACTAGTTGAGCCGCTCTGAGGAAGGGATTGACGTTCACGTTTGGCCTTAGCTCCAGCATTTAGCTCTTCAAATTTGTGGCTGCTGATCGGGCGGTCACTCGGAATAAGCAGTTTGCTTAGCTCGTGAGCTGCAGCTGTCCAAGGAACATCGGGTAGAGGTGGAGTCGGGGGTCGAGAAACAGATAACTGCAAATTGTATCCTGACATACTTCGTCTGACTTTGCTGGGATCGACTGCCTTCGCGCTTGATGCTTGTGTCGGGGAGGAATAATTCCCAGATACAAAAGTTCGCGGCTTCTTCGGCGGTTCTTTAGGCGGCGCGCTCATGTAGGCGTCAAATTGGTCAAGTTCGGAACCAGACCACCAATTTGGATCATACGGAAAGCCTGCAATGCCCATCCCAGTCAAGGTGTTTCGTCTACTGAGCGAACTGACCCTACCACCCATCTCGTAGTTGAGTCCAGTGGGAACATCTGCCTTCAATGCAGCGGAATCGTCACCGGCCAAGCCACTTAGATGACTGAGAACACCTGAATATATGGCCCGGTCGCTATACCCACCCTCGAGCACACTGATAACTCGACCGTCAACACCGAGTCCTTCTTCAGATGCGAGCTTAACCACATCTCGAGTAAGACGAGCATAGAATTCGGTTGGAACATTAACCTTATGCCGTTGCATCCCAGCACTTTCCCATTCGCTCGCATCGAAGCCAGCGGACAGAAAGATGACGGCTTTAGGCACCTGACCTGAAGCGCGATATCGTTCGGTCTGCGTCCGGAGATAACTGCGAGCTTTTTCCAAGAGAATCGAATATTTGGATTGATACAACTTCCAAAACTCTACGTCCGTCTTCCATTCTTGTAGATGAACGTTCCATATCGATTGCCCATGCGCATTTTCCACACAGACACTAGCATTTCTAACCTTCTCATCATCACCGTACTCGCATGGATAGGAGTTAATATCGTGAAGGCTGAAGTATCCAATAGACGTTCGTTTCCATGCCGACATATTCTTGGTTGCTGTGAAGCTACGCTTGTTGTGATCCCAAGCGATGGCTTGGGAACCATCTCCGTGATGCAAATCGAAGTCAATTATTGCGGCATGTGTCAATCCGTGATTCATAAACCCGTGCATAATACCGACATGTACGTTATTTACCCAGCAGAAACCTGAAGGGTGGGATGCGGAGCAATGATGGCCAGGAGGGCGTGCAGCGACAAAGGCACGTTTGTACGGCGAATCATTAAAAACTCCGTCGACAGCTTCGCAAACGGCACCGAGAGCGCCTTCAAATGCGTTCAGGGACTCCGAGCATAGATACAGGTCTCCCTTGTGAAGCTCCTGAGGCAGAGTTGTATTTGATCCCCTATTCATTTCGGGTCTTCGTAACTCATTCGTGTTAAGAGCAAGATTCGATCCGGCAGATTCGCACATGATTTTGAGTTCTTCCATCCACTTTGTTCCATGAACGTTGGTTACGGCTGCGGAGTCCAATGCAAGGGTGCGGTCGGTTTTGCGGATATGAAAAGGGACATTGGGAAGCGACAGGGGGTCGAGCTCGGGGTAAAGGGGGTATCTTCCGTCACAGTGTCGTTCTCCGAGTCGAACATATGCCATCGATATACCAAAAACACACGCTTGGATTCTCTCGGGTCGTTCGACAATGCTATTCAGGTCGCCCTTTGTGGCACGAGGTCTCGAATATCTATGTCCATAGCATGCATCATTTAGAATGACAATGGTTTCTGGACGGTAGGTTGTCGATTCACTGTGGAGCAATTCCAGCTCTTTCTTCATATACGTCCTTGCTACAGAAGAGGCAGTATGCACGGGCTTCTCCCTGAACTCTGCCAGGTTAAATGGTGACCTAGGGGACCTAGGACCGTTTGGCGAGAGGTGATTGGAGCTACTTCGCCGTGAGGGCGCGCGACTCGGGGCAATCCCGTTGGAAGAGTGTAGGGAATTCATTGAGGTCTTTCGTAACAAGGTGGGTGTTGATGATCGGGACAGTGAATTGAATCCGCTCGAGTTGACTCTGCCTACGGGACTTCGAGAGGGCGCCCTAGCGCTAGGGGAAACAGAAGACAATCTTTGAGCTGTATGATTCGCTTGTTCGTTCAGATTTGGAGAGGGGGAAATGCGCAATGCCGAAGGTCTCGTTGTAGAATTCGTAGGTGAGGTGGAAAGAGCCAGCTTATTTAATGAACGTAAAAGCTCATGTTCGTCGAGGGAGTTGGAGTTGGAGTTTGCTGCTTCTTCGAGCCTTGGTTGAGCTCGACCACGCTCAGGGTAAGCCATGGCTTCGACCTGTCCCTCATTGGAGGGATTATGGTGTGGCCAGGCCGATGAAAAGCGTCAGATGCGTCAATTGCGGATACTATAGATGTGGACTATAGATGTGGACGATAATGTTTGGGTGAAGGCGGATGGATACACATTGAAAGGAGGGGGGGGTATTTGATGATGTTGATGTGAGAATTGTTTGATTTAAATCGGACCCTGTCGATACCGACCTGTATCCTACCTGTATCCTACCTGTATGTTTTCCCTTCCTCACGTCGCGCACGCTAAATTAAGTTTAGTCCATGTGGCCCTTTTATGCAGTGTCGCTTTAAAGTGGGTCATTACGTATGAATTGAGCTGCATATCTGTAGGCTGGCGATTCCGGAGACAATTTACCAGAACAAATGTTGGCGCATCTCCTTAGGCAGTTACCAGCATATACGAGGACCTTATCTTCCGACAACAACCATTTAGTTACAACTAATAATGATCATAATTAGATCAACTAACGACGGATACGGAACTTGACTTTCACTAGATTCATGTTAGCTTAATTATTTTTATATCGAATTAACTATTATGATACCGGTATTAGTTTTGTATTTTTAGAATGAAGATTTAACTTATGAGAAGTACATTAGATAACTACCTGTACCTATACATAGTATATGGAAGAGACGGGACGAGAGTGGGCACCTTTCTTTTCCGAAGCCTTTCTGCACACCTCGGTAGGGTACCCACCTATTTACCCCACTAAGTGACATTACTAGGTACCTAGGTACCTGATGTAAAGACTAAAATCATTATCGATAACGCCTTTTAGTTCTAGATTGCATCCACATCTGCATTCGCATTGTGCCTCTCGTTTCTCCTAGATTTCTAAGCAACGCCTAATACTAATTCGCAACACATTTTGTCCACCAGACTTTTTATTCTAGGATTGTAACAATTCCAGCATTGGAAGCGTTTTGGAAGCATTCGAACATACATCCTTACCATAATACCGTAGCAATGGCACCCTCTTTGGAAGAGCCCGAAGCCGTCCAAGACGTTTTCGACAATCCGCTGAAAGCACGCCCACAACTCGTCGCCCCCGAACCCGAGCACTGCCCAGGTCCCGAATCCGAACAAGCCGGCAAGGCCGACTCGTGCGCTGGCTGCCCGAACCAGGCCATATGCGCGTCGGCGCCCAAAGGCCCGGATCCCGATATCCCCTTGATTTCAGAACGGCTGTCGGGAGTCAAGCACAAGATCCTCGTCCTGTCCGGCAAAGGAGGCGTGGGCAAAAGCACATTCACGAGTCTTCTCGCACACGCGTTCGCGACCAACGAGGACCAGACTATCGGCATCATGGACACGGATATCTGCGGACCCAGCATACCCAAAATGATGGGCGTGGAGTCTGAGACGATACATATAAGCAACACGGGCTGGTCGCCGGTCTGGGTTGCCGACAACCTCGGCGTTATGAGCATACAGTTCATGTTACCGAATCGAGACGACGCTATTATATGGCGCGGCCCGAAGAAGAATGGCCTTATCAAGCAGTTTTTAAAAGAAGTAGAATGGGGCAACATGGACTTCTTACTGGTCGATACACCTCCGGGAACGAGCGACGAGCATCTCAGCGTGAATAGCTTTTTGAAAGAGAGCGGAATCGACGGCGCCGTTATGATTACGACGCCACAGGAAGTAGCGCTTCTTGACGTAAGAAAAGAGATCGACTTCTGCAGAAAAGCAGGTATAAGAGTGCTGGGCCTGGTAGAGAACATGAGCGGGTTTGTGTGCCCGAAGTGCTCGCACGAGAGCCAGATCTTTAAAGCTACTACTGGGGGCGGCGCGGCTTTAGCAAAGGAAATGGGCATCCCCTTCCTAGGCGAGGTACCGCTTGACCCGAGAATAGGAATGGCATGCGACTATGGAGAGAGCTTCTTCGACTATTACCCTGATAGTCCGGCGTGTAAGGCACTTAAGGGTGTTGTCAGGGGTGTCGCTCGCGAGATGGGCCTCGACGCACAAACAATATTACCCGATGATTGAGAAGAATTCAAGTGATTATCAAAGCTAGCATCTCGCTTTATTCTTCTTATAGGGGAACGATCTCTAAATAGCTACCTGGCCAATCCCTACCTGCCAGGTTGGAAGGCAGCCTATTCGGCGCTCAACTTGTTGGGGATATCTTCTAAGTCCTCCGGACTTTCCACATCAATTACCTTGCCGACCTCGGCCGTGTTCCGCATTAACTCCTTCGCGCCAGCGTACATCATGCGGCTCTCGGCATTACATGTATTCGGTAGGTAATACAGGAGGACGTAGGGCACAGACATACGGCCGGACGGCTGCAGCGGCAGTTAGCAAATCTTAGTACCATGTAATCTCTCATAGCTACCCAAGGGATGAGATGGCATACCAGAGTTAAAGGGTAGCTTAGAAGAATATAACGCGGCGTATTATCAGGCAAGTCGTCGGCAATTTCGTCAAGAGACTTGTATACTACCTTATCGTCGTCTTGCTTGATCTCATATGTCTTCTTGTCGATGTAATCTGTTTAGGGTCGCATTAGAACGTTAGATCAACTTTACTCGAACCGTGCTGGAGCAACGTGAAGGTAGGAGGGGAAGCATATATTAGGTTAGATTAGGTAGACATACATACAAATCACAGCTTGTGGTCCACTTGCCCTCGAAGTGGTTAAGCGGAACTTGCGCAGATGGTCTTTGGTCTCCTGGGAGAAGGTGTAAAGTCTTGCTTCGGAGCTCTATATGATCGTTAGCAATATCAAAGCTATGGGATAGGTAATTCTGTTCGTGGGACAGTACCATCTTGACGGAGTTAGTAGTCTAAAGGGGTCGGGTCTTCTCGATCCTATGGGGTATAATTAAATGTGCCAGAATGTCGAGAAATTAGTAGCAGACTAGTATTCGGTCAGCATATGTTGTATATTAGGTTAGGTACCTAGATATACATATGCTGTGTAAAGTCAAAATGGTCCACGAGTAAGGTAAATAAATGTATGTAGTGCTACAAAAGACTGTGGCAGAGGTGCGGCTAGGCGCAAATCAGTCGATATTATCAGCCCCGTACCCCGCCCCCGCCAATGACGAAAAGCGACCGATATCACGGTATCAGATGTCTTGACTTACCTAAGCTAATAGCTATGAATTACATTATAATTTATGTAAGGCGGAGTAAGTCACCTTATACGAAGTCCAGACCCAGACCGTACAATACCATGTGGATAATACATATCACTACTGTTGCCGAAATACAGCGATCACTACCTATTCAAAAGGGTTAACATATGACTTTAACGTCCAATACTCATAAGCTGTAATCAGTCCATCCGATTCTTTTTTTTTCGAACCTTTAAACTCAGCGTACCCTGATAACTACGAAGTCGATAATAGACCGATATATACAATGAAAAACGTCTCCAAGTCATAACATCGCTGGAATTACATTTACTATTACACCACAAATATCTATTTCGCGTGAAGAGATTAATAAAACAGTTATATACAAAGATTCTCGTCTATCTGTCGTGCTCACCCTTTTACTCCCACAAACTCCCCAAAACGATCATCACATACTCGGAGCACACCAGTACAATCCCCCAGGGTATCATGAGCCATAATTACCTACCTACCTAATCTAACCTAACTGTGTATACTTCACTACAGTAAATATAATAATAACCAAGCTTCCATTAAAGCCCAGAATCGAGTAACAGTCTCGTCATCTCGTAATGCTATTATCTCGATAAGAATAGAATTGGATGCTCAAAGCATTTGGGGGGGGGCTGGGTTATATGTATGTCCTCACGTGGCGACTTGCTCCAGTACACGAGCTTCGAAATTCGATTGGTCGGACCTCTTGTCCTGGGTATTCTGAAAATGGCATGTTCGGAGGCTTTCTGAGGCCTTGATTTGTTGATATTAGTGGAACGTACTGCAGCACGTTCGGCACCCAAGGACATATAATAGATGCAAATTTCAGCCATAGTACGATGCCTTTACGGGTACATGTCCTGGTCCCGCCTGAGGGAAGTTGTTGTTGTTAGGCGGGTAGTTGGCCCCGTATGGTGCCGGCCATGCTGGCTGCGGGTATACCACACCCGCAGGACGAAGCCTATTTCGTCGTTGCGTTTCGACACATGCTCGAACGAAAAGGGTGAAATGTATAGCCCTGCCCCCTTTATCAGTAAACTCAACAGTGGAAAACGCTGGGCGACGGGGAGGAAAAAAAAGAAAAAAGAAAAAAAAAGAAGAAGAAAAACTCACCATAGCAGACCGCATAACGCAATAAGAGCCTGCACCGCTGACTGGAACGACTTGCTGTTGACCAGAACACGGCGACTCTCCGGGCAGTAGTACGACGTGGTGTAGCCGCCGGAATGCCGGCTCACGTCCAGATCATCATCGTCGTCGTGGCCCTCGACGACCCAGTCCGGATTCCTAGGGTCGCGTTCCCATTCGTTGCACCGCACGACGCTCCTCTGGACGCTTACCCACAGCATGCACAAATAGAAGAGCACGTAGATCATGGCCAGGAATATGATAAGCTGCACGCCGACGTGGGCGCCCGGGTGGATTCCACGACCTGCTGCTGCTGCTGCGCTTCCCCCCCTCCTCTTCCTCCGCACCAGTAGCGTCACGAACTCCGCGATCGTCCACGCTGCCGTCGCCGCGGCAACAGGCACCATTAGCATCCCCGGCCAATAGTTTCCTCCCCAGAACGTCCCCGCGCTGATGCCAATGACTGCGGCGCAGAACGCGAGCGACGCGGACTGCAGCGCGATTTTGGCCATCTGCCATTTTCGACTGCTCACTGGCTGGACGACTTGGCGTTGGGTCTCCATCACGATTACCAAACACTACGCCTCTTTCCGAACCGAGCCGAGCCGTCCCGTGTGTTCGCGATATAATGTGACCTTTTTTTTCCCCTCGAGAAGACCGGAACCAAAAAAAGAAAAAAAAACCAGTACCAGCAAGGGTAGCTAGCCACCGGCCATTAATGATCGAAAATGAAAACGAAGATCGGAAAGCGAGAGAACGAAAATATGTATGTACCTAATGTATTGATAAAAACGAGCGTGTTGATAGATGACCGCAAAGGGGGGCATGAAGAGAGAGAGAGGAAAAGATCGACGGGACAAGAATCGTGGGGAGAAGAGAGACTCTTCTCGACCCTCCACAAGGCAAAAAACTAAAACTGCTCTGTTCAATCCCTCTTCGGTCCGTGCCGAGGAACTGGTTAGGCCGATACCAGGCAGCACACCTTTCGATATAACCGGTGCCGAATCTGCCAAGGTCTTGGGTAGGATGCGGACTTAAGATCTCGCCCTCAAATTGCATCTGTCCAGGGTCGATTATGCCCCTTTTCCGATTCGCGGCCCTGCCAGTCTACAGTGCTGAGCCTACCTAGATATTGTACTTATAAGAGACGGCACTCGCCATCAACTAATTTGGCTGTCTGGTTGAAGGCCCAGTATCAATATGGCCGCGCTGCAAAAACGCTACGATGTAGCAGTAAAGCGGCTTCCGCCTGTTGGCGATGATAAGGCCAAGAAAACAACAGCCAACCAACTAACCATCCTAGTCTTTTCAGGCAAGTAGTGCGGCGCGGACTCGCGCCAAGAGGCACAGCAGCCTAAATTTTTCTCATGCCACGATGCGCCGGACGCGATAGAGCCAACAACGCCAAGAGCTCACACACATCAAGATCCAGCAGGACAGGAGATCTAGGACCCTCAAGTCTTCAGGTTTGCCTTTGCGGAGGCAAGCCCCGGCTCTGAGTTGTTACGGGGCGTAGATCCACCCAGGTGATTTGTAAGTTATGAATTTGAAGCTGATGCTTTCATAGTATAAACTCGTTGCATTCATTTGCCTTGCGGCTGTATTCTACAGGGATAGCAATTAACTAATAGGAACATACCTATTTAATAGGCCAGGTTTGTACTCCTGCCCTATATGCCATAATTAAACGCATCATCAAGTAGTTATTCGGCAATAGCTCACGTAATACTATGCTCAAACCTTTATCTGGTTTCTCATGCGCACTTGACTTCGTCCGGTTTGGTTCGTTGAGTTCGGCATCACGATCTCGTATCATCTAGTCATCATCGTCAGTCATAACCTTCTCCTCAATATTTGGGTTGGAAGCTGAGGGAGGTGGACGCGTGGCAGGACCAGGTTCTTTCCAGTTCTCCATCAAGATCTGAGGTAAGAATAGGTCAAAAGGGACGCGAACGTCTTTCACGGCCTTGATGAAGCGAATGCCAATGTTAAGTTCGCATACAATGGCCCTGATCTTCATTCTCTTGTCAAACTTATCAAGCAACTCGTCTTCCAGCAAGTAGTCTTCTGACCCTGCACCGCTGAGGTCGACTTGATCCGGACGAGGTAAGTTATTGAAGCCGAAGTCAATGATAGAAGGCTTTAGAACAAGAATGCCGGCCGGTTTTCCCTTGCCAGAATGACCAGTTTCCTCGAGCATCTCCTCCACCATTGAAACATCTTTCTGGCGAGGCATGATTGTATCCACTACTTCGTAAGTCTCATCCTTTGTATTGATAACATGGATGGCGGTGGGGTCGGAGTCCATAAGTTGTTTCTTGAATTTCTGATCAAGAGCTGACGAGAAGACTGTAACGCGGAAAGCGATCAGCTTATCATAGTGGTCAGGTACATCATGCTCATCTACCTGTCTGTCGGAGAAGAGCGAGTCGGCAGTGGTGTTGAAGGGACCTGGGAGTGAACTCATGAGCTCATACACCATGCTCAACTCAAAGGGGGCAGCGTCGCAGATTCTTCTAGCGGCCATGATGTCAAAGTTGTACTCGGGACAAACGTCATGCATCAGGACATAATTGAGGAAATTCTTGACAAGGTTTGAGGCTTGAAGAATAGCTGCCTCATCGTACATGTAGATGGTTGGGACGACTCTAGATCTGATACCCCCGTTAATTAAGTTGTTCTGAACCCAATCTAATCCATAGAACTTACAGGAAACATTTCACGATGCCTTCAAAGTCGACGAACCAATCATCAGGCTCTAAAGGATTGTAGAAGCGAGGACCACTACCGCCAACGAAGTCTGTTGCTGTCATCTGACGGACCTCATCAGGGTCTTTGCCTTCCATAGCCTCTCGGTCCTCGGCAAAGCCGGTAAACTGGCGTGGTGATGAATCGACGCCCCCGAGCCACAAATACTTGTTGAAGAGCATGGTACGTTCGCTGCTCATGCGACGGCTAGCTCGGTATCTCTGGATGCATTCTTCGATACGCCTATTCCATGTTAGTTGTTGACGTCCCCTTCGACTAAGTGATATTTATGAATCATACTCGGAAAAGGGGCGCGACCTATGATAGCGTTAGCATGATCCATTACAAAGTAGGATTAGGGCACTTACGGGTTATAGATTTCTTTCTTCTCCTTGGCAGCTTGGGCCGGGGTTGTGGGAGCATCGGCATAGAATTCTGGACCGAGTGTTAGACAAGACTTCGCCCTGCATAGCCACATACAGAACCAACCTTCAAAGCCAGTAACATTCTTTCGACCAGCAGCACCCTTCTTCTTGGTCTTCTTTCTCTTCTTCTTCTTTGCCTCAGGTTCAATACCAAGTTGGACCTCTTGTTTAATATCGTCAGAAGCTTCTTCTATGTTGGCTGGGTCTGCATCATCTTGGGTAGTAGGAGAGCCTTTGGTAACATTTTGGTCACCGATCAGCTCACTGTGCTTAGAGATATGCGATGATTTTACGACATCTTCTCCAGCAATTGTTCCCTTGTCACTGCGCAGGTCAGACTGACCGCCAGTTGTTTCGCCCAGGGACGTGGCCATGCTGGTATCGTTAGTATGTAGGGATAGGTCGCTCGCTCATTGCTACTGATTTTTCAGCTTATTCGATAGGCGAACGACTAGACAGATCCGTCATATTATGTCGCCGATGATCTATAGCTGAACCCGTGTTCGTATGCAAGTGATTGCAGAATCCGATGTTCTGGAAAATTACGAGAAACGGGGCAGTGGCAGAGAGAGACAGAGAGAAAAGTGTGTGTGTATTCGTGTGTGTAACGAGGCTGAGATGCCTGAGATGCGTAAGATAGGGCTAGCGTAAGGAAGGTGTAGGGCAGGCGTAGGGCAGGCGTAAGGCAGGTGAAAGAGAAGTACCTACCGTGCTTGCCAACGAAGTTCAATTTTTTAGATGTGAATGGCTCTTTCCTAGGTAACCACCACCTTAAGGCAGTTGGCACTTTAGGCAGGAACCTCACGAAAGAAGTACCTAACCTCTACGACGGCTGGGCTGAAATCTGACAGGCTGCTGACCCAGAGCAACCTTCTGTTGCTTAGCTGAAAATATAATAAAAAGTTGATGATTCCAGCAGATTTCGTATTGTCTTACTACCTTAATTTAGGTTAAGAGGTAGGGTTATTGAGATATAGAAAAACCTCATCATATTAATTGCAACGTCAAGTTGTCAATGCTCAAAGGAATATCTGTATCAATCCCTATTATTAAAGTTATATATAACACTTACGCTATACTTAAAAATTATAAAACAACAAACAATTAACCAAAACCTATCTATGATATTAGGTCCTTAGGTAGGCAAACGAACCTTGTTTGTTAAACACCCTGTCTAATGAGGCGTAACACAGAGAATACTGGTCAGCACTGGTCAGCTAAGATCCAAACACTTACCTACATGCACAGAAGATGCATCGTCCCGGAATGCCTTTAACAGCAACTCTCACTTATAGCCGAGAATGTATGAATGTACATAGTATGGTCCCCATCATGCATATTCATGCAGGAGTCCGTCCCACGTTTCTCCAAGGCGTGAAGGGGGGAGAATCTAACTTGATAATATTAAGCCAGATCAACACGGCCCGATCGGACTCTGATGTTTCCGGTAATGAAGATATAAAAGATATAAGGTATGGATACACCAACAGATATGCAGGTGATCTCATACATAACTGCGGCTACCTTGGCCATAAGTTGCCCTGCCGCTCTGAGTGAGTCAAGTGATGCGGCAAAATTAACTTCCAAGGCAGATTTGTCTTGAGATGTTTTATGCGATATGTGGCTGAGCCAGTAAGATTTATCAATTCACGTCTGATCGTTAGTAAAATCCGATAAAATCCCCCCAGTAAAATTCGAGGGTCAATAAGTATGTGGAATCCGCCACAGGAGAATCGCGGGAATGCCGTCACATCCGTCTATTATGTCGGGCATGTACACCTGTTACAGTAGGGCAGAGCTGAATGTTGACGTTTTTACTGGCTGAAGCTTGTTGGGATCTAGCACATCGACTTTAACCTAAAGATGCGCAGCTCGCATATTACCTTGTTTGCCATCTGCAAGTTGCTGCGGTTGGAGGGGGGGTTAAGGCGAGGCTTGCGCAATAGCCTTTTTTTCTTTTCTGTACGGAATGAGAGGTTCAGCTTGATAAAGTTGGAAGCTACATATAGTACATACATGTTCTCAAGTGGATACCTGCACACCGGGCCTTGTGCCTGATATTTTAAGAGGTACCTACAATACAACACAATACCTAGAAGTTATTGTACCTTAGGTGGTCTATGTACCTCTAGTAATGTGGTAGACACACGCCGCGGGCAGCTGACGCACGCGGGTAGGCATGCTTCTAGGCGTGTACTAGGCGTGTACTAGGTATGTAAGTTTTCAACCGCGGCGGGACCCTTAACCATTTCCCAATTATGGACTTGACGCTCAGATCCTTTCGCTCCTTTGTATCGTCCTGTCCCACATTGATATCAACCTTCCTGAATCTCTTACTTTTAGGAACCCCCGTGAATCACTAAACTTTTAGTAACATAACCACATGCCTTATTACTTTCAGAATTCATAAGACTACTACCTATGTAACATACGCCTAACCACTACCTTCATCCGAAAACATTCAACAATTCCCCTCCTTTTTTTCCCACTAGAATTTATCTGTCAGGTGTTTGCTAAACCTGATCTATTCAACTGCATCTTGCCAACCAATCATACCCATTTTCCGCCTTTATTGCTGGTCCTTTTTACTACCTAATTTCCAGCCCTACCCATTATATCTCGTCTTGTCGCAACTGGGAGTATGCAAGACGAGTAGACTGGCCATTGTCCATAATCACGACTTTTACCGTTATATCATAGAAAGATGCAGGTTGCGCGAGACAGCAGCAAAAACCCTGGGAGCAAAGAGAGAGAAATGCCAAAAAGAGACGACTTGAAAGATTATAATTATGCGGTCGCTGGACAGTTAGTACCGAACTGCTTTCTTTTCTAACTGCGTATCCTTTCATGCTAACCTAATTGTACTGGTAGTGCTGGAACCATGTGCGACGCAGACGGTGAACTATTCATCAAGCCATGTACACAATCCGAGGTTGAATTTTACGAATCGGCGCACGCCTGCCATCCGGATTTCGCAGAGCTTATGCCCTTATATATAGGCACTCTATCACTAAACGGAGGAGCTGACCAGGCCGCCATACATGCGCAAATACCAGACCTTGTTGAACATGCTGATATCCCTTTCGCTGTCAAAGAGGAAATCCAGTCACATCTACATCTCGACGAGCGGAAACCTATTCTCGAAGCCCCAGTCCAAAAACAAATTATCTCTGATAACGTTAAATGGGTCCCTAACAAGACAAGAAAGATCACAACGGACAGGGCGGTGGTATTAGAGAATGCTTCCTTTGGGTATAAAAGGCCAAATATTATGGACGCAAAGCTAGGGATTCGGCTATGGGCTGATGATGCGCCTTTAGAGAAGAAGGAGAGATTCGATAAAATTACCGAGGAGACCACTCACAGGAAATTTGGCTTTCGAGTTGCAGGAATGAGGGTCTATAAGGGATCCACAGACGAATCCGAATTGGACGAGGAAGGATTCAAGATTTATGATAAAGACTGGGGGAGATACACGGTGAACGAGGACAATCTATTGGACTCGTTCAAAAAGTTTATCTTCAATGAGGCCGCCGGTATTGACGAAGAACTCGGCAAGACTATTGCTGGAGCATTTGCACAGGATCTTCGAAGAGTGCAAGAGGTACTTAAAAAGGAAGAGACTCGAATGTATTCTTCCAGTCTTCTTTTCGTCTTCGAGGGCGACGGTGCAGCTTTACGAGAGGCCATCAAAGAAGCAAGGGAGGCAACTCCTATATCCGAACACAAGAGAGGCTCCTCGAGAGCTCCAGTGGCTAACCTTAGGGTGGATAGTGGTATTGGTATGAATGAGGAGGACCTATGTGACCCTACTACGGCAGAGGACTTTGACGAACTAGAGGATGAATCAGATGAAGAATCAAGCTTTCCGCACATATACACCCTAAAGTTGATTGACTTCGCACATGCGACGTGGGAGCCCGGTCAAGGGCCAGACGAAAATGTGCTACTTGGAGTCAAGAGCCTTGCAGACATCTTTGAGGAGATGTCTGAATAACACTTGGACGAGTAGTGATTCTGAAGGGGGAATGGAGAGGATGGCATAGATGAATTGGAAGCATTGTTCAGCATGTACATATATACCATTCAAGCATTGTATGAACGAACGAACCAGCAAGCAGCCGTCTGGCATATCAAGCAAGGGGAAGGGGGGGGAGGGATATCTGGAGACTGGCTTCAAGATACCCATTACAATATTTTTAGTCTCATGTTAGGTGGTAGCTATAGAACTACTACGTACCTAACTTAGAACTTATTACGACTTGCAATGAAATTTATATATCCCTGAACGAAGTTGAAATCATATGTTTAGGTACTTTTTTTCTATGTCCAAACTGGTGAGAAATATAGAATTATTTCAATGTTTACCTAGGTTGGTACCTGTAGGTATCTTAACATAACGTAAATTCCGCTCAATTATCTCCAATCAATGCTTCCAGGCTACCCGTACTTGCTTTAGATAAAGCAAGGATATTCAGTGCTCATATAAGCGTTACCTAACAAACATAGTCGTCTGTAGTTTGTACCTAAGTTGTTTAAAAATGAACCGGCGTTAATTCATTGGTTCAAGTGATTTATTTACCCCACACCAACCTGTCTGTGAAAGGTACCTAAGGTACTTGCATAGGTACTTAGATACCTACTTCCTAAGTGCAGATGCCTTCTACGGAAACTGCAAGGAACCTTCACCTGCTATATGGTCCACTGTTTTTAAAGTTCGGTACAGAGGTAGGTACAATACCTACAGACCTACAGCTTAGTACACATTAGCTTCCACTAAGCTTTTGATGTTGTGCTCCCAGCCTAGAATCCTCTACCTAGGTATCTTCCTTCTAATACCGAATACCTACCAACCCATTTCCATCAAGGTACTTCTTTTTTCAGTTCATCACATACCGACGTAAAAATATGTCAATACCAGGACTTGGAGACATTGCGCCGGCCGTAAGCCTTCCCCATTGATATTGTTTCGAGCAACTAGTCTGACATCCATCAGGCAACCCCGGTTATAGCATCCTCTTCCGCCGCAGCACCGACCACAACAGAAACTCTCGAACCTTTCTGGGAATATCGTTTCGAAGTCCCTCACGGTTCGACCCTAGATATAAAGTTGGTCTCCGGTACTGCAGAAAAAGATGGCACCGAACTTGCCCCGAATACGCCCTATACTTTCACCGCGACGAAGTCCAAGATAAACACCTGGCATGGATGTACACTCGAGATCTCCTCACCTACCAGCAACTACGATGCCTACACCTCAGAACCGACAGCAGATGAGACTCCAATGGTCAGCTATCTAAATTTACACTTCAAGCTCGAGGCGTTTCGTACGGCTGCGCAGAGAACGGGGCAAATGGGTCCGCGAGTACTTGTCGTGGGGCCCCCGAACGCGGGCAAGACAAGTTTGGTGAAGATGCTTACGGGTTGGGCAACGCGAATGGGTCGCCAGCCTCTTGTAATAAACACAGATTGCCGCGAGGGCATGCTTTCTCTGCCGGGCTCACTAAGCGCGGCCGTATTCGCGACTATTATGGACATTACAACAGACTGGGGAAGTACACCAAGTAGCGGCCCAAGTGCTATACCGGTAAAGCTGCCGCTAGTATATAATTACGGCTTAGGACAACCAGAGGAGAATATGCGTCTTTATAAGAGGTTATTGAGTAGACTAGCTGTAACAGCAACCTCCCGACTTGCTGAGGACCCTGATGTAAAGACGGCAGGACTGCTGATTGATACCGGCGGGGTCAATGTTTCTAAGGGAGGCTATGACCATATAGCACATATAGTTGCCGAGTTCTCTGTCAATATCGTGCTCGTGATAGGTTCCGAACGTATCGGCAGCGAGATACAGAAGAAATTCGCTGGGCAAAAGACCAGTCTAGATGAGCCAATCACCGTTGTTAGCCTCGATAAATCCGGTGGCGTGGTGGAGAGGGATACAGGCTTTCTACAGCAGGTTCACGAAGCAGCAATAAAGGAGTATTTCTTCGGTGGTGCGAATACCACCTTGAGTCCCTTTACCCAGCAAGTTGACTTCTCGGCCCTGTCGATCTGGAAAATCAACCCAGGTATGGATACATCCCACCAGACGCGTCTTGAAGTTAGGTACCTACATTATACTAATAGAGAGATAGCCCCCGCCGCGGCGACGTTGGACGATGACATATATAGTGATGCGATGCTTGAGAAAGTCGAGCCGTCGCTGGTGATGCAAAATTGCATCCTATCGGTTGTCTACGCATCGGTCCATGACTCGACAGACACGATCCGCGATTCTAACGTCATGGGTTACGTATACGTAGCCGAAGTTGATGAGAAACGACGAAAGCTGAAGATCCTTGCTCCAGTCAACGCCCGGTTAGGAGATAGGCCCCTTCTCTGGGGAAGCTGGCCTGAGCCGATGGTCAGCTTACTAGGCTAAGATTGAAACCAAAGACTCTTGTTTTATAGGGGTTTCAACAAAGTTCATCTACATTACGTCTTCCTTATCCATACACTTGGCTACCTACCTAGGTAGTCTGGGCTTCTCAACTCATACGGAGCGCGGGACAGAAGAGGAAAGAATTAAGACAGGAGGCCGTAAGGCGTACAAGCGGCAGTCGAGCTGGGAGGATTACAAGGACGAAGCATAGTAAAGTTATACTCGACGGCTAAACAATCCACGCGCATCTTTATATGATACCGGAAAGCACCAAAACAGAGAACGGAAACTACTCTAAAGGGGATACATTGATAGACAAGACTAGCAAGGCCTCTGAAAAAAAAAAAAAAAAAAAACTGAAGACGAAGGTAGCGTTGAGGTTAGCGTCGATGTACTACATTGTTGTCGGTCCTCAAGTCCCCATGAACATGGCGGTGTTGAAGGAAATGGTTATGGACTTTCTACGATGGACTGGATAAACCTTGATTTAAGGTACCTAGTCTCTGGACTCGGCAATGGTTTGGAATGGGGAAGTTCTGGTTCAAAAGGGCTGATATTTACCCTCGAAGGACATGCCAATATCATTCCATCCTAAGCAAAATTTGTTTATTCGGAGGCAGGTACTTGATATCAAGTAACATATCGTCAGGGAGTTCATTGATAGGATGTTAGAACTATGACGTTGTATTTGTCCTAGCATAGTAGGTTAGGCATGAGGATTTAGCCCGTACTGGCGACTCTGAATATATCCCTTACGGACTACGTCGATTTAATTCACGGATGAATGTTCGAAATCAAATGGCATAACTAAGTTCGATGGTGTGAAATGCCTTACATTTGCGGCTATTCCCAATTATCAATGGCTACATAATTCCAGACCTTTAACTTCAAAAGCCGTCCGCGTTTGCATCGGCTATGAGACCTAAATCCGGCAGTAAATCAACGCCCGAATCATCATTAACTTGAACAGTTGTCATAGTTTGATCCATGGTAGCGAGACGACGCGATATTGAGCTATCAGCGCTACTGGGAGCAAAGCGTTCCGGGTGGATGAGGCTCTTTTTAACCGCGTCTTTTAGCCCCCCCTTTTCTACCTCTACCTTTCTTCTTTTGACTACTAGGTGAGGTAACGCTGCCAATCTCTCTCTCGTTTGGGAAACTGATATATGGCAGGTTCCACGCTGATGGTATTAGGCCCATCGGCCATCGGCCTGGGGAAAATGACGTGCTGTAGGTCGGGCATGAATTCTGGTTCAGTATAAGGAATCTGTTTGGGAGAGATTCCTTTACTGCTGCATATGGTGCATACCCCTGAAACGTAGATGTTACGCGGTGATGTTCAAGTTGTGTGTGACAGTAGAAAGTGATTTACGCCGAGGATGGATATCGGCCATGTGGGCTGCTTCTTGACGATGGCATTTTACGCTGTTAATGCTGCCGTACTAGGCTTGATGGATATATTATAGCATTGTACAGGTTTTGTATAAGCTCTCCTAGTCCTTCACAGATTCACCGCTATAACTATTCGTATGGAATTATATTAACTTCGTCTGGAATGTAGTCACACCGGTGGCCTAGTCGTCTCCCTACTAGTGCCTGGTTCTATGAAAGCCAAGACTATTTTCCCCTCTTTTCCTCTTACCAGCATCGTTATTCATGCTGTCGGTCAAGCTTTCAAAGTTAGCGCTCTAAATGAGCGAGCGAGAGTAGGTAGTATTCAGGTGGTAGGAATTCCGGAGACCGGATCGATCAAGCCATCGGACGAGCTGGCTGCTCGTGGATACGACGTAAGGCAACTAAAGCATTACGGAGAATAATAATAAATCTGGCATAGAGAGGGTGGGCGGTATGTCTCGGTTGATTGGTCTTCTAATACCCATAGCCGTGAGTAGTAGACAATTGCTGTCCTATTATGTTGTAAGAGTAGCCTTTCTTGTTCTTATGCTTCCAGGTTAGGGCATTGAGAAATAGCAAGCTCCCTTCCCGTCTCTTACTGCTGCGCACAAGGTTACAGTTGTGACTACGCCTTTCTCTTGCAGTAGCTTCTCCTTACGAATGTCTTGGAGAGTCACGCAGGGGTAGTAGTAGTACGTAGTCTAGGTATTCGACTTAGACATTGGGTCGCATCAAAACAGCTCAAGTGATCTCCGCGTTCGGGACTTAGCGATGCGACACCATTAATTAACTTCCAGGGCGACAACACCCTCCTAAGCTACTAGTTCTTCCCTACCACAAACGTAATAATATGCTATAATATAATATCTCCCATGGAATGTCCCACTTGTTATAAGAAGGAGACGAGGCTCCTATCTATCAACAATAGGCCCATTGAATGACAAACAATCGTCTATATGAATTACTTCAAGTCGACAGCTTGAGACCGTTGTGCTGATCCTCCACATTACCCCGGGAAGAGTTAAAGTTAAGACGATGGAGCATAATAGACATCAATGGGGGGGAAGCACTTGATCAACCCCGGCATGATAAAAACTTTACCCCTGTCTGTGTCTACTACTTGCTTCAGTCCAAGTTCATCTCACTAATAAACCATCCCGTCTTTTCTCCACCTTTTCACCTCCGCATTGTAACGCCATCTCCCGTATGATACCAGCCTAGCTTCTTACTCCAACTTCTTCGGGTCTGCTCATTGGATTTGGGGCATGAAAAGAAGGGCTCACTATGCCCTTTTTTTTCTCATAGGCCTCCTCCAATTTTCTTGTTCCATACCCCTGCAGCGGACCAAAAAAATTGTCATCCTACAACCAGACGACCGTGACAAAGAAGCCATGCTGTTGCTATGCCTTTCTAGTGTATATACCAACGTCTTGGCCTTTACACCTTATGTATTTTACATAAAATAATACATACCACTCCCTCCTACATAATAGTTTCGGCCGCCTAGCTCTCTTTTTTTTCGGATCTCATGCAGTGCTAGACCGGGGTAGACCTTAGGGCCGCTCCGGGTAAACTCAACTTAGCAGGGATGACAGGGATACTGGCGATGGGCGATTACCACTTGAGGTCAATAAATCTCCTATACCAGTTTAATTAGGAAAACGGGCAGTAATTAAGCTAGTGTACCAAGCTTGAAACGCCAATGAGAGGTTATTCCGAGACTTGTCACATGCTAGAAGAGGAAAAGAAACGATGAAACTGTATGAATGCTGGAAGTACTTCGGATCGTGTCCTTTAGTCTTGCCCGCTTCACCCCTTTAGGGGTGCGTCGTCGAGTTTAGCCAGCTATGATGACAAGCGGTGGGCAGATTGCGAGGGCTCGTGGCGTTGGCTTAATAACCACCGCCGCTGGCGTGACCTTTCTGTTTGCCTTCTTCATCTTCGCCCATCAGTTGATTCGGTCTAGTCAGTCGATCGACGAGTTGAAGCATCCAACCATGTGGAAAGGCATCTCCCCCGCAGGGCTGCTGTCCCTAGGATTAGCTGGCCAGACGTCTGCCACCCTCCTTTATGTCTCCTCGTACGCCGGTGCCGTCACGACTTTACGTCTGACCCTGCCCGGTGACGGCTCCGCCACCACTGCTGCTACCCTTGAGAACATCTCCAAGTCGACAGGCTGTGGTCCGAATCCGTCATGGCTCACGCTCGACTATTCCAAAAACTTCCTCTTCTGCCTGGATGAGGGGTTCAACGGTCCCTATGGGGGTGTGACCACCTTTTTTACTGGCGATGACGGGACTTTGGCTACGCTGGATAAGCTCGATGTCATCCAAGGGCCAGTCAGTATTGCTGAGTTTGGCGTTGGCGGCAGTGGCTTTGCTATAGCACACTAGTAAGCCAACCCTTCACCCAGCTTCTCCGCATGCGGCGAATTTTGCTCGGGTGGTTTGCGGTCCACTGCCTTTCCTTGGCTCTCTTTACAATATTAAATCATAGAGATGGAGTATCGTACAGACAAAATTGCTCTCACCGTTGCTGACCAATTCTGCCTAGCTCCGGCTCTAGCGTCAGCGTCGTTGGCTTCAATGCCGAGGGTAATCTCACCCTGCTGCACAACGAGACCTACACGCTCGCGGGGCCTGGCCCCAACCCTGAACGGCAGGAGGCGCCTCACCCGCACGAAGCCATCCTGGACCCTACAGCCTCGTACGTCCTGGTGCCAGATTTGGGTGCCGACCTTGTCCGCATCTACCAAGCTGACGCTAGCACCCTCGGCTTGACACCCATCGCCCCTCTTGCCTTACGGCCCGGGTCTGGGCCTCGGCACGGCGCGTTCAAGGTAACCGCGGACAAGACGTACTTCTACTTGGTCTCCGAACTTGGCAACACGATCACGGGGTACGAGATCACGTACAACGACAACAAGACCCTCAGCTTCGACGAGTTGTTCTCCATCCCCACGCACGGCGAGGAGAGGAAGTTGCCAGAGAAGACGGGTGCGGCTGAGATCCTCGTGTCGGTAAGTGTAACAGCAGGGGTTCTGATACTGAAAAAGCTACGGCGTTGAAAGTTTATGTTTATGCTAATGTGTTACTTACGAAAGCCTGATGGGAACTTCTTGATTGTATCGTCTCGCTGGGAAGATTCGTTTAATATCACGAACTTCGATCCGACCAACAGCACTGAAATTCCTTCAGATCCGCTAATAACTGTGAGTTACAATCCAAGACTGCCTAACCTACATTCCTGCCCCTCCCCCCCTTTCCCTACAGAAAATATTTTCTAGAAGCTTGCCTGGGGGGGTCTCCTAATTCATAAGTCCCATTGCCCATATCTTTATATTAAATGTACCTAAGCTAACCGCCAAAAAAAACCATAGTATTCCATCGACCACACAACCGGCAAGTTGACCAAGGTGCAAGAGTTCGCAGCTGGGGGCAGGGTACCCCGGCACTTCTCGATCAACGCGGACGGGAACCTGGTAGCCGTGGCACTACAAGGGGACGGCCGCGTCGTCGTCCTCGACCGCGATGTCAAGACGGGGTTGTTCAAGGATTACATCGCGTACGCGGATATCGAAGGCGAAGTGACTGCGGCTATCTTCCGCGAGGACTACCATACAATCTAGTTACCTCTAGGTAGTTAGTGTACCTAGCGTTGTGGAAATGAACTCAAGCCTTAGGTAGGTGGTAGGCAGCAAGAATTAGATAGAGGAGGCGGATATATCCCATCTCGTACGATCTGTAGAACGAACATGTGACTTCCTTTCGTATTGCAGACCTCGCGTGGCAAGACCTAGGGAGCTCATGTACAGTGATACGTATAATCCCTATCAATATCCGAGGCAAGGCGGGTTAATTTACCTAGGCAGTAATTATAGCTTCCTCGGTCATGTGGTCTACGCTTAGAGCGAAATTTCATCGGAGGCACTGCAGGACACTCCAGAGCCTCATCCATGAATCCAAAGGGAGTATAAGCATGTGGTGCGGGGTTCTTGATACCTAGCTCACGAAAAAATAAATAAATTGAGAGGAGCAACCTGTAATAAGGTGCGGGGATAGGAGGATTTTAATATAGACACGTAAGCAGGCTCTGCGAAGGTTTGGTAAGCTAGGATAGAGGGGGGGATTGGGAGTCTACTAGGTGTATGTATGTACGTAGGGTCAATATATGAAGTTGCCACCGGGTAGCTGGTTTCTGGCGGACAGAAATAGCATCCCTGAGAACAAACATGTCCTCTGGGATACATACCTGTTGTTTAAGCTGAAGATAGGTAGGTTAGGTTAAATAGGTTGGGAAATGGATCACCGCCCCGGATCTAATACTAGGATAAACTTTTTATATGGTATAAAGATTTACATGTACAATAAATATATGGGTATTTGTTGATTAGGGGCGAAGTTATTGACGTGGACTTATAAGCCATATTGTCGACCTCACCAAAAACCTCTTTGGGGGGAAGGGCAAGTAGTGACGATGCTTGGCTACGCCGGTTTGGAGTAGGATACGGGATATCGACAGGAACGGAAATGAAAAGGTATGATAGATTGTTCGAATAAGGTGTGCGTATACCTTCGCTCGGACAATTATTACGTAGCATCCACTAACGTGGAGCAAATTATTCTCTGGATAGCAGAACCAGGAAAACTTGGAACCGCTTATTATATTGTCATGGTATGTATTAGGTATGTACGCGTATCCTCGATGACTTACAGCTTGGTTCGCGCCCCGGCTGGTGACCTCGTCACGCATCAGGATGGGCAGAGTGCGGCGCTTGACGGGGTCCTAGTACCAAGAAGCGAGATATGTAGGTCCACAGCGGCAGCCGTTGCTACGTGCAATACCTACCTGTCGTGAGCTCGACAGGGCAGTAACACAAATAGTTGAGAGAGATTACTACCTAGACCTAGGTGCCTTTGGTATACGGAATACCATATCGGGCCAGGTGAGTAGGTACGTAAAGCAAGGTCAAGCTTAACAGGTTCACCTGGCCAGGCTCTCCGTCTAGACTACGATCGTGTGTTTTCCGGAGGCGGACTTTTTGTTGAACAGTCAAGCATGATGCCGACGTTGCACTCGTTTAATAATCTCCCCCAAAGCCAAAGCGCACGGCCCTTTCGTAAATTTTCTTGCGCGCAGCCTTCTTTTGGATATGTCGGGGGGCGGCAACTGTCACGATCGTTCCTCTTTTTTTTTTTTTTTCCTGCGTGCCAGCTAACGCAGGTCTTTAGCAGGCGCGCAGAAGATCATACCAGTCGATCTTCGAAGAGTGTCTCAGCACCTGCATCACAGAATGATGCGTTTGCCTCTCTTCGCGTCGGGGAAAAAGCAGATAATGCTTATCTGTTTTCCAATTTACCTGGTGCGGAACACTTCCGACCGGTTGAGCATGTTTAGTAAACTCACGATGATGAACGGTGTTGAGGTTCTGGTGGATGTTTGGGGTAAGTTCATAAATGAGATCTCGCTATAGGTTGGCGACGATATGAGTGTAACCAAATTCCCCTTCTGCTAGATTAGGGCAAATCTTGGCATTGGATCCGTTAAATCCGAGAGATGGGAGCATTGTGGAAGTAATAGCTGAACACCTTTCTTCGACCCCTAGTCTGGAACGAAGTAAGCCGTTAATAATAACACAACTCTACCCTATATAACCCCAGGTACCTAGCTTCTAGTGGTGTGGGAAGTTACCTGGACGTCACTTTAGAGACCCCTGGGATGAGTGAATACCAATTATTACCTAGGTACCTCTTATTATAACATTGGGATTTCCTAAGCTTCGGGGACGTCAGCCCTTCTAAAAGATTATACGTAAGAGCCTGACTTCGGAAAAGAGAAGGCCAAGTGCCGGAAGGATGAAACCGAAATAAGAGTGTTACTTAAAGCCAGCAATTTTAATTTTCGAGCTATGTTAAAGGTCTCTCCCCGCTGCCCGTTTCTATTTAGTGGCCGCGAGAAGCCGTTTTTGGTCTGTGTTAGAGAAATCCTTCCCCCGCAAAAAAATGATCTACAGACGACTTGGGACGGTGCTAGGCCCGGTCCGAACTTATAAGTGAGTATTAAGTGTAAGGATATCTTTTATACGTTGGCGTGCGGTTGGCGCAAGACCACCCGCGTTTTTCTTTTTTTTTTCTTCTTTTTTTCAGCACTCTCAGCACCCTCACTTAGTATTCGGCCCGTTGGACGGATGTGATCATGCGAGCTGCTATCAACGCCATCAGCCTATGAGGCACTCGTCGGATAGTAGTTATTACCTACCTCTCCCACGCACTAAAGCCTATTATGTACTGGGAGGCATAGCTGGATGAGTAAAGATCCATTGTGGATTAGGTTACAGGTACCTACCTAATCTAAGGTAGGTAGAGATAGGTAAGCAACACATGTATCCGAATATCGCGGATGGTAAGTTTCAGTTTGATCAATCTAGATTGACCTGGGAGAGAACCAGGCTCATTTCACGAGTTTTTCAGAATACTGCTAGATCTTCATGTCGGCCGTTGTAATCCGCAGTCTGCCTGAAGGGACCGGTCCACAGTTTAGATGAACTCGTCCGTAGTTGTCTGTGTGTACCTAAGTAGGTGCTATAATAAAGGGTGAAGCGTTGTCCGGTAGCGAGGATAGATCATTTCGTTCCAACCTACGCTAGCGGGGCGACGAGGAGGAAGTATAGCAGACAGAGCAAGATTCCAGAAAGGAAGGTCAGCTCCCTTTGCAATTAGAGATAGTCATCCGCTTTTATATTGACGTAGTAGAAGAGCTGCACCAAATTGGCTCTCGTGACTCAAGCGAGTCCTCGTAAGCAAATCGGTTCTGGTCGCTAAATAACAACCAAGACCCTTAGTCAACTCGATATATAGGTGTGCGTGCTGGTGCTGGCGGGGGCATCCAATGACGGGGCGTATAGCATGAAGAGATATGATCATTTCGGTGGTTAGCCTGTTATTGCACAGGTCTGAAACCGACAGTTGGATGCATTCCAAGTTAGTACTATAGCATGATAGTAGATAGCATGGTATGGTGTGGTATAGTAGTAGGTATAGGCCATTGTGAGGACCAGGTGGGTTGGAGATGGGGTTAACAGGGATAGCCTAGCAACCTAATGATGGTGATAGGTCACGATTCTCCATTATCTACTTCGGAACCCACGGTGACGGGAGCTAAGCGTCTAAGGTACTGTAAGTTGTAGGTATATATGATCAAACGCATGACATATCTGCGTTTAGGTGTCTGTAGGAAATTACATAGGACCTTTCAAATATGGGTTGCCTACCTGATATGTATTTCCTCTGGATACCAGCTTCATGTTGTTTGCATTTCCAAACTTGAACTAACTTGGCGCTTATACAGCGGATACATACCTCGTATATACCTACCTGTATGAACCAGCGGAACTTGGTATGGTAATGACACTGGATGTGTTAGGTACCTAACCTAACCTACCTAGCCTACCTAGGTAAGCTATACCCCTTGCACTTGGTGTAAGCACTTATGAAGTCTCTCTCCTTAATTAAGGCTGGTGATGCCAACCGAATTACTAGTATCTCCATTTGGTGACCTGAGTAATCTTCATACGTACAAGACTAATTTCCTCACGTTTAGATGGTGGGGATATGTGCCTAGGTACAATACCTAATTCACACTTTCTACATCGTTTCCGCGTAAATTTTCATATTCCCTTTCCTCCGACCCCTGGTCATTTTCCCCATCCTGTGAGAATTCCATACCCGTACCTAGCAGCTATTCTCTCGTCATTGACATTACCTACCTAGGTACCGCCCTACCGCTAGTGCCATTCCTGTATACCAGGTACGTTGTATTCTCTATCCTGTCGGATATCAATGTGGAGTATCAAGTCTAAGTTGAAACGTTGTATATTTTGGTAGACTAGTGACAACCCCGGCTTAGGCGCGAGGTCAAAAGTATCCTATGTAGAAAGCGGGGATTTGAGAATGCTCTGTATGTTAGGTACTAATATTCACAATCTCAAATCCCGTCAACATGAGCGCCTCGGCTATGCCAGTTATTGCCCTCAGAAAGAGGAGAGAGCCTCCATTCTCTCTTACTCCGTATGGGGTAGGGCGTACTGCATATGTGGCTTGCATGATATCTGCTGCTAAGGCTTCTTTGCCTTAGGTACTTTTGCACGAGGTACGGCGTTCGATGCCAGCTAGATCGCTAATGGACGGAAGATGAGATTGAACGGTCAAAATTTGTATTGTACTATAGTACATACAGTATTGTACCGCGAGCTTCCAGAAGATGGGCTCCAATCAGGGGTGAGGTGACAGAGCACGGATGCTATCCTCGCCCTGTTGTTAAGAACCAATGCTATGCCGTACCCTTAATAAGAGGTACCTAAAGTAGAATTTTGACGACGGGTAGGTCTAAACCGCGATGGGAAGCAATTTTCTGGGGGTTCGGCTTGGTCTATATACCATGTACAATACGCTGGGCCTTCTAGGCGGGCTGGGATTTCTTACTAGGGGCTCAACCGTTCTGCGCCGCTTCTGCAGGTGTGGTGTGCCATGTGGAGGAGACACCACCGTCGAATCCTCCACCTTTCCCACAGTTTCCCGTCATAAAATATGATAAGCTCGCTGCCCCGTGCCTTGCAGACCCGGATACACTCTCTCGTCATTTTTGTCCGACTCTCGTTCCCCGTACAGTATCTTGGGTAAATACTTCCTCACCGAAGCTGTATGCTTCTCTAGGTCTTCGGTTACACGACTTTATACGACAAGGTAGCAACATTGTTGTATATAATACCTAAGCGAGCTACCTGTCCTTGAGTTCACCGGAGAGGTGCCGGTAACTTGTTTGGATTGAAAGATGCCGCCGTCGTCGACGGGTGACTCGCCTCTTTCTGCCGGCGCAGCAAGCAATTCGGGACGACCTTTTCCCTTACCGTCGAGAGAGGCATTCTCTATCGAGGTCCCTTCGCCGCAACTCAACCCGGCCACCAATGGCTCAGCGCTAAAATCCCCAACGGCCGTCAAAGCCCAGCGTACCGCAAGTTTTAGCCGGGAAGGAATATTAGGTTCGGCACGGAAAGCTCGAAACCTTTCTCAAACATCTGAAATTCGTACCGAGCAAACAACCAATGGCATGTCGAAAGCATCTAGCGACGAAGGGGGAAACCCGCTAAAGAGGCGGAATACCGATGCGACGGTTGATTACCCTCGGAGACGAGCCACCATCGCGGTAGGTTAGGCGGTAGTAAAGTTCATCTAGGCGAGATTCTAACCAGAGTACCTGATTATAGTGCGAGGTCTGCCGCTCTCGGAAATCAAGATGTGACGGCACGAAGCCAAAATGCAAGCTCTGTACGGAGCTGGGGGCTGAGTGTATATATCGAGAGCCCGGGATCAAGCTTGACGCTGGCGACAAGCTCATCCTTGAGCGACTGAATCGAATCGAGAGCCTTCTTCAAATCAGCTTAACAAACGGTCATCCGAACGCGATGCAGATTACTCACGATTCACCGCCAATAAGTAACGGGACGGCTCTGAGTGGGGATAATGTTATGATTCAGAACTCATCCGGTAACTTCGTCTCTATTATACCGAGCGGTGGCTTAGGTACATGGACAAGTCATCCTCAAGGTACTAACATCTCTACGATGCCGAAAGTTCACACCAACGCCGCGCTTCATCTGCTTCAATGGCCGTTGATTCGGGATTTGATCGGACGCCCGTACGACCCGCAGATCATTCTACAACTTGAGATGGCTCGAGAACCACTGCATTCTTTGGCCAAGACTCCCTGCGTCGATCTATCGAATACTAATGCTTACATCGAAGCCTACTTCGAGAGAGTAAACGTGTGGTACGCTTGCGTCAACCCTTTCACTTGGAGGAGTCATTATCGCACGGCATTGTCAACAGGATTTCGTGAAGGCCCGGAGAGCTGCATCGTGCTGCTAGTACTTGCACTCGGCCAGGCGAGTTTACGTGGTAGTATATCCAGGATTGTACCTCAAGAAGATCCTCCCGGTTTACAATATTTTACGGCTGCATGGTCACTATTACCTGGCATGATGACTTCGAATAGCGTTCTAGCTGCTCAGTGTCATTTATTAGCCGCTGCATACCTTTTCTATCTGGTAAGACCGTTGGAAGCGTGGAATTTGCTGTGCACGGTGAGCAGCAAATTGCAACTCTTACTCATGACTCCTACGCGCGTCCCGGAGGATCAGAGAGAACTATTAGAACGAATTTACTGGAATGCGCTCCTTTTCGAAAGCGACCTTCTCGCGGAATTAGATTTACCCCATTCTGGAGTGGTTCAATTCGAGGAAAACGTTGGACTTCCTGGTGGATTTCAAGGAGAAGAATCCGAAGCGGTCGGCCGGGACGATCTCTGGTATTTTCTGGCAGAGATTGCTTTAAGGAGACTTCTCAATCGAGTCAGTCAACTTATCTACTCTAAGGATTCTATGGCTTCAACTACGAGTTTAGAGCCCGTCGTCGCGGAGTTGGACTTCCAACTTACGCAGTGGTACGAAAGTCTCCCTTTGGCCCTTCAATTCCCGTTCACCCGTACGACTCTACCGGACCCGGTGCAAACGGTGCTGCGATTACGTTTCTTTGCTTGCCGAACTATTATCTACCGTCCGTACATCTTGGCGGTGCTAGATAACGAGCAGGCCGTTTTGGACCCCTCAGTCCGGGATAGCTGTCACAAGTGTCTCGAAGCCTCAATCAGGCAATTGGAGCACATATCTGCACAGTAAGTGAAACTTCCCCCTTCGTGATTGGACAATTATCCCCTAGCCTCACTCGTGCTCTGTTTCCGGCTCTTCAGAAATTCTTGACCCAATCTAACGATTTGACCGTAGTCACGCCGGCCATATGCCCTACCTCTGGCAGGGCGCTCTGTCTATTGTTTCACAGACATTACTGGTTATGGGAGCTACTATGTCACCATCTCTATCTAACATACTGTTAACTCTCGTACCTCACCGTGAAGTCATCGATAAAATCATCAATGACGTAATTATGGACATCGAGAGGATGGCGGTACTGGCTCCCAGCTTAAGTTTGGCTGCCGAGATCATCAAGGAGGCCGAGGTCCGCAGGCGAACATACCTGAACGGATGATACACTGGTCGAGCATGACACGGTGTGCCAGTGTGCCAGTCCTGATGGCTAATGGCTGATAGACGTGCTAATGGACGTGCTGATGGACATGTTCATGGGTATGTCCGGTCCGAATGCTTTAGAGGTGACGATGATCGGATGCTATGCTCTTTGGCCCCGAAAAGATTCACCACCTCTACGCCTGCAAGTCCGCATGAAACCGTTAACTTTTACGATGTCATATCTACCGGCTGTCTGGGCCGGCCGGTTCGCGTATCTAGCAATGAGTGTAGATACTTACCAGAGATTCCCATTCATTAGCATTCTCGGCTATGCTCGAAATGCGCTGTCTCTATTACACGAGGACTTCTGCCGGGGACATGCAAGCTGCGATACGACGCCCAAATTGGAGATGTTATGGCGAACTAACCTCGTGCGACTAGCCACCGAATTCCCTTTCAGCCTTGTCGGGTCCCTAGGGATCAAGATGAAGTCCCTCCGTGGCTGATTTCTTAAGGTGATTGACGAACCCCCTCCAGGAACAAGGCCGTCGAAAAGGGCCTAGGGTGATCAAAGTAGCAGGCCGCAGCGATATGACAGCACCGCGGTGCCTCTGGGGTTGCATCCTGCGGTGGACTGGCGCAGCCTGGTTGGCGGGGAAATCTCTGGGGTCTGGGGGAGGGCTGGATGGGCAGGCTTCACGGTCCGAATTCCCGATAACCCTGCTCGCATACCTGTTCACCTCTGTTCGCAAAAGTTCGTTCACCATTGAATATGCGAATGCGAAAGGGTCGGATTCTTACGCCCGTCGCCAAATACTTTGATTTTTGTTTTAACAGTTGGAGAAAATACTCGCCAACCTTTTCCTATACGTTGTATCGCGATCTGAGGGCATTGCACGGCTATTCTCATCTCACTACATTACACTACCCTTACCTATTACCTTTACTTACTACCCTTACTTTAACACCTTACTACCATCCAGAACGGCATCTTGAGAGCCGATGAAGTCATCGGCAAGGAGAATTTTGGGGGAATTTTGGATCGAAGAAGATCAGAACCAGCTGGCTGGCTCCTCCAATGCCCCTTCTCCAGGATTTCACACCCTTGCCTCGTTTGTATAGGTGACATATTCTTCACACTTGGTCGCATGTATGTTTCTTGGTTGATGAGCATAACCAATGTGTACTATTTCCACTCCCCAGCGGATGCAGTCGCGTTGAGAGTGTTGTTCGGCGCTATCGGCGTTATTTCCCAAGCGTTCTGGTCTACAGAGACTGCATCGACATCATTCATGGTTAATTCAAAGGCAGGGGAGATGCAGCGGGAGATTCGTATCTCGGAAACTGGCTTATGCGTTGATGAGAGGGGGGGAGGTTACGAGGCAATGATAAAAATTAATGAGTCGAGACAAAGCACATCGTCATCTATACCCAATCGATTTTCAGATAATATATATATATACTCCTATATAATATGAATATGAATACCAGCCTACTTCTATTTTTACCACGTACCCACCTATCCGCCCCTTATATATATCGCGTGGCTATTTTGAGAGATCTATCCCACCTGATCGGGCAACGAAGTCTCGTCCCATCTAGCACGTGGGAAAACGTAAGCGAGATGCAATTGAACGGATTTATTAAGCAGGCCAAATGCAAATATCATCCCAGGCGGGCCTCAGCTACCAGACTCACATACCCGTATTCTCTAGGAGGCTTTCGTTCCGTCACCAGGAGACATACGTAAGAGGAGTCACTAACACGAACGCACATATACCTTACACAACGCCATCATTGAAGAAGATTACGTACACAAATAGAAGAAAGGAATAAGAATAAAATAAATCACACTTCGATCTCGTGATGTAGAAGCCCCTTTGCGGGGCTCCGCACTTGCATTACTTACATGTGCCTTCATGCACACTCTCACACACGCACGCATTAGGTACCTCCTACACACACCTACCTACCTCCTATAATCCCGGAATCCCTCGGCCCAACTTCCCCTCCCCTATAGAAGCTTACCAAGAACCTCTCATAGCCGACCTAGGTTACAACGGTATCCCGCTGCCGGGGACGGAGAAGGAGGAGTCTAATTTCCAATAAGAACGAAGAAGAAAAAGAACAAGACCAAAAATTGCCATGTGCATCGGTCAACACGCAATGCAAGCTACCTTTCGGAGATTTCTTTCCTCTTTCATAGGCACTTGGCATTGCGGGCAGACTATGCTAGGGAAAACCCCCCGTCCCCTCCCCCCCCCCGCCTGCCCGCCCGCCTGCCCGTCCTCGAATGAGGTGGTTGGCTTTGCCGGCAGCCAGCTTGGCAGCTGGTCACATCGACACACTTAGCTGGGAAGTAGACATTGTACCTGGATCATAACAGGAAGTATCTAGCACGGATATATATCGCAACGGACTAGAAAGAAAAGGGAAGTATAAATTTGGCGGGGGCATGCTGCGATACGCGGTCTTCATGTGAATCCATGTATGAATAGCACCACAATTATAATTCATTATGACTACCTAACCTAGGTACCTATGTATGTAGACGCGCTATTGATCTGTGATTAAGCAGATAATATACAGCAAATAATCCGACCTCGGAAACGAGTGTGAAACATGATATCGCTGTACGGGTGAGCAATCTCGCTGGATATTTTAGTGAACGTTAAGTGCTGAGGAGTTTCCAATGTTCCAATCCTGATCTCGCAAAGAATCGACGTGGTAAGCCGTCCGTCCCGTAGGAGAATGACACGCCGCTCTGGTTGAATAAAGCCGTGAACTCGTCGAGTTGTTCCGGAAAAGCGCTGCGGTTTATAACGCTCGGAACGAGTCGAAAACGCTCTAGACTGGGTAGCGAACTAGCCTGGAGCTCCAAGACAAACGTGGTCAAGCGGTGCCGTAATAATGTATTTCCTCTCAAGAGGGCCGCTTCTGAGTGCTGCGTGAGGAACCACATCTCGACCACTTCGAGCGACACGAGGTTTGGGGGAAGTCTTGGACATATTTTGCGATCTATTACACCAACGATCCCTGTCAAGAGCGGTAGTTCAACTGCTAGTGTCTTGAGGTTTCTCATTTCAGGCAAGCAGGTGAGAGATGTAGTAGGACCAAGCTGGCTTAGGAACAACATGTTGTGGCAAGTCCTTAACTCTAAGGCCTTCAGAGTATTGGCTACCTTTAGCAGTGCGCTGTTGAGATCTTTCCCTATCGGCGGCAGGGGTCGATAGATGTCGCAAGGCTTCGACACGATTAACGAGAAGCTTTCTAGTTGGACAGCGGACTCGAAGATATGGAATAGCACCTTGGCATCGACTGCGCGGTCCGGAATTAGTGGCGGTTCTTCATAAATATACTACTGACCCAGAGATTGGCCGAACGAAACAAGTTGGGATGACACTCACTACAAGTCACCAGCTTCAGCTCCTTGATTCTTCTGATCCACGAATCATTGCGATTTTCTGGGAAGGTAAGATATCCCATATCCCGCGAGATATGGAGCCGATGGAAATTCCCGATTTCGGTAAGCTCCGTTGCTATTTCCACACCGACCTTAGGAGGTTTATTGGAATAGTCAAGCTGCTGGATCTGTAACGTCGAAAGTCGAGGAAGAATAGCAATTCTTCCCTTCTTCAACGCTTGGCGCAATATGTACTGCAGAATCATAAAACGAGTACATTGTGGCCTGTATATAAGGAATGTGTCGAGGTTATAAGATAGACAGAGTAGGGCCGCTAGGAGTCTCTGCGTTAATGATATCGTGTTGATCGTTGTGAATGCCCGAATACTGTGGTTGTCTAAAAGAGCCGTGTCCATTATAAACTTCTGGCGGTCTGAGAGGTCCTGCTAGGACGGGTAGCTAGAGAAGAGCCTGTATACGTCGCTAAAACATATATAATCAGCGAGTTGCATAGGAGAGCATCGCGACTGTCAGCTACGGGTCGCAAGTCCCTAGAAAAGGGATACATTGTCCCAATACCTTCGTATGAACGGTCACGGAAAAAAGCCAGGAAGGGTTGAGACAAGCTAGGATATTACTCACGATGTTTCCAAATATTGTGAATCCTCTCCATTGACCGAGATTCGGCTTCCAAAACCCGCCGGACAAAGTATGTTTTCGATATACCGACAGTATTCGTATTTCCGGAGTAGAGTGCGGATTAAGTCTATCAAACTCCCCAGGCTGCCATAGGTGCGAGCGAGAAAAACATTGTTATCATGTCGAGAACAGAGGAAAAATATAACTGTCCGATAAAGAAGAGGCCTCGCGTATTCGCAGAAGGAACGGGACGTGAGACAGAGGTTGTAGAGAGTTTTGCGGTATTCTAAAAACTCCGGCGGAGGTATTGGAGTTATTACATCTTGAACCGGAAGTTCCAAGCACTGGACGATACACAATAAAATCTCGTTGGGCAGTGGGTAGACTGGCGAAGGATTGTCAAGAGTCTCTCCGTCGAGCTCACTCTCCGACTCGTCCAAGTCGCCGCCTTTGCTACGTATCGTGGACTCCGCCAGGGAGTTTTGCCTCGAAGACGAAGAGGATCCCATTGCTACCGTCGGGTTGTACGATAAAATAGATAACGAATGCGGATAGAGATAGAATGAGTGACCGGACGACCTGTCTTAGCCAACTTAGGTAGCTTAGAGGATGGTTCGTGGTAACGGGAGGAATTGACAAGAATGACAAGAGGGGAAAAAGACCCCTAGACCTTCGTATTTTAAGCAGGCGTTGAGGTTCCATATAACGCTCTTTCCTAACAATTAACATCATTATGGCAGCTGCCGCTACCATGCTATTGCTTGAAAATGATGTATGTAAAAGGTATGTACCCGGATGGACAAAACCTTACGCATATTTCAGGTTAGACCTTCAGATTTTCGCCTTAGAAGCAGGTTTCTGAGTCTATCAGTAAATATGGAAATGGCGTGCCTGCTATCATGGCCCATCGACATCTTATGAGCGACTTGGATAGGGGCAGGGGGAGGGGGGATGACAGGATGGTCATTATTCGGTGAAGATGTCTGACTCTGTTTTGCCATCTTCCTCTCCACTCTCCGACGTCTCAGCCCCTGCTCTGCGAACCGGCGCGGTAATAGCAAGTCCGGAAAACGAATTTCGAATTCATCCTCGACAAATCCGCGAGAGGATTGGCTCTCGCCGGCATTGGACTTTGTTCTTCCGCCTTTCGCGTCTCGGTTTTCAGCCGGCTCGATGCTGGCACGTTCTTCGTCGCCGCAGACCACAACGTACCACCGGATACTCTCTTTTCTTTGAAGCTGATCGCGGAGTCTCTCAAACCAACCTGCCCTCTTGTTGCCAAACGTGTTCGCCTTGTGACTGGTTTCTTCGCTCACACCGCTCATAGGCATATAAAGCTCCGTTTTCATCTGCGCCTCGTATCGATTTATTTCTTCGGTAATCGAAACCGAAGTGTCTATGCGCACGACATAATCTGCGACGTATGCCCATTGTCCGCTCGCGGTGGTTAGGTCTGAAGGATCGAACTCTTCCAGAAACTTTACTATAGACCAATCGTTGAACGATATCTCATCGCCAGCTTCTGTCGGCTCCGACGGCGGAAATAGAGATAATTTGTCGAGTCGCTTAGCCGCCGGTAGCTCGGCCGAGGCCTGATAGCCATTGTGCAATTTGTTCAGTCGGTTACCGATTCCATTTTCGCCATTTCCAAACCGGGCGACTCCATCCTCTCTTTGCGTTTGGCTCCTGCTGTGCGAACGAGGGGTTAAGTGGGCATAGCCATTTGTTGTTGGGAATTCGTTGCGAATATGGTGGGGCGAGGGGCTTAGATTTCGTGTCGGACGGCGACAAGGAGGTAGAAAGTCGAACAGCTCGTAGAATTGGTTAAGCAAGGCGAGGGGAGTGTGCCGCGCTATTATCCATTCCGACGCGGCGTCGTCAACGTTCTGGATAACGACGAAATACCGTATGCTTACGCGATGCCAGCGAAAGCCGTGACACAGATACGTCGGCATTATGCGATTGTAGCTCTGCTAGCTAGCGCGGTTTAAGCGGTAGGGTACCAAGTATTACAGCAGAATTAACCCGGGATCTTGGTCTATGTGGGGGAAGAGACAGGGGACCCTGAATCGGGGGAAGAAGAACGCGGAGGTGAAAAGGTCACACAGCTTTTCCTTCACTGGTCAAACAGTCAACTACGTCTGGCAAGACGGCCATATCAAGCGGAACAAACTCATGTAGAATGAGGTTTCCTTTTAAAGCTAAATATATCGGACTTGCCGGTATAAAGGGGGAAGTATATAATGGTCGACACAAGATATGGCGAACAAAAGTTAAGCTCAGCTCGATAATAGCCTGTCAGATCGGATCACCGCTAACCCTAACTTAGGGATTCAGGGTAAAAGCAAAAGGCGTCGTAGATGCCTCACTTATGTTATATATTAACATGTAATTTTAATTTATGTGCTCCCAAAAAAGTCCAGGAGATATCGGCTGTTAGTATTTGCAGGACTGGCAGAGGTGGGATGAAAATGAAGATAGAAAACAGTCCGTGGGGATAGGTAATCATATGTCATCCTTCCCAGCTCAAGTTGTGCCTACCAATTACTTTACCTGGTTCCTGGGTAAAATCAAAACTCGAGAGATACTCGGACGATTCGATTTCGCGATATGAAGATCCATAGAGAGCCTGACGTGTCGCAACTCTGTAATTTAGGTAGCGCCAGACTCTTCTGCTTGAGCCTCATCTATCCCAACATTGTGACAAAGGACACAATGAAGCCTCATATCAGAATTCTCGCCAACCAGTGTTCTCGGTGGTTTAAGACGTCCATCGACAACTTCCCAAACGCCTAAGGTGCCTGCACTATTTAGTTGAGAGATTAAGAATATTGAGGTACCCGTATAAGCTCTGATCCAGCTATGTTTTAACGTTCCTGGTAGGATACCAGCGTTTCACGTTCTAACACGTTCTAACTCTACCTGTAAGAGGGTCGGGAACGATGTATGGTGGACGCCAAATCATCCTAGAGCAAAGCCATGGCTGATAATAAACGTGAGCGTTCTCTCATTTTATATCATCATTGAGCACCCAAGGAGTATTATAATGAGAGGTACTCAACCTAACCTAACTTAAACCTTGCAGATTGAAATCTGATAACCCGAATTATATCCAACGTCAGTGTCAACTCCCTTGTATTCACGAAATCCATTTAAGCGCGCCAATCACCGCGGGGTTTAAGCAACCTAGATTTTACGTACACATTAACTGTTAAGGCCTCATATGAGAGAATATAAGTGGATATGACCCTCTATACTAATACGGATATGGATCCTCGGTCTTCACGCTATGCGATGATACTCTTTCTTGACATAGGTACAATGCCTAGGAAGGTGAATACCTTTATGGCGGGTTTATTCTTGCCGTGTCTCGATGTTATAAAGCAACAACCAGGACTCAAGAACAGCCAATGATACTAGAGGAAATTTCCCGATTCGGTCTTTGTTGACCAACAAGGTTAATGATCTCGATCTAGTGCCCTAGTTATTTGTACTTACAAGATACCTACAATACAGGCATACATCATGTATGTCTTACAGCGTTCGCTATACTCCTTAGCGGTCCCTTTCACGTTACGCCGTGTGACACAAAAGGAAGCTTTCCCTTCACACGTTAGCTGCAAGGGGAAGATGCGCCGAGCCTACAAGCCTCAGGTTCAAGGAAGATAGTCGAGTAGCCGGCACGCTATCCTAAAAAGTTAAGTGGAAGCGTCGGGACCCCACAGAAGCCGTAAGATCGGTATACTACTGTACAGAAAACAAAACGTCATGGAGTAGGTAAGTAATAAAATCGAAAGCCACTGCCCCTCAGTTCTTCAACCCCTCATCGCGAACTCAATTACACTACTGAACTTGGTGGAGAAGCTCCTAAAGCGAAATTTGATGCCTTCTAGTTACCTTGGGTGCTTTGGATATATATTTAGACCCCTCTCATTTTCTCAACCATTCAACGTGTTCCTTACATTCTTCTTCACTTTTCAAGTTTGACAAATAATCTATCAGCCCCTCTCGTTAATTATGGCGACAAAGACTCCCACCGTGAAGCTGGCCTCCGGCTATGTATGCGACCTCCTCTCTACTTGTATAGTAAATAAATACTAATAGTGATAGGAAATGCCCATAGTTGGGTTCGGTATCTGGAAAGTACCGAACGAGACTTGTGCTGATCAAGGTGTGTCTCCAGTAGCCTTTCAAATATTATTGCTTAATTCATGCTAGTTACATTAGATCAGTTACTAACTCTTACCTCGCTACTTTGCAGTCTATAACGCTATCAAGTTAGGTTACAGACACATCGATGGCGCTTGGGACTATACAAATAGCGCTGAGGCTGGTAAAGGCGTGCGGAGGGCTATCGAAGAGGGAATCGTGAAGCGTGAAGACTTGTTCATAACATCGAAGCTATGGAACAACTACCACGCTCGCGAGCATGCGTTCGAGATGGCCAAGCTAGAAAACGAAGCGTGGGGTCTGGGATACTTGGACCTATTCTTGATCCACTTCCCCATCGCGCTAGAGTTCATCCCATTCGACAAGATCCGCTATCCCTGCTTCTGGTCCGACAAGGAGCAGACCCAGGTTACTCCGCTGGCAAAGGTACCCATCTCGGAGACGTGGAAGGCGCTGGAGGATATGGTCCAGACTAAGGAGAACCCGAACGGGTTCATCAGGAGCATCGGGGTATCAAACTTCCAGCCCCAGCTAATCTACGACTTGCTGTCGTATGCGAAGATCCCTCCGAGTGTCTTACAGATCGAGCACCACCCGTATCTAACTCAGCAGGGGCTTATCGCTCTGGCGCAAGAAAACAACATCGCGGTAACGGGTTACTCGACATTCGGCCCACAAAGCTTCATCGAGATGGGGCATGCCAAGGCCAAGGAGGTTAAGCCGCTATTCGAGACGGAAGTGGTACAGAGCATCGCGGCGAAGCACGGCAAGTCCCCCGGACAAGTTCTACTTCGATGGTGCACTCAGCGCAACATCATCGTCATCCCCAAGTCCAACAGCGTCGAGCGACTAAAGCAGAACCTGGAATGCTGCTCTTTCGATCTGAGCGAGGACGAAATCAAGCAGATTTCATCTTTGGATATTGGTCTGCGATTTAACGACCCTTCCACTCTACAAAGGCCTATTAGAATCTTCGGTTAAGGACGGTATGATGATCAAGTCTTCCAACCTAAGTACCTAAAATAAGCAGGTTAGATCACCTAGGTAGGTAGGTAGTTAGAAGCTTCAAAATAATAAGGTAAAATACATAATTCTTCATTTCGCACTATTTCACTTGTGTGATAGCGTTGTTTGTTTGAGAGAAAACATAAAATAGCAGCAATACAATACCTAGGTACGTAATGAAATACAGAGAAGTATATGTATTGTACCAAGGTACCTGAATGAACTGAATGAACTGAAAGAACATTGAACTTGCCCCCCAAAAAGAAGCACGCCACAACCCCGCACCGCCACAACGATGTTATCTGTTGAATTATGTACCTAAGGTACATGACCTAGGTAGTGTCTGATAGCGCGTCAACTCCTTCTATATCGTTGTCGCGTTCTCTTATTAGTCGCTTCTGAGCGAACCTTCAACCAAAAAGGTTCCTTTAGCCAAACATCAATAATGGCCCTTCCATTACCTCCTGGCCTTGTGCCAACCGAAGTCGCTTTTCTCTGTGAGATGGAAATGGTTACAGTAGTTCCTCGTCAAAGATTAGAGTCAATTCCACTCCTCAGTGTAAATACCAATCCAAATAATCCAACCCCACCACCCCGCCATCGCCATCGTTATCGTCACCGTCATCAAAAGAGGTTCTACTACTAACGACACAATCCCCCATTACACAGGGTAAAACTCCAGCTCTACGCCCTCCGCACCGCGCCCAACTTCCCCTATGGCTTGCGCTATTACTCAAGAAACAGAGGCGTGCGAATATCGTTGCGCCGCCTTGGCTACACTCAGATTCGCTAAAGGATATTATTCATTACGAAACCAATGTCGACCCCGAAGCATTCTCCCCGCCTCCACCACCCCCCATGAAGTCCGACGGTAGGGGCGGCGCGAAGCCATACGCCCAATCTTCATCTGAGATAAAGCCGGGGGATATGGTCTTGTCGCCTCCCTTCCTCCCCTCGTGCACCCAGGACGCGCCTTCGGGCTTCCTACCTTACCACTGGCTCGAGCTTTCCGAAACTCTCCTCGCACACGCCGCCGACGATATACCGAATGCCGCCGAGGTTCGAACGCTACTGCGGGATCTTCAAGAAGTGCGGGCCGCAAAAATGCGCGGCAGCACTATCCATCTAGAAGGCGGCGGCGGCTTGCTCCAACTGCGAGGTGTCGGAGCCATGGAACTAGCTGAAAGCAGAGGGTTCGTGTTAGGTGTCATCGAAGGCGTGAGGAAGTTAGGTGCGAGTGCCGAAGCGAGTAGGAGGGAAGAGGAGGAAGAAAGGGCTAATGGCGGAGGAGACGAGGATAGCGACGAGGAGATGGGCTTCTAGAGACGAAATAAATGACGCATATGAGACATGGTTACAGCATTGCATTGCATTTGCATACGGCTTCAAAAAAAGAAAGAAAAAATCACGGCATACCTATCGCATAAAGCATCAGACCGGCGTTCGAACCTCCTTCAGCAAAACAGGGAAACTGTTTTTTTTTTCGACATCCATTGACATATATACCTGTACCTAAACTACCTACCTTATACCCCATTTTCCGTCTTTTCTTACTCAAGGTGCTCACGTTGCGTGCGCGAGGATAGAAGAATTTATTAATTGAAAACATAGCTCGGTATGCTTACAACTTCTCCATTCGCCATATACCTCCATCGCGGCCTCATCCCCGTCCGTTCCACGTTCTCGAAATATTGACTTATATGATCTTCCGCGGCCCAGCTCAGCGGTGGCCGTTGCGGCAATGTCTCGTTGTGAACCCTCCTTTCCATCGTAATATATATGCATAGCAGCCAGAAGCCTCCGTTCAGGAGAATTACCAGAATGCCAACTACGAAGTCCGAGACCCGGTATAGTTCGCTATCTATAATACGCAGGAAAACGAGGAGCGCGAGGAGCGCACGTTCTCGTATAACCGCGGAAAGCGGCACCGTATGTTCTTTCGTGATACGACTGACGTGCTCTTCTAATGTGATAGAAGCCGCTTTGTAGACATCCGCGAGTCGGTGGGAGAAGATTATAAGTGGCTCGGCTTTCTCCTCTAAACCGCTTACTAGGAGTTGTACGTACGTCCTTATGATGAGGTGGAGGGCATTATATATGGCTCTGTAGAAGGGTAAATAGCTCTGCCCCCACACGCCCGGGAGCCATCCCATAACCATCAGGAGGACGTCGTTCCACCTTAAAAGCATCGCGAAGGTGTATTAGATTTAGACACGCTGCGAGATGTGCGGATTCTGGGGTCGTGAGAAGCTCTCCGAGGTCGTTAAGGTTCTTAGGAGACCAGCTAAGAAACAAACCACCTTTTTCTTTTTCTGGTTGCGGAGCGAACTTTTATAGCTAGGTGTTAAGAATCTAGAAGCGGATGCGTTGCGGATTATAGAGTGCGGCGCAAATTCGAGCACATAGGATAACGGGAGAGTAAGCAGCGCCCCGATAGATTTATTTGCGGCTGGGTATTGAATGGACTTGTGTTGCCAAAGAGCTTCGAATCCGACGCCAAAAGGCCCCCTTGAGTTACTTGTCTCGCTTGCTTATATCGATCCATTATCCCACTTCCCGTGAATGACTATTGTTTGCCTTTCTTGGTGTCTGGATAATTTTTCCTTGTGCGAGGAAACCTTTGCCGTCTCTGGCTTGGCTAAGATTATCAATAACAATAGTATTGTTGACTGGCAACCCTTTGAGCCCGCATTGTCGTGAGCTGAGTTGCTTTTATGTAGCTAGGTAGGACAAGGGATTCATATATCTGAATTGCGGACCTGAAAGAAGGATTATATAAATGCCTGATATTATACATGGATAGCGACGAGTGATTGGTCATTCTGCTCTGCTTTGAGGTGACGTTGGTGCAACAAAGGGCTTGGCCGTTGTGGATGTGCTTGCTTGCTTGGTGTTGTACCCCTATAGGTATCTATGGGATGATTAAATTTCCGACGCATTGGGCTTGTAGGATACACATCAGATATGCTATTTAAGAATACAAGCAGTACCCCTGGTTGAGCCGCACAGGTTACATTGGCACCTTCTCCCTCGTTTTAATACTTGGGTGGTTGATGTGCTTCGCGAGTGTTGGTAAGGAACCTGCAAGCATCAAATATCTTAGACTCACGACATTGTTGATTACAAGCAGAACGTATTGATGTTGATAATCTACATCACTCAGCCATAACCTAATAATGATATACATATATTACCTGCACTATTCAATTCAAAATTTAGGTACCCATCATATTACTACTCGTTTGCGTGCGCGTCATTGTAATAATGAATCTGTACGTTGGGTAGGTAGCTTTGTTAGCAGCCTGGATAGAAGACTAATAATGGCAGAAAGAACAAAAGAGCTCTCTCTCTCTCTCTGTGTGTGTGTCTATCTCTCTCTCTTGTTTTTTCTTTCTATCAGGTAGGTCAAGTACTCACAGTCTGATCCGAGCACCCGCTCGGGGTCTGGTACCCGTACGCGCCGGTATTCACGAACAGGGCCTGGCCGCGGCAGACGAGCCAGGCGGCATTGTTCTGGCGGTCGAGGCCGGGGACGCTCCAGACGAGGGCGTCGCCCTGGAAGGCGAAGGAGCCGAACGGGTTCTCGGTCGCGTTGAACGAGGTCGCCAGCGTGCGCGGCGGGCTCGCCAGGTCCCCCGCCGGCCTCTCGACGTGCAGGTACAGCGGCGCGTTCCCGTCCCCCGTGTTCGCGACCAGCTGCCCGTTCCGGACGTTGTACTGCCCCGCCGTCTTGTAGCTCTCCAGCACGGCCGCGCCCCCCGCCGGCTTCGTCTGCAGGTACTTGTGGAAGTTGGGCGCCGCCACCGCCCGGATCCAGTACCAGCCCGGCTGCAGGGTCGTGCCCGGTCCCGAGGATTGCCGCGGGGATACGGGGCTAGTCGAGGCGAGCGTGGCGAGGAGCGCGAGTGTAAAGGGTTGGAACAACATCGTGGCTGAATACGGTCTTCGGACTAATATAGACGCACTGTCGATCAAAAAGGACGTTTTCAAAGAGGCAGATACGTGTACTGTATAAGACAACCTACAGCTAAGCACAAGGATGTTCAAGTTACATTACCAAAGTGCTGGAGGTGAGTGGTATTTATTCTAGCAATGATTGCTTCTCCCTCAGATCCATCCATCAGGGACACGGGCAAGTCTTCCGGCGGATGAGCTTGTGTAGCATGTAGTAAAGCTTCCGTGTTACTACGTCGGGTGCGGAATGGGTGGAAGGATATCCAAGGTAAGACCGTCATCGCAATATCATTTAGCCTAAGCTCAGGTTCGGCACCTGAACCGTACCCAGGTGCGCAAAGGGGTTCCGAGGAGAACAGTCCAGACCAATTCGAGCTTAAACATTTAAATAATGGCATGCTGATAGCTGGCTGTTCGCTAAATTGCTTAACTTAATATTAAGAGGAAAATGCTTGGGTCACCTGGATTAGAAGTCATGTGGGATATGGTTTACTGCAGAATCATAGAATCCACTAGGACAGACCAACATCAAGAAATGCCGTGGGGTCGACTTGTATACAGGCCGAATATATTACTTATGTGCTTCAAATCAAAAGAAAATCAAGCCTGTCATTTTAACTATAAACAACGGCAACAAGACCTAGGAAAGTTATGAGATTAATTTTCAAGGGCTCTTCGTAACGGGCTCCAAGCGTTATCGTAGGTTCTCCTCATGTTCTTAACAAACCCGGAACATAAGTCATTTGGTTGTGAAGCTGATCGTCCTAGCTTATCGTCTATAAAATCTTCTCAAATATAGCGATAGTCTCCTAGCAATCCGCCGTGAGCCATCCACTGGGAATTCGCGAGATAGTTTGGCACTGTTAGCGCGGCCTTGATGTCGGCTTTATATATATGCATACCTAGCCTGAGCGGCCATTCTCTTAAGATTTCTTTGGATTGGGAGGCCTACGTTGCAAGGTTTGGAAGCTTGATATGCTTAAGGAATGCAAGTAGCTGGCAAAAAAAAAGGTGGTTAAACCTGGCTCTAATTATCACTCTTGCTTTCTAGGTATAAACGCCAGCGGCGGTTATGGTATCTTGCTAACCAGGGACATACAGAACACCTCTCTCTTGCAGTTGAGCCAATAATTTGCACAAATTAGTGGTAAAGATACATATATATTCTCAAGGTGCCTAGTTGAGTAAACTACCTATTTTGGTACATGATTTCCGCGAACTTCAATCCCCTGGGCTTTTCATGAAGCTCCAAATAACTGCCTTAGGTAAAGACCCCCAGTCAAGGTTTACTTAGAAGGTTTAGTCCAGCTCGGCGGCGGCGGCGGCGGGCTGTGGGCGACGCAGTCTGCATCGAACTTGTCAACCGGTGTTGAATTGCATTTCGAGGGTTCGGCGCAGGGCTTGGTATTTTCTGGTCCGGAAACGAGGGCCCCGCACGCCCTGCACTTGTGGTTGACTATCTTGCACATGGTTCTCTTGACGGCAAGAGGCTTTGCAAGTTATACTTGTCGTGAAGGTATAGCTAAATAGCTTACTGCTGGTTGTTGTGGGATTTGTTTTGTTGCTAAAGGTGAATAGGAGGTTGGAAAAATCAGATCGAAAGGCTGCGAAGACCGTGTTCATATAATGCCCGGCGAACAAAGCTCGTCTAGTGATGAAAGAGTGACTGCCTACCTCGCCTATATATTCATTCAAATTATACATCCCTTAGTCCCATAAGGTCTCTTGTCGCTACGAATCTTGCTGTATTACGTGATTGCAATAGGAGGTACCTATATGAGTAGCGTAGAGTCAAACCCACGAGTGGCTGCCTATTCAGCAAGTGAGGTGTGGAATCCTGAACTTCTTTTCAGGGGGGCATTCACGTTTACGACGCCATGCTCTGATGATACGCGTCAGTACCTTTGGTCAACAAGCTAATGCGTGGCTATAGTTAATATAATATACTTATAGGTAATAGGGAGCCATCAAGTTAGGCAGCTTTATAGGAAAGTGACTACCTGTTATATGTACTTGAGTAACATATTTTTCATAAAATGCAATAGTTAAGATTTAGGTAATTCAAGGCCATTCTAACTTCTACGTGTAATGGGTTATAATGGTTCATTAACTAGAAGATCTTTGCAAGAGTGTATAAATATGCTAAGAAACCATAGGGGTAACTCCTGAGGTTAGTTATTAGACACTATGTCATATTGTACGTAAGGATATCATCTAATACCTCATATTGAATGATAGGGGTCGGCTTGCTCTCCCCCTTCCTGGCCTTGAACAGAGCTTGCAATTACGGGAAGACAGGAAACTTGTTATAAATTGGTAAAATTATTAATATTCGTAAAGGTCGTCTAGCAAGCTGGACTAACTATACGCAATCGTCAACTTACAAGGAACTATAGGAAGCCCAAGTACGTGTCGTTCGTAGTCTATACCTCAGTAGCCTTGAGAACTAAGAAGTAGCTTACTTCGATCCCCCGGATTTTGATCCTCCTGCCTGTGACCCCCCTGCTTGGTCGCGATTCAGATCTAACTTTGGAGCCGGCGCTGGGGTTTTCTTTTTGAGATGACGGTCACAATAGGTATCCTATACCTGGCGTGGCATCGTCATGCATCTTTGATGATCCTCACAGATGGTAACGTATTCCGGCCCCCAGACAAGGATAGAGCATCTGTGGCACATATGGTCTACCAAGTTGCACATGGCGCCTGTATAGATCAGGTTTCTGGAAAGTTATATCTGCTCCTAAAAGACGGAAATATATTGTCGTCTTTGCGGCGTCCGATGAAGTAGTTGAGATACTGTAGATGGAAGAAGCGTAGAAAGAAGTAGTGAGGGGAAGTTGTGGGCGAGGCCGACTTAATATAATATCTCAGAGCATACAGGTTACTCCTTGTCCTACTTGGAAGTCAGCTTTTGTGAAGGGTACCTACCTATTGTAACATGTGAGTAGGACAGGGAACTAGAAGAATAGTACGAAGTCGTACATCTGAGTGGCCATCTATTTAGGTCTATATGTGGATATGAATAGTAATGATTAAGGGGGTAAGAAATAGGTTGGTGCTAGAAGGACGTGTGAAGGGAATCCAATTCAAGTGCATTGATCGTGATATTTGTGAATAAAACCACCTGACGTAGGAACATGGTACGCAAGTCGACTGGAGCATTGAAGAAAAGCTGATCTTCTGTTGTGTGTTTGATGAATCAATCACCCGAGTAAGAGGAGAAAAGCAAGATGTAATTAATGTATAGGAGATATAATAAGAAATACAATAAAAAAGGGGGTGCTATCATCTGTGTACCGGAAATGTACCAGATACCTTAGGTAGCCTTTGCTGACGTCATCAATACTAACTGGAGTTTTTCACATCTCCATCAAAAAAAAAAAAAAAAAAAAAAACCCAAGACCTCCCAACTTAGGTACCTAGGTAGGTACATATACCTGTAATTGTAATTCCAACCGTACCTAGGTAATAATAGACTTCAACATAGAATCAGTTGGTGCGCCTCATGAACGCAAATATCAGCCATGCGAACGCATCAAGAGCATTTAAGACTATCCTTATCACAAGACCCTCAAATGCTGCCAAACAGATAGTCGACCGGTTTAGGACTCATGCTCTCTTTAAAACGAGGTACCTTAATCAACCAACCGCCATCAGAGCTCGAGCTACAATTCACATGAAGCGTAGCGCATCAACGGTATCAACGGTATCAAATGCAACCCCAAAAGCTAAGAAGCCTCGACTGGAAGCGCCAGAGCATCATCTAATCCCTTCCATCCGAGATGAAGAAACTGGCGAAATCGTATGGCCAGCTCCCAAACATCAGATAGAGCGTGCTCGGAGTTTCATTTTAGAGTGGCATGTTTTATAACTCGTATAGTTTTTAGCCCTTAAGCAGTTACTAATTATTATTATATAGCGCTTCCGCGAATAAGAAGACACTCATTATTCCTCATGAAGATGTTGATGAGTTAACATCAGGTGCTATATTACAAAAAACCCTCGTGTTGCTTGATCTGAACCCTACTCTCATATCGGCCCATCTACTTCGAAAAGGGAGTAATATTCACCAAGAGAATGAGCGCATCGCTATGGCCGTTTATAATCCTGAATATATCTTTGTCCTAGGCCAAGGATCGAGGAACTCACCTCCAGTAATCGACTCCCCTCATGAGTCTTTAGTGATAGGTCACCATTGGTCATTGGAAGACAATTTCCCGGAGGGCTCAGAACATGTTACAGCGTGCCACTCTCCACCGGTCGCTACGAGCTCGCTCCTTACCAACCATATCTGCAATGAGCTACATGAGAAGGTACATAGCCAATGTGATTGGCTATGTGCAATAGGCACTCGAAATGACTTGGGTAACGCTTTGAAACGGGAGCCACCGTTTCCGGATATGGAACCTACGTTCAAAGCCTACACTAGAAAGGAGATCAACGATGCTATCACTCATCATCGCGTCCCGTCAAACCGCCACCTATGACGTTGCCGCTGCCTGGACTGCCCTAATTGCTGCTCATTCGCTCAAGGAACTCCTCACGAACCGGAGTCTCCTTGCCGCTAGGGCTGAAGTAAATGCCGAGGCAGAACGATGTACCCATACGCCCCCGAAGTTCTCGGACGATGGCACCATTGCCGTCTTCCGCATCAACTCTACTACCCGAGTCCATCCTATAGTAGCAGCCCGCAGGGCATGGTTTTTACAATCACCGAAACTGGAGGTAATCCTAGTAGCTAACGAGGGCTATCTTCCAGGCATGGTGAACTTCTCGTGCCGCGTTGCCCGAAGCGCCAGGGCACGGGAAACGCCGGTGAACATTATCGAAGTACTAAAGGGCATTGCGGCGAGGGCTCCAGATCCGACTCCGCATGAAAGACTTGGAAAGTCATTTGCGACGGGTCATAAAGAGGGTAGTGGTGGTATTGTTCCGAAGGCGGAGTTTGAAGAGTTTATGGACATCTTACAAATTAAGAGGAGGCCCGAAGGAGCAAGTCCCAAGAAAATTAAGAAAGACGCCGCCCCGAAGTAGTCAAACACTTTAACAAACTATTCTGAAAAGAAGACTACTGCTTGGGCGCTTGGGTAAGACGAAAATTCTATAATGACCTTAGGTACCGGAATTCAACAAAACGAATATAATGAGCCTTTAACCTACCTGGTAGGGTATCCTGTCACAATTTCGGCCATTAACTACCTGGCCCCGATAAGAGATTTTGAGCAAATTCATTACTTGAAGATATGCGATCGAATTCTATTAATTAATGACGAAAGATTATCTGTCCGTCGGAAAGTGACGTCGGCGCGAAATTCGCAGCGCGCTCACATCAGAGCGCACATCGCTCCCACAAGCTTTCCCAGCCCATGCCTCTTCCTAGCAATTTAAGCCTCATCGCTTAACTCGTAGGAGTTGGTGCTGCCACAGCAGCAGCACGACGGAAACAATCGACTCACAATTTACCAACGGACTTGAGGCCGCGCTCGCCGTCGACCAGGACGCACCAGCCGCCGTGGCCGCTACCGCCGTCCCCGGCGACCACGGCGCCAGGGTACCCGGCGTCTTCGGCCCCCTCGGCGCCGCCGCGCGCGTACCCGATGACCTCGTCGTCCCAGGTGCCGGGCTGCAGCCAGACGGCGGGGATGCCGAGCTTCTTGGCCTCCTTGAGGACGCCGAGGGTCACGGGCGCCGGGGTGATGATGGACAGCGAGGTGTGCTGCGGGTCCGGGAGGTCCGCGAGGGACTTGACCGTCGGGTGCACGCCGAAGGGCGTCTCGATGCTCGCGCTCGCTGGGTTGATGGGCGTTACGGGGAGGGAGTGCGCGTGGTACCAAGTGAAGACTTCAAGCGCGGAGGGGCAGGTTTGGTTAGCAAGCCTGTCTTGACCTTGATTTTTATTTTTATTTTTTCTATAGCAACTATGAAGTTGAATTTATGTCGTATCCCACTCATATGCATGTAAGCATCGTTTGGTCTGCAACTTGTAGATGAGATGGGAGGGGAGATCGAGGCAACCACATCGATCGATGAGCGAGATAGACGAGAATACTATGTAGAATACCTGATGGCGGAGGAGGGGTTAGAGACTAGGAAAACAGGGATTGTCCTTACCCTTATGACCGAACTTGGCGGGGTTCGTACTCGCGCCTACAACGGCGAATTGAGGGGAGTTGAAGAACGTTCGGACGGTGGTTTCGGTAGTCATTTTGGCAATGAAATGTGTAAGGTAATCCGATGATAAGAATATAGAGTGTGACTATAGTATATTTGGTGGAAAGAGTCTATTATTGAGAGGAAGATGTGTGTTGCTTGCCGCTGTTAAATGAGACGGGAACGACCTATTGGTTCTGTCTGAGTAATGTTGAGTTATTTCGTTGAGACCGTATTTACGAATGATGAATGATAGATAAATGTAATGTTCCAGTTCTCTTATCAACTTGTCGAAGCTGATGTCCCGAGGCTTACTTATACTAGGTCTTGGCGATATCAGGGCCGATCGATGGCGTATAATTCACCGGGTGTCGTCTCATTAGGTACCTCCTAAGGTACGGTACATCACCTGCTAGATAGAAGGAGGTAAGCAGCTCCTATGCAACTGAAGCTCCATATTTTCTAAGCTGAGTGTACTTCTAACCTTCAATCTTTGTTCCATTTTTTTTACCCCTGATCACTATATGAATCCTACCTCTACCTAGTCAACAAATGTAACTCATATTAAGGTAAACCAAGATCTACCAAGAAAAGCCTCAACTTATTCTCGTTAGTTGAGTCGCATAAGAGATGGCGACATTTGCGTTAGTTTTAACGACCTTCCCTTTCAGAAGAACGTCTCGCTAACAGAAGTATAGCCGACCAACTTTTTCAGCCAAGGCCTATGCAGCTTTTCGGCCGGCTTACCCCCCATCACTGTTCCGCACCGTGCTAAACTACCACCAGCTGCCCGCGCACAGCGGCACGCTACTGGATCTCGGGTGCGGCCACGGTCTTATCGCGCGCTCCCTCAGCCCGCATTTCAAATCAGTGCTTGCCATCGACCCGTCAGCAGGCATGATAGCGCAAGCCAAGCAGACCACGACCGATCCCACCGTGACCTTTCGCCAGGGTGGCGCCGAGGATCTGCGCTTCTTATCGGATGGCTCCGTCGACATGGCTGTCGCGGGCCAGGCCGCGCATTGGTTCGACTACGGGAAGGTCTGGCCCAACCTCGCGCGGGTGGTGCGCCGCGGCGGCACCGTCGCCTTCTGGGGCTACAAAGACAACGTGCTGGTGGGCGCGGAGCGGGCGACCGAAGTCATGGAGCGGTTCGTCTACGGGTCCGGCGAGGTGGCGCCGGGCGTGGAGGGCATGGGCCCGTACTGGGAACAGCCCGGGCGGAGTATCCTGCGCGACCTCCTGCGCAGCGTGCACCCGCCCGATTCCGACTGGACGGATGTCACCCGCCTCGAGCACGAGCCGGGAGAGAAGGGGACGGAGGAGACCCGCTGGCTGAACAAGAAGATGAAGCTCGGCGAGGTAGAGAGCTACCTGCGGACGTTTAGCGCGTACAATGGCTGGAAAGAGGCCCATCCCGAGGCGAAGAGCAGAGCGGAGGGTGGAGAGGGGGATGTGGTCGATATAATGTGGGATCACATGATCGACGCGGTACCGGAATGGAAGGCCAAGGGGGAGCAGTGGCGGGAGATTGAAGTTGAAAATGATTGGGGCACTTATATCCTAATGGCCAGGCGTAGATGATGTGTACTATGCGTATAGCTTCTTAAAGCAGGTAAGTTGAGAAACGAGGACAGACAAGGGGCACCGTTTCTGCTCTCATTTTATTTTATGTCTTAGGTATCTAACTTAATTATACCTCTCACTATAGAGAAATACCGTTTCTCTATAGTGAGAAATTGTAGATACTACATTTAGATAGATATAAAAGTACGTAGAGTATGTAAATACAGCCCTGTACGAAGTATCTAATACCTACGATAGTAAACATTCAAGTTCGATATGCAACAACCTTATATGAATGTGAATTGTTTTCCTGCATTTAGGTACCTATCCTGCACTCATTGGTTCATATTTGTACCTTGGCGGTGAATTTTAGTCCCTGTAGCCCCGCCCATGCCATCTCTGGCAGCTCTAGATCAGCCCAACCAAATCATCCGGTTTATTTGCATTTAAGCCCCATAGTAACTAAAACAAGGTTAGGTTATGCCGTTGCCCAGTCAATACCTACGCCCAACTTGATCCACTCAAATTGCCAGCAACGCATGGAGCATTATTAGAACTGTTGGAACTGCGCTAAGGTAGGGGGGTAATTCAATTTCATCTCCGTTATTCAACTTTCTTATCATCTTACACCGTCGTCCTCACAACTCCAAGAAAACATCATCACAAACGCCGACTCCGTTTTTATTATAACATTCCTGACCCGGTCTTATTTACAATTCCAACCCTCAATACCTCAAAATGGTGAGTTGCTCTTTGTCTGCTCCAATTCACTGTCTACCTTTAGATACCTAGGTAGGTATCTACATAAAGTACCTACCCTGGGAACATAAACAGAGGGGATTCCTTGTTGTTGCCCCTCGTAACTCCCTAAGTCAAGGCTTAGTGCCAGTGTTACGCGATGAGAAACGACCAGTCAGCGTGATCCTTTTGCAGCCAAATGGCAGCATGTAGCCGACACGCAAACGCCCGCAACCTAAGAAATGCTACTTTCGATCCTTTCGTCATATTTCTCCAAAGCGAGCTCGAATCTCCAGAAAACAAAAGCGAACCGTTTACTCCTTTTTTGGATATCAATTGCTTCGCCCTACTATTTTTGGCTTCTTTTGGATAGCAACAAATTATCGATATGGCCACTAACGATGCACAGGCTTCAACCAACTACAAGGAGGCTTTCTCATTATTCGACAAGCGAGGCAATGGCCGCGTTGCCCTCGAAAGCCTCGGCGACCTCCTGCGCGCCTGTGGGCAAAACCCTACCTTAGCCGAGATCAGAGATTTGGAGCGCAATGTTGGCGGTGATTGTGAGTGGTCCCTATTATCCTATCCTATCCTATTTTGAGACTTGCGTACTCGTACAATCTGCTGGTATCCGGAAATTGAGCACCGCATACAATTTACGTGCGTACCTAAATCGAAAATGGCTGTTTGCTAATGTAACCGCATCGTCGTAGTCGACTTCGAGACCTTCTCGAAAATCCTGAACCGACCAGGCGGTTTCCGCGACCCCGGCGAGCCTGACGAGTACTGCCGCGGCTTCCAAGTTTTCGATAAGGACATGACTGGCTTTATTGGTGTTGGTCAACTCAAGTACATCTTGACGAACTTAGGAGAAAAGATGACGGATGAAGAGGTCGACGAGCTGCTTAAGGCTGTCGACACCAGTTCGGGACAAGTCAACTATACTGGTAAGTCATGAATTTCACGAATTCGACTGTTATATTTTTTTAAAAGAAATAAAAAAAAATAAAAGAGCGAAAGCGATAGCTAACGAACACAATGCAGAGCTTGTCCGAACCATCCTGGCCAACTAGATCATTTCACCCTCGCGAGCATTGAGATGGAAGCTGGAGTTTAGAGGCGTAGAAATTGTCAGATGCACCCACGAATATCAATAAACCACTACAACCATAGGCATTGGCTGGGGAGGACGACATGGCGTTTGTTCATTGACGGGATTATATGAAGCAGGATTGGCCTATTTGATCTTTTACGGTAGTCATAAGTCAGATATGGAAAATAAGTGAATAGGGGAGAGGGGTGGTTGTATGGTGGATGGGTGGCATGCGGAAGACCCTCCCTTTTTTTTACTTTTCATCGATTCTGTACGTAATACAAAAAATTCTTCTCAATCCAGGGCTCCGGGTTTTCATGGTTGTGTTTGGTCATGCAGCTGTGTAGCAGCTGAAAAGGCTTGTTGGCTTCTTTTAGGTCCTAAAATACCAGTAAGAGAGACTTGTTGATGTACCCAGGTTATACGGTAGGTATTGTACCTCCAGTTCCTGTTCCGATAGCTGGATAGGCCCTACGTTACAGTGTGATCCCCCCGCAATCTAGGAAATGTCAGTGGGACTTGTTAGGTGTCTTGGCTCCGTCAAGATCGACGTGGATTTTAGCTCCATACAAGCTCCAAGACGCATCCACAACCTTACATCGTCAGAATTGTCACGTATCCAAAGCATAAATCCAAGCATAAAAAGCCCCGCCTTGTCCGGTCATCGCCCCTCCATTAGCCCCTCCAATCCCCTTGGGCCTCGTGATATATACTGGCGGACTTCACCTACACCAGAGCTACTTCTACTAGAAAACACTACCGTCCTTCCTTTTTGGTGGTGGTTTCTTTCCTCGTCCTCCTACTCGCCATCGCCTACAATCTGGCTGCCGCACGAGCTGTCTCTCGTCTTACTTCGTATCTTAACCAGATACGACCGAAGACGATTCCCTCAACAACTGTCTTCTCTCTCACCCGTTCAACTACTCAAGATCGATCGATTGTAACCGCCACTATGGCTCCCGATAAGTACAAGAGCCCTCCCCAGGCACCACCGACGTTCACGGGGACCAAGGAGTCCATCGTCAACGATGCAAAGACTATCTGCGAGACTACAAGATCTCTACTAGACAAGCTTGCTACCGATGTGAACCCTTCAACTGCGACTTTTGCCTCTGTTTTGGCACCCATCGCCGAAGACGAGAACCAATCCCAGTTGAACACTCGAATCCTCGGCTTCTACCAATACGTCTCAAGCGACGCCGACCTACGTAATGCTTCGACCGAGGCCGAGAAGATCATTGATGAATTCTCTATCGAGTGTAACATGCGCGAAGATATCTTTAAGCTTGTCGATGCTGCATTTCAGGCCCAGAAAAATAAAGAGCCCGATCTCGATGCCGAAAGCCTGCGTCTACTCGAAAAGGAACGCAAAGGATATATCAGGAATGGCTTGGGATTACCCCAAGGCCCACAGCGAGATCGCTTCAAAGAGATCAAGAAGCGTTTGAGTCAGATTGGCATCGAGTTCCAGAAGAACCTGAACGAGGAGAACGGCGTTCTATGGTTTTCTAAAGAGGAATTGGATGGCGTTCCCTCTGACGTGCTCGATGGCTTAGAAAAAGGCACTGGGGAGAATGAAGGCAAATTGAAGCTCAGTTTCAAATATCCCGACCTTTTCCCTACCCTAAAATTCGCCAAAAACCCGGAAACCAGAAAGAAAGTCTTCATTGCAAATGAGAACAAGGTATATACTTTCCCTTCACGGTTTCTACTGAGAAAAAAATGACAAAAGAGTTCCTGAGGTACACTTGGCTAACAAATCACCTTAGACTAATCAGAACGTCCCTCTATTCAGAGAGGCTGTTCTATTGCGTGACGAAGGTGCCAGACTCCTAGGCTACCCCAACCATGCCGCTTTCCGCATAGAAGAAAAAATGGCCAAGGAACCGGCTACTGTCAACGTCTTTTTAGCAGATCTGCGGAAACGCTTAGCACCAGGCGGCGAGAAAGAAAAGGATCACTTGCTCGAGCTGAAGAAGAAAGACGAGGAGTCGAGGGGCCTAAAGCCGGATGGAAACTATTACCTTTGGGACCACCGCTTCTACGACCGCATGATGGTGGAGCAAGAATACAATATTGACGAGGTCAAGATTGCAGAATACTTCCCACTGCAAAGCACTGTTCGAGGCATGCTGCACATCTTCGAAGAATTATTTGGCCTGGTATTTGTGGAACTGGACGCTAGCGAGCGTAAGAGGCTATCACCAACCGGTAAAGCCGAAGACATTGCTTGGCATGAGGATGTGATCCTCTTCTCCGTCTGGGATGACAGTTCTGAGGGCGATGGTTTCGTCGGCTACCTCTATCTCGACCTACACCCGCGTCCAGGCAAATATGGCCATGCTGCCAACTTCAATCTGCAGCCTGGTTTCCTAAATAAGGACGGCACGCGTAGATATCCCGCCACCGCCCTCGTATGCAACTTCTCTAAGCCGACAGAGAACAAGCCCTCTCTCTTGAAACACGACGAGGTGGTAACTCTATTCCATGAGCTCGGACATGGTATTCATGACTTATCCGGCCGAACTACTTACAGTAGATTCCACGGCACAGCGACAGTTAGAGACTTCGTCGAAGCTCCAAGTCAGATGCTCGAGAATTGGTGTTGGACGCCTAGTCAGCTTAAGTCCCTCTCGAATCACTATAAGACTGGCGAGAAAATCCCCGATGATTTAATAGAGAAGCAGATCTCTACGAAGCATGTCAATGACGCCCTTTTCAACCTCAGACAATTACACTTTGGCATCTTCGATATGACAGTGCATTCCCCTGCTACCCATGAGGAACTAGAAAAGATCGATTTCAGTGCGCTATACAACGATTTACGCACCCAGATTGCTGGCCTCAAAGGCCCCGAAGCTCTAGGAGAGCCAAGGTACGTCTCCCTTACAATTCATGTTCTGTTGCTATTGTAATACTGACCAATATTGGATAAAAGCACTTGGGGTAATGGGCAAGCAACCTTCGGTCATCTCATGGGAGGTTATGACGCGGGTTATTACGGCTACCTATCTTCCGAAGTCTACAGCACCGACATGTTCTATTCCGTCTTCAAGGAAGACCCAATGAATGGAAAGGAAGGCCGTAGGTACCGCCACACCGTGCTAGAGCGCGGGGGCAGCCAAGACGAAATGACGACCCTTGAACAATTCCTTGGCAGAAAGCCTAGTAGTGACGCATTTTACGCTGATTTGGGCCTCACAGCTATTGCACTTACTTCTGCGGCATAAAAAAAGACTAGAGATGGATCAATACTAGGTACGCTGTGGCCTAGCATACCAGGCAACCTACCTGTAAGCAGTTGCTGCGAGGCTTGCATGCTGCAGCCTTCACTCCGCCTATACACTAGTTGGCAGATCTAATTCGTCCACATGCTATAGAGGCAATTAGCTTACCATAAAAGTTACTAAAATACGAAATAAAGCTTTGCATCGTATAATTTATTATTGTCAGCATGTAGCTAATGTAGCCAATGAGACGGTATAACAGGTAGGTACTGAGCCTATTTGCTAACTATGCGTAATACCTACTACTACCTTAGGTACTCTCGTAAATGCTACATATAACAGAGCTCATGGCTTTTCATAGATAGCACATATGGTATGTTGCTTACACTTTCAATCTCTTTAAATTTGCGCTGATCAACATAGGCGATTTCAATACCTTAACAATGCGTCTTTTCACACAACACTAGCACTAGGTACATGATATAGCAAGTGCGTGTGCATAGGGTGATGTTGTATTAAACTTCTATATACAGAAACGAATGTGATTATAGCTTATATCACTTAAGCCGGTTTAACTCTTCCTTCAATATATTCTAGCTTGGTACCAGGTAGGTTAGGTACGTGTATCCAAATTGACTTCCCCCCTTACTATATCTCTTAGGTAGGTAGGCACCTAGTTAGTGCGGCCGAGGAGGCGGTTAGCGACGTCGGAGACGTAGGAGGGGGTGGCGCCCTTGCCGTCGCTGAGGTCGGCCTGGTTGACGGAGCCGGAGTTGTACTCGCGCAGGGCCTTGTAGATGCAGTCGGCGGTGTCGGCGTCGCCGAAGGAGCGCAGGTTCTGCTTGAAGTGGTTGGTTCCCGCGCGCACCATGGACGTGATCTGCTCCTGGCTGAGGTTGTGCTGGCCCGGGAACCCGGGGCTGCCGTCGCACTGCATGAGCCCCGCGGTCCCGTGCCCGTCCATGTTCACCGTCGTGCGCACCCCGACGTCCCCCGTGCTCTCCTGCATGATGATGGCGAAGATGACGCTGGGGGAAAGGGGGGGTGTGGGTTAGCTTGCTGGTAACATAGGTAGGAGGTACCTAAGGTTAGGTAGGTAGTCTGTGGGGAAGTTGTTGTTCTCGAGAGGATGAATGTGTCTTGGTTCTGGAGATGGAGAAGGAGAAGGAGAAAGAGGGAGGGGGGAGATGTGATGTGATGGTATAGGTATGGAAAAGGAGAAAACTTACCGCTCCTCGACACCGATCTTGGCACACTCGTTAACGGCGTTCCAGATGCGGCCGATGTCCTCGCCGCTGTCGCCGGTGGCGGCCATGGCGGGCTTGTTGGCGTTGAAGATCTCCTCGAAGGACTTCCACTGCGAGCGGGGAGGGAAGTTGGAGGCGGGGCCGGCGTAGTGAGTGAAACCCATTGTGAGTGATGTTTTATTTAAACTTGCGAGAGTTGTTGAGAGGCGTGTAGTAGTAGTGGTGGTAAGAGGAGTAGAGTAGGAGGTAGCGTGCTTGTTTTAAAGTCTTGTTGATTGTGGATGCTGTGAGTGGTGATTCTCTCAACTTTCTGGTTGCCGACTTGCCCCTTTATATATCTTCTTGAGGCCTACTTCTTCCCAGCGAGGTGTACGTCTTTCGTTAGCCGTACCTCCTAAGCCCTTCCTTCTGCCCATGGTCTATTTCCAAAAACGAGAGCTTATTGCCGGCGGTAACGCGATGCGAATATGGATGACTCCATCTCGTGGCTAGACAAGTTAGCTCCGGGACGTAGTCTAGGCTTCTCCGTCTTCGTTTCGAAGACCTACCCGTCATTCGTAGCCGTACAATCGAATCGACCAGTGCAAGGTTAGTTCGTTTCCCAATCTATTGTTCAATACTTTTTGCTGACTGTTCAATGTCTTCACTCGAGTCAGCGTGTTTTCATGCATTGGTTACAATATTGGCGACAGCTTACCTGAGCAAGGCCTGGCAATATTATGATCTATGATCATAGATAGCTTTTACTGATTCCGCCTGGCTAGACTCGGATTGGATCTTACCTAGAGGCTGAAATGTCTTACGTACCTAACCTAGCATAATGGCCAGAATATCACGCTCAAGTTAGCGATTATGTCATTCTTGGGGCTCACTTGTACAGCCGCCTATTTATAACCTCATTGATACCTGAGGTACGTATTGGTGACTTTTGTGAGATGTTTTTAAGCTACTTGGTAATATTATGTGAGCCTCAACAGATGCCACGCCTATGTTCTTCTATATAATATATGATGCACACCTCTAAGTGCCCGTTACCGTCTTTTGTATCAAGGTTACCTATGTAATATAGTATTGCAATGAAGAGTATCAAACTGAATAGTTACAACACCTAGTCAAGAACATGTTTTATTTTTTGTTTTATTCTTAGTGTTAGGCACTTAATTCCGTATAAGCCGTCGATAACAGCTTGTTGAAAGATACATCATCTCGTATGTATCAGCACGCATCACGCGGATATGCGTGAGGCAACCCAGACGCCAGAGCCTAAAATATGATATGACTTATAGCTAGAGCGTGTTTTAATAGAGTGTGTTAAACTAGCGCGGTGTAGTCTCGTTGCTGGCGTAAGCGGTGATATTCTTTGCCGAGTTGGAAGCGTCACTTATTCCTGGCAAAAATCACCCCGGGTTTTTGATGCTTATAATCAATTCACCCATCAGTATTTTCAGTTAGAGAACATATACCTATTAGGTACCTAACCTACCTCTTATGACGATCTCGCAACGCATATCAACTCGGTATGTAGCATTAAAGACAATATTCTCTTATCAGCTTATTGGATTTCATTGGCAATATCACTTTGATTTACATCTTGTATTGAATAATGTAACCTTTACATGTGCTTCAGTGTTAGGGGAAAAATACAATCATGCCATTGGGTACTGGAATTTAGGAGCCACCTAGCACAGTATGTGCGGGGACTATTTTTATTATTTTTGTTTTTTTTGTGGCTGAAGCAACGGTGGGGCTGATTAGAGGTGGGGCGGTAATCGGAAAGTAAACAGAAACGCGGTCCACTAGCCAATTGAACTCATTTTGGACTTTAACATCACTCACATTGCGGTCGGCTTCACACCCAAATTTCAAGCAATTGTTTTGCTCTTTTGCAGTCTTTACTCGTGTTTCTCTTCGTAGGTAGATGATGCTATTTATGCGCCTACCATACACGTCTTTTTCACTTTAATTTCGAGTATCTATTTTGCGACGCGCCAATTGATTCGTCCAAAGTCCGCTGTGTTCAGAAACCGCCCTCGCCCGATCAATATCCTTTAACTCAGCTACATTCTATAATAGCCTTCTTCAGGCATGGATACCGACGAAACAGCCGATCGCTACTTTACCTATGATGGTAGATTGGCATCATTTCAATTGGCACGACGACCGCCAGTTGTCAAGGGAAAAGCTTCGAAGGCACTTACATGGCCGCACAAAGAACTGGATCCAGCTCAAGTGAGTCCCTACCTATACAGAGATCATATTGGCCTATGTACCTACCTAAGGTAAATACTAATCGTTGTTCTACAAAGTTTGCCCAAGCCGGATTCTACTTTGAACCTACCCCCGAGGCCCCCGATAACACTGTTTGCTTCCTTTGCGTAAAGGCGTTTAAGGGATGGGAGACGAACGATAACCCATTAGAGGAGCACATACGACTATCACCACACTGTGGCTGGGCTATCGTAGCCGCCATCGAGGCGGGCCTAGGCGATTATGGATTGGATGATCCTAGTGATGCGCCCATGGTTGAAGCGCGGAAAGCTACGTTCGCGGGGCTTTGGCCTCACGAAGGAAAGAGAGGTTGGAAATGCAAAACCAAACAGGTTAGAGCATATCCCACATTATTCCCAGTCCCGTTTTGCTAAGTCGATGCAGCTTGTAGAAGCCGGTTGGAAGTACACACCAACTGCAGAGTCGGACGACATGGCAACTTGCACGTACTGTTCTCTCGCCCTTGATGGTTGGGAACCAAAAGACAACCCATTGTAAGCAGGATGATCCCCTATGGCTCTTCCGCCGGTTAACGTGTTGATATAGGGATGAACATTATAAGCGATCTCCAGACTGCCAGTTTTTCCAATTGTTAAACCATTATAAGACGGGACCGACGAAGAAAAAGGGTAGAGGCAAGGGAGCCAGGGCTTCACAGTCGTCCCGACTCTCTGCACAGTCTATTGCTACGACTGTCGCGTCTGACGCGACCTCACTACTTGAACCCTATGCCGACCATGATGATAGTGTTATGACCACTACGTCTATAATGACACAAGGTGGAACAAAGCGAGGGAGGACGAAAAAGACCACAGCTACCAAGGGCAAGAGAACTCGAGCAAAGAAAGAAGAGGCGGTTGAGGTACTGGAAGATTCGCCTGAACCGCAAATAGAACAAGCACCTCCGTCGCCGCCGCCGAAGGCTACCCGTGGGCGCAAGCGGGCTAGTGAACTCGTTGAAGACTCAGTACTGACAACGGCAGAGCTGCCGGCCGCTAAGAAAAGAGCCACGCGCACAAGAAAAGCTAATGTCGCGGACACATCTGTTATTGACCAAGCACCGGACCATGAAATGTCTGATTTAGATCCAGTTCCCAAGTCAAAGGCGAAAGGAAAGAAGGCCAGATCAACTACCACTCGAAAAGCTAGAAAGGCTTCTACAGCATCCACCATATCGAACGTTTCCCTACATGAAGATGCTGCTCATATAATGGACGATGATGAACTTGATAGACAATTACAGGCCGATTTTGACCGGCCACTGTCGGATGACGAAAATATTGCAGCCGATTCAGATTCAGATAGGAAAAATATTCCGTCCAAGCAGAAGACCAAGAAGGTTTCCGTCTCTAAAAAGGATTCCATAGGCCAAGCCGAGGCATCCGATGACCATGCTATGTTTGACCCTCAACCTCATGTCGACGAGGTCGCAGTTGAAGACGAGCTGAAAGCGCTAGAAGCAGAGATGGGTGTTGAGCAAGTGGAAGAACCCCCGGTTCCTAAGAAGGGCCGTAAACCAGGCCCTAAGAGAGTGTCGAAGGAAGCAAAGAAGATTAAAGATGACGAGCCTGTTAAGCCAGATATCGAAACAGCAACCGCCGATGAATTGGCCGAAGGTCATGACGTGAGTGTTGTCAGCAACTCAACCATGGCTCGAACGAGCCTAGCATCGAATGCCGCTCCTAGGAAGCGTGGTCGGCCTAGTAAAAAGGCCTCCATAGTAAACCCAGACCCGAATCCTGACGAACTTGCTGGTGCTGGGGTTGAGGCTGCATCCGCACCTGAGCCTGTCGAGGTTGGCGATTCCAGTGAAAAAGAAAAAGAATCCGCGACAAGGGTCAAGGCTCTCTCACCCCCAGCCACGTCTTCTCCTCTAGTCAGCAAACCTCCCCCTCAGCCGCCAGTGGAGTTGGATGAACCCCAGCCTCCTTCAACTCCCTTAGCTTTGACTTCCCCAGCGCCAGCTGCAAAGCAGGCGGCTTTATCGCCTTCGCAGTCGCCTCAGGCTTCCGATGCTGAAAACGAGCCGCCGTCTTCGAAACCTTCAAATACTGCGAATAGCGCTCGAATTGTTCTTGCCCCTGTTCACGCTACTCCTGTACCTACGTCACCATCCAAGCGAAATATCCTGTTTGGGTTGCGGAGCGGTACTCCCTGGACTGCCGTCGATGTCGATATGATTTTCGACGACATAGATAAAGAGAACACGTCGGGGTCAGCAAAGTTCCTGAGAGGCGGGGCGGATCTCACTAGCCCGGAAAAGCGAATGACTGTCGAGGAGTGGATTTACCGCAATGCCGAAGAAGCCGAGAAGAAGTTGAAGCTCGAGTGTGAGACCATGGTTACGGCCTTTGAGAAAGAAGGAACGAGAGCTATGCAAGCCCTTGAAGGTCTTATTGTTGATTAGACGAGGAATGGTTTCTCTAAGTTCTTTAGGATGGTCTGCTAGGGATGGGATAATGGCTGGCGTGCGCGGAACTGGGTACGACAGGATGGACTTTATGATGGCCGCGTTGGGCGTTGGCGGGTTGCGTTTAGATACATATAGGAACTGGATGAAGCCAAACCGGATATTATTCATCCCTGTTTTTTTTTTCTTCCTTTTAATCAGTAATGCTAAGAAATGTGTGTGAATAAAGTGATTGAAGCCCGTATTGTTATACTTGGGAAGAGCTACATTAAATGCAAGGACTAGGGTAGTCGACAAAGGGACGAATGAGAGGAGAGCGAGACACCTAACTGGGTAAGTGGATACTCTCGGCACTTACCACTCACTATACTGGTTATCTGTTATTACTGATCTCCTATCTAAAGACAAGACTACTACGCACCTCACGAGCATTATTAGTATTCTTGGATACGTTACAGATTTACAATTTCACGATGTATATGGTACACCCCGGATTGACTAAAGTTGATGAAGAAGCTACAGAATGACGCACAGACCGATAGTTGCAAATTCAAAAATACATCCAGACAAGCATGACATGGTGAGCAAGGGGAATGTCATATTAGGTACCTGGTATCTAGCTCGTTTGACCAATGCTTGTATCAATAGGTAAATTTCAAGTCCATACAGGTTGATTGTCCATGTATAATCAAACCAATGTGCCTATTAACCTATACACAATGTCTTCGAGGTCGCAAGGTTGCCAGCTCACTGTTCCGTGAAACCGCGACGTGCTATTTCTGTGATCGTTTATGACGTGATAAAAGAAAGATAGGCCTGAGTGAGAGGAGGTTGCAACCCGCTGTCCTGAAGCAATACGCAAATGCTTCGACATGGTCCCGATTGCACTGGTAGGAGTTCATACCTGACATGCTCGCACTCCAGAATGTACGACCCTTCTTCGTGGAGTTCGCCCTCCAAGACTATGCTAGAGCCAGTTAGCCATTGTCTATCAGGTAAGTAGAGAATGATTCTAAATGTAGAATGGTTTATGTTTCATGGAAATAGGAAAAGAGGTAATACTTACATGCAAGGGTTCAGAAGATAATAGCTATCAAACCGGTATACTACCAAAAGGTAAATCGATGTCAACTCGAGGAGTTGATGATGCTATCTCCACCTATCTAGGTAAGGACCTCACAGACAGTACCGTGATACAATAGACAGCTCGCCAAAGCTTCCATGCGTTTGGGATCGACATTCCCTAGGATCGTCGCATGCTCTGGCTCATCTTCGGCCAGTCCAAAGCCAGGGTCGCTCAATTCAGCATAGGTCAGCGCTGTGTTAGCGCTGCTGAACTCATTGCCGTCGTCGCTGGGCTCACCTGTCTTCGCCTTCTTACTCGCCGGTGCCGCTTTTTTGGAGGACGAAACCAGCTTCGAGTAATACTTGGCTAGGGGTGAGATGGCAATAGATTTACGCTTCGTTGAAATCGTATAAAACGGTACAGTTGTTCGATAGATAGGATTATTCGAAACAGATATGCGAACGGATTTGTCGCCGGAAGTTGATATCAGGAGGTATTAAGGCCAAGGTCTCGCGGCCACAAGTGATAGTAGCGGAGTTGAGGCCGTAGAAAGTGTATAGGGAAGCAAAGCTGCCGGAAAGAGCCCTTAATGTATGGTGTGCGTAGAGCGAATACTAGAGACAATAGCGAATCTGCAGGTAGAGTGGTGACTTGATAGCAGTTTTCCCTCGAAGGAAGCTGCGTGCTCCTTATATGCTGCTAATGCGCCATGGTAGCTCGGAAGAGCATCCGAACCATGGAAACCTGATATCTCAAAGGGGGTTGTGAGTGTGCATAGGTGCTTATAGAGATCAAACCTCCAGGGACTCCGCGCCCGTTCACCTTTGGCGTAGAGAGAACCCGACCTTAGCGTTTGTCTACCAGCAAGTGGCGAGGGGGATTCTGATCTTTTTTTGTGCATGTAAAACTTTGCATATTGTCAGAGAACGAGAAATGAGTGGTGATTCTAGAATACTCAATATGGCGGAGGTGTTACCCCGGATTTAATGTGCCTAGGCATTCATATGTGGCGCCGAGATCCTGTGAGAATAGGGAAAATTGATGTTTAGTAAGGAAAAGAAGATCAATGTAGCTAAGTTGAAAAGATTCCTTAGCTGGGTTATACAGATGTTGAGCAGGTGGAACAGAGTGAACTGCGCTTTCTGCGCTTTGCATAACGTAATAGACGCATTAGGTGCCTATTTAGAATTTGGAAGTTTCTAGACGCACCTAAGGTACCTAAGGTATGTAAAACAGGAAGGAAAAGTAAGCTTTAGGTGCTCAACTTTCTTAAATACGAAGGCACGCAGGCCAGTCAACATACATCCTAGCGGGAGGCAACTCCCTCTATAATACTCATAGCAATAGCTTTCTACTTATAAAGTTTGTTGGTAAGGTTAAATGACACAACCGAATAGAATATGGATAGCACATAAACATCTAGGCAGGTACCCAAGGTATAGCTTTTACTAGTTTCTCCTCTGCGCATCTATTAATTCAATTTCTATGTTCTTGCCTCCCTACTGCCAAGAGCTTTGGGCCATGGTAAAAAGTTTAAGAAGTTGGTATAGCCCGTAGCTTACCTAGCCAGGATCAATATGTTGCAAGTGCAATAGGAGGTAGGTAGTTAGCAGGTTAAAACTTAGTATATCCATAGTCGTGATTCCTTTGGTACGCTAGATACATGGTTTTGACATGGGTTGGCGGTAGCTTTGCTCCGTTCCTACATTCTGCCGGCAACTTGTGCGGCTCGGCTAGGTCGAACACATAACTATCGTCACATTAGATACCTAGGTTAGGTGCTCTTGTTGATTATAGCACGTCACGAGAGTTGAGTATAATAGGACGGTATTTAAGAACTTAGGGACCTAGATAGACCATAGATCTATTAATATAAGGTACCTATCTATTTAATGGGAATAATATGCTTTGCGTTAATCGAAGAAGTAGCGGGTTAACATTATACTTGTTTATCCTAATTTCAGGGGTAAATGTGAGGAGGTATACCTTCTTCTCACCACCTTCTAAACGCAGGAAGGTATAGACATTATAATCATTCTTTCACGTTGACTAACACGGGATAAAGTTGCTGAGTCTATTTCAGGTATCCTTTGGCACCACCTACCTAGTATAGGTAGCTTTATAGCTTTGGTAGGTAGTCTTAGGCAGAGAATTTCTTCATTTGCAGTTTCCAAAACATATGACATGCAACACTAACACAATTACTGACACAAAACTGAGGTTTAACAACTAAAGTAGAGCGAGGGAGTTGTATATTATATATAAAGAATTGAATCATCTGTGGAATTCGGACATGAATGACAGTAAACCTCGCATTGGTATAGGTACTTCGGGTAACATATTTCCACTTAACTCCACTAGTATACCAACTCCCTTATTCCGTCGTTAATAATGTTTTTGGAAGCCGGCGATTAACTATACGTTCGAAAGCGAGCCAACCTCCTTCTTATTTACCCTCCGGCTTTTCGAAAATCGAAACCCGGAAATCTCGTTCCCAGTGGTCGTTAAAAATTCGTCTATTGACATTGAATAGGAAATACTCGTCGTTTTCGGTAAGTTGATTTTGGCCACAATAGGGAGGACGCAGAATCGGATTGGAAGACAGCGGGTGTCGTTTTCACTTGTTTTAGGTAGTTGTCATGACAAGTGTATCCGATTCGGTGAATAGACCAGTAGCTTGAAGATTCCCACTGGGCTCTCTAACGTAGCACGCAGTCCGTCTGTAGTAGGGACGGTGCTTCAAGAGATATATACCTCTAAGGTCGGACGAGCGCGATGGGGTACTCTCGGAGACGGCGCTTGAGGACCTCGTGGGCAACCGTGCTATTAACCGCACGCGGTACAGCCTGGGCTGGGGCAGCTGGGGCAGACCCGTTGACGTATGGGTAGGGGGCAGCAGAGCTGACCTGGAGCATAGCGGCGGCGGCCACAAGAGCAGCGAAAAAGCGAGCCATGTTTGATATCTTTGGAGGGACTGGACCGAAAGTTTGACGACAGAGAATTGAGAGCTTCAGATGCGGTTGACGAAGTCGTTACAGGAACTGCTGCGAGGCCTTTCATCAGCTCGGGAGGAGCAGACGGACCTCCTTTTATGGCCGTGGCCGGCACCGGCACACGGCCGTACTACATAACAAATGATTGGCACATGAGTTGCGGTATTCATGCCTGTCAACACTTGTTCCTGTACCTTGATATCTACCTGATCGCGACATTGACATATATGAATTCATTATCGAAGAGACCAACCCAGACGAACCCACCTCCATCAACCAATCCCACCGGGTTTCGTACCTATCTCGACAGGGCCACCCACAGGACAAGGCCAGGGAAAAGAAAGTCAGACCAGTAGCATTCTGCGCTCGTAGATCGACAGCCGGCGCTACTGGTGTAGCCGCATGCCTAAACATTCAGAAGGTGGTGGTACAGCGGGTCGGTGACTATCACTACCTTCGACAACTTTATCCTATCATCTTCCCTGAGGAAATATCCTACTGCAGCCATAGACGCGGCGCGAAGCATGCAGTTCTGACCTAGACCGGAAGAAGTAGACAGTGTTACATGCTACTCACTCGGCTACTGATTAAGCAATTGTAGCGAGGTGACAGTCTTTGCCAAGGAAGATATGAATTCGCCATCCTGGTCCGCACGTTAGTATATCCTCGAACATCATTGCTTGGTAATTGTTTGGAAAGTTGATTTCAAGCGATTGGTATCATTTCTCATAACAATATTGAGGCAGTGTAGCTGGCGGTTGATACCCTATTCACTTACGAATCTGTTATCTGTCTACGTATTGACGCGTGTTACCCGTCTCCTCTTCGGAGCGAAACGTAAGAATAAACGCGGAGTTGAGCTACCATTATTCGTCTTTTTTCCTTTTCCTTTTTGTAATGAAGTCGTCATTATTCAAGAACCCGTACGGTTGAATTCACATCGAGAAAACAGGGGCATTTTACTGGTTCATAATCAACCCTCGGTCTATTACATAGGTAGACTCAACGTGCAGATCTGAACTAAACTGGAAATCAATATCAAAAGGGGTCCTCTGCAAGTGGGGTGATACAACATCAGCTCGTTGGCCCTATGTACGAAGTGAAGCCTACCTACCTAACTAATGTGTTCGGTAGTCCTATTGAATAGGGGAAAAGAGCCGGCGACGGGCTTCGAAGTTGCATTAGAAGTACGGGAAAATTGAAAAAGCTTAGGGACCTTGGCTAGCTCCTTGGCAAGATGCCAGGACTTATGTTTCCGGCGTGCGATCTTGTATAAAAGAGATAAGAAATAGGAAACCTAAGGGCGTATTGTGCGAGCCTTCATGCAAGAGCTTATTTACATATCTTCTTTACAAGATATTAGGTATAAGTTCTAATGTAATACGATCCAATCAGGAGTGCCCTGCTGAGTACGGCAGAGCATTATAAATTCATCATGTCAGCGGCGCATTTTGGTATCACAAGAATCTTGGACAACAAGAATAGCCTTGTCCAGTTGATAGGAGGTTGTGTATGCGACCCCCATTCTCTTCGAAATGCGTGGGCCGAGTTTCCCAATCCCGCAAAGCGCTTCGTTTCACAATGAATGATGGCCGCGAAGGTTAGACGGCAATGAACTGCATAGGCGCATCAACAGGGGAATCCAAGTGCCGATCATAGCGTGCTTCTTAACTGCGATTCAGAGACCGATAATAAATGGTACGGTACACGGTAAAGGGTGTAAGATTCGCTACCAGCCGGGGGAAATCTTTGTCCTTCTTGGCGACCCATCTGCCAGGCACCCAGGCACGGAAGAACTCAATTGAGGCTGATCTTCACCTTTATCAGTAGGCGACGTACAGACTGCATAAAACAACCTCCGTTATCTTCTTGGAAACGACCTGTACGTATCGATTGACAACGAGAAAAAAAAAAAGATTGGGGATGAGTCCCGGAGTTCTGGTTATGGAGAAGTTACTGTATGCGGAATTCCGAATTTCTGAAGATCATGACTTACATCAGGGCTATGAGAGTTAAGAAGATTTTCTCTTGACATGGAAAACTGTTTTTTCATCCGAGAAACCCAGCAAGGAATGGATTATCAAAGATGGAAGAATGGCGATCTTCGGAGACTCGGAAAGATATAACATCTGGTTTTAAGACAACCCGAAGACCAAGAACAAGTTTACGGAAAAGATAGCTACTACGCTAGAGGCATCACAACTTGGGTAGATAGAATAGGAACACAATGCCCCCCCATACCAGGTACGTACGTCTCCCAACAAATTATTACCAAGAAATAAAAGGTCGTTAGTTGCAACCCTTTCCGTTCTAGATCTGTCACCTTAAAACCTATTTATCAGCGTGCCCAATCAATAAGCGCGGCTTATATTGTAAGAACATTCTGGTCGCCAAGTTTCATAAGAACTGTCACGATCAGAGTCTCAACGAAAAGCCCTATATTAAGAGAATTTAAATTTGCTAGAGCGAGACCCTTGGCGGCGAACCTTATATCTACCCGCGATTCTGTATTTAGATCAAGTCGTCTATGTCGCTTATACAACGTTAATGCTACTCTGCTCTGTATGTCCATTGCAAACCTCGTTTGATGCCCCAGGCTTGTAATATAAAATAGATCATCGGCCAAAGTCGAGATCCCCGTTAACGCTGCCGGTCCCAGTTACTGTGCGACGTAAATATTAGCCGCCTCGAGGACTAGGGAATAGGTGACGAGAAGGTTAGTTGAAAAACTCTACTAAGATAATGAGTACCTACATAATCCATCCACCACTCGCACTTCGGGGTCTCGGATAATACACGCCCGAGGAAGAAATAATAGAATACGCCCGTATACACAGAAGAGTGAATATTTCAACCCCTAGTTAATATCTCCTCAGGTATCTACCGAATTAGTCTTCAGTAGGATCATGGCGCACGGAGTGCTGCCGGTTGGAATGGAACCAGGGGAGGTTCTACCGAAAAGAAAAAGGCTCCAGTCCAAACAACTCCAAGAAAATATATCTCTACATCCACGAGAGTCTACCAATCGCAAGCCCCGGGGCGTGGACCGAACTTCTTCCCAACTCCCACCTGATGCCTAGGTACTGAACATCGCCAACACCCCTTAATAGGTAGTGCATAGACCTGATATCTACCTATCTAACAATTCCTCCTCCTCCCCTATTTCTTTTCCCGTATGACATCTAGCTGCCAATCTCACATCGGATGACGGTGATCTTGCCAATGTCGTCAACGCAACCCATGTTCCGCACGGATCAGCACCGGAAGTCGCGAGAGGCTAAAAAGGGGCTGCTCGCCTTCGGATACGGATGGTTGCCGAACAAGGCATTGCTGCAAACAGATTAATTGCTTCGACAGATGAACGAATATTCATGTCATTATATAATGCTGGAGAAGTGCCTACCTACCAGGTACTTTATGCATACCTTACATAGAAGATCCCAGGCGAACTCGGACGTCAAGGTACAGAGATCGTGATTCAAGCCGACTTGGAAAGCGACACGGCCCAGGTAGGTTAGGTAGGCAAAGCGGTTCTCGTAGGTATAGATTCTTAAAACCAACTAGGTAAACGGTCCTCCGTATAGTAAAATATGAGATAGGTATAATTGGAGTTATGTTTTGATATTGCAAGCTCTATGTACCGCCTAACCTAGGATAAACAAATGAAACAATCATATTCGCGCGCCATGGCTGGTATAAGCCCTATCATGGTATCACTACCGCTTCAAATCCACATTGGCAAACAATGACGATCCGTAATAATCATAACTCCCCGCGTTATTTCTTACTACCTTCGGGTTTAGGCAGCTTTTCCTTGTACGCATCAAGTTGCTCATCGTCGCCCTGCTTCCCCCCAGCCCCTTCCGTACCCCGTTCCGATGTTCCCTCCAGGTTCCCGTCATTTTCTCCCTTCACATCAGACTTCGTATCCACTACGTCTTCTTGAGTTTCCTCGCCATCACTAGTCTTAGCCTCCCCAGCAGCCTCGTCCTTAATACTGCTGGCTTGGCTAACGTCTGCGCTGTCGGGACTCTGTACGCGTAACCCCAGATGCCTTTCGCGATACGGATCCTCGTTGTTACCGCCCTTCCAGTCGGCGGCCGGCATCTGCGGGACAGGCGCGTTGATGCTAGGCATCGGCAGGACCGATTCCTTCGTCTCGCCTTCTGCCACGACGGACCTCCACACTACCGCAATCTTATCGGCGGCACGGGTGCCTTTCTGGCTCGACCCCTTGATCCCGTCCAGCTTGTCCCAGTCGATCTCGAAGACCCCAGTCAGATCCGGGTTGCCGTCTTGCTCGGGCCCGTTGCCCTCGAAAAAGGTATTGAACCATACGTGCGCCACGGCCGTGACCATGGTGAAGCCCATGGCGGAGGGCGTGCGGTTGCGGCGTTCGATACAGATGTTCACGTCACTAGTAGGTAGCTTGATCGGCTTGTCAGGCTTAAAGATAACAGCCATGCCTCCGGGTTCCGCGTCAGCACCGTTCTTGGAAGTCGACGAGGATGAGCTGGGGAGGATCGAGGGTGTTGATTTGGGGTTGCTTTCGGGCATACTACGGGAAGAGTGTAGGGATTCAGCAGACGAACGCTGGGAAGGCCTGGAAATAAGTTTCGGGACCGGCTTCCTTTTTAGTTTTGATGCTGGCGACTGCGAGTCCTCCTTAGGTGACGCCACTATAGACTCATTATTATGCACTGCATTGGGTTGCTTCGCTTCGTTGAGGGCTTCCTGGCCCGCTGTAGAGTTGGTTCCGTAGCCGGCCATATCGTATATCATATCCAAAACCCCGGTGTCTCCTGGCGCATTGCCTTCAACTATGACTCGCTCCTTTTTCGAGAAGGTGTGGAAGACCTTGATCTTCTTCCCTCCGTCTACATAACCTTCAACCGAAAGCTTGACACCTGAACGCAACCCCCAGACATGAATCTCGACAATTTCCACCTCTCGGTCGACATATTTCTTGCCTGCCTTGGTCCAGCGATCGACGTATCCTATCCATCGCAGCTGGCTCGGGATAGTTACGCCCGCACCAAACTTGGGCCGCATTCTTCTCTCTGTGAACCTCGCAAGAGCCTGCTCCGGCGTCCAGCCGCATTCCGCGATGAGATAGCTGCAAGCCATGGTTCCACTGCGACCCTTGCCGGCCTTGCAGTGTACGACAGCCACACGGCCACCTTTCTTACCCTCCTTCAAAGTATCCAGCACCTTTCCAACCAGATTATTCTTGTCGCCGGAATTGTCCGCGTTATCAGCCTCGAGATCATTTCCGTTCAGCCAGTTCCGCATGCTCGCAATGATCATTGGTACCAGCCTAAACGGCGGGGGGTGGTGATCCGGCCAAGGGTAATGTCTAATCCTGTTGTAAACGAGCTCGTCGGGATAGCCGGTGCCTTCGGCACGGAATTCCCATATCGCCCAGTTCTTTCCATGTTTGGAATCGAGGAATTGGACCAAGCGATCGAGAGGGTTGCGGTAGGCGCGTTGAGGGTATGTCTGTGAGGGACCGGATCTGAGGACGGGGAATCTCGTCAGCACCTCGTGGGCTACGGTACGGAAGAAGTTACCTTAGGTAGAATAGGTACCTAACTTAGAATAAGGAAGGGAGGGGGCTTTTGAAAGACAAACGTACGTTGCAATTATATTATCTGTGACATAGCAAAGGTCCAAACCTGTTTCGGGATGTCTGGCGCGAGGCCCTGCGACAATTTGGCGTAATAAAGATGCCATTTTTTAATAGGTATTTTTTTATCGGGGTAATCCAATCGACGTATTAGCATCGTGGGCTATCGTTCGACTCTACATCGAAGCGTCTTAGGTATGCATATTATGTGCGTATGTGGAGATATTCTTTATATGAGATGTAGGTACGGAATAGAGTGGAGAGTAAAGCTTGAATTGAAAGCTCGAAGCTAAATATTTGTAAGATACATTTTATATGGTACCTCGTAATAATCTTGTTAGGTTGTACGTGCATGTGCTTCAATTGATGTCTGTACGAAATACGTCATCAGATATCGACGTCAGCCAAACCCGTATATAGGTACTTAGGTACATTGTACGTACCTCATAATGTTATGCGTGGCTGTAGTAAATAACTGTGGCTAGGATGAGGCTTGGCTTGCATTACATAATCTAAATACCCTTTATCTATCCCCTTTATTTCTTTAAGGTAGGTATATACAATTTTTCATCCAAAACAATAATTCAACTTATAACTTTACAACTTACCACTTACCACTTACAGCTTCCTACAGTTTACCCGCTCACTCACTCACACACACCTCGTACCTCATCCAGTACAATAACCTACCAGTCTTATCCGCACACCCCACTATAACCTCACCAAAACATACCAACTTTACAAAGTGATTATAATATCAAAATAAATCGTAAAAATATAAGATCTGTCATCTTGAATATAGATTTACAAGCCCTATATGTCAATAGTAATAAGTATGAAATTATCCTAATATTTATCGTACAGAACTGGGTACAAGTTCAGAAAAGTATCTTTTCTAATAAATAGTTGAACTTTTTTTGGAGAGTACGTTTTATTGAATTTACTTCAACGTAAAACTTACCTAATATAACCATTTCTATTAGAACTATTGAGTTGGAAATAATAAATATAAGCAATAGAATTTTATATTTCAATAGGGTTTATATTTTTACTATTTATTTTGATATTGTTATTGTTTTGTAAAGCTGGCGTATTTTGGGGAGGTTATAGTGGAGTGTGCGGATAAGACTGGTATATCACTGTAGTATATACTAAACATTGTGATCGTACTCTGGCCCATGTGTTGCTTTATGTCCGGGGACCATAAAAGGGTTACTCCAGTCAACCCTATCCTCATCAGGATACACCCACCAGTCCTGGTCGAGCTTGGCGTCCCCCCGTCTGTTCACCGCGCTCATGAAGTAGTATACCGTTTCCGGAGGGGGTTCGAGCACCCTCAATATGTCGTATACTTTGTGAGGGCTGCTAGTCAAGATTTCTGAAAATGCTTTTGTGATCATCTTAAATTCATCTGCCGAGGCATCGCGCGCATAATGCAGATATCTTCTCAGAACTGCGACCCATTGGATGATGCTAAATCACATAGGTTAGACTATTCTTCTCCTTTTCACATTCAGACTGGGAGGGGAGAGGGAGAGGGAGGAGAAGGAGAAGAAGACAGAGGGGGGAGGAGAAAGGAGAAGGGTCTATCTCTTACTGATCGGCGTCAAGTGTTCCATGCATTGTTCGAATTTCTATCGTTCCAGTTGTACGCTTACCCGAGAGATTAGATGTCTTATCGCCGCGTAGGTGTATCTCGAGAGCCGGTTGAAAGAAACGCAGCCCATCCTGTAAAGCGCCAGCCATAGCGTCTGTTAATTCGGAGATCGTCGCATATTGCCACACGTTCTGCAGGAATTCCGACCTCTGCGCGTCCAGTAACTCGAGATTCACGTGCCGAGCCAGGTTTTGCAAGTTACGAGCCTTCTCACTTGGACTAGACCGTGGCTTACAGCCCGACAACTCAAAACGTCCTAACATATCCGCGCTGGAGAGAGCTCGTGCGAGGCATGTGCTCTCCATCAATGGGGCGGCCCATCTCGGCCTGACACCTCGGTCCTTCCTGTGAAGATGTACAATAGACGACTCCGTCAGAACCCAGAGTGTGATAAATCTCTTTACTTGCAATAGGTTCCACCCATGCTTGTGGCCTAGATGCACGTGGAATCCGCTCGAGGCCTCCATAGGCTTGTGGCAGCGTAGGTTTGAACGTAGTACATTGCAAACCTTTTTTATGGCCTCGATGGAACGCTGCGAATCAAAGGCCAACGGCGGACTCACTACCTCCGCCCCAAACCACTGCGAAAGTATATGTTAGTTATCTTTCTATGTGCGTATCCAGAAAAGATTTGACCTCTCGGCCAAGATAGCTCCCCGTGGGAGTCTCAACCAGCTCTTATTAAAAAAAGACAAAAAAAAGGGGGGGGGCGGGCGGGGGGGAAGAGTTATCTAGATGGTACATACCCAATAATCTTTCATTGGATTTTTGCTCTCTTGTAGCGTAGGTATATTGTAGCGGGAGGGATCCATACCGTCCCCATCTAGCGAGACATCCTCGATGACCGACCACGCCTTATAGTTTTTTTGTATGCCACGCACTTCAACGCGTATCGGGTCTTCTGCCGAACGAAGACTTAATACGTCTAGCGCTTTTCTATCCTCGCAGCTCTGACTTAGCTTATATTCAAAATATGTGTTTATTTGCGTGCGATGGACATCGAGTGGCCAATCGTAGAGGCACTCGTCAACCCTATGGCATGCCGCTCTAATGTCGTCCCTCTTCATTCTGAGTATATCATACCCGTTCTCTTCGCAAAACGTGTGGAATTCGTCCACAAACCTAAAACCAATTAATCCGTTCTGGTAGTGCGTTCGCCGAGGGTCGTATCTTTCTCTAACGGTAAATTTCCGCAAAGCACTTGGCCAATCTACCTTGATGTCGTCCTCGAAGTCGCTCTCCTCTATGTTTTCACTGAGTTTTGTTCTATTTGATTCGAGGGCCTGTATGTTGTTACGTAGCAACAGTCTGTTACGATAGTTATAGGGTCAGCGATTATTCTCAGGGTGATATATCACATATATGTATGGTCTTGGCACCTTGACACCATGACAAAAAAAAAAAAAAAAGGGGGGGTAAAGATCCGGTTGTTTCGATTTACTAACCTGACAATTCTCCTAACAGCGTAATCCTTGAATTGTTGGAGGTACCAAAAATAATCGGGGTTATTTTCGTTGAAAGCCTGCTTCTCTGCCAACTGTTGTGATAACCAACGGTTTTCTCTCGGGTGCGGGTCTGGGCGCAAACCGTCGCCTTTTATGTCCATCTGCGACACCACCGCTAAAAGGAATTCAAGTTCTGTTTCATCTGTTTAGTTATTTCGATACGATACGGGGGAGGGGTTTTCTCTAGTTAGGTAGTTACCATAACTGTAGGACTTCAACTAAGCGGTCCTGTTATGGCTGGGACTGGGGCTAGGGGTCTAGGGGTTGTTACTACGTACTGCCGAATGATTAGCATGTTGAAGCACCAGCGAATGAAACGCAGCAATAAGAGTAAACAAAGAAGGGGGGGGGGGGGGTCTCTTAGCTCACCCTATGCCAAAAGTCAATATATCCTCATCGGAGCCTTTTTCACACACGGCAGGGTCATCTGCCTCTTGCGGGTCCGAAACATGTCTCTGGGTGTAAGGCTCATCGGGCATATTTCCGAGCCACATAGCCGCCGAATCTGCAGGTGTATATCGTATAGGAATGGAACCACTGCCGGCGCCTTCTCCCCCGTGGTGGTCCCGGGAGGGCAACTCCTCAGTCGAGCCTGAGCCATGATACTCGGGCTCCTGTTCTTCCTCCTCGTAGGATATGGGGGGTGGGGCTATGGGTTGGCGTGGGCGTGGTGGTGATGGTACGTTGTTAAGTCCGTTGCGGGCGACCTCAGAGGCTCGGTTTAAGAGTTCGACTCCGAAATCGAGCGGGAGGGGTGTTCGCACGCCACGCCCGAAGACTATATCATTAGCATCTTCGACATCCTCGTCCATCGCATCCGAACCCGCCGGCGGTGTGGGACCAGGAGGTGACGGCGAGAAAGGGTGGTCAGGAGGCGAGGGAATAAGTGGTGGCATCAGGGGCGGTGGAGTAGGCGCCGGTGCTTGGAAAGGGAAAGGGGTAGGCATGATCAGGTTCCTAAGCTCTCTCAAGTCCTCAGACAGTGGCGGTTGATTAGGAGCCGGCTCCGGCTGCGCGACGGGCGGCGGCGGAACAGGCGTTGCTCCGTAGATATCATCATCATCATCACCATCTCCGCCGCCACCGCCACCACCTCCATCTCCGCCATCATCACCATCATCACCATAATCAACATCACCGCCATCACCGTCGTCCTCGCCGTCGCCGTCGGGCTCGGGTTCCTTGTGGTGTATAGCCGTCCGGTCCGAGCTGCGCCCAAGACTCATAGTTCCGAATTTGTTAACCACCCGTTGTACGGCGCGAGATGCAATCGATGCAGCTGAGATGCTTGGTGTCGGAGGGTGTACTGTCTCCCTGGAAGAGCGAGGTACTCCCTCTGGATCAGGGATAGGTACATCTGTAGGATAAGGCGGAGGAGGAGTGGGAGTGTGTGGAGAAACGGGCGTAAATGGATGATATGCATACGGATATGGAGGAGCGGGTGGATATTTAATCGGAGTCGGGGTTCGGAAGGGAGGTGGAGAAGGCGGAGCGTCCCCCGAGTGTGACTGTCTCCGTTCTCTCTCTCTCTGTCTCCGCTCACGGCGGGACCTCAACCTTTCCCGAAAGCGTTCTCTCATCGTGGGCTGATTTCTTCTTTTCTAGCCGATGAACTTTGCTCCTCTACTACTTCGCTATCTAGGACTGGAATCTCGAGTGTGTGTAAACTTATAGTTACTTTGCGACGTCTAGGTACTTTAACCGTAGGAAGTATTGAACGCTTAGGTACATATCAGTTTAGACAATCACGCATGAGCAGATAACAAGCATGGTATATAAGACTTCTGTCCGCCGACGGAACAATGTAAGAAGCCTCTGTGCAAAGGAAAACATATGCTTTTGGTGCTCCTTTGTATGGTTATACTACTGACTTTATCCCATTATGGACGCACTCATGCTGTAGGTAAACTCTGCATTATCTAAATTTCACACAAAGGTGATGATGTCGACCAAAAGGTTAGGTACCTAAATTAGTACCTGAGCCAAAAGAACAATGTTTCTGAGGTAATGAAGAGAGACATGGTTGGATATAGGTGGTGTATACAACAGGCACTTAACCATACAGCCATAATGATGCAGTGAGTTACCTGAAGTAAAGGACATCTAATTTAAAGTATTTGCTTCCTAAGGAATAACTACGGCAAATGGAGATAGGTACCTAATGTGGCATCCTGCTTGTATCACCCCTATTATGAGATTTAACAGTTGAGTAGAAGGTTGCTTGGGACAGTGCTAAGAAATTTGGCGAAGGAATTATAAGGATAACAATTCATTACGTTTTCGAGCTTGATACCAACGATGCTTATCGAGGAAGAATATATTAGCGTATAGGCACCAGTAGGTTTAGAATTAAGGGTTTTATTACATCGCATACATCCTTACTGCCTTTCGCCGAGCATCCACATACCTCAGGTAGCTACTAACAAGAGACACCTAAGAGGTGAAAGTTTTTCGTTCAGGTTAGAAACTCATGTGCGACTCAAGTAACAAAAACCTATGGATTGGGGTAAGGCAAAACAATCCATCAAATTCTGCTCTCCTTTTCCCTGTACCAACTCAAGAAGTAGCACATCCACAACCACCCCTGACATGGAGCTCATCTACTTCTCATTCTGAACTCCACAACCTTGGCTGACCGCGTGAACGTACGCTCCTATTACTAACTGCAACAAATTTGGTTTCCCAGACCGCGTTGCACAATGATGCATAGTCTTGATCCCGTCCTTTCCTCCACAGCTTGGCATATATATTTCTCCGCCGTATTACCGTAGGCGTAATCACGATCGCCTTTCTTCTGGGGAAAGGTTGCCATGTGGATTTAGGAAGTCTTCTTGGGAACCGCAGAGCCGTTTGCATATTTGCCTAGGTCCGTAATATCATGGAACTGGCGCGTGCCATTCTTAACGCCTTCCCAAACAGAGCGCAGAGCTGGGGGGTTACCCTGGGCGCCAACCAAGGAGTCCAATCGTGATTCGAGGTTTCTAAAGGAATCTTGCACATGGGTGCTTTGTGCAAAGCGAGTTCGGAGGAAGACGGTGTAGATGATGATGAGGATCCAGGAACCACGCTGGAAGAAGATAGCTGATAGGAACAATCGGAACCAAAGTAGAATCTCTAGGCTTGAAACTATAGACATGGACATGTCATAGTATTGCTTCACGAAAGTCCCAATAGCCTCGGCCAGAGGGTTGGCATACTGCGACTTGGTACCAGGAGAGGCACCAGCAGGCGCCTTATTGGGTTGGATGGTAGGGATAACATTGTTGCGCGTGTAGGTTGCGACATGGAATACGGAATATATCCCATAAGGAAACAGGGCAAAGGCATACTGAGGAGATAGTAGCCATACAAGTGCCATGGCTTTGTTAAGGGATTATTAGCGTCATCGTATACGACATAGGGAAATGTAGTTGGCATACCGAGATATTGGACGTTCTCATCGGAGAGAAGACCTAAAATTCCTGGATTCTTGGCTCCAACCTTCTGTCGAGCTCGCCATGTCTTGTAAACAACGATTCCATACGTCACGGCGGCCGAGATGAAGGCCGTACGATAGGAAAATCGAGCCCAGCGTGATGTAGAGTTAAAGGAAATGAAACTGAAGAAGTATCGGGTGATACACAAGAGGAGTACGAGGTGTCTATAAAACAAATGGGATGTCAGTGATCGATTTCATGATTACAAGTCATAATGTTGGCCGTCGAGCCGAGAAAGCAGGATTCGAAAAGCATCGAGGAACGATGACACAGGACTTGACATACCCGCTAAACCAGGCAACTATATTGTTGATTGAAATGTTAACAAAGACTACAGGGATAATGGGGAGGAAAAAAAGAGCTTGAATCGAAGGTTGCGATCACATACATTGTAAAGTTTTGGCGAGAGCTATAATCCTGTCGCCGAGAGGTAAGCTCGCAGAGGGCGGAGGAGCCATTTTCTCGGGAACGGCTGGAATGGAATGAATAGTAGGCTTAACTCTTGATTAAAAAAATAGACTATTGAAAAAAGGTGTCAAAAATTGATTCTTCTTAGACGAATACGTGATCGCGTGCCAATATCCTAAGGTAGAGAGAGGGTATAGAGACGTTGGTGGGATATGAGATGTCTTGGAGTTGGATGATGATGTATGGAGGAGTATCGTGTAGTATTGGCGAAAAAAAAGAGCTAGGAAGCTGGTGAGGTGGCTGGATTTGTACTGGAGGCGGGAGAAATGACGACGAGAACCAATACTTTGTACTTGTGTTACCCACTTACGGCGTCTAAGTACTTAGGTACCTTTGCTTACCTATGATGACTTTCCATTTTTTTTATGTCCGTCAAATCAGTTGTTCAGTACGGATTAGTGGCCGGTGCGTCATTCAAAGGTTGGAAAATTGTGGGCCTAGCCTAGCTTTCCTAGCTTCTGGGCATATTCAGTACCTGTACCTTTTACTGTGGCTTTCCTTCTACGTGCGATCATCAACTAGCAACCATACAGGTTACCACCTCTGCGTTACCTGAGAAAGTCATTCAAATACTATCCAATAAGAGGTAACATTCAATGTTCAGGTTATGTGATTGTACATGGCATATCTAATACCTGTACGAAGTAGAGGGGAAAAAATAACCTCACGTCACCTTGGCAGCCGCCCTTCGGCTTTTCGTCATTAGGTAGCATCACAACACCGAGTCTAAAACCGCTTCCCCACATGAGCAGAGACAGAGCAGCGACAAGAGCAGCGCATACCTTTAGGTACACCTACATTATATCTACTTGAAACCATAAGGCTCTTCATCGTCTCATAATTCGGTGGCCTACGATGTACGTGGCACCACGGCAACGGACCAAGCTTAGACAAATATAAGATGTGAGATCTTAGAAAATCAACGACGAAAGAATAGCACCAGATCAACATCTTTACACTACTAGGGATATTCGATAGCGCACTTTTTTTAAAAAAACCTTGATTTATGACTTTCGCTAGTTATTGGTTGATACTAATACATAGGAGGTACCTAAGATGCCATGTTTGCCAGCTCAGATATAAATGTTATACCTAAATGAGTCCGTCATTAGGTCCATGATCACTTAAATCAAGCTGGGAGACTTTCGACCTCGTCGTCAGCCAACTGGATAACGATCAAACGGAAGTACATGTTTTATACATCACACACCTTAGGTACATACCTGAGGCATACTTAAAAGGCATACTAAGTTTTAAAGAGCCATCGAAAGCAGTGCGGCTATCATAGCTCATTGGCTGCTGGAATAATAAACGAGATGCATTTACCCCTACCCCTCTTTTTTTTATTGACGAGATGGCTTGGTTTGATCTAGCATGAACACGTGGATCCCCAGACTCTCGCACTGCTTTGGTATTCTATAACCTACCTACCTTGTAGTAGCCAGTGAAGTTGACCAGTGCAAGATACTTTGTAACCGTTTCCAAAACCGCGAACAAACAACAAGGTCCACTACCTCTCAGACGGCACTTGGATAGATACCTACCACCCACCTAGAGGTGTACCTAATACACGACTCGTGACAGAACCTTAGACAGATGGCGACCGTTGGTTCAGCAGCCCCGCGCTTCAAACTCGTGTTTCGCGTGCCACCCGCCGCCCTAGCGTCCGTCAAGAACGCGATATTCTCCGCCGGCGCGGGCCGCTACCCGGGGCCGGGCAATTACACCGAGTGCTGCTGGACGACCGTGGGCACCGGCCAGTTCCGGCCCGGCGACGCTGCGAACCCGCACATCGGGAAAGTCGGCGAGCTCGAAGAGGTCCCCGAGGCCAGAGTGGAGACCCTCTGCGTCGGCGAGGATGTTGTTAGAAAGGCCGTCGAGGCACTGAAGAGGTGAGAAATATTGATAAATACCATGAATGTTTGATGAAATTACTAAATGTTGACCCGGATACGCATAGAGCACATCCTTACGAGGAGCCGGGGTATGAGGTATACAGGGTGGAGGATATTTGACTTTGTTGAAAGCAAGGAGTATTTGTCGGTCTTTTTAATTCGTATCCGTCACAGCGCGTATCTACCTTACAACCTGGATATCATGCAAACTACATTGAATCATGACGAAAGCACTTTTAACCTATGAAACTACTGAACCCCTCAGATTTCACGATTTAATAAGAGTAATGCCTTGAATTCAATTAACTACCTCCTTAATTGCCCTCTACTGTGTACCTAGGTAGGTTCAATGGTAACGGCTCCGGCCTCTTAGCAGACCAGAAAATTGGGCCCTGAAGATGCGAGATCTGTCACCGGTCTCTTCTGATTGGTCAGAAACCAACCTTTTTTCCCAAAGACGACCGTTAAACCCATCTCCTAAGACTTGTCCAAGGCATATAAATATAGTCGCCTGTAGGAAATCTGCCTACCTCTGTATTTAAACCATCATCGATCATAAAGAGTAAATAACCCAATATAGGAGGTACCTAATATAAAAGCACGAGGTGTATCAAATCGGATATAATACACTAATCAAACCCTACATCGACAACCATGGAGAGTGGCTCAAAGAGCACCCCTGACCTCAACGCAGCACAAGTACACGTTCAAATCCAACCCCCTCCGTCAGACAATGATACAGAGAAAGGCCGCCAGGCCAATGACCAACTTGACGATGATGCAGAAGCTTCGCCGAAGCAATCCGCGTTCAAATCTCTCGGCTGGCTAGACCGCTTCCTTGCTATCTGGATATTCCTCGCCATGGCCGTCGGGATCATACTAGGCAACTTCGTGCCGGGGGTGGGCGACGCCCTGCAGAAGGGCCAGTTCGTGGGCGTCTCGGTGCCAATAGGTAGGTACATCATGCTTTTTATTAACTAGGTACCTACCTAGATACATACCTACCTAATCTACCTAGTTGTTTACCTCAACGACGAATTGTTCCAGACGCTTATTAGAATTAGAGTTGTTGTTGCCGTTGCTAACGCTTGCTACCTCTCATATATAGCTGTCGGGCTGCTCGTGATGATGTACCCCATACTCTGCAAAGTACGATACGAGACTTTACACGAGATATTCTCCCACCGCGGCGTCTGGAAGCAGATTGCGTTCAGCGTGTTTGTGAATTGGATCGTCGCGCCGTTCTTGATGGTTCGTAAACAAAATACACACAACCTCTACTTCCTTTACTTTTCATGCAGAAGATACCTAACATAGGCAACTCCATAACAGTTAGCGCTTGCATGGGCATGTCTGCCGGATAAACCCGAGCTTCGCACAGGCCTTATTCTAGTTGGCCTAGGTCGATGCATCGCAATGGTATGTACGAGTATCTTACAACAATGCCGCTTCGATAAATACCTCCTATGAAAATGCTGATTGGCTATTACCAAAGGTACTGATATGGACGGGCTTAGCCGGTGGTGACAGCGAGTACTGTGCCATCCTCGTGGCGATTAATTCCATCCTGCAGATGGTACTATTCGCTCCGTTAGCCGTCTTCTTCATCCGAGTGATCAGTCGGGAATCCGGCCCGCTCGACATCTCATACGAGGTCGTCGCAACGAGCGTGGGGACTTTTCTGGGCATCCCGCTCGGTGCAGCGATGGTATCGCGCTTTGGACTGCGGGCTCTGGCCGGCCCGCAGTGGTACGACCGCGTCTTCCTGAAGTTCATTGCGCCGTGGTCTCTCATCGGCTTGCTGTACACGATCTTGGTCCTGTTCGCTTATCAGGGCCAGCAGGTCGTTCATCAGATCGTGTCCGTTCTGCGGGTCGCTGTTCCTCTGATAGTGTACTTCGTTGTGATCTTCTTTTTGACGCTCTGGGCCACGTACCGGTGCGGATTCGGGTATGCCCTCGGCGCTACGCAGAGTTTTACCGCGGCTAGCAACAACTTCGAACTTGCGATTGCTGTGGCCGTCGCGACGTACGGTCCGAATAGCGATCAGGCGCTGGCGTCTACTGTTGGACCGCTGATTGAAGTGCCGGTGCTGCTTGGACTGGTATATGTTGTCAAAGCAATAGGGGGTAAATGGGGTTGGAAGGACTGATTCGTATAATGCTAAATAATAATAAAAGTATATTGTCTCAGTCTTGGCTTACTGTTCTAAGCGACTGGTTCATCGGGCGCGAAAGCTCACCCGAAGCCAAATGCTTCGAAAAGAAATAGCCTTTGGCTGAAAGCTAGCGCTGGTGTACTCATGTGTCATGTCCATTCTTATCACAAGTGCTCGCAGCGTACGGTAAAAGCCTTGCTATATCCTCGAGGAAAGGCCTCGAAGCAAACTTGAAGACTTCATTCGTGCTTGCACTCGCGCGGGCAGGAGTGTACGCTTGTATGGCCCTTGGCTTTTGGTACGGGGAACTGCTCATCCTCCGTGGTGAATACTCGCTTCTACAATTCGTAATTGTGTACTTCTCCATTATGACTGGCGTGTACTCAGCAGGCCTGGTCTTTTCCTTCACGCCCAACCTTAGGAGGTAGGTTAACCTGAGACATCTTGTATAACTACCTAATCCATATCATTCTGGATTATACCAAAGAAAGTCTTTTCGTAACCTCTTTGAAAATCGATGTTGAAACTAACATTAAATCTATAGCGCCTGCTATTAGGAGGGGCTCCTATGTTGTGGCGCATATAAGCCACATCGGCCACAAGCAATGACACATTGAGGACGCTTCCATTTGACTCCGAATATCGGTGGAAATTTATGACACAGAAAAGGTACGTACCCCAAAAGAGCCGGAAAAAGAAGCTATCTCGATGGAATCCTTGATGATCTCATTGGTTGCTGTGTTAAGTAAGAACGAGGTCCAGGGATCTTGTTACACAACAACAAGAGAATTTTTTTCCACAGGTCACCTGATCGGTTAATGTACTATGACACGAATTCATTCCATAATCCATTCAGCGTACCTAATTGTTTAATGTATTTAAGAGGTAGGCAAGCACATAAAGGTACCTTTATTTAGCAAACTTGGATATTTTGTTTTTTTTCTTATGAGTTTCAAGGTTATTATTATACTATTCTATTGGGCTTACTGTACTCAACAACTTTCATACTTGATATACCAATTTTCTTATATACCTTCAGTACCTAAGGTATATAATATCATAATACCAAAAGAATTTTAACCCAGCCAAATAACCAGGTTCTTCCTTGGATGCTCATATTAGCAACATGACTTCACCGATCTCTCATCATACAAGCCATACCATGTGCAATGGTGCTAGCAGCAGCAACAGCGGCTGTCATGGAGGTGGCTCTTCGGCTGTTGCCCACCACACGAGCCATACCATGGCCAACGGTGCCAGTAGCAGCAATAGCGGCGCTACTGGCGGCGGAGGGGCCATTTCCACTTGCGATGGTATGGGCTTCGACCTTTTAGCTCCATCTTGAGCTCACCATTTCGTATCTAGGACACTGTCAAGACCATCTCGTGGAATCCTCCTTAACAGGCCCCGCAACCAACGTGTACGACTCTACTACCAATACTAATTTCAATACCAACATCAACACCAACATCAACACTAAACTCAGTGAGCCCCTTAATTTGAGCCACACTGACGATGCTGCTTCGATCGACGGCTCATCGCCATGCTCTTCGGCGAGCAGCATTTCGAACGGTGACATGGACGATTCTAGCGGGATCACTACCATGTCCAACTCTGTCAATCTTGCCAACTTCAGCATTATTGACAGCACACTCCGCGAGGGCGAGCAATTCGCCACGGCTTACTTCGACACGGCGCAGAAGTTGAGAATTGCTAAGGCGCTGGATGAGTTCGGAGTGGACTACGTAAGGCTTTACCTACCTCTACTACAGGCAGCCACGATACACCACAAAGGCTGTCTATGTATGTTTTGGCCGTATGATCTCAGCTGACTCCTCCCTCCTCTAATAGATCGAAGTAACGTCGCCCGCTGCTTCACACCAGTCAAGAGCTGACTGTGAGGCTATCTGTAAATTGGGTCTGAAGGCTAAGGTAACAACAGCCCGCAATTATTAACCTATAGCAGATTATCTCCACCATTCCGTCGCCCAATGGTGGGCCTTGCTAATGGTGAATCAGGTACTGTGCCACATTCGATGCAACATGGACGACGCGAGAATCGCCGTCCAGACCGGCGTCGATGGAATGTAGGTCCACTTCTGCTACCGGCCTAGCCCTCTCCAATCTATACCAATATGACTAATTGCTCTTCAACGTAGAAACATGTGCATTGGCACCTCTGCAAAGCTCATGCAGCACTCCCATGGGAAAGATATGGCCTTCATCACTGCCAAGGCCAAGGAAGTCATCGAATACGTCAAATCAAACGGCGTTGAAGTTCGCTTCTCCGGAGAAGACTCCTTCCGCTCCAATTTTGCCGAGATCGTGAAGCTGTACTCTCTCGTCGATAGCTTGGGCGTCGACCGCGTGGGTATAGCTGACACCGTAGGCGGTGCCACGCCTATGGAGGTCTTCGACAAGATCAGCACCCTACGTCAAGTCGTCTCGTGTGACATCGAGACGCACTTCCACAACGACACTGGATGCGCCACCGCGAACGCCTACGTTGCTCTCGAAGCGGGAGCTACCCACATCGACACCACGGTGTTGGGTATTGGCGAACGCAACGGCATTACCCCACTTGGCGGTCTCATGGCATGTCTTATGCCTACGGACCGCAAGTTCATATTGAACAAATATAAGCTTGAGAAATTGAGCTACCTCGAACAGCTGGTTGCGGAATTTGTTTCGGTAGAAATTCCGTTCAACAATTTCGTGTTGCAGAAATGCGACTAAGCAACGCCAGCCGATCGATAAGCAAATCGAACTGGATGTAAGGGGAAATTGAAGGCAAGGCAATCTTATCATTATCCGCTCATTTGCCGTGGAACCGCAGGTCAAGACGATTTTAAGAGGGAACAAGTTCTTTGTTCTGGAGAGACTAACACTCATTTAGCACGTAGATAGATACAAAACATGGTGAGAAGGAGATATAGTTGGGAAGTTCTACGTTAGGTACTAGGTAGTAATTCCAGTCCGCTCTTTACTCGATTGACAGTCTTCAAAAATCCTCTTGTAGTTGTTTAACAACTCATACTCACCTACTCCAAATCCTTATAATCCATAATACCCACCTCAATAGCCTTGATCTGCAGCGCCAGCATCTCCAAGTAATACCTGCACAGCGCGAAATTGCCTCCGGCGAATTCGGCGCCCATGATTTTCTTGGCCGTCCACAGCATGCTGCTGCTATACCCGGTCGCGAATACGATCTCGTCTACCGGCAGCTCGGCCCTGGTGCTCGGGACCAAGCGACCGCGCCCCGCTGCACGAGCGTCATGCTGTGTCCCCGCTCCAAGACGTCCTGCGCGATGTCGTGCCCCGAGACACCGCTGCCCACTACCACCGCTCGCCGTTAACTCCTGTCGCTTGGATTATATGGCGGGGCCTAAGCAAGCGGGTTTCGGTTGTGCCGTCTGTTGAGCCGCAGCGTTCGACTGTTACCTACGTCCCACAACTTATTACGGCTGCACCAGCAGTCGCCCGCCTTAGGGTGCTGATCTATGACCAAGCATAAAATCCCCAACTCAGCGAGGCGAGCAGCAGCAGAAAGACCGGCTTAACCAGCCCCTAGATCGCAATGTCAGTTAACTGTTTGTCCTCGCAAATCTTGTCCCGTCCCGACGTCTGGGGAAAAGGGGTAAGTACCTAGGTACCTAGGTGGAGGAGACGGTCCGTTCCGCTGACCCCGCATTTACATCGTAGGTAACTTCTGATCGGTACCGAGATCCAAACTAACCTAATACGGTAATACTTTATTCTCACTAACCCCTTTTTGCAGGGTTATTATTTCGCAAGCAGCCAGGAGGTATCGTAGTTTGACCTGCTGAAGCGTTTAAGCGTCGAAACGGTCAGGGAAATGCGTGAAGGCTCGTCCTGGGAGCATATTGTCGTGTATGCGTGGGCGTGTAACACCCGTCCGCGGGCAGATAGGGCAAGGGATGTGTGCTAAGCCTTCACGATCTTATTGAAATACTCATGCTTAAGAGGTATCTGATAACAATAACTAGGAGAAACCTATAATTAAGGTATTTAGGTACTAAGTTTCACACGCCCCTAGTGTTCCTCAAGAGCTAAATAGTCCGTTACTCGTGTTAGAAGATTCGAGTCGGGCGTCGTCCAGTAACTCCAATCCAGCGGGCACAGGCCTAGCTTCCCCAGGAGTGCAAAGCACACATTCCACATTGCTAAGATGCAGGTCCACCTAGAGAGAGCCGGTAGTATATAAGTCAAGTGTAGCCCGAGTAGTAGGAATTTAAGTCTACCGAGAAAGCTGTACCGCAACGTTATCGTGAGCACCAAGTCCATATCGTTCAACACGCTCTCCTTCCGCAACGCGAAGTCAACCCGCTGATCGCGGTCGAGCTTGACTGTTTTGGCCGCTGGCATGAACCTGTCGCCAGACCAAATGCGGTCCTGTAGTCGAGCTGCAAAAAGCTGCTCCGCACGCTCGCATGCAAGTATGCTCTCTTTGTCGAGAATGTCCTCGTGGACTTCCATCAGAGGGGTCAGCAGAAAGTTTCGCGGATTAAAGGCAAACACAGCAACTACCCGTTTGCCACACAGAACGTCTGTCACCTCAACCGCTCCCGTGTTTAAGCCCTGCCGTGGGATATATTCGTATACTGCCATAGCCGAGCCCCTCGGCTGCGGTATGCCGCTAGCATGTCGTTTCCACCGTTCTTCTGGGATTACGCCGGTTTGTTTGAGGCTTTGAGCGTGGACTTGATTGTAATAGCGAACCCAGAGACGGTTTGATGGCCCCGTTGGTCCTTGAAAGTTGCCCGAGGTGAGCAGCACCATTACGCTCCGTGTCTGCGCACTCAAGACATCCCCGGCGTCCACAAATCGAAAACGGTAGGGCGGTACTCTCGCCTCCTTACTTACGTAGAACACGTCCTCCCCTATAGATGACTGCGAGGTTGCCGTCAATCTAAGGGCGACCAGAGCCCCCTGAGATTGACAGCTTAGCACCCCCAGCGTGCCTTCTCTATGGGTTTCGATAATAGGAAAGGAGATACGCAGCCCCCTATTGGTGAGTTCGTATGCGTCCGGTACATTTTCGCCTACGGAGCTGGTAATATTGCCGCTCTTCGAGAAAGCAGACACAGACGGCGCCAACAGCGAATCTGCCTTTTCGAGGTCCCATGCGAATATCGAGTGGTCCCAGTGAGTTTTAATGATCTCCTCTTGTAAGCGTCGGAACGCATTCCGACCTTCGCCGTACAGCATTGGCATATTGACCTCGAATATCCCAAGCAAACAGTAAGCCTCGTCCTCAAGCCGGGTGGTGTGGCGGTTTGCCGCCCACGACATTCGAGTCGCTACACTGAGAGCCGAAGGTCTCCGCAGGCCCTTCAGCACGGTAGCGTCTATGTTCGTGATCTGGCATATCAGCTTCAGCAAGGCGCCCTCTCTCGTCCCCAGGAAGTTCCAACCCTGCCCGTAGAATCGGATCTCCCGTGGCGCGATTAATTCTTGGAGCGTCCAGCCCCTTGTGAACCATCTTGCGTTCTTGAAAGCACCTATCCAGGGTTGTAGGTCCGCGTCGTTTTCCAGGTCACCCTTTCCGGTCAGAGGTGGGCATTCCCAGGGCACGTCTTCCATGTAAACGTAGCAGACTACGCTGTCCTTGTACCAGCGATACATGGAGTTGATAGACTCGGTGAGTTCCGCGCTGCTGGTTTTGTCCATGCAGACAGTATCTATCCAAGCATACTGCAGCCCGTCTTTATTCGCTTGGCGACACAAGAACTCAATCTTTCGATACCCTTTCCTGGACTCGGCCTCCCCACCGGAATACATTTGGAACGTGACCTCATCCTCGCCCCAGGTATGAGACAGGATAGCGAAAGGCGGCTCATATCCTCCGAAGTTCTCGAGCCGCATCGTGGTGGTGTTAATGAGCCACATGTCGACGCCTAACTGAGGTTAATCTAGGTATCTTAGGATTGAGGCAAAGGAGGTATCTAGTCGAAGTCAAATCCACCAGCCAGGAATCCTTACTATCCTTCACATCTGAACACATGCATATGGGGAATAGAAGTTATATGCCATGAAAGACAAATAGAGACTTGATAAGTGATTTTTTGCATTGCATTAGGTATATAGGCGGCTTCGCCACGACGCACTTCTATAAGGGCGGGGATTGGCTGTACTGGCTGGGTATATGCAAATCCTACCCCAGAAGTCTTGTAAAAGTAAGCCTAAGGATATGCCTTAGCTGAAAAGCGACTAGGTGACAGGTCATCATCGTAAACAACACTGATAGTCTAGTAATGGACTGTTACGTTCATTACAAACTTGTAACTTCGTATAGGTATGTGGTTCGATGCTGCGCTCAATAGAGGAGTTCGGGTCTTTCAAAAGGGTAATTAAGTTCTCGAGTAAGGTACGCTTTATTTATTCGCCCGAATGTAAGAATGAATTCGACCTTTTACAGACTTCCTGCTAGGTGCGCCCGTGATGGATGATATATGTCAGCAGTCTCGCTTGAGACTCCTTGGGAACAAAGGGGTTGTTTTATATATAGCTTTGGCTTCAAAGCCATCGTAGTTAGGATTCCTCGCGGAACAACGAAGTTGTTACCCTACCTCATGCTCTGCGACGTGACACCATATGTAGAGTGAGTGTTAGTGGCATAGTATGTCGTCTATTGCAGAGATCTAGTAACACGTAGCCTTCCCACCTCCCTCGAGGGAGCTGGCTATCCAAGGCAACGAAAACAATTCAAAAGTGAAATAACCCATACATACCACCAGCCTACCTAGTCCAAGGTACAGACTCCGACCTTCTTAGTAATCTGACTCTTCCATATCCGAGTTTTCCATATCCGAGTCTTCTATGCCCGAATCTTGTATATCTGGGTCTTCCATATCTGAGTCTCCAGACTCGTCCGGCTCGTCTGAGCGCCCAGATCCTTTCGGCTCTTCTTCTACAAATGACAACGCAATATTAGTTCCTAGTAATTTGAAGTCTTCTGCATGATGTTTCCGTATCAAGTCGGCGATGGTAAAGAAATGCTCCCCCTCCGCATATGCGATTGCTCCGTCGTATCCTGTTTGCCCTCGATCATGACTCAGAGCCCCAAGATTCAATAGAAACTGGACCATATCAATCCTTCCCGTACGAGCAGCGCAATCTAGCGGAGTCATCAACGATCCAGACTTCCCCCACTCAGAAGCCATATTCACGTCTGCTCCATTGCATAGCAATATGATCGCTACCTCTATGTCACCCTCACGCGTAGCAGAATTCAACGCCTCACCCGAATTGGCATTCACCTCCGCCCCATTCTCTATCAAGAGCTTTATGATTTCCATCTTATTCGCCATTTCCGTCGTTGATTTCGCAACTATTCGGCAAGCAGCTTGGAGTGCAGACGACGAAGCTGCATTAACATCAGCACCCATATGCACCAGCCGCCTAACCAAAGCTATATGACCCCGGTAGGCTGCGGCCTCAAGTGCTGTCATGCCTGAGCCTTCGAATGCGGGCATATTAATGTTCGCTCTCATAGCGATTAACTTGTCAAACATATCCTCATTGCCCTCGTAAGCTGCTGCTTGGAGAGGGTTTAACGTACATTTATGTATAGAGGGCACTTCTTGATACAGATTGTCAACGTCTGAACAGTGCTCTAGAAGCTCTTGGATTAAATCGAGTGCATTTCCTTCGCATATCAGCCAAGGGATCATACGTCCAGTTGGCATTGGAGCCCCATGCGCACGAAGCACTTTAAACAAGGACATCTTCAGTTGTCTGTGGTTGCTATCGATGCTACAGGGTAGAGTGATAACTGTGTCCAATAGGCACACTTCGGAACTAGATAGATCGCGAGGGTCCAAGTTCGATAGGAAAAAACTCACTAGATCAGGGATATTTGATCTAGCCAAATAGGCGCTCCAACCGTCAACGAGAACGCGTCGTAAAAATTCGGCGGCGTTCGGGTCGTGAGGGCTAATTTTCAACTCTGCACCGTGGTCGATCAAGTAGCGGAGCATGTCAAAACTCGCCGGGCTGCTGTGTTGCTCGAAGAATTGACGACCGTGTAGTTCCTCACACCGCCTCCACCCCAACGATCCAACACTCGCCAATGCGACTACGCTCCACGGTTCGTAACTTCGGTCGGAAGCCTCTAAATTTATCTGGGCATGAATATCTGCGCCCGCTTCGAGTAGCCACGACACGGCTTCGTAATTTTCGAGACGAGCTGCAGTAGATAGCGCCAATGTGCCATATCTTCCCAGATCAGCACCAAGCTCTTTTAGAATTTGCAAGATACCAATGCCTTCTTCTTCAACTCCAGCTTCCATAACGGCTAGATCTAGAACTGCCCCTGACTGAAGTAATGCCGTAACAATCGGTGCAAAGTGTTCAGTGATGCCCTCCGTGCGTGCCTGCGTCACTATATGCCAGAGTTTACCAGGCACTATAGCATTAGGGTTGATTATCAACTCACAGAGCCCTCTAACGACCTCTATATCAGCGACCCAAAGGTCGGAAAATTGTTCTGTGAGAACCAACTCTAGGAATTCAGATCCATCAGAGCCAAGTCGCTTTGGCTCTGATGTCCAGTACTCCATGAGAGATTCGCGTCCCTGCTTTGCGAAGAGGCAGAGGTCTGGTCGGAAGAAAATCCGGGTCGTCTCGGTGCTGTACGGGGCTAATCTGTAGAAAAGCTCTATGTCCATGTAATAGCTTTGTTCGAGGATTGTTGGCATGAACTTTTCAGACTTATGTTCCCAATATAACCACAATGCGTCGACATCCGCACCGCTTTCCAGGAGTATATCTAATGCTTGGCTCTGTGGCTCATTCTCGAGACTAAATTCTACACTGATCAAGGAGTTCTTCAAGTCTTCAAAAGAGTTTGGCGGATATGCATGATCTCGTCTCCCGGATATTATGCTTCCTGTGTGTAAAGTATCGACGAAGGTGTCGAAAGGGGTTTCTAGGTCATCGACAGGCATGACCGAATTCAGATCGCATGCTGTCATGAGGAGCTGTAGACATTCCAGGTTACCAGTAGCAGCTGCTTCGACGATAGGAAGTCTTCTTCTAACCTCAATCTTACCATCGGCGCGCGCCCCAATCTTCAATAACGCCTTGACAACATCGATAGCACCCATCGATACGGCGTCAGAGAGGTATGATGCTCCCATAGGGATAATCCAGTCGCGGTGCAAAAGTCCGATCTTCATCAAGAAGACAAATATATCTCGGTAGCCCTTTATACCAGCATAGTCTGCCAGACATTGCCACGTTTCCCTGGCTGTGGGTAAGTCTACCTGGAAGAGACTTTTCAACACCGCATAAGGGACTCGACTGAGTAAAAGGTCCAGAATATGGCCATCTATACGGTCATCCAACAAGTTGTTAGAAATCATATACATAGCTTTGGATAGAATATAAAACGCGTTCATCTCAAATGTAAGTGACGAAGATGTGGTCGTATGGTTCGGCATAGGCAACTGTCGTGGCGGAAACACAGTTTCCCTTGCTATATCAGGCGACCTCGGTTCACTTTCGGTTGCCATCATCAATGCTAAAGATTCGAATTTTAAGCAGTGATGTAATGCCTCGCTGTATTCACTTGAAAGGTGTCTGGGGAAAACAACCTCTAACGCTGGTGTTAATTTGGACTAAATACCTTAGGTATGAAGGTAGGTAAGGTACTTACGGCGTAAGTAGTTACTAAAATTGGCCCATGGAGTACTCAAAAGAGCGGTAATATAGTGTTCTGGAGCGGATCCTAATAATTCCATCACTTTGATTTCCCGAACTTGGCGACTCATTGGAAGGTCAACATGGGTCTGTGACTGCTGGACTGCGTTGCGCGAACCGAACGCAATATCCGTTGATGACGGTGGTGCAGATAGCGTCATCACTGGGGAGTCCCAAAGCTGTGGGGAGAGGTTATGAATATCTCTGTGTCGTGTTTGTGGGGTGGAGGATACGAGATATCCGACAGGTGATGGTGTTCTCACAACTACATCTCTTGGAAGCGGAATATCTTGACCTACGTAAAGGATAGCCTCTATTAGCCCAGCCCTAACGTAGGAAGGCACTTTATGCCTGGAAGATCCTAGCATATCTTACCATTGGCAACTAATCGAGCTCCTGACCTTCTGATCTCCTTCCATACTTTATGCTGTGGAATCTTAGTTCCATTGAGATAGACCGCGGTAGGTTTGTCACCTCTCTTGAGGAGATGATGGTGGATAGGGACCCAGTCATTTTTCTTCAGCTTCTTGCGCAAGTGAAGTTCATCGCGGAGCTTGAATTCGTAAGTCGACAAGCTATCGATATTATTAGCAATGCAATCACAAGATAGTATAGGCTGACATACGAATTCACAGGAAATCCATGTTGGCTTTCCATGATCCTCTTTACTTCTTCAAGTGTTCTCCGCTCTGTCTGGTAGAGACGCTGAAAGGTGGACTTGTGCTGTTCCCATATCCTCTCTTCAGGATCAGGATCTGGACGGCGACGTTTGACATATGGCATAGTGACCAGCTTATCAATGAACTTCGTTGATATAAGCTGTGGCTTGTAAAATTTGACCTTTGAGAGCTGCTGTGTATTCTGGTTTAGTTGATGAGAGAGACAGGAAAGAAAATAAAAATTGGTTGGAAGGCAGGATCAGGCTACGAGGAGTGATACTTAAGAAAACACAATTCGTGTTATATGGCATAGGACTTTTTATGCCCTTTTCTCTGATTAGCTCTAGGGGGTATGCCTTAGGTACCTATACATAATATAATGCAGATGCATGTTGCCCTCCAACTTTCTCAGCAAATCACACAGCTCAACGTGCTTATTTCACCAAACGACGTCAGCTTTGTGGCTACTCTGCGATACGACGATGTCCAAAATCTATCCCCTCTAATTGGATTGTCCAAAATCTGACCTCTGTTATGGGATGGCTGTCCAAAATCTGCCCTCCATGCGACAATGACTGTCCAAAATCTATCTGCTTTGATTGGATTGTCCAAAATCTGACCACTGTTACGGAACGACTCCCCAAAATTTACCCCCTTTGATTAGATCGTCCAAAATCTGCTCTACTCTCATTGGTTCCAGTGCCATTATTTCTTCTGTCCAAAGTCTAAACGGCTCAAACGGCTAGGTATCCCATGAGACTCTACCCGCATAGCCTCATGAACCCTAGAGAGGCGGTCTTCCTTCACATTGTGATATATAAGGTGTGAAGACGTAGCCGATAGGAAAGCTGTAGCTTGTCAGAGATAGTTGACCTAAGTACTCGAATCTCTTTTATTCAAAATATCTTGGTCTTAAATCTAGAATGACAATTTCAAACGAGACCATTGTTGCGATCATCACTTTGCTCATAATGTGCTTTATCCCAGCTCTTCGCTTCCTCATACATCTCTTTTGTCGACGAAGGGCTCGATCAACCCAGGGTTACGCAGCTATTTCCCTTGAACTAGTTCCTGGGCCGAATGAGTTAGCTGTGCTTGAGAGCGGAATGTTCTATGCCACTGTGAGCAGCCAATTGTCTGATATCTAAATAAATTTCAAGCCACTAACCCATAGGATTCGCGCGAAGAGGAACATCAGGGTCGATACTCTTATAGTCCGTTCACTCAATATACCAAACCTCCGTCATACCGTCCATCATGACGGATCAGAGCTTGACGCCATCCGCGCATGGGAGCTTGGGGGATAATGTATGTTAGATATCACAAAGGGGAACTACTAGAGGTTGGCGTTTGCTGCCTTATGTTTCATTCGATTGGTCAGATCTCTTCTTCTATTCTTAAAAAGGCATGTTCTAGGGCTTTTTGAAGAATTTAATTTGTTGATATAAGTGGAACAGGTACTAGATATATAGAGCAAGAAGATTTACTCAAGATAGGATGTAGTTAATAAATAACGAAAGAAAGGCGGAGAAGAGACGGTACTATTAATCATCAATCATAAGAAAGTGCGAAGTAATTTACGCAGTATCAATTAGACGAAGCATTCTAGAACCTCTTCAATAGATACCTCCTCATACATGAGGAGACCGCGTGTAGTTGGTGACTACAGGCACCTAGACCTAAGTCTTAAGTTTTGTACAAATACAGTCAACACCGTTAAAGCCATAATAGTATTCATACTGCATGCGCCTATGCCGTATGAGTCGCCGAAAAGTGGCGGTTGCAAATGCGTTGCCGCAACACAAATTCCAGATAGGGTATCAATCCGTACTCCGTCGAATAATGCACGTAACAGCTCCAACCGAGCTTACCACCCTGAAAACTTTTCCAGATCCATATGCGCAATCCGAAAACCCCTTTCCCATAAAAAAATGATGCTATTGTGATAGGTTAGTTAGTAAAAGCCACCCCCGCGACGACGACGGTCGTGTCGGTTGCGAGGAGTCCAGCCTGGGTCAAAACCACCACGTCCGTGACCGCGGCCGTGGCCACGAGGTCCCCTGGGACCGCGAGGCTCATGGCGACGGTCTTCACGAGGATCCGGGATCGGTTCCTCGATTTCTTCTTCCCATTCTTCCCACTCATCTTTAGTGTACTCGTCGTAGATCTTCTTCTCTCTCACTGCTTCGTCGGCTTCAAAGATAAATCGCGTCGTACCGCCGTCAGACCCTTTAGGCCCACGCTTAACAGTACTGGTACCCGCAGCGGAAGGTGTGCTTAGCGACATGGGTGAGCCCGTTGACGGTGTGGGAGGTAATGCGGCAGTTTCACACACTCTGCACTGATTCACGTAGCGTGAAAGTCCAGCGCGCTCAATAAACTGGTTGACGCTGATCTGAGTGTCGATGAAAACTTGCAGGTCAAACATAGGTCCGACTTTAGTGACCTTGCCATGCTGTGTATAGAGGTCAAGAAGATCAAGCATTACCTCGGCTACACATTGCTCGTCTGTGTGCCAATCAAGCGGATCAAGTCCTTGGAATTCATCCACAAACTGGCCTGTAAGCCTTGCAGTAAGTTGTGCGCATACCAGAGCACAAGTAAATGAAGCGTGCTTTAGTGGCGCATAGGTTTTATACAAGTCGATAGACATCTTCATTGCAGTCGGGAAGAAGCTTGTCAAGTCAGCGGAACTTCCGAGGACTTTCTTCACGATCTTGGCAAGAATTTTCTGAGGGTAGCGAACGCGGAAATCAAAACTAATAGCTTCAACCATGTATCGCTCAATCCCAATTATAACTTTAGACGGCTGATCAAAGATCTGCTTTTGATTTAGCGCATGTACATGAAATGAATCCACTAATAAGCGGCTCACCTTGTCATCTTGAGTTGTTGGATGGTCTGGGTTCTTGAGGTTGTGATGAGCACATAAAACCTCGCGAGACTTCTTCAGCGTGTCTTCGACCTTGCAAGCCACAAATAGAGAAGCCAGAGCAGCGTCTGTGTAGTTGTAATCATGGGTAGGATGCTCGAGACGGAATCGATGATAGAAAGTGCACGCGGCGTTGAAGGTCCTAACCGGCCTAAAAGTGAATGAAGATTAGAATAATAAATATCTTAGGGAAGGAAGGGAAATGCGACTCACAGGAGAAGTGCCTCTCGGGTAGATTCAATCAACTGAACGCCTTGAAGACGGTAATTAGCCTCCCTAGCAACATCCAATCGTTTCTCGGCGAACATGCGGCGGATATGACACTCGCAGATATACTGATGGCCGACTTTGATGGTTCCTAGGTGAGGGCCAGCAGTAAGTGTCTGAGAGTCGGTGGTCCCGTTCTTTGCGACGTAATTCGGCGCCATCTTTTCGGTGATATTCGATTCCAAAGTCTTCGAGTTGCTGTTGAAAATTAAGGGAAGAGGCTGTCCCCGGTAGTTGCAAGTGCGAGAAGATACGCTGGCAGCGTACGAGCTAGGGGTAATGGTCACGTCTGAATCGTCGGAGTTGTCAGATTCATATAGATCTTCGGGGTCGTCCGATTCGCCAAAAGGATCCTCTCTTTGGTCAACAACGTCAACAACGTGGGAGAACCCACGAGGTTTAGGCGAAATAAAAGGATCGTCCTGATCGCCTTCACGAGATAGAGTAATACTTCGATTGAGGTTTTTGGCTAGAGCAGCGGAAGGGAGGAAATTCTTGGGAAGAGAGGGAGAATTAAATACGTCAAGTTCAAAATTAGCATAGCTAGGAGAACTATGTTCGTAAAAGTTCCATGACCTATGAGTGGTAGTAGATGTTGCAGCTTGAGGGCTGTAAGCGTAGTTGAATTGGCGACGAGGTTGTAGAGGACTAATAGATCCAGTGGATGATTTAGTGGATTTAATGGATCCAATTGCGCTGTGACGATTGGAGCTTGAGCTTGAAGGTGTAGAACCCTGACTTTTATCGGTTATTGAGTTAATCCGTTGCGCTCGAATCGTTAGCCCTCGGAGTGGGGTGGTGGGAAGAGCCGACTCCGTCTGTGCGGAGCCTGCAGGTGCTTCAGCACGGACCCCATAGGTACCGCCCGCAGCGCCCGCCAACTTTAACTTTGACACATCCTTGATTGGTTCCATCATCTCATCATTAACAAGTTCCAACCCAAAAAAAGAAAAGACGACAACGACAACGACAACGAAAGGAAATCAAATCTTCAAAAGGGTTTCAATAAAAACTTTCCCTTCAGGAATATCATTTGTGGTAAGAAATGAAAAGTGCTTATTTAACTGACAAAATTGTGTCAGTAATAAGGTCTTGAATCCAAGGGTTCATCTGTTGTAAAGGCAGAAAGGTACCTAAGGTAGGCTAGGTAGGTAGGTACCTAATATGAAATATCATTGGCAGAAAAAAGAGGGCACACCTATCTGGTTTGCGCAAGGTTAATCAAAAGACTTCCAGGAACAAAAATGTGAAGTCATCGTTATTCCAGGAAATATTACAAAAGTTCGCAGCCTAAGGTGTTCTATCCAGTTGATTGTATTGTATACCAGGTACCTACCTAAATCTACCAATACCTACCAACTACCTACTACCTAAAGATACCTAATCTGACTTACAAGCTGCGGCCAATGAGAGAAGCCCTGGAAGCATGGCCTGTAACTTCAGGTCACTACCTAACTTGCATCCAGAGGGGGCACAGCCACTCTACAATACCTCCTAAGGTAGTATCCTCTCAACACCAGCATCCAAACTTCTCCCCATTACATACTTCATTCTAGATTTCATCAGAATATCACGAAGTCCATAATATGCTATCTACTATCAACCTGTCATCTTAACTATCCACAGTAACTAAATACGAACATCCCTACCGAAGAGATGACCTTGTTACAGAAACTGCCAGTGTTACTAACACTTACCTCGACCCTTCGTGTTGTTCTAGGCAACCCTACAACGCTCAATCCGATTTCCACCCTATCCGATGACGAGGATGACACGCCTCTGCCAGTCATCATCTGGCACGGCCTCGGCGACACTTTCTCGGCCGAAGGGTTACAGTCCGTCGGTGGGCTAGTCGAGAAGATCAACCCGGGCACGTTCGTCTACTACGTGCGGCTCGACGAGAGCCCCTCCAACGACCGCACCGCGACCTTCTACGGCAACGTGACGGAGCAGGTCGCGAAGGTATGCGACGACCTCGCTGCGCACCCGATCCTCTCGACCGCGCCCGCCGTCGACGCCGTCGGCTTCAGCCAGGGCGGCCAGTTCCTACGGGCCTACGTCGAGCGCTGCAACTTCCCGCCCGTCCGCACGCTCGTCACCTTCGGCAGCCAGCACAACGGCATCGTCGACTACAAGGCCTGCTCGGCCGCCGACTGGCTGTGCAAGGGCGCCATGGCCCTGCTGCACGGCAACACCTGGAGCTCGTGGCTGCAGGGCCGCCTCGTCCCCGCCCAGTACTTCCGCGACCCCAAGGACTTGGACAGCTACCTCGCGCACTCCAACTTCCTGGCGGACATCAACAACGAGCGCGAGCGGAAGAACGAGACCTACGCCAAGAACATCGCGAGCCTCGAGAACTTCGTCCTGTACGTCTTCGAGAACGACACCACCGTCATCCCCAAGGAGACGGCGTGGTTCGAAGAGGTCAACGACGCCGAAGTCACCCCGCTCAGGGCCCGCAAGCTGTATACCGAGGACTGGATTGGTCTGAGGGCTCTCGATAGGAAGGGAGGATTAAAGTTCAAGACCGTCCCCGGCGAACACATGCAAATATCCGACGAAGTGCTAGAAGGTGCTTTTAGCGAGTTCTTCGGTCCCTTCAAGAGCAGCACTCCCAAGGATGAGCAAGCATCGGACGAACTGTAGTGATTAAGCGCGCGTATTTTATTTAGCGTATAAATCAAGCGTTAGGACTAATAGGCAGGCACAGAGGGTATCGACTTGTTCTTGTTGTTTGCTTGTTTGTTTGTTTTTTTAATCGAAGATTCATGCTATAAGCTTTTTGTACCTGTTCCCGCCGTACGCCGTCAAAATCGTGCTTTAAAGCTTAAAAATGCTAATAGAGCCCAACTCCTATTATCACTTTTACACATGTGATTGACCTAATGAATAAGTACCTAGGTAGGTACCTTTTATAAAACCTTATTAGACCTCCAAAGCCTTCTTCGCGGCCTTCTTTTGCTTCTTCAGCGCCGCTTTCCTGTCCGCAATCTCCTTGTCCAGTTTCGTGTCGTCGCTCTCGGGCACCTTCTTCGTCTTCTTGACCTTCTTCGCGACGGGCTCGGCCTCCTCGGGCTGTGCTTCGAGCGACTTCCGCTTCTTGCCTACGTTCGCCTTTTCGGAGGGGAGGATGGCCTTGGCCTCCTCCGAGCCGTCGGCCACGATGTCCTTCTGGTCGAGCCATAGCTCGTCTGTCAACCAGATAGGTAGGGCGACGGTCTCCGGACCCTTGATGTAGATGCCCCGAACGTTCTTCCACTTTCCCGGTACGAACTTCTCCACCAGGTTCTTCGCTACCGCCTCGACGTTCTCCGCAATCTGCTCGGCGGTCCAGCTGGCATTTCCGATGCGGACCGCAGTGTTGACCGTAGGTGACAGGTTAACGAGCGCCGCACCGACAGCCCTCTCGATCTCTCCCGCCAGTTGCGCAGGAGTAGCCGTGTTCGGCTTCTCGGCGTCCTTCGTGCGCTTCACCCTCTTTCCGTCAGTCTTCGGCACGCGAGCCTGTATCTCGACGGGGATCGGGCGCTTGGCCGTTGTCCCGTAGAACGTCTTCCCCAAGATCCCTGGTAATCTGTTGATGATGCGCGTGTCGCCGAGGAAGATGTCGTGCTCGCTGTAAAGCTTGCGCTGCGCCTCGTACGCCTTGAACTTCGCCTTCAGCTTCGACACGTCTATGACTCGCGTCACGCGCTTTCGCAGCTCCGCCGGGAACTCGTCCGAGGCCACTAGGTTCTTGTATGCGCGCTGGGGCTCCGCGGTTATCAAGCAGATAGCGGCCTCGGCATCGGTGTTGAGAGGGTGTGGGACAACGATCTTGCCTGGTTTAAGGCGTCGAGAGTCGGCGATGTGTCGCTTCGTGGTAAGAGTAAGCCATATCGGTAACTCTTTGGTAGCGTCTTCAGGATCGGCCAGGAGATTCCTTTTCTCGGATTTGGCAGCTTCTTCCGATGCTTTCTTCATATGCGCCAGCAACGCCTTGGAAGCCTTCAAACTCTACACAGAAAAGATTAAAATATGGCATCATTACAAGAGATAAAAGGGAACAAACCTGATCAGGGTCCACCAGAGAGACCGCAGTCTCACTCCGAAGAGTTACAGTCTTTGAAGAGGCCATTGTGCTGCACAATGATGTTGGTAGAATGAATTGTGTTATTGGTGAAACCTCGTGAAGTGAAGCCCAGAATCGATAATTTTTTTTAGCTCCTTCAGTGATAAGCGACGATAGAGATTAGAGACGTGGGGCGATAAGTTTTGAATTGGTCCAAGCGCCCATAGAAAAAGCTTCTGTTCGCTGAAAGACCCACTCACTAAAGAATCTGCCAAACTCAGCTTTCGACTTACTGGCCAATCACTTTATGAGTTTTTACCAATTGATGTCCTTTTTTGGATATCATTAGTTGAATTTTAACTTGGAGATATCGTAGTGTGAGATAACTTGACATGCATAGGTACTAAGTTGATACTAAGAATCAAAAAAATCATATTCTATCTTATGATGCTCTAGTATAAACACTTAGCTTACCTTTATCCCTATATCCTCATGAAGCATTAAATGGACTGACAGAATAAACTACGTATTTCTCATTTGAAAAAATCAACTGGCTACCTAATAGAAAGGGTAGTGCAAGTTATCAGAAACTATATAAGTCAAATATAAGAAACAATCCACAGAACTATCAAATCTCGTAACGAAGCATTTGATACTTGCTACGGTGGCCGATTTAAGGGATATCCATCACAAGTAACCGCCGCATCCAAAGATGGAGTACCTAGGCATGCTCTGGTCACTGTACGTTTCGGAGCGGTCAGTACATATTAAGAGTTCTATTGTTGGTTTCCAATAAGCTGATGGCTTAAGTTCTTTACATGTTCGGATCTGCCTGCTGAGCGTTGGTTATCACAAGGAGAAGAAACGCTCGGACTTCCCGTTGCCGTCAGATTTTATACGATCAACCTAGATGAAACAAGCTCAAAGATCCGGGGTAGATGCTGATATAGGCTTATAATATACGTAAGGCAAAAGTGATAAACGAGTTGAGAAGTTGATGGTATTCTTGAGCACTGGGTCAATCTTGGATCTTATAACTCTAACTCAAAGTGGTTACCAGCTTTCTGTGCCGCACAATAACAAAGATCAGAATGTACAGCTCCATGTTGAGAATAGGGATAAGGGCTAGACAAGGATAATAAATATAATTCGGAGAATATATTATATCTTACTTACCTTTATGGAATGATAATGTTCCAAACAATTACGCACCTTAACCTTAAGTCCCTACCTACCTACCTAGGTACCTGGTATATATGTACCTCCTACCTTATGCAGCTGTCAGCTGTTGCTAAGAGAAGATCTTTCTCTGTCAACATGGCCCGAGCACCCTGTTGAAAATGTTGGCGTTGGCGGCAGATCTCAACTCCCCTTAGTTTCACATGTTTCGTTGATCTAATGCGCAACTGACCTTGATCTGCGTTCCCCGTCCAATACGAAACGAGAGATGCGCAAGGCCATCCCCATCTTGACACACCGCAGTGTATGTGTCAAGTATCAAGCTGGTGGCGACGACAAGCTGTCACGCACATTCGCAGATTACCGGAACGCACGGGGCGCAGGCGATATTGCTTAGAAGGAGGTGTAATTAGTATTTCCGTACCTGACGAGTATTGGGGAATTAGATATGAAAGGAAACGTTCAAGGCCACCTGAAGACTGCCAGGGTTAAAAAATCGACGGAATTGGTTAATTATCAATTATAAGTAATTCTTACGCCCGTCATGTTGGAGTCGTTCATCCTTCGCGCGGCCGTTGGCGTACGTAAAGGACCGTCATATTTCTTCCCGGCTGCCGCAAAAGGCAGGACGAGCACCGGAAATAGATGCGCGGCTAATAAAGATACCAATAATTCGAGTCATCGCGCCACAACGCCGCCGTAGAGAAGATTACAGTGATCAAATAATTAAAAGGTACAATACTACCTAGGTATGTAAACGAGCTGGAGGATGCCTTGTCTTGGTTGGCGGCGCTACGTCGAGACCTTACCGAGGTATCGATTTACTTACCTACCTGCCTACCTCACAACGTTACCAAGGGGTAATGCATAATATTTATGTTAGGTAGTAGTTAGTTAGTTAGTATTCGTATTGAGCGACAGTATGGTACGGTGTAAAATAACGTAGAGCTTAGCTAGGATCGAAGCGGTATATTATTGCCAAGCCGGACGAGAGACTTGATTTATACCTAGGGTACATAGGCAAACCGCCGCATTTACCGAACGTATCGCAGCTCTTTTTTTCCTGCCCTGAACGAAAAATAAATGCAGCAGGGGCTTGATAGCTTCCTTAGCTTCCGTAGAGACTGTCAGGGGTATTGAAATAGGTAACGAAATAGAATTCGAAACTTTGGCGTGTGTGCTAGTAAAGGCTTGGTGGCATGTTATTTGAGTACCTACTGTCTTGACTACTTTTTTTCTCTTTTTCTTATTCTTCTCTACCTGTTAATTTATTTTCCAAATCTGGAAGTAAGCATGCCTATTTCTAACCGACTAGGTAAATGGAAGAAAATCTCGGCCGACGAAAAGCTTCAAAAGTCCAGATTCCGGAACCTTGTGGTAGGAGTACAGGATGGCTCAAGTGACAGAGTACTACGTCGTCCTGCATTGAATACCTTCCCTCGCTGGGAGCGATAATTTTTCTTGTCTGTATCAGACCATTGCCCACAATCTCCCAGGGGAATTTGTTCTAGTGTGAAAGGGACCTGGGAGTTACGGACTATTTACACCCCTGTAATAACAAGCGTCAGATTCGTCTGGTGATGATGGCGGCTTAATACGTAGTGCTATGGGTACTTCTTTAGCGTTCGGGTTGTCCCCTTTTTTGAGATAGCATCGGATCGGCAAGTGACGTTTAACCGTAGTTAATCCATCCCAAATTCCGAAAAGATAAGCTGGTTCATCAAACAAGATCGCTGGATTCTTTTTTTTTCTCATTTTCTTGAGAGGAACGCCAAAGGTCGGCCTATCTAGCAGCCTGGCAAGCATTAGAGCTGCTGTGCCTTTTCCTTGTTACTAGGGCCAGAGCAGGTTTAACCAACTTGTCAACCTGGAAATGTGTTGCAGATGTAGGCTGCGGTGCAACTCTAAGCTTAATAGTCTAGTGAGGTGTTGGTTAGCTGGTTGATTGGGCGTCGCGAGCTTGCCTGTCGAAAGTAGAATAGCTCATAGGAGCTTGTTTAGACGATGTACTATAGTAAGCAAGGAATACCCCTGTTGAACCTTTCCCGCCTTTTCTGCGATGGAGATACAAATGATCGATTGCTCGCAGACTGCGAATAAGATGGTGTTCTGGTGCTGGCAGAATATGCACGTGTAGGCGGGGAAGTTGGCCAAGAAACAAGGGGACGTTACAAAAGGGGAGATTGGCAGTGCCGGGGGAGACCATGCCTAGCTTCTCAAGAAAGCCCATTTCATATGGGCAGGTCAACGGGAAATCAACCATCTCGAGCATAGCATTGCGCGACCAGAATAAGAGAAAAAGCTAGCTTCGACAAATGATCAGTGCGAGCCCCCGTCTTGCTGACCTTTCACTACTAGCAGAAAGGAGGCGTACGAATCTTACGAGTACCTCGGAAAGCGACACTTTACGAGCTTTTATATTCGAATTTGTTTTATTCACATATATGTATTCCATCTACGACATCAACATGTGTGGACCCTCGTCCGTAATTTAAACCTCATCCTAAAGGCGAAGAAACCCTTGTCAGCTTAGGGTGCTTCCGGTTGTGTCGGTGACGACAAGGCTTGCGTCTTATTATAGGTTTCGACCGTTTATGTGAACCAAACTTTTACGAGAGAGAGAGTGTGTGTGTGTGAGAAGTAATCCTGCGAACCCCCCCCCACCCTACCGCCGTTGCCGACCGCCACCTCTTTATTGCAAGTAATATATGTGGCCGACACCTTGCTTTCTTAAAGTGAAAGGAATATTGAATTCGTGGATGACCTACGGTCGACACCACAATGGAGTCTCCGTGGGTGCTCTCTTATCAAAGTTCTTCTGAGCACCTTTTTCAAGCATCAGAAACACTGACCTGGATGATTCAAAGATCGATCACATCCGACTGTATTACACTTGGTAATGCAATTACTACGGCTAACAACATACTAAACGGATTTGTGCGCGAGGTGCGGGAAGCCCGGTCTGATGTGGATGCAGTTTCGCGCGAGTTGCACTCGCTGCTAAGTGTCTTAGAACTCTTAAAGGAGGATGCCAACCTATTTCCTCCGGAACTAGCAGAACGGATTCCTGCTGTCCTCGAACATTGCGCCAGAGTGGTCGACGAATTAGATACAGTCATATCTAATCTCAACAGCGATGGCCTATCGAGACAAGACAAGAGATCCCAGTGGCTTGCCACGGGAAGGCAAGAAGTTGCGAGATTTAGAACCGCTTTGGAAGCGCATAAAGCTGTCATAGGTCTAGCCCTAGATTTGGTCGGGGCGTGAGTATATAACGTAGTTCATAAACAAATACCCAGCTAACGCAGATTAATAGGACTACAATTCGGGATGCTGCCTCGGATATAGAGCTTAATAGACGAAATACGATAGAAAGACACGAAAACAGTGCCGCTGTTGTGGAGGATGTCTCGCGAGTGCTGGTCGAGATGGGCCAATTACGGATGCGACTGACGGGAGAATTTGAGAAGAACGAAACGGAATTCAGCCTCTATGATTATATGACATGTTTGAAGTCATACGCCGAGAAGGTCATCCAGGCCAAGGAAAGCGAGCATCAAAATGAGCAGAGCATCGAAGAAGTTGACAGAACTGCGAACCAGGGAGCCTTTCTGGGCGATCAGAAGCTGTTTGGAGCTTACGTCGGAGACAAGCCGGATAGCGCGATCGATGTCAGCGTCGAGTCTGCATCCAAAACATACAGAGATCCTCAAGAAATCCCCGAAGACGAGAAGATCCCGACCCTTGAAGAATTGATGGCCAGCTACGTCGGAATTCCTAGCCGAGCACCAACTCCTCCGCCAAAGGATCGTAAGAGACTCGAGCTCGCGCGAAGCCTTATGGTTTCTCCGTTCGAGGCCACGCCAGATCACAAGAGTCCGTACGGCGTCATCACCGAGATCGTTGCTCAAGGGCCGTCGGCGGACTCTCCGCCTTCTATAACGAAGAGCAAAGGATTTGGGAAATTCTTCGCGCCCCTTAAGCATGCAATTTCGGAGTCCAGGCCTCAGACACGGTCGACGACTTCGACTGGATCGACGGATACATATTCCGCGACTCCCATTATCCAAGCCAGCCTTGTTCGAAGGGGTAGCCACAGATTATCAGTATCTTTCAAGAAGCTACCAATATGGAACTCGGACCTGATTATGGATGAGCCTGAAGACACAGCGCCCAACGCGGTCTTCGGCGTCCCACTCCAGAAGAGCATGCAAGTTGCCAAAGGAACGGCTAAAACTCACCACACAGGTCACGGAGGATCATCGCGGCGAGAGTTCCCGTTATGCATGCAGAAGTGCTGCTTTTTCCTGAAAAACGAAGGAGTCGAAGCGCCGAATATCTTCGCCGAGCCGGGTGATAGCTATAGGATACAGAAGTTAAAAGACTTATTCAGCAGCGGACCGACGTACGGCGAAGATGTTAATTGGACTCACTATGGCGTATACGACGCCGCGGACCTCATCTTGCTCTTCCTCTCGCAACTCCCGAAACCGCTGATCTCGGAGCATATCGCTAAGCAGTGGGTTACACTCTCGAGACAGGCGACGCTCTCCGGATCCCACGCCACACGACTTGACAGATGCATCGATTTCTGGGAGGAAGCACTAGGCGGTCTCCGAGGTCCGAGCCGCGCTCTGTTCAAATTACTCCTTAACTTATGGGCGGACGTCGCAGAAGCGGAAGAGAGGAACAACATGACGGCCGAGCGACTAGCCGGCGTTCTTATCAAGCCCCTGATGCATATCACGTCGACGAGGTACGAGACTGATTTCATACTGTCGCTCGCCTTTCTTATCCGGAGACGAGTGGAGTACACCGAGTTGTTGAAGAAAGACCAAGCGGACGTCAAGAGGATTAGCAGAGCAGCATGGTGACGCACCATCAACCATTCATTCGCCTATCTTGATATATTGGCGTTCTGAGCACATCTATTTATTTTGTTACACTTTTTCACGGCCTTTCTTGATTCCCCATCATGACTTTTCCTAACAGTTCGCCTACACGATATTGGTTATTTCGCATAGGAAGATACCCGGCGCATATATATATAGGTAGGTAGATATATATAAGGTATATATTAGGTACCTCTTACAGCAGCATTTCAAGCAGCCTCGCAAATACACTTTTTTCAGTCTTTTATGTTTTATCGGATTGAAGCAGGGCCTTCGAGATATCGGCCCAATTACATAATTATCAAAGAAATAAAGAACCTTGAAGAAATTTTGGCCGCGGCAGTGGATAGATGGTGGAGACGAGACGCGCCTTGCCTTTACATAGTAGACTAGGCGAGGATGGGGGGGAGGCTGGGGCTGGGATGATACAGTATGATATCAACTTTTTTTTTTTTTAAAAAAGCCGACAAACAAGCAAAGATTTTCTCCATCGAAGCGGGGGATTTTCATATGTATCTTGTCGAAGACGTATCTTGTGGAGTTTGCTGGTTTCAAACTTGCCTTGTTGATGAATGATATCAACCGAGTTTAGTTGACTATAACTAAGACAATAAGGTTCCTCTCGATATAGTTTTGAGTGAAGTTGTTCATAGCAAAAAGATACGACCAGCTATAGCGTATAACTAATAGCAACAAAACCTTTTTGTATTCAACAATAGAAAGTAAGCCATGCAATGCAGTAAGATGCAAAGACAACCATGTATGTCGCGAAGAATAAGGCGCGTTTTTTTTTACTTGGCACGAGGTTATACTGAAGATAGTTAGATGCCATCCATCCAATGCCTGATCCCACATAGTAAGTTACATAGGGATGTTACAAATCTAGACTTGCCTAGGGTTACCTAGCTATCACTTACATGAGCCTAACCACCCCAGGGTTATATGCAAATTTATAAGTACTATGTAATTGCAACATTGATCCTGCAGTAAAGACTTTTTGCGCTAGAATGCCGACGCCCGAAACCCGCTGATGATGCAAGTGATCACGGAGGAGGCTGTAAGCTGTAAGCTGTAGGTAGGCTGTAGGCTGTGAGAGGTTGGTGGATAGTTGATAGTTGATAGTTGACGGCCAAAGTACCTAAGCTAACAGCAAGTTAAAACGTGCAATACCTTAGGTTAGGTACCCCTAGTTATCTTACCTAGAACGAAACAACCGCGACTTGCAGGGCACTTTGGTACATCTTTGAATTGAGGAGAAACCGCGTCGAGCGCCTACTACCTATTATATGAGCTAATCGGCTTAGCACCATACAGCACCTGCCTCATACCTAATTTAATGCCTTGAGCAATCACGTTGGAAGTGGGCCCCCACAAGCCCGAAATTCCCTTAAAGAACAATTAAGTGTAAGAAAAAAAAAAAAGCTTGGGTCTTCCCTCCCAGCCACGAAATCTCTCCTCATGTCAACCTTTCATTAAGGTCGGTCTTTTAACCATTAACCATTAACCAAGCTAAGCGACCCTCCGACCACATTTCTGACCTTGATCGAACGAAAAAAGACTTAAAAAAAACTTTACTACCGCGTTTTTTTTTAATACCAATTCATCATCGTCACCTTCAATTCGCCCGTCGGAGAAAGAATAAGAAACAAAGGCACGGTTGCAGGAAACTCGGGACACGGAGCCCGGGTAAGATCTTTGTGTAAGTGGATTTAAGTGGAGAGGGGGGAAAATCCAGCTAAAAAAAGAGCGTGTAGTGAACGCGCACCGCGACTCCAGGTTCCATCTTAAAAAGACGCGCAGAGAGAACCCACATCTTTTCGGGCAGGGCGTACCGTCATACAGCACAGTTCAATTTTATTCTCTCCCAAATCTCAAATCTCAAGTCCCTAATCCCTTAACCCCTTCTTTATCCAATCCGTCCCTTTTTTTTATTATTCTTTTTTTTTTTATCCTTCACCACATTCATTCTATCATTACATTGCAAGTTCCCGCTATTTTCATCTATCTTGCCATGCATTCTTGACTTGACCTTTTATCATGACATCCTCACCCGTCAAGACCATGGATAGAGCGGATCGGGCCACGGTAGAGGAGCCCACGTTGCCCCCTGCTTCTGCCTCTATCTCGCCCAGCAAGAAGCGTCCTGCACCTTCTTTGCTCCCGCCCTTCGAGCCCCTCTCATCTTCTCCCGGCTTTCCAAGGCCTATGAAGAGAGTAGCTCGGGATAAGCTCGCCGACTCGAACCCATTCTTCAAGTATCCTACACCAATTCCAACCTCAAGTACTGGTATACTCTCATCATCTCCTCCACGCGTGTCATCGTCCAGACCTGGACTTGAGCGTACGGAGTCTGCGTCGGAACGAACACCCTTATCTGCTGTACGATCCATCGAACTCAACGAGAATGGCGATACACTCCTGATGGGTCGCTCGAGTAATTCCTCTCACTATCAGTTGTCGGCCAATCGTCTCATATCTCGTGTCCACGTCAAGGCACGATATATCCCTGCTGTAGATCCTCTGGAGCCAAACAAGGTTGAAATCGTCTGCAATGGTTGGAATGGAATAAAACTTCATTGTCAGGGGCGAACGTGGGAGTTGGGAAAAGGAGATACCTTCACCTCGGAAACTGAGAATGCCGAGATCATGTTGGACGTACAGGACGCGAGGGTTATGCTGCATTGGCCTAAGAAGAATCGTCATGAACCCGCAGCCTTGTCGGATTCATCATGGGAGGAGTCTCCGTGTTCTAGACATCGCCGTAATGATTCCGGTTCAGACTTCCTGCAGTCAAGCCCCCTTCGACGACAGACGCGTATTAGATCCCCTGAATCACCTTCTCCACATAATTCTTCGGGCAACTTGGATACATTGCTACTAGCTGATGATGCGAGCGAGCCCGTCCAGATATATGAAGACGCAAGGGCAGATGAGCAAGAGCTTCCCAAGGAGGCATCCGAGGTGGATGCATCGTTCGCTCAGACAGAAGTTACCAATAGTTTCTCTAGTGATCTTAGTGATCCTGACGATGATGATCCTGATGAGGAGAACGACCCTATTGTACATTCCTTTGGCCCGTTCGGAGCCAACCTCTCCAACCGCCTGGCTGCCATCACAGCAGAATCACCAAAACGGTCGTCCCGTGTCGTATCAGGTGACACAACAGCTAAGCCGTCAACCGAGCCGGAAGAAGAGAAGGCTACTACTGCTAGCCGTGTTGATGTGGCAGTTGTCAAAAATCATGTCGTCAACCAGTTGGCCTACTCTCGACTGTCATCCACCCCCTTGTCTACCATACTCAGTCTCCTCCCCGCCGAAGAGAAAAGGGACTTAACTAAGGCCGAATTGCGTGATATTATTGAGTCGACGCCGTGCATTGGCGTTATCCCCCGCCACGGAAAGGACGCGGCCGGCCAGCCGTTAGAGAGCCAATATTACTATGACCCAGAACATGATGATGACGAGTCGCGACGAATTGCCGTGACCCAAAGCTTGCGAAAACCGGGCTTGAGAGGTTGCCGGAAGCAGCATAAGGTAAGCCATTTTATGAAGCATAGCGGCATATTAGACTGTCAAATGCTAACTGTGCCTAGCAATACTACTGGAAGCCGCCCAAGGCACCGTAGACGCCCAAGCAGCAGGCTGCCCCGATATGTACTAGGCTCATTTAGACTTATTCAAAACTTCCTATCACGTTCGTAGATGATGTGGAAGTTGGTATTCTCTTTCTGACTGTTTGATATTGGCGCTAGCAACTGCGTCAGCATTGTTGCCCACCCCCCTATGCATAGCTGGAGGCGTTGGATGGTCCATTTATGATTTTTTTTTCTTTTAAATGGGGAGTTTAGGACATTTTGATGATATCCTGCTACACCGTTTCATAGTGGTATATGAGGTAGATGCGATTTGGATGACGTGACGAGTCACCGACGGCACCTCGCTGGTTAAAGAAATACGGTTGGGGGGGAAAGGTTTGAGATTGCACTTGCACATGCTTGCAGACGCTCATTACCTGTGTACATAAGGCGGCAATGAAAAATCGGTAATTTTGATTTTGCTTTGATTGGATCCTGGCTCACTCGTTAAGGTTCTCGACTATGTATGGTGGTTGAGCGAGTGGCGTTTGCTATACTGTAATTGTAAAAGTGTTAATAGTTTCGGGTGATGTAAAGTTGAACACCAGTTGAACAAAGACTTATGACGATAACTTGCAGTGGTTTTGCCACGAAGATAAGACCTTATCGGGTTGGAGCTACCCCGCAATCCCTGCTTTTAAGCTAGTCGATGCAATCCGGTCGAAAGCTATCGTGCTAATGCAGCCGGTGCTACCAATAATACTTCGCTGAGGCTGTTCAACTAGACAAGAAACTGGTGATCAGCGATGCATAGTCGTATGCTTCATCGCGATCTAGACTGCTCATATTTTAGAGAACGAACATTCCAGGTTTACATGTTGTAGTATATGTTAGGTAGTTTCTGTTATATAAAGAGACATCCGAGTTCCTAAGGATTAGATGCTCTTTTACTATTTTTTTTTATTATCATTATTATTTGATATACCATCACTTACAAGAGACTTGGAATTGACTTGACTCAAGTCACCACACAATATAACACATCACGTCACATCATTACAAAAAACACTTACAATATTTCCTACCACATTTTAATAATAATAAAATCCTAATAATAATAATAACTTGAATCAACATCTCCCCAACTATGCCCAATCAACCAAACAACATTCGCGTCGACGTCGGCGTCGCCAATTTATCCTCCGTAGCCCCGGGCCCTACCAGCCCGCAGCACGAGAAAGAAGCCGCGCGCGCGATAAGCAAGACCGACAGTTGGAAGCCGTCGTTGGGGCGCAAGCAGAGCGTAAGTGTGTGTGCATGTACTTGTATTCTTATATTACTTTTCTACTTCGATTTTTTTTTAAAAAAAAAAGTTGTTAATATTATATCGGCATGAGAATTGCAAATTTGGCTGGCTAACTCGGGCATGTTTCTAGTACTACAGCGAAGACCGGAAGCACGCTCTGCAGATGAGCGGCGTGCAGGACGTCGAGGTGGGCCCGGGATTCAGCGAGCGCTAGAAATCGACCGGTTACCCCCTATTACTACCTAGCTACCTACCTGGTACCTGCCCACCTTTTACCACACTCATCACGGAACTGTACGGCCTAGGAAAGGGAATAGATTGAATCATGCTTATTTACGGACAACAGGAGACACATACTGTATGTAGGGTATACAAGCAAGAGTGAGCTTGGGAATTTTGCGGGAGTTCCGGGAATCTTTCGAGCTGGTTGGTTATTGTAAAAACAGGACAGAATGAATGATCTAGCATACGTCTCTTATTACCTTGGGTACCTACATTTGGATCGGAGGCAAGGTGGCAGAAAAGAAAAGGAATGGCAATATGATCGAAAGAAGAGTGCTGTTACGCCAATCTATTCTTTTCTTTGCATTATTTACCTAGCACCTATCTCATTTCTTAGGCGATGTATTACCCATCAATTGCACATTTATACCTATATCAGTACACGCTGTAGCCAATGGAGGCTGTTACTCCAAAGTCACGATGCCTCCATACTAGCCAAGCAGATGTAGTTTGCTCACCTGGGCCATACCGTCCAATAGACAAACCACCTTGTAGTCTTTTCCAATCAATAGGATTGTCCGGATACGTCTAATCTGCGCTTAAAAGTCCGAAAGAACCTCGGCTTAGAACTTGTACTGTGAAATATCCAGTCACCCGAAGCCATATTCGTTTACACGCATTGATGTGATAACCGAAATACTGGTAGATTGAAGAGATAAATAACGCCGGGCCCGACTCAGGGAGCGCTGGTTAAAGTATACAGAACGGAGAAGGGGTAGTCATACGCCGACCAAAAAAACTACTATACAGCGGAATGCGAGTTTTAAGAATAATTGGAATACCTATTGATACCTTGAAGCATCCTGAGAGACCCGAACCCAGTCCCAAAAAAAGAAGAACCCGAGAACACATACCCACCACCATAATGCTGTACAAACTCCCCATACTCCTATAAGTTATGTCATCCGCCCCGCGTTTTATTCGTCTTGCAAGACGAGGTGATTTATTCCCCGTAAAAGTATGATCGATCAGAAGCCAGTCGGCCCCCGACCATCGGCACCGCCGGTTATGAAGTATTCGCTCACGACACCAAGAGCGTACGAGATTCCGGCCACCCAAGCACCGCCAATTAACACTCGCTTGCCGACGCCGTTCTTTGCATGGTCCCGTGCTTCATCGCGGGTTGATTTGGGCCCGCTAAACACGGGTTCTTCTCTTCTGACGTCGATATTTGAGCGGAAAGCAGGCGCTTGAGGCTCCTCCTCGGCCTGTGGTATATCATAGTTAATAAATCCTGTAGGTGATACAAACGCGGCCGCATTTGGTAAGGCTGCTGGCTTTCCCATCATATCTATAGGATTAATTGGCGACGCGCCCCCTTGACTTGTTGCCTTGACGGGTCGGACTTGACGAAAGACTAACACGTCTCCACTGCCAGAAACGATTTCGAAACCCTCGGCTTGTAAGGGCGCGAAGTGTGGGAAAAACTTAGTAGGATTTGAAAGACGGAGAAGCACTTCCGCTGGAGATAGTGGAGATGTTTGATCAGGTACGACTGAGGTGGTTTCGGCAACATCGATCTTTTGCATTGTTGGGTCGTAGGCTAGGATCCTATACACCGTCGGCTCGGTAGTTGGGTTGGGTTCAGGCGTGATATCAGATTCTAGCGATAAATTTGGTGGTCGTCCGTCGACCTCGGGGTCTCTGAAATACAGCGGCTTCAGGTCGAGGATCCTTTGGCTAGCATCTTCCGCTGATACAGTTTCCGGTACTGCTTCCCTCGAGTCGCCAGCGTATGTTTTGGCGAATGTTAATGGTTGTGGCTCCCCGTCGCATTCCCTGGTGTACGACGTTTCCAAGCCCTGTGGTTCTTTAGAGTACGGGTCAACTTCGGCCTGCGCTCTAGAGTAATGATCAAACATGCGTCTCGTAGACCTTACCTCTGGCTGGTTGGGACCCGCTTCCAGCTTCGGCTCAGTCTGCTGCCTGTCCAAGCTCGTCTCCAACTTTTGGGAGTTCATATACTTGGATAGCTGATCTGAATGTTGCTTCTCGGCCTCCTGTATGTACAGTGTCTTTCTATCTGGCGTACTCCATGAACCTGAAAATTCATCTGGGAAATCACGGACATAGTTACCAGTCAACCCTGATTGACTAGATTGATTCCTTGCCTGCGCGGACGACAGCTGCGACGCATCGTTGAGATTAAGCTTCCGAAGCCCGTCCAAGATGCTTGACGTTGGGTTCTTGTCTAAAATCGGCTCTGGAGCTTTTGCGTCGAACTCCGAGAGCGATTCTGCAACGGTATCTCGTTCCTCCGGAACTGCATTATCGAGCTCTTGAGCCCTGAAAACTCTGTATTTATCGAGGTCTCCATATTGTTGGAAAGGCTGCTCTTCAGCCACGGAATCCGGAAACGATTTTACATCGTACTTATCCAAGTCTTCATACTTGGGTGCCGACTCGTCGGCTGGCTTGACAATGTCGTCCTTATAGTGCTCATACTCATGGAGGTCATCATAACGTTCTGTTTGCTTTTCGATTCCTGGATTTTCATTATGAAGGTAGGGTTTATACTCATGCAAGTCTTCGTATCCCTGGGCTGCTTCCGCAGTTTCTGCCTCCTCAGCCCCATACGTCTTATATTTATGGAGATCTTCATAGCTTTTCGTCGGCTCCGGTGCTCGCTCGTCAACTTCATCGCGCTGATATGCTTGGTATCTATGAAAGTCATCATACTGCTCGTCTGGCTCGTCGGGCGGGAGATGGTTTAGGGCGTACTCTTCACTTTGAATCACGGGATATCGGGGAGATTCTGCATTATCACCCAACCCCTGTATTCCATCCTGATCGCCACTAGTGCCATGAGACGGTAACTCATCAATTTTGATGTGGCCATATTCCTTAAGCTCTATGGAAGGCGGTGGGCCGTCAGAATAAGTAGGACCTGGATGTTCTCCATCTTTAGGAGGGGCGAATGCAGAGAACTGAGCCCTATACGATTTAAAGGAATTGGTTGGCGATGACGCCGAATCGACGACTTGTCCGTCGAGTCCTCTCGAAACTTTACGGTTCGTGATCGGATCAATAGTATAATCTTCACTAGGCGATGGATCGAAAGTACGTTCTGATTCCTCAGCTTGGTTCTGCCTAGCAGGAGTCGCATCTTCGAAAGCTTTACCAGCCCAATAATAACCCACGCCCACCCTGTCGTTCAGTCGTGATTTCCACGACCAAGTAGACGAATATCGCATAAAATCGCCGCAATTACTCATCCAAGAGGCGTATGAATTAGGGCCCCAGGATGTTTTCATGCGTACGTTTGCGGTATCCGGAGTTATTCGACTCTGTTGCTGCCGGCCGTTCAATTCGTCATAGTTGACAAACCGCGAGCCGCATCGCGGACTCCAATACCTACGAAGCATATTCTTTAAAACGACTCTTGGATGTCCATCGATGGAACGCTGGTCCCATGATAGTTTCCCATTGATTGCTTCGGCATATTTATGCTTGAGAATACGCTGGCGATGTCGGATTTCTTTTTGGAATTCAGGGTCAATGTAGGAAGACCACATACCAAAGCGAAAGCTGCGGATCTGCTGGTTCATACCGGCCCTTAGTAGCGAGTTGCTGACAGGCCGTAGAGCACCACAGGCCGCAGCTCTGGTCTGAAGAGACCTCGCTTTTGACGATGGTTGACAAACGGTGCGGGTTAACATATTGATTGAGTCGTAAACAATAGGAGCATCATATATCGGCTGCTGAAGAAGTACACTCGTCAGCAGCAATGGTGGATATGCGATAATTACAAAGCTAGAAAGAGGAAAGACGTTGCCACCATAAGGTAAGGTTGATATAGTACAATTGATACAAGACAATGAAGGTGATGGTCAACCAGGAAGGGTATCACTTACACGAAGCTAACAAGTTGACTACCTGGTATAGAAGTAAGGAAGAATTCATCAACTTGCTAGCTAGGAAAGATGAGATTGTAGTTGGATTGTAGTTGGATTGAAGTCAAGTATCCATCTTCCCCCGCTTGGGTTCTTGGAACTTGGAAAGTTGTGAAAGGAAGGGAATGTGAGGAGTTGTTGCAGGTGGCCTCAGGTAGGCGGAGAGTTACGGAAGCGGGGAACCCGGGAACGGGTTGAGACGGGAAGATCAGTTTGTAGGAGTGCGGAGAAGAGAGCTAACGATGCTAACTAAAACCGACACAAGAAGCCATTAAAAGCCCCAATTTGGATAGTGGGGACACCCGTGGGGTAAGCCGTTCACCCCTACCTAGGTCTTTAGGTACCTGAATACGTAATTGTACATTACACTGGGTACATGCAGGTCCCCATATTGCTACCACATATCGTTGTTTAGCTAATGCCTTTTTTCTCTCAAAGCTCCCTTTTTTCTAGGCGTATAATAATCTCAATATAGTGACGGTGTTTATGTGATTTTTTCAAAATTGACTGTTTAACTTATTTATACCTTATTACTTTGTCCGAATTAGGTCTGGACATGTGTAAAATGCGGGAATACTCGGCTCAATCTGAACATTTGGAGCACGTGCTATGAGTCAATCGGTGTACATACATAGACCTGTATTACATAATCCAATGAATATTGGATAAAAAAAAAAAGGCGACGTCACAAAAAAAACGGTTAAACCCCACCGTGGGGTCAAATTATCCCAAGCCAATTCACGAAAAAACAACAGTAATACAAGCTTTGATCAAAACCAGCGAATTCTTTATTATATCCCTCCTCTTTGTACAAACTCCTATTCAGGACCTTGAGCGCATGCTTTCCAGCATAGCTGCGCACAAGTTGGCAACGCATGACGTAGCAAACGAGAGAGAGCTGCGCCGTCTCAAGAACCCAACTTAACCCATTGCTCCCACTGCCATGAGTCGTAAACCCGGCAAATCGCGTGCTGTCGCCAGCAACACCTTTACAAGTTTTGGATCCAAAACCTTTGGCGCCTTCTCAGCTGCTTCCAGAGGTGCCGATCTATCCTACTTAGCCGAACCACCAGATCTGTCCTCCATTTCCAATGCCAATGTTGTCGTATCCCTCAAGAATCTGCAAAAGAAAGATGCTACAACCAAAGCAAAGGCTTTAGAAGAATTGGTGTCCTATGTTCAAGCCCATCCACACGATAAGGATGGAGGGGTAGAGGAGCCCATCTTAGAAGCTTGGGTGCGTGCAAACCAGATGAATCAGTATAATGTCGTACTTAGTTAGTAATGTGTATAACAGGTCCAGCTATATCCTCGCATCTCGATTGAAAATGCCCGTCGCGTTCGCGAACTTTCCCACATATTGCAATATGAGTTAATGAAGTCCGGTCGCAAGCGTACAGAAAGACATGTGCCGAAGATTGTGGGCTCTTGGCTTGCTGGTACATTCGATAGGGATAAGGTAGTATCTCGTGCGGCCGCGGAAGGACTGTCTTCCTTTCTCACAACCCCGGAGAAAGTGGTTCAGTTTTGGAAGCGGTGTCAACCACAGATCCTAGACTATGCGTCTGGCGCTATAAGGGAGACTGCAGAAACTCTTAGCGACGAGCGATCCACAAGCGCCGACGATGCCGAGGCCAAATCCTATCGAGTTCTAGGAAGTAGTCTTGCGCTAGTCCTAGGTCTCTTACAGAAGCTTGATCCTCCGGATCTTGAGAAGTATCAAGACGATTACGACCAATTCTTCGAGCAGGATAAGGTCTGGAAGGGTGTGTCCATGAATGATATCGTCGTAAGACAGTTGTCTTGTCAACTGTTGACCGCATGCCTTGAGAAACGGCCAGGCAGAATCGAAGCGGATCTCGGCCGACTTAGTAAAAACTTTGTCGCCGAAGGCTTGACGAGTAGTCAAGTTGGTTCCGCAGCCAGTTATGTTGACGCACTGACTGAATTGACTGCTAGACATCCAACAGTCTGGACTTCTGAATATCGGGGAAAGAAATCACTGGCCTCAAGGCTAAGGGCCTTTTTGGAGAAAGGTTCTCAAGGTGCAGGACCGAAGTTTTGGGTCGCGCTCAATCGCCTGATAGAAGTAATACCGGCCGACATACTTCCGAAAGATCTGGACAGCTCCTTGGACTTCTTAAAATCTATGAGGCTAGGGTTGACCAGGAGAGAGGAACCCCGAAGCAGTGCTATTGATGGCTGGTCGACGTATCTCAATGCTACCAAAAACTTCATCAAGGCAATGAGCTCTGGTGATGATAGGATTAAGATAGTGCAAGAAGATATATTTCCTCTGATTGCGCATTATTTCAATCCGACCCCTGAAACATCGATATGGGCATCTGGAAGCCAGGTACAGATTCTAATCAGAGCATATACATCGACAGCCACTTCGCCATTTGAGAAAGTAATAGCAGCTACAGACTCAGAATGGGGCCAATGGAAAGAAAACTTTAGAGCCCGCATCCGCAACTCGTTACCCGAGGCGTCGAAGGAGCATGAAAAGTCGCAGAAGACCATAGCCGACGAGGGAGATAGATGGTTTACTTTTACGGGTTTAATCTCGGACGCCCATGAGAGAACACAGGGGACCGACCGTCCCATCCCAGATATACCTGCCAAGTATTCCTTAGAGTTACTCGAGGATATCTTCAAATTGTTAGAAACAAGGAAATGGAAACCTTTCGGAGCAGCAGCTACTGTGGAATCTGCTTTCAAGCAGGCTCCGCGTCTTTTTAGGCAATCCTCTACTACTACAAGCAATGTATTTGACTACCTCACAAACGCGTTACAAAGTAATGGAGTCGAATTCCTTCAGTCGCCCGCTGCACCATACATTTTCTCAGTCATCAACCTATTAGGTCGTATTCCCGAACAGAAGCAGGAATACGAGAAAATCTGGAAGACAAACATCACAGCCCTTCTAGGGTATATCAATGACACTGGTGCTTTGCCAGCCCTCACTACGATCATTTCCACCAATGACGCCAGTGCTCTTGCCCGGCAGGACCAAGTCTTACAAGCGGAATTAATAAAGCTGTGTTTGATGTGTGCTGTAGGCACCGTTAATTTAGGTTGGAACCTTTTTGATGCGGTATTGACATTTGATACTTTGACAGACGCTGCCGCAACTCGACTTGCCAAAGAACTTGGAAATCGCATCATGAACGCCTTAGGCCAACCAAATCCAGGTGTAATCAAGGGTCTGCGTCTCATAGCGGAGAAAAAGCCAGATCTATTATTACAGGACGAAGTAACTCATATGAACTTAATAACCAACTTACTGAGTGTTTCTGAACGGTTTGATGTCAATTCCGATATCGCCGTATTGAAGGGGTTGTTGGAAACTCCTTCAACCGGAAGTTCTCGACTATCCAGCCTCGTACAGCGAAGTATTTCTACTGCTGATTCGAGCTCGCTCACGTATGTTCCACTTTAATATTATTCTCTAGTCCTACTAATAATGTTGCAGCGTCGACACTATCGTCCAGCAAGTTGTTCAAAGTTGTGGTATTAATGCTGAGAATAATGGACAACTAGAAAATTTGATACCAGACACGAACATATGGAGGGAAGAATTGGCTCTCTTTCTGCAAGAGACACCTAATCAGTCTCTTGCTTTTACAAGTATTATCGGCGGTGCTTATTTTCTTCCTACATCCACAACAGCAACGCCAAATACATCTATAAGAAGAGATCGAGATGGATGTTCAATCTCTGGGCGCATGGCGCTATATATCACCAAACTATTATCCTCGGGTTATCAGCTCGACGCCCTGCCGCTTCCGAAGCGGGTGGAGGTTGTGATATATCTAAGCCTGACCGTAGGGTTAGTAACAGATCAAATAACAGTGAAGAGCGAAAATCAGATTTGGAGTTCGCTTTCTTCCGAGACTTCACTATCAGATGCAGAAGAATTAGTTTCGTCTGCGCGGAAGTTCATTATCGATATGACAGAGGATGCAGCAAATTGGAGGGATGGCTCCAACACGGAACAGTCGCGGTTGATGTACGACATCATACGCACGTTACTCAACGAGTCAAGATCCTTAACACCTATGGGTCTATATTACGCGCGGGCCTTAAGTGAACTTCTTCAAGCATTGGCAGAGAAATACGGCTTTCCATCTAGTGGAGAGCAATGGTTAACAGATTTAGACATACTAAAGAACAACGCCTCCACTGTTTTCCCTGCCATCGCAATCCTCAGTGGTCTGGGCGAAGCGCTTTCGGCTTCAAGGGTTGTCAACAACTTTTGCAACCGCCTAGTCAGCGATATTGCGGGAGCGAACCTCGGCCAGGAGAAAAGCCTGACCACGCTCGTGCTTCTCAACGCTTGTACGCAGATATTTGATATCGGAGAGCTTCCAGTTGCGAACAACCGGCTGGTTTTTGCAGTTAAGCAAATTACATCATGGATAGACACTCCAGAAGAAGTTGACTACCGTTTCGCAGCAGAAGCTTGTCGTAGCCTCCAGCGCCTACTCCCATGCGTCAAGGACGTCTATGGTCCCTATTGGCAAAAGGCCATTGATTTTTGCCTGTACCTCTGGACGAAACCGATGACCGGAACACTCGATTGTCGACTACCCGAAATCCACGCTTCCCTTCGCCTGTTTATCACATTACAATCGCTAGAAGAACCCAATGACGACCTTGTTGATATTTTGCAAGAATCCTCAGAGAAAAGGTCGGCTGCACTAATTGAGCTGCTCAAACTTCCTAGGGACATAGGTACGCAACCCTTGGAGATCGTCGACTCGATTATCTGCCGCCTAGTAGAGAAGCTTCCTCTACATCACATCAAGGACCTCTCGGAGTTATATGGGTTAGTAGCAAGCGACTCGCGGGGCATCCAAACGGCAGCGTTTAGCATTCTCCACAAAGCGCTCCCTGCCGCCCAGGAGGATCTATCACTGGACGTATTAATAGAGAAGAAAGAAGCTCGACTTCCAGACGAATTGTTATCTCTTCTTCTTGATGCCCCAACGCTCGAAAAGTACTCGGATGAAGCGCTTGGTCGCTTCCCATTGCTAGTTCGCTGCTATCTTCTTTCGTGGCATCTAGTATTTGACTCTTTCGGGGCTGCGGCATTTAAAGTACGCAGCGACTACGCAGAGAACCTGAAAGCTGCAAACTATGTTGGCCCACTGATGGAATTTACTTTCGATGTTCTAGGTCATTCCGCAGCTCATCCGCTGAATTTAGAGAAGGCTGGTTTTACGAAGGAGCACATTAAAGAGTATGACATCAAGCTTGCCGAAGCCGAAACTGAAGAAAGAAACATGCAGTGGCTCCTCATCCATTTATTCTATCTAGTATTAAAATACATTCCCAGTCTCTTCAAAGCATGGTACATGGAATGCAGATCCAAGCAGACCAAGATTGCGGTCGAAGGATGGATGACGGAGTTTTTCTCCCCTATCATCATATCAGAGGCGTTGGACGACGTTATTAAATGGGATACAACTCAGGAGACACCTGCGGATGGCGAAAACAAGTTAATTGTCAGAGTTAGCCGTGCTGCTAAAGAGGTTACTGCAGGCTACGAGGTAGATGAGCTACAGGCGTCGATTGCGATACGGATCCCGCAGGAGTTTCCTCTTGAGAATGTTTCGGTATCAGGGGTGAACCGTGTTGCAGTTAACGAAAGGAAATGGCAGAGTTGGATCATGACGACACAGGCCGTGATCACATTTTCGGTGAGTTTACATGGCATCGCTTACAAGGTTTGAATATTGTATCTCATTTTTTTGACTACAGGGTGGCAGCATTATCGATGGCCTGACGACCTTCCGCCGTAATATAGTGGGCGCCATGAAAGGGCAAACCGAATGCGCCATTTGCTATAGCATCATCAGCAGCGATAAGAAGACGCCGGATAAGCGCTGCCAGACGTGCAAGAACCTGTTCCACCGGACCTGTCTTTACAAGTGGTTCCAAAGCAGCAACCAGAACACTTGCCCCCTGTGTCGCAACCCGATAGACTATCTGGGATCGGATAGGAGAGCGGCGCGAAATACTTGACGAAAGGGAAACAGAACAAGCCAGTTCCAAGCCACTCTGTAAAAGAGACAAACGGATTAAATGTATATTGGTGAGGCCATGGTAATAATACAGGTAGTTAACGCCTAATATTCCGTGTCATTATATTCGGTACCTCTGCTGGTCACCTTTGCTGGTAAAATTGTGAATTTTAGCTCTATGATACTTACCTAGGTAGCTACTCTAGCTATTCTATTCTAGGTTCTTGACGCCAATGAACAATTGAAACGGAGGAGAACCGGTTAGAATTGAGTTGGCAGTAATCTCGTTTTTCCCCAGAGCTTTTCCACATGCGGACCAACAGTTAAATATACATACCTCCTACATGTATGAATTCTCACCACTAGCGGGGATAACACGACATACTAAGCCTCTTTCTATCGAGTTGATGGCTATTTATATTTTTTATACCGGTAGGATTCTCCAGCGGATTTTAGCTTCCCTTATTGGTTCATACATCCGGATCTGGATCCTCTCCTCGACCCCACCCCAGCTCATCGCAACTCATTCCAACATGTTCCAGCCCTATTGGGAATTGATGTTCCATGCGTGTCCCAATCGCACGTGTGAGAGACGAGAGAGGCGGCCCCCAATCATTCGTAAATGTAACATAACAGCACGCTTTAAGGCTTCTAGACTATTTTAAAATTCATGGTGCGACGCGTTGTATTTATGCCGATCTGATCTAAACGACTAGTATAAGTTTACTCGATGCCCTGTTGGTGAATTCAACCTCGCATCTAACATCCTCTCCATTCAATACCCACCTACTTACCTACCTCCCTAGAGGTATATACATAAACTACGTAGTACCATAACCTACATGATAGCTTATTAAAATCCGATGGAGAACGTCCACTATAGTGAAAGTAGAAGTAACGAAATCCATCATCTCGGTTCCCAACCTGAATATTATGATTACACCAGTCACACGAGTCGATCCGACGGTAATTTCGAATATCAGCCAGTCCATGGGGATCTAGGTCATGCCCAGGCCCATGCCTATTATGAGTCGGTGCCGGCGTCGGCGCCATCATCATATTATACCCAAGACAAGCCCGGGTCTAGCTTCCCGAATATTAGCAGTAAACCGATCTCTCGAGCACCTTCGGAACATTATACTCAGTTCGAATATGCCGGCACCGGCGCCGAGGACCCTCTCTTCTTAACCCAATCCACGTCGAAACCCCAAATCATATCGACACGCGGACACAACTGGAACTTAGAGATAGGAGCGCTGGTCATTAGCTTCGGGGCATTAGCAGCCTTAATAGCGCTGTTGATCTACGTGGACGGCCGTCCCTTATCTGACTGGAAAGGTTCCGTCTCGGTCAACGTTATAATCTCCGGTTTGGGCGCTGTTTCTCGAACATCGCTAGGATTTGCTATTAGTTCGTGTCTTGGACAGGCTAAATGGAACTGGTTCAAGAGGCGACCAGACAACCTCGTCGCTTTTGATAGGTTTGACGAGGCTAGTCGTGGGCCGTGGGGGAGCTTGTGGCTTATAATTTGGCTTCGAATCCGGTAAGCTCACTGCTCCTTAGGTACCTCGTTATCTTCCTCCATAATCCAGAAGCTAATTCTTTTATTCAGTCATTGGATAGCTATCGGTGCTTTGGTTACTATATTATTAATGGCATTCGAACCATTCCTACAAGCCGTTATATCCTTCCCAGGACAAAGTGACCCGAGCGCCGACTCTCCCATGATCCAACTCAGCCGCAGCGAGAACCTTGACGTAGGCTCATACACAGGCGACCCCTCGACGGGAGTTGGAGCGCTACAACTGACGCCCTCCGAAATAACTCTGTCCATTGATCCCTTTCTTTCTATTCCGGACCTAGGAATGTTATCCTCTTTCAACAACGGGTTCTATAATTCCTCAAGACTCGAGCAGCCAACTACTTCATTCACATGTCCTACTGCCAATTGCACCTGGCCCGTATTTACCTCGTTGGCCGTTTGCAGCTCGTGCAGCAACATAACCGACCACGTGAAGCGGTCCCATGAATACGGATCAAACAAGGGGACCCTATCCTCAAATACTAAAAATATAGTTGCAAACTACACCATAAACTCACTGCCTAGTCTCAACCTTTCCAACCCAGCCGATATTGACCTGGACGAAGGCAAGACTCTTTTCTCTCAAGTCGCCTTCATGTCCGCAACAAGAATTACGGACCCGAAGCTTACCCTCGCGTACCAAAACTTGACAACAATGATCACTGCAGTGGAGATTCTGAGAGCGGCTCAAGAGTATGAAACGGGAGAGCTGATATGGGATAAGACCCCCGTTTCAGCAACGGAATGTGCTTTATATTTCTGCGCCAACGCATATGAGTCTGTCGTCGAAAAAGGTGTCCTCACGGAGAAGATCGTGGCCTCTTGGGCTGAGCGGGACTTTGGCTCATATCGCAATATCAGCGATGTTAGGCATTTCGACGACTACGAGAAGTGGAACAACTATTCGCTCTTTTCTCAATATGGAGATTTTCAGAGAAGCGATCTGGTATTGTTCATACCCGACGACGAGATCAAGAAGCACAAGCTACCCGAAGATGTAGGGCGCCGTTTCAATCTGACGGAAAACACCATTGGAAGCACGGTTCGCTTCGTCAATGACGATCTCCTAAACCCGGTTATGACCTGGCCCGTGGGAATGAACACCGACGCGGTTCCCGTCGCGAAGGCTCTATACCAAAGCCAAGACCTGTCGGCCACCTTCAACCAGGTCGCTTGGACAGTGTCCAACTGGATGCGCGAGATCTCCAATGCAACAGCCCCAGGCGTTGGGGAGGAGTGGGTGATCCATATCCGCGTTAATTGGTATTATATGATCCTCCCCTTGATCACCTTGTCCTTCGGCTTCCTCTTCTGCATATGGACCATCATAGATACGCATAGACTACGCCTCAATCCTTGGAAGACGAGCCTGATCGCTACGTTGACGCACTCCGTCGACGTCCAGACGCGGACGCAGCTCAGGGATGCAGACAAAGAAGGGTACCTGAAGAAATCGGTTAGAGCCATGACCGTGAAATTTGAAGACGTAGGATACGGGCTGGAATTACGGACTAAACAAGCTTGAGTCTTTAACATATAACTACCTACAGTCTACGCATTTATATTATTATACTAACCATCTCAGCATCGCGCGGCATATTTCTCACAGTACCATCCATAGCGGCGCATCCTATCATGGGTATTAAAGAATAATTGAATTGATCGATACCAATACCAAAGTTGATTTCGTACGTTGCGGTTAGGGTCTTTTTCTCTTAATAATTACCTAGATGTTTAAGGTACTTTCCTTCATACGGGTTACACGTTGTCATCTTCATAAGATTGACTGGCCCCTTTGTCCCAGTTTACTTTTCTGAAGACAGGAGCATTTTTGTGGCTGTACCTGACCCCAAGGAGGCTGGGAAGCGGAGGCGGAGGCTGGCTCGCAGCTTTGCGCCTTTCCTCGACCAGCCGCCTTCTCTCAGCTCGGCGATGCCTCGCGAGGTTTTCGCGAGTCAGCTCTCTTATGGGTTCGCCGAGGTTCGATAGGCGTCTTGAAGACCTCCGGCCCGATAGAGCGTCTCTGAGCTCCTTCCGGGCCAGTTCGATGTCGTGCATGATCTCCTCGTACGAGATGCGCTCCAGAGCCAGGGAGGACCTGCGGCTCTCGCTGCTGGAGGATTCTAGAGGAACCGCGAAGGTCACGCCTGGGGTGAATCTTTCCGTGGAACTGCCAGAGGATCCGGAGGGGGCCCGGAAAGTCGTCCCGGGAATAAACTGCCCTTCGCTGGAACTTCCAGAAGGGACCTTGAAAGTTCTGCCTGGGATGAGTTCGCCTGTCGAACTACTAGAAGATGCTCGGCTTTGGGTGTCTTTAATGGGGATATTGGTGCCCCCGGGATTTCGGTAAAACTGATACCCTCGTACTATTCTTTGATTCTTGACCGGCGGATGGATTTGCGATCCGCGTGGCCGTCGAGTTGAGGGGTCTGGTTCGTAACTTCGACGAACTCGCTTGATAATCGGAAACCTACTGCTATTATCATTTTCTTTGGAACGCTTTCCACTTGCGTTCTCGTTCTCGGGGAGGATGAACAATCCACCTGCCATTATTTGCTTAAGGGTATATGGAGGGGCACTTTTCAAGGCGATGGACTTCAGAGGGGTAGGAAGTTTGTCACAGATACATATGGGAGCAAGGTCACTGGCAAGCTGCAAGGGGAAAAAAAGGGGGACACCTGAATTAAATATATACCTGGAACTATGCTTGATGCTGGAACGTCTACTACGTTCTATAGCAATAGATGATATGGCATGGCCCTCGTCTATATCAGTGTCAGGATATACGTACACTATTTATGTTCTATGACAGACTTCGACAGACTTCGACAGACAAAGGCATTGTGCTGGGTAGTTCTCGAAAACACGACATTACTCCCTAGAAGTTACAGGGGTTCGACATTTAACTTTAGCTACCGCCAACGCAAATATACCACGACCCTACCAGGTAGATAGGTTAGGTACCTCCTATATATCCGCAACAGAGTTCAACGCCATGGCCACAAGATAGCTCTACCAAGCGGCGGACATCTCCATAGTTAAATCAAGGCTTTATAAGGTCTGAAGAGACAAGGGGTTTTTTGGGTAGACGGTCAATGGCCGTGTTGGTACGGCCTAGCAAGTGATTCATATGACTTTCTCCGCTAAACCTAAAAATTGCTCTATATACTCTACCCTATTTTATAGTATGTTCATGCATTGCCATTATAATGTATCGCTAGGCCCTGGGGTTCAATTCCTCAGATGGTCACAACACTTTCTTTTTTTTCGGTCTGGGCCATGTCTCTCCCCCAAGAGCATGTTAGAAGCCCGAGGTAATATAATGGTATATTTCACAGTAGATACTACGTTTCGAATAAATCATATAGGTTTACATCTTCTTTGTTGGCGTCTTAACCAAAGACATAGATTTCCTTCCCATATTTAATTGATCTAGTACATAGAACTCCTCTACTGGAATAGGGGGCGAGATAGGGGTTAAGACTAATTGTAACGCCGCCTTTACGTGCACCTTGGAACTATGAAACCAATATAATCATTCGCTATCTGTTCACAAAGTTTCCGGAGCTCATATGTCATTTTTAAGCCAGCGCGGCATTGTATTTATTCCCCGCCTTTCTGACGTCGATCGCATCGCATCATTCGCGAACCTCACCGTCGGCAAGGTACACGACACACTGCAATACCGTCATATGGTTTTGACGCAACTAGATCAATCGGAAAACCCTGACTTGCCATTTTTCAGCAGAAGCGAAGAATGTGAGCATTCCAGCTGCTTTGCATTCAAAATGACGGAATCCGTACATCAGGAGCCCGCCGCTTTCTCGTAGCTTCAACCTAACGTGTGCCGCAATTCCGCCGGAAGAGAAAACGAAGTCCCGTTTTTGCTTTTTGTTTTTCCCAACTTTTTATCTTTGATGCAATGTAGACTTATGAGGCGTTCCGGTGCAACGATGCTCAGCGAGATACTTGCTCTTATGAATGAGTCTCGTTAATTAGGTGGTACCGAAGTTCTCCATAATGTCTCTCTGCCCGAGATTGGCGCGGACTGTGGTTCGTACTCGCCCGGATGTATTGCACCCTTGCATATATCACTCCTCGCGGGCGACTCCGTTCCCTACCCCTATCCTACTACCACCAAGGCTATTCCATTCTTCGCCCAGCCCGCGGTCGAAGCCAACCAACCCAGACCCGCGAGAAAACCCAGCGACCGACTTGGCCCCTAATGCCGACGTGAATGTCGGCCAGAAGCGGTTCGCCGACTTCGACTTGAAGGGCAAAGTCTTCCTCGTGACGGGAGCCGCAAGGGGCTTAGGTCTGGCTCTTGCCGAGAGTCTCGTCGAGGCCGGAGGCAAAGGTAACATCTCTTATCCCGTGGCTTACTTACCTCTTACCTTATATGACACGGAACACCTGTTGCTCCTTTCCTCCGTCTTTTTTTCTTCTTTTTCTTTTTCTTGTTCGCTAACACGCTTGTATCTACCCTAGTCTACTGTCTCGACCGGGAAGCGAAACCCGACGCGCACTGGGCGGAAGCCCGGAGGCGAGTGGTGCCCGAATGGGGGGGCTCGCTGCACTACCGGCAGCAGGACGTGCTGGACACGGCGGAGCTGGACCGGGCGATCGCGGAGATCGCGGACGACAACGGGCGGCTGGACGGGGTGGTGGCGGCGGCGGGGATCCAGCAGCTGACGCCGGCGGTGGAGTACTCGGCGGCGGACGCGGCCAAGATGCTCGCCGTCAACTTCACGGGGGTGCTGATGACGGCGACGGCCGCCGCGCGCCAGATGATGCGGTACCGGTGCCGCGGCAGCATCTGCCTGGTGGCCAGCATGAGCGGGCTCGTCGCGAACAAGGGCCTGCTGTCGTCCGTATACAACTCGTCCAAGGCCGCGCTCATCCAGCTCGCCCGCAGCCTGTCGATGGAGTGGAGCCCCGTCCGGCCCGACGGCTCCGGCGGCATCCGCGTCAACTGCCTCAGCCCCGGGCACGTCCTCACGCCGATGGTGCTGAAGAACTTCGAGGAGGTGCCTTCCCTGAGGAACACGTGGGAGGGCGAGAGCATGATGGGCAGGCTGGCGGAGACGACCGAGTTCAAGGGCGCCGCGCTGTTCCTCCTGAGTAATGCGAGCAGCTATATGACAGGTTCTAACCTCGTGATAGATGGCGGGCATACTTCTTGGTAGTGCTCATTTTTAGATGGTCGTATTTCATTATTATATAGAGAGAGTGCACGTAGGAAAAGCCGCTAGGGATGTATATACTAACTAGTAGGATTCACTGTACAGAGTAGGATGTAGATGTCTGATATATAACATACCTTATGCGCATTGATATGTCATATTTGAACTGGTTCTATACGTCAGGTACCTGTTTTTGCTGAGCTGAGCTATATAAGACAATCGAGTTCTTCCCGTAAAGAGTGACAAGAATATATAGAAAGGGTGTAAAAAAGGCTTGAGTCCAGGTCTCTATATAGTCTATCTATCGAACTGTACCTATCGTTAGAATATCAGAGAGGCCTGCTTCCAGGATTACTCCGTTCAGTTTGTCTCTTCTTCGAATATATTACCATTCAGGCGCCTGGAATTATATGCAAATTGTTTGATACAGTGACGACTGGGATTAGCGAAGAGCATTATTCAATCCCTTGTTAGAGGAGAAAGGTCAAGAAAAGCGTCTCTCCTAGCAATATCCTTGTCTGATCTAGATGGCAACCACGCCTTCAACAATAGATTCTAGAACATTTCCGGGTACGTTGCAGCGTGTGTTGCAGCAGGCGACCTTTAACCAGTCTCGAAAATAACCATGAGAAAGATCAAGTCCATCTATGCCGAGCAACGACGGTACCGGATCTTCCGGATATCCTCTCCGAATGTGATCCTATGCGTGCCGTGTATAGTCTGGGATTTTCCCCGTAGCTCTCTCTATTACGATAAGTCGCGCAAATTCTAATATAGCGGACATCCTTTTCCATCGTCAATTGCCGTACCTCAAAGCGTAAGATCTCGATAACGTCTCGATACTGGTCGCATTAAGGATGGTAATGATAGACCTTTTTTTTTCAGCGGTATATGTGAGAATATTTGATAATCTCGTCCGGCAACGGAAAATAAAGGGGCATGTGACCTTCGAGGTATGCATACCTAACCCATCTCGCCCGGCACTTTAAGTAGTCCGGCAGCCCGAGTTCGAAGCATTGAAGTCGACGGCGGCTATCGGCTGTCGGGGCGGCATCCGGGAAACCCATACATACTTACTAGTAGTATATAGTTCCAAACCCATGCTATTTTCCAAGACGGCATTTCTAATCCATTGCTAAAAGTAATATGGTCCTGATCATCACTGACCAATACCCACAGAACACGCGAACGCGATTCGAAGCCGGAGTAGCATCTTGGAACCCATCCTTGTCTTGATAGAATAGCGTCCCGTTTCTGATGTCTGATGTGTGGATAGTCTCATCTTGACGTGCTGTCAAAAGACCCATAATTCGAAGCTAGAAGCTATTCCCCTCATCGATTTTCTCGTGGGTATGATGGGTATTGCGAAGATGGTAAGATGTGCTCAATGGGATGTCCCAGACGCTTCCCATGCAGTGGAAGCACTGATCTGTCGTTTAACCACGAGATTCTTCTTCTTCCCCTGTGAGATGAGGCGCGGAAATCAATCATCGATCCCGATCGGTAGGGTTTCATTCACCGTCTTTGAACCTCCCTTGGACCTTGGAACCTGGGGCCTAGTCTGGCCTAGGAAGCCTGCGAAGTCGGGCATTCGGTGGTGCCCAGCTTCTTGAAGAAGCCCACCTTGCCCACAAATGCCCCCATATCGCGCGTTTACATGCCGACGCCTAGCTCGCCGTATCGATAGGTCAACTCGTAGGGCCGAAACAATCACTTACACATAGTAAATACCTAGTACCTCACCTATATACCCCATCCAGAATTCGCTTTTCAAAGGCCGACTGGAGCTCGGACATCGGTGAAGAAACTAAGAGCGAGTCAGCGCATGGAATATAGCTGTTCAAGGATGATGGTTCCATAGGGCTCCTCCTAAAGAGAAAATGAATATGTGAAGGGTCCGAGAACCGGTAGCCGTGGAGTAGACAGAGGTGCGATGGGCTCCTTATATAGCCCAGTCCTAAGCATCTCGACTGCGACTGTAGATTAGCACGCAATAGCACGCCATCTCAAAACCTAACATTTCATTCGAGAGCTTAGTTTATAGCAGTCATGTCTCGCCGAATCGATCGACTTCCAACGCCGACCCATGTCGAACCTAAGAAGCTGATAGTGCTAAGCGCACCTAGGTGGGTGAATTCTAAGACTTCGGATAACAAGTAAAGAGTCAAAGAAATAGCTTCTGACTCGAGATTCAGGACTGGTACTCATGGCCTCTACCTGGCTTTGAAGCGCCTGGGCTTCAAGCCGTTTCATATGGCCGAAATCATCAAGGCCGGGCCGGAGCAAGTAGAACTTCTGAACGACGGGCTCTACGCTGAGATGTTCCACGAGGGCAAACCATGTAAGTGAATTTTGCAGACATATAAATCTGCAAGGTACCTATGTATCTTGGAGTGTTCTTGATCAGCAAGTGACAGGCAAATACACTATACCGAGAGCTAACACGACTTCAAGATGGCCGTGCAGAGTTCGACAAATGGTTCGCCGACTATGACGTACGTGACCCTCGTTAATTTTGTTCTTCCAATTCGACTCACGAACACCGGGTTACAGATAATTATAGAGATGCCTTTCTTCATGTTACGCTCGACGTTGGAAGCCTACCCAGACGCCAAATTCCTCCTGACGGAACGGAATCCGGACAAGTGGGCGAAGTCATTCGAAAACACAGTCGGCATGATGGCCGAGAAATTAACGAGCTTTCCGATGTCCGTCTTCAAATACTTTGATGCGTTCGCCTACCACATGGCTCGAATGGGCACAGTGGTACTTAATTACTACACCAACGGATGCGGTCTGACGCCAGAAGGGCATAAAAACCTGATGAATAACTACAGCAACTAGTACGTTGCAATAATACCATATTTTTGTGAAGTGTATATTCTAACGTGCTATGAACAGTATCGCGGAAGTAAAGCGTCTTGTCCCACCAGAGCAGCTGAAAGTTTGCAAACTCGAGGATGGGTTCGGATGGGATGAAATCTGCCCGTACCTAGGCGTCCCGGTACCTGACGAAAAGTGGCCGTCACTTAACACACCAGAAGAGTTTGGCGAAATCGCTAATCCGAAGGTGAAGAACGCATTTATGAAGGGCATGTTCGGTACAACATCCATCATAGCCCCCATCGTCGCTGCGGGTGTCTGGTTTTTGAAAAGTAGAAAGCTGTCTCTTTGAAGTATCGCTTAGGATATCCACCGAATACGTACATGGGCTTGAACCACAACGGAGATACTTCGTCCGAAGGGGTCGGCTCTTGGGACAATTAGGCACTACGCCTATTAATCCAAGCTAAAGGCGCATCGCGTCCAGCCCGTCCAAGTAATGGGGGCTGAGGACTGCTGCTCTTCCAAGCTTACTTAGGTACCGTGGCCAGAAGTTCCTGTATATATATTTTCAACGACACGAGTTTATCAACTCCACGTTGTGTTTGAGATTATAGAGCTATGAGTCACGAGATAATAATTCACACCTCTACCATACATCTAAATTTCAATGCCTGAACGGTATCAGTATTTAGTGAAAAATAGATTTTGTAAGGAGAACAGGCAGAACTTACTTGGGATGCAGTAGCTCTTTTACGATCGCTATATACTACCAACGCGGCAACGAGTTCGCGAAAGTCTTCATCGACGTCCGGTAGTATTTCGTCCCAAGAGTGACCTTCAAATACTCGATACATTTCGAATGGAGGTGTCTTAAAGTTCGCCGCTTCGGGCCATGACTCCCGGGTGGGACTTCCGATAGTCTTGAAAATGCTTAAGATCAAGCCGAGCTGGTTTCCATCTTCATGGGCCGCCCGCGACTCGAAAAGTTCTCGGGGCGTTTCGCGGCAGCATTCCGCAAGCATAGCTCCGGCTGCCCACATATCAACTGCAGGGCCGTATGATTTATCGCCGAACAATGCCTCGGGGGCACGATACGGACCGGTGCCAATGTCTAAGATCTTGCCATTGGGAGGCTCCGTATAAACTGAAAGCTCAGGATGCCATGCTGAACCAAAGTCTGAAAGGTAGGCGGGGCCATCGGGGGACTCAAGCAAGAGAGCTGAAGGCTTGATGTCCCTGTGTATTATGCCTTGCTCGTGGATATAGACTAGAGCATTAAAGAGATCCGTGAAAAGTTTCTGTATTCGGCTTCTTGGTATGCGACCCTGTTCAATAATGTCTGCTAAACTTAAGGGCATGAATGGAAAGGTTAAAATGAACCGTTGTTCTTGATCCCGGAAAGTCTCCAGCAAAGGAATGCACGGTTTTCTTAGCAACTTCAGAATCTTGGCTTCTCTATAGGGATTGTGAGGTTCGCCGACGGAGGTATCAACAATTACTTTGAGAGCCACCGTCTTCGATCTATAGACTTCAGCAGTAACTCCGCTGGCGACATGATGACAGTTTTGATAATGACCTATCGTGATACCAGGAGATTCCGGGACAACTGGGTCTATCGGGGCGGGTTGCGCCTCGGAAGAAACCGGTGATTTTTGCTCTAGTAAACGCCGGCATGCTTCATCATATTCGGCCTATGAAAATGTGAGTATTTTGCGGGAATTTAAGATGGACAAATTATAAGCCGTAGATACGGGGGGGAGGGGGGATACGAGGTTAGGTAGGAGGTACTTACACGCGTCGTAGAAGCCTTATAAGCTTCGTTCTCAAGAGCAAATGCTGTTTTCTGAGAAGGGTTATCCGTATCACTTAAATTATCAAGGGCCTCTTTTCTGAAAAGAATTGCAAGGTTAATACATATTTAAATTAGAAAGTTGAGCAAAGAAAAAAAAAACATGTGGATTGGACTTACATGGCTTGGATATTATCATAGCGGTCGGATGAGCTGAGTGAGGCTCTCCAGTCGGAATTGGACGTCATAACGGTTAACCCTGGGACTTTGTAAGTCGGGAGAATACCTGATAAGATACTCTATACAAAACAGTATTAAAGGCAGTATAGAATGACATGGATTTGAAAATAGAAAATGAGAATCCGCGAATATAGGATACCTAGGTTATCTACTAAGGTACCTGCTTTGGAATATGGTGATGGTGATGGGATCAGATGTTTCGTTATGTATTAAAAGACCTGGAGACAGGTAACACAGTACAAAGCGAGGTACCTAACCTAAACCAAGACTAATAAGAGTGTTCCCTCTTTACTTGCGTATAGTTGGATACGAAACTAGAAATCACGCTATTTGCCTTAGGTATTGTACATGCCGGCTTAATGTCTTAACGGGATTCTGATATGCGAGAATAGCAGGAGCTAACAAATGAACAACCCACACTCCACTCCGGGACAGCGACTCCACTTAGAAAGCTACAAGGCCTTTGGGAGGCTTGGGTTATAGCGTAATAGCGTAACAATAACCAGTTCATAGCGCCAGTAAGCAAGCCCTCAGGCCCTGCATCCATAACATTCATAACATCCATAAACACCCATAACATGCCATTTCGGTAGCAACAGCTCATACCTAAATCCACCTTTTATTTTTCAAACCTTACATAACCTAACCCGACCGTTAATACTCTACCTCTTAGGTAAATACTAATATTATCACCAATAACTACCTAAACCTCGCTTTCGCCTCGCCTCGCCTCGTCTCTTCGTCGTCATTCCCAATTGTCCTTTTGGTTTAACTACTTATTTCTTCCAATGTCATCGTAATTTATTTCCTTTCGCTTCTCTCTTTTATTCCGTATTTATATGTCTCTCTATCGCCCCCCTCTTACGTCTTTGCTCGTAATATCTCTGTATAATTGCGCCCGTCATTAGTCGCGATGGAAGATCTCTCGAGGGCCGAGTACCCAGCCATGCTGGTAAGCTTATATTTACCTACCTACCTACCTATATATTCCAACTTTACCTCTTCGGCGCCACACGATGGTACATGCGCACAGAAGCGACCAACCGTCTAACCCAAAATTCTATAGGCACACCTCCATCCCAACCAAGCAGTTCATGCTCTGAACGACCGAGTCAAGCGCATTTCCAAGGTCAACACCGAGATCGCCGATTGGTTACAGGTAAACATACCTACACAATACATGCCGCCCACCTAACCATCGTCAGATAGCTAAACTGTGACACAGGAGCGTAGGAAAGTAGAGGAGCAATACGTCCAAGGTTTAAAGAGGTTAACTCAGTTTCGAGTTCCCAATGCGCAGTCGGAACTTGGGTATGTCATACAATGCCAGCAATTTACTTATCGCAACCCCCTTTCTATTTCTATTTCTATAATATTGACGACGCCAATCCTCAAGGACCTTCCAACCACAATGGGACAAGATTATCCAGTCCGCCGATGCCCTTGCCATGTCGCATCACATCTTCGCAACTAAGATCGAGAAAGATGTCGAGATACCCTTACGGAGTTTTCAACAGAGAAAGGAGATGGTTAATATCCAGACCATCCAGGGAAACCTTCAAAATATGGCCAGGGAGCTTGAGGATGCCCAGGAACGGTCCGATAAGCTTAGCAGGAAGGGCGCCAAAGCCAGCGCTCAAAAGGTAGAACTAGCAGCCGGGAAGCTAGAATCTGCTGCTCAACAGTGGGAATCCCAGGCGCCATTTATTTTTGAATCTCTGCAGGCCTTGGATGAGAGTCGAATGAATCAGTTGCGTGATTGTCTTACTCAGTACGGAACTTACGAAGGAGAGCAGGCCCAAAGTCATCAAGCCGAGGCAGAAACGGTACTTAACAGCTTGTTGGACTACAGCACTGCGGCCGAGATTCAGCAATTTGTGGCTAAGACAACGGCTGGCCGCCCAAAGGTCGAGAAGCGAACTACTGCGGCACGACAATCGTCTAGTTTAAGCGAGAGAAATTCCACATTAGCGCCTCCTACTGCCCATCCGACTGCTGATGATCGTAGCGAGCATTCTATCTCCAGGGAAGGACAATCGGAAAACAAGCTGCGCAGCCGCATAGGCACTATGCTTGGTCGGAGGCGACAGAGTATACACGGTGGTTTCGGGCCCCTTTCGCCTGCTAAAGGGCCTTTCGGAAGGAACATCAAAAGTGCCCATGGCCCATCTCCTAGGACATCATCCAGCAATCTGGGCGATTCTACAAACAGGCTAGGATCGCTCGTGGAATACCCTCCTTCAACTGAGACGCCTTCTCGAACGTCCGAGACAAAGGAAAAGACAAGCCATGATGGTACGAATGGTTTAGGTCGTGACAACTCTACGGATGTGCCCCCACCCGGAACGGCAACATCGCAAGCGTCGCATATGAATGGTACATCAATTCCTGCCGACATCGCCGATGTGCCTCCTCCGCCAGGGCCCCCGCCATCTCAGAAGGAACCGGAAAAAGACTCCGAGGGGTTTAGCGTGCCCGCCCCGGCTAACGATCCGATCTCCCAAGCAGAGAGAGAAGCCGCAGCGCATGAGGCCGAGCAGTTATTCAAGCTGAATATCCAGAAAGAGCCCGTGGCCGAGGAGGATCCGGAAGAAAAGAAGGCGGCGCTTTCGAATGTTGCCAATAGTCTGTCAGCTATGGGAATGCCGGCTCGGAAAGGGGGTACTATCAGAGGCCGAAGAGATGTACGCAATACTATCTACGTTCCTGCTCCCGTCTCTGAAGGTTCTGCGACCGATAACCAACACCCTTTCCCTCCTATGCACGCCATATCTAAACCTGCCGGGGTCACTACTTTTGCCTCCGAAGCGAGTGTTGCGGGCACATCGGATACTCAGTCCGTCCGCTCTGGCAACTCGTTGAATAGCACCATTCACGCAAAACATCCCGACATGCATGAGCCCGGCCTCAACTCTTCTGTTATGGAGACTGTTTCAGCATCGTTCGAAAACGGCGAGGTTCGGGGTGTGAAGGTCAATGGCGAGATCGCCTTTTCATACAACGCTATGGATTCCTTTAACTTGCCTAGTAGGTTTCTACAGTTATCAATCCGAATATATTTATAACTAACCGGGAACAGCTCATCTACCTATTCGAATCAATAATTTTGCTACACTCGATGTTATTGGTCCTAATCGTATTTTTATCACTAATGACACACCTGAACATCCAGACCGATTTAACTTGGATCCCTCGCATCTTCACAAAACTTCCGTTGGCTTCTCCTATAGGCTTCATGTAGATTCAGACGCCACTTCCACGGAACATGTGCCGATTCTCGTTCACCCTGTATGGAAGCCACAGGGAGACAAGCTGGGACTATTGCTTCAATATAAGCTTAACCCGGCCTTCAGATTTGCTAATGGAGGAGGTTCTAGCGTACAGGTGCATAGCCTAGTACTTTTTGCTACGTACGAGGGTAAGGCATCAGGCGCTCAGACTAAACCGTCCGGAACGCACCTCAAGGATAAACATATTGTATACTGGCGTCTCGGCGACGTTACTTTATCTCCGGACGCGGACTGGCAGAAGATCGTGTGCCGGATAATAGGCGACCAAGGCGTAGAGCCCAAGCCGGGCTCGATCGAGGCGCGGTGGGAGATCACCCCGCCGTCGGGATTCGTCGAGAGCGCAAGCGCTATTTCGGTATCCAAGTTCGAAGAGGGCAAGGGCAAAGAGGTAGAGCTCACCGAAGACGACCCGTTCGCGGACGACACCGCCGCTGTCGAAGAGGGCAAGTGGGTCGACGTGCCTGTGGTGAGGAAGTTGGTGAGCGGGAAGTACGAAGCGAGGTAGATAGATTACCTACCTACCTAGGTATACCTAACCTAACCTTAGGTATCTATTAGAGGATAAGCACCTATCTAGGAGATGAAGGAAGACGAAGACGAAGATCAAGGTACAGATTCTCGAAAGAAGAAGCGGGGAGAAGCGTGGAGGGGAAGAATATAACTTATATTGTCTGGACGACGATGATGCTCTTTTGTAAAAGAAAAAAACAAATATCAATCAGATTAGCGGGTTGTTAAAATTGAAGGTTCCATTTGTGCATATATATATAACCTTAGGTACCTACCTCCTAGGTATGTTTTCGATCTTTTTTTTCTCTTATTATCGGATATTTTACCTTGCAGCTTTATACCTAAGGTAATTTGAACGACTTGATATCAAAACTCTTCTGCATATCTTACTTTGTAACAACACGATAATTCCATAGTGCTTACATGTAATGTGATATTGGTCTAGACATGTATAGGAGATAGGTAGGCAGATAATAAAAAATCATGAGGTATACAACAAGTCGAATATGTTCGGAAAAATATTGTATATTATTATACTCTCCGTATTGAAGAAGTCGCCTAAAACCAGCTTCTTGTGCGATATCATTGGATATAAGGTAAATGACATATCTATTGTCCCAAACGCCCGCGTGTAAGCCTTGACAGGTTACCCGGAATCATTACAAAGCCCATGCTATGCCGCGTCATATACACAAGTACCTCCCCATGCAGCGAAACAGGCATAACATAAAAGACGCTCCCCTCCCGTCCTGCTGTTAAGAAACATCACGCGTAATTCCAACTCGGCAGCACCCAAGTATCGTGCTCGTCCTTCGCCGGTATGTACAGACCACCCACCCTCAACTTGAGTTATCATTAGAATGGATCATTGGACTACTGACCCGGCCCTAGATTGCTCCTCGTAAAACTCGAGCGTGAGCGCGGCCAGGAAGCCCGGGATGCAGCCCTTATCGCGCACCCAGAACTGGATCTGGTCCTGGATGCGGCGGGCGAAGGGGCTCTGAGGCCCGCCGGCGACCTTCATGGTGCCGCGCTCGCCATCGAAGACGATGCTGTTCTCCTGCTCGTCGGTGACGCTGGGGCAGTATAAGCTCTCCACGCGCATCTTGCCGTTGGGGATGAACGTCACCGTCCAGCCGAGCGTGCTGAAGATAGCCTCCTTGAACTCCTGCGACTTCGCCGCCCACACCTCTTTTAGACGCCGCGTCGTCTTCTGCGCCGACGCCGTCTCACGCTGCGCTTCTTCGATTTCTCGACGCGCGGCGGCTAGTTGTGATGCAGGAATCAGGGGGATGTTCGGGTTAGGGTTACGACGAGCTTCTTTCTGCAGTTGCGCCAATAATTCCTTGTTCTCCTGCTTGAGGGCTTGGAGCGTGGCGGTTTTAATCGCTTCGAAGTCGGAAGTGGGGTTAGAACGCAGAGACAGTACGCGGATTTTGTTGGTTGATTCAGCGGCTGCAAGACGAGATTTAAGAACCTCGTGTTCTTTCTGAAGGACCTGGTATTGTGTTTGTAGTTTAGAAAGTTCGTCTGCTAGCTTTCTGCGTTTTCTGTTGAGTTCGCCGAGCTGCTCGCTCTCGGCCTCATCGGAATGGTTGCGTTTAGATCCAGTAGAAACGGGCGCCGTGACACCAGATGATTCTAAGGCGGAGAGTTCATTGTGCAAGGCCTGTACCTCCTCCTTATACTTATCAACTAACTTCTCCAGCTCCAAGATACGATCGGCCTTGCTCTGGTCGAAATTCTCAGCATTGAAGGTTTCGTCTTCCGTATCAAAGGCCTTGAGCTGAGCGCGCAAGTATTCGACTTCTTTGATAGCTAAGGCACGCTGGCGCTCTATGCGAGCCTGTGCCTTGCCTGCCGATACGGGGGCAGTAGTAGTCTTTAGTTTTTCTATTTGCGCGTTCAAGTTTTTCTTTTCGCTTTCTAGAGCCTTGATAATCTCATCACGTTCTGTGATCTGAGGTTGTATCTCACCAAGCTTTTCAATAAGAGAAGCTGAGTTGTATCGCTCCTCTACGAGCGCGCGTGCGACCGCCTCGGGAGAGTCGAACTCCATAAGTCCACCATCCGCGCTAGCATTTTGAAGGTAAGCGGTCCACGCCAGACGTTCATCCTCCAATCTCTGCCTCTGAAGTCGGGCTTCGTTAAGTTGGGGTTCAAGAGCCTCAGCAGCCTCAAGCCGTCGTTGGAGCGACCGCTTCTCTTCTTCCACAACTTCTACAGCCTTATGTATTTGCCTTAAGTGTGTTAATTCCGCATGCTGTTTAGTATTCTTGGACTCGAGTGACCTGATATGTTGGACTTGTTCAGTGAGTTCGCGCCGGATGATAGCGATAGTTTCAGCGTCGCCGGTTTGCGCCTTTAAGCGCAATACGTCAGCTTCCAGATCGCCAATAAGTCTGTCCTTATCTGCAAGCTGCTGCTGTACAGCTTGCATGGTTGATTCACGGGTCTCGTTGTCGTGTTCTAGACCCTGAATTACTTGTCGAAGATTCGACAGTTGGGTCTCCATATCATTTACTCTTTTCTGAGCCATTCTTTCTCCTTCCTCTTTAGCAGCTGATAAGTCCTCCAATTGCTCTCTTAACAAACGCACTTCATCTTGCGCATCTCGGGCCTTCTTCTCGACTTCGAGCTTTTCATTGGCAGAACTTTCCTTCAGTTCCTGCAATTCTTTCTGCATAGTTTCGTATTGGCGCTGTGCCTTATTCTTGTCACCTTCGGCGGCTTGTTTTTGCTTAAAGTCATCTTCGGCTTTCCGTCGTACATCTCGCATTTCGTTGTCATGTTGTAGAGCTATCATCTCCTTCTCTTGTTCGTAGTTTTCAACTTTAAAGCGCATCGTGGCGAGCTCAGCCTTCAGCTCTTCGATTTTCTTTCGCTGGGTTTCGTACTCCTCGGCATCGGGTGGCGCGAGATTCTCCTTGGAACTCTCGCGCGAGGAAACGCGGAGGGATTCTGCGCCGGCATGGCTCTGTCTCGACGAAGGTCTGGCATTGTGGGAAGTTTGCACATCCTCGGAACCAGTCAGGAAGTTGTAAGAAGGCTGGGTCGACTTTTGTAGCGAGGCACGGAATGAGGTAACCTATGTCTTAACTTAGAACCAATTATCATCAATCAATCAGGATTTGCTCGTCAACAACTTGAGTTTACTTACCCTCGACCTCGAAAACGACCCGCTTCCAGTACTTTGGCGAAAATGACCGGACATAGCGCTTTTTTATAGAGCCTACGTGGCGTGGCGTTTGCTGTAATTACAAATGGAATACATTTAGGTAGGGAATACAAGGCGTTGAAAAGGTTAGGTTAGGTACAAATTGTGAGATCTGAGTTCAAAATGCGGTATCGTGACAAGACCCACTAAATATGTTTTTGTTGTTTGCGGCTGCCCTGGCAATGCTGCAAACGCCCAGACGCCTTAGTTCGTCTTCGTCTTCTCAATCGGCTGATTAGCTTAACACATCACGTGCAGATAGAGTGAATAGCTTTGTGTTTCATAAGGTTACGTTAGGTAGGAGGTACGTACCCCATTCCCGAGTCTCCAAGAAACTTCCATACAGAACCCGCATGTGGAGAATCTTTTTCAGAAGCAAAAACATATTCCTCAACATTGTAGCTTTTCAAGAAATACCCCAACACAATATGAGTTGAACGAAAATCATATTCAGATCAAGTGTCTGTATATAATTGAAAAAAAAAATAAAAATTTTTGCCAATAAAGCATAATTGCTCCCAAAATACGAATATGTCTCTCTTACATTGATGCATGCGAGGTACAAAGTACCTCTCAATTAAATACCGAATGGCCGAGCTCCGTACCTTAGGTAGCTTAGGTACCCCTGCCGCACGTGTGGGTCCCGGTCCTCACGTCAGTGCAGGAGTACCTGGCTTGGCTGACAGCCCTTTGCGCATTCTTCCGGGGGTGGCCTACCCCATTGCCGAAATTCAAGCTTCAGCAGGCTCAGGTCCCACTCAGCTGCCTACGATGCTGTAGTGGGCTTATTAACGTAATCTACCTTCTGCTTCCTTCACTAATAAGATTTAACATTCAGTGGCATTTAGGAGGAAACACACACACACACACACACACACTTACACACTTACCATCTTTTTCTATTTTCTTTCATAGGCGCTACATTTGGATCATACAACAGCAACAACAACATAGCACCTCAAGTCGTGAGGTTTCAACGCACATGGATTCCTTCTTTCGGTAATAACATTGCGGCTTTTGCTGCTACTATTCACTCGTCGTCCCACTAACAATTTGCGCAACTTGCAACCCGCAATCCAATCCGACTATTTCAATATCGTTACTATCGCATTCCATATACATTCACAGTAACTTCCTCGGAACACCGGCACTATGCTTGTACGCCCGGCACCTCTTCCGGGTTTGTCGCCGTCGGCTGTTTGGACGCCCCTCCGACTTCGAAGTCATCATTCAACACGAACCGCAAGACAGTATTCCGTACACACAACCCGATTACGATATCGACCACTCTACGAAACCCCCAAATCTGCTCGTATCCTACGTACATACACATCAGATGCTTCAAAGACTTCGGCCTACGAAGGAGCTAGAACTGCTCGGAAACTCGAATTGGAAACCGACTCTGCCACGAAGGCCGCCAGTTCTCCAGATGAGCCCCTCTCACAAAAGTACATTCCTACGACCGCCTCCTCGTCCTCCAAGGACCTGTCCGACTCGGACTTTGATTGGGAAGACAAGCCCAATTTTCACATAGAAAAGTTCACGGAACTTCCTTACGCAAACTTCGGCGTAAATCAACATATGATTATCAACCAAGAGTTCAAAGAAGTCCTACGTCAGCTATTGTGGAGGTTCCGGGCTCCCATTCGATATGCCTTTGCGTATGGCTCCGGTGTCTTCCCGCAGTCAACAGGTGGTACGGCAACTGAGGCTGAAATCAAGGCCGTTCACCCCAAGGCACCCCTTGCCGTTCAGAGAGCGCAGGATGGTTCTCCAAAGATGATTGATTTCATCTTTGGTGTCTCGCATACGCAACATTGGCATTCCTTAAATCTTATGCAACACCGTGATCATTACTCAATGCTTGGATCATTAGGATCAGGTGCCGTATCGTATGTACAGGATAAATGGGGTGCCGGTGTTTATTTCAATCCCGGTGTGGTCGTTGACGGCATATTAATAAAGTACGGGGTGGTCAACATCGATACTTTGTGTAGAGACCTGAGCGAGTGGGACACTTTATATCTTGCTGGTCGTCTGCACAAGCCGGTAAAGATTCTTAGAGATGATCCTAGGGTTCGGCTTGCGAACCAGATTAATCTGTTATCAGCATTACGAACAGCTCTCCTTCTGTTGCCCCCAACCTTTACCGAACAAGAATTATACGCGACAATCGCTGGCATCAGTTATCTCGGGGACCCGCGAATGGTTTTACCCACCGAGAATCCCAAAAAGGTTTCGAACATCGTCACTCACAACATGATGAACTTCCGACGACTCTATGCGCCACTCGTTGAATCTCTTCCCAATGTCGAATTCGATGACCCTGCTTGCAGCAAACCTGACTGGATCGACAATACAGATTCCGTATTAAAGCTACACCAGGATATGGACCCTATAAAGAGAGGTAACATGGTGCGCCGGTTACCAAAAGCATTCCGTTCCAAGCTGTACTTTGAATACCAGAAGAAGTTCGAAATACCCCAGCTCGAGTTTAATAAAATGATGGAAGAGAAGAAGGATGAGGATGCTGTCTCTTTCAAGAGACAACAAGGCACTGCCTTTGAACAGCGGATCGCGCAAGATGATCCCGAGGCCCTTCGGAAAACTATTCGCACCGTTATCAAGAGGACCATCAGCTGGCCAAGCACTACTCAAAGTATCAAGGGTATCCTTACGGCCGGTCTTCGTCGAAGCTTCCATTACTTGGGAGAAAAAATGGCAAAGTATCGCGAGGCGAATAAGCCCAAAAAGGATGATGAGAAGACTTCTTAAAAATTCTCAGACTTTAGAGGTCTGCTCCTATTTATGGATCTAGCCAGCGCGTCCTTTAGAGTAACATAGGGTAAAGAAAGGTACTGCTCGAAGACAGTTATTAAATGCTATGCGGCACGAGTGCTAAGAAACCGGGCCATAGCTAGGGCAATTTCTGAAGGCCTTGTCACAATCAAGGAATTCAGTTCTTTTTAGCGTCAAGGAGCATGTGTCCGTCCGTTCAGAAATCACTCTAGCTACCTAGGAGGCACCAATGCAGGCTACTTCAATGTGGGCCACGACCGAGCAGCAACTCTTCAATTGGAGGTTGAGAAACCGTGTACATTTTTTCAAGACCTTGAGGCGTTCGGTCATGTCATACTATATGTTGGGTTAGAAAGCGAGAGGAATATGACAGGTTTGCTGGAATCCGAAAGAGGGAAATCCCATACCTACAAAAAGTCATTTACTAGTGACGATAGTCCGGGTCATCCTATGTGTACCTTGTGTGCAGGTATACATATACCGCGCTACCTGGTAGCTAACCACAATAATAGATAAAAATTATGTCAATCGAATCGAGCGGTTGCCTGAGTTATCCGTGCTGACCATAGTATCTTGAAGAACTAGTGCACAGTTGATATATTAGCATCGAAGAGCATCATCTAGTAGCTCTGCCCCAGTATCCAGAAGTTTCAAACAAGATTCCTTCCAGTTCGGTAGGCAGCTATCAATGACGGTAGAGAATCAGAGCCTGAGGTTATTTACAATTCGATAAGAGTAATTTTTAACTACCAATCTCCATATATGATGACAAAATGTAGAGTGGCACATCTATAAGAAGCAAAATGGCTGCTCTCATGATCTCATTATTCATTGGCAAAATCTAACGTATCCCGGCGTTTCCTATCTTACACGGCTGCTCATATCCACGACGAAGCTTTCTAAAATACCTAGGTACCTAGTAAAGATTTACCCCCCTTGAACCCCTTTAAATTACCCCCCCCCTCCGACAGTCAGCTTAGAAGAGTGGATCTAAAATCCCTCCTCCAACCACCACCACCACCACCACCCAAGCTGGGTAGCTTAGCCGTTGACTATAGTGCCGCCGTTGCAGTGGATGGTCTGGCCGCTGATGGCGGAGCTATCGGGGGAGGCGAGGAAGACGACGCAGGTGGCGATCTCGCTGGGCTGGGCGGGCCTGCCCATGGGGCTGGTGAAGGACTTCTGGGCGTCGTCGTCCATGGTGGCGGGGATGAGCGGGGTCCAGACGGGGCCCGGGGCCACGGCGTTGACGCGGATGCCCTGGCCCACGAACTGGTTGCTGAGGCCCCGCGTGAAGGAGACGATGGCGCCCTTGCTCGAGGTGTAGTCCAGCAGGTCGGGGCGCCCGATGTACGCGTTGATGCTCGCGTTGTTGATGATGGTCGCCCCGCGCTTCATGTGCGGCAGCGCGTACTTGGCTAGGTAGAAGAACGGGTGGATGTTGGTGTTGAAGGTGTGTACCCATTGGTCCCTTTTTTGGTCGCTGTTAGATTATACTGTCCCATGAAAGTAAAAACAAAAATAGAAAAGGGGGTTGGCTTACTCGCTCAGCTCGTGAATGTCGCTCTTCACCATCTGGAACGCGGCGTTGTTGAAGAGGATGTTGATGCGGCCCATCTGCTGCAGCGCCTCGCTGACGACCTTCTTGCAGTTCTCACGCCTCGTCAGGTCCGTCGAGAACAGGTAGCACTTGCGGCCGAGCGACTCGACCGCGCGCTTCGTCTCCTGGGCGTCCTTCTCCTCGTCGGGGAGGTAGACGATGAGGGAGTCGGCGCCTTCGTGCGCGAACAGGATAGCCGTGGCCCGGCCGATCCCCGAGTCCCCGCCCGTGATGATGGCCTTCTTGCCCTGCAGCTTGCCGGCGGCCTTGTACTTCTGATACCCGCCGTCGTCGGTGGGCAGAGTGTCATACTGTGCTTGTATGGGCAGCTTATGCTCCTTGCCAGGGAACTCCTGGTGAGTCACTGGGACTGAATGTCCTGTGTTGTTGTTTTTTTGGATATGTTAGCAGAAGTACCCCCTAAATACCCCCTATACAATTGTTACGATATGAATTTCACTTACCCGGCTGAAATTGAGAGTCGGACATGTCAAATAAGAGGCCAAAAATTAAAGCGAATAAATCTTTTGATAACCTGAGAAAAGATGTTATATTTACCTAGGTCAGATACCTACTATCGATTTCGAAGTAGTTTATTGTTATACTGACTGTGTTAACAAAGTGAATATATCAAACAAAGATGAGCTGGTGAGCTGATATATATGCGTACCTGCCTAGACCTAGGTACCTACCCTAAGGTATCAATCAATGGCCGCGCAACTGGGAAACACAGCGAGTCATGACATCACTCGCTGTCGATTACATCTACAATTCAAAGAGGCGGGCTTTGCTGCGACTTGGCTCACGATGACGGGGATATGGAGTAAAATTCCCAATGATCATGTTTGCGCTTTTACCCCAGCTGGTACGAATAGATTAGGTAGTATGGAATTCAAGATGGCTCGGATTTATGATATAAAAAAATCGAATGTTTTTTGAATAATAATTGTTACAATTGGTTCTGTTTACTATAACAGGTACCTAGTTCAACTGGCATTGCCCAGGTGAATAATGAATTAATTGTACGGTACCTGGCGTATCTTAGTCATCGTGCAGATATGACATCAGACAGCTGCTCCGTCAATGCTGTGCAAGGTGCAGGACCAGATGCATTAAAAACTGTTTGGAGCTTCATCTTAATAATTATGACGTTCTTAAATAAGATAATCAGAATAGTAAATGCATACATACATTAAGTACATAGGTACATATGTTTCCCTTAAGTTCATACTCCCTATTAACACCAGTATTAGACTTTAATTGCTACAGCTGAAAGCACAAGCTGCAAACCTCGAAAATTCGTATTCAAAGGCACGCAATCAGTGTCATTTTGAAATTGGCCGTGGGGTATGATATAACCCGAAATCGTAACCCCCTCGGGGCGCATTCCTAATCCTCATTGATATCCTTCCAATGTTACCAACAACGAAGGGCTTTTCGAACCAAGATATGTCCATAACGAGAAACGTCTGACAAGCCAACATCCTCACATGAGGTCTGCATTAGATGGCTCCAACAGGTCTTCACGTTGAGATATTCCAGTCTTCATAGGTAATTCGCAAGCCGCCTCTAACTGGTGCTTCCGGGTGAGATATTTATCTGACCGGAGCTCCCCACAGGTAAATATCTTACATATTTGGCCAAATTATTCATAACGTAGCTCCTGATTAACCTCATTGGAACATTGAAGAATACCTTCATACGCAACACTACCTAAGTTATATGTAAAAACCCGAGGTGTAACTACCCAAGAGGACTAAAGCTAGCGGTGCCATTTTAGTCGCAACTTGTAGTATGTATGGGCAAAGCTACTACCTAAGGTAGACGATGCCACCCGGCCCGGGCCGCTAGACCATGGCTGGAATATTTCTTTGCTCAAAAGGTACATGGAGTATCCATGTTGTCCTAAAAGCTCGTGTCATATCCGAAAGGTCAATGAAAGGACTTTTGGGTTGGCGATTTTGAAGGACATCTCGTATTAGTGAGCCGCTCAGATCATGTTGTGCCTCTGCTCATACCAGGTAATAATAAGCTTTACGGCGTCAGTGTAACTGACGCAAATAAACCACCGAAGGTGCAATACCTAAATCAAACTATGCGGACTTTGAAGGCTGCTTGCCTCCGGCCTTTGATGTTTTCGGTACTTCAAACACGTTTTATTCGACGAGATGAGATTACAAACACGGTCTGGTCTTGTAGCACCGGGACTTGAACGCCCATGTCGAGGCTATGTTCCGAATAGTACTCAAACATGACAAACGTAACGCTCTCTCAGCCGGTCTAGGGCGTCATTCCCTTCGGGTTAATACTTCTTCTGCTCCTCTAATATCTCCATGCTATTCCCTCCTTTGTAAAAGGAGCAATCTCGATTATAGTAGCTTCATATGGTAATGTATCCATCTTGTACACCTCTAAGCGTCAAGACAAGGCGTATGGAAGCATCTCTGCTATCTAAAAGACTCCGGTCGTATGCAGTACCTACCTACCTTACCTATATTATCCGCTGCGAAATTCGGGTGTTAGCGTCCTGCATCCGCGGTTTGCTCTGCATATTCAGCCTGTAGCAAGTTCAGCCACACGTCCGTTTCTACGGGCCACCACCAAAGATCTTGCTTGTGGACGCTTCTAGATCGAAATTGGAAGACATCCCATCTTATCTGATCATCGTCATGCATTCACCCGACGTCGGTTTAAAGCTGACGACGTTACATTCGTAGGCGAGCCTCAAATTGTCTCAGACACCCACCCACCCGTGACCCGACGGTGCAAACATTCGCTGCTTCGGGGGACGTCGCCACAACTACGGGATCACAACGCTATTCAACTACCGGCTTATCTAGGATAATTTAAACTTCTTATATGGGCCTCAAAGACGTGCTGCTATATCTGACCTCATATGATCTCACGGGAGAGGAAAAAGGTGTGACTGTGGGGGGAGGTGAGAAAAGGGGTGGATTAGCACCACCTCAATATACTGGTATATATAAGTATATATTAATTGATATATAAAAGACAACATTTAGGCTCATAGTCATACTCATGTCCTCTGCTGAATATTTGTGCATGTAGAGGCATAATTACAATATAAGAGAACATTGTTTTTATATTCACTAGTTAACTAGAACAAGTAACTCAGTTTCAAAATATGAATATGATTCTCAACAGATCGATACCTGTATTAACGTCATGTAACTAGGCCTAATGCTGGAAAGAAATCAACTGGTTACTTCCCACAACAAAACACTGGCCTAGAGGCATGTCTTTGGTGGTGTAGTACCATACCATGCATAATAAGAAATGGGACACCATACCTCTTCGAAAATTAACTTTGATTGGCAATTAAGGCTGGCAATTGATGTACCCGTCTTCCCATGTAGTATAGTAGACCATGGTATGTTGACAGGTCCGAGGCAAGCTTCCATGGCGACACAACTACCAAGCCAGTCATCCATCCATCCCCCCATCCCTCACTCAACCTTCCACACATATTCATACATGCAGCCCTTAGCCACGCTATTACCAGGTGACCGCCACTAATAACGAGCAGCCAGGAACCATTTCGCAGATTTACTTCATAATCGCAAATACCAATGAACCAATGTCGTCCAAGTAATAAATTTCTTTTTTTCTCCGAAAAAAAAAAAAAAAAAACTCGATACCAACTCAGGTGTCCGGAACGCCCGCGTCTCTTAATAACAGTATAATGCAAATGGGGACCCCGAGGAGTGAGTCGACGCTTTACGACAGCACGATGGCGCCCCGTCGGTTTTCGCGCAGGTGTAACAAGCCCTGGAGGCCGCAGAATACCAAGAAAGCCTATATATACGCCAAAAAAAAAGAAATTAATTCATGAGTTTTATTTATATATAAGGTATATATATATAGATTTCTTCCTTCGTAACGCGCGATGCGTGATAACGCCAGGAAAATGGAGAGGGAGAGAGAGAGAGAGGATGAGAGAAAGCACTTACCGCGTACACGACTACGGCGGTAAATATGGTGCTCGCGACGGCTTCGGTGTCCTTGGGGTCGTCGGCGCCCCCTACGAATTCGTGGTGCTTGCTTCGGTAGAGGCCGCCGAGGATCGAGAGGATGATGATGGCGAAGATGGAGATGACCACGCTGTTGGTAAGGTGAAGCTTGTGTTAGCAGGCGCTCGGTGAAGACTTGTTGGTTTGCTGTTGATGGAAGGGGAATGAATGCTCTCACCAAGACCAAGCTTGCATGGAACTGACGACGGGCTTCATGATGGGCGGGTTTCGGAGGGGAGATGGGGGTGTTATCGTGTCGGGTCGGGTCGGGTTCGGTTAAGCGCCAGCTATGTTGTAGATGGGTTGCAAGCGTTAAGTTGTTCTATGAGGATGGAAATTGGCGAATGATGGATCACGGATCACGGTGGTTCGGGATGTATGTCATTGGATCGAGGCTTGACTACCTTTGAGGCTGAACGAACTTGGGGCTGTGACCTGGAGACCGGAGCGGGTTATTTTTATCCGATCTAAGGCCTGTCTCCATGGCCTGCGCTGGGCGCATTCCCCTAAGGTACTCAGGTACAAGGTACCTAATTCTTGTTTGATTTTCAACTTTCAACTGCCCTTGACATTCCCAAGTTCCTGGGTTTCCTTGGATAATTCTTTTTTACTTGAATCGAAATTAATGTTTTATCATTATACATTATAATATCATATTAAGATAGAGTTACATGGATTTATCTTGTTTGTCAATATGAGGTATTATATATATTATCGGTCTTTGTCGCAGTTGTAAGTGAGACTGACGCATCGGATATACATTACCAACTCAATTATGGTTGAGTTGTTCATTGGTTTAGATTTTCGACGTTGTCGGATAGCTTGGAAATATCGCGCCTAAAACTATTCGCTTCGAGATGGTCTTTTCTTTTCGTTGCAGGAAAATAAATCCATGGAAGTTTCTTATCCGAAGTTTTCGTGTTAGTCCCGAGACTTATAAGCCTCTAGATACGCGCTGGAGATCGTTCCCGTCACAGCCTCGGTCGCGGCCAACATGAACAGTAGCTGATATCCGCTATAGCCTAACCTAGCGCTAACTCCTCATTCACCAAGGGTCGAATTATTATAAGCAACAAAAATACACAGACAAGTAAGATAGCGTCAAAACGGATACCCTATAATACCCTATACTAACCACCATTATACATAGTATGAGTTATATTACTTGACGCCATCTTGATAAGTCATATTTCTTCTATTGGCACCGTAAGGGGTCGTGTAATTCCGTCAAACAATTCTGATAAGAAGTACATGTCTATATCAAAACAGCACAGGGCTGGACGATGTTAATATATCTACCGAACGCCGATCTGGGGTGAAGTCATACCAACGCATGTCAGAAGTTGATCGAGGTGACGCGAGTTTGCTTAAACTCCGATAAGATCACTCACCTTAATCAAATTGTACCAATGTGAGGGATGGGGGATCATGCAAATTAACCGCATCTAAACCAAAAGCCTGTTTCTTACATACCTAGTATAACCGGCAGAATTGCCCACTGCGGTGGTGTTCGATCGATCGGTGGGCTTTTACAACAACCACGTTGCCAAACTTACCAGTTCGGCTGCTTATAACCAAATTTGGTCAAATTAGGATAGACACAGATGTAAGGAGTAAGGGGAACAGTAGCTTTGATTTGTTCATTGTTAGCTCTTGTTAGTTTGACTCCAACTCAAAAATCTTATCATGGGACCAATACCTTGTGGCTACATGTAGATTTGTAATAGCCAGCCAGTGGGTTTAGCGGTCAAATGTCAAAAAGAGAATAATGAAATGGCTGGTACACCGTACTACCGCTTACGCACCCACCTGGGTATGTACCTGCAGAACGGCGGCTCGAAGCCTGCAGCTAGCGGGCTTGTCTAATTTGGGGTCTAATTTAGGGGGTTGTAGATAGGATACACTAACGTAGAGATGGATCTCCCACCGTTTTTACTGGATGGGACGGACCATGCATTACCTATCAATATCCCGCTTTGATTTTCTTTATTTTTGTCTCTATTTTTACGATGCATGGGCATCTATGCATAGACTAGCAGAGGCCTCATTTGTGATATCAATACAAAATAGCACGTGTATACTTTCCTCGAGTACAAGAAAGGCACAGGTACAAGGCTTGTTTATATTTGATTGGTCGAGCTTTGATCTGCTATTCCTACGGTGGCACAGTTTGATCTCTTTGGGGATTTTGGTTTGTTGATATAAGTGGAGAGTATGTACTTGTGCCTTTCTCGCGCTTGAGATACGGTATACTACCTAGTATGTACACATGGTCAGGTAGCATTAGCCTCGGTATTGTTGTCGTTAGCGTTGTCGTTAGTGAAATAGGGGGGGCTTCTACCGTTCTACCATGGCTGAGCAACCCGGACTTTCTATTTCCATGTGTATTATTAGAAGAGGCTTGGGGGAGCGCAAATCAAATTCGGTGGTTTAGCACCAGCCATGCAGAGGGTTAGCTACATTGAGATTTACAAAAAAAGGAGCTGACGTGAGAATTGGCCGGTGAATAGGAAAACAAGCCTCCCCTTCCTGCATTTGTGGTATTCCCTATGGTATTATGCTTTCCACGTAACCAACCGTTAAGAGCGTCGTCTTTCTTTCTTTGTTCTCCCTTGGAAGTCTTCGCTTCCAGTCACTGTCATGATTATCGTGGCGACATGTAGAATTAGAACCTGTAGACTGAAATTACGGATTCGGGTACCGGCAATACTACCTAACCTATGTACATCCAGAACAGTGTTTCTAAATGTTTCTTGTTTCGTTTGTTCCCGTCCCTCCGGATAATCTGCTTGGCTTTCTTGGCTTCCACGACCACACTGTTCTTTGCAAGGTTGGCTCGGACCAATCCTGTGTGATTCGTTCATGTCACTTGGCTGATCCTTGCAACTCTACGTTGATTTGCTGTCCTACGTCGCCAATTTTGGGCAATGCTAGATGAGGAATGATGCAAGGTCCCATGGGTGGACGTTAGTCTCATCAAATGTCTACATAGTACCAGCGGCCATACCTTTCCGCAGAGGCGATGGCGGGTGAATTCGACTAGGGAGTGGTGAATCCTAATAGTGATGTTCGGACAAGGTATTGTTCATTGGTTGTTGGGTTGCTAGGCTGCGGGCTGTGAGTTGCAACGGTGAAACCATCATTGAAGGTAAAGTCTACACTAGACGGCTATAAAGACTTACAGCCTCCAGTCAGTCCCATTGTTCCTCTCAACTTGTCTTTGTTAACTCAACACTGTCTGACTCCCGACCTTTGGACGCAAGAAAGCTAGGAACAAACAAGTACAAAAACGGTTCCTTAGGGTAGAATTGGAATAAATTCGCAAGCTACGCACCACCTTTCGGAGACTACAACATCCAGAAATCAAACACGCCAGCTACAAATCGCCAGACTTGATCAATCGGAATTTAATTTTTACCTGCTACCACATTCTCCCACGCCAAAATGCGTGTATCCAATATTATTTCCCTCTCTGCCATTGGCGCTTCGAGCGTCCTAGCCCAGAACAACGCCACAGGTGTAAGTCTCAATAATTTTTTTAATATATATCTCTAGACTATCTAAAACTAACTTATGTTATCAGAAATTGGGCGATGCCGCTGCCATTACTGGTAACCCGATCGGCAAGACGGCTATTGCTACGTTACCCGAACAGCCATTCTGGAAGGGAAGCCTGAATGGAAACGTACAAGGCTCCGTCGTGGCCAAGTCCGGCTTAAATGGCGAGGGTGTCGACTACGAAATATCATTCTCAAACTTACCTCAAGAGGGCGGTCCTTTTAGTATGTTTCTTTATGATAAATCTTTTCCCTATAATATCAACTAACCTCTATTTAGTCTACCACATTCACGTCGCTCCCGTTCCGGAAGACGGCAACTGCACCGGCACACTTGCGCACCTTGATCAATATATTCGCGGCGAGGACCCCGCTTGCGACTCGTCCCGACCGGCGTCGTGCCAGCAGGGAGACCTCAGCGGAAAATATGGAAAGATCCAAAGCTCGGAGCCGTTCACTGCCAAGTTTCACGACCCGTATACGTCCTTGAAGGAGGGCGACGGCGCCTACTTTGGCAACCGAAGTGTTGTATTCCACTTCGCAAACAAGACCCGTATCACCTGCGCCAACTTTGCCGTTCAGGGCTCGAACACCACCGCGCCGTACCCCACCGGAACCGGCAGCCCCGTCAAGACTTCGCCCGCACCTACGGCTTCACCAAGCATTCCTGTTGACAACGCAGGCGCCGTTCTTAACGTTCTTAAGAACCTGGCGATCGCTCCTGTCGTAGCAGGCTTCCTTGTTCTACTATAAACGTAACTAATATGCTCGGGGTCAATGGCAATCAAAAGTTACTTAGCTAATTCGCATATGTTGGCGTTACGGAGATGATTTGGTAGACTTCGGAAACTAATCGTTGACAATGCCTTGACGTCTATGGACATCAAAGGATTTAATGGGAAAGGGCACACTATTAGTACCGCCCTGTTTATGTGTATGATGTTCACGGCCGGCAACAAAATATTCTATAGTAATAATTACCAAGTTTAGTAGTATCTTTCTGGTCTAACGTGTTCCCTTGTAACGTGCATTTCTCTGACCGCTTCATCTCTACCCACTCGTCCAATGCTATGCTGTGTCGTGGGCTCTTGTCAACATCGTGTTAAGTCCGTTTGAACACTAGTGACAAGATAGGATTCCATCCCACCATCTCGGCGTACTGCTTACATGTGTGTAAGTCAGAATAGTAAGAATCCAAACGTACGAGGGAATGAACTAGTCTCAATAGTAGTTCCCATATCGTGTTTTAGGAAGGAGGAGGTGAGAGCGTGACCGCGGGATTAAGCGTAAATCAGTATCAGACTTCAACCGGGTGCTTGGGGAGACGCCAACGATTACGCAGCTATCCGAAAGCAACAAGAAGCGTTAGGTAGTATCCCGAAAGCCATGCGTTCCGGTCACTTCTGTCACTTTTTATTTTTTGAACAAAACAAAAGTTGATATATGATAGCTTACTGGACAGAGTGCCGCGTAGGTTTAGGTTAGGAGGTAGATATAGACCCAATTGAGCCGGAGAAACTAACAGCCTAAGTCAGTTTTTGCTTGGAGGATTGTGCTTAAAAATAAAACATGCTTTATAAATCAAGACAACTCTCACAATCTTACCTGTTGGTAAAGGTTCATTCCCGTTATGTCCATGGTGTTGTGACACCGGATAACGACGCCGCTACTCTCAAGCCCAAGTCTTACCACCCAAAGGTGATATATTATCTACCTACACAACTAACACACCTTACCTGTTATCAAACTAGCGCGACTACTGATCAGCCAATGCTCAGGTTTCGGATAGCGTGGCCATTGACGATCAACGTTATGTGCTCTTTGGCTTTGGAGACAAGAAACCCTAAAACCATGGAGATGAATGATAGCTCCGCGATCCCCTCTGTCTCAGAGCGGGAAGATATCAATGACTCAAACTGAATCAAGGACAGTTGACGAAGAGCCAAGGAAAAGAGTTTCGGTCCGGAGCAGACATCCGGTCTTAACTATGATCGGGCCGTATCGGCGTTGGCATGTTCGCTTAGAGGTAGGTATTTACGTAGGACGGGCGTGTTAACTAACTCTTCTTTATACGTAAATTTGTAGAAACAACCTCGCTGTGTAAAATGTAAATACATCTTCATAGGACTAACAGGTAGGTATGTACATATATACTACCTACTAGATGGTCGATAGGACCAACATCAGCAAAGGAGAAAGAAATTACGTCAGTTATCAACTCTGGATGAGCCACCAATCTGCCATGGTCGTGACGAGACATTTTACTGTAACGTTCGCTGTAGACAAGCATACCTACGCACACCTACCTACATGAGACCCCCCCATACCTATGCATCCTATACCTGTGAAAGGCTTTGATCGGCAACCCAGCTGCAAGTCTATAAACGCGGCTCACCGGTCTCCATTTAAGCTTCCCCATCCATCAAGTCCAATACCGGTATGTATGTTTCAGTTCATGCTTGAAGACTGGAGGTGCGATGTCTCGCGCTTGGACTTGCTTGTCAATACCACCTCTAAGCGCTGTATACAGTTAGTTTTGTGAATGATTCAGGCTGCGTCCGCAGATGGTACCTGGTAGCAGCCATATTGGACGAATGAAGGATGCTTGTAACGTAAGGCGTTCGTCACTCATCGACTGCCAACATGCTCGTCCATTCAGATTCTCGTCAAATAATGGGACCTGCAAAGCATTTTACTGGCATAAGTTGGGGTTGTATTATTGCTGCTAATTCTAATGAAGCGTACATTCAGGTCGCTTGCCCACCGGAAAGTCTATCCCGCGACCTTGCCTGCCCATTCGTATTGGCGCTCCTTCGAGTCGTAGATGCCAGTTAATCCCATCCGGTTATATCGGGGTTACTTACCTAGTGATACTACATCTACACAATATAATATACGCATATACTCGTACCTGGTGATGTATTACTTATCATTGGTTAGGAGAATTTAGTGCGTGGCTTTCAGCTTTCAGTGTGGTGTGTACGGATACTTGTATGAATCCAAAGTGGCCATAGAGGTGGCGCCCCAGGGGCAGCAGCTGGCCGGTCGTCTGCAAGGCTGAGTTACGTCCTCACCTGAGTCGCATGCGTCTAAGAATAAGGTGAATGGGGTTGTATTGCCACGAGGCCCGGCTAGAGCGAACGTAGAGGGGGAGGCTGTACAGGCTCTATGCAAGAAAGACTGGCCCTCAGTCCGGGTTGGTCCAGGAAACTGTGTTCCCGACCTCTGATAGGCCTCCCAGGCAAGCAGCTTATCGACTAGCAGTTCCAAAAATGGACGTGACTTATCGGATCCCTCTATGATAGGCATCGTTCGTCCGAAAATGGGAGATCTTCGCACTCACACATGACGTTGTGCCCGCCAAGACCGGGTGCGTTCCTCCAGACACACCCAGATCTAGCGCGGATGCAGCCCGTTCCTAGGGGTCTAGCCTTCATCCTTACATACGGGATGCTGTCCCAGGCTTTCCCAGCCGCGAGGACGCAGGAGATCTGACCCTAATGCAATGCGCGCGCTCGGTATGAGCCGGGGTAAGCTGAGTAGGAGGGTAGGTCTGCAGCTGTCAGGACCCGGGTGAGGTCTCCAATGAGACGTGATATCATCACTTAGAGATCTTTGTAGCGATTAGGTAGATCTAGGTATGTTGGGCGTTGCTACGATTTCGCCGAAGTTCACTCGGGGATTCGTGCGAGGGGCTGGTGGTGATATCCATTCCCAAGAACATGGTCTGGGGTAAGCGACCACTCTAATCGTGGGGAGGTGGGAGCCATTGGGGAGAAAATATGATAGCTTGACAATAAACCGATGTCTATAGATTCGTGATTGACAAAGTCTCTAGTCAATAGACTTGTCAATAGGAGGCCTGACTTGGACTAGGCGCAAGTTCAGCAAGCTGAGAGACGTTCATGTCAGCTAATAACAAAAAGAGCTCTCTCCTGTTCGGGTTACGACTTAAAGTCCGTGTGCGCTATGCGCGAAATCATCGCGACAAGGGGCTCGACAGATCCCGGTTGCACCCTTACGCATCACAGATTTTTCATCCGGGTTTCCGAAGAGGGTGCGCTATCGGGTTGAATATGCGGCGACACGAAGGTACTTTGCTTTGGAGCTGGCCAAGTACGGGATTAGAACTTTGAGGGTGCCTTTGTGTAAGAAAGCAAATGCGAGATGTGGTCCATGATTAACAGAGCTTTCGTTCCATTGCAGCTGGATCGATGCAACACACCAAAAACCAACCTGCAGCGCAAATCGAGGCTAAGCTTCTGAATAACCCAACCTAACTCAGCCACAGGTATCTCGATTCGCCCGAAGCGTTTAAGATTTGTCCGCCTATCAAAGACACTAGCATATTAGAATTGGCCCCAGGTTAGGGCGTTATTTGGAGATAGGTGCGTGACCCGACGGCAGTTTACTTGAAAGTATGCGACGCTCCGAACCTCGAACGGAACAGAATGTTTAAGTCTCAGATTGCGATAGGCGCTCTAGAGCTCTCACGGTAGTAGCTGGTTCAGCGCGGATCTTGTTAGGCTCTGCGATTGGTTCGAGCTAGGTGTGAATCGAGCCTCGTGGGCAAATATTGTCAAGGGTTTTGTATTATAGAGTTGTCAAATTTGGTGATCCCGGGGGAAGGCTGCATGAGTTGGGAATGACAAAGTAAAAAAAAAAGGGAGTCTCTTTAAGAGACAACATAAACAAGCTTCCTAATGAATTTGGAGGCTTGAGGCTTGCGTCCTCATGTCCCTTGAATCTGCAATACCCCTACTTTTAGGGCTTGTTAACAGTTGGCTAGTAACTAAAGATACGATGATAGAGAGCAAGGATAGAAGGCAATTAATAAATAACAACTACGAAGTATCTCATTACCAGATACATGGTCTTGGCGGTCTTAGCATTGGGACCGTCATCAAACCGCCTCAAATTTCTTTTTGCGGTCATTCCTCCAACTCCCATGCCGACTCCTTATCCGTTGTTTAACCTTTCCCCCCTCCCCTTCTATTCTAACCCCATTGTATCCCACCGCAACAACTACTTTCATACGAGATGGGATTGCAGCTGTGCAGAGTGAGATGGCCAGGGGGTCTCTCGAGTCTAGATGCAGATACTTACAGGACTTGCAGGACTTGCAGGAAGTTGTGCCCTATGACGCACACCCTCCAGTTCTGGAGGTCGGCGACCACTTTCTCAAAAAGTAGCAGGGATCGACTCTCTCTACATACTACTTCACACTACACACTACCTAACACACTACAGAATTAAACTACGTACCTCGAATACTCCCTCATGGCATACGAGCCATACAAGGCGAGCTAGGGTTGGGATCGATTCAAGAGGTCGATGACAGCTGCAGCTAACCCGCCTCGAGTACAACTACTCGCAGCTCTTGGCCGTAACTTCGCGGCAAGCATGCCACCCCCTCCGTGATGATTGGGCTGGGAGTCCGTTCAGATACCGAGGCCGTTGCACTCGTTATTCTCCCCGCAACGCTTGCCTGAAAGAGGCGCTCGACCTATCCAGATGCACGAAAGAGCACTGAACGGCGGAACTACCGCCAAATAGGATGGCTTTCCTATCTGAACCCATGTCCTTCGTGTCTTAGATGACCCTTGTAAGTGGTAATAGTGTCTGCATACTTACACGACTCTGCCGCGATCGGTTGGCCTGCTTATTCCGCCAGAGCCTCTTCAGTGCCTAAGGTTCAGAGGTCCAATTTGGACATCGTCCCAACTTGAGCCTTTTCCCATCGCAGTTGAACGGCAATTACACAGTAGCCTTATCGAGTACGCATCTAATACTGTACCTAGTACGTCCATGGCTCCACATCGCGAAGCCGACTACCATTTATTTTTTAATTTTTTCTCTAGCGAGCCGTCCCAATCATATGTCGTTCGCTATCCCTTTTGCATCTGACACTTGCGCCTCTTACACTTTAGTAAAGGTACGTAGGGCCCACTAGCTTACGCCAACCGTCCATCTCCAAACCTCGTCAAGGAAGGCATCAAACTTATCCCTTTTCTCACCAACGTTCCTCTCCGGGGAAAAACTCTGCAAGTGTGCAAAACTACCTCCTACTACATAACTAGTAGCATCCTGAGAGGGAATATGGGCTGCTTTCGGAGAGGAGACCCGGTACGTATCAGCATCGTCGCTCCTAAAAGGGAAAAGGTCAGGTGTGTCAGACCAAATCGAGGATCCAATAATCTCTACCAGTCTCTCATCATCAGATGTGCGTCAAGTATCCCTGAGGGAACCGTCTACAGCTACGATGTGTCACTAGATCGCGGTCCCTAGCGTACGATGTGCTGCGCCTACTGTTTCCTTATCGACTCGCCAAGATGCTCAGTCGTCCGGTCATCCGCTTGTGCTAGGCTCTTCCAGTTTCCAGCATGGCATACAGCCAATGGTCGACAGCAGAGTCGCTCTCGCACGCCGCGCCACCACCTCGTTGCTGACCTTTCTCGACGAGAAGATGTAGGGCGGATATCACCCCACGGGCCGTACCCATGCTTCCCGTTATGGACCACATGAGTGGCGGATGAGGAGGTGGACGTTGAGTATAAGATCCTTCGTCTGGACCCAACGTTTGTTGGACAATGGCCCCCTTGGAAGACGCAACACAAGCAACACAGGCACTAGCGCGGGAATTCTTCTTTGCTACAATCTCGGGAATACATATAATCCCAAGTGTATCTTCTCCCTCCCTTCTCCAGCTTAGTTTTTTTGGCATATCAACAAAGTTTGAGCATCTATTAGCCTACCTCCCTAGGTGTATATAACCAATGCCACTCTTCACCATGTCTAAAGGGTATAACAGTGACGTGGAAGCTCTACGTCAAAAGGAGTATCCTCATATGAATGATGGTACGTCTTCTGTTGGGCTGATTCTATACACCAACTTACCTATAAGCAGGAGTGTACCTGGATCATAGCGGAGCTACTATATATGCCAAGTCTACCGTTGAATCATTTTGCACCAAAATGATTGCCAACTTATACGGAAATCCGCACTCGGAAAACTCACCGGCTAAGCTTTCTGGGGACGTTGTTGACCTAGTTCGCGAGAAGACGCTTAAATTCCTCGGTGCAGATCCAGAGCACTTTGACTTGATTTTCGTAGCGAACGCTACGGCTGCTATCAAGCTCGTTGCTGATTCCTTCAGGGATCTGTCTGAGAAGACCAGCGATCGAAGGTTCTGGTATGGGTATCATAAAGATGCCCATACGAGTATTGTGGGGGTTAGGGAACTCACATACGGGCAATCTTACTGTTTCCAGAACGACCAAGAAGTAGAGAGATGGCTCCATTCCCCAGAGTCGAGTTACCTTAACCGGCACCATCTCGGCGGTTTGGGGTTGTTTGCCTACCCTGGACAGTCCAACATGTCGGGTAGAAGGCTGCCACTATCATGGCCGGGAATTCTACGCCAATCAGAATACTTACAGAACACCTATACTCTTCTCGATGCCGCAGCACTAGCCATGACGTATCCCATGGAAAACGTCTTTCGAGATGTCAATCAAGCCCCTGACTTCACATGTCTGTCCCTATACAAAATCTTCGGCTTCCCGGATATTGGGGCATTGGTCGTTCGCAAAGAATCAGGGCACATTCTGACTCTGAGGAAGTATTTTGGCGGAGGTACTGTTTCCATGGTTGCTACGTTCGGCGAGAATTGGCATAGGTCGAAAGGCCTACAAGCGCCCACCTATAAGCTTCACGAAGGACTTGAAGACGGAACATTACCGTTCCACAGCATTCTCGCGCTAGGTGAGGCTATTGACGTACACAAGAGACTATATGGTTCAATGAGTCGAATTTCGGATCATACTTCCTACCTCATCTCCAGACTGTTCCGAGGTATGCTCACTTTGCGCCACTCCAACGGCCGGCCGCTTTGCCGCATCTATAACGAAAATGGCGACTTCGAAGATTCGTCAAAGCAGGGCTCTGCAATTGCTTTCAATGTATTACGGGCGAGTGGTCATCACGTCCCCTACTCTGACGTTGAGCGTTCTGCCAACGCTGCGGGCATCTACATAAGATCCGGAGGTGAGTCTATTTATAACTCCCAACATTGGTGCGCATCCGGTGTTGGTCAATTTAGCTAATCCTACTAGGCGTCTGCAATCCTGGCGGAATATTCACAGCCCTTGGTTATGAACCGTGGATGACGGAGCGCGCCCTATCGGCAGGGCACCATTGTGGCTCACATGGCATAAGCATCATCCATAGGCTTCCCACAGGGTACGTTACAACTGACCTTTCGTCTTACCCTCCCTCGCGCAAGTACTCCTTTGCTATATTGCTATATACTGACGCATCATTATTATTATACAGTATCGTACGCGCTAGTCTGGGGGCCATGTCGACGAAACAGGACGTTGACACCTTCCTGGATTTCCTACGCACTACGTTTCTCGAGGACGGGCAGGATTGGACATCTTCGACTCAGACGACTGCTCGCTCTGAGCGAGCTGAAGCCTTCGCCTTTGACCTTCCCGTTAATTACACAACGAGTAACTTCCCTGACGTACGAGAGGTTCCACGCCCGCGCCCTATGCTACACCATTTCACATCAGCCCCTGAAGCCACGCCAAGGGTGAATCCGCTTGCGATGCATGACTTAATTCACGGCCTCGCTACTGTGAAGTGAAAGGGGACGAAAAAAAAGAAAAAGAAAAAAAAACGGTAGGCTAGAGTTGGTTTCCTAGGCGCTTATATTTCCTGGTGAAATATTGTCAGGTTTCCTTTTTTTTTTGTGTACCATCTTTGCCCCTGCACTCACATCCTGTGGTTAAGTCTGGAGTAATATACTTGTGTTTAAGCCTGTCCGTGATCGGGTCAAGGGATTATATAGTACCACACACATCTAGTTAATAATGTACGGACGTTTTTTGACCGTTTATGAATTTCATCTCGACGAACCCTATCCCCTTTTCGTGTTGATTTCATCTCGCGTTACTCATCGTAGTTGCGAAGGGTGTGCACACCATTTCAACGTGGTTCTCGGGTTTTAAAGAAGAGGACCGCGGTTAAGAACAGAGTAGTATTACATGCATTATTAATAGGTATCGTAATGTTTTCCTTCGATTTTGACTGGTCTGACTTAGTCTTGTGCTCTTCACCCACCAACCCCATATCTCCCCATATCACCATGCCATTTCGTACCTGTCAGATAATGACAACAACATTCTGCTTGTTCCACTAAGCAGTGATAAAAGCCACAGCAATCTTAGACACCCCCTCCCTGGCCCCCAGGAACGACGGTGAAGGGATCTAATATCCTCCTGCTTGCTATTATTCTCAATAGTTTCTTCTCACCGGTATAGTAACCACCAGGCCATGAGCTATCTAGATACCTCCTATGCCGTGCTTGAAATTTCGGTAATCGGTGGTTGTTTATTACACCGTGGCGCATATTATGTCAGATCGCAAGCCATCGATTCCGAAGTCCAATAGATTTGCTGCATTTTAACTCGTTTCCGCCCTGGCGGTGCCCGTGTATGCAATCAATATGCGCACCCCACGAAAAAAGAAGACCTTATTATAACGTTAGGTATACCTAAGGTAATAAGGTACCCAAAAGCGATCGATATTACACGGGGGTCCGCATGTGCAAGTAATTCATCCTTTTCCGCCCGGGAAGGATGCTATTGCATATCAGGTACCTTTAGATGACGCTCTCTCGGTGTGACACGAAATAGAAAACATCAATAGAGAGACACGGAAGCATCGCCATGACGCGCTCCTAAAGGATTGTTGAACTAGAGACTACAGTTAACCCCAACACTGTACCTGATCTATATCTGGATGATGGTTCACACAAGCTGCCTGCCTGCCGGTTACTTCTTATGCGATACGAGCAGAAGATAAGGTAGCATTGAGGAGCCAGATCGTTGAATGCGGCGGGTAGCAACACAAGGATGAGGCGCAAAGGGTAAACGGAGTTACGCAGTTTGCATGCACGCTCCTTTGGAAACGTTTGATTTGCCGAACGTTGGAATATCTCGCATGCCTCCGCTGTGTATTCCCCGATGTCTCGCCTTATACTCTATTCTCAATGGCCTTTGACGAAGCTGCGCCTCAGTGAAGCTTTTTTTGACGTTACCCCAAAAGCATCCACGACAACCCGGCACAATTTTCACGGTTGGTAATAGGTACCTCGAGCCGGCAATTTAAAGCATGGCAGATTGCTTCTAACCTACCTAACCTACCTACCTAGTTCTGTGTCACGATAGCGCGTCTTTTAGGAGAGAGTCAGCCTTTGTGATACCCTATACCACTTCGCATAGCGGGAGCCGGGTCGCCGGAGGGAAGCTCTTCGTATGAAATGCCATCAAGTTTGAAAGTACAGTAATCAGATGACGGCACCCCTCATTTTAGTTCGAATAAGACTGGACCCGGAATGCAAGGAATGTCGCAATATTGGGAGCAACCGTCTAATAACAAACTGTGGTCGTACCATACTGACGAGAAGACCGGTAGACGCGGTAGTTGTCCTGTTGTCGTGTATCCTCTTAAGGCGTGTTCGAATACAAGATTTCCTTTCATGGCTTCCGCAAACCCGACCATATGCCCCTTTAGTCCTTTACGGCCTTTTTCGTCTTGCCGATTGCGGCTACGCTTCCTTACTTGGAGACTAGGTGGAGAAGAGCCTTAGGGGTTAATCTCTGGTTCACCCACTAATTCAACATAGCCGCATCATGAACTACGATCAACCGCTCTGTGATAATGACTCTAGGTGCGCAGGTATGATCCAGGACGACAATTGTGTCCCACAGTGTCGCAGCCACGTAGTACGGGTAAAGAGCCGGATGGGAAGTCTGTAAGACGGTCAGCTTATTTGAAGTCTACTAGCCGGAAAAATGGGTCTACCAGCAGTTCAAGGCATTAGCTGCTTATCTACAGGTAGGTAACCTAGGGTATGATAAATGGATTTTGAGTTCGGAAGCTAGATGTCTCGTTTTGGCCAAAGGATTATTATACTCAAGGTAGTAGACTAACTAGTAGGTACCAATGAGATTAGCCTACCTTCCACCTAAAGTCATGTATTAGGTAGAGATAAGTCAAGGTTTATAATCAGGTAAAGTAGGCGTGATAGCAACTCAAGGTTAAGTACCCGTGTATTGACTACGGGAGTTGGATTTAAGGTTATCTACGGTAAGCATTTATGGGGGGATTCAATCTACGTCGAGATAGGAGCCCTTGAAGTCTTTAGGGATGCGTCGTTAGTGATAATAATTAAGTGATTCGGTACACTCCCATTACTCAAGCTTTCCACCTACCTGTCAGGAGTCTCACTTGAGACTCCTTGGAACAAAGGAGCTATTTTGTATATAGCTTTGGCTTCAAAGCAACTGTAGTTAGAGTTCCTTGCGGAACAACGAAGTTATTTTACCTACTGCATTCTCTGCGACGTGACACTACCTCTAGGTAGGTTAGGTAGGCAACGTCTAGGTTGAGCCGTTTACTCCAAATATTTGATATTATATCCACCTCACTTTCGGACACGAGTTTTGAGAAATACGAGGTGTAACAAATATGAGTTTCTTCCAAGTTTTCATAGAAAGTGTGGAGTGGTTATGTGCCTTTAATAAGCGTTTGCCGTTCCATGGGGAGTGTTGGCAGATAGGGGTGACTAAAGGGGGTTAAGTGATTCGACGTAGGTTTATATAAGAGGTAGGGTATGTTCACCATCCCATCTTATGAGTAGCACGGTCTTACAGAACCACTGTTGTGCTTGGTGAGCTACATGTTTGCTGCTGCTGTCGTTCCTTCATGGCGTTTTGCGTTTGTGATAGAGACGCTGCCTGGCCCGACAACAACGACGTAACGGAGAATCAATTCTCAATTAATCTGTATAATTGGGCCTATGCATACCTACCTGGGTACCTTCGGTAGTTACAAAAAGCTAATATGAACCTGCTTAATGAAACTTATAAAATTCCTTACATGTAAGGTGCTTATCTCATAATCCTACCTCTATTACATTAGATACCTGTCACCGAATGCCGGTCTCTATACCACTCACATCAGATACCTTAGGCTAGGTAGGCATACAAGTATTCCCCTATCCACTGAGAAGTCTGATGACGAGATAGACTGGTATTGTATCACTATGTGCTATTGGCATCATAACGAGGTATGTACAGCATGTGGCTACCTACCTACCTGGTATATTATCGAACTATCAGAGAATAGTTAGCTGCGGTACAACGGGTGTATTACTTTCATTAAATTGGCAATTGGGAAAATTGGTTTATATCTATGCCAATAATTCTTTTCGCCCTAGCACCTATGATCTGATTTTAAATTAATGACGGCGTTGCCTACGATATGGTACCTGATAGTGGACTTGATCTGTAGTCAACATGCTGTGGGGCATTATTTTATGCAAGATTAGGCGTGCTGTGATCTGGCATATTATAGCCTTCTTTGTGAGAATGTGGCTGTCTCAGAGCGCCAAAGAACAATAGAGATACCCCTTGGTGTAGACACCAGGTATCAGGTCTATATAAAAGGGGCCTGGTTCAAGTCACCAGCATGAGTCTACAAGACTACCCCTCTCTTTCAACTCTACGCAACTACAACTTCTAACAGAGATTGCTACCTACTGAGCACAATCCTGAACTAAAACCAGAACTTTCGAATATTCTCATATCTTGTCGAATGTCCAATTTCCCAAGAATGCTTTTCACTTACATCGGTTAGGTATTACCTATCTAAGCCGATGTTAAATATAACATTAATATGGGCATCAATATTAGCTGTAAGCCAGTCAGCAATGGGAATGTAAAACCGCTATAAGGAGTCTTACAATCCTTGGACATTAGATACTAGGTAGGTAGGTAAGTACCTAGCCTACCTGATGTGCTTTTGGTCTTCATATTGTACAAATAAGTGGGAGATGAGAAGTGATGTATGGCTCTGGTGTTACTTGAGTCAACTTGGCACGAATTGTAGGTAACTAGCGAGATTTCATGTCTAATAGAAAGTTGATAATTTATAGTCCTCACGTCGTTAACTTTAGTCTTGTATTCTTTCTTTATGGCTATAGCTATAGTGGATACGAGTCAACATACCTAATGTTTCTGCTATTCGTTGTCACAAAAGGATATAGACTGTGGAACTATATTGCTAATGTTTGGAGATAAAAGCACGAAAAGAAATGAGATTCTGAACGCCATGTCTCTTGTTACATCAAGCACAGATCATGTTGAGCTCCCTGAAATGCAGCTAGTGGGAAAAATGTGAGACTAGAGGAAGCCAGTGGCTTTCTCAATCATGCTGAGTGGCGGGGGTACGATGAATCTCGCCCTTCGCTACCGATTAAGAATCCCGGAAATCGGCCCGAGGTTCTTACATTGAGCAATGTTTGTGAAAGACACACTGAGTAGAAGATCTCACGTGGCCTCAATTCCTCGAATACCCAGATGCCTGCCCTGCAACGTAGTAAAGTAAAGTAGGTACTAAAAGTAAACTTAAGATAACCATATAAACCTCAAGTGCGTCGGGTATGTAAGACAATACCGCTCTACACGTGGCAATCGGAGCCACGTAAGTCTGGATTATCCGTCAAGAAGAGGCTCAATGCATATCTCCACGGAGTGCAAGACAATGGCTTGTAATACAAGCTAAATCGACTCCAACCCTGGTATCTCATAACTCAGAAGTCTCACCGATAGAAATGAACGTTTACCAACAGCGAGTCGGTGAGTTAGTTGGTGCTGTATGTTCAAAATGCACTCCACTCCGTTTAGCAATTTGATAGTGACGTACGATTCGTTCGGAGGATTCTATACGCACCTACCAGGTAGGTAGGTAGGTAGGTAGGTTTCAGAGAGCCTTTGCCACTTTTCCGTCCAGTCGAACGACCTTGAGGTAGAGAGTCTAAAGGCTTGAAAGGCTTTACTATACCTGACAAGGAAGTGGAAGGCGAAAATTTCTGCTCGGCGCCTTGCGTGATGCAGAATATGGTATTTACCATTTGACCCTTATTTATAAGCAGGTTAGCCTTGATGATAGGCTTTCTGCTATGATGTCGACGTGTAAAGCGAGGAGACAAAATAGTCAATGTGTTTGCGTTAACGCCACTTTCGCAAGTGATACGGAGATCCGCGACATACCGATCTCTATTGGTCTAATCAGCCTTAATTTTTACTAAAGAGCTTTTGATATGGAAAGATTCTCCCATAATCCTAGTAAAGAGCTTAGGCGCCCAGGTTATGCATAATCTGTAGTCTACTCGGGGCAATTCTATATTATGTCATTTGTCTAATCCGCCGACGGCAACTGGCCCAAGAAGCGAGGCAAGACTATTCAAGAGGCATCCTCCCTATATAATGAGCGCATAAGAAAGGCTAATGCCGGACCGCTCACCGATTTTCCGAATGCTAGGGGTAGTAGATATACGAGCCCATGAGGAATTGGGCTCTTGTGGTATTCTGGCTAAAAGGAGATCAAACAAGAGGACAGTAATCAAACATTTGGTTTAGTTGAACTCATGGGCTAAGTTGCGATTTTTTCTGACATGAACAGCCTCTCTGAACTCCCACCGGCCTCGGGGAAGTTGAGTTAAGAATCACCAGGCGCCATTCTCATGTATAAAGCTTTACTACTTTCATCATGCGTGTAATGGGTACGGACCCGAGTAGGTGGACATGTGATCCGTTGAGTCGTCCTGTTGGGTATTTTCGGCCAGTAAGAGACTCCTTATGCATGTAAAATCATGGACTGCATCTCTGGCACCGCTGGTGTATGATAAGAAATGGACACCGGGGTCCTGGTTGGCGTGCCTGGTGATGAAACGTAAGGAATCACAATTTGATGCTTCCGAGGAAGATATTGAACCTTAAGCGAATCTAAGGATATGAGATCCTAAAAGATTTTTTTTTTTTTTAAAAAAAAAAGAATTATTTATGGATGGCGTGAATACCCCCCTGTCAGTGCATTACACACTAAGGGGGTGATCTTCGTCTTTCAAGCATCTTAAACATGTATTCTGATTTCCTGATACGGCTTTATGCACCTCAAAAAATGCATATCACATGTAGTCCAAGGTCATCTGCGTCAGTCTGCCTAACCTATCACTAGCCAGGTATCAAGCCGACAGCGACACTGATGAAGCTAAACTCCAGGTTCACATTGCGGGCCGCTCCTAGACCAAGATCCTACCCACCTAGGTAGGTAGCTACGCGAAGCGGTTTTCTATCTTCACATCGCATATGTATTACCACCCCCGTTTGACAATCCGAACTTATCTGATTAGGTATGCCGGCCTAAAACCTAAGACGTTATTAGCAGTCATTTAAATATCTTAGGTACCTTGCCTCAGGTAGGTACCTTAGGAGGTAGTTAAGTCACCTGAAAGGAGAGAGTGAAGACGTAATGAGGGAAACCTACATGGTGGAAAGCAATGCTATTGCAGCTCCACCTCACCCTTGGCGACAACCCCTGCCTATACCCCAAAGTTCCCGATATTATGGTAAGAGAGGAATCATTTCTTAGCAGCATGCTCAGCTTCAGGTTCAGCATGATTTACTTCAAGCCACAGACATCTAGAGACTTGATAAATGAGCATCAGTCAAGAGTGTGTCTTGGTTCATCTTACTGCAGGAATATAGAGGCTATCACATACTTGTTATGAATCTAAGAGCGTGCCTAAGTGTTCCGATCCTAGTCGCACATCATTTTTGATCGGCAGCCACTGTGAAGTTGCAATGCTGGTCTAAAGCATGAATCAAACGAATTTTCCGCGAGAAGTTCATCCTATCCTGTTCGGCTGAAAGGCTTATGCCTGCTAGTTCTTTGGAAATTTTGCTGGCTTCGGCAAATTGGTCAGTATGAGCCTGAGCTAGGGAAATCTTGCTAGTATGAGGAAGCTCTTTGCAATCTACAATTTAAGCCGCACTCCAGTTGAAGCGATCTAGCCTTTAGATCATCCGTTAGAATGGAAGATCTTGGAGGTGATTTCTGCGCCGCATCGAAAAGGGGGTGGGCAATAAGGGAAGGAAGTAAATAGATTAGACCTATATGTGTCTGGACTTGCTGCAATATCAATGTATCGTGCTGCTGTATCCCGTATAGTTCCATCACCCAATACTGAGATCCTGATCTTCCCTTGCTTCCCCAAATCTTTACCAGCCATTTTACCGGGCTGCTGGGATCGTAGGAGCTAGTATTAACCTAACTCCTAACCTAAGGCTGATGCAAAAGCAAGACTTCTCTTATACGTGATCAGATTTCGGTATGGTTTAGCGCATCCTTTAAATGTCTCTCTCTCGGAGATATACGGTTTTCAACATCGTTAAGTTCATCTCAAGTGCTTCGAATAAATTTGCGGTATTATTCCAGTATGCCAAGTACCTACTAATGTACCTAAAGGTACTAGCCCGTGATTTGTTTTCAGGGGTAACATCATCGTGAACCTGTTCCGTAGCAACGTTTAATGTGACGCAAAAACCCGGGCATATATAAAACATTGAATGCACAAACCGGCCGATGTTACCAATAAAGAAAATTGGAAAGCAACATGGTCACAACGGTATGGCCGTTGTGAAAATGGATTTTGTACGTCCAAATCAGCCCTAACGGTTTGAAGGGTTTCTCCTTATTCTGATCCAGATCGGCCCTACCAATCTACCAACCTGCCAACCTGCATTCCCTCAAGGCCATCGGCCTCCATTTCATGTTTGCGACTAAGGCGGAGTTGGTAACTGTAGCATAGCGCGAGTCAGTTTGGGGTAACGGCATTAGCTCTTATGCAACAAGAGGGTGTCACTGCTCTCAGGCTCTCGTCCCATTCGTGCTCTATTTCTCTAGTGCCGGGAACAAGGATTACTGCAGAAAGGCACAGGGCAGCACCTAACACAAAAATTGGTAGTTGGATAACAACTACCTCGCATCAGGTAGCCAGCTCGGTAGCTCTGGACAGCAATACTGTTGATACAGTTTGAAAGGGGGAAGAAGAAGAAATATGATGATTAGAAAAACAATTTCGGATTCGGAGAGAAATAGCTACTCCCGATAATCCCTGTTATTTCCCCCCCGCCGTCACGGACTCCCGTTGGTATAGTCCCAGGAAACTGGTTGAACCGCTCCGTGACGATGTTACTGCTTGAACAGCTGCTAACTCTTCTTATTGGAGATCTACGCTTTGCTCGATCCACAAAGATCTAGCGTACAAGATGCCTACCATTCGGGGCAACTGGGGCATAGCTATCTCGGCGCACTGCCTATCCGTTCCTTAACGCCCTGGTACATTTTATACGTGCATTACACTCCCCCCTTAACTTTAGAACTACAGCCTATGAAAAGTACTAATTGGCTATTATGGGAATAATCGTATATTTCAAATAGCACTTACATCATACGAATAGCAATCTAGGTCCATCGGAGGCACTTTGGGTGCGTAGCAAGTCGGTTAATCCCCTTCGATACACGGTTGTCTGATCAAACGATCAAGGCTGAAGTAGAAAAGCCGACTGGTATACTCTGATAGATGGTATTCATCTCATATTTGACGTTGAGGCGAGAGAATAATACAGATTAACAGCTCCATGTTCCAGATAGCGCCCTTTTTTGCCAGTATCTCAGTTAGAATACAATATTCTTTTTTAATCGTGCGTGGGTCAGCGGAGGTGTATTAGATTATCTTCTTTCTTTTCCTGCTCTAGTCATCAATTTTAGCCCCGACTGGTCTTCATGCCCCCTTCTCTCGTTACGGGGAAAATAAGTAGCGAGGTCGCCTGCATACCTACCTTATGGTTGAGAGCATGTCCATATGCTGCACGTGGATCAATCTGATCCTACAGCCACTCACCGGTAGCTTATAGTTATTTGATATATGTTCAACGTCTGCCACAGATTGAGCTTCGAGTTGTTTCCGGTGCCGGACTCAGACTTTGATCTCATCTGGCGCTATATATCGACCCTGAGAGAATAATAACGAAAAGTTAGTTACTTGTTTCTGGCTTGGGAAACCCAAGCCCATCCCTTGCTGTGGAATATTCTGAATCCATGGGCCGTGCTCACGTTCGGTCATAGCTTCTAGCTTCCAGCTTCAAAAGGGTGGCGTCCAGCTATACCCGTCCTCCCGGTCACAGCTTCGCTAATCCCCATCATTCGGTAAGATCCTCAAAAAACCTCCCTAAGCTTACCGCAGGGCTAAACGCAAGTTGTGCAAAAGGGAATTTCAAGCCTTGGCTAGAACTTAACCAACTACCCCTTTTCCATCCCGGAGTTAAGCTGTTAGGCTGTGCGTTGCAACTGATACTCTAGGGACTGCCGAGAATACCCATTTGGTCTACAAGTACAGGAGCCTCTGATACCAAAATTGGAGTCGTGAAGACAACTCTTCCCGATTTAGCCATCCGTTGGACCCCTGAGAAGTTGCTCCGGGCATACGCAGGTGACAAGGTGTGGACGTCCATATGCGTCGTCATACCACGCATTTAACAGGCTCTGCTAAGCAATACTAACACTGCGGTTCTTGTATGAAAGCTAGGTTGCTTTTATGGTCGGATTGCATATCTGGCTCCAAGGCTAACAGAAAATTTACGAACTCCATTGGCTCGTTTCTCCTTTCCTATCCACCATACTTGGGTAGCCACTGTTACTATATTTCGGTTTATGGCGGCTCCAGGGAGTGATCAAGCTCGAACCGAAACCTATTGAAGGTTGCAGTCCACCATCCGCCGTTAAGATACTTAGCGGGTAGAAAGCCACAGTGCAGAAGGCGGCCACCCCCAGTCTAGAGGAAATAGCTGCTGAAAGCGGCTTACACCTAAGTTTCTCACGTTGGAGGATCCGTATGGTGATAACTATCCGCCGGTAATCTCTTTAACCCAGGGATATTTAAATGGTGCGTAGCTATTCGGACATATATGTATGTCCTTGGTTTGTCCAGGTCCACGATAAGTATCATGTCCTGTCAGTCCACATCCTCACACGACGGCTCTGAGATGGATGCGCCACAAGTTGGTTACATAGGCGGACATCTAACGCCGACAAGTTCCGCCCCAGAGGTAAGACTTATCAGCATCCAACCTAGCACACCCTTCGCTTTCATCCCCTCCCCTGTTTCATCTACAATCAACCGTAAGATATCTAGACGGCAGGAACTCTAACTGAAAAAACATGAGCTGAAAATACCGATTTTGGCCCCTAACTTGTGATTGCAGGAAGCGAGCGAGGTCGATCATGACATTGATCCTCCTCCTGAGAAGAGGAGAAATAGACTTGGCTACCATCGGTCAGCGGTCGCATGTAGTAAGTACCTGTTACCACGCCAAACAGCAACTAGCTCCAGGAAAGATTTGTATGGGTGTTAAAGTGCAGTTCGGTATAGATCCCTGTCGAAAAAGGAAAATCAGGTGTAAAAAACCTGAGACGCGCGATGTCCTAAACCGATGTGAGAGTTGCATCAATCTCAAGAAGGACTGTATATACGCTCCAGTAAGCCAACAAGCGCCGCTGCCAACGACGATACAACGGCCAAGAAGGATGTCAGTCGGGGTCAACCCTACGTCGCCATCCACCGCATCACCCACGATGGCAATGGACCAGGTTGTGGAAGGGCCATCGAATCCGACTTATCACCAGCTTACGGCGATGTCGTCAATGCCTAGTATATGCCATCAACCGGCGGAAAATGGTGACAATGGAACTTGCTCTGCTAGGGGTATGCGTGACATAAGTCCTTCTCCAAGTTGAAGCAGCTATAAGCCATTAGCTAACAAACAAAGAAGTTCCATCGACTACACCTAACAGCCGGTCATTTAGTTACGGACAAGGGACAAGCGGTTGGATGCATACTGATGCGGATGTTAATACCACGACAACGTCAGGGGACACGACTGGCCCTTGGATGACCATACCCCACGGCCTGCCCGACGCTACAGAATTCTCGCAATATGCCCCGCAGACAACGTCACCACTCTCGACATGGCCGGCGAACTCTCTCGGGATACATAGAGTGGATACTGATGCACATCTAGATCACACATGGCGTCCATACCCATCGGGCGCGCGGTCTATGTCGTTCAACAACACACAGTCCGGGCAATTCGATCCTTCGCCGACAAGACCATACGATGGAATCCAGTCGCCAAGCGCCGCTGATATCATGCCGGAAGTAAACCTGCACGCTCAGGGGTCTCTCTCTGCTGGTGCCACGCCGAGTCTAGCGTACGATGTATGGCAGCAGCAATACCAATATTCTAGGCTTAACGAAGAATATAACGGCTGGTATGAGAACGGTGACCATCCGACCCGCCCAGATATCTCGTCTAGCGAGGGTTCCTCACAGACTGGAGGTACCTACTACAGGCAAAGATGACATCAAGCCAATCGCTACAGGCGCGGACAGCAAAACCACCACCCTGCCTACCGCACTGCATTTTTCCGCAGACCAGAGTGATATACCTCCCATAACATGAGCGATCCAGAATTCCCTTGTATCTGTTGATATACGGATTCAACAGTTCCTATTATGAGTTTATTAGAATAGATAAAGCAGGAAAGAGGTCGTGGGGGAACATAAAGTAAAAAACGAAGATTTTTTTTATATTAAAAAAAAACATACAAACGGAAAGAAAAGGGGCCGATCGACTGTGTCGTTCCAGCACAAAATTGTGTGGCATACTCAGAACATGGTGGGATCGACAGGAATACACCATATGAACTCTCTAAGTCGACAGAAATTGGCCTTTTACCTACCAGGGAGAGTTCTTGGAGAGCACTCTCTCGACTGTCATATCGGCTCCAGCTAGCTTAAGTACCTCGCAGCTCACGAAAACGTCGGTTGGAGACATCTACCGGTGGACATCGCCTACCGCCATCTCGTTCCCAGCTTTCGGCACGGGTAAAAGTGAAGCTGTTTCCGATACATTGTCTGACAAGCAACATTGTCCCCACGCTAGCCCACAGACTCTGCTCGCTCAGGCGCCAATTGATGTAGGAATACGACACGACAAGAAGAATAAATCTATTATCATCGGTTATGGGTTCTTTTTTCTTTTTTTGGGACGACTTCTTTTTTTATAGGGGGGGGAAATGGGAGAATAAACGAAAAGCGGTCACCAAATTTTTAAATTTTTTTTTTTTCGCGTTTGGGGCGATCATAAACAAGGTCTCGGCGAACCCCAGCCTTACCAGCTCATAACCTAGGAGGTACCTAAGGTTGGACATTCGGTAAACGAATGTAGTTTCCCGCACCCTTGCTGCTCGAAATCTTTCGGCCCGGAGCATCTGCTCGGCTCGCCGATGTGACTCGCAAGTTACCTGTCGTTACGGATCCTGGAAGTCGGCGGAGCGCGCGCAAGGCTGGGGAGAAGACGATGTTTTTTTTTTAACGGAGTGCCAAAGAGCATGCCTCGCCCTAATATACAACAATGCTGTTATTTGTCGGTCTCTCTCCTCTCCCCCCCTTTTCATTAGGGAGCTGTATGGTAAGGCAGGAAAACTTGGGGAAGTCGGATGGCGTAGAAAAAGGCTTTCGGGTGGAAGGATATTTCTAAGGCCGGGATGTTTCATCGACTTCGAGCTTCTTGGTGATAAAAGTACGAGTGCGTTCTTTGGCTTTGCGATCCCATTACCTTAGGTACTCATGTATCAATACTCAATTGGGAGTGTTAGAAATTCCTAGTAGACAACCTACCGCTTGAAAGCTTCGCTAGGATACTTTATATATGTATATGCCAATTGAATGGACTGTCATGTTAAAGCATAGGTACCTAACCTAGGTAACCCAAGGGGGGAAATTAGTAGATCATAGGTATATGTATTTTGTCTACAACCACCACAGGGGACCGTTGTAGCCAGTAACAAACCTCGATATATCTGTGGACATCACACGATTTGGGTGCTCATTAATACAGTAATACATAGCGAACTATATTTGACGCCACTATTCCCAAGACGTATTAGATGCACGATAACTATCCTGTACGAGGACTCTTTGGTTTTTATGCTATTTACTTTACCGCAATAGTTGCATAAGCTGACGTTACCGACACGTTTGTACAACAACTTCGGTCTAGCATGCTCCCACCAAAACGACGGGAAAACCGGCGTATATCCAGTCATAGAGGCGTCCCAAACCGTAGCAACCCGTTTCATGCTGGAAGATTTTATGAATACTCCTCAGTCTTCACGCTTCCAGTTGCCAGGTTAGAACCATGAGGCCGATATAAGCCCCGATACTTAGACAGGTGAGAAGCAGGACGCTGTTACCGCTGGTGCGGAATTTGTTGGTTACCTCGCCGTTGTTGCCGGCCTCGCTGAAGAACTGCGTGTTACCCTGATAACGACGGTAGATAGAGCACAGTAAGACGGTCACACCATAAACGGCGAAGAGCGCGCCTATGGCGTAGAACTCGGAGGTAAATATCTTGAGTATGATTAGAGCAAAGCTGAACTGCGAAAGAGCGGTCCGCATATAAGCTCCTTCAAAGGTTCGCTGAGCAGCTCGGATTTCTACTAGTCTTCGCGGAGGGAAGGGGGGAAAAGGGAAACGTGAGTTAGCAGCGAGTTACCATCGGTCCACGCATCAACGCGTGGGATGAGTCGAAGCTTCAACTCTCCATTGGGGGCCAAATAGTAGGTAATAGGTAATAGGTAATAGATGAGAGGAACGGTGGGGGGTTATATTACGTACTCCTGAGTCGTGAGAACTACCGAACGAGCGCGGTGCGTTCGAAGATGAAGGCGGTCTTCTGGATTTGGCTAAGGGCAGGGCAGGTCAGGTCATATACGATATATCAAGGGGAGATGTCATGTCATGGTTCCCGCATTGAGTAGGAGGTACCTAGGAGGTAGCAAAAAGGAGCTGAACTTACTAACCTGGAACATATTTCCTAGTCCGACTTGGAATTGTTTATTATTCTTGCTACGTGACGTTGATGGAGGTATATAAAAAGAGTTAGGTTACTTTAGGCGGTTGAGACTTGCCTAAAAATGGTGTATGGCGGTTCGTTGCGGAGGGTGCCCACTGAGCTGAGCTTAGCCTGGGTTAAAGCCCCCCGCCTGATGGACAGCAGGACAGAACGGGAAGTCGGGAACTAAAGGAGGTACAAGGTAGCTGGTACCTATAGCCTATAGGTACCTAATGTACCTAAGCTGCTAAGGTAGGTAGGAACTACGGTAGCAAAAGCCACAGGTTAAACACATGATTTCTCCGCGATTCTTTGCTTTTGTTTGCTACTTCTGGATCGGGAATTCGGAATTTGTTGGTTTTGAAACCAAAATTCTTAACAAGTTTGATACTCCAATGATGCAACCTTTGCGGCAAGGCGGTAATTCGCACATTTAAACACCCACATTACAAGACTTGAAGAAAAAAATGGGTATGCAAGATTGACATGGTTCTCTATCACTGGCCGCGTTACATCGCGGTTGCGCGCTTAAAAATACTGATTCCAGCGCTGTATACCATCAATCTTTCAACATCGACAGGCATGTAAGCGGTAGTAACTCAGTTGATCTATGTCGTTTGATACAAGCTACGTCCCAGACCCCAGATCCCGTACATGGGTAATACTCACAATATCGCCGTTCGAAGATTTCGAAATCTGGATGGAACGGGCTTGGTCTCCGTCTCCGTCTCCGCAATCGTGAGGCTCGTTTCTACTATGTACAGACATTTTCATGTTGGAGACCAGCAACGGACAGGGATCCCAGCAAATACTGTTTGTGGTCACTTTCTGCCTGACCATGTCATACACATTCTCTTCGAGCTTTACGTACGTATCTCCCAAGGTATGCCAACGCAGTCGTGACTGTGCAGTGTCCTGCGCTCAATAGAGCGCCGTAGGTTCTACGTCCTACGTTCTACGCTACTGCAGGTTATCGAGGTAGGAACCGATGCATGCGACTCGGACCGTGGACCGTGGACCATGGACCATGAATTAGTTAACGATATTCGATTTATCACATACACAGAAAGAATCCGGGGAAAAAAGAGTTCTAGCATTTTCTCTCTACATAAGAGGTAGGTACTTAACTAAGCCGGTACGGCGTTCGTTATAATCGCGGATAATTGCGAAGAAGACATATCTACCTCTTAAGATACTATTCCACTCACCGCGGTCATTCACGCTGTGTAGCTAGCGAACTAGCGAGCCGCTTTTATATCAGCTTGTGCTACAGTAACATTCCCTATCTACCTAGGTTAGGTAGGTAGGTAGGTAGGTAGCTGTCGTCTTTCCCCAATAGGAGGATTGAGACAGGAGTTAAGTAATAGCTGATTTTACCAATGAGAATCCGCGATGCGGCTGGAACAGCAAGGGGTAACATCCTCTGCACTATAGATGTGCTGTCCTACCTGATGTCGGTATGTTTTAGCTCAGTTACTGCCACAGACTTTACAGAGCACCGCCATATAGCCAAATGCAGGTAGGTTATGAATTGGCAGATCGGTCGCCGCAGTACGGGTCAGCAAATGTCATCATTTCGACCTACAGCAAGCCTCGCCAACATACACTAGTACCTATCCTGTCGTCTGAAGTGCCTTGCGATCTCGCTTGGTCTAGTGTACATCTAATGCAACATATGGTGGACATGGTGGGCTCACAGGTGGGGTGGCCCCTCGACTTGTTCGGGGCTGAGAAGGAAGCGAAGAATGCCTTACAACACTTACAACACTTACAACCCCTGCTCACTCATACACAGGCAGAACGCCTCGATGGGCTGGAGATGACAGAATGACGGACAGGGGACCCAATCAAATGGCGCAAGAGAATCATCAAGGGGAGCCGCAGTAGTGCGCGAGCCCTATCGTCGATGTATTGATTCTCCCAAAATTGCCTTGTCTACCCTCTTTGCCCATCGACATAGGCATACCTAGTGTATCGCCCATCCTAGGTCACCTCATCCTTTTTCCAACTCCTCTACCCCTTTCTCCGTATCCAAGTCTTTACCTAGGTCTATAATCTTTTCTCCAGCGAAATACACTCTCTGGACTTCCAAGCCTTCAATCACCAGTTTCCATCCTGGTTTCCATCATCTTCCCTTGTACTTTGCACGGCCCGGCCCCCCCTTGCAAGCCATCGGCGCAGGTTTCGATCAGATTGTCTTGGGCGGAGAAAAGAGGTCGCGCTAAGCTTGGGGGTATTTCCATTTTGGCGCCGATTTCCGTTCACACTCCACTCGCCTTAAGCGCCGCCGCAGCTACATTGCTACATTGCTGCATCGCTTCATCGGCTTGCTGACTTCACTTTCCTCCCCCAAGCATTGTCACCACGACTTTACCAGATCTTCTTCTAATTTCTGAATCGAGTCTTCTGATATTCCCTCGAGATTTTTGAATTCGGCACCCTCGATATTATACCCCGTTTGTTTATCGTCAGTTTACCCCGCGGCATAGCTGAAGAAAATACGTTCGTCTTATTTAGATCGCAAGGCTCTGGCTCAGCCATCTTCAAAATTGTTGTGCCGGCCGCTCATAGTATAGGAGGAACATGGTTCCACCTTGACATCGTCTAACAAGAGCTACGCGATTCCGGTATTATATCGGAATACTTATATACTAACCCTGGGGTCATCCACCTATCCTAACCTCAGCTATGACCATGAACGCGGGATACACAGTCTCACCTGCGTCGCTTGACCTTCGCGATCACCTCAATGATCGCACACAACAACCCCGCCGCGACGCCCAGCCCAGCTACAACTACAACTACAACCAGAAGTGTCCTGTCACACCTATTGAGTCCCATTTGTTGTCGCCGTTTTCTTCTCACGTTCGAAGTAACTCTGCTTCTCCTACAACTAATATCAATACTCCCGCGGACACCGTCTCCACAACCGACTTCTACCAGCCGAGCGAATTCAGTAGCGACTTTGATGACCCTTTCCTTGGTGTGGACTTCGACATTCAGGGTGCATTGCCCCAATTTCTGGGGGGGTTTGACAGTATTCAAGAACCCATAACTCATGTACCCGCTCAGAACGCCGGTCTTGGAGATGCTCTATATCCTCTGAGTCCTCACCAGACGCCTGCCGTCCCGCCGACAGCAACCTTTGGTAACGTCGTAGAGGCCTGTGCCGACTTGGCGAGTTCTACTGAATCTCAGCATTTCGCAAACCAAGTTCAGCCTTTTACCCACTCCGTCAATTCAAATCAGTCCGCGCCCCAGCTCACACCTGACACCAACGGCGGCAGTTTTTCGAGTGACGAGAGCATTACGCCGGCTACCCTCGCTATGGCTACCCAAAGTCCTCGCGTTACCGTTTCCATGTGGAATCGGGATGAAGAAGCTCCGATACAAGGTGTTGAGAGGTCATTTACTAGCAGCGCTGAAAGCCCTCGAACTACGCCCGGTTTACAAAATCTGGCCGGCGATTTAGCTGGTGAAAATACCAGCGAGGGTATCTCGGCAGTGCCGCGAGATGCGCATGGTAACTGGTTACCACAGTCTGCCGGAGGATATCGAGGCCTTGCTCCAGGTAACCGCCCTTCTGAGGAGGTACCAAGTCCTAACCAACAAGCCACTCGAAGGGAACGTGCCGAAAAGAATAAAGAAGTTTTCGAATGGGTTTCCCGATCGGCCGGTGACCCGAGCAATGTTTCTGGCGGTGCAGAGGGGTTTCCCGGTAGGGTTGCCGGTCGGCAGGATTCGGAAGATGACAACATCCCTTCCGCCGAAATACCCCTAGGAGATGCAACTGAGAATAAGTACATTCCTGGTCGGACATATGTTAACGTAGATGGGCCAGGAGGGCCTATCACGCAAGTTGATATTGAAATAATGCGACAGCTCCCTGCTTGGAGCGATGCACCGGCAATCCATGCCATTCAATCCGGTTCTCAGTATCAGCCTGCAACATCACAGGCTGCCATCGAAAGGTTCAATCGGCAATGTCAGGATAACGACTCAATTGTCTCGAGAGCAGCAACCTGGGGAACACGCAGGCGGAGCTTGCCCAGCATTGTGGACATGGAAGAGGTTCTAAGCGGAAATATCTTCAAAAAGCTATCTATTAGTAGTCATAGTCGCCGGCCAAGTTTCATGAAGAGAATCCCCAGCCTTGTGCGGAAGCCTAGCACCAGCCAACTACGGAAGCGTAAAGGAAGTAATGCTAGTGAAGCCTCACCAGAAGATGTTGGAGAAAGTGAGCGTCGGGAGTCTAAAGATACGCTGGCACCGCCGCCACGTACCTCAAGCTGGGGAATTAATAAGAAGCAACCTCCCAGTATAAACACTGCTTTAATCGGAATGGCTGCGGGAGCTGCCTCCATCGGAACAACTCATGTTCGGAACGGTTCAATTAGCGCAACGGTAGCTTCGCCAAAAAGCTCATTCGGAGCTCTTAGTATACCATCGGTTAAAAATACCCTTTTGAGGCCGAGGAGTAGGACCGAACTTCCGAAGAGTGTCAACACGGAATTCTTCTCTCACCCAAACCTTGTGGGTATGTTGAAAAAGCAAGGCGGACCACCCGTCGCTGCACTAGCGGGGACGCGCTCTGTAATAGAACAAGATGACGACGAGGATGAGGATGAGGATGAAGAGGGGTTTGATGACTCGGACATAAAGACTGAGCCGAACAAATCGAAACTCATTGAACCAACTTTCGCGGGTTTCCGGGAGCACGTACTTGATCTTAATCCTGGCCTTCCAAGTGAGAATGGATGGCTAGCCGACCGCATTGCATATCAGATGGTTATACGCTATAAACAACTCCAGAACGCCAAAATTAAGCATTTAAATCAGGTTCGACAGCAGAAGTGTCTTAGCGGGACACAATGCATCGATCTTGGTGGATCAGCGGTTCCTCTTGATGGCAAAGGGAACGAGCGCAGTTTTGACCCCTTATCAGCTCGAGCAGATTCTTCCGACGGCGACACCACGCCACTTGAAGGTGGTATTAGCCCGGAAAGCTTTCCACAGGGCATCCCTATGCCTCCCACTTCGTCTCTCCCAGCAGAATTTGAGTGTCAGCTATGCTTCACGAGTAAGAAGTTCCAGAAACCTTCCGACTGGACCAAACATGTCCACGAGGACGTCCAACCATTTACGTGCACCTGGGAGAAGTGCCAAAATCCTAAGATGTTCAAGAGAAAAGCAGACTGGGTCCGGCATGAAAATGAAGGCCATCGTCACCTCGAATGGTGGACGTGCGACGTTGACGATTGCCGGCATGTCTGTTACAGACGTGACAACTTCTTACAGCATCTCGTTCGCGAGCATAAGTTCGCGGAGCCAAAGATCAAAACGAAAGCTGCCATAAAAAAAGCTGGCGGCGGTGACGGCACCTGGTGGAGAGTAGAATCGTGTCACGTCGACACATCAGTTAAGCCATCTAACGAGCCTTGCCGGTTCTGCCGAAAGACGTTCCCGACCTGGAAAAAGCTTACGGTCCACTTGGCGAAGCATATGGAGCACATCAGCCTTCCCGTCTTAGAAGTCGTCGCCAGGAAAGAGCTAGATGCTGACACAATCATCAGTCCCATACAGGATCCTCCACGTCCCAGTTTCCCATTGCCCCCAGTGAAACAAGAACCTCCAAGCTTTAGCCCAGGAAATGCCAATACACCGATTTCCGTTCCCATGTCTACAGGGCCGGTAGCGTATCCCCAGGATGACTTTAACTACAGCATGGCCCGGATGCCCGTACAAAATCCCGTACAAAATGACTACTATAGCCCACACCCAATATCACGGTCATATAACGAGATGACGCCTAACCAAGGGCCTAGCTTGATGATACCCAATTATAACAACAACCCACATTCACCCCAACCTCCATACCAATCGGTACCCGTCACTACAATGCCATCGTTTGACCAACCTGCAAATACTTACGTGAATTTGCAACCTCAGCAGGACGGTTTGGAACAATTTCCTGCATTCGATATGAACGCTCTAGGGATCCAGGAACCGACCGAGTCTTTGTGCTACGGTAACCTCGCAGCTGGTAATATCCAACCTGTCGAGCAGTATTCCAACCACGGTGGCTCCGTCTCACCTTATCAGCGGTCACCTCACCCAGGCCAAAATGACTTTTATAGTTCGTGAGCGGAAACGTTATTTGTGTTTTGCAATATACTTTGCGATACCTCCTTATGATAGATACCCTAAAGCTGGAATGTGTAGGATGTCCCACGATGCTCTTGGGCCTACCTCTTACCTCCGTGAGAAACTTATGATATCCTATGGCGTTATTTGGGTACAATATATATCTTTCTTTTCCTGACAAAAGTTACTTGGCTGATAGACCACAAGACTATCTCGTGGAGATCATCTTCACGCTACGTTATATTTATGTTTCGGTGGATTATGAATAGTCGGACGAGGATTCTCTGTTTCGTTTTGGTCATGTGAAGATGTACTAGAAAAGATCACGAATGTCGTTCAGTACGATATGAGATGATGGATGGGGCTATCGATGAATGTTTTTCGAAAATATATGACAGCAGCGAAACGCACACAAATGTCAGTCAGACCTAATTAAAGATAACAAGTTCTTTTCTTTTTCGTTCGGGTCATTGGAACGAACTGGGGTGGTTTTAGCATGCTTGCTTCTAGATTTTTCAATGGACATTTTCCTTCAAAGTTCAGATTCAGATACCTCGATTCAATTGTTTGGATATCGGTTCGGGCAATTTATTATTATTTTTTTTTCCGGTATATTTTAGCCCTTTGTTATTTGTTACAGGTTGGAGGCCTCTGCGTATTTCGTCTAGATAGGCGGGTCTCATAGGATACCTTGTTTATGAGCACTTCTCATCAATTTCATACCTTTTTTTTTTTTTAACCAACCAGGCACAAGTTGCAGCTACATAGCGAACCGTGTAGTAAGTAGGTAGTTAGCTTTATCCAAGTACCACCATCTACCTTGTATGTCGGCGTAAAATAGGTAGGTATCTTATATAGTTCTCCCTTACATCTCAACTGCATATGTGTGATACAGCTTTAATAGCCTCAGGGGAGTCCGGTCGTTTCGACTCAACGACACGTGAAAGAATGATGATATTAACATTTTAATCTCCCACCTTCGGAACTGATAACTCAAGATTAAATCATATCTACCTAAGGTAGGTAGTTAATAGTCATTGATACTACTATTGAATTCGAGCCCTTATTTACCTAAAGAACCCGTGTTGGTTCCCGTGGGGGGAGGCGGACTGTAGTTATTATAGTGTAACTACCAGGTAAGTGTATACCTATATAACTTATTCACTTATTCACTTACTGCCACCTACCTAGCTGTCGTAGCGCCGCTGGCGGACCAGCCTTAATTTAGTGGTTCATATTAACCACGCCGTGCGTGCTACGGCGCCGCTTCTTACTTACACTGTATGTATTTAAAAAAGAAAAAGAAGGATCAATCAATCAGATGCTACAGGAATAAACGACTCAGATGTATTTGAAGGTGTCGTTCGTTAGGAAAGTCTAAGGCGGTTTGGGTAGTTGGTTAATTATTTATAGTGGCAAGTAGTACATAGTAGGCTTTCCCATCCGCCTTCGCCTTTCGGGGGTTAGGTATCATCGCGCGACATACGGAATACGTAGGTACGTAGGTACCTAGGTAAGTAGTCGTTGGTGTTGATGGAAATGTTCTTGTTCAAGACATGCATGCATAATAATGACATTACATTAATAAATTATGTCACCTAGGTTACCTAGGTACCCTTATGGCTAGGTCAAGGATACTAGGTACCTAAGGTACTATGGTAGGTAGTTCGTCATTATATTAGATCGCTAGGGTTCGATAATATAAGATGAGAGCGCATACGTATGCAGTGTATCCGTATAATTCAGATCCCCGGAGTTGATAATTGCTAATTGTATTTGGATTGGATTCGGGCTTATCTCCTTATGGCAGAGAGGAAGGAGAAAAAATTCTTTTCCCCCTTTCTTTATACGTATGCATTATCCAATACCCAGGACATCGTATCGTATTCGAGAATAAAATCATGGAAAACTCCCTGTTCTTTTATTTCTTCAATCGTGGCTTGGAATTTTTGGATTGCCGGAAGAGTTATGTATGGAAACTTATCCCTGCCAACTGAATGGGCAACGATTCCACCCCCCTGGTCTAGAGCGGTTCGGTCTTATGTAGGTACCTAAGGTAAGGTACGAACTCATTTCTGGAGATGATGAGATGATCTTAACAAGCTTCTGTCCAATGAACTTGTTTAATTTCCTTTCCCCTTCGACTCTCTTTTTTTCTCTTTTTCTCTTTTCGACCAACCAGATCCCTTGTCTCGTTCTCAAACTGGAATTTACTTTTGTTCTTTGGTCGAGTAAATGAAGGTCCCCGCCCTCCTCTCTTGACGATCATGCTAGGTTGCGTTACGTACCGCACCGAACCGCACCACTTTGCTTGCCTTCGGTGTTCTGCATATATTGGGTATATTGGGTATCTCGATGTACAAAATCTCTTGCTTCATCTTCAACGATATTAGTTAAGTTACCTAGGTAGGTACCTAATTAGATTAAGTTGATAGTTAGTTTCCTGTTGGTAGTTACCTGATATTTTCGTCTTCTTCATCCCACAAAAAAAAAAAAAAAAAAAGAAATCCATTTTTGTAAACCGAAAGGATCGCCACGTTACTTACCTGATTACAGCAGTCGTTTTAACCAAGTCTATTCTTCACCATGTTTCGAAATTCCAAGATAGCTGACATCTGACTCCCCAATGCGGCTTGGTCGAGTTCGTGGAGTTTTCCGAGTGTCCAATGATCTGCCAAAGGGGGTCGGTTTCATGTGGATTAGCGTATCTTTTTCGACCTGGGCCTGAGCTCCACGATGATGGCTAACGACAGGGGGAGAGGGGGGGTTTAGTAGACTTAGTAGACTTAGGCATGTAATGCAGGCTGGGGTACTTTGGCCTACGAATATTCAATGCTCGGAGACCAGGGGTAAAGGGGACCCATTAGTTCGTACGCGCCGCGCAGCCAGTCGAATGGGTCTTGCTTCCACTTCTTCGACGCAAAGAGAGATCTCTCTCATCAGGGGTTGTGGGAACGAGTACGCATCTTCTGAGCTTGGTTTCCCTGCCTCACCTTGAAACCTTTTCTTTCCATAGTCGTTCCTTTTTGGCGCCTTATCCAACCTTTCTATTTTCAAATGCTCATCTTTTTGTGAATCTATCTTCGTTTTTTCACATCCACAACCCACACTCGTTTTACTAACTAAAAGAAACTCGTTTCATACATGCGCCAACGTCGACTCTCTCTCTCTCCCTCTCTCTCAACAACTAACAACAACATCAACTACCACTACTACTATCGTCAACCTTCTCGCCATAGTTGACTACGCGTCCCAGGCCCGTCCCGTCTTCCATCTCTAGGAACGGTCCTGGGTCCTGCCATATACCACTTCCACTCATTCTACGGAGAGTGTCTTGTTGCCGATTTTCCATTCTTACCATAGGTTGATCCTTGGCCTTTTTTATTTGCATATTTTTTCTCAGGCAACAACACCTTCTCCTTGGTATTGTGCTCCTTATCGTACATCAATTTCTACCTAGGTACTTAACCTAATTGTTTCGAATTGTCGAAACGGTCATCCATCAAAAATTCATCAGTCATTACTGATTCCGGACGAATACCTTTTTTTTTCGATCCGGTTTAAATTTTTTTTCCCAGGCAATACCGATTTTTAATAGGCTCATCGAAACGGGTATCTACACCGTGGTACACCAGACAGCATCTAGCGATTGATTGATTTTTCTGTTTTTCACACAGCTGGGCAGGTGTCTCCATAGACAGTATACACATAGATCACGAACAATTCCACTTCCCAGTGGTTTCATGATTTCCTTGAGTCATCCTACGATATAGACAAAAGTCCGATCAGCATGGCGACATCGAATTCGAGGTGGAATTTCCGGCGAGCGGCCGTATGGGCAACAGCATTTGCTAGCGGAGTCATGGGCAGCGATGTTTTAGTGACAAGCGGATTCAACAACTGTCAGACCAACAGCGGTATTAGGGTTCAAAAGGTGGATATTTCTTTCAACAATGCCGACAAGGTCGTGGTTTTCGACGTCGCAGGTTCGAGCAATCAAGAGCGTAATATAACGGCATCGCTTTCTGTGACAGCGTACGGAAAAGATATTTACTCCAAGAACTTCAATCCTTGCAGTACGGACACATTTATCGAGACGCTATGTCCTGGTATGTTTATCGAGGCTCGATAATTCTTCATTCAGTGTAATGCTAACAAGGGAATAGTTCCGCAAGGTGTCTTTACCGCAAAGGGCGACCACGCGATACCTGCAGCGTACGCCAATGTTATTCCCGCTGTTGCTTTCCAGGTACCCGATATTTCAGCCGAGGCGACTCTAAAGCTTATGTCCTTAGATGGTACGGAGGAGATAGGCTGTATCCAGGCACAAATAACGAACGGTAAAACGACCGCTGTATCCGCAGTTTCATATGTCGCCGCCGGTGTAGCGGGAGCAGCCCTGTTGATGGGTGGTGTTGGAGCCATTGGTGCAGCTGGGGGAGGAGCTGGCGCGGCCGGCGGTGCAGCAGGTGGAGGTACTATGAGCCCAAGTTTCACGGAGATGGTTGGTATTTTCCAAGGGTTCGCCATGAACGGTATGATGTCTGTCCAGACGCCACAGATCTACCGTAGCTTCACGAAGAACTTCGCCTTCTCGACGGGCATCATCCCATGGAGGCAAATGCAGATCTCTATCGATAACTTTCGAGCCATGACGGGTGGAAACTTAACCAGGGACAGCGTCGAATTCCTCCAGCAAGCTACTCTCGTCTATCCTGACGGCTCAACTTCAAGCGGCAAAGGATCGCTCTTTGGTCGTTCTGTAGCAGATGCGGCTCACCTTGCCGTTCGTGATGCTTCGAGTACTGACACGGACATAGCAACCAGTACCGAAGCGACGATTCGCGCAGCTGTCTCGGGTATTCAGGGATACGCTCAGCAACTGTCCGTACCGCAATCCAACACCTTCATGACGGTTTTATTGATTGTCGCTATCATTGTGGCTGTCATCGTTGTCGGTATCTTATTGGTGAAGGTTATCCTCGAGGCCTGGTCGCTGTATGGCCACTTTCCCGAGTCCTTGACTGGTTTCCGCAAGCATTACTGGGTTTCGATCGCTCGCGCCATCACGTCTCTCATCTTACTTCTCTATAGTATCTGGGTTCTATATTGCGTATTCCAATTTACGCACGGTGACTCTTGGGCGGCCCAGCTTCTTGCTGCTCTTACGCTTCTCTTGTTCACAGCCGTTCTTGCATTCTTCTCCTGGAGGATCTGGTCTGTCGCACACAAACTAAAGAGTATTGAAGGAGACGCGTCGGGTCTTTACGAGAAAAAGGAGCACTGGATGAAGTATTCCCTCTTCTACGAGTCGTATAGGAAGGATTACTGGTGGATCTTTGTACCGGTCATTGGTTACATGTTTGCCAAGGGTTGTGTTCTTGCTGCTACCGACGGCAATGGTATGGCGCAATCGATTTGTCTCTTGATCGTTGAAGGGTCAATGTTGGCCTTGTTGGCCTGGAGCAGACCGTTCGAGCGGAAATCTGGCAATATTATCAATATTTCCATCGCGGTTGTGCGCGTCCTTTCTATCGTCTGTGTCCTCGTCTTCGTCGAAGAATTCGGAATCGCTCAAACAACACAGACAGTCGCCGGTGTCGTTTTGATCGGCCTACAATCAGCTCTCGCCGGAGCCCTCGCAATCCTCATCGCATGGAACGCAATCATAGCTTTGTGCAAGCAGAACCCGCACCGCAAGCGCAGAAAGGAGATGGGTAAGTTGAACGATCTCCGCCTCCCCTGACACTTAGAATTGGGAACAGTTAGTCTAACAGAGAGCACAGAGCAATACCAGCGCGATATGGACAACTTGACGCCTCTTGATGCGCGCAATTCGCTACTCCTGGGTCGTATGAAGAGTAACGACACCAGGTTCACCATTACCTATACCAATTCTGTAACAGACACCAAGCAGCCACTCGACCGTCGGTCCCCTTCACCGGATCCATTTATGGGTATTGCGGTCGAGCAGTCCGATACCTACTCGCCGTTAAACCTTTCGTACAACACCAGACCCCTAACCCCCAGCGCACCGGTTCGAGGTTCGGATCTAAATGCGGCTCCAAACGTCGGGGGTGGGCAAGGCAATGACCAAAAGATGAATTCGGAGTATCGCGGACCAACCGTGTACTAAATTAGTAAAAACTTTAGGGACAGGGTTGGGAAATGATGGTTCGGGCTTGTGATGGTGAAAGATGAGGATGGGATTCAAGAATTTCTTTTAGAACAAACCCACCTAGTACTATATCTAGTCGAGACGACAGAAAAAGCTGAAAACACCAACCGGTGTACCATGGCATGATGTGGCCACGAAACGGTGTATAAAGATGACGGGCGGTCCACGCCTGGTTTTTACATAGACACCCATACATTTCATTTTTATTTCATTCCAACGGCCGTCCCTATCTTCCTTACAAGTATATAGATGTAACCGGTATTAAATTGTAGTAAGCGCGGCCATATTCATTCTTTCATTCCTTTTTTTTATTTCCTTTTTGGAGGCTTTCGATAGTCAATTTTCGTCGACGTGATGATATTCTTCTGGTTTTCCTTGTGTTCTTCATGATTCATATGTGGATCGTGTTCGTGTTTAATGTGATTGAAAAAGCCTCGGGTACTAGACTGAATAACTATCCTGTAGGTAAATTAAACAAAACCTTGTGAGATTGAAATAATTATATCTTTAGTCCTGCTAATGTAGTTGAGTTGTTCAAGAAAATGTACCGAAGCATTTCGAGATGTGTGTAAAGTGAGTGAGCTTATGCCATACTCGTTATTATGTAATCCCACATGAAGGGGTAAAGGTGGGATGTAAAAGTACATAGGTACCTACGTCAGGAGCTTGGACCATCCTGGAAAGAGTGGTGAAAAAGGGCCAGTATCTAAAACCGTAGGTACCTACCTCTACCTGGTAACGACGCGTGAGGCCAGCTGCCTTGAGCTCCAAACCAGACGTCAATCATTCCCGCTGCCCTGCTGCTCTTCTGCACATCCACCCACTCTGCCGCTTGTACCAACAACAATAACAACAACACATCACTTCGACTTTTTCTAATTACATCTAGCACCGATACCGAAAATTACCACCTCGTCTAGATATTGGCCATGGATACTCTCATAGCCAAATACAGCCGTCCGACTGCGTTCCAGAATGAGACCTTCGCAGACGACCAGCAAGAAGACTTCCAAAACGATGTCTCCCCCAGCCTATCTCTAAAGTTCGCCATGCCTCCCGTAGCCCATGTGAGTAATTCCTTACAGGGCCCTAACGTTACCATAAACTCGGAGGAGAGGAAGAAAGAAACTACGGATATAAATAAATAAATATGCCTAGGTATCTAAAGCGAGGCTAACCCATAATAAAACCTTAGCCCTCAGCATGGCTCCGCGCTGCTACCGACGACCGCTCGAACCCCGACTGTCCCATCAAGATCGCGCACGGTACAACGACCCTCGCTTTCCGATTCCAGGGCGGCATCATCGTAGCCACAGACTCCCGAGCCACGGCCGGTAACTGGATCGCCTCGCAGACTGTCAAGAAGGTCATCGAGATCAACAACTGCCTGCTGGGCACCATGGCCGGCGGCGCCGCCGACTGCCAGTACTGGCTCGCCTGGCTGGGCATGCAGTGCCGCCTGCACGAGCTGCGTCACAAGCGCCGCATCAGCGTCGCCGCCGCCTCCAAGATCCTCGCCAACCTCGTCTACCAGTACAAGGGCATGGGCTTGTCCATGGGAACCATGTGCGCCGGCGTCACCAAGGAGGAGGGCCCCGCGCTGTACTACATCGACTCCGACGGCACCCGCCTCGCCGGGAACCTGTTCTGCGTCGGCTCCGGCCAGACCTTTGCCTACGGCGTGCTCGACGCCGAATACAAGTACGACCTGAGCGAGGAGGACGCCCTGGAGCTGGGTCGCCGGAGCATCCTGGCTGCTACGCACAGAGATGCGTACTCGGGTGGTTACATCAACTTATACCACGTCAAGGAAGAGGGCTGGGTCAAGCACGGCTTCAACGATACGAACCCGATATTCTGGAAGACGAAATTAGAGAAGGGCGAGTTCACCAACGTTACCAGCTCCCTGGACTAAATCGTGGGGCTCTTTTGCTTAACGAAGGATGAATTATTACTCAGTGCATACTACTGCATGGTATCAGGGAGCGGAACACCATGGCATGTAGTAAGGGAAGACGTGGGAAGGGTGTAAAACCAGCTTAATAGCCTGTCTCGGTAACTACCTAGGTATCTCGGCCAGTTTCCCCGGGTCATTACCCGGGATCCGCTGCGTAAATGTATAACTGGAACCAAGGAGTCCAGACCTTCTGCCCCTTTTCTACAACAATCAGATTCGTATCGATTTCCCTAGATAGCCTAACTCCGGTGTATGTTATGCTATGCTATGCTGTGCTGTGCTGTGCATGTTATGCAATATAGTATTGTACAAATATACAAACCCGTAGTCGTACGAGATTATTTATTTCCTCCCAATCATACATAAAACTTCTTTCTTTCTTTCTTTCTTTTTTTTTAAAAAAAAAATTTAAAAAAAGGGTATTATGACTTTGTCTCCCCAACATTCTCCCAGCCTGGAACTCCCAGGATACCGCCCTCCTCGGAATCCGGATCGAGCGGCCACTTCTTGATAGCCAGGATGTCCAACTCGCTACGCCAGCCCGCCTCGTACATCTCCATGCCAGTCCACGCTATCATGGCGCCATTGTCCGTGCACAAGGACAGCGGCGGGCAGACGAGTTCGATGTGGCCGTAACCGCGGACATCCAGTATCCGGCGGAGGATATGCATCAGGTAGCGATTGCTCGCGACGCCGCCAGCCACAACCAGCGTGCGCACGCCGCGCAGCAGCGCGCCATCCTCCTCGCCGACCTTCCCGCGCCGAGAAAGCGCGAGCAGCAGCCGGCTCGCCAGGTGCTCGAAAGCCAGGCGCATGGTGTGCCGGGCGACCAGGCGGCGCTCCTCGCGCGGCATGTCCGGCCGCTGCATCATCACCTTGATGACCTGGCCGTTGAGCCCCGCGAACTCGAACGACATGTCGGCCCGCTCGGACAGCGGCGGCGTGAGCTTCCAGCCGCGGCCCGAGTCCAGGATCTTGATCTCGTCGGCGCGCGCCGCCGGCGGCACGTACGAGTGCGTGAAGTCGTCCGGGCCGTTGGGGAAGGCGAAGCGCTCCAGGTGCGCCGCGTACATGACGCCGTCGGCCGCGGCGAGCTCCGCCGCCGGGATGATGTCCCGCGCGCACTTGTCGAGCATGTCCCCGATGGCGATGTTCTGGGCCTCGGCAAGGATGGCGTGGTCGGTCAGGGAGCGGGAGAGCACGAGGAGGGAGTGCCCGCCCGAGACTAGCAGGGAGAGGAAGGGGAAGGTTGGTGACAATGCTAATTCCGATCCTCCTTTCTCTTCTTCTCCCAGCTTCCTGGCCTCGAGAGCGCTGACGAGCCGCGGCGTCAGCGCGTGGGCTTGCATATGATGAACACCGAGTAATGGCACATCCCAGGCGACTGCGAGCCCCTTAGCTGTGTTTAGGCCCGTCGATAAATTCGACATCATGCCCGGCCCGCGTGTGACCGTAATGAAATCAGGCTTTCTGCGCAGCCGGCCATCAACCCAGACTGCATTCTCTCCCGTAGTCTCATTTCCTGCCTCTGCCGATCCCGCGTCAGGAAGTGCACGCATAGCCTCTCGCACCAGCCCCGCGAGGTGCTGGGTATGCGATGCAACAGCAGTCACGGGGCGCACGCCGCGGAACTGGCGGTTATCCGACGTAACCTTCTTATCGAAAAGGAGGCGCGCCGCTCCTCGACCCGCGCCCGGGGTTTTCTCCAGCACAGTGACGCACGTGTCATCGCACGAGGACTCAATGGCAAGTGTAAGAAGATGGCGGGGTTGGGGCTGAGAAGAGAGCAGGCGTCGCTGCAACCCAAGGATATTATGGTGTGAGGTATGCCATGGTAGCAGTAGGCTCTGGGTCTGGGTTGGCGCGCAGAGGCTACAATAGGCCAATCCTGGTGCCAGAGAGCGTGGCCGCGTTGCAACCAACCATGCCGCGCTCATGAATACTAGTACCTAATGTAAGTGATGGGTATTAAAGAACATGGTAAGATAAAATGTTAGCCGTGGTAAAAGTGTAAAAGTGTAAAAGTGCAAAAGTGCAAAAGCGTTAAACGTGAAAGTCGATATTCTCGCTTTTTCTCTTATCTTATCGCAGCTATGTAAGAGGTATCTAGGTACCTATTACCCCTATTTTACCCCCGCCCCCTTTTTTTCTTCTAAGTCCGTGAGAGAATCCAATGAACATTTCAGTTTAAAGAGACTCATAGACCCGGTAGTCCCTGGACATGGTGTTCAGGTGTGCCAGGTAGAATTTACGCTGCATTATTTGAGTCAAGTGCCAAGTAGCAAATGTTTGGGGTAACACATCATGCTAGATACCGCAGCCTGCTTCTGCGCTGTAAGCCATCAAGAGTCTGATAGGTCCAACTAAGCATGCTGCCCAAAGCACCGCCTCTGCAATGTATCATAAGGCAGACTCTTCTAAAATCCCAATGATCCCCTCTCTATAAGTTAACCTTTCTTAACTCCTGGCTCAATTGAGTCGTTATTACTTCTTTGCCTTGTATGGGATCAGTGTTTGGATAGTGGTAATGGCGACAACTCCTCCATCGTGGCTCGATGATGCCTTCAAGTCGGCTAAGGAAGAGTTCAAGAAAAGCCTCAAGAACCCAGCCTTATATGATTTCTCAAAAATTAATTCTCCCGATGATGTAATCCACGAAGCAATCAAGATACAGAAACAGCAAGAAAAGACTAAGACGCTCCGAGGTTTAAGACGTATCGACCCACTCATCAGTGGCCTGAAGGAATATGCTGCCGTCATTGAACAATTCGTGCAAGCAAAACCTGAAATCATGAGCCTTATTTGGGTAAGAAATAGCATAATACCGTGCATTTTCCTACATTGACTGGTGAGGCTAACAAATATTTGACCGCAACAGGGTCCGCTGAAGCTCATACTCCAAGTAAGACACTGTCATATTTGGCATATCAATAGTAAATAGGAACCCTAAACTCACTTTTCTAGGTCTCGAGCGCTGTTATTACAGCTTTCGACAAAGTAGTCAAAGTCATAGCCGAGCTAAGCATGACGCTCCCTAGTTTCAATATCTACGCCCAATTATTCGAGTCCAACTATAGCATCCGCCGGGCAGCATGTCTCTTCTACGCCGATATCCTTGACTTCTATGCTATTCTCCTGAACTTCCTTACCCAACGACGTATGTAAAAGTTAGAAAGGCTATTTGATGTTAGCTAATAATTTCACCTAGGGTTAAATGTATTTCTGGAGTCCTTATGGCCGAATATCCGTTCGAAAATAGCAAAAGTCCAAGAGAACATCGAGCACCACAAAGCCATGATGACGGTAAATGTAACACTCAAAGACATCTTAGAAGCACACAAAGCTAGGAAACTCGCTCTCGAAGAGCACGCACGTGCAGAAGCGTTCCGAGAGAGCCAGACCTTCAGCGCCATCCGTAACGAACTGAACCCACATAACTACGATGCAGAGTTGGCGGACACCTTACGCCGGAGCTCTGTAGCATCTGGTAACTGGTTAGACAATGAACCAGATTTTATAAGATGGCGTGACTTTGCGGATAGTGCCGTGCGATGTTTGTGGCTTCATGGTATTCCTGGTTCTGGTAGGTCAAGCACCCAACAACGATCGGCTATCCGTGCCGAATGTATTCGGTAGCATTCTATTAACTTGATGAGGCAGGTAAAACATTCCAGGTCAGTAACCTCGTTAAGAGGATGCAAGACTGTAACCAACGGGTGCTATTCGTATTCCTGTCTCACGACAACCAGGCTGACGGCGATACTATAAAAGTCCTTCACTCGCTCATTTTCCAGCTTCTCGAACACGACGCGACACTCCGACCTATCCTCCACAAGGCCTCTCAGTCCGACTACAGAAAGCTGAAAAGCGACTGTGGCTTTGTCCTGGACCTGCTATGTACCATTATTAACAGTATAGGGGCTAATTGCATCATCCTAGATGGCTTGGATGAGTTAAATGAGATCTCCTGGAAGCATCTCCTCTCCAACGTATTGGAAGTCAGCGAGAAATGCCCAGCGGTGAAACTTCTGATAAGCAGTAGGGAAGAGCGCGAAATATCATTACGGCTCGAGAAGAAATCCATACCTATTCGAGTCAATTCCAGAAATAATCAGGACATCCACTCATTTGTCCAGCTTGAGTGTGAAGACATCATTGACGAAAAGAAAAGATACGGAGCAGATGAGCGAATGTGCATTAGAATCAGAGAAGCACTCGAAACCATTACGGAAAAGTCGGAAGGAAAGTTACTTCTTGAAGACGAACTGGTATACAATACTAACAGATGTTAGGTATGTTCATCTACGCTAAGTTAGTCATACAGATGGTGAGGGATCAAGGAACTCTCTACGACATCGAGATGCAAATGAAAAACCTCCCGGATGGGTTGGATCAAGCGTAAGTAACAAGAATCCAGCATGTTTTATGGTCACTCGCTGATTTTAACGGGTTTGTAGCTATGGCCGCCTCCTTGATAGGATCAAGAACAAACTCGCGCAAGCACTCCGCAATGTCGTGCGTACGATATTACAATGGGTAGCTTGCGCTCAGAGGCCCCTGAGAGAAGAAGAGATACTACAAATACTTGCTATAGAACCTGGCAAGCCTGATTTCACCAAGGGGCGTAAGGAATTTCGTGACATTTTCAAAGCATGCGGCCCAATAATTGAAGTTCAAAGCGGTACCGTTCGATTTATTCATTTCTCTGCTAAAGAGTAAGATAACCGCGCCTCAGGTCCCTGTCTAAATACCTAACTAAACCTCGATACAGATACCTTCTTCATGAACAGAGCGGCGGTTTCTTAAATCTTGTCGAAGCGCATCTTGATGCTACCCTACTTTGCACGACATACCTATCGTTCTCATCGTTGAATTCGTTATTCCATTTCTATTCCCCTGCGGGAGAAGCAGACGACATTCAAAGGCGGGCCAAGGACGGCGACTATGTTATGTTTGAATACACGTCGGCATTCTTTCTAGAGCATCTGGAAACATACTTGCAGAGCCAAGGTCTAGATGTAGACAATTATCTTATCACAAACCTGAGACAGCTCCAAAAGACCCGACACAATATTTCAGCGAATAAAAATCATATTGCAGCTCAATTTCGTCACATGTTCAAGGGCTTAGCGAATACACCCGATCTTCAAAACTTCCTTTCAGCCGTGGCCCGCTTCCAAACACAAGCCCAGCATGGGTCAATCAATCAAGACGGTAAGGATGCCCATAAATCAAGACTACGTACCTATATGACATAAAGATTATTTTCTAAATCATCATAGATCACTCAATGAACGACCCTCTCCAGATATTCCCAGCCAGACGAAGGCTTCGGCAAGCCATCGAAAGCATGTTGTGCCAGGAACCAGACCATGTGGTTGACTGTCATTGTAGGCACCTGGAACGTCTTTACGGAGCGAAGATATACCATTGCGATCAATATTTCTGCTGGGCTTACAAGGACGGGCTTGAGTCGAAAGAAGCCAGGGACAAACACTTAGAGATCCACAAGCGGCCACACAAATGCTCTATGGTGAACTGTCTATTTTCAGAAATAGGCTTCCGTGATGTGACCGAGCTTCGAAGGCATACAGAGGCGGTGCATACTCCTAGTATTTTCGAAACAAGTCGTCAAAATCCTAACTCATTACCCATTCAACCCTCAAGCAATATGTTTGATGCTCTTAAAAGCGCTATAATCCTAGACCAACAACAAGCACTCCGAGATATGTTAATTGGAATACGCAAGGAAAACATGTCATCTAATGAATGGGAGATACTTTTATGTCACGCTTGTTGGAAAGCATCGTCAAACACTCTATCTTGTCTACTTGATAACCCAAGATTGCATCCAGACCTTTATTCATTAGGATTAGCCGTGGCATTAGATGCAAAAAACTTACCAAATGTCAAGCTCTTACTCTCCCGTGGGACAGAAATGTCAGACAGCATAAGGCTCGAGAACACCTGGCCGGATGTCCCTGATACATCATTTAATATATATCCTGGGAGATATGTATCCGGATACATTCGCGCGCTGGGGGCTTGGAGTCCAAACTTGGTAGCTTACTTGGTTAACGAGTGTCAAGTTGAATTCCCCGAAGCAATCGATCAACCAGAACTGATCTTTGGCAGTCGTCGGATAAGCTTATATACCCCCGACGAACTGATGAAGCGCTTTGATGGGATAAAGCAGTACATTATTTGGCCCGAAGCATATACTGAAGGGGTTATAATGGCTACGATACAGGCTGAAAGTGCTGTAGCTGTTAGAATCTGCCTGGAAAATGGAGGTGATCCAAATGCAACTGCACCTTTGAGACATGGCAGCAGGATACAAAAAAGAGCATTGTATCATGCTATATCACTTGGGGATGAGAGAGGTGCCGAGATAGCGAAGGTGCTTCTGAAATATGGTGCAAGGACAGAAGGCTTAGACCTTCACAAAAAGAAGATTCGCAGAAAAATGGCATCAATTGAGAAGTGCTTTGGGTGTGAATGGGGAGACATTGTTCGCAGAATTCAAGCAGGCGAGGACCTTGCTATAACCCCGCTTCGAAGCCAAAGGAGAACATAAGATAATTCGAAGGATGCTCACTGAAGCTGTACTAGACTCTCGTACCTTAACTAGCAATAATTCTCCTGGGTAGGTATCATATAATAAATACAGGGTGAATGCTAATGTGTACATATCCCTGGCAAATTCCCTTATATCCTTTCCAAAAGCTATATCAGGTACCTAACCTAACCAGTATATGAAGTATAAATGTTACATTAGGCGTATATCTGGGTATATGTTACGGTACTGTCCTTATAGATGAAGATAGCATCGTCAACCCCTCGAGTTGACATCGATCTACCTTTTGGTAGTGTACCGGTTTGATAGCTACCTTCCGAACTCTTACAGTATGTTAACTGGGGGTGATTTAAAGCCCTCTAAGATAAAATAGTGCATTTGAGATCCTGCATCCGTTAGCCTTATTTAGAAACCCCAGGAAACTAAGACTTTTCGATAACTGACCTCCAGTATGGCTCTCGCTTCGTCCTTGCTAGTCTTGGAATGGTCTAGGGAAGATGTAACAAGACTTGTCTTCCACAGTTGTCTTTGCCGAATATACTATGTAGACTCTGTTAGCCAAGTCTAAGTTCATGCTTGCCTCCTGCGAACCTACCTGTTCGATCGAATGAGAGCCAGACACAATATAGCGTCTGATTATAACCTCTTTATTCTGTCCTAAACGGTAAACGCGATCCATCGCTTGCTGTTCTATCAGGGGATTCCATCCGGGTTCCATTAAGTGCACGCGACTTGCCATGGTTAAGTCAAGTCTATTGGCAAGTTAGTCAACCGTGAGCTTTATTACGTCTTATAAGATTAGGTAGGTAGGTAAGTATCAAGTCCCAGTAACTTACCCGACTGCAGCGCTCCCCAGGGAAGCAAGTAATATAGTGCAGTCCTCTTTCGTGCGGAATTCCTCAAGAGCATAACGCCTCTGCGCTAGACTCTTACTTCCATCAAGCCTTTGGTACGTAAAGGAGGTTTCGGATAGCGCTCTACCAATAAGATCCAACATGCCTGTCCATACCGAAAATATAATACTACCTGGTATATCAGCTCAGTTCTATTGAGACAGAAACGCTTTCCGTAAATAGCTTACCTCTTCTCTGGTAGCTGGCCGGATTTAACTGCTGCTGTATGGTCGTTGTGTAGGTTTTGCAGTAGAGCCTTCACTTTTGACGAGGGGTTATATATCTCCGGACGGACACTAGGTCCTCTCGTCGGGGTCATATTCTCATCTTCCTCGAAGGCGGTGGTATTATTACACAGAGGGCAAGTGGATAAACCATTATCATCATGGACATTGCCGCTTTGGAGGCATACCTGACATACCATATGGAAACATGGAAATATATCATAAGACGTTTCGTCTTCATGCTCAAGAAGCTTGTCACAAAATTCGCACTTTTGATATTGCGAATAAGCCACATCTTGGAGCCAATCCTGTAGATCTCCAGGAAGCAGGCCGCTACCGTGGTTACAGATCTGCCGAAGCCGTAGAATAAACTGGAATGTGTTCATGATTACTTCTCCTGACTTGATGGCTAGCGCAAATTTCCTTTTTACCAAGTCGTACAATGTCTGCTCCTCATAATTTAAATGAACATGGTGGATGAGGACTCTCCGAGGAGGAAGATTGAGGTCGGTGTCAACTGTTGCTTTTGTTCGGCGGAGGGCGATCGATTTGATTAGTGACCTAAGTCGCTCCCATCCGCTCTGCTGTCCTTGGTCGATCGGTGCCAAAAACGTGTGCTTGAATACATCGGGATCGTTGAATGGGTAAATTCTTAGAAACTCGACGAGAGCGCCCAAGTCTTCTAAACGGTTTTGGATAGGTGTGCCCGTTAGACACCAGCGATGTTTGGCTTTGAGCATCCTCACCACTTGAAAGGTCTTCGAAGAGCGGTTTCTCACAACATGCGCTATAAAATATTTTAGCAAACCAAAACCGGTAATCGGAGACGTCGCTTACCCTCGTCGAGAATAACTCGATGCCAGTCAATGCCGTGAAGAAGAGCAGATCGTTTCATCGAAGCATTCCCACCAGGTAACTCAGCCCTAAGAGTTCCATATGTCGTAAATACTATATCGAGTGTTTCGAGATTTGTAGCAGCTTGGTCTCTCGCCGAACCATGGTAGATGCTGTAGGTTAGGGACCCTTCCTTGAAATGCCTTCGACACAGTTAGACTGGTGTTAATAACCACATCAGTTCAGCACATACTTTTTTATCTGATCCTCCCACTGAAAAATAGCTGGAATAATTTCACTATTAGTGAAATTGTCTAAGCAAGTCGTAAGTGTTGGTACTTACTTGACAGAGGACAAACTATCAAACTTATACGTGACCCTTGGCAATTGCCCCGCTCGTTATTCAAAGACGTTGCAATGAGGGCCAGGGCAGTAAGGGTTTTCCCGAGTCCCATCTCCTTAGATGTATATTAGCGAAGTTCCGTAAGCCATGGAGTGGTTTCTCACATCTGCGAGAAGACCGCCAAGACAGAGCTTGGGTCTCTGATAAACGTAGCTTTGAGTCACCGTGTTATAGAATCTGTTTATAGCAGGTAAGCAATATATTAAATGAACATTGGTTGGTTCTCAAACCTAGAGAAAGGAAGCGTTGCATCAATATTTTCGACCCAAACGGAAGGAAATTCCGCATTTTGGATGTTTCCTGATTCCTTCTCCATCATCATAGCCAGAGCTTTGATTTGATACCTAGCTGATTCTCAGTTCATTCCATTACTTAAGTCAAACTGGTTTACTTACGACTTTAATTGTGTTGTGATCACTCTTGAGGCCTGTACTCTCTTAAAATTTACAGGCCCAATCGCGCAGTCTAGCAGTTCGTTGGCCTTATTCTTTCCGCTTTCGTCCAAGATGGTATGTCGCGATGGAAGATATCCAACGTCTTCTTGAAACGTTTCCTCTTCTTTGTCAGGATAGGAAAGGCATTGGGGGTTTTTATATGGTCGCGAGGCGTCATAGATGTCCGGTTGTTGGAGGAAGTAATCATAATCTAGAAGCATATTTCCAATGGCATCGCCTTGTTCAAACTGCCCGTAAATAGTAACCTCGATGATTTTGGAGACCATCAATGATGCCTTTAGTTCTACATTGTAGCTTTTGACCAAGTTAGCCAGGACTTGGGCCGATGCATGACTAAGTAGTCCTAAATCCGAGCCTGACTTCGCATCTCGGATTGTTACCTTAGTATCGTCCACTTTAAGCTTGACGCCTTTCGCTCGATTGCTTTTTACCGATCTGGAATTAAGCTGGGAGTCTTCAAGGATAAGCTAAACAGCTCTTATTAGAGTATCATATGTTCGACATCTGTCTTACTAACCACGCCAAAGCAAGTATCATAGAAAGGTCTTTTAGGACTCTCTATTGCCATGACAGAATCGTCTTCAGTGGTACTGCAAGCCACGGGCGAATATTTCGAAGAAAGTGCATTGTTTAGGGTCTCGTTATCGGGTTGCGAGTGTATTTCGTCCGAGAGACTAGGAGTCCCGTAGATTTTGCTTTCGTTGTCATTGCCTCCACTGTGGGCATATAAATATTGACTTGAGGCGGTGTTTTCTTCTCTGCTAGCGTAATAGTCCCCTTGTCCATATTCGGCAATGCTTTGGTATGGCCATTCGGTGTATCCCATTGTCCCCCATTCAGAATATTGTTTCATGTTGGTGAGAGGCGGTGGGAGTGTATCCGAGAGCATTGTCGGGCTTGAGGGTATCGGTTCAACAACGGTAGCATCTTCGGAGTTTAAGGTGTGCGCACCAGTTCGTATGTCTAGATTTGGATTCGTGCGGGTTTTCTTATAGGGGTATATATATGAGATAGTTGAGTCGTTGTTGAATTCTCCCTGTTGGCTTACAACTTCCCAAGGGCGCCAAGGGCGCTTGATGCCTGTGGTTGGAGGCTCCATGTAAATGTAATCGCTGTCTTCAGTACGTTGCTTGAAGCACCAAACTCATACGATAACTTTGTTAACAAAAATATTGGAAAGTAAAATAGACTACCACACTCACATGATACGATGAGTAGAGGAATAGAGACTTAGACATGAATTCTGTGTTGTGGCAATTATGCTATGTAGGCTGTTGCTCTTACATGGTACAACAGGGAGGTGCTGGCACATAGCGAATCAGGGGCTGTTGTAGCGAAGGGCTTTCAGCCCAAAGCGCGAGACGCAAGGCAGATTTTCTGCTGACAGCTCTATTGCAATTTCATGTCTGAACCAATACCCGTGTAACACATCATCGGCTGATATGTACCTAAGGAGAGATACCTAAACATAATATAACAAATCGCATTATTACATCTCATACTTCTACATACACAAAGTCGTAAAGATCCCTACAACTCCCATCACCAGCACTGTCATTATCGTATCTACGCTCAACGTTGTGGCAGCACTAAAACCAAACGATGGTAGGGTGCTATTTACTGATGCGCCACCAGCCGTTGCTACGGCCGTAGGGCTTGCAACCCCAGACGATACCAGCACCAGCGAGCCCGGGGTCGTTTGTACACCTGGAATTTCACGTAATCCGCCTGTCGCTCCGGAAGGCGGCACTTCTATCGCAGTAGCGTTAGAGCTGCTGCTGCCGCCGCCGCTGCTGCTCGAATTAACCAAGGTATCGGAGAGCAGCGTTTCGGTATTTCCAGTTGCGACTGAGCCACCGGTGGGCAGTGCAATGAGCCCGGCTGACTCCGAGCCAGGAGAAACAACTATGATGGTGGCCGCAGCAGTGGTGGCAGTGCCGTTGGAGAACCCCCCAAGTGTTGTCGACGCAATAATAACTGGAGCTCGAGTGGTACTAGCTACAAGTGCCGAAGTGGACTTGTTCGCGAACATCGGCGAGGTAGCTGTCACTACCGCGCCTGCGCCTGCACTGATGGTATGAAAGTACTGGATTGAAGCAGAGCTGGAAGGTAATGCTAGTAATGTGCTTGCACTTGAGTTCGCTATAACCCCGAAGCTGGGAGCTGCAGAAGACACGATGTGGTAGCTTTGGATGCTTCCGATAGGCTTCGTTGCGCTTGATGAAGAAAGGGTCATAATCATCTATTAAATGTCAGGGATTATAGCTTCAGATGAGAATATGAACTTACCCCCGATGTCTCTGCTTCAGCACCCGGAAGAGCAACCAACTGACCAGCAGTTACTTGTGCGCCAGGAATGTCGACCAACCCCGCGGAGGGAACTTGTGGAGCTTCATCTTGTTGAAAGATAGGGGCCCGAGTAGCAAGGACTCCATGGAAGGCAGCTCCAAGCACAACACCCAGGGCAGTGACCAAGCCTAATTTCCTCATCTTGTATACCTAGGCAACTATGTGTTTAGGTACCTACTCAGACTGATTGATTATACGCGCGAAGAATAAGTTGATATTATGTCAAACGAATGTGCATACTGTTCAACAGTACAAACTGACCAGCAGGCAAAGAAGTAAGGAGAGACTACAGAGGAGGGGGAAAAAATCAAAGAGAGTAACCTGTGAAAAGGAAGAATTACGAATAGAGAACGAGACCTTGGATAAGACCACGGTAGATCATAAGGGGGAAGGAATGAAAATGCCATGATATCCCAAGTAGCCATCCATCCATCCATAATCTTCCAACTGCCATCTAGGTAGGAGGCATTAATGATCTCACGATGTAACCTGTCTTGGCGCCTACATCTACTCTCGCAAAAACAACACCATCGAGCTGAGCCAAGCCAAGCAGATACCTATCACCAACCACACCTTTACCTCAGTTCAGGTACCTTAGGTACCTACCTCCTATGCACGTATCTCATATGCGTTCGAAATTAGCCAGTCGACGACGATGCGACACATCCCCCACGAAAAGAAGAAGGCATGAAATAACCAAGAGACAAGCCAATCGAAATCCTCGAGGACAGAATCAAAGATCCTACGATGTGATACCAGGAAAAACGCGGCTCAGAATTAGCCGCATCGCATTCCGACGACCCCTGACGGTGACGGGGGCGCGGAACTGAGGAGTATCCGGGGACGGCTCATCTCATGTTAGGGGGTACTCTAATTATTTTAGCTATTAAGCTTAATTTTTGTTTCCTCCGCATATATATAGGAGGTATATATAAGGTTAGGTTTATAACCATGTCAAGGGATAGCTTCTCTATCAAGGTCTGAGTTCTGCGGCTTTGAGACGAAACCCTGCCGGTTCTGAAACCGGCACCATCAAGCAATCAAGCAAACCAAGCCAGCCACCAGCCTAAAATCAACTTCAAGTCTCGCTTGGGAGTACGGAGATTCATAGTGGTTACCTAACTCCTTTCGGAGATATTTAGTTCTCTTCAGACGAGCTTTTCAATTTCCGTCACCCCCTGAAAAATCGAGAGTAGGGTATCAACTTGATTTTCGGTAGATTTTGTCACGTCAGTTATACGCAGCGACTTAAGATCATAGTACCTATTCGTAGTCAAGCCAGCATCCCCAATGCAATTTGCTCGGATTGATGGGACTGAGCTCATATTAAATAGAACGCAAGGTAGCTCAGTTCCTTAGAAGAGGCTCATTCTCGGTGCCAATGATGAGCCTGCAGATATAATAGTACATTTAGGTTGACTGCCTTTAGCGAGTTAAGCCATTAGCAGGTCGTAAATTTACCTGTAAGAACCCGAAACGCCCCTCAAATACATCCATCTGTCCCCGGAATTCTTCTCGTCGTGATTTGCCGTGTGCAAAAGTAATGAGGCTACTTCGCCGAATTACGCAAAGCTATCTCCCCCATCCTCTAAGCTTCCATAGTATCCGTTTTCAACGGGGAAGGAAAGATCGAAGTACGGCAGTTCCTAGATGTTGCCTTCGGCCGGCGTGCCTCCCCCTTGCTGCGTGTCTACGCCATGGAAAGCATCACCGAACGCTGAATCTTCCATTTCCATATCCAGGCCCTCACCCAAGTCGCCAGGCGTCTCGCTAAACCCTGCCAGCGCATCGCCGGCCGTATTCAAATCGTCTAATGAGCTGAACTCGTTCTGCTCGCCATCAAACCCTGCTGAGGGGGTTCCGGTTGCAGATGCTTGCTTGCTCGGAGCGTCTACGGGCTTTGGTGGGTTGCTGGCGGGTGTCCCCCCCGCGTTACTATCCGGAACGGCGCCGGCTTTGGGGACAACTACCCAGTCACCGCTCCCCGTCCCTTGGTCAGGAGCGGTTCCTGCCGACGCATCAGCAACGCCACTCATATTCACATCCCCGGTGCTATCCGTCTGGGTGGGCTGTGTAGGCGAAGGAACATTCGCATTCGCCGGTGTAGCAACGCGGGAATGAACGGCTGAAGCCTGAGCTTGAGGTGTTGGGAAATTATTTATCGGCGTAGAGGTGGATGAAGCTCCAGTTCCGGTATGTATTTGGTCAAGGAGGCCAGCAGCGGTTCCACCGCCCATGTTGATATCGTGATCTCCCATGAAACCGCTATGCTGAGATCCGGCTTGTGATGGCTGGCGAGATATCACATCACTACCGCTTGTCCCGCCGTGTTGAGGCTCGCTAACATGGCCCGAGCCCGAAACCGCCTGGGGCGTCGGCTCAGGAGCCGGTTCTTGATAGCCGCCGTCTTGTATTCTCCTTAATTCGTATATGACCTCTGCTCGGCGGCCTAGATGGGCTTCAACCTGAGATACAATCTCATCGACCTTCTTAGTATGCTTAGAGGCCCAGCGATTTGTATCTTCTTCATTTTCGTCGATTTTCCCCTCCAGTTGCAGTACATCGGAACCCGGCTCGTCCAAAGCCGATCGTAACTCCCTTTCGGCCACAGTAAGAAGGGAGTTATGCTTAAACTTGGCCACCTTCTTGGCGTGGTCAGCTTTCATCTTCTCAATCTCTGCCTGTGTAGAGCGAAGCCGATCATTAACTCGCTTGCGGAACTCCGCGGCCTTCTCCGGATCAAACTGGGCTGTGGAAGGTTTGGAAAGGGTCTGAGTGGCTGCATTAAAACCATGAGCCTCAAAAATGCCATCAGTTAAATCTGAAAGCTCTCCCTTGAGACCTAGCCCAAGATCTGAAAATCTAATTTGACCCATTCTGTAGGGCGATGATAATATCTCTTCCATCCACTCGTGATTTTGTCGGTAGCGAGCCAAACTCACTTCACGGGGTGTAAGATGATCGAACATATCGCCACGAGAGGTGTCTTCATCATCGTCATATACGCCTTCTTGCTGGGAAATAGCAGGTATGGCGGAAGCTACTTGGCCTTGTGCAGCTTGGCCAGTCCGCGCTCGTTTTGATGGGGGCCCACCAGCCGTAGGAGGGTGAGTGGGATATGCCATTGTTTGCGGCACCCCGCGAGGGCCTGGAAACATGGGTTGCCTTGACGGTTCTCTCGGCCAAGCGATCTGAGGCCAGTTCACTCGGTCGCTGAGGATGAACTCCTTCCGTTGGATCTGACCGCATCGTTGAAGGTACGCGCGGGTTTCTAGAATAGACTGAAGTCGGGGGTCGCGGGGAATCATCTGGTGAGGAATACGCTCGTTATTATCGACAGGCCCGTAGTGAACTATCCATAAACTAGGATCAACCTGAGGAGCATTCGGATTGTGGATATTAGGAGGAATGAGGCGAAAACGGCGTCTCGAATGTGTCGCGAAAGGTTCTCCATAGGCAAATCCAGCTTTGTGATAATACATTTCAAGGATCTGTACAGGTTTAGGTTAGGTACGTAGTTAGCATGAGCTGTAATGTAAACTGATAGCGAAGAAGTCAAGATCTGTCTTACCACACCGTTTCCTACATCCTGCTGTAAGTATTGTTCCTGGGGAGGCCAGATGAAACCATCGCTGGCAAAGTTAACACCCATCTGCTGTAAAGGCTGCCATGTTAAGAAGATATTGCCATTTTCGGGTCGATCGAGGTAGGTCCAGAAGAACGGCGCGGTGTCACGGGCTATTTTAGGGGCTTGCATCAACCAAGCGGTCACTTCCGAAGGTTCGACTCGAGCTTTGACAGTGTATCTGTATGTAGAAATGAGGTGCACATGCGGAAGCTAATCATATCTCTATTAGCAAGCGATTACAACATTACTGACAACATTATGCCATCGTAAATGGAATTTCATACCAGGTCTCTATGGACCCCGAAACTGGGGTCGCCCATTGATGACATTGTCGTTTGAACGAGACAGATTTGTTTATCGCACTCAATTGATTAATACTGATATCACTGAAGGTAAGCAGATAAATTTGGTTTAATAGATTTAAAGTTGTGGTAAGAATAGCAGAGCGCGAGGCGCAAGGGCGATTTGTGGTGACAAGGCTGCGCGCGAAAGTCTCGATTTTGATGATTCGCGAAGATGCGCGACGACAAAAAGCTCGGCTTTCCTTAGGGGAAATTTGGTAATGGTACGCCTGAGGCTTGACTCAAACTTACAAGTAAATGTGGCTCGTGCAGCTGGTCGTGCATTCAACGTTGCCCGTACGAAGTACATGTACAATGTACATGGTACCTCATAAGCTACCTTAGGTAAGATTTAAAATCACGTGCATGCAATTAGGCAGGTACAGACAGCCTAACATTCTATCCTCATTTTCAATTGTACCTCCTATTCAGACAGTTGAGACAAGTTACTTATAGGGGCAACGTTAGGTAGTAGTTTAAAATGTTCAATTTTTCAAGCACTTCGGCACTATCGTGTTATTTGGCATTAATTCGGTACTTATTTTCATTCTTCTAAGTTTGGTCGGTTGACTGTATCACGTCATAGCTCATCTCGTGGCATGCTCGGGATTAAATCATTCCTTTTTCTTTTTCCATCTATTGAGAATGACCCTGCCTACGCGCCAAACCTACCATCGGTAAGTGCGCTCATATTCCTTCATATAAATACCATTGCTTTATGCCTGGTATGTGGAAGCCGACACGTTACCTCCCCGACCAGTCCAGTTAACGTGGATATATTGGCCTGCCGGGTACTTGTCGTTGGCGTACTCGGGCTTAACCTGGAAGGTGTGCGCTCCGAAGTAGTCACGCTGAGCCTGGAGAAGGTTGGCGGGTAGGTCCTTGGTGCGGTATCCGTCGAACCACGACAGCGCGGTAGAGAAGGCGGGGGTCGGGATTCCGAGAACGGCAGCCTTAGCAACGACATCTCTCCAGCCGGGCTGAGCCTTGTGGATGGCCTTGTTGAAGAAATCGTCGAAAAGCAAGTTCTCGAGATCAGGGTTGTTTCGGTAAGCCGCAGTAATGTCCTTCAAGAAGACAGAGCGGATAATGCAACCGCCTCGCCACATGAGAGCAATGGAAGGCTTGTTCAGCTTCCACTTATATTCCTTGGCAGCCTAACAACGGGTTGTGTCAGTCAGAAGTTTCTGCGCATTTGCAGACGAGACAATGGAAATATGACTTACCTCCTGCATCAACATGAAACCTTGAGCATACGAGATGATCTTAGAAGCGTATAGAGCCTGCTCGAGGTCGTCAAGGAATTGCTCCTTGTCACCCTCGAACTTAGATGTGCGACCGACGTATTGTAACTTGGTCGAAGCCTTAACTCGCTCGGCCTTGATGGAAGACAGGCAACGGGCAAGCACAGCCTCGGCAATCAGAGTAACGGGCATTCCAAGGTCGAGGGCGTTGATGGCAGTCCACTTGCCAGTACCCTTCTGACCAGCCTGGTCCAGAATCTTCTCAACCAGCGGTGTACCGTCGTCGTCGTTGAAGTACATGATGTCACGGGTAATTTCGATTAAGAAGGAGTCTAGTACGCCCTTGTTCCATTTGGCAAAGACGTCACCGATCTCCTTGTTGTTTAATCCGAGACCGCGCTTCATGATATCGTAGGCCTAGAGGAATTAGCTCAGCTGCATGGGAAGCGGGTGCCCTAACAAAATATAGAGCTAACAAAAATAAGGGCAACAAACCTCGCAAATCAGTTGCATGTCACCGTATTCGATACCATTGTGCACCATCTTGACGTAGTGACCGGCACCCTCGTCACCAACCCACTCACAGCATGCCTCGTTGTCGCTCTTGGCGGCAATGCTTTGGAAGATATCCTTGATGTAGGGCCAGGCCTCCTCGTTACCACCCGGCATCAAGGAAGGGCCGTATCGGGCACCTTCCTCACCACCGGAGACACCGGAACCGACGAATCGGATACCCTTGGTAGCGAGGTATTTAGTTCGTCGGTTCGAGTCGGGGAAGTGAGAGTTGCCGCCATCAATGATGACATCTCCCTTCTCAAGGAGAGGGAGCAGAGTCTCGATCCAGTCGTCGACAGCCTTGCCAGCTTGTACCAGCAGCATGACACGGCGGGGTTTCTTTAGCTTGGAAATGAACTCCTCGTTGGAGTGAGCGCCGACAATAGGCTTGCCCTTCGCTTCGTTTGCTAAGAACGCATCTACCTTGGAGACGGTTCGGTTATAGGCGCAGACAGTGAAGCCGTGGTCGGCCATGTTCAGAATCAAGTTCTGACCCCTATGACGGATGAATATCTATAGAGCTTATTGAGGGATTTGGGAGGGGTAAGATTAACGTACATGACGGCCAAGCCAATGAGGCCCAAATCAGCGCTTTTGAAATGATTAGCATGGCTTCAATTGGAGCAATTTACGAGGAATTCGTTAGGAATGATATGAGGAAAGAAGCTCGCCTTGGGCCTCTTAAAGAACTGGTTATATTGGTAAGACGAGCCCTAGAGGGCCCGAAGAGCTATTTCAGTTACATGGGTCGCGAAGGCCATCAATTCTTTTGTGTTGGGTAGGAAGAAGGACGGGAATCGGCGGGATGATGATTTCGATGGCGGGGTAAAGAGAAAATCATCATCGTCGCCAGGGTAAGAGAGAGCAAGGTAAGAGGTTTATAGGGACTGGACTTGACTTACACGGCACCAGACATGATTGCAGCGATGTTGGTAGCTCAATGGTAGAAGATGCGAGGGTATTTGCTAAAGCAAGAATATGGAAAGCGAAAATATAGAAGAATCAATTGTAAACTACGGAGCGCGGGAAGAAGGTTACTTTTCTATGATGGAGTTGGGTTAGGGAAAAAGTGGGTTAAAGAAAGTGGATGGTGGATTTGTGATGATGGAGGGGTAAAGAAAATGGGGGGGCCTAAGGAAGAAAAAAAAAGATAGGAGGGTACCTCTTTGGTGTACTTTTTACCTCTTTCCATCTATACATACCTCAGTTAGGTACTATGTACATGTCACCTTTAATCCTCTCTAACTTACCTACCTCTATCTTACATGGAACTCGCCTATAAAATCTGTCTCAGCTAACTACCCTGGTAGGTTAAGCTTGGAGGTGACAGGACAGGTATGTACCTAATACCTTGACTTCAATGCATCCCCCATCAATCAAAGAACTTCCGGAAGGCACGGGGTCTTCCAATTACTAAAGGACCCCTTCTTTTCCCACTATTCGTTGCGTCGCATATACCTACCTAGGTACATAAGGCAGGTAGTTTCTCACTCGCCTATCACCGATCGCGGATCGTGAGAATAGGTACCCTTGGAATTACTTACATGTACCTAATTGTACGAAATGCGTTGTCCATTCGCAACCTTAGGTATTATATTACTGATACTTACCGATTTGTTACAACAGCATACAGCATGATAGTATAGGTATCTAACAGATAATTAAAAACATGCCACTTTGTTCTTCTCTAACGTAGGAGACGCCTCGTGTCTATCTTGGTTGATTCAGATCCCCCATCAGTCCTTAACGCCGTTTCGTAATCCCACCGGCGGACGGAATGCTTGGTCATAGACGAGCTTGGATCCACATCGGGTTTTATTCGAACTATGCGAGGTACGAAATGGCAGGATGTCCAATAACAGGCTAGGCCAACAATATAGATAGGTAGCTACTTGTTGAGCTATGTTCGGGTTAAACCATCTATCAGGCTGAACTCTCGGTCCAACAAGGTTGAGGACTTTACTGGTAACTATCTGTCAGTCTGTCCTCGAATAGTCAGTCTATCATCAGCTAAGATATATAATTGTAACCTCTTAGGTATTATAATGCTTAGCAACCAAATGCCTACCTGTAACTCATATATAAAAGAACAGCTTGCTGACCCTTTCATTGTGAGACGATCACGATGTTGAAACACGGGGGTACAAGAGAGCATTAAACCCACAATCACTTATAACAAACAATGCTCCCCTTCGTGGAGAACTCAAGCAACAATTCCAAGAACCGATTTGATGTATGTTGATTCATGCTGTTCTTTACATGCCACCCCAACCTGTGGTACATAGTACATAGTAATTGCGGCGGAACACCGCTTTGTCGATTCAGCTAGGATGGACGCTAGATCCCACTCATCACTGCGAGGCTACTACAACAAAATGTCTCATGGGGATGGGGAAGAACCGGGCAATAAATTAATGGCCTTGGGCCAATCAGGAGAATCCAACTTCTCGGCCCTTTACTCGGGTTGGCGGCCCTCTGGATTATTATGCTTAGCGGGCCTTTATCAGGTGAAATGGCCATCTTGGCAAGTCAAGGAATCTGACCGAAAGTTGAGAGATAACGTAGGAGGGAATATGGCTGTACTGCTGATGACGGATGACGAAATAGATAAAATAGAAAAGGCTTTTAAAAAGCAATAGCGTCTCTCTAGATGCTAGCCGTCAAGAAGAGTTGAATTACATGCCTACCAGGTAAGTACATACCTAACATTCTTTAATCGTTTCCTTCAAAACCCAAATGTCATTGATATCGTTGATCGCTAACATGTAGGAACGGACGTTAAGAGTAAGTTAGTATTGGTTGAACAAACATTACAGGTGAAAGTTAAAGGAATTATTATTGCCATTATTAAAAGTCGCAATTATTCAACTTTCTATCTGTTGGGATTTGGTGTAAGTGGATATGGGCGTTCCAGTCACGTGATTGCATATGCTAGGTACATGTACATCAATGTACATATGTACCTATGTGTCTATGTATAGAACAGCGGCGCACCGCCATAATTCGATCATGCGCCACAGATCAAAGAAAACTTCAACATTTTGGATCAGGGAATCCATACTTGGAATTTAGCTACCTAACACACCATAGAATCTCGTCGATAGAATCGCCTTCACCAGTGTCACCGCATCACCATCACATCCGCACGCGTACCACATTTCACATCCTTCATAATAAGACCGCGCATGTAATTATTTTCAATTACCGACAGTGTACATAATACATTTCAAAGTCACTATTACCAGAGCAGAGAGCGGTAAAAGGCTCCAAGCAGGCAAGAGAAGAAGAAGAAGAGGAAGAAAAACAAAGAGTCTCTAGGTTTATATATATCCCTGGACTCATAGGTACGTGCTGCACCCGGAAAAAAAACCACCATTGGGGCGCACAGCAAAATTCATCATGTCCTATCCGCCTCCTCCAGGCTCCAGCAATTCCTCGCTTCCCCCGCGCCCGCCTCCCTCGCGCGTCTCCGGCTTCAAGCCCGCCTTCTCTTCCCCCGCCAACACCCCGAGCCCCGGCGCCCGAGCCCCCGGCCCCTACGCGCCCCCCGCCTACTCCAGCGCCCCGACGTACGCCGGCGCTCCCGCTACCACCACCACCACTACCGCCGCCCCTTCAAGAAGCCAGTATGGTTCCTCGTACCAGCCCTACGGCTCCGTGACCAGAGCCTACCAACAACCAGCAGCAGCAGCAGCAGCGAACCCGTACTCGTACCCAGGAGGGCACCACCAGCAGCAGGCCTACCAGACGGGCTACTACGGCGCGCCGCAGACCGCCGCCGCCTCAGCTAATGTTGCTGCTGCTGCCGGCGCGACATCCTACGCCGCGCCCCCCCAGATCCGCAACCCCTTCCCGGCCCCCAGCCAGGCGAGGCACGATGACTACGACCCGGACATGGCGGCGCAGATCGCGCAGTGGCAGAGCGCGTACGTGAAAGACCCGACCAAGGAAGGCGGTGCTGCTACTACTACTGCCGGCGGCGCGCCGGCGTCGGCAGGAGCGTCGGCGGCAGGATCGAGCGGTCGAGGTGGCTACGGCTACGGCTATGGCAACAGCGCGATGTCGACGAATACGAATACGGCGGCGACGACAACGATAACGACAACGTCGTACGCCGCGGAACCGAGCGCCGGCGCGGGCGCAGCTTCGAATGCTCCGGCGGCGAACGGGGAGAAGAAGAAGACGGTGATACGGTCGGGCGGCGGGCAGAAGTGGTCGGACGACACGCTGCTGGAGTGGGACCCGTCGCACCTGCGGCTCTTCGTGGGCAACCTGGCGGGGGAGACGACGGACGAGTCGCTGTACAAGGCGTTCTCGCAGTGGAAGTCGCTGCAGAAGGCGCGCGTGATCCGGGACAAGGTGACGTCCAAGTCGAAAGGGTACGGGTTCGTGTCCTTCAGCGACCCGGACGAGTTCTTCCAAGCCGCCAAGGAGATGAACGGCAAGTACATCCAGAGCCACCCGGTCGTCGTGCGCAAGAGCACCACCGAGATCAAGCCCACCGTCGTCAAGGACAGCAACCGCTGGAGCAAGAACGGGAAGAACAAGAACAAGAACAAAAATCGCGGTGGTAGCGGTAGTGGTGGCGGAGGAGGTGGTGGTCACGGCTCAGGCAAGCGCGACGACGGCTACGAACCTCATCTCGGCCCCGTGCCGACCGGCGTTCACAAGCCTGGTCAGAAGACGAAGGGCGGTCTGAAGTTGTTGGGCTGAGTTGCGGGAGGAAGGGAGGGATGCATGAATATGCATATGCATATATTACCTACCTATATACCCTACTAGTGTTTCACCATCCTGCATTGCAATTGCGTCTGCCTGTTACTATTACGCTCGGCTTGCTTTAGATTTGTTCTTCTTCTTCTTTTTTTTTTAATAGTATGAGGGCGTTGGAGAGAGACGCGCAGACTTGATTAGAAAGACTTGCGTCTATCTAGATACCACGGAAGCATATACTATACTAATCAAACAAGATGGAATACTAAACACTAAACCAAATCCAAAACGTGGGCGCCGTACATCGTGATATGTTTTGATAATGACATTGACTCTTGGTTCAATTTTCATGCTGTGCCAATCTCCTATTGACGCCATCCAAAATTCCATACCGTGCGGTCAAGTCCTCTCTCTCCTCTTTTAATCCAACAAACAAACAAAAAACTTATTTCTACACGATCTACAATCCACTTAACAAGTATTTGGACCTAGATAGGTTAGGTACCTAGGTAGGTGGGCAGCAAGATCTATCGATCTTCTCTATATTTGCAATTGGGGTATCTTGCTAATACGTCTGTCTGCCTGCTCATTCTCACTTGTTCGATTTGATCCGGCCTTGAACTTTTACACTAGGCCCCCTCCTCTCTCTCCCCCCCCCTTCATATTTCCCTCCTCCTACTCCTACTATTCGCTTCAAGTTGTCAAATATGCAGATCCGCTCACTTCTGTGTAAAACTGATCAACCAGCTAGGTAATCTGATCGCTTCTACCTTACATGGTAGATATATTAATGCTTTGGGCTTGCTCCCTTTTACCCAAAGCCCCCAGCCCCCCCCTCTTAACTACTCCCGCCAATGCAATATTTGGCCTTATATTTGTTTTTCCGGCGACTCTGGTTCACTCGTCCCATTGGCCGTTCTGGCGTGCGTGCAGGTTATGCTGTTGAACTGCCGCAACTGGCCATGCTGAATCTCACATAGATGTACAAGTTGCGCCACAAAATTCCTATGCTTCTATACTGACAATGAACCACCTTTTTACAAATGAAACCTGGTGTGCGGCAATCAATTTTCCCGGGTGCGTTCTGTACGGTGAGGCTCCGTCGAATTGGAGGGTCCTGCTTTCGAGATCACATCACTGTCGGCTGGCAGCAGATTGTCCTCGATACCGCTCGCGTCTTCGTGAGCTAGAAGTCCTGTCTCTTCCTCGTCGGAATCGCTTCCGCGCTCAAACTCGCTCGACGAACCCGATTGTGCCTGCTGGTAACCGCGATTGTGTGCTTCCATACGCGCATCGTTGCGCATCTTTGACAACTTGATCCAATTATATGCGCCAATAGCACAAATAGTAACAACAAGACCTGAGATGTTAATGGGCGTAAGTTTATCGTCGAAAACCAATGCTGCCGCCGAAATAGTGACAACTTCTTTAAAGATACCGGCAATGGAAAGCGTGACGACGCTGCTTCGCTGCAGCAGAGCAAATTCGCTAGCGGTCATCAAGAAAGCGATCGTTCCCGGGAAGAGGAGGATAAGGGGGGTCCTGAGAGGGCCCCATTCATTGGCTAGCACCTTTAGCCCCTCTATCAGTTCGAAGAAACCTTCCACCGGTACGGCGATTACAATCAATGTGAGGAACATGACTGGCGCAAGGAAAAAGATGCTGGAGAACGGGTTTGACGTGGCGGGGTTTCGGAGTAAAAGGATCTGCGTCAGACCCCAACGGAAGCCAGAGAAGAAGGCAGCAGATATTACGAGAATGAAGCCCCCAAGTTGGAATTCAACCTCTCCTGCCACCATCATTACCACACCGGCTGTCATGGTTGCGATGATGCTAACTAACTTCCAAGTAGGGGTTTCGAGGCGGAAAGCGAAGGCGAAAAGTAATACGAATGCTAGGGAAGAAGATTTACACATAGCTAGAGACAAGTTAGCTTCCAGATTATGTTTTTTCTTTTTTCTTCACAAGAGATACAAGTTATGACCTACTGTAAAATGTAAGGGTTATGAATTTTAGGGACGTGTTTCCAAGTCCAATATCTAAACCGGTCGCCGCGCCGCACGGTCCTATTCTCGTCAAATAGAATAATTTGGTCATAATAGGCCTCTCAGGTTCGGACTCGTGTCTCGATCGGCCCAGGTCGGAATTATGTTGGCCGTTATGAGGTCGTAATGAAGGTATGAAATATAATACTAAACTCGCAAGAGAAAACTGCACGAGCATATGCGTAGCTGTGGTAAATAATGGGAAAGCAAAATTAAGCTGGCCCGAATCAAACATCCATTTGTTGTACTGTAATTCAGAGGAGTTCTGTTAGCAAACCCTTTGCATCCTGAGTATATTCCAAAGATTCCATGGGAGACAATAATGACAATATTTGACTTACTAAAGAGATCGAAAGCGAAAATAGATACCAAAGCCCAATTAAAATAGCGTTGATAGCCAACTTCTTAAACACATCCTGATCTGCCTCTTTTCGCTCCTCATCCGTGATCTTGTCCCGTGCGATCCTCTGGTCTAATCTCGTATTGCGCCGTCGCTTAGCTTGTTTCCTCCTCCTATCCTTCTTTGTAAGACCTGTCTCCTCGTCATCATGCAAGTCTTCTTCAGATAAGCTGTCGTCTTCCCTGCTGTCCGACCTTGACGCGTCCCGACGTTGATCCTCTTCGGATATTTTGCCTTCTAGATCCCCTGGACTCTTAACGCTGGTAGAGCGTGGGCGTGGAGTTCGCGGATTGGAGGGCTGAGGAATGTTAGGGTTGGCGTTTAGGGTACTTCGGCGGCGACGATGGCCTTGAGGAGCTACGGGATCCATCTCTATATCCTCGTGGTGACGGCCGGTAGAGTTGGAAGAAGTATGGTGGTTAGCACCATCAGACGACCAATCTATCTTAAAGCTAGTGGTAGCGGATGATGCTGACGAGGGATTGGAGAAGTCAGGGTTCGCGGAATTGGGGACGAGTACGCTTTTAATTGATAGGGTGGCGGGATGAGACGGTGAAGGATGAGGAGATAGGCGTCTTTGGGAAGGATAATTATTGGACAAAGGAAAAGAAGAAGACATATTTTTTTTATGTGGATGTGAATAATAATAATAAGTCAGTGTATGGCAGAGAACTTTCGAAAAAGTGATACACGCAGATTAGAGCCCAGATTAGAGCCTTGATTAGACTCAGATACCTAAACCGGATAGACAAAAAAAAGCAGCATGTAACCTGCAAGCATAATTGTTCAGAACCCCCCTAGAACGCCTGGAAAGGACCCCTAGCCTCATTAAGCTAACCGTAATGCTACCTAGCGTCGGCCAACTCTGGCTATTTGGGCGCATAAAAACCATAAAACCATAAAACTCGAATTGAATCCGAAAGTAAGTCTACCCCTTTTCTTAACTTTAGGTAGCTGTCTAACTAGTAGCCTAGGTACCTGAAAATTAGGGGACCTAGCGACTCAAAACAAACACCTAAACGAAGGAGTAACCCGTAAGTTCCGCCCAGTCGGTGCTGTGATTGAAGCAGGTCCTGGAGCCCCTTGGGATGAACTAGCGATTCCGAACTACCTAAAATTGGATCCGTCATACGGATTGTGCACATTGTTTAGATGCCATTGGCATTGGATTGATGTTTTAGCTTCAGGGCATAAATTGTGGGGATCTCTTTTATTGTACAAGAGGTATGGAATTGTACAATTCTTTGTGCATTGTACGAAGTACACTAAGTTTGTATACCTCGCGACGTACTACCTAAAAGAGCTATTGAAGGTTGAAATTATCTCATACTCTTTTCTCCCTCGTGACCCCATAAACCCATACATACATCACATGTATCAATCAATTTCCTCCTCCCCTTAATGCCAAGTTGGAACGCCAAGTAAACAACGCGAAAAAGTGGAAAAAAATAATGATTTTTACGAAAAAGTTTGTATTCGCTAAGACCCTTGCAATCGACTCTCCACTGACGGAAATAATACGGAGAACATTGACAGCTTTTCCCAGCTGTTCAGCTGTTAGAGCTGTACTGTACTATGTTAGGTAACATTCACGCTAACACTAGCAGGTGGTTTAGGTATGCACGGGTGTTGTGGATGTGGAGCAAATCCGGGGTTTATGTAAACCGGTAGTTAAACCTTTTCCCAAATCCACCCGCGATCTTGATCTCATTCACGCTTTAACATTAACTACCAGGTAGGTATATTAACCTACTAACTTAGTGTAGTGTAACATTGAACATCGCGATGTTCGTGCACATCTTTTCTTTTTCTCCCCTTATGACGTTCTTCTTCCCAACTCGAAATTGTGACTTCCTCCCCCTCTTACATAATTGTCATACATAGGATCCAGCCTTTATATGTAAAACTATCTAATGTATTACTACACTAGTAAAATATCTTGTATACCTAGGTAAGTACCTATCTTACATCGTAAGGCAATGCGAACACATTTTATTAAGGAGTAGGCTATTAAATCGGGTAGCCTTCTCATAGTCAAACCTGCCAACCTGCCAACATAGCATGCAACGTAGGATAACTGTTCTTAGTCTCTTCACCCTGCAAAGAACCATACCGTTTTACTCTAAGTAATTTAGTTGTATGTAGAATTACACTTCAACTACCTGCTCCGTGTACCGAAAGCGAGTCTTTCAACAAATGATAATTGTCCTTCTTCCGCCTTCCTGGATTTTAACAGACCTATGCGCCTGTGTTTAACCATACATGGTAATACAAAAGGAGCTAAAGAGAAAAAAAAGAGAAAGAAAAAAAGGAAAAAGCAAAGCCCTATGGAAGCACGATACGACAGGTTTTAGGATAATATTTGCATCTCTTCTTTCCTGTCGGAAGCAAACTGGTCCTTGTATTGGTCCCACAGCTTCTCCAGCTCGGTAACATAAAGATCGTGTAGTCGGTCGACCTCCGCCTGGTCCACAACGGGCGACTGTGTGACTTTGATCGGGGCACCGACCACCACGTTCAATGGACGGCGATACGGCATCAAGCCTACATCGTAATTAAAGATACCGCGCCCGTGTAAAAATGGCAAGGTGAATTTCCACACCTTGAGAACAAACATCTGGAAGTTGTGTACGAGCGGGTGTTCCTTGGGATGTAGTTGGTCGTAGAGGTTGTTTTCGCCAAACGCGAGCACGGGCACCAGGTCTGCGCCGGTTCTGATGGCAATCCTGACGAAGCCCTTGCGTTCCTTCAAGATCAATCGCATGAGGCCTGGTTGTGCTTCGAGAGACTCTCGGGCGCCGCCTATAACGATAGTGACAGCGCGGCCCATACCTTCTCCATTTGGCCCACCTTTTGTCAAGATGTTGACAATGGACTCCTTCGAGACTGATCGTAGTCCTGAAGTTAATATGTACTCACGATACAAGGGAATACGGAAGTTTGAATCCAATGTCAGTAAACTGTTCGTGATGCCAGGAAACTTCTCAGAAAATCCCAAAGCGTCAGTACCAAAAGCCGCCCAAGCGCCATGGGAGATGATACCGTGAGGATGGTAGCCGAAGATATACTTCCGAGTGGGTGGTAGCTCGTGAGTTTTGTGAAGTTTGGCCGGGAAGTAGCCCGCGAAGAGGTGCCATATGTAGCTTTTGCGGAACCATTCGGATCGGTATCTCAACGATCCATCCGTGGCAGCCTTCGAGGTCAGCACGTACACAAGATATATGAGTAGTATTGGCCAGGCAAATGGATTAGCGCACAGCGCGAAAAAGACAGAAGCGGTCAGGGCGATGCCCATGCAGTGAATGAGTACAACAAGTGTCTGCATTCTGCGCTTCCATGGAACATTCCACGGAGCCCACCGGATGCCTCCGTTGGCACTCGGTCTAGGGGGTGGATGGATTTCATCCATTGTTAAATCATCCAACTCTGGGTACGAATCATCGTCGTCTTGCGTGTTAGGACCGCACTTATACGGTACAACATCTATGTCTTGCCCTTTCAACCCAGATTTAAGGGCAGAGGCATAACTGGCTCCGTCTGTCTTATCACCGTCGGCCGTAGTTTCTAAGCCATTAACAGGGGTTTCGCAGCCTTCAGTAGAATAAGCACTCCTATCGGTACCTGAAGAACCGTATTTCTCCCCAGACTCATCCCTATCGTTGGATTGTGCATCGTCTTCGCCATTGAGAATCGGCGGGTCGAGCTTGTTCGGCTCGGCTCCCGAGGTGCCATTCGTACCAGCACCCTGGTTGGTTGGCTTTTCTTTCTTGGAAGTGCTATCCATCTTAGAAACCTCTCTTCTCTTAGGATCCTTACGTCCGGAGACCTGCTGCGGGGAGCTCGCTTGGTGAGCGAGAGCTCTGGGAATATGAAATGCGCTAGGACTCGGACCAGGCAGGACAGCCCGAGCGGCGCTAAGCGTATCTTTATACGAAGAACCGGTATTGCCCAGAGGGGATGAATGAGGGGTATTGTCGCCGGTTACACGGGATGTGTGGACTTTGCCGAATGTAGTTCTGGTCGTGCGAGGTGAAGTACGAGGAGCGGGAAAGCTAGCGCAGTCGTGGATCGGCTAAGGGAAACGAAATATCGATTAATATATTTATTTCTCTTCCTAGTATCCCGCAGTAGGGACAAACATACAATGTTTGATGAACCAGAAGTCCTTCTAGGTTTCCGTTCTTTATTAGATACAGATTTAATATCGTGCGTAGGGCCGTTCGAGGGGTTGTTGTTTTCGGTATCTGGTTTAGAATCAGAATCAGATACATGAGATTGATCTTGATGGCGCCTCTGCCCCAGGCGCGGCAGCTTGGAGCCGCGAGGACTGTTGAGAGGCTCCTGAGGCCGAGGGGTTTCAGGCTTGCCGACTGTCATGACTGGTGAAATATATATAGGTAGGTAGGTAGGTAGGTAATGTCCGAGTTACTGCCCCCGTCGTGAATTAAGCTCTAGATAAAACATACCTGTGCGGACAAGTAGAAAGAACAGCAATGTCGGTTTGCGTATCGTCACTCTACAGTCAAAGCCTATTCCTTACTGTGAGTTTGATTTAAACTTTTCCCTAAGGGACTTCGTCTCCGTTCGCCAGCAAGATTAGGTTTCGGTCGTCTTATGATGGCGCAAAGTCTATTGTGTTCGGGAGGTGGTCGTCTCAATGAATATCTAGTGCGTACCTACCTTAGGTACATAAATAAGCTGGTAGGTAGGTAAGTACCTAGGTAGGTAGTTGGTATGCTACACACACAAAAAAAGAGCCTCGGCAGCCTCGGGACGTGGTGTGTGCGACAGTAATGCGACGAGGTTTGATGATAATACGAAAACGGGCCGAGCTTAGAATTCGATATCCGCCATGATAGAGGTTCCGGAAAAGAACATCGGTGGCCTCTTCAGCACGATAAAATCTTGGCGTCAAAAAACGAAGTACCTACTATGTAAGACGCAGTTCAACTGAAAACGGGGGACCAACTCGACCCAGTGCAGTGGGAGAGCTGAATGGTTTGTGCGAATTACGGCAGGTTACGGCAGTAGCTGTAGGGGCTGTAGGTAATTTTAGTTACAGTGGGGCTTACCTAGTAGCTTAGTGCAATAAACCGTACATGTAGCCTGGTTGGTTGGCTGGCTGGTCTAGCTCATACCTGTTATAAGTATCAGTATGACGTATCCCGCTAGCATGTGCAAAAAAAGCATTGGTCGGGACCCCCGAAAGAGTTCTTTACGGCTGTAACACGGCAGAAATTAATAAAAAGCAAACAGGATATCACAAGCTTCCGTATTGCCGTCTTCTCTCAGTAATTACCTAGGTTACCTAGATAGGTACCTTACTATACTTGCTATATCTTGGTAGGTAGCTCTTAGTTTATTCCACTTAATAAGGTAAACGATTCAAATTTCATATTGCCTTCCACTCATTAAATGTTAAAGGGTTTAGTATATAGCATGACCCGCATTTTAACATCCATAACCGAGATATTGGTGATTCGAGTAATCGTTACCTAAGTCTTAGGTATTCCATCTTATACTTACCTAGGAGGTATTTATGGTATATAGTATTTCTAGTATTTCTACCTAACGTGTAAACCGTGTTTCCAAAACAAGTCTAAGTAGGTACCTAAGGTAATTATAAACCTTTAGGAAAGCAACCAAAGGGTATAGTTCAAGTCAAAGAGTTATTGCTTTAACTGCAATCTTGCGTTCCAACCGACAATGCATCTTATGAGGTCCCAGTCGCCGTCTTGTCCAACCCAATCCGTAACAACCACTCCGGTGCTCCCATCACCCACCTTTAAGCCTTTCGGCCCCTTGCCATCCGCCCCGTGCCGTATGCATAGGTACTCGATGATGGCCGGGTTTGCTTTGGCCGCAATCTTCTCCGGCCAGCAGTTAGCGTTAAAGAAATTGCTAGCGCTTAAGAAATTCACAAAGAAAGGCTGGACAGGTCCGTTCTCCTTGTAACCTTCACGTCCCGGGAGGGCGCAAAATGGTTCGGCCGCACGTTCAAGATGCTTTCGTGCGAACTCGATCTTCTTCTGAATGTTGTGGCTCTGGTCGACTTCGTAGAAGTCTTGTATACGGGCAATACCACTTCCCAGTAGACCATCCTCACAATTGTCTGGCCAGACGCTCCCATCGAGTCCCCAACCTCGACCATCCCATTCGCCATTAAGGCTTGGGTCGTTCTGGTGTCGCCTCAGCAGCACGATTTTACCCCGTACTTCGCCGATCTTTGGAATCCGCGGTTCGGTGTACCATCGTTTCCCATCTCCGTAGAAGCGATCCTTGAGGATCTTGGATAGCTGCTGATCGGTGCCTTTACCGGTGCCTTCGCGCTTCACGCTCATGATAAGGGTCTCGGACGGATTGGCGTCTAGGAACGAGTAAATAACATCGAGCATATCCTTAAAATACTTGTTTCCCGTGAGCGAGATGGGGAACGCGCTATGCACGAGGGTCAGTTCCGAAGAGTCCGTGCTAACGTTTACACGGATATCGAAAAATCGGACGCCGTTGTCCAGTTGCTCGCGCACATTAACCGCTTGGCATCGGACTGAAGGCAGTGCGAGGTGGCATGTCGGACTGTTATGTGTACCCGGTATAGACAAAGCCGATAAGGGATATTCGTCCCGCAGCTCGTGCATCCAACTGGAGAGGTTGGCGGAACTGAAGATGGCAAGACAACTGCCGGCCTGCACGTAGATAGCAGTATATTCGTTGGGAGCACCATCCAGTTTCGTCATGACTGTGCTACGATGCGAAGCACTCGGCACATCTACTTGATATCGGTGACCCCCAGACTCGAAAGTCAAGCGAATGACTTCTCGGCCGGGGTCAGCCGCGCGAACATCCGTAACGCAGGTTTCAAAGCATCCGATGGGAATGGAGACATCACGGCGGTCCTTAGCTTCGCCCTGGATGCGAACATTAGGCGCAACAGATGAAGAGCTAAAAATACCGGTGAGCCTGCTCGTGATATTACCGACAGGAGTATGACGTCCGGATGAAGGCTGCCCTTCAAACCGCTCCACGAGCTTAAGCTCTAGCGGAGTGATTGTGAGGTTACGGATAGTTAAGTCCGCCATTGGATTAAAAAGTTGTATTAAGCTGTAGTTTAGTATTAATAGGATTCTAGGGAAATAGTTGTAGAGCTAGATAGTACAGCTAAATAGGATGCGCCAACGCCGTTGAGGCGCTTCAAAGACTTATGTAGGATCATCACTCAAGCAGCTAATGAGCGTCAGTTCCGTAGGCAAAGGTCTTAGGCGCAGTGTAAGGGGAACAACGGCCAGCCACGACTGAATTTTAGATTTTAATTGGATGATTGGCAGTGGGGATCTCGTAACAATCGCAGCTGAAGTTTATTCTTTTTCGTCTGTTTTCTTCCTTTTTTTTCTCCCTCCCCTGGTGCTATGTAATGTAAAAAGCAGCGCCACAAAGTACCACGAATTTGAGTCTTTGAAATAGACGTTCGTGGTAACGTTGAACATTTCTCATTTTAACACAAAAAATGCAACACCCCGAAATAGCATATAAGATTTCTCGAGTTATTTATTCGTCGTCATATAGTTATAATTTATCAATTGATGTTATGATTCTATTCTATTTATATTTCGAGAGCCTAACCTGATGAGTTGTGATCTCATAAGAGGTATTACATTGTACAAGCCACATTTCATCATCAAGGTACCTGAATTAGATATGATTGGTCAATGCAAAGCTCCCAGGGACCTGTCCGGCCTGTACATACCTAGGTGCTATGTAATGTATTGTAATTGTGCAACCACTCAACCTGACCTACCTGCAGTTTTCCCACATCAACAAAGAAGACCATCAAGAGCAATGATCTAATAAGAGTACCAACATAATGCGACCTCGTATATTTAACTACCGTTTTATAAGTGGCAGGTACCATTGTTTACATAAACGAAACTATGGAAGTCACCTTGGTACAGCTGAAAAAATCAGTCTTGCCTTATCAACGAAAGTCCCCAAAGTCAGTTTGATATATCATACAATTCTAGGGTTTTGCTAACCCAAACACAGCCAACTGTTATAAATGAATTAAGCAAGCATTCTGCAAACTCGTCAAAGTCACTTGCGAAAATACAGAATGTAGAAAACTCAGGGTATGGGGCAGCTATTTTTGCGTCCCGCGACTTCGCAACCTGGTTAGAAGACGAGAGTTTCGTATCTGGTGTACTTGAGAGTCTCTTTAAAGGGAAGACCACCGGACAGGACAATTCAGCTCCCATCAATGTTTTATGTGCAGTGACAGACGCACTTACTCCAAAACGACTGTTCAGCGAGCCTCAGACAGGTCTTTCAATATTGTATGGCTCGGCGGACGGCATCCTCCCTGGTCTATGGTCTGCCGAGGATTCCGAATCAAATATTAGCCAAGATAGAGAATCTTCCGTGTCATTCCTATCGAACCCTTTACCTAGGGATACCAGGCCGCTTGAGATCACACTGCCACTAGCAAATACGATTTTCCAGAATGGGAGACGATCTACCTTATTTGCAAGCAGGTGGCAACGTGACCACGGCGGTTCTATATTGCGTACGATGATACACGAGAAAAAATCCCAAAGAATATGTCTTCGTGCTATTTCGGGGGATCATATTAACCCCATTCTTCCATTGTTGCCATTAACTCCTCCTCGGAAGATTATTGCTGGATTGGGCAATATCGTTCGACAGGTCGAAGTCAATGGTACTGCAACGCCAGCATCTAAAGAACTAGAAGCTATAATACCGAAGGTCTTTGACAAGAGGTCCGAACGGGATGCATCTTATTCACCCGGGCCTATCGGTGTATGGTGTTGGGTCATACCGCCAGACGTCGTAGAAAAGAGGAACCTCCTTGACCTAAAAGTCTTTGAGCCTGGGTCATCTCAGTCCGAAGCAGAGCTGTCACTTGAGGTTATGAATGTGTTTTCTGAGCTACTGTCTTCGGGGTGTCGACTACACAAGATCCGTACGTGGTAGACTACTTAAGTCAGAAGATAAGAATCAAGCTAACGAATGTATAGTCAGTGGCGGAGGAGGTTGGGGCGCCAAACAAGGACTACTCTCACTCGACCAAGAAATAAGCTATTCGCTGCCGGATCAGGACGATATCGAGCTGTTCATAAGAGCATTCCAGGAACGCAACAACCCCAACTCATCAGAAGGTCTTGTGAGACCGGGCTCATATCTTATGTTTTGCATCGAACCACATTGGCCGAAGAACGAAATAGGGCTAAGCCGGGAGATCTCACCAACAACGACTATTGGCGTGGTTCAAAATAGTGACCAAGAGCTCGATTCGGCTGAGCTGTCGGATAAAGTCGATGTTATCGACGGTCATTTTGGAGTAGCATCGAAGACCGGCCTTTTCTTGAAGGCTACTAATCTGGCTCATGTGAGCCAAGCTACCGAGCAGCCTCATGCATTCACTACGAAAGTCGACCTCCCACGGGCTTCTTTTATCTTGTAGTAAACAGACTGTCCTAATAAGCCAAAGAAAGCCCTACGGTTATTTAACATGGAGATGAAGAAACGGATAATAAGTGCCTTAGGTACCTAGTTTAGACCTTGACAAGTCGTAACTAATACTGTTTCACATAACTAAGGTTAGGTAGGTTAGGTTAGGTACCTGGTATGCAGCTTGAGAGACCGAGTATTGCTTTACCCCTATTTGGCGGTGACGCACAGTATCCATACAGTGCTAGGTACACGTGGCCGTTTATTTCCCAAGTCGGCTAGAAAAGCGCAGTTTATCCATCTTAGCTCCTTATTTATCGGCAAGAAAATAACGTCAAGGCACTTGGCGCTAGGAGGTACCTAGGTAGTAGCACCCTAAGTAGCACCTTCGCAGGTACTTAAGTACCTAAGTACCTAACCTACATACTTATTGTAAAGCCGCGTCGATTTATTGCTGACGTCTACCCAAACATCCATTTTTGCAATAACGTTAGAATGGATCGAAGTCTTGACGAGATCGTTGCTGAATCTCAGGTACGAATGGGAATTGATGTCATTGTCTAAAACAATAACATTATTAAATTTTCCACGATGAATAACCCGCTAACTTCAAGCGCAGCAAAGAAAACGAGGCTCCAGACCTCGCCGAGGTGGTGGAAGCCGGCCTCGAGAGCGCGACTCTTATCCCCGCGACGGCGTAAGAAAGGTAGGTAATAAAATACATCAAACACTTCCAGATGAAATAATATATAGAAAGCTAATTGTTATTACCATCATCGTTTTACTGCAGGTGGATTCTTCTTCCTCTCCCTTCTCGACCACCTCCATACCTCGAGCCCTTCCGCAATGCAATCGACTTGCGCTCGATGCCCACGGTCTTCGATCGGTGATGGTATATTCGTTCAGTGACAGCAGCTAACTAGCAATCTCGTTCTACGAGACAGTCAACCAGAGATGATTCGAGAAACTTAGATTCGTACGTACACCGCTCAATCAAGTTTTTGTATATAAGCGACAAGCACTAACAGACATTGCAGAGAGTGGGTTCACGACAAATTTGATGACCCCAGCTGTAAGTTGAGCTTTCGACACCAAAGTGCTATGCCATCGTAGCTAACGATTTCCTTAGCTCGAAATCGCCCGCGACACCCGAGACGACGACCTTCTCCAGACCGACTTCAGTCCGTGTAACTAACCCCTTACATTCGAATAAGCAATAGGCTAACATCAATGGGCAGGGAGACTCGTGGGACCAAGGTCAAAGTAGAGAATTTGCACTACGAGCTCACGGAGGACGACCTCGATGTAAGGGAAATAATGTGGCTATAGTTCATAGGCAGGACGTTAGTTAACGCAGCTTCAGGGATTGTTCAACAAGATCGGACCAGTAATCAAACTGGAACTGTTGTACGACCGTGCTGGACGTTCCGAGGGCACAGCATTCGTCACCTACGAGAATCGCGACGACGCGATGGAAGCGATTAAACAATATGACAATGCCAATGCCAAGGGTAAGAGGAAAACTTACCGTAGTAGAGTTATCAATTACTAATTCTTTACAGGTCAGCCCATTCGCTTGTCGATTGTGTCATCAGCACCTCGACGTAACCCCTTCGACACTGCGCATATGCCGGGTCGGTCATTGGCCGAGCGTATCACCCGCCCGCGCTCTCTCTCGCCCAGACGGTACTCGGAGAGAGACCGGGGCGTAGATCGCTATGTTCCAGGAGGTGGCAGTCGATCCCGTAGCCCTCCTCGTCGACGCGGTGGCAGACGGCCTGGAGCTCGACACGAAGGACGAGATGGGCGAGAAGGACGTGAGGGGCGTGAAGGTGGCGGTACACCAAATGGGCGAGAGCGCGTTGGCCGAAATGGCCGACCTAAAAAGACCCAGGAGGAGCTCGACGCCGAGATGGCAGACTACTTCAACCCGGGCGGCAATAACGAGGCGGCTCCAGCGGCTGAGAGGGCTGGCGACGACGTGGACATGATCGAATGATCGGCTCCCAAAGGGACATTCCTTATACTTGTATTATGCTACGGATTATTCTAACCGGCTAGAGAAATAAGACTGCTTTTCGTTTCGGCTGCTTGTATGATGATGCATCGAATCGTCGTGATTTCGTCTTTTGTTTATATTTAGTGGTCTTGTAGAGCTTTCTCGTTGTATCTACCTACCTTACCTAGTATCACTTAACTTTCCTCTCTTGAAAACGGGGGTCTTACTTACCTACCTAGTACATCTGGAAACAGATCCTGCTCTAAGTTGTAATACAATAAATAACAATCCGTAGATTCTATCAAGCATAAAGGTACCTTAGGTTACCTAATGTTGGGTAGTCTTTCCGAAAAACCTCCCCCCTTTTAATCAATCAATCAGTCATTCTTCTTCCTCTTCGTCCGCAACCCCTCCGCCACCGCATCCGCCACATCCTCCACCGTGGTGCCCCTGACCCGCTTCCCGACCTTCTCCCGCCCGAGCACGGTATCGTCCGCGACGAGCCGATACGTCTTGGCGGCGCCGACGAAGGTGTCCGGGTCGAACCCGCCCTCCTCCGCCAGCGTGCACGCGACCTCCTCCATCTCGCCCGCCCAGCGGTACGCCTTGGGCGCCATGCCCACGACCCCGCGCTCCGCGAGCTCCAGGTGCCGCGGCAGCACCGCCCCCAGCTCCGCCCGCAGCTCCCCGAGCACCCCGAGCCGCGCCGCCGTCGCGAACGACTGCACCGCGATCGCCGTCAGCCCCTTGCTCAGGCCCCCGAAGCACATCTTCAGCCCGCTCGCCGCGCCGATCGCGCCCGATATGTGCCGCGCGTTGAGGGTGGCTGCGAGGCGCGGCCCGAAGACTGGGATGGCGGAGAGTTGGTGAGGGCCTGAGGTGGGGATGTGGGGGAGCGACCATTGGGTACTACTTCCTGTTGCGTCTGCGCCTGCATCTACAGGTTTAGGTTTAGGGGGGCCGCCGAGGATGCTCCCGTCTACGAAGCGCACGGGGGCGGGGACGGGGGCGGGGAGACCGTCCTCCCGGCTGTCGAAGAGCGCGGCTATGCGCTTCACGGTCGACGGCGAGACGGCGTTCAGGTCGGCGAAGTACAGCGGGGTATTATTATTGTTATTATTATCATCGTTGTCCCGGCCGGAGATGGAGAGGGCGTCTGCGATGCGCTGCGCGGTGGCGACGGCGTCGCGGGGAGGGACGACGGAGAGGATCACGGCGCATTGCCGGACGAGGGCTTCGTCGGAGTCGAGGAGCTCGACTTGTGCGCTCTTGGCGCGCTCGAGGGTGTCGTTGCTGTTGCTGGTGTTAGTAACGAGGCCGCTTTTAATGAGGCCATACAACATGTGGTATGGGAAAGAGGGGGAGGAGGAAGAGGAAGAGGAAAGGAAGAGGGGAATAGATGCGATATGAATATCAAGACGGTTACAAGGTAAGCTAGGAAGTACCTATTGGTGAGCTGACTGACCTTCGACCATTGGCATTGGTCGCGACGGAAAATCCGTTGGCGACGAGCAGCTTAGCGATGCCGACGCCCATGTCCCCGATCGAGATTATGCCGATCTTAGCCAACGGAGCAGCCATTTTCGGATTGCGATGCAGCTAACAGGCAAAGGAGATGTGACTTAAAACCAACTGATATTTCTTTCTCAAAGAATCACGAAGTACCCTAGGTAGTCTTTTCGCAATACTGCTGTTAGTCTCCTACAAGGTATGTTACCTGAATAATGTGTATCTATGCCTATGTTGGTGCGATAGGTAGCGAGCCTCGCATATGAATGTATGTTAGTAGCTCGCGCCATTGTCTTCGCATTTCGCCCAATGAGCTTGGAGAATACGTATTTCTCTATATTATAATAAATTGCGTGAACGTTGGCGGGTGGCTGCATTAGGCACGTTCCAATGCCGGCAAATGACGTCCAGCTTAAGTTTAGGTACGTTTGGGGGTAGTATTGACTTGGAAAATATAACGTAGATGCCCCTGAAATATACCTCTAAGAGGTATGTATTACCTTGATGTTGTTATATGAGGTAAGTAGGTAGTTAATAGTTGGAACTTGTTATTGTTTATCAGCTTGTGTGGTTTGAGGTAATGCTCTTTGTAAATTCTACATTGAGCATTTATTTTTAATGACAAGATAACATTTTAGACGAGTGTAGTTTATATAGCTTTTTTGGAATGTCGTCTTTATCCCGACTCAAAGCAACGATACCTAATTGCCTCTACTATGTATACATGCAGAGTCTATCCAACCGTAACAATTCCCATATTCGGTAATCCTTGCTAAGTAGCATGTCGGGTTTAGAGGGAAGGTAGCTTAGCTGCCTAGGTAGCCATATGGTAATGACATCGTTCAATCTATCCGAATGGAGAATGGACTTCGTCTTCAATTACACCGGCTCGGCCTATCCGCATATCATTCTTGCCGCAACCACCAAAAAACCTTATTGTGCGGAAGGGTTTTCAGATGTACCTTGGTTGTCTAGAATAGTGACCTAGCCGAATAAAGTATTCAAGTCATCATGACAGCGCCATTTTTTACAGATCAAGGTTTCAACTATTTCCCTTTCTCTTAATTGCCTCCTCGAATCTCTTCCCCCGGCTGTCTATTGCCGGGCTGGCTACCAGCAATTCGCCCGACTCGTATGTGAACCGCATTCACCGCTGAGCAGTTAATTAAGTAAGTCATACGACACGAGAGAGCCGAAGGATTATTAGGCGGACAAGTATGGGAAAATATGGAAAACGTTCTCAGCTGTTTCTGTCAACTGTCTATCCAGTATATTTCTCTAAAATCATTAATTCAAACCGGAAATCCCTGCCAGCTTTAACGGCACGTTTCAAAGGTCTAGTTGGTGGGCCAGGGCCAGGCCAAGTCTCGGGTTTGCTTCACCCCGTTTTCCGCTGGATCATCTGAGATCCCATCCTTGCCGCAAGTAAAAGAAAAATAAAAATAAAACATACCGTGCTACAGTAATCCAAGCGCTTGCTGGCCGTTAAATAAAAGAGGGCCACGACGACGACGGCTTAAACGGGATCCGGAGATTTCTTATACTTTCCACCTCAGTTACGATATCATAACTACTAAAGAGGTACCTAGCAATACGGTAATTTTCACAAACTCCGTACTCCTATAAGTTTACTTACGGTAACTGGTTACCTGTTATATAGTTCTTATAAGTCAGTTCTTGTTTTTTTTCTTATAATATAACTATATCTTTAAGCTAACATCTTCAAGGATAAAGTCTACGATACCTATAGGTTATCATTAACTACCTCTTTATTGTTATTATTGTTACCGACTCTTCCTCTTTTAGAGTATCCTCCAGCCCAGTTTATCACTCTAGCTGTAAGCTGGACGCTTATAGGATCGGATTTGGCAACGCATGGCTTTCAGTCCGGCTCACCTCTGATCCTTCCACTTAATAAGACCTGCGACGTGAATCCCGCAGCATATGCTTAGCATAGCCGCATTCCCCAGGTACTTATATTCGAGGACTACCTACCTAGTAACCGTAACACCAGCTACGATATCTTTGTATATACCTCATATACCTACACGATACTCACCATGCCGTTCCCTTGGCTGACCGTCTCGGCCGTATCTCTTACTGCATCTTACTTTATTGCAACTCGTCAACCCGCGTTGAATACATCGCAATTCTTCGGCACCTTCGCTGCAACATGGCTCTTGCAGTCTTTCTTTGTGGGTGTCTGGAATATATTTCTGTACCCCAATTTCTTTTCCCCGCTACGTCACCTTCCAGAGCCAAAGGGAGGCTCCTGGATAAATGGTCAGTTTAAAGCAATAAGAGAGAGGCCTACCGGTATACCCATGAGAGAATGGTAAGCACCTAATGTTTATAAATAATAATACATACACCTACGTGCTCGATTCCTTGGGCTACCCTACTAATATATAATAAAGGGTCACCACCATCCCCAATGACGGCCTCATCCGATATCGCTTCCTATTCAACGCGGAGCGTCTCCTCGTAACGGGGCCAAAAGCCTTAGCAGATCTCTTGGTGAATCACAGTTACGATTTCGCGAAGCCTTCCAACGTGCGATTTGGTCTCAGCCGTATCCTGGGAGTAGGCATACTCCTCGCCGAGGGCGAAGAGCACAAATTCCAACGCAGGAACCTGCTGCCGGCCTTCGCATTCCGGCACGTCAAAGAACTGTATCCGGTCTTCTGGCAGAAGGGCCGCGAGTGCGTCCAGGCTATCACGGACAGCATCATCGCCGACGCGCAGGGCGAGACCGCCGCCGTGCAGGACCCCGAGAAGGCTACGAAGACGGGCGTCATCGACGTCAGCGTTTGGGGATCCCGTGTGACCCTGGACATCATCGGCACGGCCGGTCTCGGGAGAAATTTCGGCGCGATCCAGAACCCGGAAAACGAACTCAACCAGACGTACCGAAGCGTGTTCAAGGTGTCCAAGCAGGGCCAGATCCTCTCCCTCCTCGCGCTGTTCGTCCCGGATAAGATCCTGTCGTGGCTCCCCATCGAGCGGAACGCCAGCGTATACGCGGCAGCGAGCAAGATCCGGAGCGTATGTCTGGACTTGATCTGGGAGAAGAAGGAGAAGCTAGCGCGGAACGAGCTCAAGGAGCGCGACATCCTCTCCGTCGCGCTGGAGTCGGGCGGGTTCACGGAGGAGAACCTCGTCGACCAGCTGATGACGTTCCTCGCGGCGGGCCACGAGACGACGGCCACGGCGATGACGTGGGGGGTGTACCTGCTGGCGAAGAACCCGGAGATCCAGAAGCGGCTGCGCGCCGAGGTCCGCGAGCGGCTGCCGCCGATCGCCTCGGAGCGGGAGGTGACGAGCCTGGACATCGACCGCATGCCGTACCTGAACGCGGTGTGCAGCGAGATCCTGCGGTACTACTCGCCGGTGCCGTTCACGGTGCGTCAGGCCGTCCGGGACACGGTGCTCGCGGGCCAGCGGGTGCCCAAGGGGACCATGATCGCGATATCGCCGTGGGCGACAAACTTCGACCCGAGCATGTGGGGGCCGGACGCGCACGAGTTCAACCCGGAGCGGTGGATGCCGAAGGGGCCGGACGACAAGCGGGCGGCGAGCGGGGGCGCGACGAGCAACTACGCGTTCATGACGTTCCTGCACGGGCCGCGCAGCTGCATCGGGCTGTCCTTCGCCAAGGCCGAGTTCGCATGCCTGCTGGCGTCGTGGGTCGGCCGCTTCGAGTTCGCGCTGAAGAACAAGGAGGAGGAGGACGAGCGGAATATAGAGATCCGGGGCGGCATCACCGCTCGGCCGGTGAAGGGCATGCAGGTCTACGCTACGATCGTGGATGGTTGGTGATGATGATATGTACTGTCTGTATATGTAGAGGTAGGTATAATACGGGTGTACTCTGGAGTCTGGATAGGATCGTTAATGCAATTCGATGTTTAAATTATTTATTAGGACAATACGGCTTTATATATATCGAATCCCCTCATATTTACTAAAAGTTATCTCTCTTTTTGAGTGTTTCCGTAGATGACCTTTGCAGATCTACGTAAGGTAGGTAGGTCACATAGCGAGCCCCTATATTAGGTACCTTAGGAGGTAGGTATCATAGAAAGTAGGTGCGTGCGTATAAGATTAGGTACGTCTAGTAACGAATAGCTGAAAGTAAGGATACAGGTACCTAATATAAAAAGTTATTAATGAGCATATTTTACAAATATTGCTATCGTCTCGGAAAAATGAATAGCTGAGATTTTGCGGTACATATTTAAACACTTGGTATTTCCTTTTACCCGTCACACTTGGTCTGCTTAATCCTTAGAGGCCATATAGACCATTTACGCCAAACCTCAGAAAGTACCGGTCCTCCCTGAGACGCTTGCCCAGCTCTCCACTCCGCAGCTCGTCAACATCCCATGCTGCGCAGACGAACCGGCCGTGAATGGGCTCAGCCTCGGGAGTGGCTCCCCACACGGCGAAGCCAGCCGGGATCGAAGCTATAATAACATGTTGCGTCAGTTATGTTATGTACCTCATATCGCTTCACTCACGTACCGCCTATTCCAGAAGACGTACTAGAAGAAGGGGAAGGGGAAGGGGAAGGGGAAAGGGGAGAAAAGGGGAAAGGGGAGAAAAGGGGAAGAATAAAAGGGAGAGAAGGAAAGAAACATTATATTCGAGTGATCACGTACCGTCCTCCCAAGGCTGGCTGTCCTCTGTAAATCCCGCGTTCACGCAAGCCTCGGTGAAAATAGCGCCGGGGTGGTAGATGACGACCTGCATGTCCTCGGCGGCAATTTCGTACATCGCCATGAACTGCAACGTGAGCGCGCCCGCGTGCTTTGACAGACCGTAGGTCGGTAATTGCGTCGTAGCGTCAAAATCGTGCGTTGCAAGGGTAGACACGTGGATGAGGTACTATTTCCTCCCGTTCTTGAAGTTAGCAATAGAATACATCCCAAAATGAGTTCAAAATAATAGGTGGTAACTAGGTTAGGTATGTGTGCATGAGGAAGGTATACACATTACCTTTCTGCTGCCAGCGCCCAGTTCCTGCTTATAAAACCTCTCCGTCATGTCGAACTGCGCGCGCACATTGAAGTCGTACGCTTCCCACACACCCTTCGTGCCCTGCTCCATAAGCGTCTCCGGGATGCCCACGTTCGCCGCGTTCAGCACGAGGACGTCGACGCGCGTCCCTTCGCCCGCCAGGCGGCCCCAGAGCTCGGCGACGGCCGTCGCGCTGCCCACATCGCACGAGAGGCCGACGACTTTGGTGCCCTGGCTCTCCACGCTCAGGGTTTCGGCGGCGGCCTTGATCTTGTCCACCCGCCGGCCGAGGATGATGACTTTGTCGGCTTTCGCCTGCACGAAGGCCTTGGCGATGTGGTACCCGATGCCGGCGGAAGCACCCGTGATCAGGACCGTTTTCCCCGCCTGCGATAGCTCCGGCCGGGTAGGGTTGATGGTTGGGTAGGTGCTCGAGTGGTAAGTCGGTGTTAACTTTTTCTTGAAGCTGTCAAAGTCCATGGTTACAAAAAAATTGATTTGGTGAACAAGTATGTGATATTCGATTCTTCTGTTCAGCAATATGACGGGTACGTGTACAGGGGTTTTTTGTTGTTAGGTATTTTGACTTGTTTTTAATTAAAGCTTGATGATATTGGCGAGGTAAGTATGACGATAAATGCAAGGAACATACCATTTATTATATACCTGATATACCTTAGGTACCTTACCTAGAGCATTTAGGACCTAATACCATCGCTCATCCACCCCTGATCAAGTAGAACCGCATTAGCAGATGCCATCGTTATTCTGCACCAAAGTCCGGATCTCGGGTTGCTAGTTGTATCCGCACATTAGTTCGTGTCGTGGGAATAAGGCAAGCTAAGGAGAACCCCCTTATTTTTCCGCAGCTTCTATTGGCCAAAGTCCGTGATATCTTCCCAATATAGTAACTATGCCCACAATTCTCCGCCGGCGCGGGCTGACAAATGAAGTCTTCTCAGCTAGATGGCTTACGTATTGTCAAAGCTCACATCGGAAGTCCGAGGCCTTTCAGTCTAAGGCGTATAGAACCAACATCGTGGAAAGAGGTGTTAGGTAATGAAGAGAAACAATAGTTTTCTAGGTAACTATGGTTTCTATCTGGCGAAGAGCTTGTGTCGGCTGCACCAAATCTAAACGACAATGTACCAAAACCGTACCGGCGTGCCGGCGTTGCGCGACCAGAGGAATACCCTGCATATATCTCCCGGCCCGACAGGGTAATAACCGCCAAATAGATGCGGGTACGGACTTGGATGTGGCGGCAGCCATGTCTTCCGCACCCGCCGGTGGATCCGCAAACCTGCTTCCTATGATCAGTCATGGAAACGCTGACGGGATAGGGAGCGGTGACATAGACTGCTATCCGCTGCAGCTAACGCAATCCGATCTAGTTGCAGATATGGTATCGCGAGCAGCATGTGGCCCTCAACCCTCGACAGGCGATAACTCATCGGTCGTCTCAACGGGCCTATGGTTCCTGGCGCCGGAATCTTGGGTAACAGACCGCGGTACATGTCCTGACATGACCGTGGTCACTTACGAACCTGCGCTCCAAAGGTTCATCGGTAGCGTCCAGGATTGGCTCCGGCGATGGGTGACGGACGGCGGTAGCCCGTTGCATCACCACCATCTATATCGCGAGAAGATGCCGCGGTGTGTGCAAGATGCCCATTCGGCTGTCGCTTTATACCACATGACAACCTGTAGCAATGCCGAGACGAGGGCAAGGACAGCTCGCGTTATAGAGGATCGGGTTACTCAACTGCTAGCTGATCAAGCACTCGATGACACACTGAGGACGGGTGAAGGGATGGATATATTCGACCACATATGTCGGGTCCAGTCACTATTGACCTACCAGACGATTCGTCTTCTCGACGGAGACATACGGATGAGAACCCAGGCGGAGGCTCTAATTCCCACGCTCTTCCTTTGGACACAGCAGCTCCTGGATAGCACAAAGAACAGCTTAACGCAACCAGCACGTTTCCTTGCCGATATTGCGGCATCCTGTCCTGCCGCGGCCAGTTCTGACGATGTCGTCCTCTGGAGCGCCTGGATCCTCGTCGAGAGCACGCGGCGTACGTGGCTGATTGCTACTTACCTTCAAGAGACGTATCTATACATGAAGCGCGGGTGGGGCGAGTGTCCGGGGCGAGTGCCCAACACGATGCACAGCCGATTGTGGGAGGCAACGTCGGCGTACGCCTGGTCTAAGGCGTGTCGTGAGGCTGATACCGTGCTCATCTCTACGCAGCGCGCAGATAAGCTGCTCTACGAGATGAAGTTTGAAGACGTCGATGAGTTCAGCTTACTGATTATGGAGATTAGATATGGCACGGAAGAGATAGAGAGATGGATAGAGGACTCAAAACGTCGACATAAGCAACCGATATTAGAGATACTTTAGCGGGCTTGGGGATTCGACAGCGGGATTTGATTATATGGCGCAACGCATTTGTAGATTTTTTTGATTTTTTTGATTTTTTTTCAAAAAAAAAAAAAAAATTAATTTACGATGTGTACGAGGCATGGCTACATTAGGTACAGGTATGTAGCAGTTAATACCTACCTAGATGGCGGAAATATTAACTTGTACTACGATAATTAGGTACTTTAGGTACCTCTATTGAAATTGAAAAAGGATTTTAAATGCTAGAGGCCAACAAGCTTCCCAACTTGTCAATCTACTCAATTTACTACATCTAGAACCCACGAGATCTTCCTCATGGCGATGCAACAAGGCACCGATCACGACGAAAATCAAAATCGTATTTGAAAGACATCAAAAATTGCGCCCGCTACGATCCACGAAGGATAATAGAAGAGGGTCGACTCCACGCTGTGCAATGCAGGTCTCCCCCCTTAAGAGTCCTTATGCTTGAGCAAGGACTCTTCGGACAAGGTAAGTATGAAGAAGAAAAAGAAGAGAAGAAATCCTAGAAGACGAGGGAGGGATGGCCAGATATTTATACTTGTTCCTAGGGCGGTCAGGGCGGTCGGGGCTGCCGCAGAATCAGTCAAAGCGGCAGAAATTCACCGTGGCAACAGCCAACTGAGTTTCATACATGTATCAAAGCAAGTGCGATTAGCAGGCAGGGGAGACGCCTTATGACGTGCAAACTTTAAATCAGGTCATAGCTTTACTTTATTGGCCGATAAATACCTAATTCTAATTCAATTTGCTATTGGTACGACACGTACGTCATAGCTTTCAAGCAGTTTCTCGAATGATTGCTACGTGCAACTTGGAATGTACGCTAGCGTGGATCACGATAGCCTTCCATCCAATCATTCATTATTCTGCAAGTCGTTCGACGTACTAAAACGCACCTATCACTTATCAAAAATACCAATGGAATAAGAGGATTACTCATTGCCAAAAATATTGGACAAACATATGTACAACTATTTATCTACTATTAGCTTACGGTAGTCTTGGGAAAATAGATCAGATCAGAAGATGGAATTGAAAAGATACTATTTCAGTTGTGTGGACGGTTCGATTGAACCTCTAAGATATGCCCGACTCTTTTCACTATTCCGTAGATGACAGGTACCAATCCAACTGTCATATATAGCATATAATACAACATATTGCCCATTTTACCCAGAAATTCAGTTCAAAATTTCCAGCCTCCATATTTCCAGGCTATCAATGGCTAAACAGGTAGAAGCCCACCAAAAGAACCGGTTAGACAAATACTAAAGCGAGTAACGAAGTCCCAATGTATAGCTGTTTGACCGATTGAATCGGTTTACTCAATCTTCTTGCTATGGCTAATGATGAGTATGGCTTCGGGAACGATGACGGCCATCCAAAGGAGACCAAGGGCAAGGCCGGCTGCGTAGATCTTCACATATAATTTTACAAGTCGGACCCACGATGCGCGAGGGAACGAGTCCCAGGCATCTTTAACTGTAACGAAACCCTTGCCGCCAACAATGGCCGGCTCGACCTTGCTCTGGAACGAGCGGTCGAAAGGTACGATAGTATCATCTTCATCAGGAAGAAGGGATGCCTGGACTCGGGTAAGAATGACCTGGGTAGGGATTACGAGGAAGACGTTCATAGCGAGAGCCAGGAGAAGAACCAAGACTCCCTTCCAGATGTCGTTCTTGTCGCCCTCGGGAATAACACCAGGGTTCCTTGGGTTAGGCAAGTTCATGGACATGCCGTACGCAAGCAACTTCGGGACGAAGGCAGAAAGCTCCTGGGCGAAGAAGAACATGACAACGGGGAGCGCAGTAGCCCGGAATGCCTTGCCAAAAGGAGGCAGACGCTTCCAGAACGACTTGGAGCTCGGCGCGGAAATGACAATATGTGTCCACGCCGTGTAGAGCTGCACGAGAGCCAGCGCAGAAACTGGAGCAGCAATGAGAGAAGGTACAAACGCGCTAGATAGGATACCGAATACGACGCTGCCTGCGAAAGACATGGCGAGGTAACAAGCGAAACCACGGAATAGGGAGCGGAAACCGCTGATGGCGGTTAGAGTACGGTAGGTGGATCGGACGGACGAGGTGATGAGGCGAGCCTGGGAACCACCACGGGCAGCTTCATCGGCAACAGGAGCGTTATCTTCGGCAAGAGACTGGGTATCTTCGTTCAATGAAACGGGTTCGTAAGCCGGAGGGGACGGGTCCTCAACGATAGCAAGTGTAGGGAAAACATGCTGAAGGGAGTAGTTAAGCTGAATAAAAACGTTAGCTAAGTAGTCCTTCTCAAGTGATGGGTCGCTAATAGCATACCGTCAAGAACAGAGGCAAGAAAACGATGATATCCAGCAGCACGAAAGCCCAACCCCAGCCGGGCATCTCGTGGCCTCCTACCGAGGCTTCACCCCGCTTATAAACCGCGTGCGCAATGTCGCGATACATTTTTGGATCGTCTGTACGCTTCAGCAGACAAATGAAGATAAAGAAGAATAAAAAAAAAGGTATAGAATCGATAAAGTAGAAGATGGATGATCCAAAGAAAAGAGTGATAATAACAATTGTAAAAAGAAGTTGTATATGAAAGGGGGGAAATGGTGAGATTGGGAAGGAAGGGCTGAGAGTTCCTTGAGAGGATGGAAGTCCTACCTATACGAACATCTTTAAACGCGGGATAAGGCAAAGACAGTGTTAAGTTAATACTCGCACTATAAAGATGGCGAGTTCTCGGGTTTTAAGGCTCAAGGCGCTAGGAAAAGCAATCCTAAAATGGGTAGTTTAATACAGCTTTAATGACCTGTAGTAACTAGAAACAGCAACTTACCGCGACCTTAGGTACGCACAGTGGGCACTATTGACTGCAAAGCTACCTAATGTAGGTACCTAGGTACTCTTCATTCTAGGCAACAGCCGCCCTGATCGTAAGGTACAGTATCACCTTAGGTAAGGTCCTACACCACATGCAGGTGTTAAGGTTAGGTTAGGTAGGCTCTGCACTGCCCCATTACCTCGCTACCTAGGCAGCTGCTAGGTACTGAAGTGCGCCTAAAAACTCTAGACACTTGAACGGCGAATCGCCTGCGTATCTTACCTCCTTAGGTAATGATTCGATAAGAACTGAATCCTTCAAATCCTAGAAATCGCCTTTATTAGCGCTATTACATCACAACTCACATCCAACAACCTTCTCAAACTCCGATAAGATTTGTCGATCCGACACAGTGTTTTGCGTTACGTGCAGCGACGATATAAACCACGGTTCATGTCTGCTCCGTCTATCCCAAATCTCCTCTCTCTCCGGGGTTCAAGAGGAGGGCACCGTGGCCGCGGCCGAGGACGAGGGGGCCACCCGCATTCTACCGGCCTCAGCCACGACGCTACCATTCAAGGCACAGACACAGATGCTGCCGTGTCACGTATGAGCGCTGTTGATCTGGGTTATCTACAAGACCCTTTCGCCCAATATTTTGTCCAGTCCGTGGGTGGTACTGTCAGGAGACTGCCCATCATAAATCGAGGTAAGAAAAAGAAGAAGTCTGAAGGCCATCTCCGGTCTAGCGAGTGCTAAGGCTGTGGTAGGGACTTACACGCGGACTGCTGCATTGGATCGATTAATATCTTCCTTCTTGTCCGGCACCGCAACGCAGGAAAGACAGATTATCTCGCTCGGTGCCGGCACAGACACAAGGTGTTTTAAGCTCTTTTCTCAACCCAGCCATGCCGGCCTCATTTATCATGAGATCGACTTCCCCGCAATCGCTTCTAAGAAGCTACAGCTCGTGAATGCCAACCCCCAACTCAGGACCATCGTCCCTAACCCGCAGAATGAGAGGGATGGCTGGAGTAGTTCAAACCTACCCAACGGCTGTCAATATTGGTGTCACGGATTGGATCTAAGAGCACTGCTCAACAGTGACATGGAATCCCTTAGCGGCATCCGCACAGATATCCCAACAGTGATAGTGTCAGAGTGTTGCTTATGCTACCTGGAAACTTCGGAGGCCCAAGGCGTAATTAAGTTTTTCACCGAAAAAATACCCGATCTTGCTCTCATCGTCTACGAGCCAATCCGCCCGGACGATTCGTTCGGCAAACAGATGGTATCTAATTTGGCAGCACGGCGGATACATATGCCGACGTTGGACTCGTATCAAGACGCTGCTAAGCAGCAGTCCCGGTTGAAAGAAGCCGGGTTTGAGTTTGCGACAAGCTTGACCATAAGAGATATATGGCAGAAGTGGGTCACGGAAGAAGAAAAAGAAAGAGTCGATAGTCTAGAGGGGCTAGATGAAGTCGAAGAGTGGGATCTCCTAGCGGACCATTACATCGTAGCTTGGGGATGGAGAGGCAACGGTTTCCAAAGATGGGAAGCTGATTTATGATAAATATGAGATGGGTACATTAGGTACCTACCTAGCCTGTATGCCCAACATATTTCTAGAAATACATTGTGACAAATACGGAAAACAAGGCTTAAGAATAAAGTTGAATACCTGTTATTTTAAATCCAAGATATTACCTTTCGTTGAAGTTCTATGTAATCTGCATTTGGCTTTCGTTATTTTTAAGTTAAGCTACCTACAGGTACCTGTACCTAACCGCTAGCGGCTAGGCCTACTTTGTACAATACAGGCTTATTAGAGCCTAGAGGTGCTACACTAGGTAATTAACGTTACAGATAGGTACAATGCCTTAGGTACGTTGGGGTAAACCGGCGCTTGGCTTTCATCAATTGCGCATTGAACCATTTCACCTTCATTTGTTTTTTTCAAACCCATAACATTCATTCTCTCATCTCGAATTCAACCGCACACAACAATACACCTCGCATCATCCAGATACTAAGGTATATTTAATTGCACACTCTTCCACGTATCCATTGATAAACTTTCATTCGCTTATCAACATCGCTTGCATTAATTTCATACCAAGTTTGCGACCTACACGACTGTTCAACGTCGTTTTCAGTCAAAATGGCGGACAACAGTAGCAACAAGCAGCACAAGTATAGGCAGGAGATCCAGCAGATGATGTACGTCTCTGGTGAGACCGGAGAGCCTTCTGTTGAGACCACTTCTATGATCGAGGAGATTGTTCGGCAGCAAGTCATCGAAATGCTGCGAAGCTGTACCGAGCTGGCTACGCGCCGTGGCTCGAGATCCATCACCATCAACGACCTGATATTTCAAATTCGTGACGACGCACCTAAAGTGTCGCGCCTCAGGACCTTCTTATCATGGAAGGACGTCCGCAAGAGCGCCAAGGATTCCGACGAGAAAGGCGGAGATGCCGACCTGGGCGTCGCTGATGACCCTGCTGGCGCTGTCATGCCCGGTGGCCCCGCAGTGGAAGAGGCCGCTAAGAAAAATAAAAAGGCCAAAGTTAAGCTTCCATGGGAACCCTCTTCGTTGTATAGCCAGGAGGTGCCGGAACGCGACGACGAGGAAGACGAGGAGGAAGAGGAGATGAACTACATCACGCTCCAGCGACTACGCAAAGCCGATGAGCGGACCAAGGCTATGACTAGGGAGGAATACGTCACATGGTCCGAATATCGACAGGCATCCTTCACATACCGAAAGGGCAAGCGATTCAGGGAGTGGGCCGGATTCGGTATCGTGACGGACAGCAAACCTTCGGATGATATCGTGGATATCCTCGGCTTCTTGACCTTCGAGATGGTCCAGACGCTTACCGAGGAGGCGCTCAAGATCAAAGAGCAGGAAGACCTATGGAAGGAACGGAGCGGAGGCGAGAACCCGGGTACCAAGAAACGAAAGCGTACCCAAGGACTATTCGATCTGCCCAACGAGGGAAGGATCCCCGTCGAAGCGCGCCACATCCAAGAAGCGTTTCGAAGACTGCAGACCCGACCAAAGAAATCTCGCGCCATGCTTAACGGCACGAACCTTCAGCAGAGGACCAGCTTGAAGATATTCTAAGTTTTTACGGAGGAATCGACATGAGAAAGAGGGAGGCGATCTGCAGCTATTGTCCTAGTCTGGATTTTATTTATTTACTTTTTCACCTCTACAACAGATTACGGGCTTATGAAGTTCATTCTCGGCGAATACGGAGGACCAGCGACGACGACCACTTTTATATCAAGGGATATCTAGGATGGATGGAGTTTTGGGCGACTCGATTTATCGTGATTTGCGGTTTTTGGATGCATGAAGACATATGATTGTCTGCAGCGGATTGGGAGTAATGGGGGAATGGGGGGCATTGTTACTCAACAAGTTTGCAGCAAATACTTGGTACATTTTACAAATATATTCATTTTATTACCCCCCACTCTTGGTTATCATTATTCCATTTATATATACCTCCTACTCATTTATATATTCAGCTCGTTATTATGTGTATATACCTAATACCCAAGGTCCCGTTCCGACTATGTACCTATGAAGTAATTCTAATCATTTTATATGAAAATATAGTCGTTTTCGTGGCTTTACCGTCAAATGAAGTACAATGTAACCAAAGAACAAGCTTAAATCTATGAGGTACCTATGTACATTAGCAGTATGAGTGAGCCCCTTTTTGGCTCAAGCCGACAACGGCGGGGAAGGACGGGGACCCGGCATCACCATCGCTAAATATAGCAGAGATGAACGAACCGCCAGAAGTTCCACCGGGGGTTTGCATAAGTCCCGCAAATGCGGCGTCATTCATTCAACTACATCCCTTCTTCTTGTTCTTGTCCTTGTTCTTATTCTCCTCCTTCTCATCATTGATTTTTCTTACTTCCCTTAATGCCTATACCTGCTTTTTCCTAGACTTTATAGAAAGAATTAGACGATATCCGTCCTTCGACAATAGATTAGAAATTAGAATAGATACCTCTTAACTGCCTCATATATACCTAGGTAGCTATACACTTAATCAACTACGTCATCGCCATGGCGCCCAATTCGCGGCTCATCCTCACCCGCCACGCTCAAGCCGAGCACAACGTCAGCTTGGACTATAGCAGTGAGTCTCGCTCCTTCACACGCGACCGGCTCAGCCCTATAATAAATAATAAAGATAATAAAAATAAAAATAAGCTGACATACATAAAAGTCCACGACGCACCCCTCACGCCTCTGGGTAAGAAACAAGCCGCCTCCCTAGCGCGTCAGATCCCAGACCTGCAAAGCTCCGCGGAAGTGATCCTCTCGTCGCCGCTGCGGCGCACGCTGCAGACGACGTACCTGGGATGGGGCCCCGCGGTGTCGCGGCTCGGGGGCCCGAAGAGCGTGGTGCTGCTGCCGCAGGCGCAGGAGTGCAACGACCTGCCGTGCGACACGGGGTCGGCGAGGGAGGTCCTGGAGCGGGACCCCGAGTTCGCGGCGTTCGACCTCGAGCAGCTGACTGCGGTCCTGGACTGGACTAGCAAAAGGGGGTTCTGGGCGCCGGGCGAGCAGGCGCTAGCGACGCGCGCGGGGTGGGTTCGCAGGTACCTCCGCGACGAGAGGCCCGAAGGGGATATCGTGCTCGTGGCGCATGGGGATATTTTGAGGAGGATCACGGCGAGGCCGGGGGCGGGGCCGAGTGAGTGTATGTACTTATATGCCTGTCTACCTACCTAACCTAATTTCTTTGATGAGATTTTTTATTATAGAGCGGGTGCGAGCTGATTTTACTACTTATTTACTTACTTATTTACTTACTTGCTTACTTACCTACCTCCTTTTAGACCCCTGGAAGAATGCCGAAGTGCGCATCTTCGAGTTCGACCCGCAGTACGTCGACACCGACGAGTGCTTCCTGTACCAGAAGGAAGACGTCGCGGCTGCGGGTGGCTACGGGCTGACGAGCACGGAGCTGGAGATCGAGGAGGCCGAGGGGCGGCTGTAGAACCTGCGGCGATTCATCGGTCAGGGGCGTATAGACAAAGAACTGAAATGTTAGTCAGTGTCGGTTTGACTTAAGTTACCTTGTTGTCCATATAGAAAGATAGAATATAGATGAAGTTGCTGGACTAAGGAAGAGCTAGTACTGCGTGACTGACTCACTGGTCTTGTTCTAATCCTTATCCATACCTCTCTACTTTCTGCCCCTTATTCATATGCTGTGAGTTGATCCGGCGGTAAATTCCTACTGTACTGACTTATTTGCGAGATAGAACCCTCACCATGTCAGCAACCGAAGGAGCAAACGTCTCTTGGATAGAGAGCACAATATATTCCAACCGGTTCACATCGACGCGTTTAGCAAAACACACCATTCAAGATCATAGAGGTTACTTTCCAAAAGAGCCATATAAAGACGCCTCATTCAAAATAGTCGTACGAGTTCTCTCGATACCTGCTCCGTTTCTTCGACTCCCGGTCCCATTATCATATTTCGACGAGGCAAGAATCATGGCCGGGCCAAGCTTAAAAACACCGCTCCCCCATACGGGGATCATCAAAGTGTACTCGGCAAAGGACGACAGTCACCTAGACGGGACGAATCCGCGGCATATCCACCTGCACAAGAAGATTCCGTCAGGGGCAACCGTGTGCTGCCACCCTTTCACCGCCGGCGGTATCGTCCGGAGTTCTATCGACGCTCTGCACTTCCTGACTTCCGATCGGTTCGTGCCGCCAAACGTAGATCCCCACACGGACACGGACGATAAAGCCTGCGCTTGCGTCGGGTATGTCCGGTGCGTATATCGGAAACTTCACTTCGCTCTGGTGTCCATCAAGGTCGCCGTGGAGGACAACAAAACAGTCGAGCAGGCAAGTGGGAGCCGCGGTGTGCCCGCTTCAATGTCCCCGGTGGACGACGTGGTCATGGATCCTATTATGATCAGGGATCTCCACAGACGGCATGATGCCAATGGTCTGGCTCTCCTCGCTCGTACGCGGCACAACAAAGTCATCAGGGGACGCATTACGGTCCTGCCGCACAAAGCAGTAGACCCATCACGTCATCTAGGCACCAGGCTCGTGCTCGCACAATTCGATCCCGCCCTCGGCTGTATGGACGTAGGCATGTGGGTGTATGCCAAGCAGCCAGAAGTCGAGAAGCGGGAAGGCCCGACGGGCGGGAGCCTCGCGGGGCCGGACAACACGCCGCGGAACTGTCCTCAGGTTTCCGATTCCCGCTGCGATTCCCCGTGTTACAACCTGCATTATGTTCCGCTCCTGTTGGTGGGACACGTCGTGGAGATCTGCGGCCGCGGCCCAGATGGACGTGTGGAGGTGGCGATTCAGTGTGCTCACGAGGTGCTGAGTAAGATCTCTGCCATGCGAGACCGTCTAAGTGGTAGCTACTGCAGCAGATGCCCGCCACTCGTATGTGCCTAAAGTGCCTAATACATAAAAGCAAGGGAAATGAGGTTGGTTGGTTGGGTAATTTTAAGTGGGTTGGGGTGGTAAAACTCAGCCGTAGAACCTGCATTTGGAGGCAGAGACGTACTTGGACGCTGACGTATCTCGTAATGTATAATAGATAGGGGACTGGTGCTGTATATGGTAACTCTGCATTGTTGGGCAACAATGCATTTAACAGGTACCCCTAACCTAGGTACTTATACCTAAGGCAGGCTTACCTGCGTGAGACTTCAGTGGACCTATCACAATAAGTAATCTCTTGCAAGTAAGGCAATAGCGCTCAATGGAACTTAAGGGGCTGGTCTTGTATAAAACGTATGAAGGGAGGGGGGGGGAACAAGAAACTCACAGCCTTGTCTCTTCTTTACTTATCCCACTTCTCGAACACCTTTCCCGCGTTGTGCTGCTCTCGAAGCTCCCGCCAGCAACCATGCCTTCTTCTCTTGGAATTACCCTTCTGATGCTATTTTACCGGTATCAGAGAGCTATGGCAGAAAGTTCCGCTGATGTGATACGCATCGAACTCGAAGATCACAGGAATAACATAACAGCCTTGCAGACGGTGATTGCGCCCCCTTGGGTCTCATCACAGGGCATTCGCAGCACCTCCAATATCTTATGGAGTTGCATCGTCACTCTGACCGCATGCGTTTATACCTCGCTCCACCTAGACATAGGAAGGATATCTAGCTGGAAGCGGCGCCTATGGATAAAGGTCGGATGGGCGGTCACCGCTATTCTTATGCCGGAGGTCGTAGTTTGTATAGCGGTCGTTCAAAACACCCAAGCGCGACAACTCGTCAAAAATCTCAACGAAATGAGGGAGATATGGAATAAAGTAGGAACAGTCGTGAGTGACTACTCCTGGAAGCTGATGTACTTTTGACTAATCGAGAACTAGGTCTGTCCGAAATTCGACCTTCGTTACGGCTTCTTTGTTACCATGGGCGGCCTGCAGGTGTCATATAGTGACGTTGCCAACGAGGATGGTACATGTAATCCATGGTCGATACCTAAAGACAGACAAAAAGCCTATTGGTCTGAGCCGGGGCATACCAAGACTCTATCAGCTGAAGCGGTTGTAGCTCTCGCTGGTACGGGCGAATTCTTTTACGTGCCGCGACAGAGTATCGATGATAAAAGCAAGGCAGACGCGATAAAGAAGGTCTTGGTCGTCTTGCAAGTGTCGTGGATGACCGCGCAGTGTATTGCCAGAAAGGCGTATGGCCTGCCTTTGATGCTCTTAGAGATTCATACCATGGTACACGTTGTTTGCGCCGTCATACTGTACGTATGCTGGTTCAAGGTTAGTAGCCTGTGCTCCTCTGGCTCAGGACTCAAACGGTAACATTTCATAACTAACTATCAAGATTTAGAAACCACTAGATGTGCTGATCCCCAACGTCTTGAGCCACCAAACCTGCACTGAACGCCAGGATAATCTTCTTAAGCTTCTACTATTTGAAGACGGGCTTAGGCTGTCCGAGCAATCCCGTCCCGAAACCATACCTCTAGTAAACGAGCACGGTGTTGAACAGCAGGACATATCAGTAGACATATCAGTGCGAGACGTTGAGGCCGCGTTTGGAGGTGGTCAGGGTATTAGCCTACACGTTAATGATGTCCTCTCAATCCGAAGACTGAGCGACAAAATTCTCTCAAGCCACCTACAGCCTGAAAACATGATACCGTTTGGGCTCCAATACAAGGACCTAATAACCAACGAAAGCACAACAAGTGTAACAAGCGTAACAAGCGTGACCAACGAATGCATAATAAGCGTTTCCGTCGAAGACTACTTGATGATGCAGAAGGTAATTGCCGCGTTTACCAAACCCAAGGAACCGACGTTAAATCGAGCCATCTTTAACCAAGATCTGTTCACTGAGCGGGTTATGCCCGAGGTCAGAATTTCGATCTTCGAAGAGAATTCAAATATACTAAGTCCTAGCGTTAAACGCGACTCGTTTTATGCCCTCGTTCATTCCCTGCTATTAAGCCGAAGAAATCGGCTGAGATCTCCGCTGAGAACTCGGCTGAGAAATCGGCTGAGAAATCGGCTGAGATCTCCGCTGAGAACTTCGTGGCTCGCAAGACTAATACTCGTCCTGGTCCCGGCGCTGTACGGCGGTATCCACTTGGCAGCCTGGAACTCCGATTTCCCTTCTGCCCCCGAGGAGTGGATGTGGAAGATTTCGTGCTTCATCATTATGGGGACTATTCCAGCGTTGGCGATTGTCAGTATGATTGGCATTATGATTGGCATTATGATTATCATACCGATTGTCGTTATAATTGGCATTATGATTGTCCCGAGGCTTGACTCATGGTCTGACAAACAGGTGGAAGGGTTTGAACATGCACTTAAGATGGGCGCACTAATTTCCTTCGGAATAGCCGCGGGCATATTGACAATAATCTTCTTAGGCGCCCGGCTGTATGTCCTTGTGGAGGTTTTCATATCCTTGCGAAGCGTGCCGATTGGAGTATACTTGACCCCTAGTTGGCTTCAAAGTAAGGAAACTCAATAGGGGGGGGGGGGGGGGGGGGGGGGGGGGGGGGGGGGGGGGGGGGGGGGGGGGGGGGGGGGGGGGGGGGGGCGCCCCCCCCCCCCCCCCGCCCCCCCCCCCCCCCCCCCCCCCCCCCCCCCCCCCCCCCCCCCCCCCCCCAGAGATAGGAACGGGTTGGGAGAGATATGATCTATGGGAGAGAGGTAACCTTGGTTGGCTTTGAAAACTGAGACTTTTTATTTTTTTTTTGTATATTCGGCGTTGGAAGGGAGGAGGAGGAGGAGGAGGAGGATATGTGTTCGTTACACCACCAGCATTATTAATATTTACCTCGCATACTATACCTTGGAGTAACCATATACCTATGGATATGTCTTATGTGTATGTATGCGTGTATGTATAATTGATGCGAAGCGCTTGGGTTGGTCGTACGGAAAGGGTGTCCGAAGAAATCTGGTACCTTTCGTTTTGATAAGCCAGTGACTTTTTTTTATGACTGACTTTTAATTAAAAAGAGACGAGAAAATGAGGATATTAAGATGTTAAGAAATGTAAGTAAGTGAAGCGAGTGTGTAAGTGTATGAGTTTGAATGGACGAGTTTCATCTGGGAAGGGAGCTTAGTTTCTTCCATGGACAAAACGGTCCGTATTCCGTCGACCGAAACGTAAAACACGACTAGTTATTCGAGACAGCTAACCAATCTTTAACAACAGAAAAAAAGAGTATAAGAGGGAAATAAGTCAATCACCACTCTAGGTTGTCAACTATAGGTCTATATATGTTAGGTAGGTAAAGACATACATAGCCCTCTCTACCTAGCGCTTTGGTCAGATGGGCGTCCGCCGTCAGCTCATCGCCGCGCTAACAGAACGAGCTGGATCGCCACCCCTGCTAGGTTTACATGGCATTCCTGGTTGGCGGGTTGAGGCTGTCAGGTTAGGATAGTCTGCTTGTTAGTCCTCGGCCAGACCGTCAGCAAATACGGATGCTCTCGTAAACTTAGGATTAAGCGGCTATTATAGGGTGTATATTACGTTGGAATAGAAGCCGTCTCGGACCTGAGGCCCTCTGCCAACCTTAAAATACGACGAATGCTTGAGAAATATAGAGCGTAAAAAACAAGGAAATACATAAAGCTCCAAGCATGCAGTCAGTTACCTCCCTTCGAAACGCCAAAGCCATGCATGCATGCCACTCGTGAAGAAACCCAGCCATCATATCCCGTAGTCATTTCCTTCGTCCCCCCTTTCCTTTCCTAAGCGGTATAACTTCAGACCACTTCCAAAACTTATCTTGGTACCTGATTAATGCGGTCTATGCACCAGACTAATCATTACTCCTTTTCCATATCCTTGGGTGCCGGGTCCCCGATGCCGTCCTCACCGATGGCAAATAGACAATCGCTTTCGGGTAAGCAGGGACTGTCGTAGATCTTGGCGATACGGGTCTCACCACGGCCTTTCTTTAAACTGATTCGCGTCGTACTGGCGTGCGCGATGATATTACCGCCGATGGGCTTCTTGGGATCCGGATTAAACATGGAAGACGGACCACCGTCAACTTGCGCTACGACTTGGTTGGTGATGACTACGGCGATGCCAAATTCGTCGGCCAGCCGTTGTAGCGTACGCATGAATTTGGCCAGGTGGGTCTGTCTGGACGACAGTTCTCCTCGACCGAGGAAATCTGTGCGGTACAAAGATGTAGCGCTATCTACGATGAGCAGCGAGAACCGGGTCTCGCACATCATGGTGGCGGCTTGAGTTAGGAGCTGCAGCTGATGGTCTGAGTTGTAGGCGCGAGCATAGGCGACATTGTCCAGGACTTCCTCGCCGGATAGACCATAGCGGTTGGCCACGGCGAGGAGCCGTACTGGTCTGAATGTGCCTTCCGTATCGATATACAGACATTTGCCCTCGCCGCCGCCCATGTCAAAGGGTAATTGGCATGTGACTGCGAGGGTATGGCAGATCTGACTTTTCCCGGTACGAAACTCGCCGAAGAGCTCTGTCACCGAGCCGGTCTCGATACCACCGGCTAGCAGAGTATCCAGGTTCTTCGATCCCGTAGTGATGGAAATCAGTTCACTTCTTCGTAGGTGCATCTCAGTAGCAGTTGTGAAGCCCATAGGAACCAATTTAGATGCTGATGAAGGTTTAGAAGAGGCTTATTAGAATTGGAAGAATTGACTTGTTTGTGCATTTTGAAACTTACCTTCAGCAAGGATTTTGACTGCCTTCTGTTCTGATATTCCCTTGACCTGCTCCAAGATACGTCTTGGAGTGTAAGCGACCGACTCGACGGTCTGATAGCCTCCCTCAGACAGAAGCTGACAATCGCGCTTCGTCAAGCCTGAAAGGCCCTATAGTAAAGCCAGTTAGTAATGAATTTAATACCGCACATGCATTTCTTAGAAGGGCGTTTTTTATCTTACCTCTAGGGCGTGGATGGGCGTTGGCGCACCAGGACCAGTCGGTCCACTGTCGTCAGCTCCATCTTCGTATTCCTCCGCCATATTTGCAAGCTGTACCTGTCTGTGCCTTGACTTAGCAGGATAAACTTTGAATATAAGGGCAAGAGAAAGAGAAAATAGTGTGTGTGTGTCTGTGGGTAAACTTGATTTGAGACTTTATAGACGCGTCGAACGCGAAATGTGGCGAGAAAACAAATGGAAATCGCGGAAGCACGTGAGAAATAAAAATCAATTTAACTTCGGATCTAGCCAGGGAAGGTCAGGTTGGCAAGTTAGGTATGTATTGTACCCACTTGTTAGTCTCCACAAGGAACTTTTAGGCTTGCTTGGCCTGTTTGGCTGTTTGGTAACTGGTTACTACCTACCTACCTTGGTATCAGCAACCACCTACTTATCGATAAGCTCGGTTCAGCCAGCCAGTACATAGTAACTTCTTCAACTTGTTTTGAAGCTTTCTTAAATTCCCCGTTGCGCGCGTCATTCACAAACATTCTTGATCTATCTTGACGACACCAATTTCCCTCGTAGGGCTCCCATTCAGCATGGCGGCCGCTGTGTATTCCTACAAGGAAACCCGCCTGAACTTGGAACCATCGTCAAGCTCGTACATTGTTGATGTTGAGCTCCCTACCACGAGTTCCCAGGGACGAAGCCAGCGTGCCAGCAGATCAGCTAGAGAAATCTCTAAGAAAGATGCTTCTCGGGCTACTACCTCCGCTATCTACTACCGAAAACACCATAGCTCCCCTAAAGGCTTCCTTTGGCGTGTTCTTGAAGGCGATACCGTTTTGAGCATTCGAACCGTCGATCTCTACAAACCGAAGAAAGCTGCCGACACAAACCTCATCCTTAACTTTCACTTCCAACACCCCATCATACCCAGCTGTGTTGCCCTCTGCGATCCCCCAGACCACGACGCGCTTAGTATTTTCATCCTCGATACTGCTAGCCAGCTGTATACCCTCTTCTTGAGGCCCGACTCTTTTCGCAAACGCTCATTTGTCGAAACGGGACTCGGAGACGCCTGCAAGATTTACCAGCCCAATGCCTTTCGCAACTTCAAGCATCCGTATAGGCTTATCGCAGTCAATAATGACCAGCTAGTTGCGACTCTTTCCGATGGTGGTCACATACGATTTGATAGAAATACGGGACATAATGGTTTGTTTGCAACCCGTTTCGTTCATAGGCTGTATGTATGCTTAACATTGCTCTAGCTCATCACTCGCCCTGGAAGGAGACATTCTATAATGCGAAAGGCTGGTTACGAAGTCTGTTAGGAGGCCGCGGAGATCTAGATATCAAGGCCGCGGCAGCTGCTGTCCACACAGACCTAGGACTCAACAGTGCATCGTTCCTTTTCACCGTCTGCCTCGATCATCGATTACGAATTTGGAACCTGAACAATGGGCAAGTTCTGGGAGCTGTAGACTTGCTTAACTCCGAAAGAGACCCCCAGGAGACAGGGAAGTGGCAGCTAGATGCCTCGCAGGCGAACCTACTTCGTATTGTCGGCACCACCGAGGGCAAACGTCTACTCGTGACGTATTCTCCTGTCGGCCCTGGAGAGTTCAAGTTTTGGATGCTGAGGTCTGACAATGCAAACTTTGTAGATGCAGATGATCTCTATCCCGACCATGAGCTGGTACCTATCCCTCCACTTGGCTCCGATGTCTGGACTCTCGCAGATTTCAGTGTGGCGGAACATTCATCATCCGGGGTGTACAGGATGTGGCTTTTATGGAAGAACAATATGGCGTACAGAGTTCAAGAGTTGACGTTCTTGATAGACGAACTCGCCGAAGTCTGGCAGGAGGGTTGGCGATCAGTATACTCCGACACCGCCATACCGACCGCACCACTATCTAGCCCATCCGACCCTACAGATCCTACGGAGAAGTGGTTGCAATTAATATTCTTCCCTGGGAGATTTCCCAAGGCAACCGTGGAGGCTGCACTCAGCGCTTACGAGAGGGCGATTGGAAGACAGAGTAACATTTCGTCTCGTAACGGCATAGGCCTCGCTGAGTCGATTTGTTCTGCCATCGCTTCGACCTCGTCACTTAACAAATTATCATCAGGTGACATGGACTACGAACAATTTAGGACCTCGAGCGAAATGCAATGGCGAAAATTTTATAGAATCTTAGTCGAGCTAGATAAACCGAGAGGGGAGGCCTTATCATTCTCTTACGATGCGGAATCGGGAATGCCATGGGTCGTATGCGCTGATAGCATCTCCGCCATCAGAGAATGCAGTAAGCTGGAGTATATCTGTCACAATCCACAAGCAGAGTTTCAAGGCTCGAGCGAGGTTCCAACTCTTGTCACCGCTGGTACCAATTTTGTTGAGGGTTTCTCGGACAGCATGTTGCAGATATGCCATTCTGTCATTCGGCCAGAAATGCTAGAAGAGTCCTCCAAGTCAGATCAGGAACGGCTCCAGTTTGTTTCGGATAAGACTGGATTCTGGCGTCAAATCACCGACGAAGATGCAGCTCAGGTGACTGATGCGCTCGGTTCAAACTTCGATCTAGTAACAACAGAACTATGCGACAAGGTGCTTGCGACATGTAACGAAACTTGGAATTCTCCGCATCCCACCGAGCTTCCCCTAACGGAATTTGGGCGAAAAGTCATCGTCAAAGCAACACAAGATTTAGTCGAGGTACAATGGAATGTTAGCTTTAGCCAACTAATCCTCCTCGTTCATATGGAATTCGAATTCGATCGTCCTGAGGATGCTCTCCACAACCGCGTTGAGGTGGGCGTTATATACCGAAACCTGCTTATAATACTTAAACGATTGGAGCTCCTTCGATGGCTGGTCAGTACCCAGTTGACAGCGTCGCTTACGAGGGCAGACAGGTCGATTTCGGTTTCGAATTCCTTTTCTGACAATTCTCCCGTAGCCCCCAAGCGACAGCCTGAAGAATATAGAGCTCTCACCGCGCTGGAGGGCAATGTAGGACACCTTCTCGGAGTGCCCGAACCTGGGGCTGCACCGTCAGGAGGACTGCCCTCGATAATCATGCATATCGCTGCTGACCTTTGTGCTCCCGCTAGTAACGTGGAGCTACAACCTCAATATATACAGTGCGGTCTGCTTATTAGAGATAGGGCGGATCTTGCGTTTGAGTTGAGTCCATTCTGCGAGCAGGACCCCTTCTCAACCTATGTACAAGGGCGTGTACACCTTGCCTTGAAGGATTTCACGACCGCAGCCACATATTTCAAGAGAGCAGCATACGGCATGAGTAAGTGGCGATAAAGAGGGCTTAGGAAGCTTAGCTAACGGTTCGTATAGGCTTACCTCAGGCGAACCCCGAAAGGCATAGCAGTGGTCTTCTGGACGAGACAGAATGGAACCTTCTATTTGCAGGACTGCCGCGATATTATGCTCATATCGTGGCTCTTTATGAGCACCAGAAGGCTTATTCGTTCGTTATCGACTTTGCTCGTCTTGCTCTCCAGTTTGTAAACAAAAATACCGAAGACGCCGCAAAGGTCCGAACGGAGATCCAGTTGCGCCTGTTTAGCGGTGCTCTATCCACTTCACAATTCGAATTGGCGCATTCCACAGTCGTGGCTATAAAGGATCATGCTTTGCAGCATTCGTGTTTACAGGCACTTATCCAGAGGATGTGCGATAACCTCCATAACTCCGAATTAGTCAACCTCACGTTCCCGGGCCTACAAAATGCTGTCGACGACATACTTGCACAGCACTGTCGGGACACGGTGGACGTTATAACCGGTGTACCATATCATCAGATCCTTTATGCTTGGCGCATCAAGCGAAATGACTACCGCGGTGCTGCCGCGATCTTACTTGACCGCATCCAGAAGCTTAGGCAGCTCGTGGAAGGCGACCAGGTGACGGGAGAAGATATTCTGGATACAGCCGTGACGAGACAATATCTAATGCTTATTAACGTCCTAAGCTGCGTGGATCCGAAACAGGCGTGGATTACGACCGAGGGACCGACGCGCCCAATCAAACTCGGCGAAAAGGGCGATCTCTCGAAGCGCAAAGTGGTGACGTTGACCGAGATCCGCAAGGAATACCAGGACGAGCTCGACCGCATCGCCGCCATTCAGAACGACCAATTCGGGTTCGCGGCGGACGACGAGATGGAGATCCTGTGAATGTTCAGGATGGATAATAAGGAACGATTGCAAATGTATAACATTAGTTAAGGAGTTTTTTATTTTTATTTTTACTAGATGATACCTCCTGAGCTTTCAGATTTAAGACCTCGGGATTTCTCTTCACTGAAGCTCGCAACGCAATATGAATAGGCACAAAAGGCGAATCGTAATGGGTCAATGGGATGAATTGACTTGGCTTTGATTGAACTGAACTATTTATTATAAACCCTCATAAGTAGTAACGCCTTGGCTATCTCTCTTTGTCTTCCTCTCTCTCTCTCTCTTTTCTTCTTCTTTCCTACTCGATCGATCACATGATTGCCAATTATCAAAAGACCAAAGAACCACTTAAACGCCGTGCCGTCAATGCTCGACCTTGCGGGAGGGGGTGTGAGGTAGAGTTCTTAGTAGTAATAGCAGTAATAGCAGTAGCAGTAGCAGTAGTAATAATAAAGAATATACAGGGAATTAGTTTTCCTTAACGCGACATGACAAAAGTTGTAAATTATAATAAAAAAAACACAAGACATGATTTTACGCCCGTTTACGTTGGGGAAGGGGGGGAGAGGAGAGGGGGGCTACGCTTGGACGGGTAAGGGCAACGTGCGGGTGGACTCGGGGACGGAGACGACGCCGCCTTGGGAGTCGCCGTTGGCGGCGGCGTCGGCGGGGGCTTGCCGGTAGAGGATGATCTCGGACTGCTTGAAGTAGCGGCGGGCGTCCTCGTCGATGAGCACGAGGCTGAGGTAGTACCGCGTGGAGAACTTCTTGTTCACGTCGCGGAAGGTGGGCGTCAGGTCGAAGCCGCCGAGGAACAGACGGATGGGGATGGTTTCGCCGCGGGAGGGGGAGCCGTCCATTATCTAGTAGGAGAGAAAGGGGGGTTAGTAAGTTGGTTAGGTAATTAATCAAGTGCTTGATTAGTAGGTAGGGAGAGGAAGAGGGAGAGGAAGAGGGAGAGGAAGAGGGAGAGGAAGAGGGAGAGGGAGATCTAGGCGGAATAGCTCACCTCGAAACGCACGAGGGTCTCGCTCTCGTTATATTGGTTCGGCGCGGCGCCGGTGGTCTCCCTCCGGATGATGCTGAGCTCCATGTGCTTGATCTTGAGGCGGACGAGGAGGAAGTATATGCGGCCGACGATAACGTCCTTGAGGTGGTACTTGGACTTGGAGTACTCGAACTCGATGTGGAGGCAATCCTCGATGCCTACGTCCATCTTGATGGAGGAGTTCATCTCGGGGGGAACGCGGTAGCTGTAGACCCAGAGGTCCTTCTCGCGGATGATGTCGGCCATGCGGCGGGCGACGGTGACGCGCACGAAGTAGCGCAGCTTGACGTTGATGCCGTTGTACGACTCGTACTGCTTCTCCACGTTCTTGAAGTTGAAGTCGAACGTCTGCGGGTGCTGCAGCTCCCCCGGCGCCGCGAGCTCCTGGTTCAGCGACAGGAACTCGTAGTGGTTGCCCCGGTCGAAAAACATCTCTATCGTCCCGATGAACTGCACCTTGATGCCCGTGTGTTCCAGCCGCTTCCCGTCTTTCGGTCGCACCGTCACCTGGCCTTTAACGGACTCGCCGTCCATGTATAGAGGCGCCTTCTCCCGGCGCTGCTTCTCCCGTATGTCCACGACTTGGCGCTCATCGCTATCTTCGAGTACTATATCGATGTCCACCGGCGTGGCGAAGAAGTACGACATGCTGGGTGGGTTGAATTATCGAGTTATTGAGTTGTCGAGTTTGTCGTGTGGGGAGGAAGGAGGAGGAGTGGAAGTCGGAATTGGGAATTGGGAATTGGCCGTTATAATGTCGTCGTATGCTTGCTCGATTGTTGTTGAATTGTTGAATTAACTTACAAGTTACTACCAGGTATGTATGTATTAGTTACATGTATACATACCTAGGTAGGTAGGTCACCGTAGCCTGTAGGTCTAGGTAGTTAGAGGTATGTATTATTCTCCTGCCTGGCGGCCCCCACATTCATTCGTCAGATGTCAATTGCGATTGGGGATGTGTTCATGTGGCTCGAGCTTCAGCTTCAGCCTCACCAGGAAACATCAATTCGGTGGACCTCAATTGACCCTTCGACCTCAGCCACGAATTAGCCCCCACCGCTGTAGCCCTAATGGAACGGGACTTAGCAAAGTATCTTGTATCGATATTCTGGCACTTACCCCAATCTAAGCTTAGCGACTGGCCGCACAACGAATTTCCTCAATTGATTGAATTTTTGACTTTGGCTCTGGAGACTTTTTTCCCCGTTCAAGACGACATCACATTCAGGTACGTTTTAGAACTCCCGCGCCCGCGCACGATACCCTTCCACCATTAATTCTTCCTTTGTTTGTTGTCATTTAATTAATTGACATCGCATCTGCTGGTTTCTGGTTTCTGGTTGTGTAAATACACTTTGGGGACAAATTAGTTAACTCATCTATTTTTCTTCTTGAACTTTTCCAGGTCCATTTCTCCCCCGCCTCACCCTCACCTGAACCCGTCAAGATGCGATACATCCACAGTCTCGAGACCTTGGAGATTCCCGAGGGAGGTACGTTTTAGTCGAACCGATTCACCCCGTGGTGGAAACATCGAGCCCAGGACTTTTCGAACTTTTGGGTTTGGGTGTTTTTGCCGCTTGGGGAGATGTCGAAATGTTGCGATGCAATTATACGAAAATACTGACGTGCGACTCGCGAAATAGTCAAGGTCCAAATCAAGTCCCGCAATGTCACAGTCGAGGGCCCCCGAGGTACGATACCATTATCCATCATTCACCATCTATCACCCACCATCCACCATCTACAGCCAAGAAGAATGGCGAACCCGCAAAATTGGAGGCGTGAAGGAAAGAAACGAAAAAAAGGAAAAATCTAACGGGGAAAAACAGGCAAGCTTTCCAAGGACCTGAGCCACATCGCAGTCAACTTCTCGCGACCCAAGAAAAATGTTATTGGCATTGAGATTCACCACGGATCGCGAAAGGACGTCGCCACCCTCCGAACCGTCCGAACCCTAATTAACAACCTGATCGTCGGTGTCACCAAGGGCTTCAAGTACAAGATGCGTTACGTCTACGCCCATTTCCCCATCAACGTCAACGTCGAGAAGAACAACGAGACTGGCAACTTCGAGGTCGAGATCCGGTATGTTTTTTTTTGCGCTCTACCTAATTATTATATACCGGAGGAATACAGCAGAAATATTTTATATATTTTATATAAAGTAAAGTTGAAGACGAGGGGAACAAGGTAGCTGATTGTTTTGAACCAACAGAAACTTCATCGGTGAGAAGCTCGTCCGAAGAGTCGTCATGCAGCCCGGTGTCGATGTCCAGATCTCCACAGCCCAGAAGGACGAGCTGCTACTTCTAGGCAACTCCCTCGAGGATGTTTCCCAGAGCGCCGCCGACATTCAACAGATCTGCCGAGTCCGAAACAAGGATATCCGAAAGGTACTTGTTCACCTCTTGACGCGCCTCTTTATGCATATAACATATATAGTATAACTCTTGCTAACACGAAATTTCTAGTTCTTGGATGGTATGTACGTGTCCGAGAAGGGCAACATCGTGGAGGAGGTCTAAACGGGTGGACACAACGGGACACGAATGGTTTCTTTGCTTTTAGGGTCTCAATACGGAGTCGCCGGGGTTCATCTGCATCTCACGTAGCAAAAAGAGTAGCTGCGAAAAATGGAACCGAATACTGAGCAACTTGTGTTTCTGAAACTCTGGATTGCCTTAGGTACCTAACCGGTCATTTGTGAATTGTGAACTTGATAACGTTTATGATGCTCGGCTTCAGGGACAAGTTGGTATTCGGACGATGAGGTGTGGATTTGAGATAGAATTCTTGTCCAGATACCCGCAATGACCGTTGAGAAACTGAGGAGTATCCAGAAATTAAATTAGTTATATCCTTTTCAATTCTTGCCCGCTGATTCCAATTCCATGCCGAAAGCCTTTACGATGTAGAATGTATTGGCTGTATCTCGGGTAAAGAGTCTGATCAAAACAACTACTTGACCTTTTTTAACACACGTCTGCTAATATTCAAATAGTATGACTAAACGCACATGGGTATATATATCAAGGTTTATGGACTAGGTACATCAAGTACTTGTTCTTGTTCACGGGAACTAGCGCAATGTCCGAGTCAAAACGAAAGGTTGTTGTAAGTCGTTGAATCTCATCTTGATTACGTAGCCTCGAAGAAACCCCCTCGAGGCACTAATAAACGTCCCTTCATAACTATCTTAAACCTTCATCCGTCCCATCTCATTTCCAGGTACGTGCCCCCTGGTCTTCTCGCGCCAAGCCCTCCTGGCTCGTCTGCGAGACATGTCCTCATTATGTGTTTCGTATGTACAAAGTTTCAGAGGCTCATCTCCACCGCTCCCAAATCCATATCCATTCTCCATGTTATTCATATATCGACATAGTTCTTCGTTTTTGAGTTTGTTTTGTGTTTTTTATTTGATTTCATGTCCCAGTTGATCTCGTCGAAATTCTTCGTCCATTAGTCTAGATAGAGGAAAAGCCTCCATGTTCCGAAACGCCGTTTTAGTGATGGGGTGGTTATAAGATAAGGGTCGATGGTGGTATGTATGTCGGTTTGAATGGGGGAAATAAATATCGTGGATGAAGGGAATTATGAACTCAATTTCGAACGGGTAGGAGGTTGGTAAAAATACAGGGTAGGGTCGGTGGTTTAACTTCTTCTCGAGGGACCTCGGGAGACTCTTGAAGGTCTTGAAACCCTTGTTCCTCTGGATTGTCTCGACCGTCCCGAACGTCGCGTATCTCGTGTTCTCCTATCGGAGCTTAAACTACCTGTAGAAAAGAATGGTCAGTAAACCCCCACTGGAGTTTATCTTTGGGGGATGAACTCGCTAGGGCTGCTTGCAGTATAGGAGTCAGTATAGTACGAACTACTCCAGTCGCTCCTACTTCGAGGAGGTCTCTCCCTGTTACTCCTTCGCTGTTTTTCATCCCTCCTCTTCAGGCCTAGGAGTAAGGCAGCTGCACCTAGACCGGCAGCTAACCAGCCCACGTCGCCTCCGGATTTCTTCTCTTTTCGAGCGGCTGCCGAAGTAGGTCGGCCTCCGCCGCCGCCGCCTCCGCCTCCAAACCAAGTTCGGTGAGTTGGTCGTGGTGCGGCGGCGTACGCGCTACCATGTCTACTTCCGCGCCTTGAGTATCCTTCTTCGATAATCTCGATTCGTTCCGTTTCTCGCTTCTTCTTGCCTCCGCCGAAAATGCCGGCGACCACGTCCCAGAGGCCTCTGGCGATGCAGCAGAAACATAGCAGTAGGAGGAGGATTACACCAGCAATAGTACCAACGACGATACCGGCAATTGCACCTCCGCTCAACGAACCACTCGTGGTTGCGACAGGAGTCGGTGTGGTGGTAGCTGAGGCAGTTTCACTAGCCACGGTGCCGGTAGTGGTAGTCGGCGCAGAAGTCTCTACAACAGTGCTACCACTAGTAACCCTATAAGGAGCCGAGTACTGAGTGGTGATAACACCCACGGTAGTCCATTGAGTCCAAGAGCCGCCACCATTTGCCATACATTGGCCCTCATGAGCACAGTATTGCCAGACGGCGCAGCAAATGGGACCACAGGCGATCTGCCCCGATCCTTCGGGCGGTACACAGGGCTCTCCTGAGCCTCCCGCCGGTGCGGTCGAGTCGCCCAGGAACGAGCTGAAAGTGCTGGTGTAAGTTTTTGTCTCAGTCCATGTGGTTGTGTAAGCAACGGCGTCCTTTTTGGCGACGACAGCTTGAGGATACGGGTGAGCGAGGACGGAGGGTAGGAGTAGGGAGAGAAGAAGTGGTTGACATCGGCTGGGTCGCATTTTGATCAAAGATCCGTCCAAATATGGACGAGACTGAAAAGCACCGGAATGCGGAATGAGGTAAGTGGCCGAGTCTGAGACAAGTTTTGTCTCTTTTCGCGCACCAATAACCGCCAATACTGTTTGATTCTTTTCTGTGGCCTCCTCCAAAAAACTGAAGTCTGATTAATATCAATATGGGATAAAGGCAGCTAGAGTGAGGAATGTTAGTTTAGTAAAGACTCACATTTCCAAATGTCTTGGGCTTATCAGATTGTTACACCACCAAACTGATTAGTGCGGCCTGCTCAAGATAGCATCAACAAGTCGGTGACGAAAACCGCCTTGTCCAAACCAGGATAAAAAGAAAGAAAGAATGAGGGTATGAGAAGGAGGGGAGAAGAGGGAAAAAAATGGAAAGTAGCGGAAGAGAGAAAGTCGGTCTTTCCTTAACGCATCCTCTTTACAGGTGGTGGGTTACAACTTCCCAGCCTCCTCCGGTACGGGTATGAGGAAGGTGATGGCCACAAAAAAAAAAAAAAAAAAAAAGCTGCGAACTGGGAAAATACCGCGGGGCTGGGCGAGGCCTGCCCTTTTCTCTCTCCGGCGCAAAGATTGGGAAAGATGAAAACAGAGGGGGTTGGAAAAAATAAGAACTGACAGGGGTTCACGATCTGATGTCAAATCACATCTAAGTTACTATTCTTATGAGAAGGAAAGGAACCAACAGAAATTATTAAGATAGTAATTAATTAATTAATTATTAAATGATTTGAAAGTATTTTTTTTTCTTTTTATCTGTCATCAAAGTCCTATCCTTCTTCTTTCCAATTGAACCTCCTTTTTCTTTCTCACCTCGAATGATGCGACTTAAATAAGGCGTAGTTTTCTATCGCAATATGCAAGATGACCACAAGTGAATGGTGAGTTGGCAGAGATAGTTTGGTGCGACTAATACATAGTACTTCTGTACCTGCAACCTTCTAAGGTACCTAAAAAAAAATACTTAACCTGGTCTGTGCTCATGGCAGCAGCACAGCAGCCTATCAATACGAATAGACGGGCTGGATGGGGTAAAAGCCAGTCTCTCCTCACCCCACCTGCCCACTTCACCAGCTTCACCTACACAACGTTCGCAGTTCCTGAGGTGTCAGGCGTGCAGGGTTCTTGGGAGAATTCCCTTCAGTTGGTTAACTGCTGCCCACGTTCCTGGATTAGCCCGTCACCGAAGGTCTCAAGTTCCATGGAAGAACTCCCATTTGCTTAGATGATGGGCGTCACCGCTGAAAAAAAAGCCTTACTTTCTTAAACACGAGGTGCATATACCCCACGACTACTACATGTATGTAAGTAGTTCCCACAATATGGACCCTGACTACATAGTATGCTGCACATATAAGGAGAAAAAGTATCGATGATGCAATTCGATTCGATCAGGTACCTGAGTAAAGAGTAAACAGGTAAGATCGATTTTACATTGTCAACTCAGATGTGGTAAAGATCTCAAGCCATCTTGCAAACTTTCAATAGTTTCAAAGTTTCAATAGACTCTTCCTTTCAGTCAGAGCACAGGTAAATTGTAATAGATACCTTAGGTACCTAGGTACCTAACCTAATCTAAGGTAGGTAGGCGCTTTATGGAACTGTAGGCTATTTCTTATCGGCCTCAAGTTCGGCGTTATCTCTTCCCCTATAACTTTTGACTTTAGTCACCAATTATCACGCCTTCAAGATCTAAAGCGGCTATTACCTACCTAAGGTACCTAAGGTAACCAGGGTAGTCTTTTACAACAACGTTTCCTTGCTAGAAAAATCATGCAAGTGCCCCGAAACCATGGCATCACCATTCTCGGCCCCATCTCGCAAAGGTGACGCCTGGTTTTTCGTCGGCCTCACTTCTTCCTTCCCCGACATCACCGACTCGGGTAGCGCCGTCCTGTCCGAATCCCGCCCGTGCGCTGGTCAGGACTCGGCAGTCCCCGGATGCAAGGTCTTCCACGTGCCTGCCGCGGACAGCTCCCAAGCCCGCCAGATCGAAGGCGACTCGGTATTTCGTCCCGAGGGCGGACTGCGGGATCAAGTGCTCGTGTTTAAATACAAGGGCAAGGTTCACGCTATCAATAATGTAAGTTTTAATACCTACCTGCGCTTTGACTTTTGTATGCTTTATATAAGAGGTATCGTGGTTTTTGTGAGAAGGTGGTGACCAACAGCGGGAATTCAGCGATGTCCTCATTCATCGTATCCCCTATCCGAGGGCACTCCGTTTGATATCGAGGACTTTGGCGTTGCGCTGAGTGCTGGAATAAGCTGCCCGAAGCACGGCTGGTCTTTTGACCTGTTTTCCGGGCGGGCAGACCGCGCCAACTATAAGTTGGGCATATGGGAAGTTCAGTTGCGTCCCAATTCCGGTACCCAAGCCGCAGCCGGTGACGAGAAGGATGAAGATGATCAAGAGGTGTGGGTAAGAAGGAAACAGAGAATGGGATGACGTGGCACCCCGAAAGACAATTGCATATTGCTATGTCTCCTTTCCTGTCCTTCTCGCGAGAGACCGAGATCTCTATGTGGCTTTCCGAGCTGTGATTTGAACATGTAGACCCTCCTGATACAATAAGGCCTATTCAAGAGGGGTTACCTGTCTGCTTTCGGCCTCCGGATAGTCTGCAATATCATATCGAGATTTACCCTTTTCTCCATTAGCAAATTGAACGTTTCCTGGTCTTTTTTAGGGGTTAAAGGGAGGGTTCTGTTTCGCGCTTTTAGATTCCGGTCCGCGTACTAGTGATCTTGACGACAATTTACGTCCCGACGGTCGCATGGCTTCCAATCTGACATTTCAAAGCTCTCGAGTGGGATAAGTTCAAGGAAAAGGTTTATCTACGCGAAGGGTGATTTCAAGGAAAAGATTGAAGCAATCCGTCTTCATATCACAGACATGTATGAGATCAGCCTTGAGTATAGAAAAGCTGAGCTACTTGAGAAGGTAGGTACCTAAGAATGGTGAAGAGTTGAAGTATTTGAAGTATACGAAAGGTACGTAGGTACAATACATTAGTTTCGACTCTTGAGTTCCAGCATGTGGCATGTGCCTATGACGGCAGACCCACTTAATTAACAGCTTATTGCAATGGACCAAGCTTTCATTCAGCCTTCAAACGTTAAACCGTCCCAAAGCTCGGAACCTTAGCCTTGTTACTTGTACTACCTTACCTCATCTCCTACAATACATATCAGCCACGCAGCCAACGCTACCAACGCTGCCATATTCCTGCGTTAAGTTGGCTTCCGGCTCTAATATTCCGAATTGGAAATTCGTAACCCTCTAATATTCATAAGTTTGTTTCATTATTCATTGACACGATCCTGGTTTCTCCATCATGTCGCTCGACCCCCCTCCTTACCTCGGTTCGCTCCAGAACAACATCCGTCAGCGACCGATTCCCTGGGATGGCGCAGCTAGAGCAGGCACTATCACCGAGGCCCAATTGGCCAAGATCAGAGCAGTCGATAAAGTAAAGAGAGAACAGCGAAAACAAATAGTCGAAGGCGACCTCGAAGGTTACCGGATACTATTTCTTGGAGGACCCGGCACCACAGGCGTTCTCGAGTCGGCGAGCAAACGTTCCGACGTTGTTCAATACATCTTGGTTTTACTGAGTGATCTGCTCGAAGGCGCGTTCATTTCCTTCCTGGTTTTATCAATCATCAATAAACAACTTTAGGTAACTCGTCCTAACATCGTCCAGGTGTCCCAGCGCTTGCGAAAGCACTGTTTAGAGATCCGGACCCGTATCAACACCTCCTACCCCTTCTTGCGCATTCGAATAATTCCGAGGACCCTATTCCCCTACTCACCTCCACCGTTCTTACTACCCTTATGGCCACTTCTAAAGACGAATCCGCGTCGACAAAACGCGCCTTACCTCTACTTCTAACCTACCTTTGCGGCTTAGTAAAGAACTCGAATGACGCAGGATTACAAGACATTGCAGTCATGGAATATTCCTCTCTCCTATACGGGAAGTCATCTAGACAATTATTCTGGAAGCAACGAAGCGAGACGGTTGCTCCCCTAATCGAAATTCTCCGAAAAGCTGCGGGTGTTGGTGGTGAGTCTTCTGCTAGTCTTTGGAGCGGCAACACTACGACCAGGAGCGGTGGTTTCGAGGGTATTAGTGGTGGGGTCGGGCTACAGCTCTTATACCATGTTCTGCTGGTGTTGTGGCAGCTGAGCTTCGAGGCGGAGGATATCGGTAACGACCTTGATGAGTACGGAGGACCCTTTCTAAAGCCAAAAAAAAAAACAATCACAACTAACAAGTATGCAGCGAATATGACATCATTCTCTTATATACTCAATTACTACGGCTGTCGCCAAAGGAGAAGACTACGCGACTTCTTCTATCTACGCTGTACAACCTTCTTGAAGCCAATCCTTCTACACTTCTCCCTACGGCAGTCCTAGCCAAGTTGCCCGCATTTCTATCAAACTTTAGCGGCCGTCACTTATCGGACCCGGATTTACAGGAAGACTTAGAGAATCTAAAGGAGATGCTAGAGGAGTATCAGAAGACCAAGACCACGTTCGACGAGTACGTGGCGGAAGTTCAGTCTGGCCACCTGAGATGGTCACCACCCCACCGTCACCAAGTGTTCTGGGCCGAGAACGCACGAAAGATCCTGGAATTTGAAAACGGGGAAATTCCACGGAAACTGGCAGAGATTATGAGCAAGTCGTGGGAAAACGACAAGGCGGTGCTGGCGATCGCCTGCAACGACGTCGGCTGTCTAGTCAAGGAGGTACCGGAGAAGAGGCACCAACTGGAGAAGCTAGGGTTGAAGACTCGCATCATGGAGCTCATGCAGGATTCCGACGAGAACGTGCGATGGGAGAGCTTACGAGCTCTCGGCAATTGGCTTAAGTACAGCTTTGATGGGAACTGAAAGGTACCTATTGTGAATTCCTGCATGGATATGATTATATTCCTTATCGTATTGTTTCGATTGCCATGGTGTTGCGCTACAAGCGCGGGTGCAAAGACACGTCGTCGTCTTACATAGTATATTGGGTAGGATAGAGACGTGATAAACTCAGTTCGAGCTAAGTCTAACTATCGGTACCTCTAAGGTACCTAGTAGTTAACCAACTTCAAACTTCAATGCCTTAAACCTCGACCGAAGCTTGACTCTTGAGACTTTACCTACCTACCTAGGTAGTAAGTGATAAGATGGAGGTTATGTGCGGGAGGTTATCAGATAGGTACCTACATACCTTAGGTTAGGTAGGTTAGGTACTTACATAGTCTCCGCTCGGTAACATCAGCGGAGCTTTGGATTTTAGTCCCAAGGTTATGTCACGTAGACTTTCAAAGGGCTGATATAGAGTTTCGGGTGCTTATAACCGTTACCTATAACGTAATAGGACCCAGCTAGCTTACGGGAGATGCTTAAAGAGATACCTAGTAACTATACGTCCGGTGCTCGGGGGTTCGGCTTAGCGGTAAGAGACGGGCAAAGGATTTAGTTACCCCTCTTGCCCAATTAAACCATTTATGAAATAATAAGTCTGAATAGGGTAGTTAGAGCCAACAATAACCAGCAATAGCCAGTAATAGCCAGTAAAAAAGCCTCGGGTTTTAATGACGATACCCGATAACGCTACCCCGTATTGTACCGACGGTAATACCCCACACCAATAAAGACTTACTACTCAACTAACTGCAGACTGTAGACTGTAGAGGTACCCCTTCCCTTCAACGGTTACCTATAGCTATAGGCTATGAGGTAGCCAGGTAAACCTTTCCAATATGTAATAAATAACCTAATGTACCCCATCCTGAGCGTTGCCCCTTCCGGGGAACGAAACATATGCATTGCTGCCAATGGCCAGGTATAATTCTTATGCCCAAACACTTTTATGTAGAAAAGGGGTTTTTGTTTCTTATCTTATAATCCAGTGAGAGTTTGTCGACCTGGTATTTCGTTTTTCTTTTTTCTTTTTCCCACCATGCATCGTCTAATTCGTACTCGAGTCATTGCTACCAGCGCCGGCCGCACTTTTGCTACTCGTCGATTTGCCTCTTCTCTCTCGTTGTCTTCCTCTCCCACAACTCTTCCCAGAATGTCGTCTAGAGCGGCAACCTCCTCGCGGCTGGCCGTCATGGCTAAGCAGCTTCGTCCCATGAGCGCTCTAGCCTCGACCGCTATGAGCTACCCTACGACGCACGAGAGGATAGAGAAGCCCGAGGACACGCCTTATTTCGTGGACAACGAGTTCCGCCCCAGCCAGACGGACAAATTCATCGACCTGCACGACCCGGCTACGAATAACCTCGTCACCCGCGTTCCGCAGCTCACCAAGGCCGAGCTCCAGGCCGCTGTCGATAGTGCCCAGCGTGCGTTCCCCGAGTGGAGGGCCAAGAGCGTGCTTGCCCGCCAGCAGATCATGTTCAAGTACGTTAGCCTGATCCGCGAGAACTGGGACCGGCTCGCCGCGAGCATCACCCTCGAGCAGGGAAAGACCTTCGTAGATGCGAGGGGTGATGTCCTGCGTGGACTTCAGGTGGCGGAGGCCGCGTGCGGGGCCCCGGAGTATCTTAAGGGCGAGGTGCTCGAGGTCGCCAAGGATATGGAGACGAGATCGTACAGGGAACCCTTGGGCGTCGTTGCTGCCATTTGCCCTTTTAGTAAGTGCCGATATAATATGTAATATCATATATAAAATACCAGAATTTTGCTAACGAAGTTGCTAACAACAAACAGACTTCCCTGCTATGATCCCGTTATGGTGTATCCCGATTGCGACGGTAACCGGAAACACCGTCGTCTTAAAGCCTTCCGAGAGAGATCCCGGAGCGGCCATGATCCTAGTTGAGCTGGCAAAGGAAGCTGGTTTCCCCGACGGTGTAATTAACGTGGTACATGGAGCTCACGACACCGTCAACTTCCTCTTGGACGCACCAGAAATCAAAGCGATAAGCTTCGTCGGTGGAAACAAGGCGGGAGAGTACATCTTCAGCCGAGGATCTGCAAACGGGAAACGAGTGCAGGCTAATCTCGGTGCCAAGAACCACGCGGCAGTCATGCCCGACTGCAACAAGAACCAGTTCATCAACGCTATTGTGGGAGCTGCCTTCGGAGCTGCCGGCCAGCGATGCATGGCCCTCAGCACGCTCGTAATGGTAGGAGAGACGAAAGAGTGGTTAGGAGAACTGGCAGAAAGCGCCAAGAAACTCCAGGTCAACGGCGGTTTTGAGGAGGGTGCCGACTTGGGTCCGGTCATCACGCCGCAAAGCAAGGCGAGAATCGAGAGCTTGATCGCCAGTGCCGAGGAGGAAGGTGCTACGATCCTCTTGGACGGACGTGGCTTCAAGCCGGAGAAGTACCCGAACGGCAACTGGGTCGGCCCCACCATCATCACGAACGTGACCAAAGACATGAAATGTTACAAGGAAGAGATCTTCGGTCCGGTGCTGGTGTGTCTCAACGTGGACACGCTCGACGAGGCGATCGATCTAATTAACGACAACGAGTACGGTAACGGCACGGCCATCTTCACGCGCTCGGGCGCGACGGCCGAGAAGTTCCGGCGCGATATCGAGGCCGGCCAGGTCGGCATAAACGTCCCGATCCCGGTGCCGCTGCCCATGTTCTCGTTTACGGGCAACAAGAAGAGCGTGGCGGGAGGAGGCGCCAACACCTTTTACGGTCGTCCCGGGGTCAACTTCTACACGCAGCAAAAGACGGTCACGGCGCTGTGGTCCAGCGCGGATGCGATTTCTAACAAGGCGGATGTTGCTATGCCTACGCACAGTTAGGGGGGAGGAGATAACATGGGTTTTAAGGGGGTTATGAGCATGAATTTAAGCAAGCAAGCAATCTGTATATAGTGTTTACCTAGGTACCTACCTAAGGTTAGGTATTTATGAGATTCAATGGGATGAATGATGGCTTTTGCGTTTATTATGAATGAGAATGATGAGTATTTGGTTTGTGATGAGATATGAGATTTGAGATTTGAGATGATGCTATCGTGGAATATGATAGTTATCGGATTTTATACGGATGTTCATTAATAAAATTTCATTTATACGCAGCGTTTCCTCTTCATCACTCATCAAGCGCCCAACTACCTTTTTCAAACGCTATATACCAGGTAGGTACTTAGTATCATTATCGACTAAATCCCGTGTCAAATTCTATCCATCTAGCCAGCTCTCAAGCCTTCGAACCTGCCGCCGCAGCACCACCCGCAGCTCCAGAAGCCGCAGCGCTAGCAGCCAGGGTTGCCTTCTTAACGAGCTTCAGGCCCGCGAGGGCATACACGAGGCCTTCGACACCGAGGATCAAGACCAGCGTAACTAGAGCACCGATCACACCAGCGACGGGGACCGAGATGTTGTTGCTGGACGTCGTGGCAGCCGCACCCTCGCCGTCGGAACCACCGTCGGAAGAAGAAGAAGAAGAAGACGCGGCGCTCGCGCAGATGCCCGTCGTGTTTCCGCAGGCCCGGCACCACGCCGCGGTGTCGCCGATGGCGAATTTGCTCATCTCCGCGGCGAAGTCGGTCCACGGGAGCGGGGACCGCGCGCGTCCGAACAGCGGGAACTCGCGGGGCGCGTTCTGGGCGGCGGACCCGTTCGCCAGCAGGAAGCGGACCGAGACGTCCTCGACGTTCGGGTAAGAAGACGAAGACGAAGAGGAAGAGGAAGAGGAAGAGGAGGGAGTGCTGGCGTTGGTGACGAGCTCGAACACCATGGACGAGGCGTACTCCACGACGCCGGTGAAATCCGCCGACAGCTTGTCCAGCTGGGCGAGGCCGAAGAAGGACATGAAGGAGGCGTAGGCGCCGAACTGGACGCCGACGGGGGTCTTGCCGCGGCCGGTAAGCGTGGCATCGAGCTGCTGGAGGATCTGGGCGGCGAGGGTGGCGCCGGCGACGGCGCGGATCGGGTCGCTGGCGTTGTACGCGAGGTTCCACTCGTGGGCGTCGGCGAGGGTGCGGAGCGCGAACAGGGCGTCGTCCGTGAGCAGGGCCCGCGAGGGGATGGACTGGTTGTGGATCGTGGCCACGTTGACCAGGTCGAAGATGGTATACGCGTTCTTGAAATTGGCCTGCCCGGCGCCGAAGGTCCCGTTGATCACCGGGAGCAGCCCGCCGTAGAAGGACCGCGTGCGCTCCAGCGTGCCGAGGTACTCCTCCGACCGGAAGTAGTTGTTCGAGCTCACCATGGCGTTGCCGCACCCGGACCCGCCTTGCAGCCACTCGTTGTTCTCCGAGTTGGGGTTCGAGGACGCCGTCGATGATACCCCGACCGGGATGTACTGGTATCCGCCCAGAGGGGCCTGGACCTCGGAGCTGTTGGCGAGTACGGACACGCCGTTGTCACCGGCGGGCGGGTAGATGCCTTGCAGGAAGGCCAGCGCGGAGCTCTGGAGCACGGAGTCCGCGGGCGAGATGACGCTTAGCTGTGTGGGGACGGCGATGTCGCTGCTCAAGCCTACGATGGGCGAGCTGGCGTCGGATGCGACATATCTGCTACGATAGTAGCTACCAGACTGGAAAACTTGGTCGGCGCCCAATGCAGTCAAGCTCGTGGGCGCAAGACTCTTAGGAGTCCGATCCCCATGGCGATGGAAGATGTAGACACCGAGGACGGTCTCACTCTTGGCTAGCGGCAGAGCTGCCGACGAGAGCAACAGCGTCTTCAACTGCATTGTGACTCCGGACTGCCTATTATCTGCTACTATCTCGTCTGTATTCCCTGACGGACTGATAGTAAGGCCGAAGGTATATCAGGCCAGAAAATCAACAGTCCAACAAACTTCCAGAAGAAAGAAGATGGCAGGAAGAGTCACTTTAGAGTATTTGAACATTTCCTGCAAGCAAGTAAGCAAGCAAGCAAGCATTCATGCAGCCCCGCTCCTCGCAGGGTTGCAGCACATGCTAGCTGCGTATAATAGTAGAGCTAGCCCGGGAAGCGAGTAGCATATCACCAGCGATAGCCGCGTGCGGGACGGCAAGCTAGGACCCAGGTAAAGAAACGACCTGGGAGATTATAGGGCATGCCTCTCTCTCTTTACTCAAACCTTTGCATTTCCACCGACCTGCCTAGTCCGGACATCAGCTCAGGTTAAGAGCGGACCTCTCACCGTCGGATTGGCCAATTATAATGGAAGAAGGGAGGGTTTCCTCACACTTTTTTTTTCTTGCATCTCCGCTGTAGGTCCGGGAGGGTCCGAAAATCCTGGACTTAGCTATAAGTTAAGACATTGCTAAATCGGAGCGAAGTGGGCTGGCTATCACTCACTCGTGTGAAGATAAACTGACTGGTACGGAAATAATATTTTTGACAGGAATTGCTAAGCGAAACATGATATGATATTAAAAGAAGATTTCTTAAGCTACATTTTATCTAATGACTTCAGCAACAGTTATTACAAGAACGCACTCGTTAGGTTCACAGGTATATAAAACTTTGCAAAGACATTTCCCAGTTATTTAGCTTGATTGAGTGAATAAGGTTAAGGAGTTGGAAGTAACACGTTGGACGTCTTGCTTAAAGCGTATTTTACAAGCTCTTCTGTAAGACTCAATGAATACCTTCCACGGGGATTCCCTCCTCCCCGAGTATTCCCTCTAGTATTACGCCCTCCACAAGCACTTCTTCTACTATAACTACCTCCTCTACCCGTGGCGTTACTACTACTAAAGCCTTAATTAAAGTCTTAGTTAAAGCTTTAACTTTATAGTAAAAAACAATAAGATTTTATATAATATATATTACTTAATTACCTACCCTATGATATAGCAGAAAAGGGGTTGGTTTTAAAATTACTACTGAAATAACATCACTCCTTTTATTAGCATAAAGCTACTTACGAGAGTGACCTTACAGCCTCGAATTGACGCCCTCATAAGAGTCTATCATAAATTACACATAACATAACTGCTTCAATCATATAGCCCCTTATCCATAGTTACAATACATTCTATACGATATGAAAAGGTCGAGTCATGAGATTTTCATTATAATAGTCAACGCCCATTAAGATAACGAATGTACAAAGCCAACCTTTACAGAATCAACGCTTATGCTTCCAATCCCAACCTCACCCAACTATAACCGCCCAACCTATACCTATCTTACCGCCAATTAACTCGCCTATACACCGTACCCTCCCAACTCCACATGTATCACATCATTCTAGTCATTAAATCCGTACCCCAAAACACCTCTGGCACCTCCTATCCCAAAATCCACCTTCTAGGTATGTAGGTTAGGACACTCAACGTTTGGCTATGCCGCAAGCCTTCAGGCACTGCTCAACGCCCAGCGCGACGTTGGTGCTGAGAAGCCCGCGGAACTTGTCCACGTCCGCGCCGTCGATGGAGTTCCCGGCCGCGGCGCGGATCGTGTCGTCCCCCAGCGCGAAGTACGCCTGGGCGATGGTATTGGCGCCGAAGTCGTCGCTCGACAGCGGCGCGATGAACGTCACGTCGTCGCACGTCGGGTTGAACTGCGTGTGCAGCGCGCCCATGAAGTATGGGGTCGCCTCTGTTCATGTTCGTATTAGTACATAACTTTCTCTTCCAATTGCCTAGGTACCTAATATTCCCGGGGGGGGAAAAAAAGGGATAGGTACGTACGGAGTTCTTCAATAGTGTTCGTGATATCGCGAGGCTTCTTATCAGCGTCCTCGACGCCGTTCTCGACCACCATCTCGGACACGACCTTGCCCTTGGTGACGACGAGCAGCTCGGTGGCGCGGTTGTGCACGTGCGGGGTGTTGAACCCGCAGGGCCCGAGGAAGCCGACGGCCATGCCGATGCCCGTGTCCGCCAGGGCCGGGAACGCCTTGCGGTTGGCGGTGACGATCTCGCCGCCCTTGCCGGGGCCGAACTTGCGCGCCTTGTTGAAGTCGAACACCAAGTCCGCGTCGTCCTTGAGCACGTTGTTCACCGCGTCCGCGCGCGTGTCCGACAGCAGGATCTGCTGGACCTTGCTCAGGCCCGTCGGCGTGGCGGGAGCAGGAGCGGGAGCAGGAGCAGGGGTAGGAGTAGGAATAGGGGTCCCGGTAGCGGTGGGGATAGAAGCCGGCGCGGCTAGGGTGATGGAGGAGAGGGCCAAGATGGCTGCGATGGTGCTGATGCTGAACATGATGTATTGGATAGTTACCTAGGTAGGTAAGAAAGGACGATTGAAATGATTTAGTGTGGTTTATGAGAGAATATCGGTGTTAGTAGTAGTAGCTGAGCTGAAGTGGCAGGAAATAGTAATGGAAATAAAGTCGAGGAAATAGATAACTCAAAGAAAAGAAGAAACTTGAGTTTGTTTGTCTTTTTGAAGTTGGTGGTGATGATGATGGGCAAAGTTCTACATTGCAAGGTTCACTTGAGTCTTTATATATCTATACGTATCTATTTCTCTTCGAAGCCATCGTCAACTGATCCTGAGCGAGCTGGCCAATAGCGCACATTGCGGACTAGCTGGCGGATTAGCTGCTGGCGGCTGATGGACTCTGTCCCCCAGGAAGCTGAAAGTTCCGGAGGGCGGAGCAGGGACGGCAGCTGAGTTCCCGGGACCGGACAGGTCAACGGGGTTGCACATGATTGGACGCGGCGAGAGGCGTAGTACAAAAGTTGAGTACGAAAATATTAGACCCAGCGTATTAGAGCCCAGCGCTAGCAAACGTCGGCCATACACGTGTAGGGCTAGGGTAGGGTAGGTGAAATCCTGCCTTGTACGATTTTGGTGTTTGGTGCTTACTCCGGATGCCAGTGTGCGCCGGCTTAGCGCGCTTATAAGCTGCGGGAGCACGATGAGAACTCTATTTTAATCGTATAGTATAATAAAATCAGAAACGATCAGATACAGGCAATCATGCCTAGAACTTCCACGGTTATTCAAACCCTTTTTCTAGAGAGTTATCGCTTCAAAGTAATGGAGTATTTACTAGAGCTTTTCAATTGTTTTCTGCTCTCATCCCTCTCTCTTTCTCTCCCTTCCTCCCTTCCCCCCTCTTTTTTTTTCTTTTCTCTCTCTCTCTTTCTCTTTCGCTTTGGAGATGTTTGGTTTATGGGAGGCATGTAGACCGTAGACAAGATGCAGCAAACTTTGAGCGCATGCCATTTGACTGAAGTAAACCACGTGGGACGAGGCTCATCAATACGTCTATTAATATACCTGGGCTTTACCTTAGGTAGTTATTGATAAAATGTTTAATATCATGTAAGCACGACTGGGTTGAGTTGACACCATCGATGTTGTGGAAACGTAGGTATTTCAGAGACATATTTCAACTTTTTGAGACTTGTCACGTAATGGACGATTGATTACGTGATGATCCAGGCGCCGTGTGCGATCAGTGAGCCTTGCTGTATATACCGTTACAAGTCACATGTGTTCGATCATGTGATTCGATATCCTTTTGTAGGATCCCCACAAGGGGCCAGTGGCGCTGCGGGGTAGCGGTCGCTTCGTCGATTGGTGACAAGACTCAACTAATTTAGGTAGGTAGGTACCTGTTAAGTAGAACTGACAAGTAGTTAATGACGCCCTCGAAGCTGTATTGAATTAGAATCGGCCAAGTAAATTGATTTGTTCACTTATCTTATACCGCTCTTCGTTTGAAAAATGTGGTTGCAGCAACCTTTGTTAACTCTTAAGCCCTAATACTGGAGATTAGCACTGACAATTATACAGCCCCATAGCGCTAGTCCATTAAAAATAACGTTTGATTACCTTTCCACCAAAAAAGGTGCACGTGCTCGAGATTTCACTACGGCTTTTTTAAATCTTTTTACTTTTTTATAAAAGGTGTTTTTGTTTTTTATAATTAGTGTAATTAAATGGTATTATGGTTTTTAAATATTAGTAAATTTAATAATATTAAGTAATTATATTATATGTAATTAATATTATGTAATTATAATAAAATTTATTATATTTAAATAAATTATTAAATTTTATCTATATATTAAAAATTTTTTATTTTTATAAAAAAATATAAAATTTATATAATTATATAATAAAAAATTATTAAAAATATAAATTTTTTAAAAAAAATTAAATTTTAAATAAAATTATTTTTTTACTTATTAAATTATATTAAAATACTAATATATTTAATATATTATAATAAGAAAAAAATTAAATTAAATTAAATTTTATGTTTTACGTTTATTAATAAAATTATTTTTTTAATATTAAACGTATTACAAAATTATATAATATTTTTTTAATATATTATATAATTATATTAATAATTATTAATAATATAAATTTATAATATTAAAATGCTTTTTATAATTAGCATTTATTAAATGAGTATTTGCTTAAAGTAAGTATGCATTAAAAAGCATAAAGCGAAAATAATTTTCTTATAAAATGAACTTTAAATGTGAGAATATTGCAAGAACTGTGAGATTAGGTAACGTGTTCTAAGCATGTCGCTTAATTTTAGATGAGGCGACCAGGGCGGGAGGATCTTCACGTGAGACCCATGCCGCCGTAGCTGTATCTTTAACACCTATTGCTTGACTTGAACCATACAGCTCTAGACTTCCCAGAACACGTTTCGAGACCGCTGGATTTTCCTCGTGCCCTTGTCGGAACCTAGGAATTTCCCAGGAGGGTTGAACTATTGCAGAAAGCGGTCCCACGTAGTTGCGACTAGTATCAGTATCGTTCGTTGGTACATTGATACCATGTCCATAGTATATCATTTTATTGCCATACATAATAACAAGCGTCGCCGGATGTCACGCCATGGACCCCGTGGAAAATCTTCATGGCTGATGTCGATCAAATCACGTTAGGTACCTACCGCCTTTTCGCGTCTGTTCCTGCATTAGTGGACGGGTCGTCGGGTTAAGAGAGCATTGGCAGAATTCAGAAGAATTAATAGGTGATCTGGGGAAGAAATTGAAGAGAAGAGGAAATTCAAGAAAGTGATCTAGAGGTAGGTAGTTGCATGTTCTCCACTCTGGTCAGATTCGGAAAGTGGATCTGTACCTGCATTTAGTTCATTTATCTCAGCGGCTTACTATTGGTCAATTCTTCAAGAAATTTCAATAAGCTCGGGGGTACCGGCCAATGGTAGAGACGGTACGGATCCGTAGATTACGCTACTATGCCAGGTACCTACACCCGCCCAATGCACCCCCGTTCTCCTGTTTTTTTTTTTTCTTCTTCCTCCTCTCTTACAACCCTCGTCCGCCCCGTCTGACCGTCTCCGCTCTCTCTCCTTCTCCTTTGCTGGAGTTGGTCGTTTCTCCGTCTTTTCGCTCATCACGGGCCAAGTCACTCCTTATTTCGCTACCTCTTCGCTCGTTCTTTGGTTTTCTTGTTTATTGTCGGTCGTTATCGTGGAGATTCATCTCCTAGTCACTCTTTTGAAGTATATACAAACTCTCGTTTTAAGACGTACGAAGTCTTGGGATATTCATCGCAAAATCCATTCTTTTGTGCGCACCTCGCAACCAAACTAAAGGACCTAACGATCGATCAGCTCCTTGGTCGTTGATCTTGTTGTTGATCAGTTGCTCCACTAGTATAGGCGCTTCTCCCCTCAGCTTCGCCAATCTGGGGTGTATACTTTGTCGCGAAGACAATTACTGAGGATCATGAAGATCACAACGATACAAGCCGCCGTTGGGTCGGCAGTACTCCTCTTGAATGCTCAATCATGTGCTGCTACCGTTCAGCATCGCCATCACCATCTTCACTTAGAAAAGAAGCACAGTAGCAGCCACAGCCACAGCCATGGCCATCTTCAAAATGCCTACAACCCTAAGTACAGCCAACGGAACAGCTCTTCTCTTGTATCGCGAGACGGTAAGAAGAAATGTCAATTCCCAAAGGATAAGGGTCTATTCGCTGTTACTCCGTCTGCGATGAACGGTGGCTGGGCTCTAGCCCCCGATCAAGAGTGCGTCTCAGGCACTTGGTGCCCGATAGCCTGCCCTCCTGGTAAAGTTATGGCCCAATGGAAACCAGACACCCATTATGCTTTCCCCGAATCAACAGTAAGCCGTCATTTGCCAAGTTTGATTATCGTAACCAGCTAACGTGGAGTAGTATGGCGGTGTTTACTGCAATGATGATGGTGAAATTGAGGTTCCTTTCAAGAACAAGGCATGGTGTGTCGACGGTACTGGTGCGGTGGAAGTTGTAAATAAAGCAGGAAAAGTTGTTTCTTTCTGCCAAACTTGCCTTCCAGGTTACGAAGATATGATCATTCCTACCGATGTCTACGACACCGCTACTATTGCTGTTCCGGATATGTCTTATTGGGACTCAACCGCAGCTCAGTGAGTGTTATACCACTTAAGTTGATATTGTTCACTAACATAAGGTACCTAGCTACTATATCAACGCTCCCGGTGTTAGCTCCGAGGAAGGATGCCATTGGGGGGACGAATCGAAGCCTATTGGTAATTGGTCCCCGTACGTTGCCGGAGCAAATACCGATGGGAGTGGAGAGACATTCGTCAAGCTTGGAATAAATCCGGTGTGGCAAGACTCTGCCCTTTTCGATACGAAGCCGAACTTTGGTTTGAGAGTTGAATGTCCTGAAGGAGGTTGCAACGGGGCTAAGTGTGAAGTTGACGGGTCTGGCGTAAAAAGTGACAACAAAGCATCCGGTGCTGGTGGTTCCGACTTTTGTGTTGTCACAGTGCCTAAGGGTACTAAAGCTAATATTGTTGTCTTCAATCTGGACGGCTCGGAAGGAGATGACAGCCCATCGAGTTCTTCGCCGCCTGAGTCTTCGTCGCAACCCCCTTCTACCCAGCCTGCCAGTACGTCGAGCATCCCTACATCAAGCTCTGCTCCACCGACAACTTCATCGACTTCAAGCAGTTCCGTGGTTACTTCATCGTCATCACCGCCGTCTTCATCGTCGTCATTACCCTCATCAACGTCATCATCAGCATTGTCATCATCGACGTCGGTGACTAGCATACCAACAATTAGTAGCTTCGTTACTAGCAGCTTGACGACAAGTTCAAGCCGAGCGAGCAGCACGACGAGCTCTTATGCCTACGTAGCTGGTGTTTTCCAGCAAAATGCAAATCAGACTTCGAGCTTTACCCGAAGTCTGCCTTCCTCGACTCCCGCCCCCGCCCCAGTCTCCACCAACGAAGACGATGTTGCGGGCGATTCAAACAAAAATGAGGGTTCAGGCCAGCGACAAGGTAATGCTGCCTTTGCAGGTTTGATCGTTGCTTTTGTGGCTGCTACCTACCTACTCTAAGGCAATCGAGCGGTACATAGTACAGCATGTTGGATGTGGCACGACCCTTTTCATTTCGCCTATATAACTTGAGCAGTGTCTAAATGCCTTGAGACTTCCATCTCGGCTATTTGCTCGCCGATTATCATCGTTGCGGCGTGGGCTCTGTACCACTGCCCGAATTGTCGACATATCTTAACATATCGGTATCACTATATACGCGCTTATTTCCGTACATTTTTACAACTCCCCAAGCCCTATATAACGAATTATTTACTCATTAGTGTTTATTATTTATTCCTTAACTGATAATTTCTGGAGCTACCAAGTATTTTCTCAGATGTCCTTGAGCTATGCACCATTTTTACCTTCTTACTATACCCCTTTATTGCGAATAGCGCCTGCGAGTGGCGGTTTGGAGCTTTTATTTCCTTGGCGAGAGCGATTTCCTGGACGTGACCAGGGAAAGAAAGGGGTTACACATTCTCAACGAAGAAAGTTTTCGCTGGAAGGGAGGGGATTTGGAGCTAAGAGATACACGATCAAGACGACACGCGAATCATATTTACATTTTTGCTCACGAAGATATCAAGGCTTTTATTGGGTGTCGCGGTAAGGGGAGTCCGCGGGCAATGGAAAATATTGTGCTGGGGGGTTTGGGTTAGTCAGATTCTTGGACATGTTGGGTTGATGCGATCGAGATCCCCTCGATCCCCCGCTTCCTGCGGATATATACCTTGTATATTATCTTCTGCCGCGACGTGCTGGCAATGGCATTTGAGAGCGCTGAATAAGATTTGTTGGTTGAGAGGAAAGTATTGTTCATTGAGCAAGTACTTTGATGTGAATGTTAACCCGGACTTGGACGTGAATATTGCGCGTGGGCGTGTAGTCTACTTACTCTGTGACCCTCGCTCTGTAATGCACTGTAGCATAACCCGACTTAGATCTACGCAATGGATGCTGATAATGTGTGTCGTTTATGAATTGCGTATCTGATAGACACGACGGTTGACTGGACATGGCAGGTTAAAGAGCTCTCGACCCTTTCGGAAAGAAGGTGTGTTTTACCTGGTACTTAGATCATCAGTGGTGTCGAACTGACCTAATGATTGCGGTTGGGCTGTTCTAGAATCTCATCAAATTTAAGTGGTAGTATGTATAAACCGAGCAAGGAACGGCGTAAAAGATTCGTGAACGATTCACTCCCATAAAGCTAAGACTTCGTTCGTATCTTCCCCCCACCCCCCTTCTTCTCCACAGGTGATATTCTAACATAGGAGGTTATTAGTAAACCCGCGCCCTTCGGCCTTCTTTCCTACTCCCAAATCTTAAAAGTAAGTACATGTCTCTTACTCCCTTCCGCCGCTAACTGAAGGTACTTGTTATCACGTCTCGCTCTAAATTAGATGGCTGTAAGATTTGTTAGGGTATAGAGATTAGGTAGGTAGGTAGGTAGCTTCTAACAACAAATGCTCAAGACCTGAAAGAGAATTTGATTAGCCTAGAAGTTTTGATGAGCTATCTCACATGCCCTCATATCTAATGTGCACAAACCGTGGTGTTCTTTATAGAAGTAGTATATATTACACTCATTTTATATATATACCTTATATATACTCTACAATTCTAGAAACATCCTTGGTATAACCGTGCTATTGCAGGATTTACGTATACTGTCAAGGCAATGAATATAAATTGGTATACAAGGTTACCTTAGGTACCTAGATACCCCAGAGCGTGTAAACTTAGGGATGTCGAGTATATTCTAAACCTATAAACTGCGTCATGCCAACCCGTCCAAGCTCATCGTTATATAAACAATGCTAATATCAACAAAACAAAAAAAGGGTCATACAGGGTATCATTCGCTAACTTCGCTATACCAAGAGCCGTACCGTACCATACGACGCTCTTCTATGACTTGATCAAAACAGGACACTGAGCTAGCTCCTATCATCTTCATCGTTCTTCTCGCATGTACGTACCTAAAACGCTTCTTATTCGTCCTTAACCCATCCCGGCACGACAGACTCCTTGGACCGCTGGTCGATCACCTCGCTGACATCGGGCCAACCGGCTGCCACCGCACTGCCCTTCTGCTTCGTGCCCATGATCGCGAAGGCGCCCTGCGAGTGCGCTATATACCCGTGAAGCAGGTCCTGGCTGATGAGCGACGCGACGATGTTCTCGACAACGAGATCGTCGACGGCCGTGTTGCCGGATAGCAGTCCCTCGTCCGGCGCCAGATGCCTGGGCCCGCCGGGAGGCAGAGCAATCGTCGAGTCCGCGGTACCGGTGCCTGCGCTGTTCGAGACAGCTTTCAGGAGGTAGCTATTGACGCTGGATTGACGCCCCTTGGGAGCCAGCTGCACTGGGAGATATCCCTCAAGCCTTTTCTGAACGAAGCTCATCGTGGTGCGGAGGTCTACGAGCTTCAACACGGCTGCTTTCCGCGAATCTTCGACCGCCGGAGGCGTGTATGTTAGCAGGAACGTTCGCCGCGAGAGCGACCGCCAGAGCAGTGGTCGGATACGCCATTGGAGGGTGGTAAACAGAGGGAAGCCTTTACTCCTTAGCCAACCCTCGTGCTGTTTGACGGTGTGTTGGTAGAGTATATAATCGCCCTTTCGGATTGCTAATGAAAGCTGGGAGTAGCACTGGGCCATGGACTGAGCTTCCGGCCGTTCGAGAAGAGCCTGTGAAGGGAGGCGGCCTAGGATAAAATTTGACGGTATTAAGTACGTGAGTATGATTCGCCGATGTTTAAGAAAACGTGGTGGCGTCTGTGAATAAGCCTCCTGGAAACACTGCGCAGCCCGCCAGAAGTGGTTGTGATTAAAATGGAAGCGGCCAAGAAAGTACAAAAATGTGACCCTCTGAGCAGCTGGATAGTATGAAAGCGGCGGTGACTTTGCCATGATGTTGGTCAACAGTTGTGCGGCCAGGTAGGACTTGCTATTCTAGGACATGATGAGATTTAGTAGAGCATCGGCCGTGATTATACGCGTAACTAACGCACCATGGTTAATAGTTTCAAGGTCTTGTTAGCGAAGACGTAGATGCCAACTTTCTTGCCCGTAGGCTGTGCGAAGCGCGGACTCGACCTGTCGGTGAGACATGTAGTGAAAAACTTCTGCATGATTTCTGCTGTGATTTCGATAACCGATTTCCGTTCCTCGTCACCGGCATGGATTGCAGCCAACTTCCTCATAAGATCAGGGCGTTTATTTAAAGTCATCGACAAGGTTGATAGAGAAGCGCAAAGCGATATGCTCGACTGCAACATGATTGTTCCATACGTGGGATTGTTAAGCGCCGTGGCGCATGAACTATTCGGTTTAGTCGGGCTCGATGTAATATCAGAACTGTCGAGTTAACATACTTGGTCAAGGCTGTGAGCAATTGGTGGGCGCCTAGAAGGTCATCGAATTCCACGTCTCTCCAGTACAGGAAGTAGTCTTTTATAAAAGATATAAAGCCGGGCCATGTTGTTCCCTGGCCTTCTGGGACGTCATCTTCTTCAGGGAGGCTTTTTTCGATGAGCTTTTCAAGCGCACCATCATCTTGATATGAACTCTTCAGTTCTAATGCAAGGTTGTAATACTCCTGCGGTAAAGGCGGTTCGACCTTTAGCCAATCTCGTAATGCTTCTCCGTCGAGACGTTTAAGGATATCGCGGACACCGGTAAGGAATTGGGCTATCACAGCCATGGTGGAAAGTAGAGAGGGAGTTGGGAATCGGAGATAGCCCTTGTTCAGATGATCATTGTGTTCAGGGACGCGAAGACGGTAGATAGGTAGAAGCAGGCAATTCGAAAGGCCATCCAAAGTATGAATTTGTCAGATATCGCTCGCTTTGCAACATATATTAATTGCGCGCGTCGGTGTTGTTCGAAGCTACGAATTCGAGGTTGAAGTTGAAATTGTATGACAAGGCGAAGAAAATACACGTCAAAAAATTATGGGTTCAACCTAAGTAATTGTTCCAATTGTATCGTAGGAGATACGTACCTAGGTACCTAACTCTGTACAGAACGCGCTCAATGCGTTAACAACCAATCAAATCTTCAAGGGGCCTATAAGACCCGCGTCTTCTAAAGCTTCGAGGTCATTTGTGACATCATCTTACACGGCGAACGCGGGGTCAAGTAACAAGGTACACGTCCGAAGTAAGGGTGTCGTATCCGTCCTAGGTGCTAAAATGTCACTTACAAGTTGCGTACTTGTACTATGTAAGATCGCCAGGTGCAACTACCTACCTAAGGTAATGCATGTGACAATTCATAAATTGAATCTTTATACAAAATGATGGGTATATTTTCCTGCCCGGAAACTAGCACAATTATACAGACTCGATCCTTTGAACAACAATAGCGGTGGCTGCACCACCTCCGTTGCAAATAGCTGCAACACCGTATTCGCCTGGCTTAAGTTGGTGCAATAACGTTGTGAGGATTCGGGATCCTGAACTACCTAGTGCATGACCTAGAGAAATTGCACCACCTAAGGGATTAACTCTAGCTTTCTCTAAACCGAGAATCTGTAAAAAAAAAAAAAAAAAATTTGTTAGTGATCATAAAATAAAATGTGAGTTATCGGTTCTTACCTTCTCGTTGGCCTTGATAACCGCAGCGAAGGCCTCGTTAAATTCCCAGACAGCAACTTGGTCTTTTGTGATACCCGCGCGTTCCAAGGCGATAGGCACGGCTTTGGCTGGCGCAACGGGGAAATCCACGGGATCGACCGCAGCGTCAGCGGAGCCGCATATCCTCGCCAGAACTCTCGAGCCGGCTCCAAACTCCTTAGCAATATCTTTGCTTCCCAGCACCAAGGCACTAGCACCATCATTCAGCGTAGATGAATTTGCTGCGGTGACAGTGCCTGTGCCATCGCGAATGAAAGCCGGCTTTAGCGTATGAACCTTGTCTAACTTGATGTCCAGATATCCTTCATCAGTGTCGATTATGGTATCACCTTTCCGGCCCTTTACGATCACAGGGGCAATCTCGTCCGCAAAAGCTTTATTTTCCCACGCAGCTTGAGACCTTTCGTACGATTGGATAGCATATTGATCTTGTGCCTCGCGGGAGATATCGTACTTTTTAGCAGTTGTCTCGGCGCATATGCCCATGTGAAACTGGTCGTATACATCCGTCAAGCCGTCCTTGATTAGACCGTCTTCCATCTTGACATGGCCAAACGGTGGCAAAGAGCTCGCGCGAGGGACGTAATATGGCACTTGTGACATGTTTTCCATGCCACCGGCTATTTGCGCCTCGCTTAGACCAAGTTGAATGTTTTGAGCCGCAAAAACTACGGCCTTTAATCCCGAAGCGCAAACTTTGTTAATAGTGACGGCTTCGACAGATTTCGGAAGGCCGGCGAAGATAACGGCCTGCCTAGCAGGTGCTTGGCCGATAGAAGCTTGTAATACATTTCCCATATAAACATCTGTGATCTTCTCGACAGGCACCTTGGATTTTTCGAGGGCTGACTTAATAGCAACTGCCCCGAGCTGTGGCGCAGAGACAGTAAGGAATGAGCCGTTAAACTATCTCTTTGTCAGACAATTATACACCTATGTATCTAAGTTAATATTGATATGTGCTCGTCAAAACTCACCTTTGCGGTAGGCGTCCTAGAGGCACTTAGAATATATGCGTCTCGAATTTCTTGCCGACGGGCTGTCTGTACCGAGAAGTGGCGCTGCGCTCTTAATGCTTGGGTCCCAGCCCGAAAGCATGAGCCTCTAGCTGTAGATCCAAGCATTGCTATCATTTTGATATTTAAGATACCTTAGGTAGGCACCTTACTTAGTTGAACAATTTGAAGATTTAAGATATTAAGTTGAACGTAGCACAAATTTGGATTAAGTTACAAGAAGAAAAAGACGGCCAACGTCATGGGTACCTAAGGTTATCCAAGCAGTTGAAGCTTACACGAGAGTTTAGCACCTCGGCTTTCAGCGGAATGTCTCGCTTCCCGCCTTCCGCCAATAATGCTGCTTACTAGCAACCGAGGAACCCCGATCCTAGACAAATCTGGGGAAACAGCCTTGCTAATTTTGTAGTACCTACTTACCTAGGTAGACATAGTAAGTACTTAGTTGCCTCTGCCAACCATTCCCCGGTATCGCTAAAATGATGAGATTAGTGAGATATGAATGAAGCAATGCATTCAATGCATTCCCTGAACAGTGACTTGCGCTTGCCTACATGGTACCTAACGTGTATGATATATCTAACAGGTACCTAACTCCCAAGTATGTACCTACTATGTACTTCGTACCTAAGGTATGTAATTTAGACAGTTGGGAAGGTGTGCGGGGACCGTATTATATAAGTAATCCAAAAATCGGAGGCAAGTGCCCACCACGTGACAGCGCTTTCGCGTGAATGCCCCCCAGGTGCTTTCCTTTTTACAACTGCGTCGGCTTAAAGTACCGACGTACCGTTTCTTATCACGTCAATTCGTCCCGGCCAATACCTCTAACCAAGACAATCGCCGCCCAAAACCCTTTTCATATTTCCAATTAGTCAACTTTATTTGCCTCACCCCATCGCGATATTCCTTTTCACTATCTTCCAAACCGTTTCGAATCACTCCCTTCGGCTCTTCGGCATTTGTCTAATTGAGTGTCAAATTGTCTACAGATACAGATCTCTCATCTCGCCTGTAGTGATCACTAGACGATCCTTCAAGCAAACACCTTCAAGACCGATCTAAATCAGACCAAGATGTCTACCGCTGCCCGCCGCCGCTTAATGCGTGACTTCAAGGTTAGATCTTCATTTCTAGTCATAATACCAACGTAACGTATTCGCTAACGTATTATCATAGCGCATGCAGACGGATCCTCCCGCTGGCGTATCCGCGTCTCCCGTTCCCGATAACGTTATGACTTGGTAAGCTTATGAGTAGGCGATCAGTGCATATCGCAACATGAGACTAACAATGACTTCGTAAGGAATGCTGTCATCATCGGACCTGCCGATACCCCGTTTGAAGATGGAACCTTCCGACTTGTAATGCACTTCGAGGAGCAATACCCGAACAAGCCGCCTGCGGTCAAGTTCATCAGTCAGATGTTCCACCCCAACGTCTATGCCACAGGCGAGCTGTGTCTAGATATCCTTCAGAACCGATGGAGTCCTACGTACGATGTCGCGGCTGTCTTGACAAGCATCCAGAGGTGGGGAAAAAAGTACCTTTGATCGACTAAGGCATATTTCAAATGCTAACATGACTGGAATTAGTCTCCTCAACGACCCTAACACCGGCTCTCCTGCAAACGTGGAGGCGTCCAACCTGTACAAGGACAACCGAAAGGAATACACCAAGCGAGTTCGAGAGACAGTTGAAAAGAGTTGGGAGGATTAAGCTGTTCCTCTGCATCATCCAAACCTCATATTAGCCTTCGACATAATAGAAGGGTTACCTAAGTTATCTTAACCCATCTCTACAGGCGTTAGGTATGGGGTTCTGGCCAGGATTAATTCCACAAGTATGAGTATGATGTGGCAGGGACGAGAGTGGTAATATATCTTCTTCAAGGGGCGCAAGGGTTCGGCGTTTTGGTGGGCGTCGGATAGGAGGTATTATCGACTTGGCTGGGTTGGGTTATTCTGGAGGAACTTCTTCTTCCTAATGCCCATGTGATCAACGTCCTAGACCAGTCTTTCTACGTCAGTGTTATTTCCAAGATCCTCGCATCAGCCCAGGCGTTTTCATTTCGTTCTTAGCAAGAAATGCTAGACATGGTCAATACGGCACTTAATCGTTTAGTTCGTAGCAGAAATACAAAGAATAACAAACGAAGCAAAACTTGCATAATGCTTAGTAAATCAGTCCTTTTATGTCGGTGCTTTTGAAAGAAGCTTTTTGATATCATAAATGGGATGCCCGAATAATAAACAGCAACGCCTATCTCTATGTAAGCTGGTAGTAGAGTAAGGTACCTAACCATTGGCATCACATCCTATAATCCTATATTTAATTAAGTACCTTATTTATTTGGTATTCGAGGTCTTGTAACTTCCAGTCGGGTTCAATGCTGTGACGCGTTACCTTTTTCTAATGGTGGGGTTAATTCCAAGGTTATTGCCCATAGAACTGCAAGAACTGAAGTGTATTGTATGTAACTTGTAAGAGGTAAACTTTAATAAAGGGAATGTATTTACGTTGTACCCGAGTAAGTTCTTTATTATTCTGCATATTTTATAAGCAACGTTCACCTATATGTACTAGCGATTTTTGGCGGCGTCTTATAGGTATGTACTATGTAGTGCCCGCAAAGGTACAATTGCTGTACAAGACCGATACATACCGCTAGATTGTGGCGTTTCGCTTCCTTGCAGGTTGCAGCTGGCAAGTCCCCCCCCCTGGATTAGGTGTACTTGAACCTCAGGCACGCCGACAACGCCGAAACCCACTGAAATCGTTAGAGGCCCTAGGTATTTTCTCTCTCCCAATACAAACGCCGAACCCCAAAAATTGACGCGACATCCCACCACCACCGAGTTGGTTTTCAACAAGCATAATCAAGACCAGCACGGCATATAAGCAGGCTTTATTGTCAACCTTCTTACATTATTTGACCTGTTCGCCGTCTTTTCGGCCGAGCTGCGTCTGTGCATACAAGATAGCAGATCTACTTCCTTAACATGAGATAGACCCTTTTTCTCTTTTGTACATATCACCTCTGCGCGTAGCCGTCTCCAAACGGCAAACTTCATCATGGCCAGCGCAAACAGTATCAAGGTCGTTGCCCGTTTCCGGCCGCAGAACAAGATCGAGTTAGCATCAGGCGGAGAACCTATCGTTACCTTCGATGGCCCTGACACCTGTACCCTCAATGTACGTTTTTTCTTCTTTTTTTTCCCCGCTACGATCTGCAGTCTTCTTCCACTCCGTTGTTACTCGTGCTAGTGATACGTTACTAACCGGATTATAGTCAGCTGAGGCTACAGGTACCTTTACATTCGACCGTGTGTTTAATATGCAAGGCAGACAAGTTGACATATTCGAATATTCAATCAAGCCTACCGTCGACGATATCCTTAATGGTTACAATGGAACAGTGTTTGCATACGGCCAGACAGGTGCGGGAAAGTCTTACACCATGATGGGAACAAGTATAGAAGACGATGAAGGCAAAGGTATTACACCTCGTATCGTAGAGCAGATTTTCAGCAGCATTATGTCCAGTCCGCCCACCATCGAATACACCGTCCGAGTCAGCTATATGGAAATTTACATGGAACGCATCCGCGATCTTCTCGCACCACAAAACGATAACCTACCGGTCCACGAAGAAAAGAATAGGGGTGTGTATGTCAAGGGTCTTCTAGAAATCTACGTCTCGAGCGTAGAAGAAGTTTTCGAAGTTATGAAGAGGGGTGGAAATGCAAGAGCTGTCTCTGCCACCAATATGAACCAGGAATCGTCACGTTCGCACTCTATCTTCGTCATCACCATCTCGCAGAAAAACCTCGAAACCGGTTCCATGAAGAGCGGTCAACTGTTCTTAGTTGATTTGGCTGGTAGTGAAAAGGTCGGCAAGACTGGCGCCAGCGGCCAAACCTTGGAGGAGGCGAAGAAGATCAACAAGAGCTTAAGTGCCCTGGGTATGGTCATCAACGCTCTCACCGATGGCAAATCCTCACATGTCCCCTACCGTGACTCGAAATTGACGAGAATCTTGCAAGAGTCTCTTGGTGGAAATAGTAGGACAACTCTTATTATAAACTGCTCGCCTAGCAGTTACAACGACGCTGAAACGCTGAGTACATTGCGTTTCGGTATGAGAGCGAAATCGATCAAGAACAAGGCGAAAGTCAACGCCGAACTTAGTCCTGCTGAGCTCAAAGCTATGCTTGCCAAGGCCAGAACCAACATCACGACTTTTGAGACGTATATCTCGAACCTGGAAGGCGAACTTCAACTATGGCGTGGCGGTGAAACCGTGCCCAAGGAACGGTGGGTCCCCGCGATATCGGCTGACGGCGTGGCTAGTACGAGGGCGGACTCGAGGACTCATCGCCCTTCCACCCCGTCCCGACTGATACCGGATAGCCGTGCCGAAACACCGGGGCTGGCAGATCGATCGGGAACACCAAGTCTACCTCTAGATAAGGATGAAAGAGAAGAGTTCCTACGAAGGGAAAATGAGCTGCAGGACCAATTAGCAGAGAAGGAATCAGCCGTCGCGGCAGCTGAAAAGTCCCTTCTTGAGTCTAAGGAAGAGCTATCTTTCTTAAAGGAACACGATAGCAAGCTAGGAAAAGAAAATGAGAAATTAACAACGGAGGTTAATGAGGCTAAGATGCAACTGGAACGCCTGACTTTCGAAAGCAAAGAAGCTCAGATCACCATGGACGCGTTAAAGGAGGCAAATGCTGAACTGACAACAGAACTTGATGAAGTTAAGCAGCAGCTACTAGATATTAAGATGAGCGCGAAGGAAACGAGCGCCGTTCTAGACGGCAAGGAGAAGAAGAAGGCCGAGAAAATGGCTCAGATGATGGCAGGGTTTGACCTGGGCGGGGATGTGTTCAGCGCTAATGAACAATCCATTGCCAATGCCATTCAGCAAGTCGAAGCATTGTTTGAGCTGAGCTCATCGGGAGAACTGATTCCACCGGATGACCTACAAGAATTAAAGGCTAAGCTGGTGGAAACCCAGGGCATCGTCCGACAAGCAGAGCTCTCTTTGCATAGCGGCGTACCGGGAATGGCTAACGGCAAGACGATGCAGCAGCAAATCGCCGAGTTCGACGTCATGAAGAAGAGTTTGATGAGAGACCTACAGAACAGATGTGAGAGGGTCGTCGAGCTCGAAATTTCTCTTGATGAGACTAGGGAGCAGTACAACAACGTGTTGCGGTCATCCAACAACCGTGCCCAGCAGAAGAAGATGGCGTTCCTCGAACGTAACTTGGAGCAACTAACTCAAGTTCAACGTCAACTCGTCGAGCAAAATAGCAGCCTGAAGAAGGAGGTGGCTATCGCCGAGAGGAAGCTTATCGCGAGGAATGAGCGCATTTCCAGTTTGGAGAGCTTGTTGCAGGATAGCCAAGAAAAGCTGACGGCTGCGAACCACAGGTTTGCCGTTTCTTCCCCTCGTTTGCTATCATCAACTAACCCAAATAACAGGTTCGAGTCCCAGCTCACCGCTGTCAAGGAGCGTCTCGAGGCAGCCAAGGCCGGCTCGACCCGCGGCCTCAACTCAGCATCCGGCGGTGGCTTCAGCTTTGCCGGTGCAGGCAGCCGTATCGCGAAGCCCCTTCGTGGTGGCGGTGCCGCTAGTGATGCTTCCGCCCAGGTCCCGACTATCACCAGCCTACAAAACGAAGGCACTGCCAGTAAGAGAAGCAGTTGGTTTTTTCAGAAGTAGGGGATAGACTAGGGATAAGAACGACGATCACGAGGCACGCATACGAACTTAGACTGTTCACTGTTTTTCAGTAGTGTGCAAGGACACGCGAGGAGTCCTGTTTCATTCGGCCATACAGATAGAAGGATTATACCCCCACCTCAGCCCGTGTTTTTTTCCAGCCCCGTTTCTTCTATTTCATTGATATGCGGTCCTACTTATCATCACGGTCCTTGGGGGCTAGACTCTGCGGATGGAACTTCTAACTCCCCCACACGACCGTATACGATCCCGTCGTCTTTTTTTAGGGTGTAATTGACTGAATTGGTGGGGACGGGGTTGTACCTGTGGAGGACAGAAGTCGTAGGAAGGAAAGGGGGGAGGAAAAGGAAGAGGACGGAAAGTGCTGGGGTTTGACGAAGCCGCTCGCGACGGGTTATGAGAACAGGACCAACTACGATGCCATGTGTCTTTTTTTTTTTAATTAGCAAAGCCGTTACGCAGAAAAACGCACATGTCATGTATACATGCATTGGAACGGGCAGGGCGGGGGGAGTTAGGCGGTCGTAGCTAGCGAGTTAAATACCTACCTACCTAGCTAAGGTAACCTATCTAGATGTTACTTTGCTGTCTCTGGGGAACTCTATGTGTTGTATGTGTATGTGTATGTGTACCTAATGTAAATGTGTACTTCGTACTCGTACGTGTATCTAAGTGTGGAGCTGTCGTTCCGGAGGTGGCCAGCTACACTTAGGATACATGTGCAACGAAAATCGTGTAAATCAGTTTTGCGAAGACTCGGTGCTTTGTCTACCTCTTCTAATGGTTTGGTTGAATGACATATATATCTAGGATGAGTTTACAGGTTTATTGAGAGATTTGCATTCCTATCTGGACGAGTTGATCATACATAGTTGTGGATACTCGGTTTGTTTTTTTTCTAATGCTATCTACTTTACCTTAGGTACTTATTGAGCAATAGTTGGCACAGATATCGTTGAAAAATAGGTACCTAGACGTATACATTTAACTTGTTTTCAGAAAGGATGCCTTTTTTTTTCTTTTTTCTTTTTTTTTTTCAACTTTTTAACGATCGTATCTTGTCATGATGATTAGGTATCTTAGGTACCTCTTAGGGCAATCCTCCGATTCGGATATTACGATTAAAATAATAATATCGTTTGGAGGGACTAACTAACATTGCTAAAGTCTCCCTTATAAGTGGCTATTATACTATGGTAGGGTGAATACCTAACCTAGATGTTAGTTCCATCTACTGGTTTCACGAAAGGCTCATAAGAATTATGTATCGGTGGTTTCACCAGGTATCTAGAATTGGAGAGAATCATGAGCTATATATATAAATATTGTTCATAGAAAAAGACGATAGCCTTTAGTGTCTTATCGTCTTTAACGTGAGCACGTGGATATCAGGGTTAATAGGCTACGATGCGGTGAAGGGTCAAAGGTGGGATGACAAGTCATTCGATGGAGCCGTCTGATTTTTACCCCATACCTAAATCTCCGTATAAGTTCAGTCCAGACCGTCTACCGTATTAGTGAGTATCATGGCTTGTGATCTTTGGTTTGTCCCCAATGCAATGGGCTCAAGATAGGGGAGCATACCGTAGAACTAGCTCGGCGAGGGTCATACTCAACCATCACACTATTTCAATTCACCTTGGTTGATACTTACCTCCCTTTCCGAGTAGTATTTTCTGTGACATACCTAAGCATAGGTACTCTGTCGAACGAAGCAAAATTCATGCAGTCTTTAAAAGCTCCGTGGAGCCAGCTTTTCCTCCTACACCGACTTTATCCGTGAACGCCACACACGAGCGGTCACGGTATTATCTTTCTGGCTGAAAAGCACGTAATGAGCTACCGTATCAAGTCACAAGGCGAGTTCTGCCCCCTGGTTGATACAAGCGGCTCGCTCTGGTTAAGCCCGGCTTCGTCGAATGGTAACCATGACGTTGAGGAGGAGCAAAGCTTGGTCCTCAAATTATTCGTCATCTAAGCTCCCATCAAGCCTCGGCATAGAAAATGCCACAAATCGGAGACTGAGCTTAAAACATACCATGTTGGACTTCGGCGATAAAATAATTACCAAGCTACTAACATGAGTTTGTACCTAATATTATCTTTGACGCATCCCGTGAGCCGCTTAAGTTGGCCGATAGGTGTTCCAGAGTTTCGGTAACGGGACGTTCCAGGAAGACTCAGCGCGTACATACAGTAGTACGGGTATGTTAAGAACCATCATAGGTCGATCACCTCGTGACAGAAGTTTGGACTTAGGAACCAGAAATTCGGAACTGGCTTACCTACATCTGGACATGTGACCCCGTAGAATACCTTGCAACTAGCCACCTCCCCCCTTAACAAATTGGAGTCCGGGGAAAGAGGCCGAAGGGGTTTAATTGTCCAATATTCGATGCGCCAAGACTTTGAAGGAATCGGTGGCACGATGATTTAGGTATGCAGGCACTGCAGTTGGCGGGATAAGTTGCCACGAGAAGCGACCTGTATGGCTTTGACTTCAACGTGATTGTGTGTATACACACTAGGTACTGGCTGAGGATGTCCACAGTTAGGCCGAAAAAAAGGAGTCAGTTTAAAAGTATTTGGACCAACTACCTAACGTAAATGTGGCTTTGGGAAGTGTTCGCCTGATGCGGCTGCTTTTGGTGTGGTGCTTGTAATAAGTGTGGTTTGCTCGTAAGTGGTTGCTGTAAGACGAAATGGTTTAGTTAAATTGGTGAGATTATGCGCCATGTATTCGGCCCGACCAATGTTAGGTTCTTTAGTTGCTTTTAGTGACCTTGGGGAATTTTGAGAGAGATGCGGGAGCTCCAAAATCTCCAGGTCTTCAGATCTTTTTCCCCTCCCCCCACTCACCAACTTAGAACGGGGGCCCCGCTAAGAGCAAACAAACCTTCCACTAGAGGTACAACCCATCCTTTAACCATATTTGTAGAAGGGACAGGGTTGTCAAATAAGATTTCCCTCGGCGCTTTCTCCTACTCTGGCTCTTGCTTTTCTTTCTTCTTCTTTAATCTTTCCCTAACGAAACTAACCCAGTGGATATTTCCTCCCCTCTTCAGATCCGAATTATCCCCTATGATTTTCAGTAAAGATCTATTAAGATAAAATAGGCGAGGCTTTGTCGTTAGGCTTTATTTCCGGTGCTTTTGGTCCAAAATGGCAACTATCACGAGTCCTCGTCCTTTTAGCTAAACTGGTATATACAACCAATCACAGAGTTGTATTGACATACAACATGCATTGCTTAATATTAAGAGAAGAATGAGATATCCTAGCAGGGGAGGAGGAATAGGTATTATGCTATTCTCGTTCTTCCTTAGTAGACTGATCCCGGAGATAAGTAAAATGAGTAGAATGGAATCTCTCACTACGGATTGGTGGTGATCTCGGTAGGAATTCCAATAATTCCAATCGAAGGCATGTAACGTCGCGTTCATGGATCGCCTCTGAAGATATAGAAGTAGGTTAGGTAGGTACCTAAGGTACCTAAGCCCTTCTTTGATCCTCCGGTCTAATAAGTCATTATAGGTATAGAATCCGGGGATACCAAAAAGAAGTCTAGGATACGAGACTAACTACCTACCTTAACCTAACCTAGACCTAACCCAACATACCTAAGGCATACCTGTTATGAGATGTAACCCATTTCTCTACGTCGCCACGCGAACAGGCGAATCATGGAAACACGAACTTCTCAAAATGAACGACAAAGGATAATGGCCTCATCCTTCTATCCCCTCCCCCAATCTGTTTCATCCGTCCCACACACTTCCGCGCTCAGCCGCCGGTGCTTTTACTATTCGACGCGTTTCGGCGTACAACCGAGCCAACCAAGTTAGGAAGCACGAAAGTACCAACTCAGCAATCGGGCAACCAACCCCTGCACTTGCACGTTCTCCCTAATTACACTAATATCAGAGGTTGATGTTATTTGCGACTTGCATAATGAAATCTCGAGCACTGATTTATACAATAGGCACCCTTCGTGCGAGGAGGCCCAGCCCCAGTAACAACTTGGTTACGTTAGGTACCAGGTACCTAACCTATTTACACTGGTTATCGGGACCAAGAAGGATATTATATGCATATCCCGTACAGAATGTATCTCAATAAAAGTGAAAGATCTACCGTAGATCACGAAATGCGATGGTCCATCAAATGATTGACGGGTATTTACACACCTACATCAAGATACACGGAGATATTAAAAGAAATCATACTACAGGTCCCCTCGAGTAATCCCCTCTCGTATTAGGCATAATACGATTATCGGCCCAGCGAGTTTGACGATGTTGACACTGTTAACAATGAACATGCCTTTGGGTACCTTAGCTACATAGGTAGGCTACTATGTAGGTACCTCTTGCTAGGAGCAGTATCCTAGCTACCTAACTTCTTTATATTCTAATTCTACACTATTGTTGGTGTTGGTTTGCTGTTGTTAATCGGGCCCTCTCGAATAATATTAGCGCCACTGTAGCATACCATTCTCCATGCTCTCTCCATGCTCCCCATGCTCTCTCCATCTTCCCCAAATCTCCAGTTTGGGGAAACTACCTGGGCGAGGGATCTTTGTTGCCTTGTGGGTCAGGTCTAAAGCTGCATGCGGGCGAGACCAAGCAGCAGTCGGCTGCCTTTGAAGTTTGAGACGGGCCTTTACATCCTGGTCTATAAGCCTATGCCCTGGCACCGCAGCAGCAAACCAATCAGCGCCTGTCCACCAACCGCAACTGATTTGAACAGCGGATCCCATCCAGTCTAGACTCAGCAGGAGACCCCGAGCCTACTTCCCAAATTCCACCCTAAAGTATAGTAACAAACAGTTTACTACGCCGGACGACAATGCCCTTCCACGCTTTGACAAAGCCTACTCTGATTCCTCTTCGCTTAGGTACCACGTTTCCTCCAGACTAGGATGATGGTTCCACAGCAAACATGGCTAGAATCAGCAAGGGGCGGTGTCTTCGTCTCGTCCTATGCGGGTTTGTAGGTTGCTTTCCGTTGTTATCCTACCCCTTGGTACGGATTCGTGCAGATATATAATATCCAGCAAATACTCCCCGATCCTACCGTACCTGCGCTCCTTTTCCCCTTTACTACCCCGTTACAAACCCGTCGCCCTCCGCAATTGCTTCATACGGGCGGTGCAAGCCTTATTTTGTAACAGCTTTACCTTATCCTTACTGTAAAGCGAGAAAAAGACAGGATAGCCAAAATGGCTGGCGGTGTTGTTATCGCAGGCACTGCCGACGTAGGCCGCGTCGAGGCGCCTGTTACGCTCAAGGCCTACTTAATTTGTGCCTTTGCCGCCTTCGGTGGTATCTTCTTCGGTTACGATACCGGTAAGAAGCCCGAATCGTCGAGGTTTTGATAGGCCTTTCCGGTTGCTAACCATGAATACATCTAGGCTGGATGGGTGGTGTGTTGGCCATGCCATACTTTATCAGTCTATACACTGGAATCCCCTATGATTATATCAACAAGGTGCCCATAGGCGTTGACCAAAAAGCCTTCGTTCTACCGTCGGCAACACAGTCGCTCTTCACGTCGATCCTGTCATGCGGTACCTTCTTCGGCTCTCTTGTAGGTGGTGATATTGCAGATTTCGTCGGCCGGCGTCCCACAATTATCGCGGGATGTTTCGTTTTTTCCGCTGGTTGTATTATGCAAATCTCCAGCACCAACCAGGAGGTCCTGTTTGTCTTCGGCCGTCTAATCGCTGGTGGTGGTGTCGGTTTCATCTCCGCTGTTGTCATTCTGTACATGTCTGAAATTGCGCCTAAGAAGGTTCGTGGTGCTATGGTCTCTGGATACCAGTTCTGCATTACCATCGGTATCCTCCTGGCTAATTGCGTCGTTTACGCCACCCAATCACGCTCCGACTCTGGCTCATACAGAATCCCTATTGGCGTCCAGTTCCTGTGGGCCATTATTCTTGGTGTCGGTCTTTTTATTCTCCCCGAGTCTCCTCGTTACTTCGTCAAGAAGGGTAAAATTGAAGAGGCCGCCAAAGCCCTCGCTTATGTCCGTGGCCAACCCATAGAGTCGGATTACATCAAAGATGAACTAGCCGAGATTGTTGCCAATAACGAGTTCGAAATGCAGCATATCCCACAGAGATCATACATCGGTTCTTGGACTGCTTGCTTTAAGGGCTCTCTTTCTTCAGGCAATAGTAGCATCAGGAGAACGATATTAGGAACTGGATTGCAAATGATGCAACAATTAACTGGTGAGAGAAAAACTTATAGTATCCTTAAATTTAGAATCTGACTCTTACTGACATTTTCTGCCAGGAATTAACTTTGTGTTCTACTTCGGTCCTCCATTCGTTCGTATACCCCTTTCTAACTTGTCCGCCTTTTTCATTTTTTTATAAAAAGAATAAAAAAAAAATAGAACACAGTGAGCTATGTAATAATGACCACAAACTGACAAAAATATTAGTTTAAACAACTCGGAACTATCGGGAATCCTTTCCTAATCTCCTTGGTTACGACCCTTGTCAATGTTCTGTCAACGCCTATCTCGTTTTACACTATTGAGAAGTTTGGTCGTCGCGCTCTGCTACTGACTGGTGCTACTGGTATGATTATTTCTCAGTTCATCGTCGGTGCAGTAGGTGTTACTCAGGGAAGAGAAGAGGTTCATAACAACGCTGCCGTTCAAGCCATGATTGCCTTCATCTGCATCAACATTGCTTTCTTCGCTACTACCTGGGGTCCCACCGCTTGGGTCGTCGTTGGCGAGATTTTCCCGCTACCGATCCGATCTCGTGGTGTTGGTATTTCCACAGCCTCCAACTGGTTCTGGAACACCATCATTGCCGTCATTACCCCTTACCTTGTGAATGTGGACGAAGCCAACCTGGGACCTAAGGTGTTTTTCCTATGGGGTTCGCTCTGCTGTATCTCCTTGACGTTCGCCTACTTCCTCGTCCCCGAGTTGAAGGGTTTGTCCCTCGAGCAGGCCGATATGTGCATGCAAGAAGTTCCTCCCAGGCGCTCTGCCAACTGGAAGCCGAGCCACACCTTCGCCGCCGAAATGCATCACGTGGAGGACAACGCGGCTCTCGTGAACACCACTGTCGAGGAGAAGGTCTAAAGGGTTGGCCTTTTAGATGCGTTGCTATTAAAGGGGGGGTCGGTGGTGTGCATTGTTCTTGTTACTCGGAAGAAGCGCGGATGTATTAATCGAGCATTGAACAACTCAACTTATGGAGGTAACCTACCTACGTGATATACCTTAAAAATGTTTCAATATAATTCATTTGAGAAGACTACTTATATTTCCAATGACTTTAAAATAAAACGTAGCTCATTCATCCCTGGAAGTACGTTTCGATTACCTATACCATGGTCCCGCTTCCATAATCGACAAACCCCTACGTCAACTTGCTACAGTACATGAGCATCCAAATCCAATTGGTCGGATCTCTTGTGCCATTCCCAAGACGGCATGTTCTGAGGCTTCTTGAGGTTTTGATTTGTTGATATAAGTGGGACGTGTACTGTACATAGTAGCAAGTCGGCGCTACCTATAGGATGTAAAATATCTCTAGGTACTAGGTAAGGCAGGCATTATTTCGAGATGTACTCGGCTCGGCGTTGATAGAACTCTATCAAGGGCCCAGCTGCCTTTCAGGGGAGGGATACTTTCGGTATCTCATTATTGACTTTCTCCCGGTATCTGCGATTCCGACTCAAATCGTCATTTTACCATAGTTGTCCCTTTTGTAAAACTACCTAGGTAGGTAGTCTCTATTGAATTATTGCCAGAGCGCCAACGCACTATAACTTTTAGATTAACATAGGTTGGAGCTTACTCCGAGTATCTAATGCACCATTGAGTGGTCAATCCTTTGAATAGTTTCAGCCTCAAACAGATCGTCATGAGCCGCTGATATCAGTCGTTAGACTAGCCAAGAAGATACACCACGGGCTGCATCAGTTTAGTTTCTATCTACCACGGCACGGGCCGTGAAATATGGACCGTTTCTGTCCAGCGGCATTCTCGAGGTCACTATTGATCCAGTCCAAGGAGCGCCCAGCACTGATCGTCGTGTTGTCTTATATGCAGAGACCAATCAGGACCGGTTATCGGCAGCCCAACGCTTATTCGGGCTACTCGAGAAGCATACGATGACGGCACAGCTGCATTTGTGGTGTCGAATGAGTCAACCACGTTATACTTCCGTCGGGACGCTTTTGGTGGCTGCTTCACGCTAGTTATCGACAACTTGTTGATGGTGTTTCGATCGTGGAATACTGTAGAAGATGGTATACCTAGCATATTGGAGTATATATTAGGTACACATACATACGGAGAGCCAAGTATGGACGGCATAGCTTAGGTACATGCAACTATCGTCGGGTTTTCCCCCTGACCAACTTTTATCATTTATCATTCAAACCCGTCGATCGATTGTCATAACCCTACATTTTGCCATGTTCCGCATCATCACATTGGATAAGGGGGAAATGCGTTCCTCCGTCGAGTTTAATGCAGAACTTGGAAGATACGGAAGGAAGTTGGCCTGCAAAGCATGCCGCTTTGGCAGGACGAAGTGCAGCGGCGCGTTCGACGGCGGGCCGTGCGCGCGGTGCAAGCGTCTTAGGAAATTCTGCGTCTATGAGAATAGCAGGACGCGGGGTCGGCATCGCGGAAGCTATTCCCCTGAAACGGAGGGCGAAGGTAATAACGAGGATGCGGAATTGGTCGGGGCCGCCCCCCCTGAGCAAGAGTGCCTCGATATTCACTCGCCAAGCACGTCGAGCTCTTCCTCTCTGGGTACGCCGCACGGGGACATAGCACGACTTGTCCCTGACGACTCTCTAGGGTTTGGCTTCAAACATTCGGCTCGGTCACAGAATGCTTCCTCGGTAACCATGTTCGCATCCCATTCAGAATTGGTGGCCCCTTTACCCCAACCCCAAATGGAATTCCCAGATCTTCTATTTCCCTTCTCACCGCCACCCATCGAATTACGGCCTAGCAACAAGACGTACGAAACGCCTGCGCCGCACCTCGCAGGCGTCGTAGACGGCGGAATGAATAAAGGAACTGGCTACGAAATAATCTCTTCCGGGTTACTCTTCGACTTTCAGAACGGAACACCCGACGCCGCGGGGTCTAGCAGTTGTCAGCACAAATGCCTGCACACCCTGACGTCGTCTCTATCCTCCCTCAGAAGCTGGACACGGAGCAACAGGGGCGCGGATTACTCTGAGATGGGCGTGGGGGATGATGTTCCGTCCAGCTATGTAGCCAAGGTCGAGGACGTCCTCGCGCTCTTCGAGAAATCCATGGCGCAGCTCCGGGTTGCCGAGAACTGTCCGCTAGCCTGCGTACTGTCGCAAGACCTGTCGGTTCTCCTTCTGTTCGTCGTCGAGCAGTTGGCAAACCTGCTGCTAAGCCTCGCCAGATCCTCCTCCGCCCTGGGAGATACACCCGTAAAACCGCCTCGCGGAAGCATTCACCACCACCAGGGACACGACGGTGATGGTGGTGGTGGTTATGGTAGTGGTGGTATCCAGCTCGCGCGAATCGGAACCTTCGAGATCACGAACCCGCAGGACCTGCCGAAGATCACGCAGCAGCAGCTGCAGACCAGGGCCCAGGCGCTCGACGCGTATATATGCAGGTGGAGCGACAAGGTCCGGCACTACGGGCTCGGGAACCTCGAGACCGATCTTGGGAGGATTCGGGGGGGCTTGAGCAGGTTGGGTGGGGTTTCTAGATAATAATGCTCACTAGCTAGGTACAGTACCGAGGTAGTGTTTATCGCTGGCAACATATCCTGTTGATATATCTCTATTATATAGAATACCTACCTAACCTAAGGTACCTAGGTAGACAATAGATTCTTATACTTAGAAGGGAAAGAAAGAGAGAGAGAGAGGAAAGATGAGAAAAGGAAAGGAAAGGAAAGGAAAGGGGGGCAAAACAGGATAGCAGGGGACTGGTCTACTGGTGGCGTGTACATAAATCTATCACGGGTGTTTCTGTTCTTCTGGCGTAACTGAAATATATTGTGCCTCGTAATGGAGAGGACGGTTTTTGGTAACCAGATATAGGTGTGGTTCATTCAATGAGTTTAATATAAAGTCGCTTTGCATGCCTATCTAATAACAGTGAGTTTTGGAGACGCCCTCATTACCTTAGGTTAAGTAAGTATTCACGCCCAGGAGTTCGTCAGTTTTATACTGTGACTTCCTCTATTTATTTCCTCATTCTCGTGTAGTAAGTAGCGCCATCTGCATCGACACATCTTTCCATCTCTTCCCCCCCCCTTCTCTTCCCTATGACAACGTGTAGCTTTGGATAAAGCCAAACCGTATTTCGTGATCATTGGACGGTGGTGGATAAAGAGACTTTCGGAGATCTCCCCGTATTATTGGGTTTCGCCACGCCATTTTTCTCTTCTTGAAAAGATGCTAATTAACTAGAACCCGTATTTGTTTTTGTACTTTTTTGTCAATGACCTAGTTAATAGTCTGGCCATAGGTACTGTCTTATAGCGATCCCGTCGTGAGCTTGTCATAGCAAGTTACTAATCTCGTTTATCCCAGGCGACTGTAAGAGCATCATAGCTCTTTTTACCTGGGTCATAGTAGTCTCTCGTCTCGTCATTGAAGTCTATTTTAACGATGTGTCGTAAGGTGGCGTCGTATTAGGTGTCGTTGGGGATCGAGTCGTAGTTGTAGGTCGGACTTACGGCCGTTTGAAGACATCGAAGTATGTAGTAGACTGAAAATGGAAGCCGTTTTGGGTGGTTGGTGGCTACGAGACGGTTGGAAGAAGAACAATATGTTAATAAGTCTAGAATAACAGTTTCACTAAATCTTTTCTTTTCAACGATAAGCAGTTCAGGACTGGCGTAAGTACATGTTGCCTTTTTGTTTCGGCATCTGCTTGACCCTATGTAGGTAGGTATTCTATCTTTTGTTTACTCTCAGGGGCGAAAAAGGGGCAAAGGAGATCCACCGAATAGTCCAATCCAGTAAGACATGCATCTATTTCGTCTGTGTGGTTGCAGATACCTGCATCCAAACCCTACAGAGGTAATCGATAGTGCAATCTAGCCTCCTTTCTCCATCGGGGTTCTCATCAATACTGATGTGAACTATCAGCTGCTCCTACAGGGAAGGCTTGGGGGCACTCTGGCACGGAACTTTAACGCGTAGGTAAGGTCCTTTTTTGGATAACCGCATACCAGCCACTGCTTATCGGCGGTCCCTCGAGCGAGCCTATTGGAGACTGACTAGGTAGGGGTGTTAATACATTAGATTGTCGAGGAGCCTTACAAGATCTTGGTTAAGGAGGTGGACCCGGACCGTCGAATCGAACCCACGTGCCGATGGTCGCAGTGTCGTACATTAAGGTATGGCGCAAAGCGGGTGATACCAACGAATCGCAACGTACGGGACTTCATATTGAGATCTTTCGGCTGTACCCATACCCTGCAGGGTTCTCCAGAAGGTAAATCTTGTCCACCAGAACTAACCTGTGGATAAGGGGCTAGCACGGCTTACAGCCTCGAGAGACGGCTGTAGACTAGACCCCAAGTAAGTTTTTCCAACACTTATGATCTCTTCAGTTGAGATTTGGGTATTCAGTAATGGCCCATGCGTGACGAGAAGTGTACAATATCGTATAATTAGGTGGTGTAAATACGAGGCTGAGGTTATATTTCGTGATAGCATTCTCTACTTGGTCCTACCTAGAATAGTTAAGCGGTGGATGTTGGGTAGGAATAGTGTATGCAAGTGATAGAAGCGGAATGTCACAGTGCGGACTTAAAACAATGATCAGCTTCCAGGTAGGTTTATCGAAAAGAGAAAAAATGTACCCGTTCGGTTCGTGCATATGCACGCACGGTCCATTATAGCACCCCCTATATAGCCTCATGAGCGTTATTATACATGCCTACCTAGGTATTATAGCGGTGGCAGGAAAATCACACCCGGTACAGGTTTCTTTTCTCTCTCTTCTTTTCCTTTTCCCGCTAGGTATCACACATGCTCTCTCCTCAATTCTGCATTTTCAGTGGCTGGGGATCCCGCCCACCCCATCTTTGGGGTCTTTGACCACCAACAGCAGCAGTTGTCAGTCCGGGGTATGAAGCAAGGAGGAAAGCCCAGAAGAGAAATAAAAAGTCGTCAGTTCCGTCCGTCCGTCCGTCCGTCAATCAATATGATATATCATCACCGTGCCCTCTACATGAACAGCCCATGTTTGAGCGCTCGTGTGACCGTCAGCTTTTCTTTTTCTTTTGGCCGGTCCACGGGTAGAAAAAAACAAGAAAAAAAAAAAGTAAAGAATAAAATAAAGTAAAAATAACGGCTTCGTCTCTGCCGGTTTCCTAGGTACCTATTACGCATGGTAGTATTACGGCTAGGTATCTGTCCTGTGTTCGCGCCTTGCAGATGAAACAAACGTGCAGTTAGCTCGCATACCCAGCCCGTCGAGTTTCGAGATCTCTCTTTTCTCTTCTCGGCTCAGCTCAGCTAGGTAGCTAGCTAGCTGTCAGCGCTGCACGATTTCGGGGTGCATGCATGCATGTATGCATGCGCCTTTACGTAGCAACGAAAAGGTCCGTTCGTAACGCAACGGCTCGCTACCAAAAAGCAAAAAAAAAAAAAGACTTGACGTAGTACTGCTTTCATTTTGGGAACGGGACGGGACCGGACGCAAAAGCTGGGAGGGGGGGTTCTCGGTTACCTACCTACCTATACAGCAAAAGCAAGCCTTGGCCGCTTTGCCCCTTTCCGAGTACGGCTTCATGCCTACCGGTTCGGACGCATTAACCTACATTTCTGTGCATAGTAGAGGCGTGTGCGCGCCGTACAAGTCACAATCGGCTCTCAGGGTTCCGGTTCACCACCTCGACGAGAAAGCATTGATGCGGTTTCCATCCGCAGACGGTGCTGTTAAGCCGACGACAAGGTTGGCGGAGTCCGCACGGCTACCTATAGCCGTTGCTTGTGATAAGTATTCCTGCTAGGTAACTTGGATACCTGGAGAAGCTTACCCGTGATATCTAGCCGCGATTCTCTACCTTATTCGTTATAGGGGGGCGACCTCCACATTTCGTCCGAGCTGTTGTTGCTAGGGACGGGATCGTAACTTCGTAGCCTGACCCGACATGTGGAACCTACCTAGGTAGGTAAGCAAGTATTGTCAAGACAGCCCCCGTGCGAACTTGGTGAGTCAGTGTGGTAGCGCAAGTGCTAAGGTCAGTCGTATTCCCTCCGTAAGCCTCTATAATAGTCATACCTTGAACGTCATCAAGAGCGCTGTTAGCTATAAGGAGTCTATCCTATTCGTTAGTTATTATCCCTTACGTTCTCTCATCTGACTGTATCCTCTAACATTTAGGGCCTAATTACGTCAAGACTATATAGCTCAACTTAATAAGAAAGGGATGGGAAAATAGGTACGTGGCGAATCGAGTTCGTACGCTAGTTATATCGACGGTCGTCCGTGGAGTGAGGTTGTCTACCTAGGTAGCAATGAAGAAGAGTATGTACACATATATCGGTGCTATAGGCATTCGATCACGGCCCACGGCGGATTTCTAATATAAAAGGGCCTATATGGGCCCCGTCAACCAGATCTACCCATTCCCCCATGTCTCGATAGCAGCGATTGGGCAGTAGCGGGCTTATTCCCTAGCAAAGACGTAATCAAGGGGTATAATTGCGATCTACTATACCATAGTCACACGCCGTGTTCGTCGACTTCGCCGTATCCGGATAATCGCCTAAAATCATGTGAGCCAACTCTGATAACTTCACTCCACCCTCGGTTTTGTTATTCTATACGAGGCAGGCACTAGCTGGGGTTTTATAGAGCTATGGAGTTAGTCTCATATATAGTAGGCGCATGCCTTGAATAATACAACCTGATTAAACTTCTTGGATCACAAGTGGTGAGTGACGTGTGTTGATATTCTTGGAATCCTATCCTATATGGTTGATACAGGTAATATCCTTCCAACAGTTTTTGACGCCATGGAAGTAAGTCATAAAGGGGTCATTGTTAAACGTATTAGCATTGATATCTCACGAGGCAGGCAGGTAGGTATAAAGCATGTATTATACCAAGCCCTCCAAATAGAGAATCCCTTCCAGGTACCCTTGGTACGAATGTGGATCAACTATCCGTCGGATAGATGCGGTCCCCGCAGAAGTCTGTAATGCCACTGCCTGTGATGGTCTCCAGGACCATCAAATCCATCTCGAAGTGTTACCCAACCAAAATAGAATCTCTTTTATAACCCTTGTGCCACAGCAACCCTCGCCAAGTCCATGATGCGAGTCCCTCCAATAAATTTATTCATCTCTCATATGTAGAGTAGCTCCTGGAGCTCTTTCGTCAGGGAGCGCCGGTAGCCTTACCATTCTCTACAGTTTGGGCCCGCCCCCTCTTCCAAGCTGGATTCATCCGCCGCCACTAGTGCCACAACGTGATGGCCGACCTCAACGTCGCACAGGAAATATGTGTCCTTTGTAACAGTAACCGAAAAAATCGCCAACTCCATCTCGCAGGATCGTTAAAATTCGGCGTAACCACCTAAATATGTCGAGATGATCCTAGGTACCGAAGCGAGGAACGAGAAAATATTTACACATTATGGTGTCAAAGGTTGGCTGAGAATATATGCCCGGTCTGAATACGGTAATTGGCGACAGCTGGTTGGATCATAACACCTCGACTGTGCTATTGGCATATGAATATGATGCTCGAAACCTCATCCGCATAATGGACATTGGCCGGGTTGGACAATATAGCGCTCATGTGGGCCTTTTGGGCAGGCGTGTTTCCGGCTTCCATCTATGGTCGTGCGGAAAAAGTGTGCGCCTGGGTCAAGGCACGATGTGTAAATGTAGTAGTTTTTTATGAAGTCACACATGATGACGATTTTGAAGTGATATGTACAATATCTTCCGTATGTG